AAATTTAAAATTTAATTTTTAAATTAAAAAAAAAAATTCAAACTTTCTCAATGTTGAAATTTCTATTTTTTGACTAAATTTTATCCCGCCCGCCATAAAACTTCTTTTCTATCCCCAGTCATGTTATTTTGAAACGTATTCTCCAAATTTTACCCCCGCCCGACATAAGGCTTTCTTCGCATTTTAATTTTTGTCATTTTGAAACTATTTTCCAAATTTTACCCCACCCGTCGCAAAACTTCCTTTCCATCTTCATTTATGTCATTTTGAAATGCACTCCACCCCCAAAAACCAAAAAACTGCCATTTTAAGCCAATAAAATGACACTGATCGTAAAATGGCAATAACAATTAATTGGTTGTAAATTTTGAAAATTTAATTGTTGCGCAACAGCAAATCGTATTATTCCAATTAATTAAGGCTTTCTTCTCAAATTTTGGGATTTTTTGGTTGCCATGGTGGCTTTTACAACGACTACACTTTTGGAAAGGGAATGTAATTCTCTTATCAGAGGCTTCTTGTTACTGCCGGGGCTGGATTGTAATTACTTCGATGCTTATTACTTATGCTTTATATTTTGTGAAATCTTTTTTTGTTAATTTTGTTTTTAAATTTTTCTAAAATTTTTGTTTTTATGTTTAAAAATTAATTTTTAAATGTAAAGTAAGACGAAACTTTACATTTTCTTATTTAAAGGAGTGAAAATTATTTGTAAGCCTAAAATCATCCTTAACATCAATCTTTAATGATAAAGACTGTAAAATAGGGCCGTTTAGATAGAAAAACAGTTATATTAAGGCCGAAATGGCGTATTATCTATATTGAAATGGCACGTAATCAAAAAAAGATAATGTTAAATGGCTTTACAATGCTTGTTTTAAGGGTTTTATGTGATTAATCTAACATATTATAATAATGCCAAAAAAACCAAGTTTTAGGTAGTAGGTCAGGAGCTGATTAGTAAAGATTCAACTATTGGGTTGTTTAAATAATTCTGTGCCTCTAACCTAAAAATTTTCTTTGAAAGGAGGAACGGAATAATTTGAACGAGCTAATAAAATTTTAATATTCAGGTAGTTTTAATGCGTTTTAAATCTTTAAAAACCTTAATTTATAGCTCATTTTAAACAATTTTTAAAATTCAAAAACTCATTTTACCGTCTCGTACTATATAAATCACATTATACACTTTTCGTACTGCAAACCTAACAATTTTAAGGACTGAGAGTTAAATTTAATCTTGAGATTACCCAAATAATCCTTTGAAACTGTCAAAGAGTATTAGTAAGATTAACTTTTTACTACATTTTACCTAAACTCTTATTTAAAGTCTTAAAGCTTGTTCCAATTTCAAAGATTTTACGAAATTTGCGTGCAATTTCAGTTATTACGTGGGCAAAAGTTTGTAGGATTAAGTTTATTACTTTTTGAGACGGAACTTGGCTTACTGAGAGCTTGGACAACAAGTTGGTCAAGTATTTTAGTATTGGTAGGCTTTTATGCCAGCTTTTTGGATAATCGGCTTTTGAGGTGATTTGCTTAACGAGCAACGCCAATTTTTAGCTATTTTTAAGCCAAATTTTATCTTTTAACAATAAAATTTACGTTTAATTCCAAACATTGTATTTACAATCCATGCCAAATTTGGTTACGTCCACATATTTTACTTTGTTTCCAATACCTAAAACAATAACTTTGATGCGTCTGATGCCATCAACTTGATGGTATACTCAAATCAAGTAAGCCTCATTAAACTTGATTTTTTCAATTTTAAAACTTTTGTCTGTTTCAAAACAAACTCCTTCTGCTTCCAAAAACAGTTACTTTGAATTCGAAAACAGTTAGTTTTTGTGGGATTACCCCACCCTCTCCTGAGGTGTTATTTGTGCCCGCTGCAGATCCTCCCCCACGATAAGCTTCTTCTCTTTACACTTCTGAAAAGAATCGAGAAAAGTTTTTATTTATTATTTTCGTGATTCTTCCGACATCATTCGATTCGAGTTTTTAGTTTCATATTTATTTGCAATTCACGCGTTTCAGCTGTCAAAGATGTTAAGGATAATATAATTGATGTAGTTTGGTTTAATTACTAATTAGGATGTCTAAAATAATATAATTTGATAGTGCTTGGCCTATAGCTATAGAGCTAAATTTTAAGTAAAATTTTCAGTACAAAGAATATAAAATAGTTTTTTATTCAAAATTGCATTTTTACCTCTAAATTGGCAATCCTTTGGCATTCCGTCTTAAGATGACACCTTTTTTGTAAATTTTGTAATTTTTATCAAAAACTAGTCTTTTTGACAATTTCTTGTCATTTATGTTTTCTTCTTCAACCTTCTTTGTGTTTAAATTTTGGAATTCTTCTGGGTGAGTAGTTTCCTATATTGTTGTAGGTATTTAGGTATGGTTAATTGGTGAAGGAAGTGCTGTTCTGGACCTTTTTAAGGGTGCTTTATGTAAAACTATTTGAAAAAATGTTTTGTGGATAATTTTAGAACTTGAGATTTTATGTAGCGTTGTGATTTACGTCTGTCTTTTGATTTTTCTTGTACGAGACATTAGTTATATTACGTTAGGTTGCATGTTACGTTATAATGAACGAATTGTGGCTGTATTTTATTTGAATCAGGTTGTAAAGGGTCTTCTGAATCTTCAAAAGTGTGTTTTGTTCAAGAACGGGTTTAAAATTGTTCTAATTTTAGTGTTGTGTTGCTTTAGAGAACAACAGTGTTATGCCGGACGATTTTTGTCTATAAATTTATAGATAAATGTCTAGGTTGTCGACAATGACGTCTTCAATGTTTAACTTTGATAAGAACGTATATTTTCACCTTTTAATGCGTCTAGGCAACAATTTATATTACACTGAACACCTTTCCTTCGTGTTTTTGCTGGTTTAGCTTCCGAAGATCATTGTTCTTTTTTTCGCCTCAAGAGCAAAGATGTTTTGCGAACAGGGAATACGGGCTTCAAGGTAAGCTCTATAATAATATTTATTTTGAAGCCAATCAAGCGACGATTCAGTGGGATGGGGAAGGAAAACTAGCAAAATAGCATTCGAAACGAAGAGATATATGTGATGGAGCAGAGAAATTGATGTTTTCAAGGCTTTGGAAGAGACACAGGGTAAAATGAAGGTGAGATATCAATGGTACGTTAGAGGAGAAGTTGTTGAGATATTGTAGTACACATCAAGAGTATATTGTAGTAGACATTAGGTGTTTTGAAGTAGAGTATATTAGAGTCGATATCAATGTTGTGTGAGGAAAGAGATAGAGAAGATAATGGACGGGAGATTGAGAATATATTAGAGTATTTGTCAATGGTATGTTAGAGTAGACGAAGAGAGACCTATCCGTGTGAATACTTCATGTGGGACTTTACTTTTTTGTTGGTTTAATTGATGGATAAGTTGTGTGAAAATAATAATAAAGTGGACTTTGACCGAATTGAGTAAGAGTTACGGAACCCAGGAGCAAAGATACGATGTAAACAAAGTTTTGTCAGTTTTCTTTACCATTGTATTGTTATTCTTTTGTTAGGATATTATTCTTTTTTATGTGATCCATTAATTATTTCGTTTTTCAATAATTTTGAAGTTGTGAAATTGATTTTTTTGTGATTTTTAACGTTCTTGACAACTTTTAAAGGTTTGTCTGTTCATTTCGGAAAAAGCAATTGAGTTAGACGTTAAACTGTCTACTACAATAAAACGGCTTTAATTGCAGTAATCAGTGTTTTTGTTATTTTTCAAAAACCGTTTTAATTATAGTTGTTTTGTCGATTTGAAATACGTTTTTCATTTATAAATTTTAGATTTATCTAGGTAAGGGCAACACTTACAACTAGGTTACTGTAGCTTAAAAAGTTTTTGCGTTGTTTTTCTTTTCTTTTGTTGATAACGACGATCTATCTTTTTGTGATAGACGATTCCATGCTATTTTGTACCTAAATTTTTCTTTTTGGGTCGAAGAGAAGCATTGGTTTTTTTGCTCATTGTTGGGGTCTCAGATTTTACAAATTTCAACTGAAGCTTCAACTTTAAGATCAAATTCTAAAACAGTAAAATGACATGTTTGTGGTTTTTGAAAATGTTTTAAACATAACAGGATGTTTATGTTTAATGGGTAAAAACAATTCCCGTTCACACTGTCTTGGAAGCGGCGGGAACAAGGTAAATATAAGCGTTTCTAAGCTTTAAAGTAATATTATCATGCTTTAAAGGGTAATTTTTAATTTTATATCATTTTAATGGTCAAAAAGTACATGGAAGAATAGGTAGTAAGGTTAAATTAAAAATTTTTTGGTTATTTATTAGGTTTTTGATAAAGAAAAGATAATTTTTTGGTCGAAAACTTTATGGAAAACTTTGTTTCAGGTATTTTTGTTAAATTTTTTGATAATCTATTATCTTTTCTATATATTTCGTTATCTTTTGCCGGTATTTTCCTATTTTCTCGCGTATTTTGTCAATTTTTGTTGTTTACGCGCCCGAGAATACTTACAAGAGTTTTTTTGTCGAAATACGTTGCGTTATAATGTTAACTAATTAATATCTCATTTTAGTCCGAAACAGGCGGAAACGGGTGCCTTGAAGGGGGAAGACGTCTCCCTCGTTAACTGATGAGAGTTCGATTCTTGTGATAAGGACCGATAACAGTAAATTATCCGACTGACCAATCTCAGGACAACAGTATTCTGGCCACCTTACCTTTGAGTTAGGTTCTTGACATAGCTTTCATTTGGTGTCGGTTTTCGCATATTTTTATATTGTGGTAGATCTTGATTGTTTCGAAAAGATTTGATTACAAGGACATTGTTAAAAGTAAGTTAGTGGTTTTTAATGGTCTGATGGTATAATTATTGTTGCAGGAATTTATTAGAAGCGACAGAAGTGCCAGAATTATAAATTAGGAGAACCTGTACCATAAAGACCACCAAAGTACCATTCTTTTCAAACCTTGTAATTGTAACTTCACCTTTCTCAACACTGAACCATGGCGTACGGTGTGACGGTGGACGAGCTGAAAGCTCTGATGGAATGCCGTGGGATGGAGGCCAAAGAACGCATCGAATCAGATTACGGTGGGACTACAGGCCTATGTCAGAAGTTGTCTACAGATCCAGCCAACGGTCTACCAGAAGATCCAGAAGAAGTGAAGAGGAGGAGACAGGTCTTTGGAGCAAACGAAATACCTCCAGCACCGTCGAAAAGCTTCTTCACTCTGGTTTGGGAAGCGATTCAGGATGTTACATTAATCATATTGTTGGTTTGCTCAATAGTATCGCTGGGTCTGGCTCTGTGGGCCATGTATGGACCTAAAACAGAAAATCGTGAGTTTTTGGCATTATTTAATAGTTTTTAAATGTTTTAGGCTAAAAAAGTCGGAAATTGACTATCTTAAAAGGATATATTTTTAAAAATTTTGAAATTAAAAATAATGATTTCAGCCGGCGGAGGACACGACGAATCCGAAAACAGTGCCAATTGGATCGAAGGATGTGCCATCTTAATATCAGTAGTTGTAGTAGTGTTGGTTACGGCGTTGAACGACTGGACCAAAGAGAAACAGTTCAGGGGACTCCAGGCCAAAATCGAGACTGAACACAAGTTCTCGGTGGTTCGAGGAGGACACTCAATAGAGATTATTGTCAACGAACTTGTTGTTGGCGATGTAGCTAATGTAAAATACGGTAGGTGTTTTATGCGGATTTGGATGCTAATGTTTTGCATTAGTTGCAGCTAATATTATTACAATAGCAGCCAAAAGTTATTTTCTATTCATTTCAGGGGATCTTTTACCAGCTGATGGTATAATAATTCAATCAAACGACCTCAAGATCGACGAATCTTCGTTAACTGGTGAATCGGACCTAATAAAGAAGAGTCCCGAGCACGATCCAGTACTATTGTCAGGTACCCATGTTATGGAAGGCAGTGGTAAAATGCTGGTGACAGCTGTAGGTATCCACTCTCAAACTGGAATCATTATGGCTCTATTGGGCGCGACAAAGGCTGAAGGCGGCGACAAAACACCACCAAAGTCTCCACAGAATCGAGGTAGACTTTGACTAATTTTATTGATGTTTGATTTTATTGATGCTAAATAATATAATCGATGATAAATTGGTGAAATTTGTTAAAATAGCAGTTGGACCAAACTTTTTTTAATAAATATTTTTGGTTTTAAAATTGGAAAATGGTTAAATATGATTTAATTTGCAGCCATTGCCGCCAATGGGCTAGAAGCGACACAAAATGGCAAATTGAGCGCTCCACTCGAGCCACCAGTTGATGACGAACCAACTAAAACAAAGTCAGTCCTACAAGGCAAACTCTCCAACTTGGCTATTCAAATCGGCTACATTGGATCAGTTGTAGCGGCGGCGACAGTAATCATCCTTGTCGTACGACATTGCATCACTTTCTACGCGGTCAAGAAGCAACCTTTCACAATGTCAGATGTGTCATACTTTGTCAACTTCATAATTGTGGGTGTAACAGTGCTTGTTATCGCTGTACCAGAAGGACTACCATTGGCCATCACATTGGCCCTGACCTATTCGGTGAAGAAGATGATGAAGGATAACAACTTAGTCAGACATCTGGACGCTTGTGAGACGATGGGTAATGCCACAAGCATCTGCTCGGACAAGACGGGTACTCTAACGACCAACAGAATGACTGTAGTTCAGAGTTTCATCAATGGTAAGTGTCTTGTGGCTGTTCAGTGAAACATAATATTACAGATCGTTTCTACCGGGAAGTACAACCAACATGGTCAGAGCTGGATTCAAAAACAAGAGATCTACTTTTGGGTGGAATTTGCATAAACTCGGGTTATAACTCAAATGTGGTACCTTCGGAGACTCCTGGACAACTTCCAACACAGGTCAGTCAATAATAATACGATCTTTGGAAATTTCAAGATTTTTGAATTTTGGGGTGTTAAACACAACTTTCTAAACTAGTTTCCAAAATTTGTTGATTCATGTGGCAATATGTATATTATTTATGTAAAAATCAAGTGATACAAGCAAATCCCAAGAGTTAGATAACCAGGAGATGTTATCATACCAAGACTTGTCGAATTGTTTCCTTCGTCTCTTTGAGGATGAACGTACTCAGGCACTGGATTCGTTTCTAGTCCGGGACGTTCAAGTCGAGGCGCTTGACAACAACATCGACCTATACATGAGGATGTTGGGTCGTACAACTGACACGTTTGGTTGTTCTCACAACCAACACTCATCATGAACCCTCCGTTTATGCAAATTGCATAGTTGTTGCAGGCTGAAATGGGTTATGTAGTACTATTTCGGAAGGGTTATATGCTGTGTATGAACTAGTTATGTAGACGTGTAGGGCAAGGGATAAACTTACGAACATCGCTGGTAAATCGATAAGGTGCCACGCCACAAATATACCTTGCAAATGGTATGGGCACTCTCTTTTGTCGCTCGGTAGAATTCAATTCTTGACAATTAATAATGTCCAGTAGGTATAGAATAACTAAGACTTTTACGAAAGTATTCATATTGTTTTTGATGGCTGTGTTATTATTCAGTCATTTTTTGCGAGAAATCCGACTTTGTTTGACCAGCTGGTTAACTTTTTCATTTTTACTTTGTTGTGTCTATTAACAAAGATGGGGTAAATTTAAGGAGAGTATATAGGCTTCTGGCATTCTTTTATAACAAGTGTAAAGCTTTTTTGTTTTTAAAATGATTTTTGGGTCATAGTCAATATTATAGTACTTGAAACAGTCAATTTCAGGTTGGAAACAAGTCGGAATGTGCCATGTTACAGTTTATGGTCGAACTAGGTCAAGACTACCGTGCCGTACGTCGAGAACATCCAGAAGAAACGTTGGTGAAGGTATTCACCTTCAACTCAGCCCGAAAGTCCATGATGACCGTAGTGAAACGAGAAGGCGGTGGCTACAGAGTCTACTCGAAAGGAGCATCAGAGATCATCATGGCCAGATGCAAGTTCATTTTGGGAGCTGGCGGCCAAGTGAAACCGTTTGGAGATCAACAATATGCCGACATCAACCGGTCGGTCATCGAACCCATGGCTTCTGATGGACTCAGAACGATGGGATTGGCCTTCAAGGACTACGTTCCTGGAACTCCTGGACTGAATGAGGTGAGAATGCGGGCAGAATAATATTGTTTTATAGGTTTATTTCAAAATATGAGTTGTTTTATACCATTTTTCCGTTTATTGGGGTTAAATATTATATTTTCTACGTGTTAAATAGACGCAAAGTAAAGTTTTTATTATGTTATAGTACCAATTTGACGAAAACCTAAACCTGGACGACGAAGAAAGTGTGAGAGAAGGCATGACAGCTATTGCCATTGTTGGAATTCAAGATCCAGTACGACCAGAAGTAAGGGCTGCTATTGAAAAGTGTCAAAGGGCAGGAATCACGGTAAGAATGGTTACCGGCGACAACATCAACACTGCCAGATCGATTGCTACGGCCTGTGGAATCTTGAAACCCGGAGCCGACTTCTTGGCTTTGGAGGGAAAAGAATTCAACGCTAGGTGAGGAATGTTTGTTAATTTGTGTAATAGGGGTGGTTGAAAAGAAAATAGAATACTAGATTTTTGATTTGATGATTAGAAGTTGTGGTTATAGGATTAAGGTTTAAAATGTTACTTTTTCCTGTTGTAGAATTCGTGATTCAAACGGTCAAGTAAGTCAACAGAAGTTGGATTTGATCTGGCCTACTCTTCGTGTACTAGCTCGTGCTCAGCCTTCAGATAAATATGTTTTGGTCAAGGGAATCATCGACTCCAAAGCTACCAAAAATCGGTATGTTTTACATCAAAAAGTCATTTTTCATAGACAGTATCAAAGGTTTTCTTTATATTCTTTATGTTTTACGTTTGCGTTATGGATATTATTATAGTCTGAGTGACGTTATAATACATATTTCTTGTTTCAGCGAAGTTGTGGCAGTAACCGGTGACGGAACCAACGATGCCCCAGCCCTCAAGAAGGCCGACGTCGGATTTGCGATGGGAATTGCTGGCACAGATGTAGCCAAAGAGGCCTCGGACATTATCCTAACAGACGACAACTTCACTTCCATCGTAAAGGCTGTCATGTGGGGCAGAAACGTGTACGATTCCATCGCCAAGTTCTTGCAGTTCCAGTTGACTGTCAACGTTGTAGCCGTCACAATCGCCTTCATCGGAGCCTGTGCCATCAATGACTCCCCATTGAGAGCAGTCCAAATGTTGTGGGTAAACTTGATTATGGACACTTTGGCCAGTTTGGCATTGGCGACAGAAATGCCAACTGAAGAACTTCTGGAGCGAAAGCCTTACGGTCGCACCAAGAGTCTGATCTCTCGCACCATGGTGAAGAACATTGTCGGTCACGCTCTCTATCAACTGATCATTTTGTTTGGAATCCTGTTCTTTGGCGACAAAATCGTGCCAGACCTTCCAAGCGGACGATGGGCTGCTCTGGGATCTCCACCATCCAGACACTTCACCTTCATATTCAACGTGTTTGTTCTGATGACTTTGTGCAACGAATTGAACTGTAGGAAGATTCACGGTGAAAGGAACGTTTTCAAAGGAGTCTTCTCCAATCCCATCTTCTGTATCATCTGGTTCAGCACGCTGATTCTCCAGATTGTGATCGTCGAATTCGGAGGGAAATGGTTCTGGACAGCACCGTTGACACCACTCCAATGGGGAATATCAGTCGCGTTGGGGTTGGGAGAATTCATCTGGGGACAGGTAAGGTATAACTGTTATTTTTTATTATTTCTATTTTAGAATTTCTAAAATTATATTATTAATGTATCTTGTGTGTTTCTAGGTGATAGCGACGATCCCAGGCAATGTTCTACCCAAATTCTTCTCTTTGGGCCGCGGTGAAGTCCAGCCCACATCCATCTTGGTCACCGGCGAGTACGATATTCCAGAAGTGAGAACGGCGGCAGGAAAAGAGTTGGGATCCGTGATTCCAAGCCAACAGAACGGTAGACCAGGCCAGATTCTATGGCTTCTGGGACTGACGAGATTACAGACACAGGTAGGGGATTGTGATGTTAGGGTAGTCCTATACATCTGCTGTATCTACTATAAGGAACGTACAAGAGATGTAGTGGTTTTAAGGTATAGATAGACTTGGAAAGATAGTGGTTTTAAAATTTAAAGATTTTGTAATGTATGTTTTACTTAAAATTAGTAATGGTACTATTTTTACCATTGTAGATATATTACACGTGACCAAATATCCAGTAAATGATTACTGTTTTCTTTGAGTTTTGGTACGGTTCATGTACCTATAGTTAGACTTGTATTGTGTCAATGTTCTAACATTTTTAATTGGTTCTGAAAATAGAGTAGAAGTTGGTAGTTCACAGTCGTATTCTACTGTTGGAGTCACTGTAATGTTAATCGTTGTCACTTGATGTAGTACCTATCAGTAGCTAACCTTTAACATTACATTTCCAGTCGACTTTGACAGTAGACGTTGTGTAGTACTGTAGATTAGAGTACTTTTAAATTTTGATTTAAAAAAATATTTTTACAGAATTTTGTTTCAAAAGTTGTCGGATTGTTTGCACGGTGAATTTTGTCCGAGAACTTTTGGGGCATTTAAGGTTGAAATTTAATTTTTGGAGAATTATGATAATTTTTAAACGAAATTTTTGAATCTTTGCTTTTTATATTGTATTAGGTTGTATAAAAATATTGAGCTGCTGACTCAAATTTATTTTTGTATTATATTATAGTAGACGATTTAAAGTAGATTTTTTTTTGATTAGTAATATAGGTTTAAATCTGTGTTTTAAATTTTTATGGTTTTTAAGCCCGGTTTTTTCGGATTACTGTAATTTTAAGCGGTTCTTCTTATTCGGTTTTTAGATGCGCGTCGTCCGTGCCTTCCAATCTGGAGTCAACACCTCCCACCCATCGTCGCTGACTTTGGATGCTGGCGACAGATTCCGTCAATCCTATCGCCGACTTCGAATCGCCAAGGAACGAGAGCTGGAAAGTCAGTAAAGTTGTGTATCGCTGTTCTGTGCCGTTCTTTCCCTTTCACGTTTCGTGCCTTTAAATCTGCTGCATTTCCATTTTTTTGAAATTTTTCAAGTTTTTCGACTTTTTGTTTTGCTATACCTTTCTTATGCCTTCGTATGTCTCTCAACGTGCTACAGTACCGTACTTTGATTGTGTTTTTGGTGCATAATGTCCAGATTGTCGCAGTTTGTCACGTTTGTTTGTAGTTTGACTTTTTTGAGGGTTTTCATTATGTCAACATTGATGATGGTATTGATATCTAGTATATTGATGTCTCATGACACTAGAGATTACGGTAGTTTTTGCATGATCTTAGTTTTTTACAGTTTACTCTCTCAGCATTTAAGTTTGTTTTAATAATGTTTTGGCTTAGTTAGTTAGGCTTGTAAAATCAAGTTTTATAAGTTCTTATTCAAGACCTTAGTTTCATTTCACAGGTTTACTTACAGTAACCTGTAAAGTTTTTGAACATTGTAATAGATTCTTTGGCCAAACATTTCAAGCCTTTGCCTTGTTTTGCACTGTGCAATCTTTAAATTTGAATTTTGCACGGTGCAAAGTGTCAGAAGGTTTGGGACAGTTTCGCAAAGACGTAGTACTGTTTGTCTTTCATCGAGTGTCTTACTGTACCTTTTTTCACTTATTATTTTTCGTTTCCAACAGATTTTCGGACTTCGGGTTTTATTTTTTCGTTTCGAAGGTGATATTCACTTCCTAAAACGTTGTATCCTATCGTATTATTCAAGTAATTCGGCTTTCTAATCTAACATAATATCAATACGAATGTTACTGTAGGTCAGGCATGTTTTTTACTTTTTAGCGGTTTTCAATTTGTGAAGGTGACTAAAATATGTTTGAAAATAATTTTTGAAATTTTAAACTTTTGGATTATTATTTTTTTAAATTGTTTCAAGTTTTTAAATTTAAAATTTAAGCCCTGACTACATGTCTGACCTCAAAGTCGTATCTTGCAGTTTCCATTTTAATAAAGTAACCTCGGATCAGTTGTAGATTCTATTATTTGTATAAACCTTGCATAATGTTTTTGGTGTTGTCGCTTTTCGATGTAATAAAGAGTTGTAACTTTTCCACTCGTGCTAACCCTGCCTGTTCATTATTCGTTGTGTTTGAGTCGAAAAGTAAATGGCAAAAAGAATGTTAAAGCTTTTGACTTTAAAGATTATGCTTTATTTTTAAATTCCTTTTATTATCGTATTTTATGCCATTTTACTAACGTTTTAACCTAAAAAGCTTTCCGTATTTTAGAGATTTCCAATTAAAAATATGTATTTCTAACTAAAATTATCCTTAACATTTCAAATATTACTGATAACATTCATAAACTCCTCCCAACTTACCTAAAATAACATTTCCAATCACCTAACCTCAACTTACCCACGTCCATATTAACCACCGTTTCAGGGCTTAGTCAACTTCGAGCAGGTGGACAGACACGAGTCGCGCCGGCTTCCCCGACCACCCACAAATCCACCAACAACATGACCTTCCACTAATCAGGACATAATCTACATGTACAACTCCCTTCGGTTGCCTTATCGATACCTCATAATCTCAACACGTTGTATAAGAAATATTGTCACACTACTTCACTTACTAGTTGTTAGCGCTAATAAATCTATTTTTGGGCCTTAGTTTACATGGTTTATATTATAGATTTTTCAAAAAATTCTGTGCCCACAACCCCGAAAATTGGCTTTGAAAGGGGCACAGAATTATTTGAACAACCTAATTGTCACTTTAAAGCGTATTAACTTGAAAAACTGTCAAAAAATGTTTTGAAACGACAAAATGAAGGATTTTTGATGTTACCTACACTTAAATGATCACACACAACTAACAATTTAAATAAAGAAACACTGCTGGCAATCCTTCAACAATTTGAAACTCAACCTACCGGTATTGTAGAGGTTGGGCGACACCAGCGTATTTGATGGGATTGGGGCTTCGTATTCAAAGTCGAGTTGGTTGAAGTCGAGCAAGAAGCCAATGATGTCGGACTGAAAAATGAAAGTTATTGTGATGAACTAACTAGTTGTTTTCGTAATGCATTCATTTTTCAAAATAAAAAAAAGTCATTTTAAATTCAAACAATTGCTATTCTTTACTCCTACTTTCTACTGTGCGGTTGTCACTATTACGAGGAACAGAGTATGCATTGTAATTGCTATATCTATATGGAGTGCTCAAGGTATCGTCGTGAACAGTATTCTCGCGGATCTGATAAGCTATGCAGCCAATCGGATCGAGAGTTCTAGAAAAAGGTACTAAAATGAGAGTAAACGTTTCGGTTAAAATGTGCACTGGACACGACGGGACGAACCAGGAAGAGAAGTTTGGATTGTTGTTGTCGACCTGGTGGGTAAAATCAAGTTTGTGGCTTCAAAATGATAGTTTCTTCATTTTACTTGTCTTGATAAGGAAAAAAGTGAAAAAGGGAGGGGTACTTACCAGGGGTGCGCAAGCGTTACTTTTCATTTGTAACTTGTCTCTGTGATTTCAGATTCGATGGACAAGATTCTGTTTGTTATCAACGGTCTTTATCGCGAGCAAGTGCCAAAAGTATTTGACAAGAAACTTCAACCGGTCGAGCTTATCTTACCGGGAAAAAACGCCTTTGTACAGATACCTACTGACTCTACAAAAGAAAATCTTTGATTACTGATTAGAAGTTGTATTTGTTGATAGTCGCTCATTAACCTTAGGGAAATGAATAAACATATCATTATCTATTAAGCTGTCGTAATGTCTTTTCAATTTTTAAAATTAATTTCTACAGAGTTGTAGAACTGACATATTATATTGTGACCAATTGGATTCACATTGCTGTACGTAATCGTACACACTTTGCTGTCATTCACGTTAAAAAAACAATGACTCACGTTCGCGACACTCCTTTTTTATAAATGTTAATAAAAGAGCAATGTCATATCATATAAGGACCTCTTCTTAAATATTGTTGTCTAATATTTGCAATATTTCCAAAAATTCGACCAATATAAAGACAGACCAATATATATTGTCAGAACATACTATTACCTTAAAATACCCTAAAATGATACTCAAATTTACTGTGCTTCTAATATTACTGCCATTTTCATTAGCACAAACTTCGTATACGTTTTCTTACAGCTACAATCAATGTAAGTTATTGATCATTTTTTGTTACACTATGTTACAGTAGCAGTTTAAGCCCATATTAGTACTAAGCACAAGCTTATCTGTACCATAAGTAGCTCGAATGTTTTGGTAGTTGTTGGTAATTACGTATAACAACAAATTGTATATTGTTGTTATATTCAACTCATGTTAATTTTTAAAAGACAATATCATAAAACTTTTAGCAAACGAACAGACATTTTACATAGAGACATCGCTGGGATCTGATAAACAGAAGATAAAGCTTGGACTAGACACAAATAGACCAATAAGTCTCTTCTTCAGCCCAAAATGTGTCCAAGACAAGTGTGTTACAGAGAATGTTGAGTACCAGTACGACAACACGTAGGTCGTTTTGTCTTGTAGCTTTACACATACTACAGATCAGCAACTTGTATATGTTAACTGTATTGAGTAGAGTAGAGTACTGTAGTATAGGGTAGTGTAGGGTATGATGGGGTACAGTAGGGCAGGGTAATGTAGGGTAGCGTAGGGCAAGGTAGAGTACAATAGGGTAGGATAAAGTAAGGTAGACTAAAGTAGGGTAAAATAAGGTATGGTACGGTAGGGGACGATAAAATACGGTAAGGTACTGTTGGGTATGGTAAAAAGCTCTCTAAATCAATGCCCCCGAAAATATTTTCAGAAAAACAGGCGGCAAAGACCTTGACAAACCATACCAAGACGAAACCTACAACAACATCGCCAAATGGTCGGGCAAACAATTCTTGGATACGATCAAGTTTGGTCCTCAATATTATAAAGATCTGACCATTGCTGTGGTCGACTCATCCAGTTCGGCCGAAAAAGTGGACTGGAATGGTTATTTGGGGCTGAGGACAGGCGGAGAGCTGATAATTAAGGTTATGAAGGAAGCACAGTATCCACAAATCACTATCCAGGAGGGGCGTGGCTTCATACCCAAGGTAACGTTAGTAATGTCACTTTCACTTTCATTTTTGAGTTATCCTCCATCCCCAACTTCTGTTTCTTACCGTCTTTATATTACCTTTCAGATATTAAATCTTTCCCCTTAGGTATTAAATTATCTTCCAGAATAACATATATGTTTTAGAAGAACAAACAAGTGGCCAAGTTCAGTTACGGCTCTTTTACTTTTGGCAGTCGCGATGCTAAAGGCTGTGGAAACTTTACCTTCTTCAACACGACTAATCACAACAATCAATGGGCACTAAAAGCTATGTAAGATCTTTATACTGTATCTCTAGAGCAACAAATTTTTTTTTACTTTAATCTTAAGCTAGTGTTACTTTAACTTAAAGTTTGAACTAAGCATAAGAACAATATACTACAAGTTAAACAAATAAAACAGTTTTCAGAGTAAAAATAGGTAATACCAAGTACGACTTCCATAATGTAGCTCTGAACATTGGGAGACGAACCCAGATACCTCAAAATGCCTTCGACGAATTCAAGTTAATGGAGGATAAAACAAGTTTAAGCGACATTCCGGACATCAGATTCGTTGATGACAAAGAGTACGTACTCAAGGCAGAAGACTTTGCTTGGTATAACAAGGACGTAAGTGCTACAGTAAAATCATAACATTACAACGCCATTTTACAATAAAAACCTAATTAAAATACCATTTTACATTACCAACCTAATTATTTTGCCATTTTACAGACCAACAGCTGGAGGACTACAGTGAGCCAACACCTACAGAACTGTACCGTTTCGCTTTGGGAAGCGAATTCCTACAAAACTACTGTGTAGCCCTGTCTTCTGATGCCAATGTAGCCAACAAACAAATTGGATTCGCTGAGAATTTCAACAACAAAAGCAGCGACATTAAGTCAGCTACGTTAACATCACTGATACTTGTTGTTTTCTCTTGCTTTACGCTGTAAGATATGTAAGAAGATAAAATCGTATATAAAAGTACCAATAGTAATCATATATGTAAAGGTATGAATAGTAATGTATAACAAATACTAGGTTTTTAAATAATTCTGTGCCCCTTGTCAACGCAAATTTTCGGTATTAGGGGCACAGAATTATTGGAACAACGTAATAGGAAAACGGACAAAAGACGAGATGACATGTTTATTGATCGCATCATTCAAGGAGCTGCAAAAAGTAAAATATGCTATAATAAAGTAATGTAATAGTGCTAACGTGTACCAAAGAAATTGAAGGAGCGAAAAGGAAGACAGAAAAAAACGAAAAAAAAATTAAAAAAACATTTAAAATGTCCCCTCTCCAACGTTAATCTTCAAAAAAATTATCCAAACGCCTGTAAGCAAAGATTTGTTTCCCCCCCCCCTTTTTTTTCATATCAAAATCATCCCTCGAGTCCTGAAAAAAAAATGTAAAGTAACTAAAATCTTCTTACTGGGTCCCTTTCTGCATTTTGCTGTAGCATATTCCGCTCCAAGTTCCATTGATACAGTAGCACTGAAAACATATTACAGTATGTCATAAAATATGGTCATAAAGTGTAAAATCATCAAGATTACTATACTTAAATTGCTATAATAATAAGTCTTACATAGCTATAACATACTCCTAATTAGTATATTTCCATAACGATAATATATACACTAAAGTACCGACTTACATTCCCGTAACCAGTCGTGAATCACGTATGTTTTGAACATGATGTAAATGAACATGATCATCGGCAAGTACATCAATCCAACCACGGCCAGAGTTTTGCTCAAAATGAGTAACAATTGCAGCCTAAAGCAATATATCATACGTAATATTAAGCCATCATGATTAATATTTTACAAAATCTTTTTAAAATTAAACCTTTTTACATTGTAAACCTAAACCATTCACCACAAGATACTATAACACACATACCAAGCAGGATTGTAGACGTATTTGTACGGAAATTGTGGCAGAACGTCGTATCTTGTCACATAAACATACTCAATTTGTTTTCTCGTGTTTTTAGTCAGTAATTTGGCAAAATAGTCAGTGAACTGTTGATCTGTCGCATCTACAACATTATTATTATTAACATCGAAACACAAGCCTAATTTTATACGATTTATCTTTTAAATATCAATATAAAAGATTGATTTTACTTTGTTATCATAATAATAACATATAACGCAACTATATATCTAAAATGTTACCTAAAATTCAAAAGAAACGTAAAAACAATAAAGAAACAAAATAAAAATGTAAAACAAGATCCAAACAATAGTAAAATACGACCAAAACCATGGTAAAACCATATAAAATACAATAAATTAGACAAAATCTTGCTCACCATCAACATCGATCCTTAATCCATTAAACCGGATGTTGTTATCAGCCAAACCTCTGTAAAACAAGTCGACAATCACAGATCGAACATCTCCAAGTCCTACCTTGTCCACTAATGTCGTTGTGGTCTCAGAAGTCAGTACAATTCTGTCAATTTTCAGCTTTCTATCAGTTATTGTTATACAGTTACCTGAAATATTTTTTTTTATTTTGAGAAATTTATATTACACTAGGCAAGAAGTTGGAAAAATAACATGAAATCGAATTGAAACTTAAACATTTATGTATAATAACATCAATAAGCATAATATTAGGCTATTAACTTTGTCTAAAACAGCAATAACACAATAGAAAAAGACCTACTACAATATTGGCGACCATAGTGACGAGCAATGATGTAGTTGTCAAACTCGTTTCCATCTCGAATATCAAAACACTTCAGATCAGAATCCACAGTTATACAGATATAAACCGATGTGCTAACGTTTTTCCAGTGACCAAAAAGGCAGTAAAATGTTGTTAATACCTAAAATTAAAAAACGTTGCAAGTAAAACAACGTTACCTTAATATTTTCGCTCAAAAATCAACTTCAACCGTTTTATTATCTATAAAAAAGGTTAAAATTCAAAACGACGTAGCTGAAGGTGCAGAAAACTCAATGAGCAACTATAATATATTATAGATATTACCTTTTCTTCCGAGTTGTCATCTGCCATTATGAGAACGAGTTTATTGTCGTACTCATCAGGCGGTGAACCTCCCAGATAGGTAAGGGCATCTCTGCAGTTTACCGATGTCACAGGCTGAAAGCAGAAGCACAGTAAAACAAACACAACCGATATCAACCACATTATACAAAAGGAATAACTACAAATTGTGCCATCTTCTGTCGCAAATCAGAAAACTGACTAATGTTAATGTTGAAGCTAACTACACCTTGACAGTGTTTCTTTTGATGGAAGATTCTAATCAATAACGCGTTTTTTTATTTTTATAATTTAAAAACCAAAAGTCTCTTCTCTGAGTCAAGACTTTGTTCATTTAGGTCATGTTTGCTTTTTTGGACAAGTCTTCCTTCCAAGCCAAGTCTTCCTTTCGATCCAATTTTTTCGACTCACCTGAAAAATCCTAACTTGTAAACGTTTCATTGACGTAATATGATTTCATTCGTATTTTAAGGTTTCTTGTTTTTAAACCTTGTCTATGTATAGACGTTAGGAAGAAACCTTGGAATATGTTATTGTCACACTTCCTGTTTATGTTTTTTTTTAGAAAGCTTTTAGAAATTTTAAGCTAAATTTTAAAAGTTAAATTTTGAAAAAAATTTTGGTTTGAAATAAATTAAGTTTACTCTGTAAAACTCGAAAATCTATAAATGTCATCACTTTGGATGTTACTTGTAGACACCAAAAATGACATAAACAAAAATATCTGTAATCTGAACATATTATCAACTATAAATAGGCATGGTATGTTTCATAACTCGCCCAATAGTGCTAATGAACTGAGAACGACCTCTTTTTAAGACGTTGTCAATATACCTTAATTGCCGTATCTTCCAGAATACATTCACATCTATAACACTATATCTGTACATTTGGATGTGGACATCGACTTTTTGTTACTTTAGTGCTTATGACATTGTTTTATTGATGGTGTTAGCATTGTTTTAACATAGCATTAGCTTTGCACATACTTACGTGGATAATGCTCTGGACTATGGTGTCACATGTTGCCTTACGTATGTTAATATCTTTGAAAGATGATGCATCTGATGACAAATACCTTTACAACTTGTACAACAGTTACATCTTTCAATACTTTGTTTAATTTCCACAAAGTATATGTCTCATATACAACAATGTGTCACCAATACCATGTACTCACGTTCTTGGATTGCTTGTAACACATACATTCCATTACCACAGTAAATCTCTATGTACTTTAGTCATTTGTCTATTTCGGTCTACTTTGTAAACTTAACGCTAAGCTATGTTTCTACAAGCTGCTTTCGTATACGTATATCCAGTGAACGTCTATTAGCTTACGTATGTTTTGTACAAAGACATACGTATGTTTCAACTTAACATGTACGAGATTACGTGGTAAGATCTTAAATTGACTGTTTAAAAAAGTTTATAGGGTCTTCTTTATATGTTACTGATACGAATTTATCAGTCTATCTACTACTGGTTTTTGGACGATACGATGGCTTTTAGCAATCTAGTCGCTTTAAGAAGATACGATTGTCCTTATGAATACACTGATTATTGTACAATGAATTACTATTTTTTTTCATGCCTACTAGCATAAGATACGATGACTTCTATTATCTCTCTGCTTATCATAAGATGATATTCTTTCTCCCAACGTACTACTTATCAGAACATACGAAGAGGAAGCGGCTATTAGAACATGTTGCGCAATAAGCTTGGCCAGATCGTGATGTATGAGGCCGTCTGATTCAAGTGCAAGTGGAGGGAGGGCCATGGTTAAATACCAAGGATTACACGGCCAGGTCGCTACTTTCCCCTTTCGAGTGCCACTTTTTCCCCTGAAAAGGTGTCCATCTTAATCTGGCCTTAATAACGTTGTCGGAGACGGTCGTACGTTTACTGTACGGAACATGGGATCGACTATATTGCAATGTAATTGCTGATTATGTTAATGTAGTTGGTTTTATTGCATTGCGATCTGTTTAAAATGACATATGGCATTGTTGTAATGACTGTCAGGGTTGTTATCATGGATGGCAAAGGTTTCTTGCTAACTTTTACTTATATATATGTTTTTACCATCAGCTTTCATGAACATAAGGAAATACAAAACTAAATTTGATAACTATTCAAGACTCCTGATTGCCATAGTTTTTTTCGATGCCTGACGACAATATCTGACTAGTTTGTCGATAAACGACGCAGTAAATATAAAGACTGCTAATGTAAAGTATGTTGAAAATGTTATACCGCTTGTTTGAGATATTTATAATTGAGTATTCTTTTGGGGATATTTTGTGACGTTTTCAAATTACTACTTCCAAGTTAATTTTATTAGTTGTAAATGACTTTAAGCGGCCTTCGGCTTTGAAATCAAGGATGGCTTGGCCCAACGCATTTTGTGTTTATCACGTTTAGTTATCATAACTTCGTGGTCGGGCATGAGGCCAAATTATAGGTTCAGACACTGCTTGTTAGTGTATAGTTTGGTCGAGAATAGGAGGTTCAAGAAATTTTATTTTAACAAAGGGACTAGTTTACAAAAACGGGTTTCTTTATAACAGTGTACTTGTGAAAAATATAGACAATGTGATTTTACATTAAAAATTTTCTTGAGCATTTAGTCGTAACGACGTGACATTATTGACCATATGGTTTTGAAATTGAAGAGTTTTGTTCACTATCGTACCGTCCGTCTATGTAGAGCTTTTTAGAATTTAAGTCTGAAAGAAAGTGAGGAAAGAAGGAGGGGTGGGAGAGGAGGAGGGTAGGAATGGTCCAGTTTTTTTTCTACAAGAATAATGTAATATCAAAAAGAGAATTGTCGAATTTGAACAAGTACTTTTTGAGAACGAAGCTTTTACTTTACCGCAATAATCTTGGAACACCCTGTAGATAACTAACCAAATTTTAAAAATGTTTTCAAACTTATGTACACCATTATGAAAATATCATGCTATAATATATTCTTTGCACAGCTTTTTACGCCTTTTCATCCAATATATTTCTCAAAATTGTTATTTAAATTAGCCATGACAATGATGCAAAATCCCCTTGTTAAGCCAACCGTTGCTTCTCTGGCACCTATTTAATATCTACATTAATACATTTTCCTAACCAACTACACTTCATTTGGTTATGTGGTTAATGAATATTCAAACATTTGCAATCGTCGTATCTTGAAATGTACGAAATTGACAGATAGCTTAATTGTGGCCCGAGATACGACGGCGCAGAGTAAAAAAAGCGGAATTTCCCCGCCCGAAGCCGGATTTGGCTTTTGTGCTTCTCCCATAACACGACAATGTCATAGATGACATATCTTTGTTTTGCAATAAGTTTTCGTCTAATATGTATCTGGGCTTCGTATGTTACCAGATGCTATTGTAATGTCGCCCGTATGCTTAATGTACTTTATATATGATTGCGGGTGCTATTTACTGCCACTCTGTGTAAACATGACCTTTGTGTACTCGTACGTGTCCAGGATATATCACCGTGGTATCTTAATTACTGTGGGACAAAAGAATGGTTTATGGTTATATATAGCAGTAAATGGTTATTGACTGTGGTAATATACAACAGTAAAAAGTTAATAACGGTGGTAACATATAAAAGTAAAAAGTTGTATACATGCAATGTGGCATAGTATTATTGCATGGAAATGTGGGGGACATGATTACCGGGTTCACTTTTACTGTGTACATAATGGTATACCATGGTATATCGAGAATATGTTCTTCTGGACGTGGCTATGAGTAGGATAGTAATTTGTTGCGTAATAGGTGTTGTATACAAGTTACTTTAAAATTAGAAAATTACTATGTAGAACTGTATTTATGTACGTGCATAACATATTTTACTGCAATAGGTAGATATACATCTGTATTATCTAACTATATACATGTTTATATAAATATATATACATATGTCTGTAAGTCTAATATACAACCTTTCTACAGCTACAAATACAACTATAACATGCTTTTGTACATTTCCCTATGTCATATTACAAACGTGCTATTCCCCTAACTACAGTAATGTAAACAGTCGCAGTATGAAGACATTACATTAATCAAATACATTACTCCTTCGTATCTTCGCGCCCTGTTTAATTACTGCACTTTAAATGAAGATAGCTGTATGTCGTATTTAAATAGCCATATATATATGGCTATGTGAATACGTGGGGAAACGTGTTATGATTCCTATATTTATATGTGAACACAGCATGACTTAACGTATACGAACGGGGTGTTCGAAACACGATTGTATGTGTGCAAATCGTATGTTCAAAAGAGTACAGTTTTGTGGTGATAGTAAGTATGGTAGATTCCTTTTGCCCATCTATACTATCGCAATAAAAGTATCTAGATGTAGACATAGATTGAATGTATTATTGTCTTGTGTATACCACAAAAACAATAAAAAGGCACAGACATATATTGGATATTGTGAATGATTGTCATATTAATCTTTTGTTTTCTTGGAAATATTACAAAAATAGCGTATTGTACTGTCAAAAATATCATATACTACAATATATATCTAATTGCAATATAAATATACTTTTCTTCTTTTTTGAGAATTGAGTTACTATGTAGTAGAGAAGATGCTAGTAGCAGTTATAGTAAAGATGTTTAAATTTATCACACATATATTTAGTTCTTGGTACACTGAGAATTATCAACAAAGTAAACATATCATGTACGTACCTTACCCGAATTCAAACTTTAATGTTTTTACCTTTTACTCAGTAGAAATTGCACTGTAAATACTTTATACCAAGTTCAATTCTCCATTTCGTCGTATTTACCATTACACTCTTACCACATCTACACACTCTTACTACCCCCGTGGCGTGTAATCCGCAACCAAGATTAATTAACATTGACGAGTGTTTGCAGAATAAAAGGCTGTGCCCTGAGGCTGATCGGCTAATCCTTTTATGGGATGCGCACCGAGCAGCGGCCGCACCAGCGTGGCCAAGGATCACACCGAAAATGGGGCCGAGCCCGAACATGACCCCACCACCAAGCGCGTCCTCATGCACACGCCGGACGTCCGGCAAGAGGTCGGGCCGGGCGTGTTGTCGGTCAGCAACGAAGAACAACAGGTCGTCATTTTCATTTTTGGTACGTTTGATACTGTTTTGTTGTTTGAAATGTTTAGATTTAAGGTTTTGGCTTCGAGTTAAGGTTTTTCAAGTTCAAGTTTAGAAAATACAGTGGAACTGCTGTATAATGAATTGTGCTTAATAACCAAAAAAACTCGTTATAACGACCAAAAGAATCTTTTTTGTATCGTAATATGTACGCAATTCACACTTTACACTCACTTTTCCCACAAACGTTAAATTTCAACCCTCTAACGTGTCCTTTAATTATCAGTGGGTTGTAGACATTAATCATAGCGTAAAGTTACATTCTTGTGCCCTTTAAAAGCCCGTATATTAGTTTTATTGCCAAAAAATATTCGAATACCAAAATCTATTCGTCCTCAGGGAATTTCGGGTTTTTCGAATTCCAAAAATAAGATAATACGGACGTATACACGACGGGAGATGTGTGTAACAATGAAAAGAAATTGTTATTCAAAAAAGATATATTTTTTCGATTTTTAAGTTTTGAAATCAATTTAATATTTTTTTATTTAAGCCAATTTTAAACTTCCAAATTCAAATCTTAAAATTGAAATTTTATTGTAATTTTTTAAGTCGTTCAAATAATTATGCGCCCTCTCACAAAAGTTATTTTTGGGGTTTGGGGCACAGGCCTATTTGAACAACCTAATAAGTTTTGCAACAAGGAAGTTGCCGTCCGTCCAAAGACAAGTTCCTTATGCGAAGCCAACCTTACAAAACCTCCTCCAGCTTTACAGTATTGTGAAAGTTGTACATATTTGTCTTCAAATGTTTAACTGCGTCAATTTTTGCGACGTCGGATTAGGCCAGAATTAAAATGGCCATATATCCAAATCTAACATCCCAAAACAAGAGATCGTATTTCCTGTCTTTGACGTAAAACACACATATGGTTTCTCTAAAGCAGATGACCGTAAATAATTTCACATAACGTGTAATTTCATCCAACAAAACAATCGTTCTTCTCTTAATCACATTTTACAGCGAAACAAAGGTGACATACCAAGAAGCACAGGTTTTTTATTATGTTACGGCTTTCTTATTATATTAGGCCATTGTTTTTATTGCCATTATGATATGTTAGAGCAATGTTTATTTGTTTAAACATTAATAATAAGATACAAAGAGATATCATATGTTAAATTCACAACTATAATATTTTAAAGTAGAAGAAACCAATTAAAGCTATAATTATTACTTTTAAAAACTTAATTACCAGAAAATTTCCACACAATATATAATTACAACTTTCTTAATAATCAATAATTAAAACGTTTTCAATAAAAACTGTCTTAACCTTGCTAAAACCTCAAATTGTATGTTAAGATCTTAAATTATATGTTAAGACACTCGATTTCAGGAGGTCCAGGAAGCCAAAAAGGCCTAATAACCCAAGACTTGGCTCACGAATTCGACTTTATCACGATAAGCGTCGAAGACATTGTCTTTTCCTATCTCCCGAACAAAGTCGCCAACACCGTGACAAACACGGTGGAAATGCAACAACTATTAAAACGCGACCAGAAAGTGATCAATTTGGACTGGATCATGAACATGATCAGTGCCAAACTCTCTACTTCAACTAGTCAACGGTTTATTATCGACATCGTGCCCGAATTAAACTCCATGTTGAAGACGGACGGATTTCGGACGGGGAATCACGATGAACAACTTGAGAATTTTGACAGACGAGTAAGTTGTAGTAGACAGGTTTATAACAAAGCCAATCACTGAAAACATAAAAACGATACATTTGAAGGATAAGATCCAAGGGACAAAGCTCAAAAATGGAAATAAAAGCGAAAAGAATTTCGGAAAGTTGTGTTTTTACCTGTATCTTGACGGAAGTAATTTTAAATTAAACTGACATTAGTTAAATAAACAAATTAATAAATTTTAAACTTACATTTAATATCACAGACGAAATATTAGCGTAAAACAAATTGAATTCACAACAAGCAAAATAATTTAGGAAAAATAATATAATATAGGAACGTAACGCCATAACCGTCGTTTTCGTGTCAAGAGACGAAGAAAGTCGTTGTGTGAAAGTTTTGCAGATTTTTAGACCTTAAACTTGCCAAATCTTAATTTTAAAAGAAATTTACTTTTTAAAACTCCAATTTTCAAACAATTTTGATGATTGAAACTTAAACTTGATAAGCTTTTACTTTTAACGTAATATCGTTTCAGCACCACGTAGCCTTTGCCTTAGACCTATTCATATCAGAAGAGAGATTACTATTGGACCGGAAACCAGAAAAGAACAGTAAAGACAAGAATGCTGATCCTTCGAAGGAACAATTGAGTCCCGAACTTACGGCTTACATGAAAGGCATAGATGAAGCTGATAAAGGAAGGCTGGAGAAGAGATTAGAAGCGTTTCATCGCTGTTCAGCGCCATTTTTAAGTTACTTTAGAAAGACGGATCGAGTGGTACGATTGGATATGAAGGTGCCCGGCAATCCGGGCATCATGCAAGCTGTGCGACAGACCTTCACAGACTTTGGCTATGCCAGGAACAACGACTTTATCCGGGTTGTGCTGTTTGTTATGAGTCAGTTTTCTGATTTTGTGTGAATTTTGTTCAAAACATTTTGAGTTTCATAATTAGGTAGCATAACTTTTAATATTTTGGATTTTTAAAACGTCTTTTTTTAAATTTAGACTTTTTTAGACGAACGCCAGATATCTGACATCGACCTACCATACTATCGGCTACGTAAAGTACGGTTGTCTGACGTATGTCATGATACAGATGAGACGTTGAGTCAGCAAATACGATCGCTACGTAAATTCATTTATCGTACGGCGAAGCCCAATGAGAATATACTTGTAATATTGAACTGCCTTAACAACACCGATTACCCTCCGGCGAAACGGATAAACTTTATCGAAACTAAGCAGACCTACCTTGATTACTACATAAAGAATAGGGAGAGGAGAAGCCCTAGGGGAAGGTAAGGTTCTGTTCCTAGTTATTTTTTATAAAATTTAATTTTAAAAATTAATTTTAAAATTTCAGATGTAAAATGGGATTCCGCGCGATAACATCAACGATATCAGAGACCTGCCTCTTCCCCGACACCATGTCGTCCAAGTTGTGTATGAAGATTGGCTACATCTTTGGTGAAAAGCTGTCGTGGAGTGAGAGCGGGTCGAGAGCACCGTCTCAACTCAGCAACGGCCTTATCGACATGTCCACCTCACCGATGCCACCCATCGAAGAATCGCCCAGTTGACAATTAAGCACTGTGCAAGCGCGCACGGAGAACAGACTCAACGTACACCAACATCACCATTCACCTTGGTCGAGGCCTAATTCGGTCTCACCGAGTCCAGAAGTCTGAGTTTTGAAGCTGTGTTTGTGCAGTGCAATTTTAGCCGACGATGTTGATTTAGTTTTAAAATTTGGAATTTTTTAAAATTTAAAATTTTTAAAATTAGTTCACTTGTCGACTCCAAAAGCTTGCCTTTGATTTTCAGGTGTGATCTTTTGTATGATCAGCCTTCTACGAGTATTACAGAAAGTTTTGTCATGCTTTTTCTTATTGAATGGTCTTGACAAGGCGCTCCGTATATTAATGTGTATTTTATGACATTTCTAAACCCGGATCTCTAATCAATAAAGAACTATAAGTCTTTTTACTTTGCTTTATTTACTTCAATTTAAGTTTTTTTTGAAATAGACAATACTTATTTGTTGCGTTAAAAGACGGTAGTACAATTAATTAGGGTTTTCTTGTACTTTAGGGCACAGCAAACACCTTAAATGATGTGCTTGTAGACGGTGGAGCCGGCTGGTGCTGGGTGTTCTGGTTCAACTGGGTAACTGTCTGGAGCTGTGGAGGGTGGGACAGCTTCGGCATCCTGAAAGCAACAAGTAGTTTATATATGGATTAAATTCGAGTTAAATTTGAAAAACAAGCACAGTATTATGGTATACTCAAGTCATCTTGTTTTAGACCTTTTATAACACTTAAACCAAGTTTTAATCTAAAATCAGTTTCCGATTACACTAGAGTTCATAAGTTTACAGTATCCTACAACATTACCTCAACTTTTACTTCAATATAAAGCCATATATTACCGTATCAAAGTAACTTACTTTGTTTTGCCTGTAGGGAGCACCATATTGTTGTGGTGAAGGTGGGTCGTAGTTGCCTGGGGCTTGGCCATACCATGGAGTTCTAAAAGGTATGTAGTAGGCCCTGCGAACACGGTAGTAATGTCCTGCAGCTGCGTCGTTTTTCACATCGTTATCCTCATTTATCGAATTGTCGTGAGCACAAGCGACGGCGGCTACGGCCAAAACACACAAAACCCAGCGGTTTGACATGATCAATATAGCGACAATTCACTTTTATCGACGTTTAAATCTCCATGATGATAATTCGATACTTTGCGACGCTTTTATATTAGAATCGAAGACGCCCCTTAGGCGATAATGTGCCTGTTTTGGGATTACTCATATGTTGAAAGATTTGTTTTACTGTATGGCCAGAAAAGGCACTGTTTGACTCTACAATGTGATTTAGACAATATAATCAATATATGAATTGATTTCAATTAGTAACTGTGTTTCAAAATAAGGGTTTTAATTAATTTTAAAATTGGTTTTTATTGTTTTAAATTCAATTTGAACAAATAACAGCTACAGTAAGAATCACTTTTAATAGTGTTCATTTTTTCGAAATTTAAACCTAAAAATGAAGAGAAATTCAGGTAAAATTTTTATCATAGGTTTGCAGTAAATGTAAAAATTTTGAATTTTAATGTTTATGCACAACCTTTTTTGCACTTTTTTGGATTTATGCTGTTTTTCTTCTGTGGACTTTAATAAATATTAAACTGGTCATAAGCTTTTAAACATAGACCTATTGTCCGATTCCATCGGATCGTCCAGATTGGACTCTATTTTTATATTTTTCTCTGTCTCTAAAATATTATTAATTGATGTAAAGTGACACTTGACTCCAAGTGTCATGTCTTTCTCTTTGTTGTTTTCCTCAAGTTCTCGATGTTTCTGCGCGTCTATTTTGGACTTTGGACACGAATGGTCGTGCCAAAGACGATAGATGACAAGTCGAGGAGCTGAGAGGATTTGGGAAAACAGGTTGTTGAAATTGCTCGTAATTTGAGGATAGGTTGGTTTATATTTGTGTTCTCTAAATAAAGTTTATTATCTAATTTGATGGATATTATTCTAGAGACTAAAACGCCTATTTCTCTACGATCAGATACTAATATTTATTCGTTTATTGGTCCTAATTGCTTCTAGGTAGAATAAGGACGAGATCCTTCGTCCGCGAGACATTGTGAAGCCAAGCTCCGATTCCGTGGACGTCAACTCCCGCGGAATTGGACACCTATAATATTATATATAAAACAAATGCGGTTTTTCGACATTTACGAATTTTTTAAATAGTTTTTTAAAAATTTTTTAGTTAACGGTTTTAACATAACTGTACCATTTTGGGCTTTTAGTACTATTTAGTACTAAAAATATAAAAACAGTACCAATTTCAACTTTAGTACCATTTAGTACCATACTACAACTTAATTAACTAAAAGTTTTAAAAAAATCATTAAAAATCCGAAAATGTCCAGAAACCGAAGATCCGCAAGTGTCTAAAAACCGCATTTGTCCTACGGTAAAATCCGATTTTATTATTAGTGCAATTTAAAGGTTAACCAGTTACAGCACACTGAAAACGCTCACTTTTATTTTAGGTATTGTCTCTTGAAGGCAAAGAATTCTATTTTTGTACAAATTGTTTCGATGGAGGCGTAAAAATGCATTTATTAGATAAATGGACGTTTTTTAACTAATTTATCCACATTGTCTTGCAACAATTGCAAAAAAATCAAAGAGACGCGAGGGGCGTCGAACTTGCCGCCTTTTGCACTTCCAACAAACTGCTTCATTACTAGGCCAAATCGCAATACTTTTTATACAATTCATTTTGCACACAATGGAAAAGACTAAAGCCAATATTTTAAGGTGTAACATCTTGCTAGCGAAAGGCGTTCATCCAAAAAATAAAAATCATTAAAAAAATTTTACTTAATAAAAATTTAAAATTTTCTAGAGCAATGTCATAGCTATCACCTATGTGATGTCAACTAGACCTGTAACAACCCCCGTCTGTGCCGATTGGGCTTCTTTTCAGCAGTATTTTGCCGAAGTGGTTTGGTCCAAAGGCTTTTAGGCCTAACTCCAACAAAAAGCGTCCAGATATTTAAATAATTATAAAACTTTATTACCACGACAATTTAATACAGTAGAAAGTAGAAGAAGGGTTTACTTGTACTTTGGGGCACAGCAAACACATTGGTTGATGGGCTTGTAGACGGTAGAGCCGGCTGGGGCTGGGTGTTCGGGTTCCACTGGGTAGCTGTCTGGAGCCGTGGATGGTGGGGCAGCTTCGGCATCCTGAAAGCAACAAATAGTTTATATTTGAATAAAATTCGAGGTAAATTTGAGCACGAAAGTATATTATTACGGTATATAAAAGTGCTTTAAATTTAAGACTTATATAGCACTCAAAACAAGTTTTAGAGTCGAAAGTTTCGGATTAAACCAGAGTTTAAAATTTACAGTATACTACAACATCTTCACCTTCAATATAAGAACCTACATTACTGTCATAAAGTAACTTACTCTCTTTTGCCTGTAGGGAGCACCATATTGTTGTGGTGGAGGTGGGGCACTACCGTATCCAGCTGGTGGTGGTGGGCCTTGGCCATAACCTGGTTGTGGCGGTGGTGGACCATAGTTGCCTGGTGGTGGTGGAGCTCCATAGCCAGGCTGATGACCGTACGAGTCGTCGGAGATTGGAGCTCCAGCACCTCCGGCAGTTGGGTTGGCTGGGTCGAAGGCGAAGATGGCCGAGATGATGTCATCCTGAAAATGTAAAAAGTCGATTGAACAGTGTAAATATAGAAAACCTATAGTAAAGTTGAGGGTTGACTATAACAGATTCCCTAAAATATTGTAAAAAGAATATTTAATTGTAAAAACCGTGGTAAAAACGAGGTTTGACTTGTAAAACCATGGTAAACTGACCTTGTTGGTGTAGGCAGAACGAGCGACGACTTGGCAACAGAAGTGACAGGCTTTGTCGGATTGGGCGGCCGAGAATCGACAGTACTCTCTGATGTATTTACGGTTGCGTTTGGTCGGTGGTGGAGCGTAGCCTTGGTTTTCAGCGTTGTAGTCGCCTGGGGCTGAAATTTTAAAATAAAAAATTTTAAATTGAAAAAAAAATTCAAAAGGTTTTGATTGGACCAAACTAATTTTTTTATTTAAAAAATTTTAAATTTTGATTAATTAAACTGAAGAAAAGATTGAAAACTGTGAAACGATAACATCCTTCAACTTACCAACGTCTGAGAATGTCAAGGCGAAGGAGCCATGGACGGAACAGTAATGGGCTAGAAAAGCAATCAATACGGTAAGTTCAAAAGTTTTAAAAAATTGAAACCTCAGCAAATTTTGTTTATTTTTTAATACGAAAGGTACTGTAATAAATTCAATCTTTTTGTCACGTCAGTTCGAAACTTTTGTCTTTAAAATGTGGTTTTCCACTTTTACTAGCCATTAGCGTATTGTAACTCAATATTACAAGCGTAAAAAGCTGAAATTTTAAAGTTTCAAATATTAAATCTCCCTTATCTACACTTACTGTCATATAGAGGCTTGTAATCGAATGGAGCTTCGTAGTTGTACTGTGGAGGTCCATAAGGTGGGTAGTAGGCATTGCTGACACCGTAGTAACGTCCTGCAGCTGGGTTGTTTTTGACATCGTTGATATCCTCATTTGTCGAATTGTCGTGAGCACAAACGGCGACGGCTACGGCCAAGACACACAAGGCCCAGCGGGTTGACATGATCGATATAGCGAGAAGTCACCGTTCTCGACGTTTAAATCGGAACGTTGAGAAGCCGAGACTGTGCGGCGCTTTTATCTTTGAATCGAAGACGCCCCTTGAGCGATAACGGTTTTGGGATTACTCATACGTGGGAGGATGCGTGTTACAGTAAGATAGCCGAATAGCCCGTTTGTCATAATGTAGACAGTAATGAGCGGTCCACATCTGACAAAACTAACATTGTAAAGTTTCGGCAGTAAAAATATATATCTTGTTAAAGGTTCTTTACAAACAAAAGTTCATGTTAAATTACAAAAGTTTTAACCAAAAATAATTTTAATGACATTTAAATTGGTTTACATTGTTGCAAAACTTAAAGTGAAAGGTATAATCAACAACAAAGAAGGCAAGGATAAGATTGGTGTTAATATCGATGTTACACTTAAATTTAAAAAAAGCTTTGTTTTTTATAACAGTAACAGCTTTCTTGTCAAAAAAAAGTATAACGTTATTTTTTGTCAGTAAAATGAAGTTATTTTTTGTCAGTAAAATGACGTTATTTTTTGTCAGTAAAAACCATTTTTTAAATTATGTGGATAAAAAAACAATGATTGCTTCAAAATATTGCTCTAAATCTTTCGCAAATTACTGTTTTTAGCATAAAAAGTTCAAAATACAGTACTTTCAATCATTCCAATTTCATTTCATCATGCCCTTTGGCTCTCCCACGCATTCTGTGCATTTCCGAACGGTTTACAAAAAGGCTGCATTCCTTGTGGCCGAGAGACTTGGCCTTCCTTCCCACCCATCAAGTCCTTTAAAACCGTCGCCGTCCCATCGCAATCGCCGTATTTGCCGCCGACTCCACTCCGATCGGCCATCACAACACAACCATGCTCAAGTGGCTAGCCATCCTCAGCCTAGCAGTCCTGTTGGCACAGACGAGTGCTGAAGAAGAACCAGAGAGTGTGAGTTTAGGCAGTTTGCTTGGTAGGGAGTGAAAAGGTAGTATATATGAGTCAATTTTTATGAGTCAATGTTCTAAAACTTTATATCAATTTAGATATGAAGTTTTGGAGTTTGAAAAAGTTAATTTTTTAGTTTTTTTGTGAAAACATAACATTTAATTTTGTTCTTTTAAATAGTTTGAAATTTCTAAAAGACCACTTTTCAGAATGTAAAGAATGGCACAGCCAAAGGACATTACTATCCTCAACCGCCACAGTCGTACTATCCACCCCCACCACCATACAAAAGACCACGCAAGCCAATTCTGATTGACGGTAAGACATCATTTGTCACGCTATTTTTTGCAATTTCAGAATTTTTTCTTTAAATTTTCATTTTTAACATTAGGAATGAAACTATAGTAATTTTGTATAATACTCACGTTGTACTTACAATTCTTTCCCTATGTTATACTTTTTTCACGTTAGATTACGTTTGCGACATTGACGCTTCAATCTTGGTCGTAACCACCAAGCCAACAGACAACAACGGCTACCCAGCCCCTCCACAGAACGGCTACGGACCAGCTCCAGAAGCTTACGGTCAACCACAAGGTTACGGTCAAGGGCCACCACCTCCACCTGGATACAATAACCCACCTCCACCACAAGGCTATGGCCCTCCACCGCCACCTCAAGGTTATGGCCAAGCCCCACCACCACAAGGTTATGGCCAAGGCCCACCACCACCAGCTGGATACGGCAGCGCTCCACCTCCACATCAACACCAACCTGGAGGCTACCGTCAGAAGCGTCATGCGTACGGTAACGCCCCACCACCACCTCCACCACAAGGTTACGGTAATGCCCCACCACCACCAGCTGGATACGGTAACCCACCTCCACCACAGTATGGTTCTTCCCCAGCTCCACAACCATACGGACCCCCACCACCACAAGGCTACGGTGCTCCACCAATCTACGGTGCCCCACCAAAGCTCACCGAGCCTAAGGCTGACCGTCTTCGCTGTTCTGCCATTGCTTTCACATCGTTGAAGGATTGCCAGAAGTGTTGCCAGATCGCTGCCCGCAAAGACCAAAGCATTCCAAAGGTAAGAAAAGTTTTATTTTCTATGTTACCGTAGTACAAAGTTGTTTTTTTATCATTTGTAGACAAAAAATATACCTAATTTACATTATCTAACAGTTACAGTAAGACATTATAGATGTTACAGTACCTAACTTTTTAAAAATCAACTAGTTCTCCACAATAACTTTCATCTTTCAGTCCGACATCATCGGCTTCTTGCTCGACTTCAATCAACTCGACTTTGGTGGCGAAGCTCCGATCCCATCGTACGCTGGTGTCGCCCAACCTCTACAACACTACGGTGGTTCGGAGAACGGCGACTACGGCTACACTTCATCAGGCGACAACAAATGCGTGTGCTGTGCTCCAAAACGCAAGGTCTACGCTCCACCCCCACCATCGTACGGGCAGCCACAGCCAGGCTACTACTAAATCTCGTAATGTCTAAAGTAATTAAATAAATTTTTGTTTTAAAAGGTCAACTATAAATTTTGAATGATTTTAGTGAGAATAGACTTGAGTTAGGTTAGGCAACTTCGAATGCGGGTTCTATGGCCTAGGTTCAGACTTGTAAGATGAGTATAATTAACTTATAAGGAAGAGTATAATTAAAAAATGAACTACTTAAGTACAATCACAACTCATAAGACTAGTTTCGTAAGCTCCAATAGGTAGAACTGTTTATTGTCCTCTTAACCCTAATCCAAGAACCATACACCTAATCCATATTTAAAATCTTTTTTTGGAGGGCTATGAGGTATTTGTACAAGGGCGTGGTTTCTCGGTAAGCAAGCCCGGCCGGTTGAAGTTCTTCTTCAAATACTTTCGGCACGTGCTCGCGATAAAGACCGCTGATAACGAACAAGAGCTTGTCCATCGAATCTGAAAACACAAAGTTAAGTCACCAAAAGAAAATTTGCACACCCCCTAAAAACCACCCCTCCCCTTTTTTTCCTTATCAAAGCAACAAAAGAATCTAACATTGTGAAGCCACGAACTTGACGTTACCCACCAGGTCGACAACAACAATCCAAACTTCTGTTCCCGGCTCGTCCCGTCGTGTCCAGTGCACATTTACAGTTGGCAGATCCGAAGTTAATGTAGTTAACGTTGTAGTTGCACAGATACGTAAACTTCATGCTCGTCTGTGTCATACTGTAACTGGAATTATGGTAGAACAGTATCCCTCTGTCCAGCACAACTCGATCTCTAATTCGTATCGTCATATAATCCATTACCGTATCGTACCCATTGTAAAGCGCCGCAAGTGTAGGTTCTTCCACCAAAACATTGCTACTGTATGCCGTGTACTGAGGAGAGAATAGCTAAAAACGTACTCAATGAATAATACTTGTAGTACAAGTTCAATCTTCTAACGCTGTCTGTAATTTTAAAAAATATTTTTAATAAAGAGTGACATTTCCTCCCATATTGACTTACATAAGGCAAAAGCAGCTGATCCTGAATGTCTGGATTCCCAAATCCTTTGGCACAATGTTCTAATGCCTCCCGAAGCTCTCGGTTCCGTTGGATGTCATTGCATGGCTCGTCAGCTGATGTGAAACAACAACATTGACACGACAGTTCCCCCCTACAGAACTTCAATTGTACAATGTAAAATTAGGTATCAACAACACTCGTACTTAAACTTACATACGACGTGTTTCATAGCACTTTGTGTCTTCCGTCTGCTCTCTACAGTACTTATCATGATTAAAGTCGATATTCAGCTTAGACTTGGCATAAACATCAGCTAGATCTATTTGAGTAACGCCCGGTTTTACCACGTACTTGGCCACACATACTGCAGACCTTGTGCTTACAACAGAGCGCACGTCACTGTCATAACACGACCCATTCTGAAAACTGGTCAATTCAAATAAAGAGTTAGTTGAGTAGCTTACATGTTATAGAAATAAAGGTAAAGCAAGGTCAATGTATGATTTTTTTACCGCCAGCCTACCTTTACATGCTCGATAACGTCAGTATAGTTCCTGTTAAAATCAGGGCCGATATCACAATGTGTTCCATTACAACGACAACCCACACAAGTTACTATATCTGTTACACCCGGGATAAAAGAAGCATACAACTGGCAGTAATAGTCACTTTCCACATGTTTCGAAAAAGTCTAACGTACCAAATCTAAAAAAGTAAATTATTAACCAAGCTAATCCAAACTGTTCGTGTAGGAGGCTTAGCTTGTCTGAAAGACACCTCATTCCTCTAAACCTCAATTGAAAGAATTGTTCGTTTTTAGACATGCCAATCGCAAGTCTGATGCATTTATAACATTGTACCCTTACGCTCCGCAATTCCTTCCTCATTATATTCAACGTCCGCGTACAAAGTCGCACAAAAGCCAACCGCATTGTCATCGAAATAACCAATTATATATGTGTGATTACATTTCGTAAAAGCTGCGTAATCTACTGACAACATGACAGCCGACCCATTGGCATCTATGTTAAACACCGGAAACAGATCTCTCGTCAGCTTTGTCATATACAGCAAGGAGGGTTGTTGTTGACCTTTTAGCATATTTCTGGTGGCTACGACGTGTCGCTTAAATTTGAATATTTTTTTTTATTTTAAAGACCTTTCATTTCATTGTTTCAATTTTATCATACCTCGATTATATTTTAGTACATAAAAATTCATGTTTAACAAAATATATGCTTATTAACCTAATTTAAACACTTTGTTACCTAAAATAGAGAAATAATAAGTTTTATTGCTTAAAAATAAATTTTATTGAACAAATATTGTCGCGGCCTTATGTAAACGCAATGGCACATTTTTGTTTTTTATTTTTTTTAGCTTTTTGGGTGCAGTTCGTCCCTTAATCAAATCCCAACAATGTTCAAGTGCAAAATTAAAGCAACAGAAAAAGCCAAATTTGAAAAAACATCTTGAAAATAAAACAATCTCTAAAATCAATAAAACAAAAAACCCTACATCCAGGGATTGGGGGGGGTTTCGAGGTGACTCTCCCCCAGAGCCGGTCCGAAAAGAAAAACAGGTAGCTCCTGGACCTAAAAAATATTTTAAAACTTAACAAACAAATTAAAAAGTTTAAAATACTTACGTTTATTTCACCCTTAACACGTTGAAAAGTTTTTACCGCAGCATTAATACAATTGCCACCAACGCATAAGGCATAATCTACTTGAGGAGAACCAAGAAATCCAATTTCAAAACTTTTGTTTGATCTCATCATTTTCAAAATAAAAAGGCAATACTAAAATACAAAAATTTTAACAAGGAAAGTACCCGACCTGCCCCGCTCTGATTGACTTCTACCTTTTTATAAAATATAAATATAGAAAGATCATTTAAATGTAATGTAGTAATATTTAAAACATCGATACACACTACTTAAAATAACCATAAAAACCTTACATTATCATCAAACTGTAATATATCCGACCAAGCAATGTGGTAGAAGCGCCTCCACGACTGTCTTATAGAACTTAAGTTACCTTGCAAAACTCAGGTGCGTCCGCTTCAAACTTTTGCATATATTCGCGGTAATCAGGCCAACACCAGGTCGTCTCATTAATGTAGTTTTTGACGTCGGTATCCAGCTTGTAAGCCTTCAGCCACGTCCCATTACAGTATTGGTATATGATGGTGCAAGATGGGCTGTTGATCTAAAATGGCAAAAGTAAAACTTTAAGCAAATAAAGCGTTTCTAAAGCCTAAAGTCTTTAACTATTTTGTGGAAAATTTAGCTACTAAAACATTTTTGCGTACGTCATCTACTGTAACTTATAAACCATCTACCGTAACTTATAAATAACCTACTGTAACTTATAAACCAACTATTTTAACATATAAACCATCTACTGCAACTTACCGCACGACCAATTGGATCAAAACAATTGCTTTTGGTAGAACTCTCAATGCGATTGACCGGATAGCTTATCAGCTCCGCGACAATACTGTTCACGTCGATGCCGTGAGCAAACCATATGGATATAGCGATTAAAACGCATAATCTGTTCCTCATAGTAGTGGCAACCGCACAGTAGAAAGCAGGAGTAAAGAATGGCCACTTTCCGAATGACGTTTTTCATTTTGAAAAATGAATAAAGTCCAAAATTGAAAACTTTAAAAGTTCAGTCGGTTGTGAGTTTTTAAAATAAATTTTTAAATAAAAAAGTCCTGTCGCTGGCCAAGTCATTGGTCGGGAAGGGAAATCAACAAAGAAAATACGGACGCCACGAAGATTTTAGGCAATATTTGGAAAAAAATTGTATCAGTCTTTCCACTAAAGAATTACACAAAATCGCAAACCCCAATTTGGAGCAATCGCTGTCGCGCCGAGAATTGGGGGACATCGCGCGACATACAGCGAGTCGTGCGACATTCGCTTGCACCCTGCGACATCGAAATTGGAATTGCAATGTCGCAGGGTGCAAAGCTTTGCGACAAAATGTCGCGTCGCGATTCAAATAGCGATGCGACACCGTGTCGCGCTTGTCGCAACGCTCAAGCTACCAATGGAAGGTTTGCGACAAGTTTCTTTTGGTAGTCGCAAGTCCCTTGACTTCTGCGACAACCGACTGGTGCGACAATTGGGGGCTTGCACTGTGCAGTCTTCCCATCATCGCTTGGAGTTGCAAGCGATCGCGGGGGAATCTGCACAGTGCAGTGGAATAAAAAAGGGCGCGATTTTCCCAGAGACTGCACTGTGCAGGGACATTCTTTTCGGGAAAGACTGATAAGAAAAGAAGAGTCCTGCAACGAAAATTATCAATGCTAACTTGTTTTTGGCATTTTGCAAATAAATTTTAATTTTTTTTTCTTTTTTTATATAAAAATTTTCGGCCATTATTTAAAAAGTAGGCGAGCGTAGACGAAGAAACGGGCCCGGCCCAATTTTCAGGCCCGGCCCGTTTTCTTTTTTCCTCAGGCCGGCCCGGTCAGAAAATTTCTAAGCCCGGCTCGGGCCGGCCCGTTTTAAAAAATTTTAAAAATCATTTATAGATCATAGTACCTAATAAAATGAAAAGAGACCAACGGGGATTGAAATAGAAAATTTAAAAAAAAAGAATTTTTTTTTGGGCTCGGGCCCAATTTTCAAGCTCGGTCCGCGGGCCGGGCCTAACTCTCAGGCCCGGCCCGTTTCAATTTTAGCTCGAGGCCGGCCCGGCCCTACCATCAAAGAACAAAAAAAATAGACGGCCCGTTTCTCACCCCTAGACATGGTAAAGTAAGTTTTCTTCATAATGCTATAAGAGTTGAAATTTTTTAAATAATTTTGGATCAATAGTCCTTATCTGTTGAAATCAGATATATTCGGAATGGAAACTTTAATTTATTCAATTGGGCATTTCTGAAAATAAGTTTAGACTGACATACACAAAAATGGATTGGGTTTACAAGCAACATTCATTCAATGTTTTTTGTTTAAAGACATATGTTGTAGTAGACAGAGTATAAGGGTCCTTTTCATGAATAATTATACTTTTAGCTTGAGAATGATTGTTATTATTTACTTTACCATAATTTTAAATATCTTTTTTAAATTTTAATATTATTTGTTTAGTGTTGCTTTAATGAACGCAAACCTATTTTGGTATATAGATACGTTGACTCAGTAAACAATATCATCAAGGCGTTCTTTAGCGTAGGACTGCAGCTCTTATCAGTAAATTTATAATGAACTCTAGCAAAATAAATAATTTCTTTTTAAATTCTTTGTCCAGCGACTTTAAATTAACCTTTAATATTAATTGTCTTTTAAAGTGGTTGAGGAGGTATGAACGAGGTAGAAGATGTTTGTAAAGTAAGCTTCATTTAAGTAGTGTAAAGAAGTTATCTTAGAGCTTTCGAATTATATTTTAGTAACATGAAGGTTGATATCAAAAGCTTTAATACTTTAAGGTTAATATAAAATGCCACCTTAATGTTTCAGATATGTGGCGACAAGCCGATTGGATTTAACTTTGGCGTAATTACATGTGATTCTTGTCGCTCCTTCTTCCGACGTTGTAATGGAGCTGAAAAAGTAAGTTAAAGCAATATTATTTTAAATTTTTAGGTAGACCAAACATATTCGTTTCTTCACTTTCTATATCCAGCTTTCTCAATTATAATATCGGGTCTTCTCAATTATATTATAATAACTTCCAGGCTTTAAAATGTCCATTTCAAAGCAATTGTGTCATTACCAAAGAATCGCGACGATGTTGTCAAGCTTGTCGGCTTCAGAAGTGTTACATTGTAAGTGTCTTGCTTCTAAAACTATTTGTTTTTGTCTATTATAACATTGAAAAGAAATCAAAGTTCATGTCGTTTTATATTAAGAAGGGCATGGTGCACGATGAATCCAGTCGAAAGCGAACTTTAAAACCACCCAAAGAAGCCAAAAACAAGTCTTTGAAGATCGTTAAGTCAGAAGCATTTCCTCAACTGAAAACTGAACCATTGGCAAGATCTCAAGCTCGTTGTCTTTGCAAATGCCAATGTAGATTCTACCCTCCAGATACACCTTTAGTAGCAGCTGTAGATGTCTGGTCATCGTACGACGCTTCATATTATCCATCTAGTACTAAACAAGTCAGTTCGTTGGAAGATTCATCATTTTTTGACCCAAAAATATTGTTATCAAGCGGTACAAGGAATTTAGCTAATAACGGTGCATCTGATTTATCACTTCTGCGTGGTAATGACTATAATTCATCTATTACAACTCGTCTACCCGTAATTACTACGGCAACAACTGAAGGTGCAACTAATGATATACTACAACATCAAGAACTGCCAAGAAGTTCAAAAGTTGATCAAAAGGTATCACCGGCAACTGTTTTGTCTCCAAATCTATCGCCATACCCATCTATTACATTACCATCACCAATTAATGTGCCTACGGTAACATACTCTTCTCCAAGCAAATCTTCGATGTCTACAACAATATCATCTACATTATTAAGTGCTCCATCGCTCCAAGCGTCTACATCATCTACAGCTAGTGCTTTTAAGAATCAGCTACCAGCTTCAGAATTAGAATTATCTCAGTTTTTGAATTCTTCTCAGATCTTGAATTCTTTGCGTACTATGAACAGTGGTACTATGGGTAATGGTGCTTTGAATAGTAGTACCACTAACCAATCACAGACCAATTATCCTAATGACTTTGACCCGAACGCATTACTCAATATTAACTATGCTAACGCAATTCAGAATTCTCCTTTACTTTCTACACTTCCGAACTTCTACGCCAATGCGCTGCAGTACCAGTCTTCTGAATCTTCATTTCAACATCTGTCTCCAATGCCCAGTACTAGCTTTTACGATGCGTTAGAAACTCAAAACAGTAATGGAACTGCAGTAGTGTTGGACGAGGAGAATCAGCTTCTGATGGACGAGTTATTAGAAGCCAATGGGATTCTGAAGACACCGATGGAGTTACAGCTACAAGATATTGAGAATCCAGAAGAATTACCGTTAAAGACGGTAGTGAGGATAAGTGATCTGGCTATGAGAAGGATAATATCAATGGTGAAGCAGCTGAAGTTGTTCAGAAGGACGAGCTATGAGGACAAGATTGCGCTGCTTAAAGGTAAAATGTTGTAGTAGGTATATGTGGTTGCAAAGTATATAGAAAGTCAGTATAGATACTGATTCTTTAAAATTTGTTTATTTCGTAAACAAATGTTTTTATTTCTAGATATTTTTTGACCTATAGCTGAGTATTTGATACTATAATATAAACTTATATGATTTTAGCATTAGCTATACTATTTTTAGGCGGCTTGTCTGAGCTTCTAATCCTACGTGGTCTAATGGTGTTTGACCCGCGTAAGAACGCGTGGATTCACAATATTCATTCTGGCAGCCAACTGATCAGCCTGCATGTTGATGTGCTTAAGAAGACTCCAGAAGAAGAACATTATGATGCCCATATAAGGTTTCTCACCTCTTTCGATGACGAATGGCGACGAAATGAGTTTGTCATGCTGATTTTAAATGGCATTCTATTGTTCAACCCTAATCGACCTAATATACGGTAAAGTAGTTTGAATTTAAAGGGTGTTTTTACTGAAATTTTGTTAATTTTAAAATAAAAAAAGAAAAATAGGTTTATATTATGTTATTAAAGCCTCAATAGTAACAAAAAACACTTTAGAAACAAAGAACAGATTCAGGCGTCAAGAGTCATGTACATAAACTTATTGAAATGCTATTTGGACGGGTTTTGTGGTGCAAATAGGTCGAGTGAAGAAGCTTTCAACAACTTACTAGCCAAGCTAGATGATTTGACCGAGCTGAACAGGTCATTACAGAGAATATACCAAAGTTTGAATCCTGATGATCTAGACCCCTTACTCAAGGAATTGTTTGCGGACAATAAATAGAACTTCGCTCTAGGTATACCTTCTACAATATAATAAATTGGTGGCGTTTTGGGGTTTAAGCATTCTAGTGCTAATATCTTTTTTTTACTCTGCTTAGCTTTAAACTTAACTTTTAAATTTAAAAAGCTCAAGACATGAATTGTTTGTTTAAAGTTCAAATTTTATAAATTGCAGTAACGTCAGGTTTACTACAGTAGTTAAAATTTTTTTAACATTATTAACTTAGACTTACAGTGCAAGCTTAGATATACATCACTCACTTAGATTTATAGTACGGACTAAAGTTCACAGTACTGACTTCGATTTACAGTACTGGTTTAGATTTACAGTACTGACTTAAATTTACAGTACCGACCGTAACTGTTTCCCACTGTGAACACTTGCCTTCCCTTTTAAATCCCAAAATTTATTCGTTTTGTTTCTTCTTTGATCGAACGCATCAAAAATTCGAATAGAGGGTTTTAAAAAGAACGGCGTGTTCCGTTTTGCCAGATTGTTGTGTTCCCCGGCCATTATAATGACAAAACAGTTAAAAAGAGGTACGGTACGTTGAAAACGTGTGATCCGAATTTTAGAATCGCACTTTGTTTTTGTGGAAACCGGCTGGTTTTAAGGGCAGGGCGTCTGAATATCCGTTCATTTTGAGGTTGAATTTTAATTAAATACGGGGAATTTTTAGAAAATTGTAAGGTACTGTAATATAGTTTATAAAACTTCGATGTACGGTAATATAAAAGATATTTTTTGAATATTGATGTAGTAGTAAATTTATAAATATTAGGTTGTTCAGATAATTATATGCCCCTCTCAAAACGAATTTTCGGGGTTAAGAGGCACAGAATTATTCGAACACCTAATAAAAAAACTAATCATAGACTTGTAAAATTAATAATATTTTTAGGTAAAAGTTACAGTATGGATGACTTTGACATTGTGGCTTTCCGTAGTCTTGACAAAGTTCAGCCGGCTGGCAATGTCCGTGTTCCGGAAGAGCAAAAACGGAACGTTCACGGCTTTTTCATCAAATATTTTCTTCAAGGTGCGTTTATTAAACTCTTCTTGTATTAAAACACTAAAATCTGATTAGAATCTGGAGAGAAACTACTATAATATCAGGTTTAAAAGTAACAAAGCTTGGCAAGGTTTTTATAAATTATTAAATTGGTGAAGCTGAATACTTTAAAGTGGTTTAATTTTAAATGTTTTTCTTTTTTTTTATTTTCAAAATAATTTTTTTACCTAATACCTACTATTTTATTTTATACTTTTCAGGCCAAAACCTTGAGGATCATTTGAAAGTGCAATTGAGTCAAAACGAATGGCAGAACCAGTCGTTCCACGAGAAGTATCGAAAGTATTTCGCGTTGTTGTTGCCGTTCCTCTTCTTTCACGTCTGTTGGTGGCCATTGGCTTTGAAATACGATGTTTTGTCACTCTATTACACTCGGTATGAGCTGCCAGTTACTATGATTTTTGGATCTTTTTTGGCTGGTAAGTTATCGCGATATTATCAACGGTTCCAACTTATATAGAAAAAATATAACTTTTTGACTATAACAACTTTAAGGTCGTATAACAAACTTGTCGTTGTAAAAAGCTATGTTTTACATAAATAATAGCGTATAGTATAGTAAATACATTAGTAAATACCAAAAGTCACAATCTATTGTTTAATTCTCTAGGAGCGACATCAGAAGGCGGTGGAGCCGTCGCTTTCCCGGTTATGACACTACTTTTGAAGATTGCGCCAAAAGTTGCTCGCGACTTCTCTCTGATGATTCAGTCTTGTGGCATGTCAGCATGTTCTTTCACCATCTTGTACATGAAGATCAAGTTGGAATGGCATTCTATCATCTGCTGTAGCTTTGGCGCTGCCGTATCTGTCATTTTTGGATTAGAGTATTTGGATGATATTATTGACAGTAAGTTAGTTAAATGTTTTCTTAGTCGTTCTACTGCGAGATTTGAGGATAAAGAATAAGAATATCTTTAGATCCTCTTTTATATACATCACGTTTGCAGACCAACAGAAGAAGATGATCTTCGTGTCCATCTGGTTTGCCTTCGCCGTCTCCTTGTTCATGTTGAATCTCCAGAAGAAGCGACAGACTTTTGATCAAATCCCGAATTTCACAATTTACCATGCCATCGTATTGGTCATTACTGGAATGTTTGGTGGTCTACTGAGTGCTTGGACTGGCTCTGGAGTTGATATTTGTTCCTTCTCGATCCTGACCTTGTTGTTCAGAGTAAGCGAGAAGGTGGCTACACCAACATCGGTGGTTCTGATGTGGTTGAATACGTGGGTGGGATTCTACTGGCGATATCTGATGCAGGGTGACATCAGTGGAATGGCTTGGGAATATTTTTCGGTACGTTTGAATACTTTTTATATTATACTTAAACTGTATTTTAAGATTGGTTTTAAATCGTAAAAAAGGTCAAAAAGTTCATAGAAAATAGAAAAAAGCGGTAGGAAAGTCTAGAAGAACCCGCGATATATTTTTAGTGTAAAAAGGGTCATATTTGATGATGACACTTTCCCTGAACATACTTTAGGTGACCGTACCAGTAGCAGTCACGATGGCACCATTAGGCTCACTATGTGCTTCATTTCTGCATCGTCAGGTGTTGGCAGGCTTCATCTACATCTTGGAGACGGTAGCATTACTCGGGTTCTTGGCTACAAGGCCATGTTATGTGCTTGTTATCACTGGATTTGGCATCATTTGCGTTTCGTAAGTTTTTTATTGATCGTTTTTTCGATTTGAATTTAAAAAAAGTAAATTCAAATCCATTCTGGCAGCCAACTGATCTTGTCCTTTTATATTTTTCAAAGATCATATCATAGTAGCTAGAGCAGGGAAGCTAGCCATTAGTTCGGGTGAGGACAGAAAGGGCGGGGTACGAGTGAGAATGGGCGGTAAATCAGTGCTTGTTTAAAAAAAAGGTGAGGGCATGGATTTAGAATCTCCTTGGATCTGTTTTTCGGATCGAGCCTTCTGAATCCAGGCCTATCCTCCCCGAGCTATTCGTTATACGGAGGGTCCACTGTAATTATTTTGAAGAATTGAACACCACACAGTAAAAATATTGCTTTCTAGAAGCATTTTCTTTCTTGTCATCATCAAAATTGGTAAAATTTTATGCGACAAAGTTGAAAGAGGTTCTGCGAGCTTCGAAGCGCCATCATCTTCTGGTTCCACCAACTTTACTGTCGAAAAGGTTGTATTTTAACGTTTATTTTTTTAGATTACTGTATTGTTTACTTACATTACTCTAATTACAACAGAATTTTGTATAAAACCTTATCATTCTTACTCTTAATGTATAATCCATTATTTTTTTACATTATATACATCAAGCTTAAGGTACTATTAATATAAATCAAGTTAAAGATACTATTATGTACATCCAGCTGAAGATACGTCGACAAGCTATAAAAACTTATCTGCCTAAAATAAAATCACATATGAATATGGTTTTAAACTGAATCTTGCCCAATAATCACTTCCAAGTTATCTCAAATTATTTTATTTGAATAATTATTAAACATAAGTCACACAGTACTTGAAGTCAACTTTAAAGGCACAGAGGGTTCTTATCATCAGATGAGCAATTTAAATTCAAATCTATTAGGTTGTTCAGATAATTCTGTGCCTCCTCTCAAAGCAAATCTTCGGGGTTGGGGGGGGGGCACACGATTATGTGAACAACCCAATATTATAGTTATTCAGTAATGTAATCGGATCGTATTTGAAAAAAGGTAGGACAAAAGGACGGACGATAAAGTGAAAATGAGTGTAATGATGATAATTAAATTACAGTAAACGTTAAAAAGATTACCGTATAGTAACCAATTCAAAAACCAGGATTATCAAGCTACGATTATCACATTCTTCAAAGTACTATTATTTTAGGTTGTTCAACAAATTCTGTGTCCCTAACTCCGAAAATTTGCTTCGAGCGGGAGCACTGAATTATTTGAACAGCCTAACAGTTAGCAAAGACCACGATAGTCCGAATCTACGAAAATATGCAACAAAGATACGATCATATGTCTCGTTCGAAGCCGAGACAAACTCTAAGTGTCGGCTTTACCGTTACCCATACCCATATGCCACATAACGCAGTAAGAGAGATTGGAATGGCCACAATGCCAGCACTGACCACACCCAGCTGTAGGGAGAATACGGTAGCAGCTATGGCACCTGAAATCATCGTATCTTGATTGTAATGGAAATGTTTTACTTTTTGGAATACTGTAAGTTGAAGTAAGGTGAGGAATACTGTAAGTTGTAGTGAGATCAACAGGATGTTTTTGGTTATAATTGAGCTATTATATTGTAGATATAATTGAGTTGCTATCGTGTAGTAGCTTGTAGTAGGGATACTGTAGATGACGGGTACTGTAAAAATCTGTACTGCGAACCAATAAGGTAGTTATCATGATAAAACACTTCGTTGTAGCATTGTAAATCAAATTTACAATCCATATACTATAACAGCCTCCTATAGTACCATACTATAGCTCGCTTCCTCCTATATTACAATAGATCGATACTACAGTTCGTTTTCCGGTATAAACTCGTCCATTTTGCCATGGAGAATATAAGCAAAGCAGAGTAGCCCTTTAGGTGCTCCTTTCAGTCGTATATTCTTCTTATCATTAGCAAAAGCTCGGTGCTCTAAATAGCAATTTGAATTACCTGAGGCGGCTGATCCTAGTCCAAGGCCAAGCAGAGGCGAATCCCCGCAAGCTAGCATAGCAGAAGCACAGCCAGTCACTCGTTTCTCCTCGTTCTGACGTTTGTAGCGTTCTAGTTCCTTCTGAAGATAAAGACTTTGTAACATACGATTTCTTTGACCTGGTATTCTCAGTAATTAATATAAAATCACTTTGAGAGATACATAGGCCTTATTTTTTGAAATTTTTACAAATTCGTAATCTATAGTAAAAAAGCTTTGTTGTATATATTATACCACTTACATTGATTTGATCCTGTAACCGAGCCAAATTCCTGGATCTAATATCTCCACTCTCTACTTTCGGACATCGATCATATATGTTCAACGCTTTTACACCTTGTTTTATATGAATTTCTTGCAACTTCTTCTCAGGCAACATTCGAGATGCTTTTGTTGCCTAAAAAAGTAAGTTTACTCTAAATATAATCAGACCTACAACCACAATGTATACTTAAAACTATAAGCACAATATATAGTCATCACTACAAACACAATAAGTATTAGGTTGTTCAAATAATTCTGCGCCCTCATAACTCCAAATATATGCTTGAGAGGGGGCTCAAGATTAGTTGAACGACCTAGTAGTAACAAGTATAACCACAATAACTAAACAGAAATAAAGATGATATGTTTACAAAACCCCCCTACGAAGATATATTAAGCGAAAGAAGCCCTACCCTGTCCATGGCCTTTATATAAAACTGTTTCGCCTCTACCATGGCTTCGTTCGAGGCCAGATATACATTGGCATTAAGAAAATCCCTGGGAGTTGGGTAAACATGGGTGTCGAAGATCTTGGCGTATTCCTGAAAACGTCATTTTATCTTATTTACAGGCATTTTATATTGTTTTAGTGGCGATTTTTAGCTTTTTAAGTCAAATAATATTTTTGAAATGATAATGATAGTATCATCAATGTAATATGGCGACTTTTTGACCAAGATTTAGTGGTTTATTTTAAGCCCTAAAAAGTAAAAAAAAATAAATAAAACGTACCCTGACAACCTCAGCAAACCTTCTGCAAGTGATCTCCTTCCCGTTGATCATCTTCGCCTTTAAGGCTGATGGGTTCAAGAAGGTCTGCACCATGTTCTTGACCTCATCCCTAAAGACTGGCTTGATATCCTTGACCATTCCCCTGAACGATCCTCTTTCTGCCACTTTCTGACCTGGGTATGGTAACAAATGACATGAAATGTCCTCGAAACAATCCACCAACACTTCTCTCATTTCCCTCTGTTCTTTTGTCATTTCATCGTTGGGCTTCAGGAACTCGTCCATGTACTTCTCGCCACCGTGCGAGCCGAACGGATACGAATCGTTGCTTCTGAAGTCGCGTAAAACAAAGTGAAGATCTTGGAACGGGGTTCCGAACTCTTCGGCTTCATCAAACGCGATTTTACCGTAATCAGTGAAGAATTTGAATAATTCGAAGGCTTCTTCCGTTATCACTTCGTGCAGATTGAAGCACTGGCAGCTACTTAGCATGGTGCTCAAGGTGAAGACGGCAGTGCTGGCTGGGTAGCCGGCTGAGGTTTGGTCGAAAGTTCCTTGAGTGTCCATCTGAAGACGATAAGATGAAAATAAAATAAAATATGGTGATTCTTAACTTTCGAATTTTCAAAACCAAAAAATCATTTTTTAACTTTAAAACTGGATTCTGATGCTTAAATAATAGCGTGCTAAAAACCAAAAATACCATTCATCCAACACGGCAAAAAGGCTTATTCATACTATATAAAGATACCCAGACTTACCAGTAGAACAGCAAACCGTTCGCCTTTAGGTCCATCAATTAGGATCGGCTCTCCCCATAGCCAGATACCTACAGTGTCTCTTTTGGCTCCGGGTCGCCAATGAAATCCATCCAAAACGGTTTCATCGTGCAGCCATTCCATCTCCAGATTACTGTGGAACTCTTTCTGCGAGTACTGTAGAATGTAGAGGTATTCGAGGAAGAAGTTGAGCAAAAAACTCTTGCCTTTGCGAAAGGTTCCGGCTACACTTATCACTACTACCTGAAATTAAACTATTTTTTTTTAATTTTTAAAAGTATTTTGATTTTAAAAGCATACGGTACTTGAAAATTCCAAAAAATAAAAGTTTGTTCTAACGCCCCCCTCCTCCTCAAAATACTTACCTTTCTATTCGCCACAGCACTATGATTCAGTACCGCATTCAGTGCATTTTTGTTCATTCGCAGTGCATTTGGATTCGAATTCGAAGGCACGAACAGCTGGACTGGACGGATTTTGTGTCGATGCTCCATTGGATCATGGACGCCGGCTTCGATCTGAAACGGCCGAGGGATTTCGCTGTCCGCCGACGGAAGCTTCATCTTGTCGCGGACGGATTTGAGACGATTATTCGGCGACAATGGACTGTTAGTGGTGGATATTGTGGTAACAATAGTTAAATAATAGTCGTTATGATTGTTAACGTGTTATGTTATCTTTGATGGTCGAAAGTTATTTGCTTTATTATGGCTTGGGATTGATGTTATTGTAGTTGTAGAAGCAAAAAGCAGATAATATAGCCAGTAGCACTCGTTAAATGCAGTTGGTAGTAGCACTCGTCACAGTAGGTAGAAGTTGCACCGTATATTGTAGTAGTAGAAGATCACACAAGTTTCGTAGAAGAAATCAAGTTAGAAGCCAAAGAATGTAAGACTTTATAGAAATTCAAGCATAAGATAGTAAATACGTTAATATCAAAGTAAAAAATACAGTAACCTGTATTTTACTATCAATTCTTACCCAATGTTGTTGTAGCAAGTGTAATATAAATAGCTATGAAAAACAATATCGTATAGCCGATATAATTGTAACCACCAACAGAAAGTAATTTCAAAAAAAGAGTCGCAGTAATGTCAAGTGTAAACAAGTCAAAATTGTCATATGATGGAACACTCTGTGATTAAAACATGCCAAATTGGCAGAAATTGACCTTGTAATTGCTTAAATTTGTCAACACTAACTTTGTAATTGTCAAAATTCAAAGTTCTCTTGTACTGACAGTATACAATCTGTTCGAAATTACTTGTAAACGACTGTTGCTTGAAGTAACCTTACAGTTATTTACTTGCTTATAACTGTAAAGTTAACTACAGCCTTCTGAATCGTTTCAAGTAATGTAAACTGATGAAATATTGTAGATTATAGTATTGAGCCGATATTAAAGTAGGCAAACACCACTTTGATCATCATGTAGTTGAACTTTCGATCATCGTCTTCTCATTTATACTCGTTTTAATATCATGTAGAACGTAGGTTTGAAACAAAACATATGTAGAGTAACGGCAGCGATTATGCCATGAAAAGTTGTGACAGAGAAGTTTATGTTTACTTCATTTTAACACTAAATAAAGAAGAATACTTTAGGTTAGGTAGAAGGTGAAAATGTTAAAAAATCGTCACAGCAACACGGAAAAAGTAAATTTTGGCCATATCTTTAGTAGTAAAACAAATAAATCGGTTTTACCACACCCATGGCTAAATCAAGAATCATCTACTACACTCAGAACTAAACCACCAGCCCGGTACTAAAAGTAAGTTCATGATAAAGTGCCTACAGGGGAACCTCTGTATAAGGAACTCGCGCATAACGAACAACTTTTAAACCCCCGGATAACAAACACTACACAGTACATTTAAAACTCTTGTATAACAAAACCTCCATAATAAAACACATAACAGCTCGAAATCCCCCTAAAACAACAAAAATCTTGACAAATTCTATTCCGCTGCCCTAAACTGACACTTCCCTATAGCATTACCAAAATAAATATATTTTTTCCTCGGAGGAAATCTGAATGCGCAGTGAAAACGGTTTCCGTGATTTTAGTGGATTATTCAATTTCGAGGCTCCAAATCTCATTTCACAAGACTCAGCGGCCGAATACTTTGGGGAAGAGACAACAAACACTACACTATCCTTGTCAAATTACATTTACACGCGTTATAATGCAGTTACAGTCATTTTTGGAGGGTTTCGCTAGTGTTTCGACAGTTATGGTTCGGTTTTGCAACATAAGTTATTTGGTTGTTCAAATAATTCTGCGCCCCTAACCGCGAAAATTTGCTGTGAGAGGTGGCACAGAATTAGATGAACAACCTAACAGTAGAAGAAAACCTTCTGAATTCCAAAAAAGTCATTTTTGTTTTGTAAAAGCTGTTTTTCATAGAAAGTGTAACGTATAGTAACTTTTTTTGAAATTTAATATTTAAAAAAATTTTAATAAATAATATGCACTTTAAGCTCAAAGATTCATTTTTTAATAAAAAATGATCATATTTAAAAATTTCAAAGCTTTTACTTATTTGCCTTAATGAAAAACAAAAAAAATCCTGAAAGATAAGCAAGAAAATGACCAACAAATCTTCTTAGCTCGCAGAATCCCCAAAAACGTCCTTATGAAAGTTCAATAAATGAACAGTCAAAACAAGTTAAAAAATGAAAAACAAGATCATTCCCAACTTTTTAAAGAACAATCACCCGCCCGGCACTGCCTTTACCCACCAAAATTGAAAAAAATCCACCCCAATCTCCAAAAAGTGATCGCGCTACCCAAAACTCATCAAAAACCCGCGCCTCCACCCCCACAAAAGATTAAAGGCATGAAAATGGCCGTTAAAGAAGTGTTATGAACAAAAGAATTAATTAAATTCCCTAATAATGCCTGTCGTTGACATAACTTCGTCTTGAAAAAGTTAGTTACTGACCAAAACGGGACATAAACAAAAAACAGAAGGCAGAGTGTTTTATTTACTTGACTTAACTATTCCGAGAGGTTTGGCGCCATAATTAAATTCTGCCTGGATTTAATGTTTCAAAAAGTTAGTTGAATGGCAAAGGTATATTGACTTCTTGAGGTAAAATATATTGACTGAGATCTTGAGGTAAAGGTGCCATTAGGCCGTCGATTTAAAAAATTTTAAAGTTTGAAATTTTTCGAATTTTAAAAATTTGAAAAATTTATCTAAAAAACTTATCGTTCAAATAACTCTGAGCCCCCTAAAGCCCAAAATTTGCTTTGAAAAAGGGCGCAGAACTACTTGAACAACCTAATACATTGAATTACAATAATTAATATAAAGACACTAACATGTGATGTTGTAAGGTACTGACGTTTATTTTAATTTTATTGTAGACAATTGCCGTTTAGTGTAGGTTTATTGTAAATAAAATAATTTCATTTACTTTATTGTAAGTAAAATCATATCAGACTTAAAGTTAAGTAAGTTGGCAAATTTAATTTAGACCTTGTGGTACTGAGAACCAATTTTATAACAATAAAGACCTAATATGAAATTAGGTATGACAAGGAAAACCGTTCCAGAAAAAAATTTTGAAGTAAAATCAAGCTTCATGCTTTTTAATTTTATAAATAAAATTAAAAATGCACATGCTTTTTAATATTATTAATATCCTCCTAGATCAAAACCCACCCAACAACAAATACCACAGTTTTAAACCCCTGCTTCTCAGCCTTACACATCAAAACTGTCATTAACAGCCAGCCAATCCTATAAAAGGTTTATTGAAAGTCCATTTACGGCCACAAACTTTAAGTTTGCAGTCCAATTTGACTTCTAATTTGTAGGAAAAGTTTTGCAAAAAAGGCACTTTCTGATAACATCTCTGTTCGTCGTAATTGCTGCACCGTTTTTGGCTATAACGTTCGTAATTACTGTGCCCTCGCGGCTTAAGACGCTCCTACCAGCTGGTTTTCCAACTTTTTTCATTTTTTGAGCATAAATAGAGAAAAATGACCGAAGAATGACAGTAAAAGATAAAAAATGTCATAAGAATAAACTTTTTGTAGGTCGTTAAAAATGGCTATGTTTTCACGTATAGTGGTAAAAACTAAAATTTTTTTTCCAGAACATTAGCTTTAAGTTTTAAAGCAAAAGTGACATGTTTAGTCTAATGATATCATGGTAAACTTTTTGTCATGATATCAAGGTGTTAATGTTATTATTTATATTCTAATCCAGGAAAACAAAAATCCGTTCCAACTACTATAACATGCCAAAAGATGAACATAGATATACAATTAATACATAGTAAAGATCAAAGATACATCCGAATGATGAATAGGTGCTATACCATCAAAACCTTGCTACACAAGAAGTAATAGCATCCATGATATATAATGCTGAATATCATAATACGAAACACGCCATAAAATCCCGCAGTAAACGTCTTTGAACCTTGAGGGGCTCTCGAGCCAAAAGAAGGAACTAATTCATCAGCCAATAGTTTTTTCAAGACTTTGCCATTAATTAAGGAGAACATACGAACAAAGTGCTTTTAATGCCCGTTTTGGGGGTGTTCACAAACTTTATAGGCTTATCTTCATGCTAAATGTCATAATTTAATATTTTAAACGTTAATTTCAAAAGTATACTGCTTTCGTTATACAGTAGAATAGCTAACCTATCACAATATATATATTTCTAAATACTGCCTCTCTCTGTTTTCTGTTTTTAAACCTATCTTTCTACTTACAGGCCACACAAGGCCTAATACAACTCTTAAACCAATTTCAACCATTACGTCACCAAGAAAAACCTTTGTTACCTACCTTAACACCAGCATCTACTATCATATCCTAGCTCAACACGAACATCTTTTATAATATCACATACCAAATTTAACCAAGACTAATATTAAGTACGAATGTAGCAACACATAACTTCAAAAACATGCCTGTAACATTGCCAATCGTGATATAAAAGCAAAGACATGTTATCTTTGGATTATAGGATGCCACAAAAAGCGGATTAGGCCCGTCTTTGGAAACGGTCGGTCGTACAAACGGAGGACAGTACTAATCGCTGTAAACTTTACTTACAACATTGCTATACATAGAATTAGAGTCCATTTTATAACAGAAATTTGCCCTTTCAAATCAATTTAAAAAAGTTATTACAAAGGAAATTGATGTTTTTAAAAATAAAGCATGGAAGAGCTCTATTAATAACAAAAACCATTGCAATATAGTAAAACAAGCTTCAAAGATGTGAAAGCTTTCCCAAGACAAAAGTTTATATGGTGATCATTGAAAAGCTGAAGCCTTGGCTGAGACCTCATCTATAGATGGTAAACTGAGACGGAAGGCTGGAAATGGAGAGGGTCCCTCCACCCTCACTTTAATTTCCGTTTCTGGAACAACAAAAGCTTACAAACACATAAAAACATCTAGAAAGACGTGTGGAACAAGGCGACATGGCCATAGAAATTAGAAAACAACAAAATGTGTCATCACAACAACAATAAAATTTAAGCATCAAGGCTATCAAACTACCCCAAAATAAAACTCGAAATCAACCCAATGAAGCTAGAAAAAAACAGTAAAGTAAAAAAAGTACAGTAACAGCTACAGTAAGCAAACGTCAATGCAAACATGCTTGTATTAAAGGTAAAGATAGGAATACACCATTTAAAAAACTGTCAAAGTCCGAAAAACCAAAAAACAAGATAGAAACATGGTTAATCTGTCGGCTTGACATGTTTGTTAAACTTGAACATAGTCGTGTCCTCAGAGACATTTAAATTAAAAGAACAAACGGAAAATGTTTTAGAGCAAATTTAATGAAAAAACACGACAGTCAGAAGCAAAGCTACTAGAAAGCATGAAACATTCACTACAAGATACATCATACAATAATATTTCAACTATAATGTAAAAAAACTATAAAATCCCGCTATCATCAAGGATTTTATACTTACTGTAACATAGGCGCCTCATACTGTAGCTGCAAACCCACCCCAAACAAAGTTCTTAAAAACATCAAAAAAACAAAGTTTACAACTTGAAAAACAAAAAACCGAGGCAAAATCTGAATAATTAGTGGCTAAAGTAAGCACGAGTCCCAGTTGCGCAAACACGCAAAACTTTATCCGGAGGGACAGAGATCGAGTGGAGGGCTGAAGAGTGCTTTCATACCACTTCACGCATCTCGGATTTAAGCTTTCTTCAATTTCAATTCTTCGGATTAGCGTCAGTATAAGAAAATGCAATCAAACTTATCGTACTTAACTTTGGGAATAAATTTTCTGTAAGTTAGCTCTACCTCTTAAAACCAAGTTTTCGCTACAGTTTTTAGTATTTTAGTTAAAATTTTAGGTAGACCTTACTTATAACTATTAAAACTTCACAGATAATTAACTAATATGTTTTAAAATCAGTTTATAAAGCCAAAAAACACGTCTTGGCGTCACATCTTGCTCTTCCACTTCTTGATCAGTTCTTCAGTGTTCTTGTTGTCCTGAAAAGCAAATTTAAGTCGCAATATATAAACTAAACCTTCTATAACTATTCTTAACAATCTTCTACATGCAATATTCTAAAACCTCAACCATATATTTAAAAATCAACCAAAAATCCTAAAACAATCCACAATAATATTTGATCAATTATAGCCTCAAGCAACAAAAAACTTTAAATGCATTTAAATAACATTGGCATATGCAGAAATATAAAATGAACAAAAATCATATATAAACTTACAAAAACTTCTTCCGCAACGTCGTTTTCAGCAACAGATCCATCAGGCTTGATTATGACAAGAGTTGGAATGCCATTTACCGAGTACTTTTCATTCAACTTTTTGCGGCTAAATCAATATAGTTTCAGCACATCAAAATTTTCATCAACTACAGAAAAATACAATATTATTTTAGATATAAAAGCTTATTTCGTCCTTTTATTAATATTTTAAACTTTTACTTCCTGTAAGCCGCTTCCAAAACAGATAAAAACAAGTATTTTTAAACCTTTATAGAACTTCCAACTTACTCTTCAGATATAAAAGGAACATACAACCACTTTCCATGACATTCCTTCAAGTAACTCATCATTTAGTCATCGGTGAAGTCTCTGGACACAAAGATCACCTAAAAATAATATTTTAAAATGCTAAAACATCGTTAAAGAAGATCAACTACAGTTACATTGCAAAATAAGAAGCACATTATCAACTACAGCTACATTGCAAAAATAAGCAATCGAAGTTTTCAAACCGAGAACAAAAGCCTACCTCAAGATCCTGCGAATGTTTCTCGTAGAAAGCCTTCAAAATAGGCGTGAATTTGCGACATGGAGGACACCAATGAGCCGAAAAGTAAAGTCCAACAACCTTGTTCTTGAGCTCGCCCGCTGAAACAGTCGAATTCTCAGTTGAATTTCGACGCAAAACAAAGTTTTTCAACAATTCTGCCATTCAACCGAATGATAAGTTAGTAGAAAATGAATTTACAGGAAACATAATCAACATTAATCAGAAAATAACACGAAAAATTGTCAAATAATATTATTTTTACAAATTTTCGATAACAAAATATTAGGTTGTCCGGAAAGTTCTGCAATATTTATTCACTTTTGAACTAACAATAATAACAAAATACAAGAGTCCGGGGACTTTTTACGAATACAATATTTTGTTCGACGAAAAATATTTTGACATTTTGTCCTCTTATTGTTCGTTGAACCAACTACACAATTGATTGAAATCTCGATAAAACAGTTTCTGGTCACAGTTTTGTCGCAAAATATCTTTATTATCATTTCACAGGTACTAACGATGCTTTAAAGTTTAAATTTTATTAATTTAGCTTTTTCTTAATAAAACTACATTTTTTAAATTAAACTTAGCCGATAGTTAGCTGAAGTGCACTTTCGTTGTGTATTGATGTTGTTTTATGATTTTTTTAAATATTCTAGCTTACTGTACTATGGAAACTACCATAACTTGTTTTTAAATTACATTTTATTGACGTAATCATGACGAAACGAGAACAGAAACAACTTCAGATCATGTTTGATATCTAAAATAATGTACGAGTTTTTAAACGGGAGAATTTCATGCCATCAACAGGCTCTGCTGGTTTAATCCTCTGTTATGTACGTAAAAAGGTAAGTCAAAGCCAGGTTTAGATTTGCATTTTCGGGTTCTAATCATGTAGTTTGTTGTATTCGGATTGCTTTACGTGTTTCAAAGTCATTTCGTCACTTGAGTTTATGGCTTATATTATGTAAATCTTGGTGGAACAGCAAACTAATCCGAGAAGGTGGAAGAACTTGCATTCAGTTGCGCTACAAAAGCGTACTATATAAGCTGAACGAGATGTTGATATCTTCACCATTTGTCGCCTTGACAAAGTCATTCAGTGATTTCACAGTAGAAGGTTAACATTACTGGATTGTTTTGGTGGAAGATGCAAAAGTTGTCTCTTGTGTTTTTGGCCTTGTTGGCTGGAGTTGCTGGTAAGTTTTTTTTTGACATTTTATCAATTTTTTAGGCGCAAAATGTAAAACTATTGGGTTTGTGACATTATTTTTTCAGTAAGTCAGTTTTCAAGTGGAAGCAACTTTTGTAGCGACGAAAAGGATTTGGAGAAGAACTGCGGCCGTCTTCTGGGCAAAGGAGGAGATTCTAGTTCTAGTAGCTCAAGCTCTGGCAGTTCCAGCGACAGTTCAAGCACCAGCAGCTCGGGTTCCAGCTCAAGTTCAGGCAGTTCATCTAGCAGCTCTGGGGCCAGCTCTAGTTCAAGCGGTTCATCCGGCAGCTCTGGGGACAGTTCTAGTGCAAGCGGTTCATCCGGCAGCTCTGGAGACAGCTCCAGTTCCAGCTCTGGATGTGGAAGTTCCAGCAGCAGCTCAAGCAGCAGCAGCGGCGACTCAGATGACTCGAGCAGCACTGGAGATTCTGTTGACAGTTCGAGTTCTGATGACAGCGGATCCAGTAGCTCAAGCAGCAGCAACTCATGCGGTTCAAGCTCGGAAAGTGGAAGTTCTGAAGGCGGAGATGGAGGCTACTGCTTGATTCTCCAATACTTCTACAACGTATCTGTTGAATTCAAAGACACTGAAGTCTACGAATTGTGGTTGGAATGGATCGATGAAGTTAACGTCACCATCATCTACAATGTTGAACTTACTGAACAAGAACAACTTATTGAATTGTGGAGCAGTCTTCAAGCCTTCTTGTCTGTACACGTTGAAATCCAAGAAACTATCTACTACATCTACATTTCTGAATGGGGAGGATATGTCCGCAACCTTGAAGCTGTCACAGTCTCATTCTCTGCTCAAGTAACCAGTGTCTACATCGATTTGGATGCCAGCGGCGATTGTGAGATCTTCGACGCTTTGCGCAACGGAACTTCTGGACAATTGGCTACTTATGTCGAGACTCTGATCAGCGAGATCACCGTTATCCTCGAAGCTGACTACACTTACTCTTACCAACTTGTGTTGATCTACGAGAAGATCACCGCTTTCTTGTCAGAGTATTCTCAGTACAGTGAAACTCTCTTCGCTATTGAAATTGAGGGGTATGGAAGCTTCTACTCTTTCTACCAAGTCACTGCCTACTACTGGAGAGCCTACAACTTCAGCGTCGCTATTGGAGGATCTACTTCTGATTGCGAGTTGATCAAGGTTCTTACCGCCGCCTACGAGAACGTTTCGATTGGATCGACAACTGAAAGAGCTCAGATCAAGGAGTTGGTTGAGACATTGACTACTTACTTCGAAGAGTACACTGACGTTAGCGTTCGCATCGAGTACTTCTACACTCAATTCTACCAGTTCTTGATCATCCAAGACTGGTCGGTCAGCATTCTCTACGGTTTGGAGATTGAGGGATACGGAGACATCTACGAGCTCATCTACGCCTATGTTATTGTAAGTGATGGTTGTGAATAATAGAAACATAGATTTTTTAAAAAATATAGATTTTCGTGTTGCAAAAGATTGGCAAAAGACGCTAGTGTTGGATGTGTAATATTTAGTGTAATATATTGAGATTGTGAACCATTTTAGGAAGTTAACATTGGCATTGACTTCACCAACCCAACCACAACTACTACTGTAGCTCCAGCCAACTGTGACGTTGTTGACCAGATCAACAGCTTATCCGCTAACACTACAGACTTGTTGACCTCTATCACAACTGCTCAAGAATCATGGAACGCTACCGAGATTCAGAGATTTGCTGCCTACAAAAACAGAATCTACGTTGTCTCCAGTAACACCACCGCCACACTCGCAGACAAGTTCACCAACATCCAAGCTGTCTTGACATCGTGGACTACCAATGAATTCTACTTGAACTTGGTATACAGCATCCAGATCATCCAATGGGGCGGTACTATCGAACAGGCTGTCGCTTGTTGAGTACTGTAACTGGTTGACTTTTAGTACTTTGTGATTATGTTACCTATTTAAGTGTCTTATCACATAGTGCTATAGTCAACGTATATATATTTTACACAGCCAAAACGTGATGCATAGTGAACATAGAAAACGCTTTAATGTTAGCCGATTTCGATAAATAAACAGTTTATTAGCTGACAGTACGATTGAAAGACGATATAATGGCTTTAGAGCTCATACAAACACTGAGAAAGTTGACAAAAGTTCAAAGAATTAGTGCGAATTTTGAAAAAAATAAGCAAAAACCAGAGTTATACGTAACAAAATGTAATTTCACCCCAAAACAAAGAGAACAAGACAAAAGTAGGCACAGAAGAAGACAGTATACGATATAACGATGCATAGTAAACACAGTTTTTTCTTTTTTCCTAATCCCATTCGAGTTACAGTACGCTTTTCCTGAGGTTTTATTGATGAATTCATCGACGAACTCATCATTTGCGATCGCTTCATCATTGGCGACGGTGAGTGATGATACGATGTTGACATGGTGGAAAAGTTTCTAGGTCTGGTTGCTGGAGTAGCTGGTACGGTTTCTACATGAACATAAGTGGTCCTCATGTTTTCTTCATCCTCTTCGTCTTCTACTGAAGATTTTATAGTCTTATATGTAAAAATTTTTTACAGCAAACTCTTCTATATTAGGTCGTATACATATTTCTATGCATATATACGACGTTATTTAATAGTTTAAACAATATTACAAAATCTTACCATTCTCTTCCTCAGCCAACTCGTACTCAAAAGAATTGACCCTGTTTTGGTCGATAAATCCAATTCTTTCTTCCCAACTCCTACTGCCGATTGGTGGTCGGTAAAGGCGTTGTGCATCTTTGGTAGTAGTTGTATAAGCTGCCACTAACGTGCCTTTAGATGGGTTTCGATTCAAAGTCTTTTGTGAATCGACTTTCTCAGTAGAATACGTGGTTTTTACTATGCGACGTGTTGGGAGTATGAGATCAATTAAGAGGACGGAAATCAGATGGAGGAAGGTGCCGACGAACCATAGGTCATAAAGGGTAAAGGTGTCACTGGCTGGGCGGGTGTTTTGCTTAAAAATGCTTTTAAATTAACAAAGTTTTGAACAATTTATTCAGAGTTGAATACATTCGCAGTACTAATAAGACAAAGGCCTTTGTCTTATTAGTACTACAATGTAAAGTTTTCAAGTAAAAACTCATTCGTAATTGCATAACGAATGATTCTTTAACTGCTATTGACTACTGTTTTCACTATGAGAAGTATCAACAACACTGTATAAAACCCTTACCAAAAGTAGAACACAAACGATGCCCCCAAGTGCCAATACAATTTGGACTTTTCTTCGTTTCCATTGTGAAAAGACGACTGTCGCGAATACCAAAAATGATGGAAAGTAACTGCGAGCTATCACCGCTAACCATTCCGCCTTCATCTTACATGTCAATGTAAAACCAGGCCATTCGTCGATGTGACAATACATCTTACTCACTTCTGAATCAGGTCGCAAGTCCCTGGTTAGTCGGACGAAGATACGTTGGTCTGTAAAATGGATGGTATGACTAACATATCTTACTATATTATTAAGATAAATAATTTTAACTATTAGGGTTGCGATATTATTGTAGAAAACTTAAGATTATATTACTATACTTTAGATAATATTGATAAAAGGTATGAAATACCTACCTGGCTCAGTATTTATATGTGTGACACAGTAATAGGTGTTGAAAGGTGTGGTCCATTCCTGAGTTTCACAACTTATACTCGATTTTAGGCTGAAAAAACATTAGAAGTGTCACTTTTAAATAAAAAAAATCTAAATTTCAATTAAAAAAACTCGAATTTTAAAAAAGTTCAACTTCCTAAAGCCCAAACAATCAGATTCGTATCTTACCGCACCGCAAAGTTGATCTGTCCAGTACGAGGGTCCAAGTACAATCTTTTAGTATTACTAATCTCTGGTTCGTACTGTATTTCTGGTGTCCATGCTGTAAATTCCTGAGGCAAAATGATACTTCCACTAATTTCACGTATGTTTAGTCGCTCGTCGCTGTAATGTAAAGCCAGCAACATTTCGAGATCATAGAAAGATTTTGAGGGTTTGGTAGAGACTAGTGCTATTTCAGCATGCAGACCAAAAAAAGTACCATTCACAGTTTCGACCAGATTAAACCGGTCGTTCGGCCTAACTGATGCATGATAGTACTTGAACTTGCGTGCTAATTCCGTACGTTCTTCTGAGGTTAGACTGAAAATAGTTGAAGTTACTATATTATTTACTATAATAGTTTGTTAAATTTATTATTAATATATTACTATATGTTACTATACATATTAGCCTAACGTACTATTACAGGACGTGGACAATGTTACACGTACTTATCTTAAGATTGTGTTTAATAAAAAAGTACAACTCAAAAATTAAAAAAATGCGTTTACCCAATATTGGTTAAGCAAGGCGTATTTTACCTTTGACTATAGGACACCAACCAAAAGATCTGCCAAATCACGTAGTAGATAGTGTCACCACGCATTGCATTTCTTTTTTTTGGCAGTAATACAAAGTTTAGTTTAATTTACACCATTTTATGCGGCTTTTCAGAATCTTCAATCTGAAATTATTATTTTTTATTTTGGGAATAACTTATATCTCATAAAAATTGTCATCACAAAACAATAAAATTTGGTTCTGTCAAGTATAATATGTATTCGATATACAAAATAAATGATTTATGACAAAACAAAATGACATACAAGCAATAAATTAAAAATAAAAACAGATACCAGATAACCTTAACTTAAAAAAGTGTTTCTAAAAGTATTGACAGTAAGTCTGCAAGTAGATTTAATTGTCAAGTATAATATAAAAAGTAAACAAAAAAACTGTGCAAATAAATGTGAAAATATATATGAAGTTTCAATAAAAGTCAATATAAAAAATTTTTAGACAGAAGTTTTATAAAAGTTTTACGATCATTCTTTAGCGACATTCCTTGATTTTGACCGATTTGCAACAAATTGGAGCTAGCCCTAATTTAAAACAAATTGTAGTGCTAACGTGCTGACCCCACCTTACTTTAAAAAACCTTGAAAAAGTCATCTTTCCCCATCAGTTTAAAAAAAAACAAAAATTGCCTTCTTAGCCTCCTCCACCCCTTCTCAGCATATAAATTCCCCACCTTGGAGAACAGTTACAGTGCAGTTAAGGTTATCAATATGAAAAAAATTTCTTTTTTCTCATTTTTATAAAGCGCCGTGCTTATTTACCACAATTTTCTCTATCTACAAAAGTACGCATTTTGAAAAGACTGTACTTTAAATCAATTAATTACTTTTTTAAAAACAAAGCCGTGTTCAAACTTGAAAAAGCAAAAACTTGTCATTGGAAAAATGTTCTTGACAGCTAGCCAACCGCAAAAATATAACAAAACATTTGTCTTTGAGGTGGCAAAGTGTTCCATTTAACGAAACAATAATTTGGGCCGTTTTTTGTTTGAGGATCTTTGAAAGTAGTGGAATTGTTTTTAATCATTAAGTGCTCTTAAAGATGTTTTATACTGCCCTATAGTTAAATATGCCAAAACAAACTTGAATTAAAACAATTTTACAAAATCATAATAAGACAAAATTAAAAAAATGTACATGAACAACAAAGGCACCTTTATATATTCTTCAAATTTATAAAACTAAAAATTAAAAAATGACATTTTGACTAAAACATAACAAAAACTATTGTCATGAAGTGAAGGAAAAACCAACTGCCTTAATTTACGCCAAACGTTTACATAGTTAATCTCATTAAGCATAGTTGTTTAGAAATTCATCGATAAAACCAAATGATATTTTAAAGCCAATAAGCCTCAAAGTAACAAATTTTCTCGATCGTTAAAAAAGAAAGGCAATAAGCTATCAAACTATGAGTAAATCTCAAAAGTAAGTTAGAGGTGTTGGGTGTGTAATTTTATCAGCAGTAAACAACAATTTTATTTTTTTTTCTCGTTTAGTAGCTATCCTAGGCTTATTTATTCAACGCACAAAAGTAAACACCAAAAAAATTTTTAAAAAATGTTTTAATATTTTTCTTATAATAGATACTGAAAGTAAATTTAAAACCTTTGAAAGTAAGATACGACGGTTAAAAAAGAAAAAAACGTCAAAAACCTTTCAGAGTAAAATAGTCGCCGCAATAATTATTCTATTTGAAATCCAAAAAAAAACCGCCGTCAAAAACGCAACCATTATTGTATCCGAGTTAAATTGTCAAGTATAATATCCCACACACATTTAAGAAATACATCAGAAGCCAAGAAGCTAAACATATTTGAAAAAGACCATAATTTTACTATAGATGTACTTGTTATTGTTTTACTTAACTAGGTAACAATAAGTACAGTGCTAACTGACATAACCTTATTGTCGCAGTCGAAAAGCGGCTTACTTTTTACGTCGAAATTCATAATTTGCGGCGGAAATTTGATTCTAATTCACTTCACTGAAGAGTAAAACTAGATTATGCTAACCAAGTAAGTTTTACTTTACATGGTGGTATGTTGGTAAAATAGGGCAAGTTAAAATTGCTTTTTAAATTGTTTAAAAGAAGAAAAATGTAAAATGAAAAAGTCAATTTATGGCACATAAATAATTTTTTATAAAAAAATTTAAAAAACCGTGAGAAGTAAATGTCAAAGTTACCCTGTAAAATTAAAAAAAGTTTTAAAAAAATAAGTTCAACATAATATGTCTGACAGGTAACGTAAAGTTTAGTCATGGGGATCAAAGCAGAAGACGTTTCCTTGACGTCTTCACCTACAACCATAATTAGGACTAATCACAGCCGTAAACTGATGGAAAATATATTTCTGGTTTCCTATTTTTGCGAGTTTCTATTTGCGTTAAAGTACGTTTGCCAGTTGTTGTTTGAGTCTGTAAATATTTTAAAAGTTGCTTTGTCTTTTAATGGTGTTGCAATTATGAAAAGCTGTGAAAATTGCTCTTCAATTATGGTAAATTTTTAACTGTATTCACAAGGAAAGTACCTAACTTGTTTCGCTTAAAATCGCCTCAAAATCTTTATATAAATTTTGTATCACTAATATAATACAATAAATATAAAACTTTTTCTTTTTCTTACTCTTTTAAGTTTTAAATTTTAAATATTTGAGTTTCCGGCCAACTTGGCAAACTTGGCGTTGTGTTTCAATCTATTTTTTATACTTTTCAGCCCATCTACGCTTATAGTTTTAAAAAGTTAGGTTTATTTCAAAGTTTTTTACTAAGTGTATCAAAGAAAAATGCTTAAAGTTCGAGAAATAGAAAAGTTTTAAGCTTGAAACGCTATGCCAATTTTGCAGAAAATTTAAAACAATTGTTTGATCTTTTTTTTTCGAGGTTTACTGGAAAGCGCAATTTTAATACTTTTTTTAAAAAGCATATTTACATAATCTTTCTGTTTAAGTTTTGAAGACAATCATGGGGCAAGTTAGGCACTTTCCTTTTAAGATGGCACACTAGGCCTTAGTGGGAAATGTCGAAATTTCTGTGTAAGAAATGTTCGGTAAAAGCAAAAAAAATTGAAATTATTTGATATTTTAAAACCACATGTAAAAAAACTTTTAAATAACTCTGTCAATTGTCATTTTTAGATTTGTTTTTTTTATTATTCTATAAACAATCTGCTTTTTTTTTACTTTTTTAGATTTAATTTTTTTCGGCGAGCGATTTAGAATGACTAATGTCGAGTCTGAAAGGCGAATGTTGTAATAGACACACAATATTATTTAGCGGCGTTGAGTTCAGAGTTGAAAACGCTCAAAAACAGGCGCTTTTTGGATAAGTACTTTAACCAAGTTTTTTTAAAGTCAATCGATTATGACTTGTTAAGGTTTTAGCGGGTGGTATAATAGCGTTTTAAGGGGAATGGGTGTTAAAATATAAAAATAGGGGTATGTTTGACTGTAATATTATTTGCTGTGAGAATATTCGCTGATGAATCAGAGGCTTTGTGTCTGGAAGAGATGGACACCATATACTTCAAGTTTGTCACATTATCAAGTTTCGTTTTGGTTGAGGATAAGGTCGGGGTTATCATATGATTTGTCATAGATGATTTATTTTTTCATTATTTTTTAGTATTTACCAACACGAGTTGGTTATTGTAGGGCTAAGTTATAGCGAGTCTAGGATTAGGGTAGACCTAGGGTAGTGCCAAGATACGGCTAGGGTAGGGTTAAATTATGGCTAAAGTAGATCTAGACTAAGGAAAATGCAGACAAAGATAGGGCTAGACTAGGCCTAGGTTAAGTCTAAGATAAAGCAAACGTAGGTAAGGATAGGGCTAAAGCAAGGCTAAAATAGGGTATAAAGTAGGGCTGAGGACTGACCAGGTAAGGAAGGCTAGAGCAAAAAAAGGCTGGGCTATGATTTTTTTAGGTTAGTCTCTGGGTTGGGATATATAACGCTAAGGTAAGACAAGGACGTATTTAAGGTAACATCATAACACACATAAATGCAAATTATGTAACCATTCTTTGCATTTTTAACTTTTTTTTAAACATTCTGATGGCATAATCTACCAATACCTTTATGTTAAACGTACTAAACATGCCATTGTTTTCGAATATTACCATTGTGTCACTTATTCTCTTTTTATGCCAATCATTTGTCAACCACCTGCCAGCTCTCCTTGTTTTTTTCTCGTCCAGCTCGAACTATTAAACGCATTGTTATCACGCTCCAATCTACATTATATAGTATTGTAAAAGTTTTATTTGCAAAAACCGGAAATCGAACGCCACGATTAATCGTTCGTTCTGAATTCCGAGCGAAAAAAGTTGTAGTAGACAATTTGTTTGTGTTTGGGATTAACCTGAATACGAAAAGGGACTTGACTGGTCATTTGGGTATGTTATACAGCTTGTTATTAGATTTTATTTTCAATTTTTTGAACTTATAGCTTTAGGGGTTTAAGGTCGGTTATAATTTTAGGGTTTTTCTTCAGTTTTTATCATTTTTCGTTTACTTTTTTAATCTTTACACTCACGATAACCTTTTACTTTACTACCATTTAGATTCCTGTCATGTTAGAAGCACTGTCCTCTTGAAATCCACACCCTTTTCCCCAAAATTCAAAACATTTTTTAAGTCGGAACGGTCATTTATCTCAACGAAAAAACCCATTCCTTGGGCGTTAAGTGCGGAATAAAAAATATGGGACGGAAGTGACCTTGAAGTGGCGTTAATTAGCTTCGAAGTCTTATTTTACATTGAATTAACGACCTGATCTTAGCATTGTCATCTCGATTGGAATGTGTTGGTCATTTTGTGCCAATTATCGTTAGTTTTATGCATTCTTATTTATAGTTCTGGGCTTGTTTTTGAACCCTATTTACCTATAATATAAAAAGTGGCGGTAAATTTTAGTATTTAAAGCCTTTTTTAACCAGTAATTTCATTTTTTAAACTATTTTGCAAAAAATGTATTACACTTTTCAATGTAATATAATTGTGTTACAATTCAACTTTTGAAGTTAAACATAGTTGTCTATTTTAACTACACGCGTCATTTACAGTCTTATAAACTCCTCTAAAGTATCGCACAACTTTATTGTATACTATATGACTATGTATGTACGTCGAAAAAGGCGATGGTCATGTTCGTTATGTAAAGTAAAAAAGTTTTTTTGTGTGGTTTTAAGTATAAAAAATTTATTTTTACTTCAATGTTTATAAAATAGTACATTAAATAAACCTTATAAATAATACTACGAAGTAGTGTATTTTAACTTTAGAAATACTTTTTTGTAAAAAGAAATGAGAGGCTTAATTGTATCATAATAACTTTTCTATAAATAAAAACTTTTTAACGTTTTTAACTATTAAATCTAAAAGTAGATATATTTTTTATTTTTCTCTAATCTACCAAATCTCTTTATAAGGACAACATGATGTTTGTCATCCCTTTTGTCATAAAGAATGTAAAGTAAAACCGCGTTTTTGTTGCCAAAAGCCTCTTTCAGAAGCTGCCAACTCAAAAATCTGTTCTAAAAACCTTTTAGTGTCGTTTTCGGTCGTACATTGTTTCAAATTCGAGTTTATTCAAATTCTACCCGCTCGCGCGCCGATCCCCGAATATCTCGTATGTCCTTTTTCCAACATGTAGTAAGCGCTAACTTTCTCCCCCCCCGATCGGAACTGGGCTGGTTAGGGAGGGGGGAAGCAGGCGAAAGACGGGGAGAAGGTGAAGATGATGGCGGTAGAACACAACACAAATCTCTTCCCCACTTTTTTCTCTTTTCTCGGACTCTTTTGTCCACAGATCACGTCGCGCGCGTACAGGAGGGCGTTAAAAAGAGTGTTCGGGGGGGGAGCATTCGTTATCGATATTGTTTTTTCTTCAAGTTTTTAAGGGCTTTAAACTGTTTTCCTCCCCTGTAACACAGTTTCCTTCTGATTTAATCGTGTTTTCGGTTCTTTTTCAAGTTGTTTTTTCGAACATTTGTGTTATTGTTTTGTTGGCGGCAAATTATTATTCAAAAAAGAGCAAAGGGGTAAAGGAATTGGAAGTCGAGGGGTATAGAAATTAGAAGTCAAAGGGTATACAAATAATAACAGGGTGAAGAATTGATATTCCAGAAGGATATAAACGTAGAAAAATATCGTAAAATACCAAAATATTTTGTTTGACCAAGGCATATGGGTAGACAAAATTGAAAGGAAGAAGTTCATCATTAAATTGTTTTCTTATGATGGTATTTTCAAGACTATAGGGTTCAGCTTGGCTTTAAAATAAGGTGTTACTAATCAAGATTTTTTAAACTAAGTTTTATTATAACTAGACTATGCAGGACCCTTTAATATATCAAGGGGTGTGTTTGAATTAGTTAAACCCTACAACAAGAGTTTACTTTATAAAAATGACTATAATATATTATCATACCAAAAGATATTTTTTTTTGAAGAATTAAAATTTTAGTCATACTTTAAAATTTCGAACTCCATTTTTATTTTTTTATTTTTATCTCTGTTTAAAATGTTACTAACTTTTGAATTAATTGTAAGTTCAAGTTTATTACTATTCCTATCACAATATTTTTGATAACATCAGTTTCCAAACCTATATTTTGACAAATATTTTTCAAACCATAATATTTTGACACCTTTCGTGCTCAAAAATACAATCTCTGTTGACAAACCATCCGTGCATGATGTATATTTATTTAACTAGCGGCGATTTGCAAACCGTCTTTCCCAGACCCTTATCAGCAAGAAGAAGTTGGTGAAAAAAACTATTTTTGGCGGGTTTAATCACGAATTTTAAACGGCTTCCATTGCGACAAACAAAGCTCCAATGTCATGCCTTACCTTTAAATTAAAGGTGAATGAAAGGAAAAAAGATCAGTGGCTGTTTCATTTCGGTTTCGCGCAATTTTTTAATTTGCGTCGATGGAGTTGAACGATGGATTCGAAAAAACTTTCGTCTTTTCCAAAGGCTCGTGGTGAATTCGTCTTAAAACCGAAATTTGTTTTCTTTTAAGCATATCTCTGGAAAGGGTAATTAGGGGTGTTGTACAGTGATTAGATGGAGAATATCTCTGCAAGGAGAGACGCTCCACTCACGGTTAATTCGCCAACGGATCTTGGTTCAACAACAGATATTTTACTGCACCGGAAGCTGTTTGGGTTTATTATATTGGAAATGGTTTTTTTAATGAAAAAAATCTATGTTATAATAATTGTAATCAAAATCGGTGTTAAGAATTGTCAATATTTCCTTCTTTTTGCGTTCGAAACCATTGTCAGTTTAAAGAAACAAAGTTTCTCACCGTATTTTATAAATTTCACTGAAAAATTTTTTTTCAGTACAAATTTCCCTTGATCTCAGATTCTGCTCTCTTCCTCGAGTAGCAATTGGATTTAATAATCTAAAACGAATTTGTTGTTCATGTTCACGCCAAACGATCTTGACGCTGCAAATCGACGGCATCTGTAAAATCTCATTGGAGTTCGTTAATTCAAAATGAGCGCCTTACGAGACATCTTGGAAAAGGTAATTTTAAATATCATAAGATTATTATTAAGACATTATTTAATACTTTAATGTATCATAATATCTTATAATAGGGTATTTTTTACAATATTAGCTGGCTATATTCTTGACTATCAAACAAATTACAATACATTTTAACAAAAAAGCTGACTAAAATGACGTTTTAATGCCAGAGGAACTAATTTTATAAGTGTTAAAACAGCTACCCGCTTTAAAGTTCAGAGATGCAATTAGATCTAAACTAAATTAACTTTAAGGCGTTTGATTATGTTGTTTTTTTGCTTTGCAAACATGTTTGTAATTTCAGATGTATGTTGAAGATGAATTGCTCAATCAACTTGACGATGAACAAAAACAAATTTTGTTCATTAAAATGCGAGAAGAGCAGATTCGTCGGTGGAAACAGCATGAAGCCGAAGCCGAGGAGAGGGAAAAGCAACAGCCACCAAAGCCGAGAGATACTCGACGAATACAGTAAGTTAGCGTGATTAGTTTGTGCAAAATTCATTTCTTAATCATTTTTGCCTCAATTCGTTTTATAAAAATTTTTTAAAATTTTCTTGTTTTTCGAATACAATGACATTCTTAAACCTTTGTTTCAGATGGCTCACCGGCCGCGACGGCGAAGTTTGGGTATGGGTAATGGGAGACCACCCAGCTGACCCGTCCATCGACGACATAATAGAAGATGAAGCCCGAGTAAAGGCTCGACAGCTAGCCGAAATGGAGCTAGCCAATGACCGAAACGTGACAGCTGGTGCAGTACCTACACATCCCCCAAAAGCCCTACATCCTTCGATTTCAGCACGAGAAGAGCAACTTAAACAAGAGTTGCGTAACATGCGTATTGGAGGAAGTTCTTCAAGTAGTTTCGAAGACAATTCATTCTCAAAGGCTAGCTCAAGCGACGACGGGTACAAACGACCGGGCGCTCAATACGAAAACGGGTACAAAAGTCAAGTCAGATACGAAGATAGTCCTCAACATAACAGAAAAATCCATTCACAAGGTGACGTTCCTTATTATTCACAACTGCGCCGCTCACCGCCTGAAGGAATTGAGTTGGAAGATGGCAGGCGTTTGTATATAAAGCCAACCAACAACATATTGGAGAATACTGTTAGAGAACAGTTCAATGGAAGTCCATTCCGAAAAGAAGCTGAAAACAAACTGAGTGGTACTACTATTGTCTACGATAGAGGGTCAGATAATGATGATATACCACCATCTCCAAGGCTTGCTGAAGAATATGGAGATAAAAGAAAACCAAATGGTATTCTCAACCTCAACAACACTAGAGCGAGAAGTTCTCCATTAAAAGATGTTGAACAAAAATCCACAATACCTTTGTGGAATAGAGAAAAAAGTAGCAGTATTGATCCAGACACTGGGCGACAATCCGATGAAATCATTCGAGACCAAAGAAGGCCATCGTGGAATACAAACGGTAGTACTGGTGGTAATGTTGTACAACGCTTCTTGGACGAACACGATCCAAAAAGAAGAGCAGCACGGGATAAATCACCAGTAAAACTCAATAGATCGACAGAAGAAAGTCCACGAAGAAGTAACAGTCGTGAAGCCAGTCCACGCCGAAGACTTGGTAGCAAATCAAGAAGCAAGAGCCCTCTGAAACCTCTGAGAAGCACGGAATCCAACAATATGACATCAGTAGACTCCGAGTCATCTAAAAACTCATCACCAGTCCCAACACCGCGACAAAACTCACGGGAATCTCCATTCGAAACCGAGAAAAAGACCTCATTCTTGGTTGGAAAGTTCAACTCAAGACAGGCCAAATCCCCACCCAAACAGCTAAACGATCAACGAGACGACAAGAAGCATAAAGACCTTGTTAAGGACACAAAACGTCATAAGGAGGCAAAAGAGAAGTCACCTCTAAAAGCATCGCCCCCATGTGAAACCAAGGATTCAGAAGGCACACCAACGCTGAAACGATTCTTGAATAACGCCGGATGTATGCCACGACTTAGACGCGATTCGGATGACAAGTATTACGCTAGTGATGAAAATGTAGCCAGAAGATCAAGTCCGCCAGGTAAAAAAAGACCAAGTTCGACCCGTAAAAGAACAAAAGGTACCTGAAACTAATGGAAACGATTTCAAATTTTTCAAAAACAAAGTCGCCGAACTACCAGAAGATGTTGTTACGACAGAGAAAACAAAAGAAAGGACTTCAGAAAGAAACAGCAATGAAGCTGCTGTTGATAAAATTAGAATAAACGGGCAAAATACTCCTCTTCATAATGACATCTTGAAGAAGAATGGCCCGCCACCTCCAGTGCCGGAGAAACCAAGCTTTTTGAAGAAAAAAGCAGATGGAAAACCCGGTGAAACAGTGGGCAAAGACTTCGTACAGGTAAAAACTTACATTAGTTTTTATAATTTATCACAAGACGACAAAATCTTGTTTGGTATAGTGCAAGATTATGCGATAGAAAGAAAAAAACGTAAAAATGCATAAAATTTCACGTTTTGTAGGGGAACGCGAAATACATAAGGTTTTACGTTTTTTTCTATAACTTTTCTCAGCTTTTTATTGGTTTTGATTGCTTTCGCTAATTTTTCTCATGGTCATGGGACGCTTTGTCGATTCTGCGGTACAAAATATATTTTTTTGTTTTAGTCAACACGTTCCTATGTTCCTGGCCACAATCCGACAGTTACCTTTACGCCGCAACAAGTAACTTCACCAAGCGCGGGTCTCAAGCCAAATCGAAATGAAAGTCCTGTTGATCCGGTGCTGAAAACGACTCCAACGAAGCCGAAGGATCCTTCACCAGCTTCTTCCACTGATGGCTCTAGTTCTTTGTCTCCGGAAATGCAGAGATTACGAGATGCTCAACAGAGACTCGAAGAACTTTTGCCTCCTCAAGATGAACTTGAGAAGCGGCAAAGTGTGATATTGGAAAAGTTGATGGAAGAACATCAACGGTTGAAGGAAGAAGCAGAACGAGAGGCTGAGAGGGAGAGATTGGCGTATGAGGATCAAAGTAAGTGTTTCGATAATTTTTTATTGTTTTAACAGTTTTAGGTAGTAAGATAATTTTTTGATTAAATAATAGGTTAAAAGTCAAAATTTCCGATTGAAAGTTTCGGTTTGGACTTTGAACGTTATGGAATGTTAATAATTTAGGTATCCTGTAGAATGTTTACTTGTGTTTTGTTGTTGATTGTTTAAAAACTGATTTCAGAGAGGAAGTCGAAGGAGGCAGAGGCTCAGATTCGAGCGATAGCTCAAAAAGCACGTGAACAGCACGAAAAGAATCTGCGAACGTCCACTGCTCTTTTGCCAATGCTTCATAAAACACAATCTGAAGATGCTCGAGCTCAGAACTTGAGAGATGTTGTGTAAGTTGATTTTGATGTTAATATAGATAAGCAAATTGAATTGTATGATTTATATATTTTATCTATTCTAACATTTTTAGTATAAAAAATATAATAATGAAGCAATTTTACAGTAAGAACATGCCGCGACCTCCAAAGCCGAAGAATCGTGAAGAAATCATCGACTGGTTCAAACGACAAGAACAATCAAATGGCGCAGGAATCGATCCATGGACGAAACGACCATTTGTCTGGTTTCATGGAATCATTTCCAGAAGTGAAGCCGACAATTTACTGGCCAATCAACCTCCAGGCGCCTTTATCGTACGAATATCAGAGAGGATATGGGGTTACACAGTCAGTTATGTTGTTGGTGGGCCTGAATTGAAACATTTTCTGGTGGAGAGGATTCCAGAAGGCTATCAGTTTTTGGGTACGAATCAGGTGGTGCACAAGACGCTACAGGATTTGGTAGATTATCATGAGGTAGGTTTAGGTGTTTTCATTGATTTAAAATTGATTTTTAGGGCAGTTATTGCCTTTCGAACAAACTTTTAATTTTCTTACCGTATCTTTTGTTTTTTAGGGGTTTTTATAAGTGCGACAGTTCGATGCCATCGCAAAGGCTTTTTGTGTTTTTTTCCATTTGGTTATCTTTAAAATACCACGTCGTTGAAACCCCAAAAAACAAGAAGTTATTTCGAAACCGCTTTATCAGTTAATTGCCTTTCTAGACCAAACCCATTACGTCAAAAGGGCAGGAATGTCTACTGTACCCAGTGGGCCAGCAAGACCCCAACAGTCCGGACTATGCCAACCTCTTCGACCAGTTACCAATGGCTAGCGGAGGCTACAACAATGGTGGACTACTTTCTAGTCGGTTCTTTCAATCTTCTCCTTCATTGACTGTTCATCGATGAGGATAATGGCATTTTGGATGAGATGGACAACATTTCAATGGTGAATATCAGTTTAATAATGTAGAAGTTTTACTATGGTATTTTTATTGTGGTTTGCTACGAGTATATTTTAGTTGGGGTACTTTTAGCATAAGGTTTCGTATGTGACTTTGGTCATTTAAAATGGGTGTATATTCAAAAGATATATACTGTTACAGATGTTTTTATATGTATATTATTAGCTTAATATGTGTGATACTATGTTTGTCAAAAGGTACTTAGAATACTTCTAGAAGGACTTAAATACTTCTTTATTTATTTTTTTTCGACAAATTCAGTATCAAACTGTATTTATATTGAGCTTACTCTCCGGTTCATATTGTTTTTAAAATGTTGTTACCGTAAGCTTCTTTTACTGTAATTACATTTACTTTTTTGGTATAACTATTGTGTCATTGTACGTAACGGTGCGGGTATACGAGTTCACTGTTTTTGTTATCGATTACTTTTTATACATTTACTTTATTGTAAGAGTTTTAATTATGATGGTTATTGTACATAATCGGAGCGAATAAATGTATATATAGTTTGTGTTGTGTTTGTCCTATCGGTTTCTCTTACTGTAAATCTTTTCTTTGAATCTGCTGTCATTATTTATTTTATTTTCATTTCATTTTTAGCTTATTCTTATTGTCAGTTTTCAGGTTATCTTATTTTTAACTTGATAATGTCATTATTGGCTTTTCCTGCTTAGGCTATGTCACTTTTTTGATGTTTAAATAATCTGACGGAACTGTTTTGATATTAAGATTAGTTTCTCTAAATTTTAATTTATATAGACCACGCTGACGTCTTGTTATTCATGTAGGTATGACTGTGTTATGAACGTAGTCTTATGTTTTGCCGCGTAATCAAAATATCATCTTTTGTGGAAGTAATTTCAATGATTGATATTGGTATTTACAAGATTTTTCGAATTTTTATGACAATGTTTTCTTACTATAGGTTTTTTACAAAGTGATGACTTCAAAAGTTGCTGAATTGAGCTTGTTGTTGTTTTAGTAAATACCTAAGGGATTGTTTTAAAATTTATTTATTTTTGAAGAAATTTAGGTTATTAGGTAAACTTTTGATGGTTTTTATAGCATACACCTGTCGCACGTTGTTTTGTGATGAATTGTTGTGAGCTTTAGGTATTTACTGCAATATGAATAATGTTATTGCGGAAATTAATAGCATAACACGGATGAGATGTTGTTTTTGAGTTATTATCTGTGATACACTTTCCTTAAAGTGACTTTTTAAAATTTTTGAAGATCAGCTCAGAACCTAAGGGACGTTGTGTATTGTTAAAACAAGGTGATTTGATTTATTGGTCGCAACTTAAAATTCTAACATATGATTTTATAAACCGTTATATGTCATCTTTTACAAAAGTATTTTAAGTAAGAACAGGTTGAGAATCCAGAAGTCATATGATTAAAAGTGTTAAAGGAGCAAAAGTTCGTCAGAAACGTCTGCACTCTAACGATTTTAACATTGTGATATATATATAGATGATCATAGAGGTCAAAACATCCGCATCTTTTCTGTAATTAACTTTTACAAAGTGGGGTTCCTGGTTTTTTGGGTTCGACAGAAACTTGTTTCAAACAAACATTCATATTCAGTATAGTTATGTGGTAAACAGCTATATTGATCATGGTTTTGGATGGTCAGCAAGTATATTCATCATAGCGCTTCGTGGTAAGCATAATTTTTCTTAGTCTTGTGTCGTGGGCATCTGTATTCTTTTTGTAGTAAACATGGTTAGACGGTGAAAGTTGAGGAGTTCAGGTTTCTGTGATAAGTCATCAAATACCTGGACTTTGAGTGGGTAAAGGAAACCTTACTGGGAAGTGGAATTCGATAGTAAATTGATTGCGAAACGTTTTTTAAATTCTTTGTGATTCATACGGTAGTCTGTGGGGTCGTTAGGCTTGAGTACGGTAACGTGATGTTTCTTTCCAGACTTTACTTTGAAAAAAAATGTTGGTTCACCAAAAGAGGGGTTAGATGATGACATTTTCTAAAAAAATCATTGATTGATTCAAACTTCAAGCAGTAGCTATCATAAAAAGCGGAATTTAAGGTAGCTAATCGAAACCTATTAAAGTATTATTTTTACGTTAATATACGTCAATTTATCGAAGACAACTTGCCAATTCTTTTGTTGATCTTTTGTGACAAGTTTTGTTGATGATCATATCCTTGCAACAATCGACCGAGTTTTGCGACGAAATATCCAAAGCACGCTAGTGCGCTATCAATCGCGTCACGGTATACTATGGACCGTAGTCACGTTTATCGAAGATTGTTTACTGAAAAACCGCGTTTTTACAGTAAGTTTCATGTTAGTTATTGTTACAATTTAAGAGTGCGTAAACTGTAACACTATTAAAAGTTGTCGAACTCTTAAATTTGCGAAAGGATGGTAAAGTTTGTAGACTCAGCTTTTTTATGCAAATTGGCATCTCTACTCGGATTCTTTAATTGATTTTTGTTCTAGTGTTAGTTAGAGTGATAGTTGTCAATAGCTTACAAGGAAAGTACCCAACCTGCAACTCTCAGAATTAGCTCAAAATTTTAATACGGATTCTTTGTAGTACCAGTAGCAGATATAAAAAATTTTAACTCGCGTTTAAAAGTTTTAAAATTAATATGTTTAAATTTCCCGCCAATTTGGCAAATTTGGCATTGTGTTGCAAGCACTTTTTTTGATCTTCCAGATAAGATAGGCTTACAACTTTAAAATTGTAGGTTCATTTAAAGCTTTTCTATCATTATATTAAAGAAAAATAGTTAAAATTCAAAAAAATGAGGAAGTTATAAGCTTGAAACACTATGCCAATTTGGCGGGAAGTTCAAACCGCGATTTTTTGATCTCGATTTTCTCAAGACTGGACGAAACCGCAACTTAGAATTTTTCACAAGATCTTACATTTATATGATCTTTCAATAAAAAAAAATTTGAACGAAATCTGGGCGTTGCAGGTCGGGTACCTTCCTTGTTAGTAACGATTTAAACTTGCATTTACGTTAACCTTTGCCGCCTACATCCAACCGATTTTTCGTGTAAAAGTGCATCGAGGTTGTTTGTTTTTGTAGCAAGTGTACACGTTACTCGGCGAATGGTGGAATCTCCCCTCTCCCGGTTTGATCTTTGTGATTGGAAAAACAACTGTCTTAACTGCTCTTTTGCACTTGGTGGTAAGTTTACAAGTGCATTCAGTTCATAATCTTTTGTCTTATCAGCCCAGCTAGACTGGGAGTGGTCTAGCGAGATCAAAGCTTGCCTCCGATAGTGTTCGAGACGTGTTGATTAGGTTTAGGGCCTTTTAAGGGCCTGATTCGCCTTTTATTGGTTGTATTTTGTTATTATCTTATTCGAGTAGCCTCGCTTTTGTTATTTAGTGGTGTTAAGAGCATATTGTAGTAGACCTGTTTTTTGCATTTGATTAGTTTGATATTGTCATTGATAGTGATAACCTTTAAAGTAACAACGTTTCTGAAGTTGAATTTGTATTTTGTGTAACTTTTGCTGTTGGGCGTTGTAGTCTTTGATTGCCATGAATGTTGCCCACCCATTACACAAGCTACACGGTCTATAATTTGAGGACGTAAACAGTAGAATGTTCAGTGATAATGGTGATGATTTATTGTGTTTTGGTATGATCGTTGGCTGTAGCTTTGCGATGGTTACCAAGTATGATTTGGAAGTATCATATGTTTTGATAGTGACTGTTTGCTCTTTTAAACGTGTTTTTAATATGGCTTTTTAATGTTTTTATGACCTTTTGCGTTCTGTTTTGGTGACATGACATCATCCAAGTATGATAGATAGCTTGGAATTTATAAATTTCGTGAAAATTTTAAAAAACAATATTAGACAAAACCGCGTTATTTTTACCATTCTGATAAAATAATTTTACATTTTTGCTACTGTAATACAAATTTTTATTGCTTTTCAGATGGCCATCGTCCTTCTGGTCATTCTGTTTGTAATTACATGGTATCTTCTTGACACATTTTACTTTAAACGGCTAAAATACCCGGCTGGTCCAGCACCTCTCCCACTTATTGGTAATCTTCATTGCATCGATCCCAAAGATACCTACAATGCTTTCAGTCAATGGAAGAAGAAGTATGGTCCAATATACACATGCTGGTTTGGTAATGTCCCTGCAGTTGTGTTGAGCGACTACAACGTGCTGAATGAAGCTCTGATCAAGAATTCAGATGCTTTTGGCAGCCGGTTTGCTTATGGAAGAATGACGGCGTTGGTCAGGGATGGTAGGTTTATTTTAGGTATTATTTGATGACTTTAAATCGACTTTATTGCAAAAATAAAATTTGTTAAAAACTTTTAAAGTTAAATTGTTAAGCTTTTACTTTTAGGCTATGAAGACGTCGGGTTACTAGACGAAGGCCGTCCAGAAGTCTTCCAAGAACAACGTCGCTTCTTCTCTAGCTTCATCAGATCTCTCAATTCAGATGGCATTCGCTTGGAAGATCGTATCTTTGTCGAAGTAAACGACTTCCTTGCCGAACTCCATTCAGCTTGTTCAGAATCTCAACCAGTATCATTTGTCTCATTAATCGACCGGTCGGTGGGCTCCATCATCTCCAGTCTCATCTTCGGCAGCCGCTACCAAAAGGTACGAACATTATTCGTCGCTATAGTACAATATAGAGCCGGATTTTAGAATTTCAGTACCTCAAGTCGACCATCAACGAGTTCCTGGTCTACATTTCGGATCCATTGGCGTTGAGTGTCGCGAATCAGAGGATTAACTTTGCCGTGTTCCCACCGTTCCGTGAGCGATACAAGAGGATCGAGAGGACGAGGAACAAGCTATTCAAGTTCATGCACGACAAGATTAACGAACGTGAACAGTTGAAGGAGACTGGAGGTCTTCACGAAAATGTTTGCCTGATCGACGCGTTTCTACAGAAGATTCACGATGGAGTCAACAGTAAAGTTTACAAGTAGGTACTCTACTGAAATATTAACTTATTTGTTCATTATTTTCGTGAAATTTTAGTTTTATGTCAAAAAAAGTTTACCGGAAAACCAGTAGCACAGTATTTACCCTTATTTAGGTTTGAAAACCACTGCAAGTTTTATATTTTTAGTCGCAAGATGTTGGTGAACATGATGTTCGATCTCTTCTCAGCAGGCCAAGATACCACGTCTCATACGATTGCCTTTATCCTATTGTACGTCCTCAACTCTCCAGAAACTCAACTCAAAATTCACGAGGAACTCGACCAGGTCATTTCACAAAATCGACCGATCACATCCTCAGACCGTCAGAAGCTACCGTTCTTTAACGCCGTCATCAATGAAGGACAACGTTTGGCCAATCTGATTCCAGTAAACCTTTTCCAGAAGACCTTGAGGGATGTTACAGTATGCGGACACCAAATCAAAGCCGGAACTTGTATTTTACCCCAGATCTCATGTGTAATGTTCGATGATACGGTATTCTCGGAGCCTTTGGAGTTTCGACCAGAAAGATTTTTGAATGAAGATGGAAGCTTGAGGAAGATCCTTGAGTTCATACCGTTCTCATTGGGACGACGACAATGTTTGGGAGAGAATATCGCCGGCCTCGAGCTGTTCTTGTTCTTGAGCAACATGTTCAATCAGTTTGAGGTAAGTTTTGTGTTAATTATGTTTTCTGGCCAAAAAGTTTCTAGAAAAAGAAAAGAGTTAATTTTTCAAAAGAAAGTTTTAACGGCCGTTTTTACATAAAATTGTGTAAAATATGATTAAAATTGTGTAAAAAACAACGATTTTTTGATTCAAAGTTTATATTGTTCTAGATCTTGCCGGTGGACCCGGAGAACCCTCCAAGTACGACCAAAACCCTCGGAATGACCGCCCAACCACAGCCATTTGATATCATGTTGAAGAACCGGTGGAACTAACGATTATACTCACATTCATATCTATTCTTAACTTATCACAGCCTCACAGAGAAATGTTGCTTTAAAAGTCACACTCATATCAACCTTAATATTATACTCATGAAAGTCATACATAAAGATATTCGACTTGTAATCTTGGAGCTTTATAAAGTTTTTGGTAGTAAGGTCAAAAAGTTTGTAGAAAAAGAAATTTTTTAGATGTTTTTGGATAAAATTAGCTTCCTTAAAGTTTTTAGCTGTTTTTCTAATATATTGTTGACTAAAACGAGTGTTTTCTAGTTGTAAAAACTGCTACATCAAAAGCCTTTTGTAACACAAGCATCAACAATGCCATAAAAGGATAAACCAACGTCCAAACCCCCAAGAAACGCACAAAAACAACTAGAGTAAGCGTATTTGTCTATACGAACCAGTAATTTACGTAGAATATATAATAATAATATCGGAAAGTAGGATGACCCAATCGCGGTAATTATAGGAAGAGAATACTTTTTTATGGAATTGGATCTTCAGAGTTCCGAACGCCGGAAAAAAGTCGCTGGAAGTCTTATTGTCGCAAAAAGTTATGATTTTTCCTTGTAACAAAGAAGTCTTGAGTTTCCTGTAATTTACAGTTTCTCGAGAGTACCACAGCGAATTGTCGTATGTCAATGCGATTGTCAGCCCACCATGAAATGGGCTACTATAATATTGTTATGTTTGATGTTTAAACTTTGTGCTTGTGAAGTGTCTGGTAAGTTTAAACCCAGTTTAATGCAATTTCTGGGTCAAAAAGCTTATAGATAATTCAGAAAAAGAGATTTTTTTACTAGGATTTGCTAACTAGTAAGCTATCAAAAATTTTATCAAATTACATAAAAAGTTACGGTTGTTGTACTAAAATAGTAATAGCAATTAATACTGCAACTATATGACAAAGTTTAGTGTCCGTAACATGTACCCCAGATATGATGCAGCTTGTTTTGACATTTGAGAGCAAGTTCAATGGCAGAATAACAGTCCTACCCCACAAAGAATGCGAGATTTTGGGTGAAAACAAGCGATTACTACTGTTTCCGTTATCTTTACAATCGTCGCCGACTGAACGATGCTACTTGAACAAGGTATGTGCCATAAAATCACTTTCTACTCAAAAATGAATAATTCTTTTCGAACATATTACCTATAAAGTATAATATTGTCATAAGCAACTTCAATTTATGCTTTGAAGATTAACCTGGTAACACTGATAAAGGCTTGACAAACCCAGATTTTTAAAATTTTATCTTTTACAGCCAACTTTTTAGATAAACAACGACTACGTAGGTCTGGTACAAATCCGTAATCACAAAACATTAGTTTTGTCAAACGATGCCACTTACCTAGTGAAATGTCCAGCTCACATCATTCCTCCACCTTCAATCAACAACGGATTTGATGGGTAGGTAAAGGTAGTGTCGTGTTTAATTTTAAAACATGTTTACGATAAAAGAACAGCCTAAAAAATATTCAATAAGAGTACAAATATTTCGAAATTTATTGACGAAAAATGTAAAACTGCGCGGGCTGCGTCAATGAGGGCGCAGCTTGAAACAAAGTAAAATATTTTAGCAATTTTTCAAGCTTTTTGGGAAAATCTATTTTTTAAGAGTATTTAAAGGTAAAAACTAAAATTCTAATTAAATATGTTTCTTTCAGACCATCTCTACATGCCCAACTGTATATTAATCCAAAAGGGAGCAAGTTCGAGCCCTCGTTTGAAGGAATTCCGCTTGAAACTGTCACTGGAAAGTCGTACACTTTGACAATTGTTGTTAATCAAGGTCTGTGTTTTATTTTATTGGAATAGTATCATTATGACCCATGAACGTATTTTACAACGGTTTAATCTTTATATTTCTGTAATTTATGAGTTACATATTTTGTTGCTGTAACAATTGTTGTTTTAGGTCTAGAGCAACGTGTACGAGTTGGAAAATGTTTATTATTTGCAAATGAAGATGTGGAAAATACAGTAGAATTGACAGATATGGTAAGTATTTTGTTTTTATTTCAATTTAGGAGTTTTTAATGCAAATTTATCTAAAATTGCATCTTGAAGGATATTGTTTTAGAACGGATGCGCGATAAACATGCATTTTGCGAAGAACTTCCGTTGGATAAACGACGATTCTGGATGGGCTTTACAGACAGAGTTTGACATGTTTAATGCAGGCTTCGAAAACTTTGTTATTCAATGTTCTTTACAGCGATGTTTTGAGAATTGTGATCCAGTAAGTTTTAAAGTGTTTTGAATCATGATTTTTTTCCTTTTAATTTTGATAAAACATGTTAGGTATCCTGATAAAGCATATGTTAGGTATATGTCAGTTAGCTAAATTTAGATATATTTAACAAAAATATTTTTATTTACAATGTAAATTACTAACGAGTACGCAAAACCTTTGTTTTATAAAGGTTCTATGCCATCCATTTGAGAGGCCGTAGAGATAACGTGCGATGAGAGAGACCCAGAGAAACAAATAATAAATATATAAGGTGGAGTATACTATATAAAAAGGAATATATTATGGTATAGAGCATATGTGCTATAATTTACAGCTTAAAGTAACATATGAACTATAACAGACCATATGATACGGTATACTGTAATGTAGACTTTACTTAAGGTGAAAATGTAGAAATAACTAGTGTATGAAGTGGTATAGGCCATGTAGTAAGGTAGGACCATACAGCAATGTAAGATCATAGTGTACACAATAACTCAGGGCATGAAATTAAAGTGCATCGAGGCTGTGGAAATGCTAGGATATATTGTAATAGACCAAGAGATCGTAGTGGAAGTGTGCGAGGCTGTAGATGAATTTATTGTGATAGTATTGCTAAAATATTGGGTTGTGATGTTTCCTTCCTATACCTACTAGAAAGGTATAATAAACTGTTTATGTGAAAATTACTGACAAGATGGATATCTGTGCTGTTTATTAAGGCTTTTATCTCCCGAACAGTTCTGTGCCGCGGGCACGGCGTGGTCGTTCGGTTAGTAAGGTGGCTAATGCTAACACTTCGGCGCTGTTAAATGGAATTTCTTCTTCTGAAAGGAAGAGATTGGAGTTAAAAGTCGAAGAAGTATATTAATATCATGCGGTATATTCATCGTGAAGAAAATAAATTTTAAATTGAGGTCAAAAAGTTTGTAGAATTGTTTAAAACATGGGTTAGTCGTGCCAAAAATTGCCTTACAAACTCTATGTCTAAATTAAGGTTCTTTTGTATGTTTTGCTTGAGGGAAAATCTTTTTGTGACATACGATAAGGCTTACCTGATTTGACTGATCGTTTGCCAAAAAGTTCACGGCTTCGTCTTTTCTCTTCTACGAAGCCTGATCGTTTTCCGAACAATTCTCTGCTTCGGCGGATGGATCGTAGAAAGTGGAGTGATGGGATGGCTGCAAATTGACGTTATTATTTATTACAGTGTGATATCAGTGGCGAGTGTTTGAAATTAGGCTATGTTAAGGTAATAAAATTAGTGTGAGCTTAAAATAAGTAAACTAGTGAAGTATACAACAGATATTTAACTGACAGAGCGGGTAAACTTGAACTAAAAAGTGGGGATGGAGTACTCGCTCTTACCGTCCCCAAACTTGCTCTTAATTGCGTGTCTACGACTGAGCGGCAACATACGATAAGGTATTAAAAATGGAACATGCGCTACAAGAATATTGTTTGTAGCAGCAAGGTTTGCTAACATTTTTCTTTGATCTGCACGATACATTATATAAAACGCTTTTTTCTAGCTTCAAAGAGCATATTTTTAAGCGTTTTTGCATGTCAAATTTTCTTTTTAGCACTTTAATTTAAAATAAAAACTGTAAAACTTACAACCCTTCTGATACTCTACATCATTCTCGAACTCTTGAGCGCTGACATATGCTGCGATGGTGGCGAAAAGCGCGATGGTAACAATGGCGTTCATCCCGTAAACGCTTGAGCTACTTGACCAAACTGAAAATCATAGTCATTGCTGTTATGTACGAGTAGGGAAATAATATTGCGCGAGCAAAAAGTAACAAATGGTGAAGCTAGGATTAATTTCTTAAGCCTACTTGGAACTCTAATTCGTTTTTTTTTGTAAATTATGTTAGAAATGAGGGCTCTTACATAAGTTTTGTAAAAAAACAAATAAAAATGTAGATATACAACTAAAACAATGCTTATAAAAATGTAAAAACATTCGAGAAATTGACTATATCGATCGCAAATTTAACAAAACAACACCGTCGCTAAACTAACAATATTTGCAAAACTACTGCCAAAAGTACGAATTACACATCGTCGCAGTAAGACAACATTTAGTAATTTAAGAGTCGTATTACGATTGAAATTCAATCTAATTTGCAAAAACAGTAACAAAGCACACATAAAGTATGTGATGAAGTTTACTTTGTATTTGTAAAAGTAGGATAGACCAGAAATTGAACTAGTTCGACTAGACTTAACCAAAACTCTAGATGGAGATATTGAGCTATTTTAAAAAGACAGGAGGTTTTTAAACTTTAAGGTCAGAAAAGTGAAAGATAAGTAATTGTAAACAGTGGGTTTATATACAAAATACGTAACATCCGAACTTTTTCGAATTTTTACTTTTTATGTACTACAGTATAATGTGATAGTAATCTTAATCTAACAAACTATAACTTTATAACAGCAAAATGACCACTAGATATCAAGAAAATCTCAACCAAAAAAAATTAAAGGCAAATACGGCAATAACAATCACTCAAGCTTCAATATAACCCCTCCAAACACTTTTAACGAACGTTATAGTACTATACTGCGATTCCTGAAATGAAGCTTTAAGAAAGGGACCGGTAATGGGACCCGATATATGGCATCTGTCATTCTTTTATAGAGTAAGGCGTGAGATTCGCACGAAGATGAGGTTTGCGTCAATGAACCTGAAGGCGGGTCTTAGATAGGACAGTTGGGGTGAGACGAAACGTACTAAAATAATATACCATAGTAATGTTATCTACTATTAATATATAAGTCTGAGGATAACAATTAAAAGTTGGAGAAACAATAAATTGAGCATAATATGGGAGATGTCGTTGTAAGTATATATATTTTTAAAAAAAATAAACACGTTTTACAAGAACTACCTAACACAAGGTTTACAAGTGCCATCGGTGCCCTAATACCCAAATAATACGCAATTTACACATTTTGTAGTCCGACTAAAACGAGGCAATGTTCATAAAACATATTTTTGCATCGAAATCTTGTTTTTAAATGTTCCTAAAGTAAATATTCAAATTGAAATTTTATACCGAAGCCCTAAAGGTCGTACACACAGGGTGTTGCGTCAAGTCGCTAATACTTTTGGGGCGGAAATAGGTAGTAAGCATGACCAGGGACGTCGCTACGGATTTTCTCTGAGGGAGGAGGAGGTCGAAAAAAATTTTTTCGTCCACAGGTCCCCCTACCTGTGGACCGATTTTTCAAAATTTTTATTTTTCGTCCTGTGGAATTTTTTTCGGATTGGCTCTGGGACTTAAAATGTACATAAAAGAACTGTGTTGTTAACTTTGTAAGTTAATTTTAAAATTTTTGCTAAGCAGGAGATTGTCTTCGGCCCTAACGCTCTTGTCGATAATCTATACTTTTAGTAAAAATTACACATGGCTCACACTTTAAAAATCGCATGATTTATAAAATTGTGTACTTGAACTGTTCTACATTTGAGCCGTTCCATATTGGAAAAAACTCAAAACCCGAAAAATTGATTTGAAACCGGAACAGTTCAAATTGCGACATGACGTGACAATTAAACGTGACGAAGTTTGATTCGTCATTAAACACGCCTGAATAAACGGCTACAAATAAAAATAGGCATATCGTATCGGATGGCCTCGAGCATTTTCTATTGTCCTAATGATAATACCGTGGGAAATGGGTATAGTGAGGCTATGAAGCTACGATTTGAAATTGTCTACTATAGCCTTGACTTTTTATTATTTTTGAATAACTAGTTGCTTGGGCTGGTTATGAGAGTTTGAAAGGTGACAAAATATAGGTCTAGGTTTATATCACTTTCATGGAATTGGGATGACATAGCTGGTTATAGTTAGAATTATTGAAAGGTGGTGAAAAACCAAAAATCAGTCTTTTAAACATTAATAATAGGATGTTAAGAATAGTAATACTAAGTACGGTTAATCTATGAATGATATTGTTTTAGACGAAAGGTCATTATAAATAATTAAAATATCTAGACATTGAGGCTATTGTTTAAGTTACAGTATTTAAAACTGGTATTTGTATAACTGGCATATAAGAATATACTATTGCTTTTTATGGTTATCGATAATTACTTTATAATAGACGTAGTAAAAATAATAAAAATAACTATAACTTATAATAATCATATACTCTTTGGCCTTAAAAGTCTTACTATAATGTTAATATATTATACATAGTGGTAGAGCATCAAATAATTAATAAGTTTTATACAAAGCTAGAAAAGTTGGTAGCCAACAACATAATGACGTTAGAGTAATCTCTAAACGTTTTCAAAAGATGCCTTTAAATATAAATGTCTACCGTTTCACACGTTAAATTTAAACATCGGCCCAAAATAAAACTGACATTCTTCAGATAAAGATAGGGCGACAGTTTAGTTTCAATTTATTCAGATGAACCGTGAAATCCAAAAATAAACGTCTAAAGAACACATTCTTGACATCACAATACTAAAACAAGACTGTGTAAGATAGAATTGTAAGCTTTGGGCATAATTTTTTGGTGCGGCTTCTTTCAAGTTTTTTTTGGTGGGGCCGGGCTTGGTTGAGTCTAGCCTTTTTTAGGTCTAGATATGAAATTGTCGGTGCTGGAGGGTGAGTACACTCTTGGGAAAGGGACAAACCTATTTTTTGTATAAATAGTATATTTAAAGCCCATTTTTTAAAAATCGGCGGGAGAATAATTAAAATAATTATGGTTGATTCTTAGAATTACAGTAAAATGGAAACGTAAAAAAAAGTATTGCCGTCAGCCCCTGACTGCCGTGTAACCTTAAATGTGCGGATTTACGTATAGGATGGGTCTTTACATAGTGCTAAACTTCACTTATATAGTATTAAATTTTACGCTCTTTTGACTAATATAATGTTATATTACTATGGCATTAAAATTTTACGGAATGTAGGTGAAAAGTAGTGAGTCTGACATAATTTATGACACTACAGGAATACGAAATGGGTTAAAGGTTGAATTGTTTAAAAAGTGACATTAGTAGTTGCATTATAGACTATTCACAAAAAATATGACAAAAGGGGATGTTATGAATATTAAAGATAAAGGTAATGGCGTAAAACATTTTTTTTTAATTTAAAAAAATGTAACATATTAAAGCTTAGTGGAAAATAAAAATTTAAAACTGTTCTTTTATTTTTTCCAAAAATTTGCGATAGAGACATAAAAAGTAACATTTATTATAAATTTTCAAATTCTATAACGTTTCATAAGTCAAAGTAAAAGCCGTCTAAAGCTGTCACTTTTTGAAATATTTTTATAAAATATTATAGTAAAGACAACATAACGAGGGCTGAGGGCTACAAATATATTAAAAACACGAATCATATAACAATCTTTTTAGGTAAAATGTGGTCTTAACAGTGTGTCAACCAATGTGGATCAACGATCATCATGGCTGGTTGCTACACAATCTCGATTAGATCTAAGAGCTCTAGCTCAACCATCTCTTCAGCCTTGTCAAGAAGGTAAGTCAGGTATACAAAAGTAAGATAAGTTACAATTTTTAGAACATTAGGTTAGAGCGATGGTCTTTTTGGTACACTAGAAAATTAAAGCAAAGAAAAAATAACAAATTTTAAGCTTAATTTTACGAAAAAATGCAAACTACTAAAGTCTGGCACGGCAAAGTATATAATCATACGACTGACGTGGAATAAGTAACACAACAAAGATGGCAAAAACAATTATGACATCTTTATAAGGCGTTTTATGGGTTTGTAAGACGGTTATCGCTTATGCATAAATAATTATTTTATTTCGAAAAATTGTACTGGTCTAATAAGTATACACTCTAGGGACTGGTTTGAACATTTCGAAGGTCTATTATCATTTTAGTTTATTTAAAATACTCATTTTTTTAAACTTCAGGAAAATGTGCATCTACACACCAATTCTACGTTATCGCCATCATATTGGTGGTGCTTTGTGGTGTTACTACGACTGTTTGGCTGATTGCTTGTTGGAATCGGCCTAAGGTAAGTTGTTTTGTAAAATACGAATGGGTCTTTTTTGGACTTTTAAAGAATTTTTACATTATAGAACCTTACTACATTTATAGTTTTGAACTTTGTTTTAGATAATGTACATCAAAACATGGCTTCAAGGCAATTCATACAAAGAACATGTTGGTCAAATCGTCTCTAGTAGAAGTTATGACAGTTCTAAGTCATCAATTCTAACTTCGTCCAAGTACAGTAATGATACTGATATGCCTAAAGCTCTTAATATCTCTAGACCGTAGGTTTTTTGAATTTACTGAAAAAACAGTAAATTTTAATTTTGAAAATATTATTTTAGGTTATCTTCATCAGTTGGTCAATCCCTAGACGCACCAAACTTGGACGACTTAATAAAAGAACACTCTGAATTCAAGAAACGATTAGATCTTGACCAAATATCTGCTGAAACTCTAAAACGAAGACCAGTGGTACCATTAGCATCAGAAGCTATACTCAAAGTTCAGCCTTATCAAGAAGGTATGCCTACTCTAATGCTTCAACATTGGCCGTTGAGTACACCGCAATACCGCTCATTTGCCGAGCCAAAGTCTTTTGAAAATGAAATTTTGTCAAAGATGAAACCCTTTGATGTCGTTGCTTTTCCATCTCTGGACGATCTGCCAGACCCTCCACATATTACAGTATCTGAGATTAAGGAACTTAACAAAGCCTTGAATACGCCGTATGTTACGACTGCTAATAATGTAATTGGGTGGAATGATGTTGTGGTAAAACCATTGCAAAGGACAGTCACTATGAACAGTGGAAATACGATCATGAGCGACATTACTACTAAGACGGTGGATCCGATTAACAGAAGGTTGAGTATTGCTAGTACTGTCGACTTTAGGCCGCCTAATTTTTTGAAAAAGATTATTGGTATGTTTTTTTTAATTTAGGTATTAAATTTTTTATTTTTTTTAAATCTAGGCAAAATTTTTATTTTTTTTAAACTGTGGTATCACAACTTATTTTTTTTGAAAAGTAGGTATATATTAAAGTACGAAATTTTTTCAATTTTAGGTACATGCCTATAGGATTTTTAAAAATTATTGATTTTTCAGGCATTCCCAAGCCTTTAGACCAGATATCATTCATGCCTGATCCAATGGCAACTTCTCCTTCATCCTCATCAGATTCATCTCTTGACATTACTGCCTCTGGCGACAAAAAGTTGTATACGATCTTACAAGATCTGCGACAAACTGCAGCTCAAAAAGAAGCCGAATTGGCCAAAAGTGCGGCCGAAAATGACTCAAGATGGCTGAAATTACTTTATAATAACTAATTTAAAGCGGTTTTTTAAATTTTAAGTAAATTTATGTACAGTTTTAAGTTAGGTTTACTAAAATGGTTGTAAAATACGCTTAAATTGCCAGAGTAACATACGTTAACATTATCAGAGGAAGTTTGGATAAGGAAATTATAGTATTTTTTAAATTTGGAACGTTTGTTTGGCCTAGTCACCGTTAATTTTATGGACACCTTGTTATAGCTGATTCATGGCTTAAAATTTCATCTCAATTCATTCTTTTAACTATTTTTTAAATTTAAAAATATTAAATCTAGTAAATAAAAGAGTTTTTTGGAAAAATTTACTACAAAAGGGTGGTTATATCTTTGGTACAACGGGAAGACTGATTACTATATTTTGCGTTTTGAATTATCATTATCGTATTTTACTACAGTATTAAAAGTTCTATCTCTGAACTACTTTAAACTTACGACAGTCACAAAATACAAGAATTTTTGAATTTAATTCCTCTCAAGAAATCTACAATAATATTCAAAAATGACTGTCAGTTACAACTTCGATGCCCTAACGAGCACATGGATGGGTGGGATTCGTATTTTACTGCGATGGAAAGGCAGTATCTGGAAGAGGGTCTACAAAGAGTTGATCTTTTGGTTTGTAATATATGCCTTGATCAATGTTGCTATCAATATGTGCTCTGCATTCCACAAAGATATCTTCACAGTGATTAGAGGAGAAGTTCGAAAGGGTTGTGTTGGGCTACCTCACATATTCATATTGGGATTCTTCATGAATGTGGTCTTCAATCGATGGGTCAACATCTTTGCTAAAATTGGGTTTGTGGATCAGTAAGTAATTTTATTTTGTATTAGTAGTGATTGGAGAGTAATCTGGGTTATTATCAGTGCTGGGATGGGAATTTAGCTAGGAGCGGGTTAAATTTTTTTAAGATTGACTGATAAGATTACTTTGAATTTATTTTTTTATCTTTTAAGGGCGAGAGGGCTTTATCTTTCTTGGTTATCTTCTTCCTTTTTGCTGTACGGTCAAACTAATGTACAACCAATTTATCTACATATAATAGATCTGTAAAAGATTCTTGTTTGAGCCGCGGCTCTTTCAATATACAGGGGTTATATGTTATCTAACCTCCAAAGTAATACAACAAATTTAAGTTTTGCACTAGTAATCGAAAGCAACATCCGAGGATCAGACATAGAAACGCGGATTCTTCGTCGCACTTTGGTCCGTTACCTTGTGTTAGCTCAGACCCTGATCTTTCGCGACATTTCCATTCCGGTCAAGAAGCGATTCCCGAATCTGGCATCGATAGTCGATGCTGGATTGATGACCGACGATGAGTTGTGTATATTCGAATCAAAGGATGTAGATCGGTATTATATGCCGTTTCAATGGAGTTTGAGGCTGATCAATCAGGCTAGACTGAAGGAGAAGATTCTTTCTGATGTCATTGCTTTTCATATGACTACGGTAAGATTGGGTTTGTGGTTTTATAGTCAAATTAAACAAACAATGGCATTTTTGAGGGGTAAAATGTGATTGGGACGGGGCGGGGTAAAAGTAGTTATAAAGGGGAGGATTTTCAGATTTTTTAAAAATTAAAATTTTTTTTTGATTTTTAGTAATGTAAACTAATAAAATAGGTAACAAAATTTTAAAAAATAATTTTTAGAAGCTTCGCGAATTCCGTGACACAATAAGTCATTTACTGATATACGACTGGATCCCTGTGCCTATAGCATACCCTCAGATCATCTTTATCGCAGTCAGAATATACCTTTGTATGCTGATGATTGGGCGACAAGTTTTGGAGGGAGAAACGGTAAATTTTAGTTTAAAATTAAAAAATTTTTTATTTTTTTTGGAAGGTAAGACAATATAATTCTAAATCTTTGTTTATAATTTTGATTTTTAAAAGTGCATGTCTTCAGGCCATTCAAACCGACGACAAATACCTAAAACAACTTTTCCAATTCCCAGTAATGACATTTGTGGAGGTATTCCTATTGGTCGGATGGACCAAAGTCGCTGAAAGTATGTTAAACCCCTTTGGCGACAACGACGATGACTACGACTGTTCCTATATCATCGACCGTAACCTGAGCACCGGATATGCCATAGTAGATGCTGTCGAGTACCCTCCATCCAACCAAGACCCCTTCTGGAACATTCCATCGCCGAATCCATTTGATATTGTATCAAAAAGACCATCGCTAAAGTCCCAGCCTTATCATGGCAGTGTTGCGGATCTGGTGGTGAAGAACGACAAGTCGAGTTTGAGTCGGATCAGTACGTTGAGGAGGCGGTCGATCAACAAGAGGATTAGCATGGCTAGCCAGCAAGAGCCCTCGGTCTATGTTGTGGATGGGGATTATCGCAAAAGGTGGGTCATGGTTAATATAAATTAGTAGCATGGTTAATATATATGGTTGTTCAATTAATTCAGTGCTCTTTTTCAAAGCAAATTTTGGCGGTTTAGGGGGCGCAGAATTATGTGAACAACCTAAAACTTGCTATTGTGGTTAATTTAACTTGGTGTCATGGTTAATATCAGTCTTTCCACTAAAGAATTACACAAAATCGCAAACCCCAATCTGGAGAAATCGCTGTCGCGCCGAGAATTGGGGGACGTCGCGCGACATACAGCGAGTCGTGCGACATTCGCTTGGGTCCTGCGACATTGAAAGAGGAATCGCAATGTCGCAGGGTGCAAAGCTTTGCGACAAACTGTCGCGTCGCGATTTGAAAGGCGATGCGACAGCGTGTCGCGGTTGCCGCAACGCTCAAGCCACCACTGTGATCAGTGGAAGGTTTGCGACAAGATTTTTTGATTGTCGCAAGTCCCCTGACTCCTGCGACAACCGACCAGTGCGACAATTAGGGGCTTGCACTGTGCATTCTTTCTCTTATCGTTTGGGCTTGTAAGCGATCGCGGGGGGATCTGCACTGTGCAGTAGAATAAAAAAGGGCGCGATTTTCCCAGTGACTGCACTGTGCAGTTGTGAAATTCTTTAGTGGAACGACTGATATTACTTTGTCGTTTGAATTTAGTGCTGCCCCAATACCTTTGTCGCAACGTAAAATACCGATTCTGAATGACGATGCCTACTTTAACACTCTAAGAACTCGATTGGACAGTGTGACTGAAGAAAGCTCGAGAAACAATAGCCTAAATGAGGCTTCCAAGGCTTCTGACATTTCTGAATCTTAATCTACTGTAACTTTTTTTTTTTAAATTTTTTTGAAAAAATATTTATTTAAATTTTAAAATTTAAATTTGCTAAAATAAGCTCAAAATAACACTTTTTACAGCAGCTTTAGGCTTGGTCGCAGAACTTTCTTTTGTCGCTGAAAATGCAGTGTGCGTTGAAAGAAATTGCAAAAGAAGTGCGACAAAGCCTTGGAAGTGCAGCGACAACCGATTGAAAGTTGCAACAGGGCCGTTAACTTTGCGACAATGAGACTGTTGCTTCTGTTGACCCTTGCGACAAATTGTGACCGGTGCGCCATTTTTGTCGCAACTTTTTTGATGTCGCAAAAACAAATGCACTCTGATTGTGAGCAATCAAACAGTGGGTTGGATTGTTTTGTCGCTCTGCAGCATTGGCGACGACTTGTTTGCACCGTGCAAAAGGCATTGGTGGCGATTCTTTAAAATTGCGACAGAATTTGATTGCACTGTGCAAACAAAAATAAAGCTTCTGCACAGCGCGGAAATCAAAAAGGAGGTTGCACCGTGCAAAGACAAATAAGAGGAATGCACTGTGCAGAGTTAATGAGTGTACTGCACGGTGTAATAAACTTTATGAAAAAGGGTTGCACGGTGCAAAGTTTAAAAAAATTTTGCGCTTAAAAATTAAATTAATTTTTTTATTTACTACATTTTTTGAAATTGGCGACAACAAATGTCTACATTATTTTAAAAACTTTATTATATTAACATAATTAGGTAAAAGAGTTGTAATATTGATCAAAGATTACCCATATTGCTTTCATGTTTACGGACCGTAGTACAATATCACCTGCATTTTAAAGTGCTCATTGATTATTCGATTAAGTAATACTAGACAAGCACGTGGTGCTATGCGTAGAAGCGACAATATGTTTTGCGTAGAGAACAATGTTACAGTAAGAATTACAGTAAGGAATAGGAAGTGGGCGATGTTTAGGTATAGCAAGAGTTGAAAAAAGGTATTGAAGTAGAGCGTAAAGGCTATAAAATCGTTGTTTAGGACATGGAGAATGATTAAATACGATAAAGAATGTCATGTGCTTCAAAATATTTTCTTGGCAACAAAGTTGCCATGGATAATATATGACAATTTTGTTCTAATACTTTTGGACCAAGATAAAAGGCCCTTTTAGTACTATTTAGTTTGTATAGGATGTCTTACAACCGTTGTACTATATAGTACTACATAGTACCAATAAGATTTGATATAACAGTTAGTACTATATAGTACCACTCAATAAGGATAAGACAACTGTGAAGTAACAGTACGACAATTCTTGGTGTTTACATCCCAAATGTCCTCCAATGTCTGAAAGTGTATCTTGGTGTCATAGATGGCACTACTGAGCTTCTTATCTTCGACTGATGCATAAATGGCAGATCGCTTCTTTGGTAACATCGACGATATACTTGACTCGACTTGTTTCCTTAGATTTGGCAAGCAGCTTGTTAAAACAACGGCACAAGCGATGGCTGTCAGTTGGTTTAGGCATTGGATCAACTGAAAATAATTTTTATTTAAAAAATTTTTAGTATCATTATCATGATATTTAAGGTCTGTACTCAGTGAGCACAGAGCTTTCAAAGTGAACGGTCTTGTCGCAAAGTCAATGCTCAGTAAAAACGACCTCTCAGTTTAGTACTATGTAGTACCATGTCATTTCTGACTTTAGTACAATTTGATATTATAACAAAATACTTTAAATTACAGTACTATTGTGTTAACATGGTATGTTAAAGCCTAGTACTATAATACAAACAACTGAAAGTTTTTAACCTTACAGTACCAATACGTATCATACTATGCGTTAAGCCTAGTACTGCATATTACATAATAATCCTACCGCATCAAAACTCAAACTTACAGTATTCAGAATCTCCTCAAAAGCCGGGTTTGTAATCTGGGTCATGATGGCAGAATGTCGTATTACACTCAGCGGTAATGTCGTCAAGGAGAACAACGTAAACGCGAGATATACCCATTTCAGAGCACGACATGTCACCACGTTTTCCTTGAATTGGTATTTCACTCCCAATGACGTTATCGCGGAAAAGTTTTGGGTCTCCGAAGGTTTTGGTTTGCACATTTGGAACCACTGAAAATAGGATTTTAATTATTCAAACTCGATTTTAAAATGGCATAATTAAAGTTTGGTATGAGGAAGTGTTGGCTCATAGTAGAAATCGAGTTATGACTTCATTGTACCACAAATAATACACATTAAAAATTTTAGTTTGCGTTTTGAGTTTTAAATTTTAAAGCGACTGTTTGACAAATTTGGTGTTGTGTTTCAAGCGTTTTTTTACTTTCCAGGCGAGCTCGGCTTACAAATTTAAAAATTAAGATTCATTTAAAAGTTTCCCATCAGTATATCAAAGAAAAATTCATAAAAGTCTAAAAGTGTCAAAGTTATGGCGAGAAATTCAAAACGTAATTTTTTAATCTCGGTTTTCTCGAGGTTGACTGTAAAGCGCGATGTAGTACTTTGCTGCAGGGGTTATATTTACGTGATCTTTCTATATAAAAATTTTCAAGTTAATCAGAGTGGGGCAGGTCGGGCACTTTCCGTGTCAAAATCTTTATGTTGCATGCCGCACGTCGAGCCAAAATCTGCATTGAATTTGTGGCGATTCGTCTTTTCCCCTTTATAAGGCTATCGGAGAAATGTCTGACCTCTCTCCGTTTTCGGCTCGTTCGCTTTTTTGTCTGCGCTTTTTCCTTTTCACACGAATCGAGATCGAACGGATCGCCACAAATGCAACGAAATTATTCTCTATGTTCTGGCTCGACATGTGCCGTGGTAAAAACTTTTGATTATCATAACTTTTCTTCAGAATTTGTTGACAGCTTGAAGATAAAACCATTATGTTAAATTTTTCGCTCTTTTGTACAATATGTATCATTGGTAATAACTTAAGTTCCGTTATTTACCAATTCCTAGTCAGTACACTATGTAGCTTATGTTTATCTTGTCTTCTATCTTTTAAACCATCCTCCCCCTCCAGATACAAACTGAAATCGTCCGTCTGGCACTACCAGTCCCTACATATATATATAATATCTTTTGTTTTTCGAAATTTTGCAAAAAATGTTGTTAATTTTGTAACAATACCATAATAGAATATAAATGTAAGTGGTTTTCCGAAAACGATAAACAGGCTCACAAACTACAATGAAGATGCATACAATCTTAATCTACTTCTTATGTGGTAAACAAGTTTACTACTGTAACGTGTTCAAAAGAAACAATACTACATATTCGTACCATGGTATTGTGTTTAAAATTACATACAAATGTACCGCGCAGTGGTACTGTCTTATCTTGAAAGTTGTCGTATGGTACAGAATGATAGTATTACTGTAATATATTCAAACTTATAGTTTCTACATAATAGTACTACTGTGCCATTTTAAAAATTATGGTACTACAAAACTTACCATGAAAAACACGAATGATAACACAAACTTTGATATGTTAGCGTGTAGTACCATGTTATAGTTGAACTTGTAGATACTGTTTCGATCTGCCTTCTCTGATTGTTGCTGATCGTACTTACAGTAGAAGGATAGGGTTAAGCCTATGCAGATTATACACTGAAATACGAATTTTTTATTTTACTCTGTAAAGCTGTATATATATGTATATATAAGCAGAAATTATCACTTATAGAAGTCAAAAGTTACTGTAACTTACATTAGTAAACATGACCATGTACCCAATACTGTATGGCACATTTTCGTATCTTATGATAAACTTTTTGGCACACCATCGTTCTACAGCGACTAGTAGTACTAAAGACGTTAGAGATACTTCAAACAGTGTTTGTAGTACCACTACTGTAACTTTGGAGTTATATGTCTGTGTGGATAATAGAGATACACGACATAAGGCTATTATATTGTATGTGAAGAAGATGCAGCACTGAAATATAGATTCGTATTAGATGTTGTCTTCGCATGTCCTTGGTATATAATTACAATTATCATACCCCACATTACAGCACTTTATATCTCTACTACAGTATCCCATTCCCATTACAGTACCCAAAATCTTGACCCAATTGAACCTTACCAGCAAGATACGAAGGTTTCCGTGCACGGTAGACAAGTACGGTAACTTTGTAATCATGAACACGCTTATCAACACAAATACGATGCTACAAAACAGTTCGCAGGCATGGAGGAAGTTCATCCACACCTCGAGGTTACTGTCGTTCAGCCATCGTATCACGACATCTATATATTGTTCTAGCATTTCCTGAAAAATATTTATGCCGATATAGTAAAAAACACGATTGTCACGACATATACTACGTTTACGAAAAAATATTTTTTTATTTTGAGTTTTAAAAAAATAAATAAAAATTTGAAGTCCAAAACATTGCACAGTGCAGGAAATTGAAATACGATGTAAAACCTAATAATATTTTTTTAAATAAAAATAAAAAAAATTTAAAAAAATGAGTTAAAAGTGTAGTTCCAAGACCCTCGAAACACACTTTCATCGTATCTTTTGTTGTGGGATTATCGCTTTGAAAGTTCAATTAACGGCTTATAAACCGAGTTGAGGAAGAAATTTTTAAATTGTCAGAATACTTTGAAATCTTATAAATAGTAAGACAGTTAGTAGAAATGGTTAATTGCTTGTAAATAGAAAAAAAATTTAAGTAACTACCTTATCATAGTTTTACACCTTCCAACAGCTTTACTTTACTCTGGCTTTGCCCTTTGATGACCTTACTTTACTTAAGTCCTAACTTCGCCTTCTCTTAGCAGTAACATAATAGCTTCGCCCTGCCCTAGTAGCAACATAATCCAAGAATAACCATATTTTACCCTTACTCTAGCTTTACGCAAACCTTACTTTAACCTTATCGTAGCCCTATTCTTGCACTAGCCTTACTAACTTTAAACTTTTTTCACTTTATCTTGCTCTACCTCAATTACTTTAACTTGCCTTAGTCCTACTCTTGCCTTACCCTAGCAGTACCATAGTCTAAGCATAGCTTTAATTCCTCCTTACCCAGCTTTACTCAAACACCACTCTAACCCTACTTAGTCCTAACCTTGGCAACCGTAAATTTGCTTTTTCTTACCTTACTCTTCCTTACTCTAGTCTTATCCTATCCTAGCCCTACCTTACTTCTACACTAGCTCTACTCAAACCCTACCATTAACCTACGATAGTCCTAGTCCTGTATTAGCATTGCTAAACCCCCTAGAATTAAACAGTTCTGCCTTTACCTAATTTGTCTGTTTTTTTCAAAATATTAGGTTGAACCAAAAAGTAGCGGGACACTTTTCAGTTAAAAAACAAGTGAAAAGTGTCCAGCTACTTTTGGTTCAACCCAATAGTATCCAAAAGTTTCAAGTTCGAAATTCCACAAAAAATTTGAAAAAACGAAAAATTGAAAACGAAATGTAAGGAACAAAAATTGAAAGTTAACCAACTATTACTTACAAATTACACAAACCTCAAGTGTTACAACCACAAATCTCGAAAACTACATTTCTTTCATCGGGAAATTGTAGTTTTTAGTAAATTTACAATTTAAACTACTTTTTTCAAAGTTGACATTTTCAAAATTTTTGAAACTTGGGGAGGGGGGGGTTTTAAAAATTGAAAAAAGGTAAAAAATTAAAAATTATCTGCAAAATCTCAACAAAAACATAAGAAAGTAAAATTTTAAATTTTAAAAAATTAAATTTTTAAAAATTTTCAAAAAATAAAAAAGAAGTCTAAACACCTAAAACAATATCACACAACCCTTTCCCACAAAATAATCAAAGCCCTGCATCAAAAATAGTACCAAGTTAGTTTGGCAGTCATAAAACCCCACTTCCCTAAGGCAATTAACACATAAGCGGTTATTACCTCCCGAAAAGCACGGAATTTAGCCACAGAACGGCGGCCGTTTCTACGGTAAACCGGCTGACGTTGAGACGGCGTTAGGACAGAGTGAACAACAAAATCGAACTCTCACGCCATAAGAACCGAAAATTGACGTCGCCTTTGTTGTAGTTTGCTATGAGAATCAAAAAATTATTATAGCTTGACATGGCTATTTTTAGGTGTATAAACTTTGTAAAAAATTTTTAAAATTAAAAAAAAAATTTTTTGTATAAATTTTTTGTACCACTAATAGTGCCCATAAAAAATTTTAACCCGCGTTTTTGTGTTTTAAAATTAAATTATTTCGGTTTACCGCCAATTTGGAAAATTTGGCATTGTGTTTCAAGCATTTTTTTTTGACTTTCCAGAAAAGCTACGTTTATAAATCAAAAAATTTAAGTTCATATACAGTATTTTGCCCGGACCGGTCCGGAGCGTTTTTCACCGGTCCGGCGATTTTTTGGGTCCGGTCCGGTCCAATCTTCAAATTTTTGGGTCCGGTCCGGACCGGTCCAAACCCGAAATTTTTGGGTTCGGTCCGGTCCGCAAAAAAAATTTTTTTAATTTTAAAAAAAGCAAGGATCGCTAAAACTGCTTTCTTTTTGCTTAAAAACTCCTAAAAATATGTTTTATTTGCAATTTTTAAAACAGTTTTCTTAAAATAAAAAAAAAGTTTTCTTCCGGACCGGTCCGGAGCTTTTTCTTCGGTCCGGGTCCGCCGGTTTTTGGGTCCGGTCCGGTCACTAGTATATCAATAAAAAAAGATTAAAGGTCAAAAAATGACAAAGTTATAAGCTTGAAGCACAATGCCAATTTGGCGGAGAATTCAAAACTTAATTTTTTAATCTCGATTTGCTCGTCATTGAAGTACTATTCTAAAGATCTTATATTAACATGACCTCTCTAAATAAAAAGTTTGAAGTCAATCAAAGCGGGGCAGGGCTGGCAATTTGCATGTTAAAATTTTTCGGTCTTTTATATCATATGATACTTAAATTCAAATTTTTTAAAGTTGAAGAGAAAAAAGAATAGTAAGAACTAAATAGTTTCGCAAATAAAGAAAAAATAATAGAATATTAGCTTAGAAAGATAACACGAGGCTCCATTTACTACAGTATAATAACAATAAACTTTCTCAATCTTGTTGACAAAAATAAGAATTTTGAGAAAGCTTTCATGTTGACAACTCGTGGCAAAAAAGGGTTTTCTATAAGTAGAAACAAAGAGAAAAACATTTAGTTTTAATTGTGACATTAATTGTGAAATTTAGAAATCCATTGCAAAGTAAAAAGTTTTGAAAAGTTTTGAAAATACCGTATTTTAGTTTAAATCTTAAAATTTTGCAAAATTCTAGTCTGACAATAAAGCTGAGCTACCGTGGAGCTACTGTACAACAAAAAACGTTTGGATTCTCGACTAGCACTACGCAGTGCATTCAAAACTCATCTATACTGAAACTACTTTATGACGAAAAAATTTAAAATCCCCGGGCCATTTGCTATACAAGAGCTCCACTATATATAATATCTACAAAAAGTTATAAAAAAACAATTTTGCCAATATATAGGTTATAATATAACTACATATGATTTAAAATATACGTAAAATTCAAAAACTTCTAAACACAACATTTCCTTCAACTACTTTCTTATTAACCTCTTAACTTGTACAACACCATGCCGTCTGAAATAAACCAAATTTAAAAGAAAAAAATATTTCTGAAGCTTGTGCCAAGGGCGGTATAATGAAATTACTAAACAAAATGTGGCTAGCTTTTGAGACGTTTTGAACTTTTTTTTTTGATATGTACAGCTTCAGTTGAAAGATTGTAATATATACCATTCTTAATCTTAAAAAATTAATAAAACTTCTAATGTTATCCCATTAGAAGTAACACAGTAAAATATCCAAAACTATTTACTAGACAAAGATTGTTAACTATAACAAACTTCTTCGATTTTGAATTGGACCGTAATGTAAGACTCTAGTGGATGCAAATAGTAAAAAGCTACTAAACTCATTAAAAATCCGTAGTAAACATAGATCAACTCTTTTTAAAGCTAAGGCAAGCAGTTGTACATGCCATATCGTGCAAGATTTTACGTAGTAAAACAATAGAGACCTTTAATGTCGTCTGTGATTTCAAAGACGTATTAACTTTTAAATTTGCATTAAATTTCAAAAATTTTTTTAAAAGTATAGCTATTGATGTACAACGTATTGTACTATCGTTCTAAAATTTACTATTAAAAAACTCTATTATTACTCTTTTCTTTTTATTATATTATCATAGCCTCTATTATACTAGTCCTACACGTCTTTTACTATTTAAAGCTCCATTGTACTACCTTTAATACCATTATACTTTTCCTACTCGTTCGTACTATTCTAAAATCTCTTATATCACTCTATATATCACATATACTTCTATTATATTTCTACTATCTTCACCTCTATTATATTAACCTAAACAATTTGAAATCCCAAACAAATGATGCAGGTAACAAATGTAGAAATGTGTATTTATACTTCTGTTCTCACATCATTTTAACAATGGCAATGGCTCTTTGGGGACTTCTTGTAGGATTCTGCTGAACCCATTAACGTATGTTGGACATGATCAAACAAACATAACTATGCTCGGTCCTTGCTTTAGGCTTGCATTATGTTATGTTGAGTTATGATGTGATAATGTCTTTTTAATGAGCTACGTCAGTTGGGTTTCAACAATAAAAGGTCCAAATGTTAACATATTAGGTTGTTCAATTAATTCTGAGCCCTTATTAAAACATATTTTAGTAGCCAGGTAGCTCATAATTATTTCAACAACCTATTATATCAAAGATGTCATGGTAAATGGTTTTTAATGAAAGTATGTTTGCAAAAACATACTCCAGCATGTATGTTGGATGTTAAAATGTTGGGTCAATTAGTTTAATGGCAACGAGATATTATTGATCTATGTTCTACATGTAAAAGATACTGTAGTCTCTTATTACTGTTACTAAATTACTTACTTTACTAAAACTACTACTAAAAAGTCTAAAATTTGATAAAACTAGCTACAATACTACTCCAAATGCAATTTGTGTTTACAACACTGTAACTTCTTCCCTCCCCCCTCTTCTAATTTTTAATTTTTACACCGCCCACACAAACTTCCCTAATAGCACTTACAACGACATGTACGTACATAAACTGTTGTTCTAACTGAGGTATTTAACTGGACAATTTGCTTACGTATCTTGGAATTACCATCTTGTTTTGTCGTGACGAAACAAAGTAAAAATAGTCATAACACCTGCACGCTATAGTCGCGGTAATTGAATACGAATTTCGAAAAATTTTAAGTTCAATTCCGCATACGAAAAGCCGCTGCGACATGACATGTTTTTAGGACAACCTCGATGTCTGTTTGTTTTGGCATGTGCAGTATAACATTTGTATTAAATTATATTTATTATATTATGTTGTTCAAATAATTTAGTGCCCCCTAAGCCCGATAATTTGCTTTCAAATATCAAAAATTTAAAACTGAAAAGCGTGAGCTAAAATATAATGTTTTATGGGTACTAGTCATAGTAAAAATTCATATAAAAATTTTGAAAGACGCAGGTTGGGCACTTTCTTTGTGAATAAATATTTCAAAAATTTTATAAAAACAACTCAGTAAATCTATCGCGATAGTTTATTCATGTTCTTAGATTCATTGACGAATAGTATGCTCTGTACCGTAAGGTTAGGTATTATTGTTTACAGAAGCCACAAGTCACTGGACAGTCATCAGTGATAAAGGAAACGTAGGGCTGAAACCAATATTTCATAGAACTGTAAGTTACGATTTTTTTCTTTTTTTTTGCGGTTAAAAATAGCATTTTTAAGCATTCAGGCAAAAATTTTAAAATCTACACCAACTTATTAATATTATACCGTAAAAGACGTTTTTTCTTTCACTAAACCTATTCACTAGTTTAGCACATTACTATAGTAGTATACTATAATTTAATCTTTTCTGTAGGTATCCTTGAGTAACTGTCGTAGAAAAAGCAAAAGGAAGAAAGTTTTAAAATGTGATTTACGTACAGGATTTTGGCACAAATACTTGTTCCTTTTACAGTTTGATGTTGAGTCTTTACACTGCCATGCTGGTTTTGAATTTCCATCACATCTCTTGCAGGTTCTTCTGCAGTCATTGGTCAAGCTTTCAACGTACAACTAAAAGTTAAACAATAAATGTAGATTTGACATTATAAAACTTACAGGATGATCACAGAGATGAGCTCTAGCTTGACAATCACTCAATTTGTCAGTACAACTACCGTACGCTCTAGCTCTTCCAATCCGCGAGATAAAGAGTGATGTACTAGTTGAGTGTCCAAGAAGAACAAAAAAAAATGCCAACAAAAACAACGTATTCATCTTGACCTTTGATATATCATTGACAAACTTTTTGACTTATATACTATGATATATTGTTTTTATAACAGCTATTACAGTCTACAAGTACGTTTCGAATAGAAAGTAGTTTGTTGAACAGGTGGTCAAACTACGTAAATATTATTAATAGCTGATGCTTTGCCATTCTTTTGGAGTTTAGTGAACAATCAGCTAGGTTTTTAAAGTTTAAGTTGTCGTTTAGCAGAACTAAAACAACTTTCTCAAAACTGCAATTCTCAAAAAGCAAAATGCGAGCAAAAACCACCAGAAAAGGACCTTTTCACAAAATTATTTTTTTAATATTAAACTAGATGTAATAATAAAAATCCATGTAAACACTTTTGTTTTTACTACGTATTACATATGTAACAACTTTAAACATGCTAAGTTACATGACTTGCTTCAAAGAACGGTGAATTTTTAACATTATGATCATGCGTTCGACCGTAGCAATGTGAAAATGTCATGCTTATATGCCTTTATACCATTTTTCATGTTGAAAACAAATTTAATTTTTTTGGTTACTGTAACAAAAAATGTTCACATATTTTCTGTTAAAGATATGAAAAGAGTTACTTTAACATAGGGTGCATCCAGGGACGTCGCTACAGATTTTCTCTGAGGGAGGGGGAGGCCGAAAATTTTTTTTTCGTCCTGTGGGCCAATTTTCCAAAAAAATTTTTTTTTCGTTTTTTCACGTACAGGTACCTACCTACCTGTGGTATTTTTTTTCGGATTGGCTCTGGGGGAGGGGGTACCCCCCCTCCCTCCCCCTCCCCCAAACGACGTCCCTTGGTGCATCTATTAGGTTGTTCAAACATTTCTGTGCCCCCTAACCCCGAGCATTTTAAAATATTTGAAACATTTTCTTTTTACCACATTACAACCAAACTTACCGCAGTATCCGTTCTAAATTTGAAAATGTTGCGAAATGTCACAACTACGTTTAAAAGTTCATCAATCTACATTTCACTGCACCCGAACGCAAAAGAAAAAATAAAACACAAAAATGTGACATTTCGTTTTCATAAGGCCGCGCGTTCTACAAAATTTATTTTAGGCAATTAAACTTATTATTTCTCTATTTTAGGTAACAAAGGGTTTAAATTAGGTTAATAAAGCATATATTTTGTAAAACATTATATATTTTTTAAGTATATTCACTTCTATCAAAGTTATTAACAACCTTATGTGAATTTAGGTAACAAAAACATGTTTTCAGTGCAGATATATGTCTTTAGCCTTTGAAATGTTGCAGCATTTTGCTTTTCATAATTTAATCTGCTCCTGAAAAGAGAAAAGAATAATATAAAACACATACCAAAGGTTGATTAAAGTTTTTCTGTAACAAACAACAAGTAACAAAATATTTTATGGTTAAAATCGCAGAATTAACTCTTTTAACTCAAAAATAAGTTGATCAATGTTGCCATAACATCAAGTTTTAGGTATTTATTAGACAATATAGCACAAAAAGTCTCAAAATCAAGCTTCCAAGCGAAAAAACCGACCGAAAAAATAAAAAATAAATGAAAACGAAATGAAACAAATTATCGGAAAAGCGATCGATAACGAATCTCTAGAAAAACATTGTTTGCGGTTTCGGGTGCAGTGCATTTGTCTTTACTTTTAGCATTTTCATTTTTTGAAACTCCACATTAATGAAAAAGTTACAGTATTCATTATACTTGTATGAAAGACCATACGGTAAGCAGTTCGACAACAAAATAAAAAAGAAAAAACTTGTTGAATCTATAATATTACATAGATAGTCCAAATATCTATGAGCCATTGGGCAACTTTCACTTTTTGGGTACCATATATACCTAAATAGTATAATTGGAACGCACCGTATTTTACATAAAACACTCCAAAATACCAAACGCTCTCTTTTTAAAAAGTTATATTATTATTTGTAATTTCAAAAAATAATTTTTAGGTTCATCCATATTTGAACAAAATGATAGTTGGTTGTTTATAATAGACCTCTCTACTGTACCTTACTCCTTTCTCAAATTTGTGACAAATTAATGATTGCCGCGGTTATATGAAAGAAATTTGCATATCAAAACGGTGGTTGACTAATTACAGCGGTCTCATGCCTCTTTTGCGTAATCAACTGTAAAGAAAGTTTTTAATCTGATATGGTTTTGATATACGGTTAGGGTAGCTTGGTATAACATCAACCTGCTTTTTTAAAAGTTTTTTACCACAAAGATACAGTATGTACAACTTATATATATAACATAATACTTGATGTACGTATACGTATACATTTATATCACATCACGGTGAATCAGGTATGATAGATTTCATATTACCCAAGTAAAGATCATTCACATCCAAATCCTCATTCACCAACTTTCTGGTACCGATTGGAGGTAATGGGGCCAACTTTCTCTCAAATAGTGCTTTTGGTACAATTTGAAGCCGAGTAATGCCAATAACATTGTTAATACGAACATAGTTGTTGAGATTGGTGATACTATGTTTATATTGATGTTGAACAAATCTCTTTCCAAATATCTTCAGAATCGTGTTTCGATACAATGGCACACACCAGATGACAGCAAGAGAGTTGAAAAGAGGCGTGGTCCTGGTTATAGCTTCAAACTTGCCTATATATGGTATGTTAAGCTGTAGTAGAGATACGATGGGTAGTACGGTCATGGGGATAAAGAGGGCCATTACTGGGTAACTGACCTGTAACTTACTCAGTAAAACTTGTATAATATAAGGCGACTTATTGCAGTTATGGTCATATATGTATGTTAAGGATATATATTACACTACGAAGACCTACCTGAACATAAACGATCCTCTGAACTTGTCGCTGTGCCTGCTTCGTATGTTCCGACATACAGTGACTAATCCTCCTCAACATCTGTTTCGTCTTATAATGAAATACCATTGATATCAACGTACTGCCAATTGTAATAACTGCCCCATTAGTCACGTATATTTTGCTCAACCATACAGTACAATCAAGTACAGTATAAGGCGGAACATATCCTATTGTAGACAAAAATGGATCATTTACTAGCACAAAATCGTATGTTGAGTTAGGAGATGACTCAGTGATTAATGATAACACACCATGAACAGAAGATACGACAACAGCTATTGAGAAGGCGTTACGTAGCTTCTTTGTGCTGACTTGTTTGTTACTTATAATATTGAAACGGTAGAAGAACTGTACCGGGATTACAGTAATTGATAAGAAGGTTAAAGTTAGTTCAAGGCACGGTACTATGAGAGCAATAGTACTTTGAGATTTGAGGTATGAGTTGGCTATATACACAAAGGCTTTGCCATCGTGTATAAAAAATTCCTGAAGATACGATTACTTTATATATAGTAAAATAACAGCCTTATACAATGCCATATATTACTATAGATATTCATAAACCAAAAGTAATCAACACAAAATCTCTATATACCTCAACTTACCGGCATAAAAACCAAATTAACCACATTGTAAGCCAAGTCTACACTAGCATTCATGATTAACATATGAACATAGACCTTTACCGTCCTATTTGTGGTCTTAAATGCCGCCAAATATATTACAGTACTACTAGTAATAATACCAAGCATATATACAATTACTTCAAGTAATAAGTAAGTAGAGCAAACAGTGAAAATGTCACGATAACCTTCATCTGATTCCCTAGGAGTTATGTACAAGTAAACGGTGGAATTGTATATGTTGGTAGCCATATATATACAACAAGTTTACAGTGAATATGCTACAGTATTTCTTACAGTATACAGTACAAGATTTACAGTATACAGTAGTATCAGTAATGTAAAAATTATTACTATGTTGAAACAAGATATACCAAACTTTCAACAACATACGAACATGACTATATCAGGCAGTAAAAACTAGAACATATGTTAACATTTACCGTGATAAATTCTACTGCCACTTGGCTATGCACAGCTGAATTGTTTTGTATTTTAGGATTGTTTTACGTACGTTCGATTTCAAATACCTAAATTAACCGTTTCTGCTACGAAACTCATTTTAATTGCACAGTAAATCTGGTATAATACAATTTAATTATTGTAATACATTTGTCACGAAATTTGACTGTTTTGTCTGACATCAATATACCAAAGAATTTTTTTCTACAACGCTTCTTAACTGTAAAGTCGTTCAAATAATTCTGTGCCCTCTAACCCAGAAAACTTTTATTATTAATAATTATTATAAAAAAGGAGGCACGTAATTATTTTAACAACCTATTACTTTAAAATTACAGTAAGTCGATTACATATGCCGACATGACATTGTCACCCAACTCTTTGTCGCCGGCTTTGTTTATTCGACCGACAAGACGACCTTTTGAAGACCGGGCAGAATCACTCAAGATGGTGCTGATATTTGGCGCATTCAATAATTAGTGTGTAGCGCCGCTTTCTATTGATATTCGCCGCCCGCTTAACAATAAACATAACGGCAGCTTGAACTCGCCATTTTTAGAGCTACTGTTATATATTGTGACATTTGTAGATGGTCTGTAGAGAATTTTAGTTGCTTTTTCTATAGAGACAGAAAAAATAAAGTAAAAGTGGAAGAAATGAAAGATTTGACATTTTTGTTACCGAAAACTATGAAAAAATAAGATCTAGTGTTAATATAGAGAAGTTGAAACCTTGAATTGCCTCAAAACCTATATTTACTTGTCTGGCAAAGGTTCAACATTCGCCTTCTACCTAGTAAGCTTATACTCATCTGCCGTCTATTTTCAAAATTGCTGCACTTTAAGTCAATGTTTTTACACTTTAGATTAACCTAAAACAGCAAAAAACTAATAAAATACTTACCAAAACTCCGTTGAAATAGGTATCAAACCACTTCTCACACCTAATCTGGGTTTCCATTGTCAAGTTTGTGCAATACTTCATAAATCCTTGGCCGAAACATTGTTATTGACTCTTCTTTTGTTTTAGGTCGAAGAATTTTACGAAAATTCGAAAAAATTAATTTTTGAATGCTTTTTTTGCCGCGCTTCCCCTGATTTCAACGTTGAATCGGCCCAAGCAGTGTTTTGCCGGACCGGTCCGGTCCGGATTTTCAAAAATTGCAAGATTGAAAATAACTTTTTAGCTTATGTTTTGAAGTTTTAAAAAATAAATAACTTTTGTGAAGGTCCGTCTTTGGCTTTCAAGTTATTACCAAAATGGACCACCCGGACCGGCAAGACCGATTCGGTCCGGCCGGTCCAAATGTTTAGCGAGGAACTTGTATGAGACGGACCTTCACAAAAGTTATTTATTTTTTAAAGCTTCAAATTATAAGCTCAAAAGTTTTTTTCAATTTTGCAATTTTTGAAAATTCGGACCGGACCGGACCCGGTCCGGCAAAACACTGGGCCCAAGAGCTGTAAAATAAGTTTTATACAACTTTAATTGCTAATTTTGAACCCAGTTTACTAACAATTCCTATGTCACTTCTATAGAAAGCTAATATGTTGTTATTGTACAAATCAACGATGCCACTTGTCTATGTTAACATATATGTGTTATGTTTTATTATGTAAATTTGAGTTTCTAAACAATATAAAATACGAATGTTTTGAAAATGCAAATTACACGAGAGGTCCCACGACAATACTTGGCTAGACGGGAATGCAAAAAACAATTTTTACAGAAAGACGATTAAAGAAACGATAGATCACGTGAAATACAGAAACGACAGATTTCTGTTCAAAAGTTCTCGGAATTTTATTTGAAATTTAAAGAGTGTCATGTAATACTGAAATATGGTTGAAAAAAATGTTACAGGTAAAAAGACGCTGTAAAATTTTTAAAATGCAAATTTAAGTTTAAAAATGCGAGAAATTAGGTATTAATAGCACCAAAAAGACCCAAAGTACAATAAGTTAAGGCAAAAATCCAAAAAAATAAAACTTTTTTAAATTTAAAATTCAAAAATAATTTAATTTTCGAATTTCAAAATTAAAAAAAAATAAAAATTTCACAAAGTTAAAGTCTACAATATAAAATATACAAAACTATTTAAAATACGACAATCTAAAGTCGCATATCTGTTTCATACGATGTACTAGAGTCGTATCTCCCCAAAAACTCGCGTTGCACCTACTGATATTGTGACTGATTGTGGTAGAACCCATTGTAAACTGGCAGATCGCTGAATTGAAGCCTGATCCCATCCATTCCATTCACAAAGTTTTGAGGAATGTTGAAGAAGGTGGTGTCGTTCATCATCCTCATATCAATCTGTTGGCCTAGGCCATCCTTTGGACTGAGCTGAGACACGTGGGAGTGGCGTTTGCCCTTAGGGTTGGCCTTGCGGTTTCGGCATTGAATGTTATCCTTCTTCATTGACTTGGGACGGTCTTGCTGAAAAGGTTGTTTTATATGATTTTTAGTGTAAGTTTAGGCTTAGAATCAGTTTTATTTGATCATTAGACTTAATTTCTATTTAAATTTGCAATTTTTTCAAAATTTTGTTGTTTCAGCTATTTTAAAATTAATCTTTTTTCGTCCACCAAGAAGCAGAACCCCCTGATTACAGCATCGCTCGACCTTGAGTTTTATTCCAAAAATTTAGTAAAATTAACCGACACTGACCCTCGTCCATCAACGACTTTCATTCCTCGTTTTCCTCCCTCTGCCCAAGGTCTTTTCTCTCGCACCCTCTCCCCCACCCACGCTCTCTCGGCATCGTATCACTTTCTTGACACGTCTCGAGTTTGTCGAGATCGCTATCAGCCATTGCTTGACGTGGACTTGTATTAGCGTTTTTAGGTAATTAATGACCCATTAATCATGAGTAAAAAGAATATTATAGCCCGAGTTTACTGCACTGTAAAATGGCGCTGTCTTATAGTGGAGGGAGGAAAATGAGGGTAATGGGTTTGGAAAGGTTGTAGAAATTAATACAGTAATTTTAGGTAACAAATGGCTTATAAAAATCAAAGAAGATACTTTGAACAATCTCTCGACAAAAATTACAGTAGCTTTTGCTCCCTCAACCTACCGTACCCACAAAAATAAAGCCAAAAATCGACCAAAAAATCCCAAAATTCGGCCGATTTCTCAATTCAAAGTCAAAAAACCTCTAAATCGCCTTCAGAATCCTTCATTTCTCCAAACTCTCCAACCTAAAAGCCCCCTTAATTTTATGATCTTTACATAACAAAACTCGACTTTGTCGGAAAAAACGACTGGTCGTAAAATCACCCAATTTGCACATGCTTCTGCACTAAATTTGCCGACGAAAAATAAAATTTTAGGTAAAACAAAGGAAATGCCGTGGAATAAAAGGCTGTTCAAGGTTGGGTTATGTCATAATTTAAAGTTTAAGATGATTTTTTGAAAAAAAATTTTTTGAGATTTGTAAAATACGGGTGCTGAAATTAAGCCGATAGAATAAAAAATATTTAAAAAATCTAAATCTGGCAAATTTTTAAAACTTAAAAATCATGTATTAGATTTTTCACATAATTCAGTTTCTTCTTACTAGACTTGGCTTTCGAGCCGGGCTTTAGGCGAGCAGAGCCGGCCAATCCGGTTTTTAGGCGAGCGGGAAAGCTCAGTCTACCCCTTACCCCGAAAATTTGCTTTGAGAGGAAGCACAGAATTAGTTGAACACAAAAAATAATTTTATAGGAATTTATACTTACATTATGAAGTTTATAGTACAACCCACAAGCATTACATACAGGCTGTTGATTCGAATTCCGCCTCCATAAGGTGGTCTTATCAGTGTTACAGTTGACGCAACAGATTCCAGTCCTTTTTTGGGTCGTCTGAAACAAGTTCTTACTGTATTTTATTGAAAACTTCATCTTTGTATTTGTAACTTTTAATTTGCATATTATTTTATATTTTTTAATTTTTATGATTATTACTGAGCTGTTCAAATAATTCTGTGCCCCCTCTCAAAGAAGTTTTTCAAAGTCAAGAAGCGCAGCATTATTTTAACAGCCTAATCTCTGCATCTTATGTTAAAGTAATTCTTTTAATGCATTTAAAACAAAATGTCTGCATATGTTTTGTTACAGTAACCTAAAACTTCAAAAATTTCAAAAACTTTGAAAAGTAAAAGTTTGTCATGTCAAAATTTCAAGAAATTCAATCTAGTCCAGAGAATTGAAAAACACACAAAAACTAGCTGAAAATGCTTTGCGTAGATCTTATCTCACTTGATGTACTATTTTCTCTTTTCTCTGACTCTCTGGCTTTGAAATAGCTCTGAATTTTTAAATTAACAAAAAATAGCTTTGTTTTACTACTGTAACTTTTGATACTAGATTCTTGGTTCTTTACTTTGAGAGGGAGCACAGAATTATTTGAACAACCTAATATCAAACTGAACTATAAGTTAAGAACAAAAGTTGCTAATAACTGATAATAAAATTAAGTTCTTTAGACTTTTTGACCAAAACAATACCAAAAATTATGTGAAAACTCATTTACAAGGTAATGCAGTGTAAAATACGACAAAATAATGCGTACTGTTATAAACAAATCTTGTTTTAATATCCAAAACAAGATTACTAGGTATTGCGTAACATATTAAGTTATAGCCATTGCTTTTCTCGCAAGGATAATCCGGATATTATGTTGTGGACATTGTTATTGAGGTGACAAAAGGTCAATTAAAAAGGTATCAAATTACTGAGGTCTCTTCTAACCTTAGACAATCATTTTGAAAGCTCAAAGTTATAGTTGGTACTGTGATGCTATAGCAACTATGTTTGATAGTATGATACTATAAACTGATAGTACGGTATTATAAACTTAAATAAAAGGTTTTTTAAATTTCAAAGAAATTGTATAGTGCTTTTAAAAAATAGTACTATTTTTTAATTTTCTAGTATTACTAGTACTGTATTTCAACTTTGTTGTACCACTAGTGCTATATTCCTCAATCTAGAATAAAGACGACAATATAATTTTTTTAAATTGCCCCTTCTTTCCCAAACCAAAACTGCCACTTTATCCCCAATTTCATCGACCGGTAACCCAGAAAGGCTTTGTCGGCGGACAATTATCATTCAGCCGGATCGTTGCCTACTTCCATGCCCACGATTGTTGAGGGAAAGCAAGGGTTTGTAAGGTGGATGATTGACAATTGAGGTCGAGGAAACAATAGCTTACGGCGGCCTGTTGCCTGTTACATCACGTAATTGGTAATGTAATCCCTAACTGTTAAGGGGGTGTTTGGGCAAGGAGAATTTGAGGATAGAGGCAGGGATGGAGAAGAAGGGGTAAAAGTAGACAATAAAAAAGACAAAAAGTAAAAACTTTAAAATCAAAAAAAAATTTTTTTTTTAAATTTTAAATTTTTAACTGCGAAAAAATGAAAATTTCGAAATTTCAAAGTTAAAATTTTTTTCAATTTAAAAAAATTCAAACCCAAAACTCTAAACCTACCTGTCGTTTCTTGGGCTTCTCCAACGGCCGTCTCGCCCCTTGATTCACCTTCTGATATAACCCACAAGCGTTACACAGGTAGTCTCCTCTGTTGTCTCGCCTCCACAACGGTGTGTGTGTAGCTCCACAGTTGGTGCACTGTCGGTTCTCTCCGCCAGCCGGCTTCACCTTGTTCGGCCGCGCTTTAATGTCATCCATTTCAATCTTCATCTCCGTACCCTCGTTAATCAACGGACATTCATCGTCGTTCATCGGAATGTTCGGAATACTGTTGATGGAGGAGGCATCTGAAGTCGATGGTGTCGAAATGAACAGATTCGGATTTACATTGTTGTAGTTGGCGTAGTCGGTGTAGTTCTGAACGTACTGGTTGAAGATGGGCTGAGATTGGATTTGAGTATTGACAAAGTCAGTTGAGTTGGTGATAAGGGAGGTTTGAGGGGTGGATAGGTCAGAAGCCGATGAAGTGACGATCATCTGATTCTGATGAAGATTTAGTTGAGTTGACGGTGATTGTGTAGCGTCAAATTGAGGGGCACAATACGTTGGAAGAAGGAGGTTGTGATATATGTTTTGGCCAAAATCTAAAAATTTTTGAATTTTGAAAAGTTTACAGTAACACTTTCAATTTTTTTTCATTTTTTAAGTTTCAAAAGCAATATTTTAAAGCCTTAAAAATCTTTTTTTTTTAATTTTTATTTTCAAAATCCAAAAAAGTGTAAAATACGACAGTCGACAACTGACCAAACGATTTACTTACCGTAACCAGTAGCATTCTTGATCTCCGGCTGGTAGTAAAACTGATTCGTAGCACAAATAAACTTTGATGGTGAGCAGTTATTCTCCTCGTTGTTGGAGGTATCGCTCAGCTGAAAGTCGCTCGTGAGGTCTGAACCGGTGGAGTTGAGTTCGGTTGCCTCGGGGACAGTGTACATAAAGGTTGGCGCTGTCTCCATCGGCTGAAATTTGAAAATTAAAAAAGTCTTAAAGGTAATTTTAGGTAAAATACGCCGTGGTCACCTATTAGACAAACAGAAATGATCAGCGCTAAAAAAGCTTATAGGTATTTATTGACCATTCGAACGTAGAAATCTACTATATGTTACAATTCTACAAAATTTTTGACCAGAGAAACACAAAAAATCTGAAACTTCCCAGGCCAGTCTAGGCTAAACTCAACTGTAAAACTAAAATCATGTCCTCTAAACTCCCTCGCACCCACTTGTTGCCCTATAAAGTTGCACAACCCGAGAAGGTTAATATTTTGGCAAAATACGACATAGCCTCGTATTGGACATACGATTGGCTTTGATCGTAAATCGCTCCATTCGAAGCCGTAAACACTCAAATGGGTGGGATTTATTAATTATAAACAATGGAAACAGTAAGAAAAATAATAGGTATATTACTGTATGTTGAGTAATCTATAGAGGAAGAGATTACAGTACAATACTGAGAAATAAAAGCTAATTTTTTACTGTAAATTGATGTAGTAAGTAAACAAAAAATGTAAAATAAAACAATGTGTTATCAAAAATGGCAGATGACGACCAGTACGCCTTCTTCTACCTGTTATTCAACTAAAATACTACCATAGCCAACATAGCAATTTAAAAATGTCATGCTAATATAAAAAGTATAAACAGACCAAAAAACATATGCCATTTCAAGCCCTATACCCTAATGTCTACTACTTGTATAAAAACAAAAACCCAATATTAACCATGCCCTCCCCAGGTTCCTGCCCCACCAACCAGTGCCTGTTCGAATTCCGCCGACAAACAGCAGTTTTATTGTTGTTTTGTTGTGGTAGCTTTGAGGAAAACGCCACGCGATTACCGCAGGTGGCCAAAGATTGCGTCGCAAAGAGGAGACCGGCGACGGACTTCAGTAGCGATCATGTACAACAAGCGGATCAATGACTCAACTCCTTGTTTTGCCAACAACAGAAAGAGAGGGGGGGGGGATGTTTGAATTTTGTTGAATAAGAAAGAGGAAGCGACAACGGAAGGGGATGTTAAGCATGGCTTCTATTTTTTGATTGTAATGTTACTGTAAGTTATTTTTTGGCAAATTAATTTTTTTAAATATTGGGTTGTTCAAATAATTATGTGCCCCTTCTCTAAGCAAGTTTTTAGAGTTAGAATGCCCAAATTTTAAAAATTAAAGGACACTGAATTATTTGAACAACCTAATATAGTGTACAACATAGATATTTGTAATGTTAAAGAGTACTGTAGTAACCAAAACCAAAAAAAACAAAAAAATTTGATACTGTAACGTAGCACATAATGAGGCCACCGTCTAGCGTTCTACCGCCTTTCTTTCATTCTCACCCCCCCCTCCCCCTTCCCTCTTCCAACACCCCCTATATTCACATGTAAAGCACCCCCATGATACCCCTTTAGCAAAAAACTCAAACAAATTTCGTTAAGTCGTTTCGAAACCAGTAGAGTAAGAGAGGTTTGTTTTCGAAAACGAAGAGGATACGGTATTACCTACGCCGACAGAAAACCCTTTTCTTGTGTCATGCAAAATAAATTACTTGACTACATCATGAGTTTGGCTACGGTAATAATCTGTGAACAGAAGAAAGGTAACTAGGATAAATATAGTGAGTATAATGATTATAGTCTATATGGTTAATATAGTAAATAGTATATATGAGTACTATAACATCCTTTAAATATAGTAAAATACTATAAGACAAAGTAAAAGATTAAGTTCTAGTAAATTTAGATTACTGATAAAGAAAAGAAACGACAACACAGCATAATTGAAAGTGATTACCTTGCTGTAGGCATTATGAACTGAGCAATCAGATTCATAGTTGTCTAGACGCACTGATTTTTTAGCACTACTATTAGTATAAGTAGCCTATGTAACATCATAGATAGTAACGTGCCAACCGATCATCATAGTTTTTCTGTCATAGAAAAGTAGCAATATAATCTTCTTATCCTTATACAGCATTATTGTAGCCTATAGTCTACAATGAAACGTGTTGTATACTATAGGACAATAAATAGTAATATCTAGTACAATAACATAGTCTAGACAAGAAGCCCAAATACGACGACGAACAGTTGTGTTTCGTGTAAAAGAAAGTGATACAAACACTTTGTTCAAAGCCCATCTAATCAGATAATCAAGCTCTAATCGTACCCCTCCCACTTTTCTTCTCGAACGCTTAAGGGCCTATCTGGCCGATGGATCAGGCGCGACGTCAAGATAAGACCGTGATAATTAAGATACGAATCACTTTGTTAAGGTGGGCTTGAGGCAAGGAAGACTTTGAAGAAGAGTATCAAAAGCTATGGTTAATATAATAATATTATCATACCTATTATACCTATTAAAGCCAAATTGTTCAAACCCAAAGTTGCAAAAACCAAATTTTAATTCGAAATTAAACTCGAAATCTCGACGTTTTTTGCAAATTAAACAAAAACTATAAAAGATTGCGATACACTGATTTCAGGGTTTTGTCGAAGCCGCGAATGGCTGAATAATCGACTCCCAGCACCTCGCCCACCCCCCTCCCCAGTCAGAGGAGGGAACCGAGGGGAGGGGCGGACCTCATTCCCTCTTCCATTCCCGACCAATCAGCGCCCGGATTTGCGGCACGGAATTGGGATTTAGGCCGGGGAATCGACCGTTAAATGCGAATTTTAATTACAAATACGTGTAACTGAGTTTAGAGAGGATTCTAGAGGGGTTCATTAGGTACGGGTTTATGTTGTTAGATTTAATAAAGGGGTTTGAAATTATTATAGAGGTAAAACAGAAAGTTTAAAGATCATCATACTCAAGATATTTAGCTTTATAGTACTGCTTTATTCTCTCAGTACCACTGTAAAAGTACTGAGGGAATCTACGTTTCTTATAATTTCCAAGCTACTAGTCAATCTTACTATGAAAATCACTGTACATTACCTTATAACCCACAACCTACTATAATATAATCAGCTTTGTACCATTAGTACCTATATACATGATCTTATCATAACTTTACTTTTGTTACCCAGTACCTATCCTCCCCTCCTCCCCCTCCCTAACTTTTTCAAAAACAAAAAAAATAATCGGAAATTAAAGAAAATTCCAAGTTTTTAATTTCCCGCCTCGGGCTAAAACAACGATACGTGTCTCTGCCATTTTTATTTAAATTTTGGGATCAAAACAAAAATTGGTTGGACTTCTTGAGATTACTTCGGATTCTTTTCGCAAAAAACGTCGTTTTAAATCGAAAATTAAATATTTTTCGATTTAATTTTAAATAATTTAAGCCTAGCCTAACAGAACATAAAGAAAAAAAATTAAAATAAAAAACTAATTTGAAGCGATTACTGACTAAGTTTGTGAGAGTAATAATCGATATTCATATTCAAAGTGAATGAATCATCGTTTTGTTAAACTAATTTGAGAATAATATGATAGTCCACATTACGGTAATCATCTTTTCGGTTAGGTAAAGGCAGTGTAATGTTGGGGTTTAAAAACGAATGTCAAGGTGAGGGCTTAAAGTTGTATTGAGGTAGGGATGCTTAAAAATATGGTAGTGGTCCTTACAAAACAAATTAAAAAAAGCTTTACAAGCCGGATCAAAAAGAATTGAACGTTTTTCACTGTAGTTTCTTAAACAATCCGCCCAATTCTTTTTGAACCGACCTACCAAAACCTCCGAAACCCCTTATATAATCCACAAACCTAAAATTTAAAAAAATCCACAAATCAAAACAAAATTAAAATTAAAAACTTAACAGTACCAAACCGAGCAAAAGGCGGCGGAACCAAAGCGGCACTTAAAAAGTCATACCAAAAACGGATAACGATCAAATAATCAGTGCAAAGAAGCGCAAAACGAGCAGAATGGCGCCGAAGCCGTCTCGGGAGGGCCACAAATCTTCGTAAGAAGGCGTGTTCGGCATGTCAGCCTAATGTAAGGGGCATTAGGAGTTGCGAGTAACTGTGAGTCAGTACCACTGGTTCAATTTTAATTTTTTTAAATTAAAAATTTTGGCTAGAACTTTTGATTTCTTAAGAAACTTTAAAATTTTAAGTTTGGTATAGATATCAAAGCTAGCCTAATATGAAGCTGAGGATGTAAAAGCTTTCAAAGAAAAATTGTAAGCTTGAAAATGCCAAAAAATTTAATCTTTTCAAATTTTTTATACCTAAAACATATTTTTTTTTTAATTTTTTTAATTTTCATACCTAAAATCACCCTTTTCATTTTTTTAAAACTACCCCACCCCGGTTTCTATACAGTCCCAACCACCCCTCCTACAGAATCCGGCACGCTGAGGTGCTGCCGTTCCCCTCCTCCATCCATTTATTTTTCGATTAGCTGGGATTGGCCGCTTCGAGGCGAAAAGGGCCTTGAAGAGCATTGGGATTTGTCATGAAGTCGCCGAGGGCATTAGACACCGCAGGGCTTTTGTTTAGGGCCATCAGATTTGGTAAGCAATGTGTCAATGAGGAGAAGAAGGAAGGCGGCCAAAATTTACATATTTTGAAAGGAAATTATTGAGATTTCTGGATTTTTAGTGGTTTAGTTGATGATTTTGGTAGTTTAGATCAAGGTTTTGGGGGTTTGAAAATGAGAAAAATTTCGAGTTTTTGAAGAAAAAAATTTAAATTTTGAAAAAATTCTGGTTATCATCAAAACCGTTTTGCTTTTTAATAGCGAAAAAAGGTTTTACATGATGATTTGAATGCAATTATAAGCTTCTTTCTCTACTAAAAGTATCAAAAAATTTAATTTTTCGACCAAAAACTTCAAATTTTAGCCAAAAAGTGCCACTTCTCCACTAAAATCCAACTTTTCCTGCCAAAAACCATGTTTTCAAACTTCAAAAACCTTACAAATTAATCATTCTCAACCCTTAACAACGTCTTTTTTATGAACAACCAATTGTATTGTTTACAAAGTCTCTGTAGTCGACAGTCAAGGTCCTTTCCGTGCCTCAACACCTCAAGCGACGCTACAAGAAGAAGGGAAAAAAACCTCATCAATCACTCATTTTCTCTTCGACAACGCCAAAAATTCCAAAAAATGAAAATTTTTTTCGAAAAAATGAAAACAAGTATTGAAAAAGAGGGGTTACAAAAGTACAGGGTACTGTAATTAGGATTGTGACATTGGAAAAGGTTTCGGCAAAAAAATTAAAATTTTTAAAAAATTTTAAAATGTTAAAAGATATGAAGCTATAAATAGCCTCAAGAGTTAAAAATGACCTATAATGCCCTAAACCTTATTTTCTATACAAAATGTTACCTAAAACAACATAACTATAATGTCAAGCACTAACTATAACACACCCCCAAACCTCATTAATTCACCCGTTAAACGCTTATGATTTTCCAAAACATTACAGTAAAAGGCCTCGCAAATTGACTGAAAAACTAGCTGTTCGGCTAATTTGCATACAGTCGCTTCATTTCGACTACTTTTTTCGAATTTCCGGAGAATAAAAGAGTTTTGTGTAACATTGACCAAGTTTCTGGCCGGATGGGTTTTGAAGTTCCTAACACAACTTTTTTATGAGATACGGCAGGTTTTTAGAGGAGAAGTTTGCATATTGATTTGGTAGGAATACCTTAGAAATTAGCTTGAAAAAGATGTTGTTTTAGAGGTGCATACCGCTTAAGAGGGGGTAGTTTTGTAAGAAAAGTTATAGTTTTATGCTTCGTAAAGAAAGTTCTTGCCATTATTTTTATGGCAAAAAAAGATCATGCCATATTTTGTTTTGTCAACGAAGTTCTTGCCACTTTTAATTCGTTTTATCAAGGTGTAACAACTTTTGGTTAAAAAATTTTACTGTGTAAACCTATGTTCGTGTCCTACTCTGCAAACTTATAAATTTCATAAATTTTCGAAATTTTATTAAAATTTTGAAAACGTTTTGAAATGTCGTTTCGCTAATCCAGCACTTGCGGGAACTTTTGCCGCCGGCTGCGAAATGACAAATGACCTTTGGTAGAACGTTTCTAAAACAATATGGCCAAATTCATTATTTTTACTCGATTTTATTTAATTTTTAGTGCTTTGTAAAATTATTAAAATTTAAAAATTTTTATTAGCACTGTACTATTATAAGTTTAGTACAAAAGCAAAAAAAAGTATTATATCTTTAGTACAGTACTACTACATTTACTACCATAAACTTTATAATAGTAGTATTGCTTACATTACGAAGAACGTATTTTACAAAAAAGTTAACAAAATCAGTTCATCTTTACCCAAAAACGTGACCTTCTTTACATAAAACATCAAACACGAGCAGATGTAGGTGATGACATAACATTTCTGGAAGCACATACCATGCCCCTATGTAGAGGAGCCGGCATGGTATGTTATGCTTGTTATAGCCAAAACTGTCCGTTAAGTTATGTCAAAACAACATCTTTACCTAGAGAAAAGTGTGCGAGCGGCATCTGAAAGACGGTCGGAAGATACCACAATAACTTTAGGTATAGGGTTACTACTGTGGCTAAAGTGAGGTTTTTCAGATAGTAACGAGCTAAGAAGTTGTTGACATAATTATGTACCCCTAACCCCAAATTTGTTTTGAGAGGAGCAAAAAATTATTTGAACAACCTAATACAATAGTTTTTAAAATTTTGTTTAAAATTTAAATTAAAAATTTTTTTTTATTTAAAAATTCCAAAAAATCTTGGATAAATTGAAAAACGAATCCGGAACCGAAGCCAATCAAGCGTCGTTTAATTTTCTTTTGGCAAATCCCGAGAGACGCTTAGCCACCTTTTGGCCTCTCGGATTACGGTATTCAAATGGAGTTATATCAAGATTTGAGGCACATCATAAAACGCTCATTTCACTCTATAAACTTGTATTTCCTCAGGGGATTCACAGTGGGAAGTCATTTTTTATAAGCAAAACGGCAACGACTTACTTTACAAAACTTTTGGAAATTCAAAAAAAAATGACTTTAAATTTTGTAAAATTAAAAAAAAACTTTAAACGCAGTTTTACAGTACATATTTAAAAACACTATGTTAAGCAAAAAATTGAATCAAAAAATGACGAAGAACATGCTTCGAAGTATAAAATGGTTTCCGCAGCCTGCAGTCACAAAAACTACTGTCACTGCCAACTAAAGCTGTATTTTATGTAAAACATGTATAAAAAGTAATGTCATAGTACAAAAAAAGTAATGTGGCCAAGTTTCCGAGCCCTCCTTAACGGCCCATCATATAAAAATTTGCATAATTTGACAGGGATTTGTCTTCTCGACTGCGATTTCGCACAACGACAGCTGTGGGGGTTTTGTCAAATTTTTCAAAATTTCATGAATAATTGAATACATTTATAATCTATTGAGTTAAAAACTTAAGTTTTAAAACTTTTTTAGCTTTGTGATATTTTAGAGCTTGGAACAAAGTTTTTGTGTTTGAAAAACTAAAATTTTTTTATAAATTTAAACAGGGTGTCCCAAGAAAAACGAAAAAAACTAAAACGTTATATTTTGGTTGAGAAAAATGCTAAAAATGCCAAACTTGGCACTGTCAAAGATTTAATTTGCGATTACGAATTCCGTATTTTACCATAATTTTTAAGGATATTAATCACATAAATTTTAAGCTTAATTTTTTCAAAAATTTTTAAAAAATTTTTGCACGGTGCAACAGCTTTAAAAGTGCATTTAACCCTACTGTACGCCACTTCAGCTTGAGGTAGCTTTTCAGAAAGCCGTAACATTATTCGGACGTGTAACTGGTATCAGATACGAATCTTTTGACCTCGTTTTGCGCCCTTAAATCCTCGTTTTTATTAACAATAAAATACGAAGCAATTACTTGCACATCACCACGTTTTAATGTCACTTACCGTAGTAATAATTCTGTAAAATATAAGTAATGTTAAGTGGAAATTTAAAAAAAAATTTTCGTCAAAAGTTAAAATGTTATAGTAAGTAAAAGTCTACCCTATCCTACCCTAATTTACTCTACTCAACCCTGCCCCACCATACCCTACTTTACCTTACCGTACCCTACCCCTAATACTACCCCAAAACTTACTGTACTTCACAAAGTAATTATAAGTTTATAAGCCATTAATTATGTTTAAAACCACTAAAATACGATGAATATACCTAACGTAACACTTGTAATCTGATGATTACATCTGACAGGTCATAAAAACAAAGTGGGCACACTTTGAGCTATAAATTTACATGAATATAGGTTATGTAATGCTAAATACGATGAGCATCGCAATTATTAAAATATTCTTCATAATTTACAACAGCAATATATCTTATATTCATGTTAACTATTGAGTATAAGGTCAAGGTGCTGTGTAATGTTGAATTTTAGCTACAGTAACTTATACAGTAACACAGAAATTACGTTATTCAATAAAAATTATTTATCTTTCAACTTTCTTGTAATAAACTACCACCACTGATTGCACTGGTAGTAAAATACGTTAACAATAATTACTGTCGCATAACATTTCCCTCACACGACCTTTCCCAAACGATAGTAAACTGGTCCATTTCCGAGTGATTTTAATATTCTTTCTTCCCTTGACCTTCTAAAACAAATTTGCATTTATCGCCGAGAAATATTGTCCTTATAAACCAACAATAACATATTATGTCTCTACAGTAAATATCACTTTCTGGCTGAAGCTCTTTTTTATGCCAAAAGTTTAAAAATACTTTATAAGTACTTTAAAAGCTAGAGAATTTAGCCTTCAACCTAATATTTTGACAAAAAATTTATGTTATTACCTAAAATTTCTAAAACATCAAAAAACTCACTTTGATACTCATAAGCCAATCTCTCCCTCTCAGCCTCTCGTTCTGCTTCTTCCTTAAATCGTTTATGTTCTTCCATCAACTTTTCCAAGATCACACTTTGTCGCTTCTCAAGTTCATCTTGAGGATGCAAAAGTTCTTCCAGTCTTTGCTGAGCATCGCGTAATCTACGCCGTTCTGGAGACGAAAAATAGAACCACCAGTAGAAGAAGCTAGTGAAGGATCCCTTAGCTGGAGTCGTTTTCAACACTTGATCAACAGGAGTTTCATTTCGATTTGGCTTGACAAGTTGGACAAGAAAAACGAAAAATAATATCGAGAAAAAGCGTGAAATTTTATGCATTTAATTATGTATAAAGGAACGTGAAATTTTATGCATTTCTATATAATAGACTAAAAACGTGACATTTTATCCTTTTTTACATTTTTTCTTCATAAGAGACATGAGCAACAGACTGGGCTGGCCCTAAGTATTTTTTTCAAATCGGGTCTGACCAACATAAAAAACGGGCCTGGCTTAAAAATTGGGCTTGGCCCGTCGCCTATGTCTAAACCCGTAAAGGGACAACGACAAATTTAACCATAGTTTAGGAAAATATTTATTTTAAAATTAAAATTTAACTTTTCCTGAATTTTTTTTAAAATTTATCTTGTAATCAAGCCGAGCTTACATGTGTTAGAGTCTTTATTTGTTAATATTAGTCTTTTATTATACATTGAGATCATTTACCAGTAATGTAAGGATATATACTATGATAAACATTGTTGTGCACAGTGTCAATTGTGGTAGACAATGCAAAACACATAGTAGAAGTTACTTTGTAGCGGGATGTAAATTAGATTGCCATAGTTATATGAATGTAGATTCGTAGTAGAGAGTCGTAAAACATATTGCTTTACAAAATGATATGTAGTATTACTTCTGTAAGCTGTAAATGTAAATGTAACAGTCACAGTAGTTTACTGTAAAATACGATGTCGTTATTGTTGCTGTTGGCTGTTAACAATACTCTAAGTTGTCTGTTACAATAGTAAGGGCTCCAAGATATGTGTTACAATAAGAAAGTTACCGTTCCTGAATGAACATCTTCTTGAACACCTTGAACATGTTCTTTTTGTCGCTTCGGTCAGTTTTGCGTTGGTCATGCGTGTCATGATAAGATAACCAGTCCGGCTGACATTCGTAGACGATCTTTCCTTCCAAGGCTGGGTCAGTGCTGTCCACGCTTTTCCACACAACGTCCATGATAACGTGATAGTAAAGCTTGTAGTTAAATTCTGCAAATATAATTTCTGTTTTATGACATTTTGTAAAGATCGGGAAGAATGCAAGCTCGGAAAGTGAAAAAAAAGTAATAAAGATAAAAGGTCTACAAGATCAAATACTAATCACTTTATATTTTGTTCATACTGACGATGGTAGTGATAAGTTATTGTAGAAAGACCAACCTAATCTACCCTATCTTACTGTATCTTGACTATGCATTACTGTAAGTGCATCCTAGGCGTAGCATCCGGCCATACTGTATCCTAGACTTACCCTAAATATACTTTACCCTAGCACTATTTTGATTATACCAAAACTTGTTCTAATCTCCCAACTTCTACCCTACTTAACACTAAGCTGCCCCACTACACATTACTAATTTCTACCCCATCCTTCTCGACTCTAAGTTGTCCTATCATAGATTACATCATTCTACCCCACTATACTGTACAATATTATACACTCAACATGGATTATCCTCTAAAAATCAAAATATAATAAATAAAACCTTATATTGCACCTACATCAACACAAATCAAACCTATACCGTACCTACACCAACACTTAAATACAGTTCGAGTCAAAGACATCCCGCACCTTGTTTTTAAACTTCGAACATTTAAAATGAAAGGAACGTTTTCAAACAAACAAAGAAGGACTACCGTAACAACTCCATTGACAAAAGTTGACTCCGGTCATAGATGCAAGACTGTTGAGCAAATAAACACAAAAAGATTGGTCTTTCAACGATCACGCCTCGAGGCGGGGAACGTTGTAAAAGGTCCAAAAGTCTCTCCGAAGTTACGAAACTTGATTAATCGATAAGGTAATGCTGCTAGAAGTATCTCTAATAGACTGGAAAGTAAATTAAGATGTAAAAGGTAAGACACTAGTTTATTGTAGGTATGTAGGTATAGGAAGTGATGTAAAGTCACGTTTTATTCACTTCAGCTAGTGTTATTGAGTTTTCAGGGTTCAAATTTCTAAAAATGATGTGATTTTATTCAATAGTATTAATGTTAGTAAAATAAATATTGACTGAAATACCCTAAAGAAAGATCAATAGGCCTGGGCCAAGCCAAATAAAAGTCAAAAAAGGCTAGGTGGCACAAGAGCTCCAAACACAAAAAGTGTGCCCGGTGTCTTTACTAGGCTTATTATACAAAGGTTTGTTATATAAGAGTTTCACTGCATTATATACTACTAATTCACTGATAAAAGTACTAAAAATACGGAAATACAACCCAATATAGTACTTCCTATGATAACATAATGGAAACCGGATGTGCGTCCTAGGTTATCTAGTACAATACAAAGTCTCTCAAAGATAACATATTGTTATTTAAGTCACAAGTTATGAATCATTACAGGTATCATTTCTTAAATATAGACAGAGTTCATAAATATGAACTTTGAGATCTCGGCTTTACAACTATTTACATCTTTACTGCAAACTTTACATAGCCCTGGTTTGACTTTGCTCTTGACTTTAGAATCTTTTTAGCTCTAGAGTAACTCTAAAGCCCCCTTTAAAGCCTTCGGAACCCCTAGTGATTTTAAATAAATGAACTTAAACGTAATATTAAGTTGTATAAAAAGTATTGAGCCGTATAGCAAATTTGCAAAAAGTAAAAATCAACATTTTACGATTTTAGTTACTCAAAACAAAAAGCTTTCATCATTGTTAACCTACGTATACGTATTACAAAGAGCTCAAAAAGAGAAGGTCAGCTCACAAAGTCATATCAGATAACTTTTAAAAGTCATTTTTTGAAGGCAGTGTGAAAACGGTTTGTCTCAGCGTTCGGGAGTAACGAATGTTTTGTCAAAAAAATTATTTAAAAAAAACTAAAAAGGCCTCGCCCTTTTACTTTTTACTTTCTTTTACCTATAGTACCCCAACCCCAGACCCCGGCCTCCCGCCCGGCCCTGTCCGACACAGCTTAAGACTACATTAATAACACAAAAATAATGTAGTTAAAAAGCTGACAATACCTAATGCAACATTCCAACCTTTTGCAAAAAGATAAAACAGAATGTTAAGCACCAGAAACTCATTAAAAGTCACGCTTGTAGCAGTAATTTATGTAAAAAGTCGTTGTAAAATAACAATATAATCAGCAAAAGAATTCCAAGATAAAGCCAACTCTTGAAAGCATTTGAGCAAACATTGACCAGCGATAACCAACGTTTCCACACTCGACGAGATGTGGGCAAAACATGTTGAGAAATGTAAACAATTTCACGAAATATATGATTGAAATTAAAATTTTTAAGAAATAAACATAGGGCAAGAATTAAGTGTACAGTTATAACCTTCCGACTACCACAGAAGGTCCTCGACCTGCTCTGCTCTGATTGACACCAAACTTTTTATATAGAAAGATTATGTGAGTATAATATTTTCAGCAAGGTACTAAATTGCGCTTTCCAAGAAATCTCGAAAAAATCGAGATAAAACAATAGGTTTTGAATTTCCCGCCAAATTGGCATTGCGTTTCAAGCTTATAACGTTTTCGTTTTTTGACTTTTACGCATTTTTCTTTAATATACTTGTAGAAAATCTTTAAATGAACCTACACTTATATATTTGTAAGTGTAGCTTGTCGGGAATGTCGAAAAGTGCTTGCAACACAATGCCAAATTTGCTAAAATGGCGAGAAACCCGAATATTTCAAATTTTAAAACTCAAAAACGCGAGCAAAGGTTTTTTATTTGCATTATTTGTGGTAAAAAGAATTTTTAGAAAAGGTTTGAGCTGATTCTGAGCGGGACAGGTTGTACTTCCCTTGTTAGCATATCTTTTTCTACAAGGTTAAAATTTCTTAACCACAACCATTTCCGTATTGTAAGAGCGCTCAATATTCAAATCCCAAATAAAAAAGCTAGCTACTGTCATACGAAAAGCTCTTTATCTTTACCTATAATCCAGCGCAAACATGCTCTTTCTTCAATACATAGATCAATGTACATGTATACATACAGCAATGCCACTTTTGTCGCGACTTCAAATCTTATCGTTTGATGCCACTTTCCCCTTATATAAACACCAACTCTTGCTTTTACCTCGTCACTTTATATTGAGTTTGAGCTCTGACTCACCAAGCATAGTCTGTTTACGATTTACTATATCATATTGTAGTTGACTTGGATTGTAATATATTGTTTTACCTTTACTGCCCACTAAAATGTTTTTAAAATTGACTGTGTTGACCGTACTGGCTACTGTAGCTACAGCCCAACTCTTTAATTATGGTCAAGGTATTGGTGGAATGGCTGGTCCAAACGCCGGACTAGGAGCTGGTGCAATTAATCCCAATGTTGGTATGGGTATCAATGGTTATAATTCTGGTCTGAATACTGGACTAAATGGTGGACTCGACCGTGGACTGAATGGTGGAACCACTAGACTAAATGGCGGTCTTGACCGTCGACTGGGTGGCGGACTAAACGCTGGCTTAGAACGCGGACTTGGCGGAGGACTAAATAGTGGACTAGAGCGTGGATTAGGTGGACTAGAAGGCAGAAACGCTGGATTCGGAAACCAATTCCCAGAAGATCGCCGTCATGGATCTCGTGGAGATCGTTATGGCTACGAGCGGCGTCCAGAAGGCTTCGAACATCACGGTCGGTTCGAGGAACGTGGTCGTTATGAAGGTAGACCAGACCGTTTCGATGGCAGGCCAGATGGTTTTGGCTATGGCAATGGAAGAGTCGGCTTCGAACAACAAGTTTATGGAAATGGAATGAGTGGATTCCAGAGACCTGGCTTCGGTCTTGGACGTTAACCTTATTGACTCTGTTTGTAAATTAAGCCTTTGGGGTAATTTTACTCTGTAAAATAAAAAATTGAAGTAAATAAATTGTTTTAAAAAGTTATTGATTAAGTATTTAATGCCATTTATTATCCAAATATTGCTATAGAAACATATTTAGACCTACTAAAATCCAAATATTTCCAAAATAAATATTAATATCACCTTTACTCACGCAAAATAACAACTATAATCTGAAACAAGATATCATATTACTATTACTCCACCTTTCTTGTTCCATTCTTGCGACCATCCTTATTATTAACATAGTTGTCCATGAAGAACTTCATGAACAAGAGGAAGAACATGACGTAGATGAAGAAGTGGATGGGCAAGATGGTCTTACTGGTCTCACAATCGTATCCGCTTAAAACATATCCACATAGACTGAGCATACCAACACACGCTACGACAAACTGGCTCAGCTGGAGCACTGTGATGATTGGAGCGTACTTTCTGATCTGTGGAAACACATTGACTAGAGCAAAGTAGGAATACATCAGGGAATGGACAAAGGCGTTCATGTCTGTTCCTAGTCTGGCCATTGAACCTGAAGTAGTGATAGTTGATATGACACAACCGAGCTTGACACATGAACATATAAATCCAGATTGTGAAAATACCTTTAACATCCTTTACTATATCTATTACAATATAAAACAAAAAGCAAAAAACTTACCAGCCCCATAATACGTGAACATGACCTGAATTACCACGACGGAATGGTGAAAGTAATGTAGGAACATTAGTTTTCTTCCTCTTGCCACCAAAAGTACAGTATCCCCAAGTTCCCATAGTTTAGACAAACAGAACAAGTACATAGCATGCCCACTGGATTGACCTGTGTAGAATGTTCCTACTCGACATGTTGTGTAGTACCAGCCTAAAATTAACAAAGAGTTTAAAAATAAAAAAGAGAAAATTTTTAAAAAATTAAAAAAATGTTACCTGAAATATGAAAAAATTTCAAAAAAATCTGCAAAAATAAAAAAAAACCAAAAACTCTCAAAAAATTAATAATAAATTGTTACCTAAAATGTATAAAAATCCAAAAAACATACCATTCCCCAAAGCCATTTTCAACTCCGGCACCAATAACACAAACATATAAATCGAGGTAATAGCATTAAAGCAGTTCCACACAATCGACACGTCCTTCAGAAGCTTAGGATCCAGTTTGATGCCACGAGCACGTGGAGCAATCTTCCACACGAACAGCACGTAGACGAGGTCGGTGAAGAGGATGAGCGGTCGATAAGAGTAAAGGTCGTCGTACGCTGCATTCACATCGTATTCTGGTCCACTATACCACGCTTCTGAAGCCCAACGTTCGGAACGCAGCAGCGGCATTACCTATCAGCCAGATTTAGACGAAATGAACAAATTCTGGCTGGATTTGTGACGTTTCAACCATTTTATTAAGTTTGGCAGTTTATGCAAATTTTGGATAAGCATATTTTGAAAAATAAAAAAAAACATTTTCTAATTATAAAATTGTCTTTCATTATTTCAAAACTAATTTTATCCACATTTACACATTTCCATCTTTAAAAAAATTTTTTTGGCTTGCAATAGAATGCCAAGAACTTTTTGCCAGTACAAGTTTTCGTTTTGAATCTCTAGAACAAGAAAATTTGAGACAACTTTGCTAAAACTTTTTGTATTAACAATGTTTAATGTGTCGTACTTACCACTCTATGAACTAGATACATTGTAACTTTATCGTCTGTTTATAATATTATTCACAAGTTCGAGACTTTGACGTGAAAACCACTGCAAAATCTTTGATAACGAGTAATCCGCTCAAAAACAAAGTGTTCACTTAAGTTCAATATTTATTTTTTAGATTATTTATTTTCTAATAGGTTGTGTTAAACCTACTTTCTCATATCTTTAAAAGTTGTAGTGTCAGGTGTCATAATGCTGAAGGTTTTCATTGTTTTTACTGTTATCTACATTAATATCGGGGCTCAAATTCTACAAAATTATCATGGTTGTAATTTGATGACACTTTCAAACAAAATATTATGTTTCAATAACATTGTGAAGTTTTTTCGTTGTCAAAAATTTAAAAAAAGTTGTAGTTTGGTATGTTACAGATGGACCAGCTTTGCCATTTTATTTGGGTAACAAAAAGAAAGTACCAGGTAACTTTTTGTTACAGATGTATACAACTAAAACTATGGCGTTTACTGGGCGATGTAAAGCACCATTACAATGTTCACAACAAGGACATGACATTTATGATTTTAGGTATTTTTCGAATTTTTTTGTAAATATTATTTCCTATTTATTCTCTTTTCCAATGCAATATGTATGATTTGAGACGTAAAACAACACAAAAGGTAATTATTTATATTTCTAGGGCTAACAATCGGTATCCTGGAAAAGAATTCATCGACCAAGTTACCGGATTTGGCTACAAAGGTGTAGAATATTCAGATCAAGTTGAGGTTGGTCTTTTGAGCTTTCCTGATACTTTCAAGTTTTTGAAAAATAGGTATAAACCAGATTTAAAAACAATTTTTTTAGTTAAAAACATAATTTAGATGGCCAATGTTGCTGTGAAGAAAGTATACTTTGGAGCAGTTGATAGTTTGCCTACAGGAATGGATCCAAAAGACGTTGACTTTCCGTATAATGGGTACGTTGGTGTTGGAATGGAGCAGAAAAATACGTTTTTTAAATCATTTCTACGAGATTCTCCCAAGAACAGAGGAAATATTGTGATTGTTCAAGATACCTTCAACAAACCTGTCACTACTGTAAGTTTTTTAAAAGCTTTGGACTAGAAAATTTGTCTATATTGAACTAAACATGTTGACTATATTAAACTAGGCGTATTGTGTATGTTATGCGTATGTTTTTCACGGATATTACATATGAAGTATAGTATCATACTTCAGATCTATTTCAGTTGTGAAGTAAAGTTTATATTACAGAACTCAAGCATAACATATCAAAAGCAAAGCGGTAAAACATATTTACAAACTGATTTTACTACTGAAAAGATAGAAGAATGTGGTGAATTTCGAGAAATGATAGCTGATAATCCTGAATGGCAAATAAAGTGTGAGTAAGTTTTGATACATTCGATATGGTGATATAGTCCCTTTTTATTGAAAGATCATGTTAATATAACCTTTTAGCAAAGTACAATTGAGCTTTTTCTCTAGAAAATCGAAATCAAAAAAGCACGTTTTGAATTACCCGCCAGCTTGGCGTTGTGTTTCAAGCTTATAACTCTGTCATTTTTTTACTTTCAGTGTCTCAATAGGAAACTTATTTTTATCAACAACAATCCAATTCGAGCCCACCAAGCCAACCAGGCTGGCCAGAGAGACTTACCATTATATATTCAAAAAGTCAACTTGCAAGAATTCAGAAGCCAGAGAATTACCGTCGATTCAATGTAAAATAGCTGGCTTTGATCTCTCTGTAACTCCAGATGATTACATTGTAAAAAACACTGAATCAAAAGCTCGACATCTTACTATTGAGCCAATGGATGATGGTATGGTTAAGGTAATATTTGGTCAGGAATTCTTCCAAAAGTACTGTATCAAACTGTCAGCTTCGACTTCTGGAGCGTTTTATATGGGATTCGCTCGGAATCTGGTTAATATATTGAAAAGTGACATTGATCCAGGTGATGATGACTATGAAGATGAGCCTGTAAGCACGACGACTACAATACAAGGGCCAGAAGATGGTGGTGGAGGGGAGGATGATGGTGGTAGATCATGTGAAGAACAAGGTGAAGGACTTAATGGATGTAGTACAATATTGTTGAGTTGTTACTTATATTTGATTTTATTGTTGACAGTTACATTTTAAAGCTTTTCAAAAAAAATTTTATTTTTTTTAATATTCTGTTTTAAAACTTTTACCTTATAAACTCAAAAAATCAATACTATGTGGACGAAGTTTAAAAAAATATTTTTTAAATTTTAAGTTTTTACAAAATCTAAAAGTATGACAAAGAAAGGCTGGCTAATATGACAAATTAAGAGCCAAACCTTGGAACTTAATTAGCGTTTATTGTCATAAGTCATAAAGTTTTAAGTGCGTAATTAAATCTACTGATAACTGTTTTGTATCGCTTTAATTAACAAGTTTTGGGGTGTGAAGTCGACCAACAATGTCCTCTAAAACTGTTCTTATTTTGGCTTTTACATTCTGTAAGTTTTCTTTTGTTTATAGATTTTTTACATTTTACAGTAAACTAAAAATTTTTAATTTTATATTAATCTTATCACTAGTCTTTCAAGAATACAAAGACTAAAAAAACTATTTAGTACCTAATTTTCCAATAACTTAAAAATTAAGTTTAATTTTCAGTTGTGGTCTACGGCAGTGAGTGTCAAGCGCCACAGAACTCGACTTGCGACCTTGAGGTATATAAATGTTGTGATCAGCGATTCCGCGAGCATGTTGGCATTGGTGAAGATGTCTGTGGTATGTTTGTAGCTGTTACATAATATTTTTTAGTATTATTAGAAGAGCTATTAATTTTTTCAAATATTTATGGGACTTCTAACCCTGAAAATTTGTTTTAAACGGGAGCACAAAATTGTATGAACAGCCTAATAATCTTGCAAATTGTAATCCTATTCTTTGGCTCAATAGTTTGTTACTTTCGTATAAAGAAAATAGAGTTATTTCAAAGCTAGTATTCAAAAGTATAAATTAATTTGAATAAAAAGAGCTTTCAAATATTAGCTTGCACTATAAAGCTAGTAGATTTCATGGTATACGTTTTAAGCCGGTGAGACAGTCGACCACCCCTACTGTATGCAACAAGCCTTGAACTTGGCTTTGTACACTCATGGTCGTCATGGTATTTCTAAAGTTAGTAGGTCAGTTTGCAGCTTTTCATGAACCAACTCTTTATAGTAGTATTATTATAAAGTACATATATGTTACATAGATCATTTCAATACTAATCAAAAAAATACGGTTTTATAATAAAAAGGAAAAGAAAAAAAATTTAAAAAACTTTAAAAAACATTTGTAGCGCCTACAACGACTTCCGTGACTGTCTTGGCCAAACCTTACGATCGTGTACTACTGCTGAGTTCTATTTGAAGAACCGTCACGGTTTCTGGGAGTCCAAAGGGATTCAAGCTTTGTATGCTGGACTAAACTTTATTTGTGGTCCTGGACTGGAAAGTAAGTTTTGGTAATGACAAAAAAAATATAGAAGTTAGCAAAGTTTATAAGGATATCGCAGTAGGAAGTAAATAACAGAGAAAAATGAAGAGTTTCAGAAAAAATTGATAGGAAAGCTGAAAATATATCTTGACCTTCTTCCTAACTGCGACTGTAATAAATTATGGTTTATAATTTACGATGTAAAAATCAATCGTTTAGCCCTGTTGGTCAACGAGCCATGTATCCTAAAGACTTACCGTACTCACTTCGCTGAACTTCATCAATGTACCGTGCAATTCGAAAACAATGTCAGAAGAGACATTAAGGATGCTTGTACTTATGAACGTGAGCTTACTGGATGCTATGAGCTGACATTCCGCAAAGAATGCTCAGCTGAAGTGGCTTGGTGGTCTTGTGAACATCAGAGAAGCTATGCCAGTGGATTCTTGCCTCACTGTGATTCACAGTGTGTGTCACATCAAAATTACATCAAGGCTGTTAATGGTACTGCTTGAGTTTTGATCAAGAGCATCATTAATGATTTTCGACTTGAATATTGATTTACTTTTAGATTTTATTGCAGTAAAGTATCATATTATATTAGGCAATAGCTGACCTTTGTTCCTCATCAATAATCTTTTATATAAATTCAATGATAATTCCTCAGTTCCAAGGCTTATATTATTATTATTAATCATAGTACGTTGCAAAGTTTGCTGCCGTACAACCGATGTCGTTGTTCATTCTGGTAATGTCTACAACAATCGACCGCTCCAATTCCTCTTGTTTTGTCGGAATCGAAGAATGGCTGTAGATAACATGGAACTACAAATTGAGCTGTAGATAATGAAAAAAAAGCTGATCCTGTAGTTATAGCAAAGAAAACAGCTACCACTACGATCGCGATAACCTGATTATTGTATTTTGGATTTTTTTCTTTTTTTACACTCTTTAAAGACCCGATAAAAATTATTTTTCACTTTTTTCTTTTATTTCGCATTTGCGAATTGGTTGTTGTTTCTGCGGAAGGAAATGGGTTTATTACCTAGTTCTATGCGTTTTTATTCTAAATTTTATTCAGAACTACAATTTAAGATTATTTTAACTTTATTATGTGTTTTTGACTTTACAAGGGAATGTTACAAACTGCCCATTCGATTTTTAAAAGTGAATAGTACCATGTGAAAGAGCGTAAAAAGTTGACGAGAAATCTATTTTCAAAAACTGCTAATTTTGCCTTACAAGCCCGCTAGCGAGATTTTAAAATCATTAGCGAAAGGGTCTTATAAGTTGTTATTCCTTCTTTTGGATTATTGTATTTTTAAAAACCTTAGTTTTTACTTTTTTAATGTTTTATTAGATGTAAGAAGCCATTAGCGACAAAAAAAATTTTTTTTGAATATTTAAATTAATTAGCTTTTAAATAAAAAAAAGAATACCAATCATTATTTCCCAAAAAGAGAATTGAACCTGAAGTCCCATGATTGCGCAATCCCGGCGCCTTTGACCACTCGGCCATTCGAACACATTTACTTATCCTTTTTGAAAGAAGCCAAAAGAAAGCGGGTTTTAAAAATCCGTTTTGATAGTAAAAATTTTAAAAGCTCGCTAGCGGGCTTGTAAAGCAAAGTTAGCAGTTTTTGAAAATAGATTTCCAGTCTACTTTTTACGCTCTTTCACATGGTACCATTCATTTTTAAAAAGCGAATGGGCAGTTTGTAACATTCCCTTGTTAGTATAAAATTCTTGAACTGTTTATCAAAATATTGTTATTGTTTTATGATTTAGAATATTTGATAAATACTTTAAGAAGTTTATAATGATATAGTATAATCTATATTACTAAAAACAAGTAAGATTTTGTTTTTAACTTGGTCTGCCTAGACAGTACATAACAAATCAAATAGAAATTGTAGTTCTGAATAAAATTTAGAATAAAAACGCATAGAACGTAATAAACCCATTTCCTTCCGCAGAAACAACAACCAATTCGCAAATGCGAAATAAAAGAAAAAAGTGAAAAATAATTTTTATCGGGTCCCACCGTGAACCCTGATCTCTTGATTGAAACAGAAAAACAAGGCAGCATTTTGGGTTGACTGGTCCTTTAACTCTAAAGTAAAGTTTAATAATGACAGCAGATGGCCGAAAACAGAGCACTATCGATCATTAACAGTACATAAAATTAAATAAGTAATTTTTAATAGCATATTATACTAGATAATATAAAAAATAATGCTTTCTTACTTATTGTATCCTATGTCTTCTTTGATGCAGAGACTGTGCGGATCCACTGGCTTCTTCCCACCGTTGTTTTCCGCAGAGCTGGCTTTCAGTCGAGAGTAAAAAAAAACAGGAAGACTAACCCGCTTAGAGCCATTGAACTTTAAGACCAGCTTGCAACAATTCAAACAGCTATTTTTGAAGGATGAACGGGTCCTTTAAGGCATATCTTCTAGGAGTTTTTTTTCACCAACAGCGCGCATCCAAAAAAGGAATAAAAATATTTTGAGTACAGGACACAGGGCGCACCCCCCCCCCTTTCCCCCTCCTCTCGAAAGTAGCAAGCGACGCCAAAAAACCGTTTTTTTATTTACGAAACATAATTTTTCTTTTTTGTACAATTATTTTGCGTTTTATCGTATTTCAACGTGTGATTGTAATTTTAAATTGTTGTTTTTTTATTTTTTTTTACTTTTTAGTTTCATTTCGTGTAACTAAACATAATAATGAAATTTTTTTTTCATCACTTGTTGCCAGAAGTAAGTTGTGATTTTTTAGAATACATATTTTTTTAAACAAATTGTGAATTGCTAATTTTTTCATTTTGTTAATTTTTATAAAAGAATTGCTTGTTTCTTTTATTCGGTGTCTAATGTTTATTAGGTGCTTATTTTACACCGGCCCTTGTTCCTTACTAGGAGCATTAAAAAGTCGGATGTGTGGAGAAAATTTTACATGAACCGCACTAAAAATTCCAAATTTTATTTAAAAAAGTCTATCGGAATTCCGATCGGAACGACCCTTTGGAATCTTGCAAAATAATAAGCTTTCAGCTACTGTAATATTGGCGTTTATTAATCATAGAACCTAAAAAAAATCATTTCAACCTACATTTTTGCTTTCTTTAAGGTTATATAGGTTTCTATTTTAATCCCAATACTCCGTTCTTGCCGATCCCTTGTTAGACAACTTTTAATGTTTAGATATGGGAAAATGTCATAGAGCATGTCACGATAATGGAAGATATCTGTTCATTGGCTGTAGTAAACAAATATTTTTACAAGCTTGTCAAAACGGACTTTCGGCAGCTATGTTATTATCATGCAGTATACCGTCTTAAAGGCGAAACTTGGGCGTACGCTTTTATAAAGTAAGTTTACAAAACTGTACGATGGGACAGAGTATTTACATTCAGTTATTTCCTTTTAGCACTATACATATAAGACTTTGAAATGAACTTTATTTTAGCTTTGGGAACCGTGCGTATAATGCGGTGTGTGGTAATAAAATATATTATCTAGACCACGCTATTTGTTGCCCGTTTACTGGGAGATTTGCCATAACTCTTTTGTTTAACTATGGCTGCGTTTTACCGACCAATATCGACTTTAGCCTCAACCAGTTTTCTGTCCTTGATTTTCGCTCATATACAACCCAAATTACGTACCTAAATATGATAAATCGAGGAAAAGAGCTTCTTGTTCGTTCTCCCTATGTTACGTTGGTATATGATTTGTCTTCTATGAAGGTTACACATATATTGACCCATAACGCGTTAAACCAGTATTACGCGATACAAACAGGTCGTGTTGTGGACTGTTATACGAAAAAGGAGTTCCAAGTTGATGTAAAAAACTCACTTTTTGAAATTTTCTACATCAACAGTTATGGAAAATGTAAATATGTTGGAGTACATACGATAGATGACAAACTTGTTGTAATTGATAGCGAAACAGGTGAAAAGCATGAAGTTTGTGAATGGAGAGACAAAATGGTTGTGTATGTCACCTCTGAAAACAACTCTGTAGTTATTACGGGATCCAGACGTAAGTAAAAGTTAACAATTGGGGAGAGGGGAGGGTGAAGGACAGAGTTTTTCCCGGACCGGACCCAATGCGGGAGTCCGGAATTTGAATTTTGTTTTCCCGCGCTTTTTTTCTACCGGACGGATCGGTCTGAAAGTTTTTCTACCCCTATTTGGAATGGTGCTGACCCTTTTAGATGCTGTTAGTTTTTTGATATCTATTCTAGTTTTTGAGATATGCGTTTGGCGGGAAAAATAAATTCAAAAATTCGGATTGTGCGGCCGGATCGGACCCAAGAGGAAAAACTCTGGTGAAGGAGGATCTTTCCAGGATATAGTTTGTATATTACGTAGCATTTTTAAAAAAGAGTTATACGAAAGTTTGCTTGTAAAGTAGGATCCTCACCTCCCTGCAGATTTTATTCTACAAGTGTAAGAATGAACATTTGTTCTACAAATGTACAAAACTTAATATTAAAATTAAGGTCATGCTCAAGGATGTCAAATATATTGTCTCAGAAGAAGATCATTTGTTTTCGATCAAATAAATGATGAACGATGGTTCTTGTTTAATTCTAGCAGTCTTTTCAAACCTGCGGATATGTCGGTATGGATTTCAAACAAATAAAAAAGTTAGAAAGAAATAATAACTTTTTTTTTCTAACCTCGACCCTTAAATTAGCAATGGCTTTTTACTCTAACAGCTTTAACTCTAGTGTTACCCTAGGCTCTCATTCAGCTTATCGATAGCTATATGCATAGCAATAACCCTATCCTTTTGATAGGAGCCGTGGATTACTTTTAACTTTATTTTAAAAGTAAAGATTAATCCACAGTCGGTGATAAATAGTTTCACTTTCAGTTTTTGGTTTACGACACAGAGATAAACAATTGGAGAGAAATAAAGCCCAATCCTAGCCTTCGACTAGAACGTAGGTGTGAGTGTTATTTGACCTCCGACTTTGTGCCAATGCCGACCTACACAATTATGGAATCCTTTCAAGATGGCATTGTCAAACGCGTTTTACTGCGCTTTAAAAAAGGCAAGTTTTAAAATTTGTTGGAATGGAGAGTTGTTCCTCCTTTTCTTGTATTTTAAGTATAAAAGCATAGCAAATCATTAAAAAAATTTTCTACGCTTTATTATGCCCTATATTGTTCAGATACCAATGTTCACCACTACTGGATATATCCTATAATCAAACGCTCTATGCTTTGCTCTGGTTGATCTATAAACTAAATTTTAGGAGTTGTCCGTGCAACAACCTTTAATGCCGAAGTCGAGTTCATTCCTGAAAAACATAACAATTGGCAACCCCTTGAAGATGATAACCATCCAATCGCGCAATTTTTACAAATGAACGATGTAAAGCCAAGCAAAAAAGCAAGTAGCTTAATCGGTTGGTTTAGCCAGTCGTACATGATTGAGCCACGTATCCAGTTAGTTGATGCCAAAACCGGAGCTATAAAAGAAGGGCTGAATAGTATTTTGTGATGTCATTTCAGCTTTTCGAACCATAAATAAATATCACATATCAGTAGTTTGATAAAAACACAAATATTAGTATCTTCAGTTTTATAAAGTACATTATGCTCTCACCTCCCCCCCCCCCTCTCGCGTCCGGCCCTGTGTACGAACATTTAAAACTTTAATGAACCTGATAATTCCTCAGTTCTGAATGTGAGGCATATTTTATTATTATTAATCATAATACATTGCAAAGTTTGCTGCCGTACATACGATTTCGTTGTTTCTCGTAACATTCTGGTAATGCCCACAACAATCGACCGCTCCAATTCCACTAGTTTTGTCGGCTCCAAAGAATGGTTGTAGATAACATGGAACGACAAATTGAGCTGTCGATAATGAATATACAGCTGATCCAGTAGTTGTTATAGCAAAGAAAACAGCTATCACGATGATCGAGCAACATATTATTGTACTTTGGAGGTTGTTCTTTGATAAAACTCTAAAATAACGTTAAATTATTAGAGCGACCCAGAAACAGTACAGTTCTAAGCTTTAGCATACCATAAAGCGATAAATCATCTTTGGTAGTATGTTGTAGTAGATGCGAAATAAAATAAAAGATCTTACTCCCTCAATCCAATCTCTTCAGGATCTCGGTTTTTGTTGTCTACTTCTGAAGCATTGAGTTTTAGATAAAACAAACATGGACAGACTAGTCCAGTTAATGTCATCGTACTACCACCAACCAAGTCCAGTAAAGGACCAAAGTTTGGTACCGATTCGGCCACAAACACTACTGCCAGCATGGTCAATGTTCGCAATAACATTCTTTGAACTCCAAATTCTAACAAAATATCAATTTTATAATTCTTTTGGTTTCAGTCTAGACCTATTTTAAAGCCTCTACTAGATTTATCTGGCCTAGTCCAGCCCAAAATCTTTACTGCTCAAGAGCAATAGCTTGTCATAAAATGGTAAAAATTTTTTTAAAAACTGAGAAGAGTATAGTACTATTTTTGTCAAAACTACTATATGACATTACTTCCTCTACCCTTATGATACTAATATTAACATTGTTTACAAGTCAGCCTGGTCCCATTTTGAACCTACTTATAACTTACCATGAGGAACGTTGAAAAAGTCTTCAAGTTCTTGATTCAGTGGATTCAGAACGATAGTTAAAGTTAAAATGCAATGACTTGTTATCAATATATTCACAGTTTGTTGTATCCAATCGATTTGTAAGCTACTGATGACAGAATGCTTCATAGAATCACCGTAAGTCAAGTAGCCAACAACTGACACGGTTATGTAAATTATTGATGTAACTGAAATTATATTTTGAAATTTAGATAAAAAATGTAAAAAGTCAACCAAAAATCAAAAATTTTAAAGAAAACTGACAGAAAAAAGCAGTAGAAACACTTTTTGTAAAATCACCAGGCTTCTTCATGTCATGCTGAATAGTAGGAAAAGCACCGTGATTACAGTAACTGAACATATAGGTCCCTACAGCCAAAAAGTAGTTGGTAATGTCAGTTGGAGGTAGTTGTCTTTCTGGATTACAAGTATCGTAGTCAGATATACTGCCTACAGTAATCAGAACGGCCGAGATAGATGATGTGAACATTCCTACGACAACAGCTGCCCAGAAGTCTTGAGGTGATTTTAGGAAGGTGAACGGTAAAAAACAGATGGCTACTATTAACACTACGTAACAGTAACTGATATCTTTTTGAATGTACATTAAGATGAGATCTCGTATGTTCTTGGCAGCCAATAGTAGATATACTACTGCTACACCAAATTGAGTTATGTCTACACATAAAGATATGGCTGTTCTGAAATGAGTAAGATTTGAAATTGTGTCTACATTATTGTTTACTGTCAGTAAAGACAACTTATTAGGTTGTTCATATAATTCTGCGCCTGTAAGCCCAACGATTTGATTTGACAGAGAGCACAAAATTATTTGAACTAGCTAATACAACCAAATTTAAGATTTTTTTCAAGCTTTCATGTACTTTTAAGTACAAAACCTAGTACTATAACATTACCAGGTAGACTTACTTCCATTTCTTCCCTAAGGCTCGTCGCGCAATTTCTGGGTAAGGTTTCCGACAATGATCGGTATATTTTGGCCATCTCTTTTGTAATATAGTCCAACATTGTCCGAGTACATGAGCTGTGTATGTTGCCATAGAAGCCATAAATACAATAAATATTATGCTGAAGTAGAGATCTGAAAAGTACTGTTGTACCGACTTAAAACTTAAATATTTACTATTTACAATAATATCTATAGAAACTAAAAAAATCAATTAACCAAGCATCGAGACTAACGCTATTAAAGAGTTTTATTAACTACACCGTGTCATCTAAAGTAGCACTTACTAGTATTAACAGTAGCAACAGGTAGCGCAACTAAACCACCACCAACTACGGCTCCAAGAATGAATAAAGCTGTGATAAACCATCCTAAACCAGCTGGAGGTAATGCGTTGTCATCTTCACTGGTTGTCGTAGTATTATCAGAGCTGTCTATATTAACATCCTTTGAAAACACATACTGAGGCAGCTTTACTTCATTGTTATACCGTGTAGACTCTTCCATACTGAAATTATTATATAATAAACTAATTAATATAGTAAAACTTTTAATTTAAAAATATTAGTATTAGGCTTTTCAAGTAATTCTGTGCCTCTTAACCATGAAAATTTGCTTTGAGATCTTTCTTATAAAAAGGAGCACAGAATTATTTGAACTGTCTAATAGATAAATAACTTCAAAACCAAGTTCAACTCGCTAGTTTCAAAATTTATCACGTAATCATAATCAAACATTTGATCCCAAAAAAAAGCTAAGCATTTAAAATCGTCTACTACACCATAAATTTAACATATCAATTAACATTCTTAACTATAACATAATATAAAAATTTCAAAAAACCAAAAGGTTAACCCAATTCCATTCGCAACATATGAGCCATAACTCTTCGTAATTATTACAAAAACGACTGTTAGCAAGTTAAGGAGCTTAGAGTTGTTTCGAAGAGTTACTTTATCAATCGTTTTATCTTCACCTTACAATTAATCAAAGTCTTTTTGTGAATTTCGAAGGTGCGGCAAGTTCCGTGAGTGTTTCCGAATAAACAGTGAGCTTTACATAATGTGTTTACATTGCCTTCCAATAAATGGTGGTAACAACCGGATTTTTAACCATTATGGGTTATATTGCGCTATTAAATTTATATTATAAATTACGTTTTAAAAATTTATTTTACTGTCATTTTTAGATAGACCAGTTTTTAAAATTATTACATAGTACATATTGTAATAGTAAACTGTCAAAAAGACAGTTTTGGCCTTCGGTTTTGTTATTTTATTTAGCACAGGCTGCACTGTTTCGGGCGCAGGCGGCTAACTTTAACGTTGTTGAACTTGCTTTTTGAAGGAGAAACTTGAAGGTTTTTGTTGTTTTTGTGGTTCAGAACGTGAAGAACATCATTGTAAATTTTTAATCAACATTATGTTTCAAGGCTAACATCTACAAACTTCAGTACCAGGTTGGTTTTTCTTGGTTTATACCTAAAATTAAGTTTTTGTTCGAAAAACGCGAAAAAAAATAAAATATTTATTCAAATTTATGTACAACGATTTAAAACTCTAATAAACCTGACGAATCCTCTGTTCCGAGGCATAAATTATTATTATTATTCATAATACATAGCAAAGTTTGGCGCCGAACAGACTATGTTGTTACTACGCGTCACATTTTGGTAATGTCCACAACAATCGACCGCTCCAATTCCACTGGTTTTGTCGGCTCCGAAGAATGGCTGTAGATAACATGGAACGACAAATTCAGCTGTAGATAATGAATATATAGCTGAAACGGTTGTTGCTACGGCAAAAAATGCGGAAATGGCTATGATAACACAACAGATGAGGCGAGTCTTGGTGTTGTTCTTGGCTAGAACTCTGAAATTGATGTTGCAGAAGGTATTTAAAAGGTTTTGCTTTTTTTAAAGTTTTTTAGATAATAATTGCTTAACAAGTGACGGTATAATTACTGACGAATGTAAATTAGGAAATGTAAGTTACCTTCGCGTTTTAGACTTAGGTAACAACAAGAAACGAACTCACTCTCTGAACCCAATCTCTTCAGGATCTCGGTTTTTGTCGTCTACTTCGGAAGCATTGAGTTTTAGATAAAACAAACATGGACAGACTAGTCCAGTTAATGTCATCGTACTACCACCAACCAAGTCCAGTAAAGGACCAAAGTTTGGTACCGATTCAGCCACAAACACTACTGCCAGCATTGTTAGTGTGCGGAAGAGGACACGTTTTACGCCGAAATCTGAAGAGTATTGTTTTACAGCTATATTATTATTCAAAATGAAGGTAATGTATATTGTGTTAGTATTATACTTTCATATTATGTTTGTTATAAAAATGCTAATGCAATGACTACCAACGTATATCTTACCGTGAGGAACTTTGAAAAAGTCTTCAATTTCTTGGTTCAGTGGATTCATGACGATAGTCAATGTTAATATACAGTGAATTGTAATCAGTACGTTGACAGTCTGTTGAATCCAATCAATTTGTAAACTACTGATGACGGAGTGCTTCATAGAATCACCATATGTGATGTAGCCTACTAGGGATACGGGTGTGTACATAATCGATGTTACTATAATAGTATCTTGTTATAATTTGTTGTTAACTCATACTTTGACTTAGGTAACGATGAGGTATTTGATATTATTATTGTCTATTAGTATAAGATTTTCATTTTTAATTACAACTCACATAAGAAAGCAGTAACGACACTTTTAGAGAAGTCACCAGGCCTTTTCATGTCATGTTGAATGGTAGGAAAAGCGGCATGGTTACAGTAACTGAACATATAAGTTCCTACGGCCAAGAAATAGTTGGTAATGTCAGTTGGAGGTAATTGTCTTTCTGGATTACAAGTATCGTAGTCAGATATACTGCCTACAGTAATCAGAACGGCCGAAACAGCTGATGTAAACATTCCTACCACAACGGCTGCCCAAAAGTCTTGAGGTGACTTCAGGAAAGTGCACGGTAGAAAGCAGGTAGCTACTATCAATACCACGTAACAATAACTGATATCTTTTTGAATGTGGATTAATATGAGATCACGAATGTTCTTGGCGGCTAGTAATAAATAGACCACTGCTATGCCAAACTGTGTAATATCAACACAGACGGAGATGGCTCTTCTGAAAAGTATATGATTTAGAATTGTATCTATAATATTGTTTACTCTCAGTTTGCTTTTGTACTGCAGTGTTACTAGGATAAGATAATTTAACATTGTAAAAGATAAGAGTATAATCTTCTCAATATGCCACTATTTAGTGACTTAATTCCATTTTTTGCCCAAAGCTCGTCGCGCAATTTCCGGGTAAGGTTGGCGACAGTGTTCACGATATTTAGGCCACCTCTTGAGTAATATATTCCAACAGAGGCCAAGAACATGGGCTGTATACATGGCTATTGCTGCCATGAATATAATAAAGCCTATGCTGAAGTAAATATCTGAAAAGTCGAAATAGTTTTTGCTTTGTTTTTGATCTACATGGTTAAGCTTAGATGCTGCAAGGTTGAGAACATCTCTACGATTAGATGCTGTAAGCTTGAGTTTAAAGCTAAATAGTTAGATGCTACCGAGATTTTACAACTTTTTACTGTACAACTTACTAGTGTGAACAGTAGCAACAGGTAGAGCGACCAATCCACCCCCAACCAGGTCTCCCAATATAAATAAAGCTGTGATGAACCAGCCTAGGCCATGAGGTGAGTAGTGTTCTTCACTCCCAGTTGATATCGTTGAATCTTGCGATGGCCTTTTATTATTGTTGTAGCCATTTGGAAGGTTTAGGTCGTAACTGCCTTTTGTCATTTTAGGAGAGTTTGTGAGGTAGTAATTATCGTAGTGAGTATTTTATCGATGAGTAGTAACTATATTATTTGATAAGGTCACTTTGTATACCAATATGTAATGACACTTGCTAAAAATGAAAAAGGTAACAAGGTTGTTTATGTTCAAATAAAAGTTGATATTGTAGTTCACGTCTATGTAGTTTGAATAAACATTTTGATATGGAAGTTCGACTCTCTTTAACTATGAATAATGTAAACTTAAAAGGTCAGAAAAAGGTCAATGGCCTTGAGTGTTTAAACTTTTGGATAAAATGAATTAACATAAATTTAAAATTTAAAAATTTATAAAGGTATAAAAAATTTGATTACTGGTAAAAATATAAGATTTTACAATAAAACGAGTAATAAATAATGATAAACAACAACTTAAAATGACATTCCAAGCAAACTTTATCACCAAACTGTTATCAAACAACCAAAAAATGTTTTACAAGTTTTTATAAACAGTAGGTGGTAAGAAAGTATCATGAAAAGTTTTATTGGAACAGTTTGTAGTTACAAGCATTCAATTATACTGATAACAGTGGCATTTTAATGTTTGGTTTTGATTGTGCTTGGTCAAACCCCTAAAAACTGGTCAAAAATTTAAAAATTGCGGTTTAAGCTTTGATTTTAGTATCAGTTCCACGGCCTGCAAAATTCTACTTTTGAATTCTGAAAAAGCTACGATTTTTGATGTTTGAAAATGCTTTTTAAAGATTAAAGCTTGGATCAAAAGCTGAAATACGAAAGCGAATAAAACTACAAGTGAATCCTCTCAAAACACATTATTACTTTGTGAAATGACAGAGAAGCAGACTGTCGTATAACTCATTTTATTGTAATAATACAACCACAGTTCCCAGAACGTTATCAAAACATTGCTTTTACAGCGATTTTATCAGAATTAAACAGATCAATATTGTATAAGGTCTTTCTTATTTTTAAAATATTAACATTAGGTTGTTCAAATAATTATGTGTCCCCTGATCAGACCTGGCTGTCGAACCGAAAAAAATGTGCTTTGAAAGGAGCACAAAATTATTTGAACAACCTAATGAAAGCAATGTTGTACATAATACAATACTTTATTACAGTAAAACGCAACTTTAAACCAATATTATGACAATATCATAACACAATCACCTAACCCGTGATATATACATGAATTTAAATGTGTCATTGCGTGTAAACAAAGTTTGCGGTATTTATACGAAGGGATACATTTGGGATTGTTTAACGAGTTATTTTGCAATCAAAACAACAAACACCACGTTACTCGGGATATTTACTCTGTTGTAAATACTTTGGTAAACGCGCGGGGTTATTCACGGTGATTTAATGTACTTGCTGTGCATTGATTAACACATGGGTGATGAACATAACGGTCTTTTAATAATGGGAGCAGCTTTATTTTAAATATTTAAAATAACTATTAATAGAACACATAAGGTAATGGTTATATATTAGATTGTTCAATAATTCTAGGACCTCTCTCAAAGCGAATGTGCGGGGTTAGGGGCTCAGAATTATTTGAACGATCTAATAGGTATTATACTATTAAAAAGTGATATGTTACTACAATAATCTCACAGAAAGACGTGCTTATCAGAAAATAATACTTAATGATATATACAAAAAAGGCTATGACAATAACCTTACATTGCATTACAATAACATATGTACAACAAAAGACAATGTTTTCAAGATATTTACATGTAAAAACCTATTAAAGTATAGTAACCTAGCCTATATAAATTACGATAGTGCAAATACTAAACTATTAGTACTATTTTAGTACTGCTTTTTAACAGTACACTATAGTACTATTAGTCTTACTATAGTATCATATTATCATCATTATCACACTATTTACCCCAACAGTTACACAGGCTTAGTTTATTTCGTACATGCCCATATCGACGCGAGAACACTTGATGTCATCACTTCGTGTCACGTTCTGCCAATGGCCACAACAGTCCACCGCTCCAACCACACCATCAACCCGGTCAGCACCAAAGAAGGGCTGCAGATAGCATGGTACTACGAATTGTGCTGAAGATAATGAGTAGATGGCCGAACCTGACGTAGCTAGACTAAAGAAGAAGGCGCTGATGATGATGAACATGCTTATGATATTGGTCTGGATATTATTCTTGGCTAGTGTGCTGAAATCATATGTTTTATGTTGAAGCTACTCTTCTTGTTTGAGGAAATTTATATTAGTTTGTTCAAATAATTCTGTGCCTCTAACCTTGAAAATTTGCGTTGAAAGGGAGCTCAGGACAATCTAATAAACCAGTCTTAGGGTATATCGTTAAGGTACCGGACTTACTCTTTCTATAAAAATGACCTTAGGGGTATATGATTAAGCTAATTTACTTACTCTTTGATGCTGAGACTGTGTGGATCCACCGCCTTCCCATCATTGTTTTCTGCCGAGCTGGCCTTTAGTCGAAGGTAGAACAAACATGGGAAGACTAGTCCACTTAGTGCCATTGAACTACCGCCGATCAGGTCTAATAGTGGGCCAAAGTTGGGGATGGACTCGGCCACAAAGACGACCGCTACCATTGTCATGGTTCGTACTAGTACTCGCTTCAAGTTGAAGCCTAAAAACAAGTATTAAGGTAAGACTCAGTATATAAAGAGGCTATACTTAGAGGTATAACAAGTACTGTAATATAATTACCACTTCATTACTGTAGTAAAGAGATCCATACTTCTTCAGTTGTTAGAGTTATTAGCTTACTATGTTTACATAAGAAGTAGTATAATATTAAAAAACGTACGATGAGGCACTTTAAAGAAGTCTTCGATCTCCTGATTCAATGGGTTCATTGTGATGGTTAGTGATAAGATGCAGTGACATGTAATGGCTATGTTAACAATCTGTTGTATCCATGTTATTTGAATACTGCCAATAATTGAGCTTTTCATCGAATCGCCGTAGGTCAAATATCCGACCAGTGATACCGGAATGTACAGGCATATCATTGCTACAAAGTATAGCTTATCATTGTGTTATGATCAGTATAAACAAATAGAAAACGGAAATCAATATACAGTAAACACTAACACTGATACAATAAACATAAAGTCCGTAGTACTTACTGGTAAACGCCGTAGCAGCACTTTTAGTGAAGTCAGTAGGCTTCTTCATGTCGTGTTGAATAGTCGGAAATGCCGCATGACCACAGAAGCTGAACATGTACGTTCCTACAGCCAAAAAGTAGTTGGTTACCATGGTCGGAGGCAGTTCTCTGACCGGCCCACAAGTACTGTAGTCCAAGAAACCACTAGCAGTAATCAGAACAGCTGATATTGCTGATGTTGCCATACCCATGATGACTGCTCCCCAAAAGTCTTGTGGAGATCTGAGCATCGTGCACGGTAGGAAGCAAGCAGCTACAATCAGCACTACATAACAGTAACTGATCTCGGTTGATGTGTAGATGAGGATGATGTCACGGATGTTCTTGGCTGATAGTAAAAGGTACACGACGGCCGTGCCGAATTGTGTTACATCTACACATACTGAGACAGCGAATCTGAAAAGTATGGGCTATATAGCATAAGATTTATATTGTACATTATATCTTGTAAGGGAGTGCAAAGATATATAAATGATAAAAAAGATGTATAACATCAAATTAAGCCGCTGTGCCGTGGAGACTCAGTATATCAAAGAAAGTAAAAATCATTTTCATATTAACCTACTTCCAGAACTTGCCACCAGCTCGTGTGGCGATTTCCGGGTACGGTTTGCGACAATGCTGACGATACTTTGGCCATCGATCCATTAACATAATCCAACATAGGCCAAGAACGTGAGCTGAGTAAATGGACATTAAGCCCATGAGAACGATGAAAAATATACTAACGTAGATATCTGGAAATGAAAATTTTGAAAAGTTGAAAGAAAAACACAAAACGATGGCTAAAATACAGTAAAACTACCGTATAACACTGTAAAAGTTGTTCTTACACTTTAGATTTATATAAAAACTTTTAAAAAAGATATAAACTACACTTACTAGTACGAACTGTAGCCAACGGTAGCGTGACCAAACCGCCACCCACTAAAGCACCAAGCATAAATAGGGCTGTGACGAACCAGCTGAGACCAGTAATACCATGCTTCTCCGTGGACTGGGTTAAACTGGCTTCAGATCCACTGTCTTTTTGTTTTGTAGCTGCTGTTTCGCGTTCAGCACTCGTTACATTACTAGTTCCAGTTTCTGATGACATCTGAAAGGGAATTTTGAAATTTTAAAATTAAAAAAATATTTCATTTAAAATTTCACAAAAATTTAAAATTTCAAAAAAATATTGAAATTTAATAAACAAAAATATTTTTTAAAAAATTTTGAAATTACAAAATTCTTAATAATTTTACAATTTGTTACCTAAATTTATAAATATAGAAAAAGCAAGCCAAAAAATGAAATTTAGCCTTCAATATAAGCCTAAAACATGCAAAACAACCTTAAAAAATCAAAATCGAAACGAAAAAGTCAAAAATCGCTCAGCATAAATCACTACATTAAACAGCAAAATGGCGCTGTAACAGTTATGAAAACAATTTTGGGTTAGACTTAAAAACAGTCAAGACGAGTACATTTAAGGGACTTTGCTCCTCTGACGTCATCTTCCAGTTACAACAAAATCCACCAAGATCAGACCGATATCGTACAAAAAGATTATGAAACTGAGTTTTGAAACTTTTAGAACGTTTGGAACGTTTGAGCGATCGAAAAGTTTTTTACTTTGAAATTTGGAATTTATGGATTCTAAATATCGAAATATTGACGTTTACTACGTTTTTCGAGATTAAAATACAAAAAAAAATTTTCAATTTTTTATTTAGGTAGTTGTTCTGTATATACTATTATATAAGGATGGTGATTAAACTGCCATTTTGAACATGATATTGAACTTGGTTTGACAACAACTTAGGAATATTGTGTTATTCAAATAATTCTGTACTCTCCGGAATATTAGGATGTTCAAATAAACCTGCGCCCCTTTCAAAACAACTTTTAGATGTTAGGAGGCACAGAATTATCTGAACAATGTATATAATAATAAATACTTGTTTTGTAGATACTGTTATATAAGAGTGAGAGATTGAACTAACGTTTAGAGTTTTTTAGAGATCTTAAACTTGACCTGGCAACAACTTAGAGCTGTAATACTTTACGAACATTGGCTTTAAAATAGGATCAATAACTATCCCATAAACAGTAATAACTAACTTTACTTTTTATTTTGGGCACAACTTGTGTAAAATGATCAAATAATTATGTGCCTCCTAACCACGAAAAGGTGCACAAAGTTATTTGAACAACTCAATAGATAATAAAAAAATAAAAAATTCGAAATTTTGATAAAAATTTTGAAAAATATAATAGAACGGTAGTGCAGCTCTAAAAACATAAAAAAAAGATTTAGTTGTGGATAGTTCACGTGAGAGACAGCTAGCTGAAAAACGCGTTTCCCATGAGAAACAAACATCAAAAGTGATCACTTTATAAATTGTTATTTATAATATTATTAACTCGTTTACTTTCATTCGCTCAACATAGCTCTACAATTATATATTGTTTGAAACGTATGAGTGCAAAAACAGAGCATATCATTTGACTTTTAGGTGTAGATGATAATATTCTTTGCTATCAACTTAGGTTTGTGTTTTTAAAATACGAAAACTGAAGTGCTCATCGAAAAAAAAAAAAACAATAGTGAAGCGTGCCTCTGTCCTGCCGTCCAGGCAGAAGCGGTACGGCCTGCATGATTCTCTTTCCTCGTTGGCTCGGCTCTCCAAGTGTCAGCTTCGATTGCCTGGGTATGTTGGGACCAGTGTCTATTGCCGAAATAGCCAATTCTTTTTTTTTGAAAGCGGTTTGAACTTTGGTGGGCTTTGGCAGTCGGTTTCGGCTTTAGTCTTGAGAGAGTCCGTCCTGGCTTTAGTCCAGTCAGTCAAGAATTCTTGTCCGGAGGCCGAGGCTGACTCTTCAGGAGCAGAGCCAACGAGGAAAAAAGATCAATCGTACCGCTTTTGCCTCCAAAGCACACGGGGCGCGCTTTACTCAATCAAAATTAAAAAACCTAAATATTGAGAGTTTAGAGTCGTTAAAGTCTAAAAAATAAAAAAAAAACTGAAGGCATGTCAATTTTTATGCTTTCTAAACTTCAAATAATATAGTCAACAATAAGGTAACTTTCAGAAATTTTTTCAAAAATAAATTTTACAAATAAAACTTAATACAAAATCAAAATCTAACGTGATTTATTTCAAAAGTGCAAATATTTGTTCTGCATTATATAAAGGAGTTGATACAATATTACATAAAAGGTCTTTATACATATACAAGAACCTATACGCTGTTTATAGTTATTTTTGTGGCTTTTGTATATTATAATACATAACAAAATAATAAAACTGCAAACTTCAATATAATACCGTTGCAAAGGCAAGGTTTTTAATTTAATGTATTCTCCATGAACAAAGATTAACCCATACGATTATACAAGTTTTCAAAAAAAATATATTTATAAATATGAAACAAAATCAAGACATAGAATAACGTAATATATATAGTGTTAATGTCAAAAATTATATTATTATGTTGTTCGAATAATTCTGCGCCCTTTCTCAAAGCAAATTTATGAGTTTATGGGCACAGAATAATTTGAACAACCTAATACAATACCGATTAGTAAAAAACATAGTTACCTTATAGTATTCATAATTAAATTACAGTACTCTAGTACTCAAAAAACAAAGAATTGTATTGTTATCAAACCTTAAGAGTTCTTTATAGTACTTACAAGTATCTTTTAATACTATTGTAGTACCAGTTAATAACACAAGGGTCAATAATAATATGTATAGTAATATTTACAAACACGAGTCCTAAAGTATCTATTGTAACCCTTCATCTTTAACCACAATCTACTGTAACCCTTCATAGATTGCGAAGTTGGGTGCCGAACATGTTATGTCGTTGCTGCGTGTGATATTCTGATAATGTCCACAACAGTCGACTGCTCCAACTCCGCCTGCCTTATCGGCACCAAAGAATGGTTGTAGATAACATGGTACCACAAATTGTGCACCAGACAGAGCGTAGATGGCCGAACATGTTGTACATAGACCGAAGAAGGCGGCTATGGCAATGATTCCGCAACAAATGTAACGAGTTTGGGGGTCGTTCTTGGCTAAGACTCTGAAGAATGGGTTTTGCAATGGTTTTTTAATCATAGTTTCGTATTTTACAATCAGTAATGAAGGTGTAATATAATAAAACGTTGTCTAAGATAATTACGATAACAGTAAGGCCCTTGCGTCATGTGTTTTCCAACGAAAGGGTCACAACTTACTCTCTGAAGGTAAGATCTTCTGGATCCACATTCTTGTTGCCATTGTTCTTTGCATTGCTGGCATTTAATCGTAGGTAAAACAAGCAAGGACAGACCAGTCCAGTTAATGTCATAGTACTACCCCCAACTAAGTCCAGTAAAGGACCAAAGTTTGGTACCGATTCGGCCACAAATACCACGGCAATCATGGTCAATGTCCTTACTGATATTCTTTTCAATCCAAATTCTGAAACATGCTTTTATAATAAAGTATAAACCTATATTGATTGATATATACCTACCTATATATTATAGTATGACATATACCATAAGATAAGTTAATCAAAGTGCGTCATTATTACTTATAATCAACAAAAAGTTATCAAAATCTCCGTATATTACATAAAAATGATAGAAACCATACCATGAGGACACTTAAAAAAGTCTTCAATTTCCTGGTTTAGTGGATTCAGAACGATAGTCAATGTTAATATACAGTGAATTGTAATCAGTACGTTGACAGTTTGTTGTATCCAGTCAATTTGTAAACTACTGATAACAGAGTTCTTCATAGAATCGCCGTAGGTAATGTAGCCAATGAATGATACTGGAGCATACATTATTGATGTGACTAAAAATATTTTTTTAAATTTTAATTCTTAAAATTTTTATTTTTAAAAATAAATTTAAAATTACTGACGTTATTGCCTAGTGTAATATAACAAAATAAAAAAACCTACAAAGAAAAGCAGTGATAACACTTTTCGGAAAGTCACTAGGTCTCCTCATGTCATGTTGAATAGTAGGAAAGGCGGCATGACCACAGTAACTGAACATATATGTTCCTACAGCCAAAAAGTAATTCGTAGCAATTGGCGGTGGTAATGTTCGTTGAGCACTACATGTACCGTAATCTAAGATACCACCTACAGTAATAAGAACGGCCGAGACAGCTGATGTGAACATTCCTACGACAACAGCCGCCCAGAAGTCTTGAGGTGATTTCAGGAAGGTGCACGGTAGGAAACAAGCGGCTACTATAAGAACGACATAACAATAACTGATTTCTGACTTGGCGTAGATTAAGATGAGATCACGGATGTTCTTGGCTGATAAGAGTAGGTACACAACGGCTATGCCAAATTGGGTTGTGTCAATGCAAATTGAGACGGCTGATCTGGAAAGTATCATGTTAAAGTACATTAAATAAAACTAAACTACCAAACCGAAATTATTTACCCCTACCCTACTCTAAACTAATTAAAAGTATAAGACTATGTATAATATCATTGATGTGCTATTGTTTTATGGACTTACTTCCACTTCTTTCCCAAAGCTCGTCGAGCGATTTCTGGATAAGGTTTGCGACAATGTTCACGGTATTTTGGCCATCTGTCGAGCAATATATTCCAGCATTTACCCAGTACATGGGCTGTATACATTGTCATCATACACATAAATATTATTAATGCCAAACTTAAGTAGATATCTGAAAGTTTAGGTATAAATCTTCATAATATTAAACTGTTCAAATAATTTTGTGCCTCTTTTCAAAACAAATTTTTGGAATTAGGGGCACAGAATTATCTGAACAACCTAATATTATAATTAAATATAAAGATATATATTGTTCATCTATAATGTAAACTATATAAAACCTTATAGTATGCACTACTATAACATTATAACAACATATTATTCATGAGATTACAAATTGTATTTCCTTTTTTGTAATTTACAATCAAAAACTTACTAGTATGCACAGTAGCCACGGGCAGAGTAACCAATCCACCCCACCATGTCTCCCAATATGAATAAGGCTGTGACAAACCACCCCAACCCATGTGGAGTGTAATGTTCTTCCTCTCCTGACTCTGTACTGTCGTCCGAGTTTCGTTTCTTCATACTGTATCCATTGTCAAGTACGAAGGTTTGGTTCCCATAATCAGTCTTTTCGTTCATTCTAAAAAGGTTTGTCTTATAAAAGTTAGGTCTCACATTTTTTAAAAAATAATCGAAAAAACGGTAAATCACGGTCAATTCTACAGGCCTTTGGACCGACAAAACGTCAAAAAAAGGGAAAAAAAGAAAAAAAAAAGAATTCTAACCTCAGGCTTAAAAAACGCGTTTTAAAAAAATTTAAAATTTTTAAAATTTTGAAAAAAGTGAAGTTTAACCCTTCAAAAACTCCAAAAATCACGTAAAATTTCATTTTTAAATAGGGCTTAACCTTACAAGTTCAAAAGAATGAACAATGTTATTCATTGCTCTGTCAACATTTCCTAACTCCGTGAGTGATAGCTGATTATGCAAATCTGATGGAGTTTAGTCTTTATTAGTGTTTTTCTCACGGGTCACGATCAACATGGTTCGTGGAAGCAATATGTCATTGTAAACATTCATATTAAATAGTTGGGCTTTAAAATCAAAGGAAAACGTATATTTAAAAGGCTGGTCTGATCTTTAAATAATATTTTTTAAATATTTTGTTTAAATTTAGATACTAAGCTACACTTTAACTATTGACATAAAGAGATAACCAGGACTTGACAGTGGAAAAAGGCAGAAAGAGTACAGTGAAACGTATGATACTCAAGAGACTAGACCAAACCTGTCTTTATGATCATACACTATCCATGTACTGTTGGGTAAGAGTTGTATTATAAAGATATTTCTACAGAGAACTTCATACTATCGAAGAACATAAAAAAATGTTTTACTGTACAACTCTATACTACCTACAAAGTCTTACCAAAACCTTCAAGAAACCCTGTTTATCACTAACTGATAACCCATAAGGTAACTGAGGTAGCTACTTTCCCAATAAAAACAAACTAATAAGTCAAGATATAAATCTTGACATACAAAACAGAGTAAAACCTAATCGTATCAACATCTATTGTTGTGTTACTAAACAAACATTCAAAACATTTAATAAGACGTTCTTAAGTTATGTTATGCTCATTTTAAATACCAATATGCTTACTTTAAATACCAAATAATTAAAACATCGTACTTTGGTGCCGATTGTAAATTATATATGCATTGTGGTAATTTATACAAAAACAACGTATTGATAATAATCTCTAAAGATATTTTGAAACATTACAAGGTATTTCGGTAATTTACAGTACTTTTGATATTAGGTTGTTCAAATAATTCTTTGCTTCTTAGTTTTAAAAATTTGCTTTCAGGAGGCGCAGAATTATTTGAACAACTTAGTATATGAAAACGGTACTACTACTTGTTACATTAATGCAAAAAATAAAAAAATATATAAGGTAGGTCAAAGAATAAGAAGAATATATGTAAACGAAGACTTTTGGCATTTTTCACTTTTCTATGTACTTTATGACCAAAAATTAAAAACTAGCTAAAGATAACTAAAACAAGAGCTGATGTCTGAACATAAAGAATGGTAAACGTTCGCTCAATGACTTTTCTAAATCAATAAATATTATTCCGAGAAATAGTTAAATATCATCAAAATAGTAAAGGTTATTTATTATGTTGACGACAGTAAACTTTATTTTTATTAAAAAAAATTTTTTAAAAACTTGTTTTAGCGTAACCAATACTTGACAAAATAAAACATTGTAAAAAGTTATGTTCTAGTCTATATCCCTCTCATCCCTGTCTAAACCCTCTTGCTAAAAAATATTTACTACAAAAATTGACACATGCTATAAAAAATATATTGAAGTTATATATATTGTAAGTTAGCTATGAATGGCCTTTAAAACTCAAAAAAAATCTGATTGTTCCAACGTAAAATAAAACACTTTTGATGTGTCTACAAACCTTTTTGTTTTAATTTTTATTAAAAACAATATTTGGTTGATAAGATTTAATATTGTAATAGTAATCTGGTACGGTTGGACCTAGGGGTGAGAAACGGGCCGTCTAGGCCCGGCCCGACCGAGCCGGACTTGAGCTAAAATTGAAACGGGCCGGGCCTAAACATTAGGCTCTGGGCCTGGGCCGGGCCTAAAAAGTAAGCTCAAGCCCGAAAAAACATTTTCAATTTTTAAAAATTTTTTATTTTGATCCCTGTTGATGTTTTTTGATTTTATTGGGTACTATGATCCATAAATGATCTGAAAAAACAATTTAAAGCCAAATTTCCGTTTATTTTTTGAGTTTTAAAATTTTAAAATTTTTTTAAAACGGGTTGTGCCTAGAAATTTGCTGACCGGGCCGGGACGGGCCTAAAAAGTTGGCCCGACCCTTTTCTCACCTTTAATTGGACCAAGCTAAGCGCATCGAATTGTTTAAAAATCCGTTTTTAAGCGTTTCAAAATTAAATATAGTTTTAAAAAAATCTTTCCTGTTTGCTTTGAGTTTCAAAATCAAAGCTCCCCTCCGTCCTTCCTCCGCCAACTGTAAAAAAACGTTTTTGGCTATTCTTATTCAAAATAAGCCCTAACCACAAAAAATCATATTTAAAAAAAAACACCATTAACTGTAAAAGAATTCGAAGCATAATTAGCACAAAAATAGCTTTCATAACTTGTCAAAAGAAGAATGTAATCAGTAGCCTTTAATAATAATTGTTATCAGCATCTCACAGGCTTATAACAAAGACAATTGTTTAACACATCCGGGTTTATATTAATATTTCATTTAAATTACTGCAAATTAGAAGTCTTTAAGATTAAGAGTCAACTTTTAAATTATTAAAAAGATCATGTACTACGTATTTTACATAAAAATTTAACTTTGGCAGTGTAATATAATAAATGTATCATATCATTTTTTTAAATTCAAAACGAAAAGCAACTTAACATTACAAAGTAAAACAGAATGACGTTCACTATAACATAAACAAGATATAACTGCAACGGTAATCTTTCCACTGAATCAGTCTACTGTAAAATTTGTTGTCTGCTGTTTGGATTCTGTAGCCAAGGTCAGCTTTATGTAATGACTAGCTGAGTGCAAAATACAAGCAAGTTTAATGACTTGTAGGTAATCGTGTACGTGTTTACTGTCAAACTGTTTATGTTTGCCTGAAGAACAAAAACTCTGTGATAATTACCGTATTTTAGGTTGTATATTAACATAAATTTTAATTTTGCAGTGTAGTATCTATTCGGTTAACAGTTAATTATTGAGCTATTCGTGATAGTTGAACAATATGCTTTTCTAAATTTTTTCAAAACTATTTTAAACGTTAATGTATAATATAATATAATAATATAGTGTTCAACTTTACATTGATCTACAGCCAAAACACTTATTGTAGCTACTAACTTCTTGTTGTAAATCTACTTTTCTGCAATTTTTCCTCTAATTTTGCATCGAAAAATTCAAAAATCCGGTTGGATTTTGAGAAAACAGAGAAAAAGAGTATAGAGAGTAAAGAGACGGCGAGACGTCAATAAGAGAAACCTCAAAGCAAAGACAAAAAGAAAAAGCTTTTAGGCAATTAACACTGCTGCAGCTCTTAAACCGATAAACGAAATTCGACTGTGCTAACTAAAAGTGCACTTTTCTCTCCAACATCTCATCATAAAGTTATGATGCATGTGCAAATGCATATTCGTCATTCTAGACAGTTGATCTCGGCCAATTTGTTCATTGCTATCACATGACGCGATGACTGTTTATTTACTGTGAAACGACGAGACTTCCGGCGTTTATAAGTTATTAGCTTCTTTTTTATTACCATTTGCTCTTTAGTGTGTTATGACATCGTTTTTTCTACATTTGTTGGGTAAACTGACTCATAGGGTCACTTGAAGTTAAAGTGGAATAAAGGTTGGTACTTAAATGTAGAATTGTAAGTTTATCAACCGCTTTTTTAGGATTATATAATTGTAGCAATAAGGAGAATAGAAAGGGTATATATGAAGGTTGGAAACTTATTGAAAACGTTGTAAAGATAAAAGCTTTAAAAGTATTGTCAATGTAATTTACTTGAATTTTAGTATGTTTCTTTTACCCTACGGGCAAATTTGGCTTGAGTTTTGGTTTTAAAATTGTGGCGTAGAAGCGGAAGTCAAATTTTTTTTGTTCTACGTTCACTGCTCTTTCTATTACCGATTATCTCTATTTGTGACTATTTTTTGCTTGAGTTTCTTTACATTACCAAGACACCTTGGTCTTTTGCCCCATGGCTTTTTTTTGGTATTTAAATACTTTTTATAACTGTGGGAAATCTGCAAGACAGACGTCAGCGCACAAAAAAATGTTTGAACGTTTTTTGCGAGAATTCACTGTGGTTTTCTCGCAGGCTTCGAGACCAACTTTTACGATGCTGGCCCTGTATACTTTATGTTTTTTAAAAGTTTTTTAACCGCTCTAATAACATTGAAACAATTGGAAAAAAACCGATATTTTAAAATTTTTTGGCTTTAGGATTTTTGTCCAAACAAGGGTTCTTTTGTTTACAATGCATCTTGTATCTCCTGTAAACGATAAGGATAATGTGGTTTAATAAGGATAATGTCAAAAGAAGTATTATTCTTATTGGTTCATCTGCTATAACAATCATCTATTGTAACATCTGCTGTAAAACATTAGATTTTTTAACGTGATTTAGTTTTTGATTACTTATTTTGTACACCACACTTTCACGTGATCACAACTCTTACAAAACATTTATTTTCGTGGTATTTCTATGTGATTGTGTAGTAAAAGCGCATAAAAGGCACCTTGAAAATATCGTGATAATAGAGGAGAGCTATAGCTTTAAACACGACGTTATATTAAGGGAGTGATAGTGAGTAAGGAAACGTTATTTTTTGAAAAGTGTAAAAATAAGACTTTAGTTTAGGGGAGTAATAGTCAGGACTAAACAACATTTTATGAGAGAGATAGTCTAGAATACAGTAATATTTTAAGAGGGTAATAGAGAGAAACGCAACTTTGTTTTAACCTAAAAACCACTGAAGTCACAACGTTAGCCTAAGAGAGTAATAGCCAAAAATAGAAAGCAGCGACGAGAGACGACGAGTGTGATATCGGAAGTGGCGAGTCTCTCCAACAAGGGACCCTTCCGATTTCGAGTGTTTGATTGCTTATCAGTTTTCCCGCAACGTCGTTAAAAACCTATGATATTAAGTTTTCTACACAACCGTAAGACCGCATTCGGTAAAGTTTTACAGTTTGCTTTGGTTTAATATTTTGTAGTTTCATTCAGTCTTTGCGACAAATTTTGTGGTTTTTAAATGGTTTTTTTAGGTAATATAAGGTAAAACACGGGGTATTTTTGTAAAGAGTTCATATTTTGTTTTATGCTAAATTGTAAGTTATGTTTTACTGTATATCATCTTACAGTATCAAACTGTTTTGAACTTATCATCATTAGTCAAAATTTTTAAAAAATGCTATTACTGCGTTGTTTAAATAATTATGTAACCCTTCTCAAAACTTATCTTTGGGGCACAGAATTAATTGAAAGGTCTAGTATTTACACAAGTTGTTTTCCAAGTTTTCTCCACCGCCAGCCAAAAAGTCGGTATCAGTGATCGCGCTTCTTAACCATGTTTACCATATACAGGCATTTACCCATGTCTTTCTATTCTTTTATGTTTGATTGGCTTCGGACAAGTTTGTCAGATCTTTTTACGGTCTCTCTAAAATAACAATCGACCTTGCGGGTTTCAACATTACTTTTTGAACGTTTTTAAAGTTTTGTAAGAGTAATATCAGCTTGTCCGGAAAAGAAGGTTAGGTGTGCACCGTGAAATCCTCAAAAAAACCGCAGCCCAATGCACCGTGCAGATTCCCCATGCGATCGCTTTCGACCCCAAGTGATGATGGAAAGACTGCACAGTGCAAGCCTTAATTGTCGCATTGGTCGGTTGTCGCAGGAAACAGAGGAATTGTGACAGTCAAAAAGAACTTGTCGCAAGCCTTCAACTGACACAGTAGTGGCTTGAGCGTTGTGACAACCGCGACACGCTGTCAAATCGCTTTCAAATCGCGACGCAACAGTTTGTCGCAAAGCTTTGAACCTTGCGACATTGCGATTTTTTTTTCGATTTCGCAGAGTGCAAGCGAATGTCGCGCAACGTCCCCAATTCTCGGCGCGACAGCGATTCCACCAACCAAATAGTAGAAAAAAAGAAACTAAATTTTCGTTTAATGATTTTTTTTATATGTAATAGCTTTTAATACCTAATTTTTAAAATGTAAAATACGTTGTAGTGATGACTTTTTGTAAGATACGGTTGAACCAGTTTTTTAAACTTTTTACGGCTTTTTACTTATTAAACGTGCACTGACATTTGATAGAATAATTTAGTAAGTTAAAGTTTAAAAATTTTATGATATTTGTTTGAAAGTACAGTGAAACCTCTTTCTTATGACCTTAGTGTGCCACAACCCCTATCAAAAAGTATTTAGTAGTTTGACATTGGTTATAAATGCAGCTTTGGACTAGTACTTTCACTGTCATACTTTAATTGTAATGTTATTGGTTACTACCTTTGTTTATATTAGACTTGTTTATCTATAACAAGCTTTTCAGTTAGTTTTTTCTGACATTTTTAATCATTCCTTCCTCTTTCTTATCAAAAAGCATTATACTAATAATTTGATTTTTAGTATTATTGATTTCTTTTGTAAGACAAAGTGTTTTTATATTTTTCTTTCATTTGAGACCTGGCTTTTATTTTTTTTAATTAATTTTTCTAGGTTTGAGTAGCATTTTTCAGTTATTACATTTCATTTTTAGTCCCTTTATAACTCTTTTGCACAACCTGGTACACCAAAAACAGCAAAGACTGCTGTTTTATACAATAACAATGATAAAACTTTTTATCATTCCCATAAGCGCTCTCCAATCTTTTAAAAATATCAACTTTTCAGAATAACACTGATTTAGTTTACAAATCTATTAAAATTGTTAACGGAAGTTAATATAGCACAGACTAGAGTTGACTGATATCAATAAAACGTCTTCACGGTGATTTATTACTCTGAAGAAGAATATTATCGACGGAATAAAATTTCTTTTTAAAAGACAATTTTGATGGTTTATCGGTAGATTTTGTAACAATTTCGGTTACTGTTAAAATACAAGGTTTTATTTAATTTCTAATTTTTTTTATTTTGTTATGCGGTGGTATTAAAAAAGTGGGGGCGGCGTAGAGGACCCAGTGGTTGAAATAAGGTAAGACTATTCGAAGCTTGGTTAATCTTATGATTTAAGGGGTGTTTTTGAAGCGTGTGAGTACGGGTAAAAAACGGCCGGGCCGCAAAAGTGCTTAGACAGGTCGAGCTTGAGCAAAATTTAGATTCGGCTATACGGGCCTGAAAATCCCCGAAAAGCCCGATCGGACCGGGCCTGAATGTTAGGCTCGTTTGCCATGTCTAAAAGTGCCTAACTATTGTTTTATATTAAAAAATTTATCACTTAGTTTGGAGGGGGCTCATCCAGAACAGCCCCCCATTCCGTTTCACACCCCCAACCGTCAGTTCGCACCCCCAGTGAAACTCCCAATCTCCAACTCCAAGTCGATCCCACTTGGCCGAACCATATCGGTAATGTCCGAAGTTGGGGATTGAGGGTCGCGCGAGAGAGTGCTGGTCTGCTGACTGGCCAGGGCGGTGAACGGAGGAGCAGAATGAAGAATTTGCAAAATCTGCTGCCTTTTATACGCATTTTCATTGATTTCGTAAAGGTCAATTTAAAAAATGAATAATTTTTGACTTTTTACATGCCGGTTGTAAATTTCATTTTCTGGGGGCGTGAAATACAATGGTGGGGGTGCAATCTACAGTGGGTGGGGGCGCAATCTACAATGGGTGGGGGAGCGATCTACAATGGGTGGGGGTGCAATCTACATTGGGTGGGGGTGCGATCTACAGTGGGTGGGGGTGCGATCTACAGTGGGTGCGGTTCAAAATTTTCTGCAAATTGAGGCATTGAGGTACTGCGTGTATGTTTCTGGATTGTTCTAGTTCTTCCTCGTTGTTCACCGGAGCTCTCCTTGGTTTATGATGTTTCCCATAATTGGGCCTCCCACCAGTTTTCACTGTTCACCGCATCACTGGTTCGTGGGTGAGGTGCTCCATAGGTCTTATGGCTTGTCTATCATACACCTGTGTTGGCCAAGTGATGATGGGCCTAGTCCCCGTGCTCCCAGCACTACCCATTCCTCAATGCAGTACCATACTACAACTAAATTAAATAAAAAATTTAAAAAACCCTTTAAAAAATCCGCAAATGTCCAAAATCCGCAAGTGTCCAAAAACCGAAGATCCGCAAGTGTCTAAAAACCGCAGATCCGCAAATGTCCAAAATCCGCAGCGCCTTTAGTAGTCTTTGATAAAGGTTACTTTTTTTAAAACTGTTTCAATTTTTCTTATTCCAGTCGTTTCATACCCATTCTTTCATTTATTACCGACTCGATTGTGTGATAGTCGTGTCTAAGAACCATTGTTGGTTGCACTCTTGTCCCCGCACCCCTTCCTTTTGGCTGTACCCCCCCCCCACCCTCCCTTTTCTTTGTTGCCTCCCCCCTTCTTTTGGTTGTCTCTCCGCTCTCTATCCTAACTTTTTTCGTATCGAAGGGTCACAGGGTAGGGCAGTTGTCTCTCCGGCCTTCAAGGTTCACAAAACACTTTTTAATAGATCTGCAATCGTCTGTTTTTTTTTCTTTTTCGTAGTCAGCGGACGTCTAAAGACCATATCATTACAAATTTGTTCATAATCATTATATGGCCTTCAATTCTGACACATTTTTGGAGGCCAAATATTTGAAGGATTTTCAAGTTTTTGTTGAAAACTTTTCCTTGACGTTGCTTGATGAATAGAGAAGAATTTGATGTTAATATAAGCTGTTTTGATAACGTTTTGACTGATTTCTTATTCAAGTTTTTTAAATGTTAACTGTTTTTTTTACGTTTAGAAAAAAAAATCTTTTGAAAATTGTTGTGACAATCCTTTTCTGACTCACTTTCATTGCTATAAACACAAACATAAATAACCGTAGGCTTTCCTTTCAGCGACCCACCTTAACCTTGTAGTGTGGTAACTTCCAAATCCGCCACAATAGTCGCGCGTCAGTTGTCCGCTTTGATCGCTGATAAAATACCGAGTAGAAGATGGCAAGCGGAGCCCGGCCCTCGAGCAACCAACGCGATGAGAGTGCTACATCATCGGGCAAGAAGACGCGTACATCGCGCGGCCACGACCACTGCAACGAGTTTGTGAGTTTTTTTATTTAAAAAACTATTATAACTTTTGAAAAAAAAAATTTATTTTTAAAATTTTCTTTAATGTTCATAGTTTTATCATTACCTAAATGTCAGTGACGATCATTCCTAATTCTTATCAACGAAAGTATTTTTAGCCATAAAACCCTTTTTGCCTTTTGGGTAGTTGGTCTTTGTCAAATGCGTTTTCAAGGTCAAATCTATTTTGTTCAATGCTACTGTCAACTGTTACATCAATACGCAACTTTTATGCCTATTTATTTAAGCGCTTTACGTCAACTTTAACATTCACGGCAATTTTGGGACTGAGAACTTGCTTTTATACCTTAAAATAAAAACTTTTGGCATTTTAAAATTAATTTTTCGTTTTTTGAAGGGATGACATTTTAGACAAAAATGGTATTTTAGCTTTTACGCCTTAAAATTTAAAATTTTGAGTTTAAAATTTAACCTTTTTGCTTAAACAGTGCTTTTTTGGAGCCGGACCTATAATTATATTATAACTTAGCAAGTCAATCCAAGAAAGGCTTTTTTTAAAACCATCAAACCAAAAAAAAACACAAAAATCTTTTGAAGCCAGGCCATCAATCTTCCACATTGGTGGCTGGTAAACACAAGAGGATTCCTTGACCTAAAAGACTGTGATACTCTTCTCGTGACTTCGCAAAACCTTTTATGTCATTTTTATGGGCAGCCAATTAGAGTCTAGTTACAATTTCTCGCCTTTTTGGTTGGCTGTAATACTATTCAAAGTGTTAGACATACTGACTAGTAAAAGTTATTTTTTGTTGGTAAAGGGCAACAGGATAGTACAGCTAAGAAAACTTTTGAGACAGAACAATTAAAAAAGCTTCCAAACTGTGAAAAAAGTTGTAGCAAACAAGTAATTAACTTGGGCAATTCAGTGTAATATTCATTTTAGTATTAGAGAAAAGTGAATTACAACAAGTAAAGTACATTGGAGAAGAACGGAAAAGGTAAAGTACATACAGTAGACAAAGTGATAAACAATAACACAACTAGTAGAATAATGTTACTTCCGCCTTAGTTACCATGCGATAAGGGTCTTGTTCTGAGTTTTTCTACTTGTATTTTAGAACATTAGGATAAAGGAAACTCCCGCAACAGTAAGCACAAAGTTGTCATAAAAAAGTTTTACCTTGTAATAGTCTTTGTATTTTATCAAAGCATATTCGAAAGTTTTAAAAGTATGCTTTAGTATATCTAAAAACAATAAAGTATATTTAATAATGATAAAGTAAGCGTTTACAGTGTGTCGTTTGCGGAGATCGAGCCTGCAATCACCATTACTATGGCGTGGCCGCTTGCCATGGTTGCAAATGTTTCTTCTGGCGTTCCGTGAAACAACAACAACAATATCTTTGTCGTTATGACAAGAACTGTGACATTAGCCCAAGTAAGTTTTTGTATCAAGCGAGCTTATATACTGCCTTATCAGTTCATTATAAGTTTAAATTATAAACTAAACTGACGCTTTCTGGTTGACTAGGTAGTGATAGTACTAACAAAAATCTTGTGCCATTTCTGATACAATACCGTCGTTAAACACTAAGATATTAATCTACATGTTCTCTAAAACACCAAGTAATTCATCTTCCTTCAGACCAGAGAAATGCTTGTCGCTACTGTCGCTTCCAGCGTTGCATCTCGGTTGGAATGCAACCTGATGCTGTGCGAATGCAGAGCACTCGTACTGAGAAACGTGCTGCTTCTTCCACTACTGGACCGCAACCCGTAGTCAGCAGTACCATCTTGGACTCGACTACCGGACCATCTTCGACTGAGAGCTTCGAAATGAAGCCGTTTACTGAGGTAAGTTAAGTTTATAGTATTATAATTGAGGTTATATTGATCACATTTTACAAATAAACTATAATATTGTAGTTGTTGTATGTTTTTCATAGATATTGCTTGATCTAATGATATTGTGTTGGTAAAATACGAAGAGTAACAAAATTTTTTCAGACCATTGAAGCCAAACAAGCTTGTGAAGACAACGAAAAGCTAGTCCTAGCCATACTTGAACTGGAACGTCGTGTCAACGAGGTCGCTGACTTCAGTGAAAACGAAACTCCGTACGAGTTGTGTAGCCTCGACGAGATCTTCTATCGACCTGACATCCTGGAACGTTATCGTACCAGCGTGACGTACTGTGTGCGCCTTCATCGTGCTACGACTGAAGAGTTGGAGTTCTGCAAGTATCGCACCTTAACCAAAGCTTTCGACATGGTGTACTCGCTGGAGCAGCTGGGCATGAACCCCATTTCCATCGAAGACAAGATCACTTTGCTACGACATGTGTACGGTCAGCTGACTGTGTTTGATATCGCTTATGGCACGGTTCAGGCTACCAAAGACCAGAGTCTGCTCTGTCTTCCGACCGGAATCACGTTGTCGACAAACGAACAGATCCAGGACAACTCCTTCATCAATCAGAGTCTGATTTCGCAAATCGCTAGCGTCTTGGTGACCGCGCTGACAAAGGCCGATCTGTCCGAGGAAGAGGCCGCTCTTCTAAAGACCATCATCATTGTCAACGACGGTGTGCAAGGCCTCAGCGTGAATGGCGTCGAAGCCATCGGATCGTTGAGAAGCCGGCTTCATTCAGCTCTACATCAGGTGTGCTCCGTTGGACGAGCAGCTTCAACCGCGACACAACGCTTCGCCGGAAATCTGCACATTTTGTCGAAGCTGGTGATGCTGAGTCACGACTTGATTGAACAGTTCCGCGTCCGCTTCACGTTCCAGAAGTTTGAACGTGACCGGTCAAGCACCCAGCTGTTCTACGAGTTGTTCGGCGATCTCTTTCATCAGACCCGGGAGAACAGCAGCATCATCGAGAACATACACTCGATGGCCTTGTCTAAGGCGCGGAACAGGTCAGTTGACGAGAGTGAGGACATGTCTGACTGATATTGTAATTAAGACTAGAATGAATTTAGGACAAAATTAATATTAAGACTAGAATAATATTGTGTTTAAGATAAGGTTAAGGTAGTATTATAATTGAGACTAAGTTAACGTAGTTCTTTGAGCAGTGAACATAGGTTCGAACAAAGTTGAAGAACACAATTTCGAATGACATTTATTATATTTTCAGTGCTTTTTTTAACATTAGGCTTATGTAGTGATTGAAAATAAGCACATATAGGTCAGAAATAAAAAATAAGCTAGGTAAGCCGTAAATGGGCCAAGTTTATTTTTAAGCCCAGCCCGTCTCTCGCCTTCAATTATACTAGAAGTTCAGTTACGTTAATATAGGCATACAAATGAAAAAAAAATATGCAGGCGATAATTGTAGTGCAGTTATATTATTTCTGGTCATATTATGTTAGTTCAGTACTCTATTTAAACGTAATTTGTGTTCTTTTGTTTTTAAGAAAGATTAACAGGCTTGAATGACATTGTACTGAAGGAAAAAGCCTTTAAAACTTTTTTCAATATATTTTTCTTACTGTACATGTTACAGTAACAAAAATGAATATTAAATACTAAACTGTAGTGTCAGTCCTTTTCGAAAGCCTTAAAGCTGGTAAAGCGCTTCTTTTTCGTTGTAATTGTAATAGTTTTGTACTCGTTCAACCAATGTTAATATTAATTTTGTCCTTTTGTTTTGGCAATAAATTATTTTTATCATTTGTTTGGACCATTTGTTTCTGCACCACAATTGTGAGACCCTTACTTTGCCTTGAGGAGTTTTTTTAAAGTTTACGAAACTTTTAGGGTTTTGACTTATATTTCACTACAACTAGAGTAACTAGCACATTACCTTTAAGATTTTAAGCTCAAACATAGAAACAGACTATAGACTACTATAATATTCTGTTTTTAATCAATTTTTCTTAAAAATATGCTATTTTCAACTTAAAATAACAATTTAAATTTCAGCCCAGGCACTGTCGTGACCGGATGACTAACAGCAAATGGGGCGTCGGCAGAGGGCACGGCCCCTGTTCAACGTTCCCATCTTAAGAAGGCCAATGTTCTGGGAGTGAGCTTGTCAGCTAGATCGTGCGCTAAATATCAGCGTAAAGATGTAAAACCTAAAGTTGTCAATATGCTTGAAAAGAACGCTACTGTGAATGTTATCAAGGAAATGTTATCAACCAACAACAACAACAACAGTAACGATAACAACAATAACAAGAAGAGTTATGCCCTTAGGGCTGTTGACGCGAAAGACAGCTGCAGTAACGTCAACGATAAGGTGCAAGGCTACGGTAATATTAAACTTGACCATAGTAGTATTAACTTTATTATTGAAGAAAAAGCCTATGGTAATGCATTAGGCAACTACGGTAACAAAAGCTACAGTATAAGCAATGATAATGTTGAAAAAAGCTACGTATCAGTAGAAGATGGTACCAGTAGAAAATTTATCAACCAAACTGATTTCTTTGCTTTAAAAAGTAATGTGACATCAAATTATGTTGAGTATAACCAAGGTACCATCAACCACAACATCATAAACGACAACTTCTACACGCCTGATATTGAAGCCATGAATACACAAAGTGTATATGATCAGATCTACGATATTCAGCAAGATATGGCCTTCAATGATGGACCCAACAACAACTTTTCCACTCCCGAACAATGGCAATCGATGGAAATGGCCTGCTCGACTTCAGTGCCCTCTTTCCACTTCTCACAGTAAAAGTGTACGATGCGATTCTCAAATCCAAAAAGACACTTGATGACAAAAGACCCGTTTGAAATACTCTTTTACATAAACATTACTATTTTGAATAATGTAACTGTAATCATATATACACCATACCATGTTAAGTAACCTATCACACTGTATACTTACCCTTCATAATTACAGTAATTTTTACGTTTTGTAGTAGTTATTAATTTGTTCAAATAATTTTGTTCCCCATTCAAAAACTTTTTTCAAAATTAAAGAGCACAGAATTATTTGAAAAACACAATTACAGGGTGCGTAAAAAATCCCCGGACTCTTGTAATATTATTTGATAAAACGTTCCAGTAACTAATAATTAATTTTTTATTATTTTTTACTTTAAAGTAGCTGCAGTCTTACAGTAAAAAATATTTTTCGAACAATTATGCATTTAACCAATCTATCATATTAATCAAATTAAAAACAGTTTACCATATATAGAAATAATAAAAATAATAAATATGTACAGAGAAACAAGGTATTCAGGGGCATATACATAAAATAAAAAAAAATTACATTGAAGAATATACAGTCAAACCTCTTTAGTATGGCACTCAAGAGACTAGACTAAAGTGCCATACAAAAAAATAACGTGAGTGCCTGACTACCCAGGTAGTTTTTGATGGAATTTTTATTACAAAACACGGTCAGAAATCTGTCATTATAAAGATAGTGTCACACTCAAGAGGTCTTACTCTATACATCTACTGAGCTTACAAAAAAGTCAAATTCGTTCAGATAATAAAAAGCAAAAAATTTAAAAAATAAGATCATAAAGAATATAAAATGCCAAAAGTTGCGATATAATCATAAAACTACAGAAAAAACAATCATCTTGACTTCAGTTTTGACACTTTGAAGATTCAAAGCCCATTCTCATTAACCAACACTCCTTATCTTCCAATCAAAACTGGAGGCTGAATGACCAAAGGAGGAGGTATCACAACAGGTGGTTGCATAATAACCTGTGCCACAATCACACTACATACCACAGCCAAAATAGCTAACGTAACCACAAACTTGAACATCTTGAAATCGTCTTAAACTTGATAGTAGTACACTAAACCAATATTAATCAATACAATCTTGAAACTGCCAAAGTAATCAACAGTAGATTCAGAAAGTAGATGCCTATTGACAACAAACTTTCACAATAAGCCATCGCATCATACGATGCTGTTTATATAGAGTTCCTTAACATGTTTCACAACGCTTTTGCTTCACGATGTAATATATAGTGGTTATTGAACATTAAAGAAGACTAATTTAAAACTAATACGTCAACGAGAAACATTGTTTTTCAAAGCTGGAAGCTGTAAACAATATACTAGGTTGTTAAAATAATAATGTGCCTCCTAACCGCAAAAATTTTCTTTTAATGGGGACACAAGATTAATTGAACAACATAATATTTATACTTTGCACAATTGACGATAACTATACAAACCTATTACGACTAAAACAACATTGAATTAAGTCAAGTAAAAGCGACAGAATTATCTCTTATGAATACAATAATAGTGTGTGAAATTGTATAGAAAAAAACTAAAAATTAACAAAAAATTCTAATTTAAATAAAATAAGATCAAGAAATCATGATTTTATCCGTTACATTGTATTTCTTTTTATTTTAAGGATTTTTGGAAATATCAACTAATTAACTGTTGTTATTGATGACTTATTCACCAAGCCTTTTCTCAATTCTTTCGTTAAGAAGATTGACTGAAGATCGCATCAGCGACAAACAAACAACGTCGCTAATTGTATATGGGGTTTATTACGCAAAAATGATTGATCTTACATCTCAAAGTTTCTTCAAGGCTTATGAAACAACATGCTTTTGCTTTGAAAACTTTAGATTTTATCACTTGTTTCTATCTAAACAATGTGGGAATAACACTGGTTTGGTCAGAAAGCTTATGATATAGACTTACTTTAACGTTTCTTACTGAATCAATATAGTTTTATCATTGATTTCTAGCCGTATCAAACATAGATTCAATTTTAAATAGTTTCAGAAAAATGGGATTTGATCATGAAAAGTTAATATTCTATGTAAATGGCAAACGAATCGAAGATGACAATGTTGACCCCAGAACTACACTAGCTGTATATCTCAGAGACCACTGTAAGTCCAAGCGTTATCACCATTTTTTTCTTCTTAAACAGTCTATAAACTTATTAGATTGTTCAAATACTTCTTTGCCTCCGTGAAAGCAATTGGCAGGGTTTGGGGCCCATAATTTTTTGAACAACCTAATATCATTACAACAAAAGTAGACTAGAAAGTGTAAACACAACTAATACCTTTCAGTAAACCTAACCGGCACCAAGATAGGATGCAACGAAGGTGGTTGTGGTGCTTGTACTGTAATGCTATCAGATTTGGACCCTCTAACAGAAGAAATACGGTGAGATAAATATTGATAGAGACTAAACTGTAACTAAACCACCTAGTAAAATCAGAAACAATAAGCTTATGATCATCCTCAACAAACTTAACACAAGAAAATCGCAAACCAGTAAGCAAATTTTATATTTTTTCCTATTTTTAGACATTACTCAGCAAACGCCTGCCTTACACCAGTATGTATGGTATTTGGAAAGTGTGTTACCACAGTAGAAGGTATTGGGTCCGTAGCTAACAAGGAGCTACATCCTGTACAAGATAGACTGGCCAAGTAAGTTATCCGATAAGGTTGTTCAAATAATTCTTAGCCCTCTCTCAAAGCAAATTTTTGAAATTAAGGGCTCAGAATTATTTGAACAACTTATTACTTATTTCGAAAATTGATAATATTGCAATTGCTTTTTGAAACTAGCAACTTTTAGCAAAAAAAATTTTTTCTACTGCCAAAACTTATCATACCTTTCCAGAGCCCACGGATCCCAATGCGGCTTCTGCACCCCAGGCTTTGTGATGGCCATGTACTCGTTACTTCGCAATAAACCAAAGCCCACAACAGACGACATAGATGAAGCGATCCAAGGAAACTTGTGCAGATGCACCGGATACCGACCTATTCTAGAAGCCTACTACTCCTTTGCTGAACAACAACAGAATGGCCTACTGAAAGCAAATGGTAACGGAGTTGAGAGTAGCTGTGCTATGGGAGAAAACTGCTGTAAAAAGCGGAAGGTTACACAGGATTCTGGAAATCGAAAAGAAGTTAGCCAACTCGCAGATCTGTCCAAATGTGAACCTTACGATCCTAGTCAAGAACCTATATTTCCTCCGGAATTAAAGGTTGGTTTAGGAAGATCTATCTTATTTTGTGACAATATATGAAACACTAAAATCAAGTTTTATAGTAAAAACTATAACATGACTGTTTACTATATGAAGCATGTCAAAGAGAATCTATTGTATTATCAAATACCCTTTTTCAGCTCCACAAACTCCACAAGCACTCCTTCATCCTTGACTCAAACAACACAAAGTGGTTTGCCCCCACAACCTTCGATGAACTCCTGAGAATCAAGAGAACATACCCAAACGGCCGCTTCATTTCCGGCAATTCAGAATTGGCTGTAGAACTAAAATTCAAATTTATCGACCTTTCCGTAGCCATAAATCCAAAACAAGTCGCTGAGTTACGAGAATGTTATCTCGACAAAGAGAAGAACTCAGTCTATATTGCACTAGGTTTGTCGTTAACGGAGATGAAAGACAGGTTGAACAAGTTTATCAAAGAACTGCCAGGTAAGGAGCTTCACCACAAGTTTACAATAGGTATTACATGTGGCTACCCACTATAATATACTGAAATTATTATGTTAAATCTAACAATTGTCAAATATAACCATAATAACCAATAACAATGCGTATACGCGAACAAATCATATATTAAAAAGCATCATATAAAAATTAAAATACCTTCCAGAAGAACAAACTGCCGTGCTACGCTCCGTCTGTGCCATGCTACACTACTTTGCCGGCAAACATGTTCGTAACATGGCCAGTGTAGCCGGTAACATAGCCACAGCCTCTCCTATCAGTGACCTTAACCCCATTTGGATGGCCTCAGGCACAGAAGTATTGCTCGTCTCAGAAGCTCGTGGAGAAAGGATCTGTAAAATTGATGAGAAGTTCTTTGTAGCATATCGTAGAACAGTGATACAACAAGATGAAGTCCTCAAGGCAATCTGGATTCCACTAACTCGAAAAGGCCAATTCTTCAGAGCATATAAACAAGCACAACGACGCGAAGATGACATTGCTATTGTGACTGGCGCCTTCATGGCAGAGATTGAGAAGAATGAGATTGTGGATCTGAAGATTGCTTATGGTGGAATGGCACCAACAACAAAGTTGGCCAGTGAATCAGTTAAGGGATTGAAAGGAAGAACATGGAACAAAGATCTACTTGAATATGCGGCTACACAGATCGCTAAAGAATTCACACTGCCTCTGGGAGTGCCTGGAGGAATGGCACGATATAGAAGCACGTTGACAATCAGCTTCTTCTTCAAATTCTTTGTTCATGTTTGCGAAAGTTTAAAAGTAAGTTTCGTTATACAAATATCAACAAAATATTGGTTAAGAATAACATAATTTCTCTACGTCAAAATTTTAAAAGAAAAAATAAAATGTTAGTTTAAAATCAACATGTACAACATGAGAAAAGTAACAACTTACAATGTAAACCATGATAATCTGAAATCCTTTGTTCAGATCCCCGGCTTCACATCGCATGGAGTAGAAACCCGTGTTGGAGAACCTCATCTAGCAAAGTACAACTTCACCCAACTATACCAAGATGTCCCAATAGATCAACTAGAATCAGACCCCATCCACAGACCAATAATGCATCAATCTGGAGAGAAACATACGACCGGCGAAGCCATCTACGCAGCCGATATCAACCCAGCCAACGCTCTTCACATGGCCTATGTTACCTCACCAACCGCTTATGGTACACTTGGAGCAGTGGACATTTCCCAAGCTCAACAAGAACCAGGCTATGTTGACTATGTTGATTGGAGAGACATACCAGGTGATATTGTGTTCAACCATTGGGGAGTACGACTGTTTGCACAAGATGAAGTACTATACCATTGTCAGCCAATTGGAGCTATAATCGCGACAAGTCATGAAAGTGCAAGAAGAGCTGCAAACAGAGTCAAGATTGAGGTTACACCTCAGAAACCGATTGTCACAATTGAGGTAAAATTAAAAAGTTATTAATAAAGGGTATTACAGAACAAATAATACAAAAAAAGAAATAAAAGAACAAAAAATACTACAAAAATATAAAATACTAAAAAAAGCACGAAAAAATTTCGAAAAATTCGGAGTTTGAAACAAATTTTAGCGGAAAATTTCTACTTTTGGCGTTCTGTTCAAAATAATATTTCCGACAATTTTTTGTTTCACAGAAATTTTGCTTTTTTAACGGTTATAAAGTTTATAGAAAGTTAGAAAACTTATTACATTTTATGTTAATGCGTAGAATTATATCTTTGGTAACATTTTATACGTAAATCGATGTTAAGGATGCAATTGCGGCAGAATCCTATCACATGGACAAATTCAAAGTCCACTCACAGTTGGCTGAAAACCCTGATGCTGAGTATAAGCCCACAGATTGGAAAAAATATGACAGGATTATTGAAGGTGAGGAATATTTGATTTTAAATATTGTAGTAGGTTTTGAAACAAATTTAGAATTTTGTGTTAGGTTTAAGGGAATTTTCTTGTTTTCTTTTCATTATTGATGTTTATGGTAATGTAGATCTCACAAATTCTCTAATATTCCGTATTCTTACCTTTTGTAAATTAAGTTAACACAATGAATATATTCTTTAGGATCAAATCGTATGAACGGTCAAGAGCACTTTTACCTGGAGACGAACAATTGCTTGGTGATTCCGGGTGAAGATGACGAGATGGAGATCGTATCTTCAACACAATGTGTGGATGATGTTCAAGGAGAAGTGGCAACAGTGTTGGGAGTGCCGCGACACAAGATTGTGGTCAAAGTAAAGAGAATAGGGGGTGGATTTGGAGGAAAGGAAAGTGTTTGTGGCATGTTTGCTTGTACTGCTGCTATTGCGGCTAAAAAGTAGGTTCATAAGTTTAAAATTAGGATAATGGGTTTACAATACTTCATGGCTATTGAAAGCAAAGTCATTGTCTATGGGGATGTTGTTACTTACACGAATTTTGCGGTTTATATCAGGTTTTGATATTTTTTTAAATGATTTGAATGCTTTTTAGACTTCGCAGACCGATAAAGTTTGTATTAGAAAGATATGATGATATGGCTATCTCTGGAACTCGGCATCCGTTCAGATTTGACTATAAAGTAGCTGTGGATGAGAACAACAAGTTTAAGGATATTGAAGTACATTGCTATAATAACAGTGGACATGCTATCGAATTGTCGAAGGGTGTTTTAGGTAGGTATATTTCGTTCTTTTCTATAAAGTTTCTTTTTTTTTATTCGAATTTTGAACATCTTTGGTCAATAAATATTTAGCTTTGTTGCTGTAAAAGTAACTGGAAGTTGTATTGAAAAACCACGCATAATAACTTTTTTATGTTGTACTTAATGATATTGCAGAAAGAGCATTGGTTCATCTTGACAACGTTTACAAGTTCGGCAATGCTGATTTTTATGGAAGAATGTGTAAAACGAATTGTGCTTCAAATACAGCGTTTCGTGGCTTTGGAGGACCTCAGGGCATGTTTGGCATGGAATCCATCGTCAATCATGTAGCAGAGGAGCTTGGAATTGATGTAGATGAGGTAATAACTCTTGTTTGCTATAGTAAACAAAATTTTTCACTTAAAAAAACTAAATTTTTCACTTAAAAAAACTAAATTTTTTACCTATAAACTATTTTTTTATTGTTTTTTGATGGTAACAGGCTTTTTGATTATAAAAATATAAGTTTTTAATTATATTTTTTGATTTTATCATTATTTTAGTTAAGACACAACAACATGTACAACGAAGGCGACTGTACTCCATTTGGTATGCATCTAAACCAGTGTAACATACGAAGGTGCTGGGAAGAGTGTATTGAGCACAGTAACTACAAGGAACGAAAAGAAGATGTAGCAGCCTTTAACCGCAAGTATCAGTACCGCAAGCGTGGTATCTACCTAACTCCAACCAAGTTTGGTATTGGTTTCGGATTCAAACAACTGAATCAAGCTGGTGCACTGGTCCACATTTACAAAGATGGATCAGTTCTGGTTACTCATGGTGGAATGGAGATGGGTCAAGGCTTACATACCAAAATACTCCAGATAACTGCCAGTTGTCTGGGTGTGCCAATTGAGATGGTACACTTGAATGATACGGCCACTGATAAGGTACCAAACGCATCACCTACGGCCGCTTCTGTGGGCAGTGATATGAATGGGTTGGCAGTTCAGAATGCTTGTGAATTACTGAATCAGAGATTGGAGAGGTTCAAGAGAGAGAATCCGAATGGTACTTGGAAGGACTGGGTCTGGACGGCGTACTGTAACCGGGTTTGTTTGTCACAAACTGGATTCGGAATGTGAGTTTTATTATTTTTGGTTTAATTGACACAATGTGCATATTATTGTACATGGTAATGTTATTTTACATTTTAATGCTATTTTCGTTATTCAGAATCCACCACGAAACCGTTGATTTCATGAATGGCAAAGGAGCCGAGCTATTTGGCTACCAAGTGTACGGTGTAGCATGTTCAGAAGTGGAGATCGACTGTCTTACAGGCGACCATCATTTACTTCGGACTGATATTGTGATGGATATTGGAGATTCTCTGAATCCAGCTATTGATATCGGCCAAATCGAAGGTGCTTTCGTCCAAGGCTACGGATTATTCACCATGGAGGAGATCAAAATACGGCCGGATGGAGTTAGACTAACTAGAGGACCTGGCAATTACAAGATACCATCAGCTGACGATGCGCCTAGACACTTCAACGTGAGATTGTTAAAGGGTTCATCGAATAAGAGGGCTGTGTTTTCTTCAAAGGTAAGGTTAATATCAATGTGGTTGATTATACTATTTATTAACATAGATTGTATTTTTATTGGGTTTTTAACTTAAAGTTGGATGTTCCATCTATTTAAGCTTTTAACGGTTGATTTGAAGATTAATACATTGTTTTAGGCAGTAGGAGAACCTCCTTTGTTCCTCGGCGTTAGCGTCCTGTTTGCCATCAGGGAAGCTGTCAAGGCTTATCGTGAACAAAATGGCCATAAAGGATACTTCCGTTTCGACAGTCCAGCGACGCCTGAACGAATCAGAATGGCCTGTTTGGACGTGCTGACCGAAAGAATACCAAACGGAATTGAACACGCCAACTTTACTCCTTGGACTGTAGAATTGTAAATATTATTACTAATATATGTTTAGTACAATATAGCTATATTAATCTATGTTTATTACAATATAGATATTGATCTTAACATAAATTCATTTTAAAATAAAATAATTTTAAATTGTTTTAAAACAAATTCAAAATGAATATGGTGATGCAACTGTACTCGTTGTCGCCGAGGTAAAGTAAAAGTTAATTAGCGCTTTTGTTTGGTTTCACAAAAATGGTTTCGCATTTTAAAAACTGGATTCCTCGCTGTTTATCACCAAAAATGTAGCGATGGGATTAGGGAATGCACAGATTGCGCAACTGTAGTCTGCTGTTAAGATGATTAATCGCTGATTATTGTAGTAAATCAACCTGTTTTTGTACTTCGAACAACAAAATTTAGGAAAGCTTTTGAGAATTGAATTTTATATTGACATAGACGGCTTAAAAACTTATTTAAAAATTTTATGGCCCAAAGGACGTCTAACACACAAAAGAGAAGTTAACAAAAAAAAAAGTAACGTATACGTTTTTATAGCTATCCTGCAGCCTAAAACAACAAAAAACTAAGCTATGTTACGATACAAAAATGAGAATTAACATTAACTTTTCCAATGTCATACTAATTACATTATTCCCTCATAAACCCCACGTTACATCGAATTCGAAGAATAACAACAACTCGTTTGAAACAATTAAACCACGTTAGAAATTGCTCGCGGCATCCTTTATCTCATCCTTGTTCGATCATGTTCTTCCCCAATGAAACATGTGTTCTTTTGCTTGACTTCTCAATCACCGCTCCAAAAAAGTCGCGCAAAAGGGGCGGCTAGCGACAAGTATATAAGCCGTTAACAGTCACCAGCTAGCCACACATTCTTGTCAACCAAGGATGCAGTTCCATTCAGCCACCTTCTTGGCTTCGTCCCTGTCGGGCATCTCGCTCGTCGTATGTCTGCTCTTCGTCGGCAACATCTACATGGACATCCAACAAACCTGGAACTACCTTGACGACGAAATCAACGTGTTCCGTGCCAACACCGATGACATGTGGAGAGACATGATGCAACTCAACATCAAGTCCCGCCAACGTCGTGACGCCGGTTACGAAGGCGGTTCCGGACCAAGCTCCTCGTCTCACGGTGGAGCTTCAGCCCCAGGAGTCCCATCCGGAGCTGCCCCACCAGGTGTACCACCATCCCTCGCCAACGAATCCAAGAATGGTCCAGGCTGCCAATGCCAAACCGAAAACAACAAGTGCCCAGCTGGACCACCAGGACCAAAGGGAGTCAACGGAAAGGCCGGAGAACCAGGATTGCCAGGAATCGACGGTATTCCCGGTAAAGACGCCCAAGATGCTACCCCAGAACGCCAAGACACTGGAGCTTGCTTCAACTGCCCAGCTGGACCACAAGGAGCGCCAGGACCAGTCGGACGACCAGGCCCACGTGGACACAACGGAGCCAAGGGACAAGCTGGACTACCAGGCCGCGACGGAAACCCAGGACCATGCGGAGAATCCGGCCCACCCGGACCACCAGGAAACCAAGGACCTCCAGGCTACCCAGGAGAGAAGGGACGCGACGCCGAGCACCCAGTCGGACGCCCTGGACCAAAGGGACAACGTGGACCACGAGGACCAGCTGGATCCGCCGGAAACGAAGGAAAGAACCCAGGACCAGGCGCCCCAGGCCCACAAGGACCACCTGGCCCACCAGGACCAGCCGGAGCTCCAGGAAACCCAGGCCGCGAAGGAGAAGAAGGACCAAGTGGACGACCAGGCAAAGATGCCGAATACTGCCCATGTCCAAACCGCTCCGGAGATGCCGGAGTTGGTGGAGCCGGAGCTCACGGTGGAGCCAGCGGTGGATACCGTCAATAAACTCTTCATGTTTGTGGCTTTTTACTCTAGTTTTGCAAATAAATAGTTCGTTTGCACTTTGAAGTCGGGATTTTTAAGTAATTATCGAAAGTTGGGCATATTGAACAAGGCAAAATAGATAAACAAATTAAAAAATAATTTTTGCGCACGTAATTAAATGACATTTCAATTCGAAACAATTCACAAAAATAAGTTATGAAACTCTCTGACGAAATGCCAAAAATTTATTTTGGCGCGCAAATTTTGTTCGAATTCCTTCTCTTCTCGGAGTTCGGCTTTTCACACGTCAAACACTTTGACATCATAATAAATAGTCTAATGGGTATCTGTTTTTCGGTAAGTTCATTTATTTTGTGTGATAAATATTGTAGAGTAAGAAATTATTGTTTTTGCAGCAGATTTTCCATGTATAACATGTTTTATCAGGAAGTAAACGATGGATTGACTTTTTTTTCGTTCGTTGGAATGTTATTCAGTCAGTTATCACTAAGATAATGTATTATCTAATATTTTGTATGATTAGTAAGGTTTAGAAGTTGCTTTAGCTCTTATTAGTTTTCTTATTATTTAATTAAACTTTGCTTTATATAAGCATTTAGACTTATTTCGTTTATATGGCTGTTTTAGGTCTTTCGGTGTGGAAAGTGTCAGCACACCAAGTTCTTTAATTGTAAATGCAAGCCGGACAAGTGTTTGTTAGATGCTGAAGCAGCGAGGAATCGTTCTTCAGGTTTGAGCAGCACTGACAGTAATGTTGTAGAGCCAGCCAGAGAAGAATTGGTTATTGTAGATGAGATATTTGTTCCGGTAGAGTCTTCTGAAGAGAATGCTAATGTTCAAAAAGAGAATGAAGTTTTCGAATTTGGAAAAGCAGATGGAGAAGAGCATGACTTTTCGTTTACCATGAACACAGGTGAAGAGAATAGTACTAGTCCAACGTTGGATGATGTAGAAACGGTATGCTTATTTCTTTATTATTGGTTTTTAGGACGTAAAAAGGTGTTATATGGACTTGTTTGATAATTTGTAGCAATTTGAGTCTTTTGTTATTAAATTACGGTTTATTTTTTATTCGTAGCTGTTAAAATTATTAAATAGACATGAGAAACGGGCCGGGCCCAATTTTCAGGCCCGGCACGATCGGAATTTTGCTCAAGGCCGGCCCGATGGCAGGCCCGGCCCGTTTCTCATGTCTATTACTAAAACATGTGTTTTTTTGATAAAAAACTATTTTAGGGTGTTGAAAACAATTCAATGGCTAATCTTGACCAGTCGAAGTTCAGTTCTAGTGATAAGCGACGATTCAAGAATAAAGTACGAAGAAACGTGGTTATGGATGAGAAATTTCAGGTAACATAATGTTTTTGAATTAAACTCATTGGTGTATTTAAACGATTATGTTTAATTTTAAAGTAATTTTACGGTTCAAAATTAGCTTTTCCTACAAGTAAACTCTTTTTTTAGTTCCATTTGACTCCAACACCTTCGATGACACAAGTTCAGTCCAAAGAATCAAAAAGACAGAAGAGTAGCATGTCAATGTCAGAGGCCAAATCAGAACGGGTACAACATCCAAGTCGGTCTATATCAGGCGAACTTTGCTTCAACTCGTCTAGAAAGAGTCAAACTCCACAGTCAAGCATCTCCTCTCCAGTAGAATCAACTAAATCTACACCTAAGTCAATGTACGATAGGCTGAATCAGTCTTTGTCGCCTAGCAAAAAGTCTCAGGAACCTTTAGGCAACCGCGAGAACTTCCCTGCCATCTTTCATCCAAGTGTGATGGAGAAGAAGGATGGAGCTGGTGATGAGGTAGGTTTTTTTGTCAATTTTGTGTTGGTGAAAGTTTAACTTTGTTATATTTTTACCTTTCCTATTTGAACTTTTAGGTATTCTCTGATGATGACAAAGAAAACTGCCAGTCCAGTTCACCAAGAACCCCGACATCAGACCCGGAGGACGAGGATGTGGAAGATGAACAGATCAGAATGGCCGGCAACGAGCCCAATCATCCCAAGATCAAACGTCGCCGCAAGAACAAACAGAACCGCATGCGCAAGAAGGCTCGACGCCACTAAAATTTTTTTCATTCAATGTTATTTGTTATCAAGGTTGAATACGGATATTAATGTAGCTTTAATAAACGCGGTAATAAGTATAACAAGGAAAGTGTCAAAAGGTGTACCTAACGCCCAGACATGTGATATAGCTCAAAAAAATTCTATGATCATCCTGATTAAGAATCCGTTTTCAAACGTTGCTAAATTTTTGTCTCGACCGAGTTATGGTCGTTTAAAGTTTGATTAAATTGATTAAATCCAGCCTTCGCTTCGTTCAGAATCTTCTCATCAGTCGTCACTAAAGTTGAAGCTTCATTTCCCATTTGGACGGATAACCGACCACAGTAAAATAAACAAAGTAAAAATGAACATCAATTTTGAAACAATAACATTGTGCAAATTTCTTGCATTCATTTATTTTTTAAAAATAACATTCAAATTTTTGTGATTTTTAACATTTTTTTTCCATTTTTTTATTTACATCATGGTGAAAAGCTACAGTAAATGATAGTTAATTGTTTTTTATAACAGTAATCCTTCTTTAGTACTACTTTTTGAACAAATCAAAACTATGACCTTTATATCACCTCTTACTATAAATTTATCATCAAAATACAGATACGTACTTTAATCTCCACCAAAAGTAACTCAGACATAAATCACTAATCACAAAAAAATTATTACAAGGAAAGTGTCAAAAGGTGTACCTAACGCCCAGACATGTGATATAGCGCAAAAAAATTCTATGATCATCCTGATTAAGAATCCGTTTTCAAACGTTGCTAAATTTTTGTCTCGACCGAGTTATGGTCGTTTAAAGTTTGCACTGATTCCCTATTAAATTCCCGAAAAGGCCATGAAGAGAAACGAACGAAAAAGTGAACGTAACCGAATGGCCGAATGGATAAAGCGTTATCCTTCGGAAATGCCGCCGCAGGTTCGAATCTGGGTGCGTGCAAACACTTTTGCAATTTTATTTTGCATTTGAAAACTGTACCTAGTGTACCATTAACAAAATAAAATTTTTATTTTTTAAGTAAAATTGTATTTTATTGATCATATTGATTGCGTTTTAATATTTTTATAGCGTATAATAACATAATATTCAATAAAAACAAAACAATAAAAATGATTAGGATACTGTACCAGAATTCAAAGTCATATGTACAAATAGGTAAAGAGAAGGCTGAATATGAAGTTTACCGTGGAGTACGTCAAGGAGACGTTATGTCACCCACCATTTTCAACTTACTGATGCAGATGGCTCTAAACCAGATAGCATGGTCTGGAGGTATCGACCTGGAGGATGGAGGAAGGAGGTTAACCTATTATACGCCGACGACCTAATACTGATGGCAAATGATGTAGCCGAGGCTGAAGCAAATCTGGAGAAAGTGGAGAAGCAACTGAGGGAAATGGGACTAGAACTGAATAAAAAGAAGACGAAATGGATGGGCAGTACAGGAATAGACCGAGACCAATCTCTAGGTCTTGGAGGTGAGTCTATCGAAAGAGTGGCTGCCTTTATATACCTCGGTTCAGAGATCAGTTTCCCAAGGAATCCAGAATTCGAAGTGGGAGCACGAGCAAGAATGGCATGGTCAACTTTCCAAAGATGGAGAGAAGTACTAACCAGTCCAAGGACCAGACTACGACTCAAGCGGAAGTTCTACATGACTTGCCTGTTACCTACAATAACTTATGGAGCCGAGTGCTGGAGTCTAACAGTGAAAGCCAGATGGAAGTTGATTAGAACGGTCAGAAAGATGGAAAGAATGATGTTGGGAATAACATGGAGAGATAAAAGAAGAAGTGCTGAGATCAGAAGAAGGACGGGACTCAAGAGCGCCAGTCTTGTAGCGACTGAGAAGAAGTGGAACTGTGCTTGGAAGATGTTGACAGCACAAGATGAACGATGGATAAAGCAGATCATAATGTGGATCCCCCCAGACAAGAGACCCGTTGGTAGACTGAGACTACGATGGACAGACGAATTTAGAAAGACAATTGGACATAATTGGACGGAGACGCAAGATCCTAACACATGTCAATCCGGTATGAGAACCTACATCAGTTCTAGTGAATACAATATATTCTGATCAATTCATAAGTTGTATTTTTTACTTTGATAGAAAAGGTTAATAAACTGTAAACTGTAAAAATACAGTTTTACTTAAAAAATAAAAATTTTATTTTGTTAATGGTACACTAGGTACAGTTTTCAAATGCAAAATAAAATTGCAAAAGTGTTTGCACGCACCCAGATTCGAACCTGCGGCGGCATTTCCGAAGGATAACGCTTTATCCATTCGGCCATTCGGTTACGTTCACTTTTTCGTTCGTTTCTCTTCATGGCCTTTTCGGGAATTTAATAGGGAATCAGTGCAAACTTTAAACGACCATAACTCGGTCGAGACAAAAATTTAGCAACGTTTGAAAACGGATTCTTAATCAGGATGATCATAGAATTTTTTTGCGCTATATCACATGTCTGGGCGTTAGGTACACCTTTTGACACTTTCCTTGTAATAATTTTTTTGTGATTAGTGATTTATGTCTGAGTTACTTTTGGTGGAGATTAAAGTACGTATCTGTATTTTGATGATAAATTTATAGTAAGAGGTGATATAAAGGTCATAGTTTTGATTTGTTCAAAAAGTAGTACTAAAGAAGGATTACTGTTATAAAAAACAATTAACTATCATTTACTGTAGCTTTTCACCATGATGTAAATAAAAAAATGGAAAAAAAATGTTAAAAATCACAAAAATTTGAATGTTATTTTTAAAAAATAAATGAATGCAAGAAATTTGCACAATGTTATTGTTTCAAAATTGATGTTCATTTTTACTTTGTTTATTTTACTGTGGTCGGTTATCCGTCCAAATGGGAAATGAAGCTTCAACTTTAGTGACGACTGATGAGAAGATTCTGAACGAAGCGAAGGCTGGATTTAATCAATTCCCGGCGGAATGGATTCAAGAACTGAAAGATGACAAGATTAGTTTTGAATGCAGTTTTGGACTAAATGGTACGGTTAGGAGATCTGTGGCTGAAGGTAATTATAATACAGTACTTTTTTATTGTGTTTTCACAGGTTTAACCTTAAAATTTGTAGAGAATGAATTGAATGAGCTTCTTACATCATCAACCCAATCATCGACCGCATGTTCGGTCTTAAATGCCACGAAAAGTGTCCATCCTCGCATCACAAAGCCTCCTGATACTCGGATGTCCACTGGTCTTTGTATGGACTTTGATCCATATTATTACGATCCATATTGCTATGACCCATTCTACGGTCCATGCTACGAAATCTACGAGCCCTGTTATTCCCCATGCATGGGTATTGGATATGTCCCGCCTCCAGTTGTTGTTGGAGCTCCCATGGTAGTGCAACAACCACAGTATGTCCAAGGTGGTCAGTACGCACAACAACAGCAGCAATATGCTGGACAAGGACAGGGTCATGAAGTGGAAGGAGTACGCAAGAGATTCTATATTAAGGATCCAGATGCTCCTGGAGGAATGAGAGAAGTTACAGAAGAAGCTATCAAACGTAGGCTTATTGAAACATTTGTAGGATTTTTGTTAAAAACCTACAATAAGGTTTTTAATAATAAGTTATTCAACTTACAGAAGGGAAATACAAATTGGTTAAAAGACTTGAGGGTCCAGAGATTTCCGCCAAACCGAAAAAACAAAAATCGAAGAAGTATATGATCAAAGATCCAGATGCACCAGGAGGGCTACGGGAAGTTAGTGAAGATGAGGTCAAACGTATGTTTGTTGACGTTTTCTAGTTAGCATAGAGAACCGTCTTATACAGCTGACAAGCCTACGAACTAATCTATCTAACTAATAATCAATTTTTAAATATTTTAGAAGGAAAGTATAAGCTAACGAAAAAGTCCCCGGAACCAGAAAACGTTCCGGAAGCATTTGAAGATGACATCGCACCTCAACAAAAGCAATATCCTCGAGTTCAACGACAACCAATTCAACAATATGAGATGCAACAGCAATATCAGCAACGACAGCAGCAACGAACGAAGAAAAGTAAATGTTGCGGATGTTGTTGAGTTGACTTTGGGATTGAATTATACTACTTTTGTTTCTTGTAAAGTTTGATTATGTCGTTGTTAAAAATAAACTTGTATAATATGTACTTTGTAGGATAATATAGAAGGTGTCAAACCAAGACTTGTATAACTTACTCTGTCACCTTTTTGGTTCTATCAGTAGGTTATATTATGACCAGAATTCCAAAAAAAGTCAATGTATACAATAAGATATGCAAACTTGGCATTTTACAAAAACCATTCACTATCTCAACAAAGATAAAAATAAAATTTATTCAAAAAATATTTTGAAGTATTCAGTGTTTCTTCTTCTTTGGCGGCTTTGAGCGTGGTGTGCCTGCTCCGTCGTCGCTGTTGGGTAAGCTTGGAGGTGTTACTTGTAAATATTTTTCTAACTGTGTCGATATTTCCTGCTGCATATAGCGATGTTCAGGACTACACCAAACCTTCTGGATGATCAGCCGGACTAGGAACGTTGGAGCTACCGAGGGGAACACGAGTTGTTCGCCGTTCTTTATCTGAAAAATAAGATTTTAAGACACAAAAATTAATTTCTTGGAGCTTCAAGCATAGAAAATCCACATTTTTATAACTTTAGGTATAAAAACCGCCATTTTTGTCAGTTTGACTATTTTTGTATGTATAAACCCTTATTGTTCAGTTATCAATATGAAACGTCTTACCTTTTTTCCAATTTCGTATGGCGGTATATCACCATAGGGCTCCATGCCATCCACAAAAATTTCCCAACATAGGACACCCCAGGAATAAACATCACATTCCTTGTTATACCATCCAGTCTTTAGAGCTTCTGGAGCTGCCCTATAACCAAAATGCAGTTAAATTTAAAAATTAATGAAACTTTGTTTAAAATACATTAGTAATATGAATTATCACCTTGAAATCTTTGTTTTAACATAACTTTTCATAATGCCAACATTTATGCATTTTCATCATTTTAAACTTGTAAAACCAAGCTTTTTTAATTAAAAAAACCTACCACCTCAACGGAATCTTCTTCTTTCGATCCAACCTGAACATCCTGGCCTTGCGACTCATCCCAAAGTCGCTCAACTTCAGCTTCTTTCCACCAATCAGACAATTTCTCGACGCAATGTCACGATGTAGTAGTTTCTGAGCATGTAGGTATGCTATTCCCCATGATGCGTGTAGGCAGTACTTCGTTTTTGTAGCGATGTCGAGTGTTTTCTTGTGCAAAATCTTGTCCAGAGCACCTTCATCAACCAGTTCCATTATTACCAAGAGCGGTTCTTGGAGTGCACCAACACCGTAGAAGCGTACCACATGGGGATGATGCAGCGCTCTCATTATTCTGGCCTAAAATTACAATTTATTAGCGTTTGTCGTTCGATTTTATGCTCTTTAACAGCAGCCTATAAGAATTAGAAGGAAGTCAATAAGGGTGTGACACTTCGTTTCAAAAACCAATAGTTTTAGTTACATTTCGTCGCAAACTATTTTGGTGCTTCCAATAGCGAAATAAGCTTTTTTATGTTTAAATTATTATAATTTTACAAAATTTGGTAATGAACTCAACTAAAAACCAAAAATAGTGTCCACCAGCATAATCTTACCTCCATCATGATTTCCTTGATTTGTTCCTTTGCCACGTTTTCAAACTTTGTTACTTTTATGGCCACGGTGATGATTTTGCCATTTTTGATAAGTCGTCCTTCCAGAACTTCACCATATTGACCTTCGCCGATCCTCTTGCCCGGAATCACATCCGAATGTTTGTGTTCCCAAGGCTGGCGCTTCTTTGGAGTTGTCAGAATGAGTGTGAACTTTTCTGAGATGCTCTTCTTTTTGGTCATAAAGTCCTTGATCATTTCTGGAATCGTTGGATATGGGTCATTTTCATCTAACATGAAGCCACAGTCCGTTTTCGCTATGGCAAAATGAACAATCTGAAAATATTGTGTTAGTCAAGAGTTTTTAAGCAAAAAACTTAAATCATTCAAAAATATGTCTTCTCGAGCACAATATAAAGCCCAACTCACTCCTTTTGGTCCCTTTTCCTTAATGCGCATTGCCGAAAGTATCAATAAGCGATCGTGCTCGGGCTCGCTCAATCGCAACAAAAAGTCGCCGTTCTCCTTGAGCATCTCCTCCACATCTTCGCGCGGCAACAGTCCGTGATAGTAGTCCTCGTGGTACACAGTAGGGTCTACGGCGTCCACGCCTTTCTTCGGCCAAGGGTCTGTGATCGGTGTGAGAGTAGTGGGTGAGGTGGTCGCCGTGTTAGGGGAGGTACTCATAGAGTGAGGAAGGGCAGTGACATCGTCGTCCAACGATATTGCGCGATTCTCCAGATCTTTCGGCATCCGACCGTTCTCCAGGTAGACAATAGGTAAAATAGCCAACAGTTTGTCGCTTGTTCATGTTATCGACTGATTGTGAAATTTATGTAAATATTCTGTGGGAAAAAATAGTTAATTCACAGATTTTTGTAAACAAAAATTCGAAATGATTTTTATACAAAATTACTAATTTTTGCATAATTTCGACCTAAAATATGTCAAGTTCAATTTTAATTTTTAAAAGTTTTTTAGTTAAAAATCAAGGTAGTGTAACTCATAAAACCAAAGTTTTGTTACACTTCTTTAAAAATATATCTTCTTCGGTTTATTATGTATATATAATTCAGGCACAACAATATAAACAACAACATTATATGATAATAGGCATAAAAAATATATTTGATTTTAAAAATTTTTCCAAAAAAATTCGTTTTACCCCTTTGGTAACATTATAACAAAAAACAAATTTAAAGTTGAGTAACATAAAACTTTCGTTAACATTCGTCCTCCATATTCTTGGCCACAGCTCGTACAAGATGTTGAACACAATTCGTTACGGTTAAGATGTCTTCTTGGCTTTGTCCAGTAAAGAAGCCTTGAGCTTTTTTAATGATTGCATATTGTGGTCGCAAGTGTTCGTCCAGGTCCAAGTTTACGTCATTACTGTCATCGTTTAGTAAAGCTGTCGCCATCGAAATTTCTTCAATTTTATCTTCACTGATAATTTCATCATTTTTACCACGATTAAGATTTTCATCACTTCTAGTTCGACTAACATCTTCACTTTTACTATTCTTAACATTGTAGATTCGTTCAGATTCCTCCATTTCCTTTACATATCCCTTCAACGTCTCCATTTTAACATTCTCGGCCGTGCTGGCATTCGAGTCATCCGAGCCAAGCATGTACACCTGTAGAAGTCGTGTAGCATCGTCCTCTTCACCGGCCAATGTCTCCGTAACCGACTTCATGAATCCAGCACTCGTTGGCTGAATTTCAGCTAGATCGTCGAACTTGTCGTTGGATTCTGGCGACTTCTGATGTGCTGTGCCAACATCCAGCAGATCATCCTCATTAATGTTGTCCATGGCGTTCGCAATGTTATTCAAGTCAATATCAGTCAAAGTTTCAGTCGAGTTCAACATGGCTTCTATTTCATCGTCACACGTGGTCTGATTCACATCTTCCGTACAATGTGGGTTTTTTAAATCCGCTAACATGGCGGCTGCGTTCTTCATTAGTTCGGCATCAAGTAAATCGTCTTCTGAAGCATCTGATATTTCTCCAGATTCAAGATCAGATTCACGATTTCCAGATTTTAACAATTTAGACTTCTTAATTAAGGCTTTTAACTTCTTCAGTGTTTCCGGATCCATTTCGTCCTGAATGTCCACATCAACTTGAGCATTAAGAAGCATCCTGTTTCTGCCATCCATTCCGTCCGTCTTTTTTAATGGAGATTCCAGTAAATCCTTCATTCGATTCGACCTAAAATTATCGTTATCATCATATAGAATACTCATTTTTATTATATTTTTTTCGCAAAACTACGCTAAATTTGCACCTAAAAACGAAAAATATTATGTAAGTTCATAAGGCACCTAAAACTAACCTTGCGAATGGAGTATACTTTCGAATTTTGCCATCAACAACATTCTCCGTCACATTCTTGACCAAACTCGTCGACTTTTCTTGTTGTTCCTCCAACTTTTGGGCCATCTCGTCAATAACATCTCCTTTTTTACCGTGTTCACCATCTTCTTTCTTGTTTTTCTTGGATTTTTTAATACCGTCCTTGTGCTTACGCTTGTCTTTTTTGTTTTTATGAATACCTTCTTTCTTCTTCTTACCAGAAACACCACTTTCCTTGCCAATTTCATCCATATCAGTCGCATTACCATCATTTTTAGCCTTCTTTTTGTCCTTCTTTGCTTTCTTGTTCTTCTTTTTCTTTTCAGTCAAGCTTTCAAAAACAACCTCTATTTCATCATCAGTATCACCAATCTCTATAAAGTCAATTTCTACTGGTTTTTGGTATTGTTCATTGTCTTTTCGGTCCTGCTGTTCGACATTTTGGCTTGAGCTTGCTGACTCCACTTTCACGCCATCCATGGCCGAAGTTACACTTTCAATAGCCAAAGTCGGATCCATAGCCATTAATTGACCTTCCTTAGACGCATTGTCATCATCAACCGCATTCTGTCTTTCATTGACCATGCTTTCATCAACAGTCGCATATTGGCTTACTCTAGCCGCGCTTTGATCCTTTACCACAGCTTGATCTTCATTGGACATATTCAAATTGAGGCTTTGAGCAGTTTTTTCAATTTCCATATATTTCTTCCGCTTCATTTCGAAAAACTCCTTCCTCGTCTTTTCTTTGGCAGCTCGTTTCCTCGCTTCAAACTCCTTCTTCCATTCTTCTTTTGTCTGTTTGTACCTTTCCATTTCAACTTCTTGAGATGAAGTCATTAGGATCACAGGAGGTTTTTCAGCCGGTAAACCTACATCTTTTGGCAGTTTGACAGTCCCTAAATAAGCACTTTTAAAAATTTTTAAATGAAAAATATTAAATTGTTAACTAAAATTATTTATCTGATTAAATCAATAAAACTTTTGTAACTCTAAACATCAAAGCATAAGCAATTTTTCGAAAGTTTAAAACAAGTTTTCATTACAAAATTCAAAACCTTCACAAAATGTTACCTAAATTATCTAAAATATTGGAAAAACGTACGCTTTTCTCGCTTCCTAGAGACTTCATCATCAGAATCAGCATCATCGTTACCAAACCGAACAGTTCTTTTTGTTCTCTTTTTTGTTCCAACCTTCAGAATCCCATCTTCACTCTCAGCTTCGTACTTCCAATTACGGTCCACACAAAAAACGACCTTCCCCACAGGTTTCTTCAAGGTGTAACGTTGAATACGAAGCTGTCCGTTCTCGTCCAAATTTTGATCTATAACTTTCTTCCATTTCAATAGCAATTGATGAACAGAATCTCTGAGTTTAACGTCGTCAGGACGAGTTTTTTGAACTTCGTCAATTTTGAGCGCGATTTTGGTGTTCTAAATAAAAAAATTATTATAAAATTACCTAAAATAATCATCAAAACATTTAGATCTCTAAACTACTTACAAATAAGTCAAAAACTTACATACAACTCCTCTATGTCAAGGTCTAGTCGGCCCAATCGTTCCACAATATTCAAAAAGAAATTATACTTGTCTTTGTGGCCGAGTCCATCATTTAAAATACCATCAACTGCTTTGACCAGGTTTCGAAAACGACGTGCTTGTACTTTTGTGTTCATAATTTATTTATATTACCTAACATAACACTTTACATCACCTAGAATAACAAATAGTCGCCTTTGATTACAAAAATGTTACCTAAAACAACACATTCTTCAAATGACTAAATCAAGAAAGTCTTAACTGTTAGTTCAAAAGTTCTAATAAAAAGTTTAAAAAATTTATTTATTTTAGAAAAATTCTAATTTCGGCCATTAGCCAAGTCGAAAAACATCAACGGAATGCCAAATTGTTGTTGGCGTTTGCTTCTTTTCGTGTTGGTACACACACTACTTCTTCCTGTATTATGTATATTTTGTTAGATTTATGGAAAACAAAAAACATTTTCTTTAATAGATGTAGAAGCTTTACGTTTTTTTATTTATTATTGTAAGTAATGTTCATCGGGTTTGGATATTAGTACTTCTTCGTCATCTTTGACGATCTCTTCTGGTTTATTTACAAGTGATTTGATTGAAACCGGCTTCACGGAGCCTTTATGATCGTTTCGCATTGTTGGGTTTGTTGAATTTTGTGATCTAAAGTTAAAATAGTATAATTTAATTATTGAATATATTTTCCGGGCAGCAAACAGGGTTTGGACGGTAAATAACGCTTATTGAGGGAGGAGAAGTAGATTAAAAAGGTTGTTTCGTAGTTATCTTTGTTGCTCAATCAGTAAATTAATTTTTGGAAATATTATATATGTTAATATTTACTGTGGTCTATAAATACTTACTGTGATGTATAAATACTTACTGTGAGTTGACAGCAGATGGTGGCAAGAAGGGCCATGGAGAAAGTCCGCCGTATGATCCTCCGACGTTCGTGTTAGTGGGTCCATAAGGTCGTTGGCTTAAAGGAGAAGATCCTTGATTTCTAGGTATTTGATTGTTAGGTACTGAAGATATTACACCATTTGGGATGGCACCATAGGACCCTTGATTGCCATTAACACCGGCGTATACTCCAGCGTTCACCTCGTAGCCTAAAATATCTCTATAATTCTCAGCTTTAACTCTATTTTGGTACTTTTTCAATTAAACCATAATATCTGAGCATTATTACCCCATTGCGGCCCAATGTTTAGTCCAAACCCAGCAGCTGGCTGAAATGGCATACTGTATGGGCTACCGTATCCATTGCTAAGCAGTGATTGTAGCGCTTGCATTACTATTAGTGATATGGTGTTGACGAGTTGTGGATCTGTGCTGAACATAACAATTGGCATTCTTTATTAACCTACCTGGATTCTGGCTTGAACTCGGAGATTCTGGTATCTGTTGGTAGTTATTATAGTTATTTCCAAATAACGGGTGATAAGGACCGTAATTTTGGCGTTGATATGATGATAGATATGGTGCTGATGATGATTGGTATGATGGTGATAGTATATTAGATAGTGATGGTATGTTAGATGACAATTGGGTACGTGATGACGATGGTATGTAGTTAGACTGTATTGGGTAAGTGAATCGTTGTGAGTACATATAATTGGGTGAACGTGTAGTGAACATGTTACTATTAGGTGTAAACATATTATATTTTCGATTAGTGGTAAAAGGATTAGACATACGATTGGCTGTTAATACGTTACTCATACGATCAGGTGTTATGACATTGATTTTGGGATTTACAGTAAACTTGTTTGGACTATTAGTGATCATACGATACAAGTTATTAGTGTCACCATTGTAATTGGGACTATTTGTACTCTTTTTTGGTGCTTCTGTGTTTATTGTGAGGTGCAGAGAACGTTTCCACCGTGAATTCACATTACCTTGTCGCAAGTCTCGTAGGTTTTTGGGTACGGGGAAGTGTTTATCAGATTCGGCGTTCAGGTCAGCCGGATTCCATTGGCCTTTTTTGAGTTCGGAGGAGCTGAGCCTAGAGTTTAAAAATTTTAAGAGCATATATCTTTATTTATCTATATATGAATATACAGTGTTCTTTTTTACAGTGCAGTTATTATGATATACCTCGGATATAGTAGTATATTAGGTTGTTCAAATAATTTTGTGCCCCTTTTCCAACTTAGTTTTGAGGGCGAGAGGGCACAGAATTATTTGAACGACCGAATAGTACGGCTTTTCACAGTAAAAAGTAAAAAATCTTACGGTATGTCTGCAGTGGATGTAGCTTCAACCAATTCATCATCTTGTTCTTTGTTCTCTGCTGCACCTTCTTCTTTATTTGTGGTTGATTTGATTGCAGAACTTGTTGTACTGCCTATGCTTGTTGTACTGCCTGTTTTTGGCTTTGAAGTAGTTGTTGTCGTAGTCGTACCATTGTTCTTTTTAGGCGGTGATTTGGTTGTGGTAGTCGTGTTAACAAGTGTCTCCGTTGACGACTCACCTATTCGAATTTTTCTGAAAATATTTTTATACTAAATGTAATCTTTTTAAACTTACTTTAAGTGATCAAAGTCATCATCCTCATTACCCATGTTCTTGTTATTTGGCCTTGACAGAATGGTAGAATCTTCAGGACCTCCAGAATTCACAAAAACTCCAAACCTTGGAGTCGTATTCTGAAGTCTTGGATCTTGAACATACGGTTGACTACTGTAACCTTGTGTAGGACCAACAACTTGTGGAGCTGGACCAAAAGACCCTCTTTGAGGGTAGTAATAGTTTGAACTGGACTGGCCATAGGCTGGATAACAATCTTTGTTGTACTGATACGATGGCTGATGGCTTTGATATGATTGATAGGTATTTGGATTACTGTAACCACGGGAGTTTGAGCCACTGTAAGAATACGGGTACTGTTGACTCGGATACTGTAAGTTGGACTGCCTCGACTGGGTAGCTAACGCGTTTGGTCCTGTAACATAGCCACTTTGACTACTATAAGGAGTACCAGACTGGTAAGGTTGGTAAGAAAAGCTTTGAGGACTGGTTTGGATAGGGACATGTGTAATATGTTCATCATGTTGGTCATGGGAGTCGGATGACCCTCTGTCGCGCTGATTCTTATATTCTTCTTCAGTCAAGACTTGTGTATGATGGTTACTGTAAGGTGTATTGTAGCTGTTTCTCGAATTCTGTAGATCGTAATATCCTTGTTGATATCTATTTTGGCCACTTTGACTTGAGTAGCTGCCTTGATTATAACTAGTTTGACTGTTTTGTCCTGATGGATAATAGCCTCGCCCAGTACTGTATTGTCCTTGTCTACCGTAATCAGTACTTGGCATAGCATTGATTGTAGCTGGAGTAAACACACCTGGAGCTGAAGGATAACCTATCAGTCGAGGTACAGCCTGCTGGACAATAGGCTGTATTGGAGGTTGTGCATAGCCAGTACTCTGACTACTGTAACCGCCATCGTGATTGTAGCTGTTGTAGCCAGAGTTTTGACCATAAGCTGAATTCTGACTATATCCACCATTAGGACTGTAGCCTCCATTCTGGTTGCTTAATTGTTGAAAGTAAGCTTCGTATTGGCGTCTTTGAGCTTCTGGTAGTAGATGACGATACTGTTGGTATGTTTGAGCGTACTGTTGATACTGTGGGGGAAGGTTCTGGAACATCTGGGTATTGTAGGGTAAGATGGAGCCATAAGAACCTCCAGCTTGTGTTTGAGCAGCTACTTCATAGTATATGAGGCATAGTAAGGGTAATATGAATATAATCATGTTACCCGTATTGTGAGGAGTCTAAAATATCAATTTATTATTATTTTAATAAGTTTCTAAGTTTGGCAAAAGTAAGATACACGTTTGCTCTTAACATTTTTCACATTTTTACATATCTTCTCAATAAAGAGATATGTTAATTTGAATATCACAACAAAAAAACAACAATGACTACATCAAAACCCCGCAGAAACGTGAACATAATCCACGCCAAACCCTACCCCAGCCCCAAGAACAGCCGGAAAACGCCCTTGCTCGCCTCGAATTGCGCAAAGTTAATCCCCTGCCTGATCCGTAATATGTTCACGTCGTGTAGGACGGTCGTTCGTGTCGTTGAAGGAAGCCGCCGAAAAGCTGGGAAATCCACGATTAGCCAGCTGGATCGAGGGCGGATTATTTTTTACGCAAATTTTCGACAAAAAAGACCTTGGCGTTGCCCAATCGCCCAAGTTAATTGGGCTCCGGATCCTGTCTTTCAGTTGTAAAAAAGTAAAAGTTTGTGTTGAAGATCGAAAAAATGACTAATGAGGTGGTGTGTGAGGATTACTGTAACACAGAACTCAAGGGCAACTTTTTACGGGAGATTTAAACTTTCAAATGATCTTTTAGGTATGAAATTTCGGCGCTAATCTAAAGAAATAACCCAGTATTACTAATGAAAGCACCCAATTTTTATCCTATTTAAGGCACCCAAAAGTATTCAAATTTTGCATAATCTTGCAATTTCATTTTGTTGTTTTTCCTTTTTTGAAAACGGTCATTCATATTTTATCGACTGCGTGAGACGGTCGGGTCAGCATGGAATCTGATCGTGGTGATCATGGATCCATCGACAACCTGACAACCTAGGCCAAGATCAACCACCTTCAAAGAAGTCATCTTCTATCGAGTTTATGAAGACTTTTACTATGCTATACAGATGGATAACAGATAAGAATTTAGTATTTATTTAAAGAATACGTTTGATTTTACCATAGTATTAATGTTATCTTAGTTATAGTAGCCCATTGTTTAGTTATAGTAGCCTACTATTTAGTTACAGTAGCCAACTATCTAGTTGTAGCAGCCACTATCTAGTTACAGTAGCCCATTATTTAGTTACAGTAGCCAACTACCAACTAACTAGTTATAGTAGCCAAATATCTATCAGTCTTTCCACTAAAGAATTTGACAAAATCGCAAACCCCAATTTGGAGGAATCGCTGTCGCGCCGAGAATTGAGGGACGTCACACAACATTCAGCGAGTCGTGCGACATTCGCTTGCATCTTGCGACTTCCCAATGGGAATCGCAGTGTCGCAGGGTGCAAAGCTTGCGACAAACTGTCGCGTCGTAATTCAAAGGGCGATGCGACAGCGTGTCGCGATTGTCGCAACGCTCAAGCCACCACTGTGTTCAATGGGAGGTTTGCGACAAAATTTTTTTGACTGTTGCAAGTCGCCTGACTCCTGCGACAATTGGGGGCTTGCACTGTGCATTCTTTCTTTCATCGTTTGGGGTTGCAAGTGATCGCGGGGGAACCTGCACGGTGCAGTGGGATAAAAAAGGGCGCGATTTTCCCAGGGACTGCACCGTGCAGTTGTCAAATTCTTTAGTGGAATGACTGATACTTATAGCGGCCAACTATCTAGTTACAGTAGCCCATTATTTAGTTACAGTAGCCAACTACCAACTAACTATTTATAGTAGCCAACTATCTATTTATAGCGGCCAACTATCTAGTTACAGTAGCCCATTATTTAGTTACAGTAGCCAACTACCAACTAACTAGTTATAGTAGCCAACTATCTAGTTGTAGTGGCCAACTATCTAGTTACAGTAGCCAACCATCTAGTTACAGTAGCCCATTATTTAGTTCCAGTAGCCAAAAGCCAACTAACTAGTTATATAGCCAACTATCTAGTTGTAGTGGCCAACTATCTAGTTACAGTAGCCAACCATCTAGTTACAGTAACCAACTATCTAGTTATAGTAGCCCATTTCTTAGTTACAGTAGCCAACCATCTAGTTATAGTGGCCAACTATCTAGTTACAGTAGCCGTGCACCTTATTATATTTTTTTCAGTTTTCGCTACAACAATCGCCATTCACGAATTGGGCACTTCTACACCGCTCTTCGAAATCGCTACGTTTCATAATGATAAAATTTGAATAAAGATTGCTGGGTGCTTTAAACCATTAGTGGGTGCCTTTATTATGTTGGGTGCTTTCTCTAGTATGGCCCCGAAATTTCTTACTTTTCTAAAGTTACAAGGCTAAAAAATACTTTTTATACTCACATTAGTAAGATCAAAATCTTATATTGGCCTGATCAATACAAATTAGTGTAAACTTTTAAACTTAACTATAATGTCATTAAAAACCTTACTAGAGGCTAGCATAATAATCACTAAAGACTAATACTTTCACTAGCCTAAAAAACAAAGTTATTAAATTACTCATTGCTCGTTATGTAAACGCCGTTTTAGATAACAACATCATAGAGTATAGTTCTAAAAAAGCGCTTTTCAATCATTGCTTTCGGCTGTTGTATATTATCCATGACGAATGCAAATCCATTAAAACGCTTTTATTTACTTTTGTGCAAACTTTTCGTCTGTTGTTTCACAACAACAAGGTGCGAATTGTCTGATCATTAATTGTTTACTAGTTTTACTCTTTTTTGCTTCAAACTTTACCTACATTTAATCCAGCTGATTACCTTTTAACTTTAAAGTATAAAGGGTTTGAACTAGTATAAAATCAATCATAAATGGTTTTGCAATATTAACATACACAAATCTGCAAAAACCCAACTTTAAATTAAGAATAAATTTAATAATTAGAACACCGAAATAAAGGTCAATATATAAAATTACAGTTCGGCCACCAGTCCTTCCAGTTGTTCCTTATTCAATCGCTCGAATTTGCCGATCTGCCTTCCGTTCTTGTCTTCGATGGGTGTGATGGTAACAAGTTCGACATTTGAGCTGGTCAGTTTCTCCTCCATAACTTGCTTCAAGATAGACAAAGCTACTTTCTCAGCTTCTCTCAAGGTTAGGTTCTAAAAAATGTTGATTTAGGTGAGAAAAAATTACAAAAATAACGAGCTTTTTAACAAAAATATATTTCTTTAAGGTTTTACAAAGCTGTAAATTTAAGTAATTTAAATAATACAATGTACGTATTTCTGCAAAGATTCGAAAACAAAAAGTATTATCTAATTATACAAAGCTTAAAACAACTTACTTCATGATAATGTTCCTTCAAGTTCTGTTCAGCTCCATCCGAAGCAGCTCCAATGGATTTGGCCAAACAGTCAATGAAAGTTCCAGAGGGATCCAAGTGGTACAGCTTGGGACCGGTTTGATCAACACCAGCGAACAACATGGCTACACCAAATGGTCTTGACATCGAGGCCTTAACATCATCATCACCAAACTGTAGAGCCAAGTTAGCCACTGATTGAGTCACATCTTCTACACGAATCTTTCTGTTGTAAGTGAACCAAAAGTTTTGAGATTCGACTTGAGCTCTTTCGACCAATGTCCGCGAATCGGCAATCAATCCGGCAAAAGTGACACCTAAACATAAAGAAAATATGAAAAACAAGCTTACCAATATGCTCATCTACTTTTGAAACCTTCTCAACAGCGTCATTTACCATAAGTTTGGAAGAGGCTCTTTTCTCGGCTACCAGTATAACACCTTCATTTGTGCGAATACCAATACTAGTCGATCCTAACTGAAATAAACACCATCAAAATAAATAAACCTTTGAATTCGTATGACATTTAAAAAGCAAAGAAAACTGAAACCTACTTTCACGGCTTCGATAGCATATTCCACTTGAAACAAACGTCCTTCTGGTGAAAAGGTGTTAACACCACGATCGTACTCACTTCTGGTCAAGAACATTGTAATTTCTGTTGTTTTACAAGAGGTAGAACGAACAAAATTCAAGATATCATCAAAAATAAATTCTAAAAAATTATTTTTGTTTTCTGAGTCCCGTAACGAAAGCGCATTGCGCCAAGAAATCAACGGACGAGAGATCGCGGTCGTCAAAGTTCGTCTTTTTGATCAATCTGCTTTGCTCGACGACTTCTTCGAGTAAATCGTTTGGCAACATGATGTTACGATTGCTTTCTGTATTGTCAGTATTAGTTTTTGTAAATTGTGTCGATAATCTTAATTTTCCGTTGGTATTACCGCCTTTTGGAGAAGGAGCCGATGTGAAAAAGCCGGAATCCTCCTGGGGAACATGTTTGTTATATTTAGAATCTGTGAATGTAATTGTATACAAAAAACAAGATGGAAAGGCTTATGTAGCTTCTATCAACAGTACTAAAGATGCTGGACATACTTATAAGTTTGAAACCAAGTATGTCAACTGTTCTAACGCGTCTGAAGTTTCAAGTAACTTGTAAGTTAACTAATTTTGTACTATTAATATTGTTATGTTTAGGTTTATCTTGTACATTAATACAAAATCGTCAGTACCGGCTATTGAAAACGGAGAAACTCAGTTTACAGTTGATGGACCTATTGTCTTGAAGTGAGTTTGTTTCTGGCATCTTTTTAAAATTTAGGTAATACATTTGGGATGTAAACAATATTCATGTTATGATTTTGTTTGAAGGGACGTTAATTTGTTTTAAATATTTTTAAATGATGTTACTTTAGAAGACGGAACTATAAGCTGTTTGTTATAACTTCTCTTTGAATTTAGTTACAGATGTTAAAATGGGGACGTTGATAGGTTGTTAAGTTTTTCAATTAATGGTGTAAAATTACCGTGTTAAATTTTTAATTTTTACGTTATGGAGGTTTTATTATTAAGCTTATGTTTAAGAAAATGGGTTTTTTGAACTTCATACGAAAGAATAATTGAAAAAATGTAAGATGGGGTTTTTTTGTAATAAACATTTATTAATTTTTCTTATTTTCAATTTTTTAGGCTAAACTTTACAACAAATAAACGTGGTGCAGTATGGGGACTAACATCGGTGAAGTTGGATAATGATTTGGTTATTAAAAAGAGTGGCAACTTTCTGGATAAGGTAGGTTTATATCTTTTTCAGCATTTAATCTTTAGGACATTACCGTGAAAAATGGACAGGAGATTATGGAGAAAAGTATCAAGAAAATGGCTGTTGGAGGTTACTTTGATTATAACTACGCTTGCTCAAACACAAAGTTTGGTGTATTTGCAAATGCTAGCGACAACTTTCAAGTTGGTATCTCTTTTGGAAACTTGCAGGTATGTCTTATAAAGTTTGGAGATTTTAGGGTGTAACAGGTTGATAAATATAGGTTTAGAACTCTGTTTTTTATATTGTAATTGCTATTTGATGAGTTTTCGAATAAAAGACAACTTTTGGGCTCTAAATTGTAACGTAATTACGTTTTTTATCTAAAATATTCTTTTCAGGTACAAAATGAAGGCTATGCCGTTGATAAGGACGAGGACTACCCTCATTTCTCACACAATGTAAACGATTGTGTTGGTACCTTCAGTGCTGGCTCGTGGATGGGTATCTTAGTTTCGCTTCTATTGGCCACTGTCTTGATCTTTGGCTTCTTGATGCTAAACTCGGTACAAACGACAGATCGCTTCGATGATCCAAAACAGAAGCAGCTCATTATCAACTTTAAGGACTAAATAACGAAAACTGGTAACTTTCCCTCTCCATGTCACTTATTAGTTTGTGCATATTTAGATACTTAATATTTGTCAAAATGGTCCTAGATAAAAGAGATATATCGTGTTGTTTATTTTTGTAACAACATGTTTTTATTGATTCTGTAGATTTTTATACGACTTGTTTTATACAACTTATATTGTTGTATGTCAAAGTAGCTTTTTTTGAAAAGGATATTTTACAGTATTTCTTAAGGTTACTGTGTTAAACTTTAAAAAACTGTTTACTTTTAAATCTCTTGTATTTTAGCGACGCTCATGTTATAAATTTCTAATGTGATATTTTGTTGTCTGCGATGCTTATGACCTTTTCTGGTGATAGAAAATATAAAGTTTAAAAAATATGATTTTTTTATTTCATTTTTTTCAATTTATAATGTTTGAACCTGTTAAACTCTTAAATTTAACATTTTTTCATATTTTAAGTTCACACGAATCATAGAGCCAGTAGGAAGTAGTCAGTTTATTACTCAAGATCAGTAGAAGACATGTCGGGCACTATTAAAGTTGGCGACAACACTTCTCGTATAACGTGGTAGTGTATGTTGAGGGTTTCTCGGGCTACCGTATACGGAGCTACCGCAGTTTTGTGCTTTTTCATCTTGACAGCTGGTGGAAAGATTTGGCTTTTCTTGTCGTCGACCAAAATTAAAGGCTGAGGTTGTTGTTGGCAGTCAGTCGGATGCATTGGGCCAGTGAACTGGATCAGTGACACTTCAAATTCCTGAAAAAGAGAATGATATTGTTATCTTTGTTAGGGTAGGGTAATTGTACCATTAGGTAGCAGTACAATAAGTACGCAAAGTAACAGAAAAATGACGTTTTGAATGAGTCCATGGCTTTAAAATACCTTTTAAACTTACTTGAATAGAATCAGGTATTACACAGGATTCTGGAAAGAAAGTTCTTGCTAGTAGTGTTCCGAATTCCGCTAGTTTGTCAGCGCTTGTGCAAGCAATCAACGACCCTATAATAACAAAGATAAGTTGTACTTTATGACATGTAAATAATCACTAGTTGTTAACTTATTACATGTAGTTAATCACTAGGATTACTATGCAGTAATATACTATGAATTACTTATGTTACTGCAATAAAATATGCAGTAATGTAAATTTTAATCCTTACCCCGTTCAAAATGAGTATGTGAATCAATAATCCCAATAGTATGGTTACATCGTTGATAAACGACTAGTACACACCGCTCGAACAGTAAAATTAGGAAGAACATTTGGTCTAGCTGTGTCGTTAATGGACTGAAATGCATTTTTTTCTTGTTACTGCAATTTTTAAATAAACAGAAGTTACAGATGTTGCACATTTTCAATCACCATCTTGTAGAACGCAAAACTTCGAAAGTATGCTACCTGTTGATCGCCCTTTCCAAGTAGCTAGCTACGTTAACATTGAAAGGTCCATTTCCACGCGAAAAGGTCACTTCTCTCCAGATGCCATTCGTAGCTCGGATGGCTTCTGGTATCGTGAAGGTGTGTTTGTTTTGGCTGTGGGTTTTGTGAGTCCGCTCGTAGATGTTGTTACCATCAATGATGGCGTTGGACAAGGCGTTTAGCAATCGTTTTGGACATTCCTGAAAATGTAATGGTACATAGGTAGCCTTGATTGCTATTTTACATTATACATGTTGTTATACATTTTCATTTTAAAACTTAAAATTGCTTTTAAAAGTATTCACAACAACAAAAACATAAAATATGAACTAACGCACGAAAACCTACAAAACTTGTCGTTCCCCCAGTCTCGTGGACATCAACATGCACCATTTTGGCATTCTCTTTGACTGTAGGCAGTAGAACTTGCTGTCGATACATGTTTTCGGCCATAAGAAGCGAGATTATGGTGCAAGCGGCCGATGGTTTGTTTCTGCCACATAGCCAGGATTGACTGAAGAATCTCGGGGTCTTCCACAAAACTGCTGGGATCTAAAAAGGTGGGTTTAAGTCAAGTATACCTACATCATCTGGTATGTCCATATATGTGATTTTGACAAAAAAAACGACCAATAAGTTTTGAAATTTTGTTTATAATGAGTTTTTGGTGTAGAATTGTTGATCATCTTCAATTTTCTAACGTTTTATGTGATACTATGCTATCCTACAGAACCAAAATGCAAAAAAATCTGAAAGGTACTATTTGATCTATTTTTAGGCTTACATTTTAGAAAGTATCAGTCATTCCACTAAAGAATTTGACAACTGCACGGTGCAGTCCCTGGGAAAATAGCGCCCTTTTTTATCCCACTGCACCGTGCAGATTCCCCCGCGATCGCTTGCAACCCCAAACGATAAGAGAAAGAATGCACAGTGCAAGCCCCTAAGTGTCGCACTGGTCGGTTGTCGCAGGAGTCAGGGGACTTGCGACAATCAAAAAATCTTGTCGCAAACCTTCCATTGAACACAGTGGTGGCTTGAGCGTTGCGACAATCGCGACACGCTGTCGCATCGCCCTTTAAACCGCGATGCGACAACTTGTCGCAAGGTTTTGCACCTTGCGACATTGCGATTCCCCTTTCGATGTCGCAGGGTGCAAGCGAGTCGCACGACTCGCTGAATGTCGCGCGACGTCCCCTGATTCTCGGTGCGACAGCGATTCCTCCAAATTGGGGTTTGCGATTTTGTCAAATTCTTTAGTGGAAAGACTGATAATTTATAAAGTCATTATTTTAAGAAAAATTGTAAGAGTACAAAGTGCATTTTTTCAATAAAAACTTTTAAAAATTTTGGCACATTGCCGAAATGACAAACGTGCGTAAACACTATTTTGCCTATTCAAACGACAATGTCCAGCTGTGAAGCACGAAACATATTCACAGTGACCATTATAAAAAACCTACGTCACGAACGAAGCCGCCTTTGACAGAAGGCAAGAATCCTGTCAGATGGTCACGTGGTACTCCTTGGTCATCTTGTCCCAATTCTTGATCACATTGGAGCACGTTCTCTTCATACTGTCCGCATTTAACCACTTTATGATCCGGTTGTATCACGGTCTTCTGAATCTTCTTCTTTTGAATCAGAATCTTCTGAATCTTGATCTTGTTACTCTTCTTCTGAGGTGATATCTCCGAAGCTGTGGTCACGTCCAAGCTCTCGAGTTCGTATTGTGAAGGTACAACATCCTTGTTAGTGGGTAACGGCTTACAGAAGGCCAAAAGTTCTTTGTAGTCAGTTAGTTGGTTGGTCAATGGGGCCGCTGGGCGGACCAGTCGAGGCTTGCACATCAGTTGAGAATGAGTTAAATTGCATAATTGGTAATGATTTTTTTGAATTTTTAAAAGCAGTTATTACTAGACTTTGTTTTTAATAGGGTGAGATAGGGTATGTATGTAGTGAAGGCAAGACAGAATGGGCAGAGAAGGTAAAAGTCGAGTAGGGAAAAGTAGAGTAGAGTAAGGTAAAGCAAGGTCGGTAGCGTAGGGTAGGACTTTGTAAGCTTTTTTTTAAACTTTTTTGGCTTTTTCATTTTTCAAATTTGAGATTTTACCCTACTCAATTTACTTTTTTCTCCAAAAACAAATAAAAATTTTTGACACCATTAGTCTGTAGTACTTAATCAACGTGATTAATCGTTTGTGTATCTTGTGTGATTATAAATTTGAACGAGTTTTTTGCAACCGACATTTAAAAAAATCAAAAATAATGTCTTTTGATCAAAGTATTACGTCACAATTACATTTTCTCAAATACTTTTTATATTTACCATGTTTTCTGTTAGATTTCAAATTGTGTTCTTGTTTCTTAAAAGTACATTATCGTAGTAAAGAAATTAGAAAAGAATATTCACTGTGGCTAGGATTTGGAGGCCAGCCAGAATGTTCTGAATAGCGTTAATGATTAAGAATATATTTGACACGAAAAACCATGCAGACTTAATTAATGATTATAGCCACAAAGCCAGATGTTTGCTCAGAATATCAGGCTTTTAATATCGGAAGCGAACTATAACTTTCTGTCTATCTTTATATTGCTTCATAAGTTCGTTACATTTTTACAGTAAATTGATAAGTAATAGAAAATTTGCTGTGCCATATGTTGCATATTCACCTTCAAACCATTTTTCCAATTTTTCGAAAAAAAGGTTTTATTCTGCCATTTCTATTTGAACCCCAACTCCAAATCCAAAATCATGGGCCAAGAATAATGACGAATGGGACCGTAGCACAACAATGAATCCTTGAAGGCCCTCGAGGAGCGTGCTCGAAATACTCGAAATGCATTTCCTCCTTATCTTGGGCCCATTGTTGATGCCCTGACGTTTCTCCATTATAATATTTCTCCTTTCATACCAAATACGGCGTGAAAATGAAAACAATTTCAATCTCTGTTTCAGTTCGTAGCGGAATCCGCCGATTTGGCCATGTTTATTGAAGGGGGAGGGAGGTCATTGTTACCTTTTTATAGATATTTTGTTTGAATGGGGATTTTATATATATAATACTTTTACTATTGGAATTGCTAACATCTTTTTATAAACTAAGCGTACGGTAATAAGCGAATTGTTGTCTACAGTAGTTAAGAATTGGCAGTCGCAGTGAAGAAAAAAATATGGTCGGGGTGGGTATGACAGGGGTTTTAAATAGGGTCGGAGCAGAGATGTTGCTAAGGGGGTAGGGGATGGTAAGTACCTGTAGGTGAAAAATTTAAAAACAACGAAAAATGAGTCCAAACGTAATTTCTTTGGCCTTTACATTCCCCCCCCTGAAAAAAATCTGTAGCGACGTCCCTGAGTCAGGGTTGGTCACTGGGTAAGAAACTCACGATTTTTCATGCACTCTGTGATCCGCTATGCCCTGCCCGGTACAGGGAATTTCAGTTCCGTAACATTTACTGTATCCAACCCTAGATCGAGGACAGTAACGGTAGTTTATGAAGTCAGTAACGGTGATGTATCATAGAGTAAGGCGAGGTATAACTCAAGATTTGACACCTGCATTCACTTCAATGTAATGGTAAATTATATTATGGTTAGTTTGTACTAAGATATAAGTTATTTGTCTTGAAAAACACTGTCATGTTCTTAGTATAATATGACATTGCGTGTCGTACACCTTTTATAGGATTTTGAGATTTTATTTGTTGTTATATATACTTTATTGTTTTTATCTCCCACAGGCCATTAGTCCTTATAGTTATCTACCCGACCGTATACATATCATATCGTACTATTATAGATAGTGTAACATAATGTAATGCATACTTATATTTACTTTATCCTTTCATTTTTAGATGACAACAAAAGCCCCATATCACTACCTACTACTGACCTCAAATCTAGTGTACAGTAACCCAAACATAACTCAATGGCATATTCAGGTCAATCGAGAAGTTCAAACTCGCATATTCGGGTGGATGTTGTTGTTGTTATGGATATCGGCCATCTTCTACATGACTCGAGACTTCTGGTTCCCAGCAGCCTACTCTCAGAAACAAGTCGTACCTACTTCGGATAAACCTGTAATCGTGGTATTTGAGGCTAGAAGTGATAGTGTTCAGTCTTTTGAGACTATATGAGGAAGCTGTGACAATATGGCGATGTGGGTCATTGTGAAAGAGGATAAACAGTAAGATACTGATAACAATGGCATCTGAAAAGCTTTAGAAGATAGGAAAAATGGCCAGCTTTACTATTGAATAAACTTATGGGTCTACTGTGAGCTACCGAGACATAGTAACATCATGGCAAAAGTCGACAACAAGAGATGTTAGTGTATATGATCGTTAAAAATTGAACTACTACAGTGTTTTTCAACAAAATCTATAGTAGCATATACAAGAAAAACAGACAATGACGTTATGTCTGATATACCTTCCAAGACACGAGCAAACAACAACTATGTATTATTCTTCTACTTCAATAACATCAACAACATCTTACCTCTACTATATAGAGAGGACATACTATAATATATAAGATACACAAAGTTTACACGCCTTATTCCCACGAATGAACATCTACAACATCATGAAGAGTAATAACTAATTACTGTTCGAATATGATTACTCCCAGTATCTAATTTTGAGTACTACCAAAACCTAATTATTGTAAGATACACAAGTGTTCCTACTTATGAAAGTATCTTATAGAACAATCTTAAAAGTCATATATACATCCTTTCAAGAATACTGTACTATTCAAGAACATTCCTACCAAAACCCTGTTATTCAGACGAACATCGTCGTATTTTGACACCGATAATCCACCTAATACCACCAAATTCTACCCGAAATAGAGCCAAACACATGCTTCAGCTTCTGCCAAAGGTACGTTGAATCCCCTAAGGGAATCTGAAGTTATTAATTAACGCGGCCAAACTTTCGGGTGAGAAGCGGCCCTTTTATGCAAAACAGCTCCGTTTGTTTATTCTGAGCCATCATATTCGAGTTTTATTGCAGATTTTAGGTAATAAAACCGTATTTTTAGGTTATTTTTGGGAAAAGCAATACTTAACGGTTATAGTTCGTATTTATAGGCCGGTTTACCCTGTAAAACAAGCTGCTTTTCATGAATTTAATAGAAGCTACGTCTAAAAAAACTTATTGTTAGAGTGACTTTCTTATTTTGGCATAAAAAACGCCCAAAATAAAAATTAACTTTAAAAATAGTAACCTTACTATTTAGGTCTAGCTCGAATTTTTGAAGCCTACTTGCTATCTTAATTTTACTTTTTTAGTCCACTTATAAGCCTAAACAGAACTTGCTGAACATGCCCTATAATGTCAAAATTAGCCTTGTTAGCTCATCTTTAACGCAAAACTTAAAATTGTCACCCTAATCATAAGGTCAAAGTTAACTTTTCTCAACCCAGGAAGTCAGCTCGCCGTCTATCCTCTAGAGAGCCGGATCAAATACGAACTTGGCTTATATTTCACACCTTTCCCAAACAAACTGTAAAAACAGAGCTCGGCTAGGGGTTTATAGTCCTGATAAATAGCCGCCTTCCGTTATTTATCAATTATATTCCCGCTCCACAACTGTTTTTGTGATATCCGATATGAGACACCCGCCGTTTGCTTTCAAAACCTCTAAATTACTGTTAAACCACCCGTTTCGGCCACTTAATTATAAATTTTCAATGTTTTAAAAGGTTTCAAGACAAGTTTAACTAATTGAAAATTGTAGAAAAGTCCTTTAAGTATGTTTTTTTAAAACTTTTATTTATTTTACCCCTCCTCAAAATATCAATTTCGACCATTTTACCCAAAAATCAACCACTTTTCGTTTCAGAATGCCAAATGTCTCCGATTTCTATTCGGAATTCACGACGGAAGAGCTCCGTGAACGCCGGATTCTATGGTCCGGGTGGTTCCTACTGTTCATGTGGATCAGCTCTGTAATCTACATGACCAGAGACTTCTTATTCGCCAAGTACTATGACAATATCAGCGACATAAACACCTTTTCGTCAATGTCGTCCATCAACGTATTTTCAGTTTCTTCGGTTGAATATTCAACCAAAAGTACTTCGAATAGTACGAAAAACATGTAATAATAATAAATGTACATAATTATTAACTCTCGGCTTATACTACTTTTGTCGCTAAAAATTCGAGCTTTAAGTTTAAATTTCGAACTTTCAAAAAAATATTTAAAAAGAATAAATCTATTAATAAAATTGATGCCCGTAATATTTATGGACTTTAAACTTACTTTTATTCTACTTGATTTTATCGCGCGACAATTTTTTTTTTCGACGCACACATCGTTACTTGGTCCCACCACGAAAAATTGAGACAAGCGAAATATTTATTCGAAATAGCGTTTTTTCTATTTTTTGCGAAAGCGAATGCCGTTTTTGTTCTTTTAATGCCGTTTTGAGCAAATTATATTGAATTAAAGATGGCTGCAGTTCAGGCTAAAAAGTAAGTTAATTAATTATATTGTAGTAGACATTTATTGTTTTTGATTTCTTAAATTGTGGGATTTTGTTATTTTTAGTTGTTGTTTGTTTTGTAAAGCCATGTTTTGCCCAACTTAATGGTTTGTTATTGATATAAAGTCAAGAATATATCGTTTTTTTATAAAAAATATTGTTTTAGACGAAAAACGAGCACATTAGAGGTAATGTGTCGTATTAAGCCGTTTAATGGCCAACATCCTTCAGTTACGATTGTTGATGAGGAAAAAGTAAAGCTGGTTCCACCTCCAGATGCTCCATTGGGACGGCATGGTGAAGTCAGGGTATGTTTTTGATACTCGTTTGTGGTTTTAGGTATCTTTGAAGAAAGGCTGTTTAAACTTTGATATAATGTTATACATTTTGTAAAAACGGTTTTACAAAAAAAGGATGTATGTTATAATAAAGCTATTTTTTTAGTCAGAAAGTTTGTACAAGTTCAACCATGTTTTTGAACCGTTCGAATCTCAAAGAGCTGTTTTTGAGAAAGCTGGTTTGGATTTGGTCGAAAATCTGGTAAATGGTCAGAACTCGCTTTTGTTCACATATGGAGTTACTGGTAGTGGAAAGACCTTCACCATGGCTGGAAGTGGAGTAGGTGACAATTGTGGTATTATTCCAAGATCAGTAGATGTTCTCTTTAATTCGATCAAGAACCAAGCTGATAAGTGTGTTTTTGCTCCAAACGGAAGAAACGGCTTCTATGTGAGAAGTCCTGATGAGGCATTCTTAGCTAGAGAAGCGTATTGTCTAGAATATTCGATATCTGAAAGGATTATGGAGTCGAAAAAGGTAAATTTTGTGCTTTTGTTTAGGTTTAGGTAACAAATCTTTGTAAAGAAACATTTTTTGTTTGGAAAATTAAATCTGGGTTTACTATTTTATTTAAAAAATTATTTGTTTTCTTTATGTTTCGTTTTTAGGTCTATGGTTTTAAAAACGATATGATGTGCAGTGTCTTCGTATCTTACGTTGAGATTTACAATGATCAATGTTATGATCTGTTGGATAGCTCGTTGGGTGCAAACAGATTAAACATGACTAAAGCTATCAGAACAGATGCAAATGGTATTAATTTTGTTGAAAAAGTATGTGAAGTTGAAGTGACATCAAGTGATGAAGTTATCGAAGAGTATATCAAAGGTAGGTTAATATAACTTTATCTATGCAGCTACTGTATAAAGAAATTAATAATTATATTTCGTCAAAGAAATAGTATTTAGTAAGCGTTATCATTGGTTTATGATAATATTTTCAGCACAAGAACGAAGATCTGTAGCTAAAACGATGTTGAACGAGACCAGTAGCAGATCGCATTCAGTGTTCACAATCAAGCTGGTTCAAGCACCAATCGATGAACACAATATGGAAGTGAAACATCCAGTTATGGACGAGAATATGATTGTTGTGTCACAATTGGCATTGGTCGATTTGGCTGGTGCTGAGCGGACAAAAAGAACAGAGAATCAAGGTCAACGACTGGTAGAAACTGGCAAAATTAACCAAAGTTTATTGGTGTTGAGGAGATGCTTCGAACAGTTGAGGTAGGCCCAGGGTAAAAAAGGTATTGAGAGGGGTGATAATTTTATTTTGGACATTGTTATTGGTATGATATTGATTTTGAAGAGTAGTTATGTTGTTGTAGGTAATGTTGATATGAGATATGAAGCTTTTTAGAAGCTTTTTGTTAATGTAGAGTAATGTTTAAATTTCAGAGAAAACCAAAAACGGGCAGGAAATCCCCAGCCAGTGAATTACCGTGATCAGAAGCTGACCTTCTTATTCAAGAGTTACTTCGAAGGTAATGGTAAAATCCGAATGATCGTATGTGTCAATCCAACTCCAACAGATTATGAGGAAAATATTGTAAGTTGCTCACCATAAAACAGCTGCCTTAGAAAATAAATGTCTTTTTGTGCTTTTTATTACCTAAAAAATTTCAGTTTGTCATGAGTTTTGCGGAACTTGCTCAGAACGTTGATGTCGCTGAACAAATGGCTGTGCCATTGTTGTGCGACATGGCAAATCAACGATACAGTCGAAGAGAAGTGAACAGATGGTATATGGAGATGGATGATAAGTTGGCTCAAGTCTCATCAAGGATGGACGTCTTCAAACGAGCTCCACCAATCAAGTTACGAGATATTGACGATGATGAATGTCTTGTAAAGCTGCGAGAGTTTTATACCGAAGCTGAGAGGACGAGAGCTAGCCAAATTGCTGTCATTAAGACTCATGGTAAGTATAGGTTTATTGTTATAGAAAGGAGTTGAGGCAAAGTTAAGGAAAAGCTTATTTTATAGGTTACTTTGTGGTAAATATAGGGTAATATTTTTGTTATTGGTTAAGTTGCTGGTTTACAGTATTTATTTGAATATTTACAGAGGCTGACTTAAAGAAAATGATGTTGGAGAGGCTATGCTCAGCAGATCTTGACAAACGGTTATTGGAAGAACGAGAACAAGAGATTGACGAACTCCGAGAATGTAATTCAGGCGTCTGTAAAGAAAGAAATCGTCTTAAGGTAATACCAAATTTTAATTAAATTTATGGAAAAGTTTTAATGTTGTTTTAAAAATTGCATTTTTATTACCTAACGTAATGCTTAACAAATATAAAAATTTCAGAGAGAACTAAACAAGCTACAATTAAAACTGGGCAAATACGAAAGTGAAGTTAAGAACCAACGACGAAGAGATGAAGACGAACGAAGAAGACACATGGAACAGTCAGAAGCCCTGATGAAGCAACGAGAGACCATGAAGACGATTGTCGCTGGTCTTAACATCCCACCATCAGCTCCGTCCTCGGCCTCATCGACCGGTCGAGTAGCACAACTAACCACAATGTTCTCAGACCAAGAAAACAAACCTCCGACTGGTAAAACGAAACAATTCGTACGAGGAGCTGGAGGACAATACAATCCAACAAGTAATCTGGCCAATCGAGGTCGAGGTGTAGCCAACAATCGCTACGGCAAAGCCCAAAGAAGGTCGAGGAGTCTGGGAGGGAGGGTTTTGAATCATCAACCGCTTAATAAAATACCGACTGGCACTGTTTTCCAACCAGATTTTCCCAACAACACTAAGCATACGACCAAAGTAAAGCCGCAGGACTTTAAAGGATGCACCGATTATGTTATTACTAACCAAAATGTGGACGAGGGAGGCAACTTGATGACACAGCATTATAAGGTAAGTATTTGATTGACAAGTTAAGATACGTTTTCGGCCATAAAAATGTATCGCTGATACTATTGTAGCCTTGAATGGATAAGAAAGCTTTAAAAACAACAAGGGATTGTTTTCTTTACTAAATCTAGGGATTTAAAGTTATAAAATATATTGTTTAAGGGTGACATAGTACCAACTGCCGGCGGAGGCCACGCCGTGATGTTTCGAGACGTGGAACGACTAACCCAAGAAAGCCCCTGATCTGTCAATTATGTTATAATACTCATTTTTAGCTTTCTATTGTCTATACAATATTGTAAGTAGCAATAAACTGACTGTATTGAATCAATGGGGACTGCGTTTGATATTATTATTGATTTATTGTGAAGAACTTGATATTCCGAGTATTACCTTATTTTGTTTTATTATTTATTTTATTTAACTATTGGATTGATATAATATTATTATAGATTTGTAAAGAAGGTGTACCGAGTGATATATTTGATTTTTATTTGTTTATTGAGTTATTGGATTATTATTATTGTACATATCACTATTAATTGAGTTTGTTTTGCACTTCAAACTTCTTTACGAATTCTCTGAATTCTGCGCTTCGTAATGGCTGGAGTAGGGGTTGTAGAGTAACTCCATGTGTTCTAACGAGCTTTTCGGCATATTACACAATGGACATTTAAAAAAGTCGGTCTGGCCTTCGGGGATAGTCCATTTTGTAGTCGGGGCTGGAGGTAGGGCAGTTTTGGCTGGAGGTTGGGCTGGCTTGGTCATGGGCTTTGAAGTAGTCTTAGCTTTCCTCGTTTTTAAGGCCTTGCGGCTCTTTTTAGCCAATTGGACTTTACTGGTCTGCTTGGTTTTGGCAATGCGAGCTAAAGATAACAATATGGTTATAGGTTGTTGTTTTGCTTATATTATAGTTTACTGTTTAAATCTTGTTTTTTAAACGTAAAATATGGATAAAATAAGATCAATATGAGATAAGGTACTGAACTGCCATTGATAAAGAATTACAGTCAAGCTTGGATACAAGGCACGATCTTTAATATTTTACTGCGCCAACTCTGTACCTACATAACATTGGTCTGTACAGAACTTTTTGCTTCTAAACTAGACTAGTAACAGCGGAAAACTCTTGCTTTCAAGTCTGTTTACAGTACAAGATGTATAATATTCTCCTAGTTACAATAACCAAGTTAAAAGCTTACCAAACTTTCTTGTCTTGACGACAGATCGTCTTTTAGGCTTGGCAATAGCTTTTTTGACGATCTTCGTTTTCATAATGGCTGGAGACATCTTTATTTTGTCGATGGAGAGGAGCCGGGTATTGAACGAGGTGTTGGCGAAAAGTGAGGTTAAGAGAAGATTTAAGCGCTATTTATACTGTCGTGTACGCGCAGACATCTTTAGTATCGATTTTAGTGCGAGTTGGTAAACGAATGTTGTGCAAGGTTGGTTTTTCATCGGTGAAATAATTCTGATTAGATAGTTTTTCACCGACAATTTTATATTAATTAGGCAGTTATCGATGAAATTGTTAATATATTATATACACTTTTAGTTGATATTACATTATAAGGCTATATTATTGTAAGGGATAAGTTTCGATAGCAAATTACGATCTGTTTGTTACTGTAAAGTATGTAAACGTTCATTCCAAGTGAAACTTGAAAACTTTGTGCTTTTGGCGTTTAGTACTCTTAACTTTTACGTGCCATTAAAGTTAGTGCTGTATCTGGTTATGGCAGTTCTATCATCTCATGTAGCACCTATGCTTTTATATTGTAAGTTTTTTGTTAGAGTTTACTATACTTAAGAAAGTTAATACTTATGTTTAATATAGCAATGTTTCTATTAAATTCCTTTATCAGGTATCTTTTTTATTATTATTTTACTAGACCATATAGTTCTTATGAAGAAGATTTGTTTTCCCACTAGGCCTAAGAGATCATTATAAAGGTCCATTGTAAAACGCTAAGACAACGAAGAGTTAGAACTTTTTATGCACATATGGCTTGTTGTACAATACCTAGTTTTATCTACACAGCATAGACAACATCAACGAACAACCTTCATAACAAAATAAAATTCAAAAAAATATTCAAAAATCAAATAGAATTTCAAACAGTATCACTTTATTGTTTCAACGAAAGGTAAAATAAAGAATGTCATTCAGTGGTGAGCTTCTTCCATTTGTTAATCAGATCAACTGGCACGACTTTGGGGTCCTAAAATGGTTTATTAGTATCATATACTAAGTATAGTACTATTGTATAAGATGTTGTTAGTTTAACATTTATTTCGTACGATGGGTAATCAGAGCGAAAGTTCTTGTATGGGCAATATTGCAGTATGGTACTAGTACATATAGAATTAGTGTAAAATACGATAAAACATCCTTTGGTAAAAATAACCAATAAAAACGATAGAAATACGGTATAATTTAAAAAACTCACATTGATAGCGTCGATTCCATCGTCAACAACCGGAGTACCTCCTTTTTGGATGATCATCATCTGGGGAATCTGTCGCAGCGTGTAGCGCTCGAACAAACTTTTGACGGTTTTGCAGGCATAAGTGGTGTACAGCCAGGGGCCATGGATCTTGAGGTACTCTTTCATATCGTTCTCACTGTGATCGCGGGAAATGAACACAATCTAGATGTGTTTTATACGTTATAGTGCAGCTATAGTGATATTAAGGTCAAATGTTTTAAACTTTAAGGTGTTGCGTCAAAAAGTAACTAGAAAATAGAAAAAAAGCAATTTTAAATGGGGCATACGGTACTTCTGCACGCTTTATGGTAAATTATTTTTTGTAAGATTCGGAACTTCTTTCATAGCTTTCTTTATCGCTATTATGATGAATACATTGAAAAGTTTTTGAAATCCAAAATTCACCTCAAAAATAGGCTTGTCTTTGTTGGCCAGACCGTAAAAATGCTTGAGCCAGTCCATAAAGTCCACACAAGTTGGGTTCCATTTAGCCGCGAAGAATAGACCAACCACTTTGCCTTGTAATTCGGCCGAAGTCACTTGCTTTGGACCCTTAGGGTCGTTACGAAACAGTTGGGCTGACTTCAGGAGGTCCGCCATTCTTGAGCTCAGCAGTCAACAAAATGAACTATTTTCGAAAAGGTGTTTGTGGAGATGAATAATTTTTTTTAAATGAAAAAAAAATATTTTTTAAAAATAATGGCAAAAAGATATATTGTTTTATGTTTTTACAAAGTGTTTTATAGTTTTAAAGTAGTATTAATGTCTTTTAGTGTATAAATAGTGTATTTCATTCATATATACAAACAAAATAAGTAACAAGATATTTTAGGTAAATCTGGACTTAAAAATGGCTTTAAACGGCGTTGGAGATGAGGTAACCCCAACGTTCTTAAAAGTTGATGGCGGATTTGATGAGTTCACACATTCTATCTGCAATTTGTCTCATTATATCATGTTAAACGTTAATCGGGGATTTAAAAGCTTTTTTGTTATATTAGGTTGTTCAACTAATTATGAGCCCCTAACCCTTAAGATTTGCTTTGATATGGGGCACGGAATTATTTGAAGAAACTAATATGATAACAAACATTGGCATATTGTTATAGATGTTCATATAAAAGTTTGTGGTACAAGATTTTTACTGCGGTAATTACTGGATTTTAGGCTTAATTCTTGGTTGACCTACCGTAAATTGATTCAACAAGTTAGCCATAACTAAAAACAATTCAGTCATTGCTAGGTTTTTACCAATACATTGTCGTGCACCAGCTGAGAAGGCTAGTACGTGTTGGTCACACGTTAAAGCGCCATTTTTGTCGATAAATCTGGTCGGGTCAAAAGTTTTTGGGTTTGGAAATAGCTGAAAAAGGTAATTTTTAAAAAGTTAAAGAGTTCAGTACTGTGAAGAGTGTAGGTTATGTTATGATAGGATAAAGAAGATATAGATGCGAAGGGGAACATTAAAGTGAGCTGAGTTTGATTAGGCCTGGCAAGGCTGTTTTTAGCATATAAGGTAAAAAAGCAAAAATAGGTATATAAGCACAGTAATCACTATAAACAACCTACCGTTTCATCGTACATAACAGCACATATCAAAGGTTGTACACAACTTCCTTGTGGTATCGTATGTCCTCTTACAGTAATCTCTCTATCATTTTTGTGCATCAAGTTCAAAGCCAAGACATTACCATGCCTTAAGCCTTCTAAGATTACTGCATTGACATACGGTAAGTTGGGTTTATCGACCATTTGGATCAGTCGATCTGACGCTATCACTTTGTCCAGCTCTTCATGTATTTTACCTTGAATTTTTGGATTTCGAAGTAATTCAATGATCAAAAAGCCGATGGTATTTGACGTTGTTTCTAGGCCGGCTATGAAAACGTCAAACAGCAGGTTTTCCAGTTGTTTTCGATTGGAAAATTTTAATTTTATTTGACTTTTAGTGGTTTATAGTTACAGTTTATATGGTAGGTCTTAAGGGTTCACATACAAATGTATATTACCATATTTTTCATAGCTAATATACCCCAAACAAGCTTTTAAGTATGAAAAACTTACTGATAATTGCCATTCTTATTACTTTTGTACATTTCACACAAAAAAGCGTCGACCAAGTCCTCTGGTTCACTTGGCAACAGACCTTCTTTGAACTTTTTTTCATGTTTTTCAATTTCTTTCCTATGAAAATTCATAAGAAACATGCCATTTTTGTAGGCTTTGTCTCTGGCCCAACTCATCGGCCATAAATTAGCGATAAATTCAAATGGACAGAAACTGTAGATCAGTGATAAGGGGTGGATGAAGAGTTGCATGTGGCTTGTTAGGACTTCTTTGAATTGGTAGTCGAGTGGGTCCTAAAAGTTTAGGTATTTTAAGGTTTGGTAGGGTAGAGCTAGGATACAGCGAGGTATTTCTAGGATAAGGTTATAAAAGAATACTGTATGGTTACGATATCTGTAAGATGCAGTTAATGTATGGCTAAAGTAGGATAGGATAGGGTAGGGTAGGGTAAAGCAACGTAATGTGTCTACCTCTCCATATCGCCGTCCAAACAATATCCCACATATGATTGATCCCACCATGTCGTCCATTCTGTATATGACTTCTACTGACCCCATTTCTTCTTGTTCTTTCTTGATGTCGTTATGTAAATGTGAGCATTCTAATAGTATTTTCTCTTGCATAATATTCTTTCCAACACCGAACTCTCGGAAAGTACGCAGTAAAAACTTTCGTTGGTCTTGGTATATGTCACGGTCACTTACATCGACCATACCTACTTCTGTGGCTAAACAATTACTTTAAAAATTTTTAAATGGCTATTTTTTAGAGCAGTACCTGACTTTATTAGACGGTTATACTATTACAATATAATTAAGCTAATGATACAGTCTATAGCCGCGGTGCAATGTAATCTTAGCTACTATAATATGTCATAAGTTACAATTAAAATTGGCATACCTTCTCTAATTAGAGTTGACATCCTTCCGTATGTAAATCTAGCTCCAAACACATCAGCCTCTTTTACCAGCGTCTCTTGTATCGTATCATAATCAGAAAAACATACCACTGGCACTTCTCCCATCCAAAACGTGAATATAGGACCGTACTCTCGCTTCCACTTCAGAATCGCATCGTAGTAATTCAGACGCTTTAACTCTATCAGATTCCCCACCAAAGGATACGGTAATGGTCCTGGAGGATACTGTCGCCTTTTGTAGACAAAGTCGTAGAATATTAATACTCCAAATAGGATCGACAACAATAGGAACATGTTGTTGACTTGTTGACTGACCGTATCTGTTGACTGACCTTATATGTTGACTACAAACTCATATATTATGTGTTGACTTCTAACTCATATGTTGACTACAAGTGTTTACGTCAAGTAATATGACACGAGCAGTGTGTTATCAGCGCAAAAGTGCATTTTTTGTATTTTAGCGCTTAATCAACGAACGAGTTAAAAAAAGGAAAGTGAAAGTGCGCTAATCTTTAAAGTGCAAGCTGATAACATATTAGAGAGAAATATAATAAACTAAAAAGTGTGAAAGATCAAAGAAATCAGTTATGTTACTACAACATTTTTGAAATTAAAAAAAATATTTTAAAATCTTAGAAATATGGCAAGAAATTTTAAAAATAAGATTTAAACTGTCATAACCAAAGTGTAGCTCGGTGTAACATTAAAATTATGATCCAAAATGAAAAATTTGATACTAATATAAATCTTGAAGTCATATTTTTACAATTTTTAGAAGCTATTATATTATTAGGTTATTCAAATAATTATGTACCTCTTAAACCAAAAACTTGCTTAAAAAGGAAGCACAGTATTACTTGAATAACCCAATATATGTTACCGATTATATAAAGTGTTCCACGTTAGGAGATTAATTTGAAACATAAAAGACACAGTTATCAATGATAAACGTTTGAGATCAAGCCCTACCATTAAAACGCTCCATAACGTGAATTGTGTAAAATTGAAACTACAGTTTACAAAGAAGGCACATTATGTGTAACTATAATGTTCAACATTAAACTGCAAAAAAGTGATAAAACTTTGGCATATTGAAATCAAAAGAAGCTTAACATAATGCTAAAAATGTTAACATTACTACGAAAAACAAAAGATTTAAAGTTTGTGACTTTGAAAATTTAAAATGCCATATTTTACTTTAAAAAGCCAAAGTAATCATTGTTAAACTGTGAAAACACCTTTGAAGCGTACGCCTGAAACATTGATAACTGATAATCACGTTGTTTAAATTCGAACCCAGATACCAATAAATAAGGAACTAAAGAACAGCACAAGCTGTAATCTTCCTAGTACACTCATGATCATAGTATTTGATTATGATCACAGTATCTGATTATGAGTGTTCTGTTAACAAAAAATGTTTACTTTGGTACAGGCTCAAAACGGTTTTCATATTATAATAAGCGCAAAAGTTTGAAAGAACAGCATAACGTCCAAAATGATAAAGTAGTATATTAATGAAAAGATAATTAAGACCACACAAAAACAGCAGACGTACTATCTTATTATACATAACCTCCTTTTCAACATTTTTAATTAAACTTAACAAATAAACCAGGAGAGTACCCAAACTGCCACGCACAGAATCACAATGGATTCTTTGTATTACCAATACTACACATAAACAAGTTTAACTCGCGCTTTTGGGTCCTTGTAAGTTAACATAGTTAACAGTATATTTAAATAATATCGTTTTACCTCAAAAACAGATAGTTTTTCTCCCTTTAGCTCCACTTACACCTACTATACAAAAAACTTATAAACAGACAAAAAAACAAGCTATTGATTGCCGATGTTTACCATAAGGTCAATGTAATCAAATTAAACTTTGTTATCAATCCATGCGGAAGCAAAAACTATACTTTTAAAAAGTTGTTTATTGTTGCAAAACTGTTTTTGCTAATTTGAAAGTAATTATAGTTATTTTATTTTGACACTTGTATTCAGGTGTTTATTTATGTAATAAAGAATGGCATTTAATGTGTTTTTACTTTTTTATATTGTAAAGTGTAAGCTTCAAATAATATAATTACAGACTAAACTCACTATATCGTATTTTACCTTTAATGTTTATTCTGTTCAAATTAGATAATATATAAAAGCGATGAAGAACTCCGAAGGCTGAGGACCAGTGTTTTGCCGGACCCGTCCGGTCCGGACCGGACCGGAAAAAATTTTTTTAAAATTTTAATAAAACTGTTTTAAAAATTGCAAATAAAACATATTTTTAAGGGTTTTTAAACGTAAAGAAAGCAGTTTTAGCGCTCCTGGCTCTTTTTAAAAATAAAAAAAAAATTTTCCGGACCGGACCTGAGCGAAAAAAAATAGAGCCGGACCGGATCGGACAGAAAATTTTTCGGACCGGACCGAGAAAAATCTCATCCGGACCGGTCCGGCAAAACACTGCTGAGGACCACAGGTTTAGATTCTCTTCTCTCGCAGCCTGCAAAATGTGAGGCGCAGCTCGAAAAAGCCGAAACGCTTCACGCCGGCTTTTTTAATTATTTTCTGCGCATTTCTGTTACCTTCTTCCACAAAACCATATATCCAGCACATACCAACTCGCTTGTATTCTTCCAATTAAGCTCCTATGCGAAAAAGGTAAGTATATTATTATAGATGGTTTTTAATTTGTTTTTGTTGAGATTTTGATGTTTTTGGTTTTCTGTTACCTAAAATTTGAAAAACAAGGCGAATTTGGAGAAAAATTGTGTTTTTTGTTACGAAAATTGAGGGTTTGTTTTTGTGAAGTTAAATTTAAATTTTAAAATTGAAAAGTTGTGGTAACAGTATTTTACATTGTAAATTTGTGTCTATGTTCAGCGGGATCAAACGTAGACGCGAGGACGAGGATGGAAACACGGCTGACGGTTATCCTGAGGATGAAGACAGCAGGTTGACTCCTGTGTTGGTTCCGAAGGGTCGAGAAAAGGATTCTGAATTCTCGGCTCCAAAGTCTCACAAATTGGTCGATTTGGACGAGGAAGCCGAGCCTCAACAAGTGAAGGACGAAGATGGCCCAGCTGTTGTTGATCAACGGCACTACATTATCATACCATCTTATTCTTCTTGGTTTGACTACAACTCCATTCATGACATTGAAGAGAGAGGAGTGCCAGACTTTTTCCGCGGAAACAACAAGAGCAGAACGCCTGAAATGTAAGTTACTTCGTCTTTTTTTGAGATTTAGAAATATCTGATGAAAAATATTTTGCAAAATGGCATTTTATCATTTGAAGTATAAAAAATTTAAAAATATTGAAGAATATAATGCTTTAAAAGTTAATTTTTATGATTTTAGGTACATGACCTATCGTAACTTCATGATCGACACTTATCGTCTCAATCCCTTCGAGTATCTGTCATTTACGGCTTGTCGTCGCAACTTGAGTGGAGATATCTGCACCATCGCACGAACCCATTCTTTCCTAGAACAATGGGGACTGATCAACTATCAAGTCGACGCTGAAAACCGTCCAGCACCGGTTGGACCACCTGCGACTTCGCATTTCATGGTACTTGCTGATGCTCCCAACGGGTTACAACCTGTAAATCCGTTTCCTCATGGATTTCAGCTAACTGACAAAGCTATCAAGGCCGAGAAGATGGACACTCAGGAGTCTTCGACTACTGAAAAACCTGAAGAATTTAGGGAAGAAGGTGAAGACCGCAGCGAAGTGAAGGTTAAGGTCGAGAAACCAAAACGCGGAGCTTTTGAAGCCGGCTTGAAGACGGATCAATATGCTAAACAGTTGGCGGCTATGAAGCTAAAAGGAGCTGCACCAGGCCGTGATTGGGACGATCAAGAGACCTTGCTGTTGTTGGAGGCTTTGGAGATGTACAAAGATGATTGGAATCGTGTAGCTGACCACGTTGGCTCAAGAACTCAAGACGAATGTATTCTGAGACTGCTCCAACTTCCAATTCAAGATCCTTTCCTGGAAGAAGATGGTGGAGATGTGTTGGGACCTTTGGCTTATCAACCAACTCCATTTAGTCAAGCTGCTAACCCTGTCATGAGCACGGTCGCGTTCTTGGCCAGCGTGGTGGAGCCAAGAGTTGCGGCGGCTGCTTGTAAGGCTGCTCTACGTAAGTGAATGTATATTTTTAGTGTGAAATTTTACAATTTTTAAATTTTTTAAAAGTTTTACTCACTTAAAAATAAAATTTGAATTTCAGAAGAATACTCGAACATGAAGGACGAGCTTCCTCCACTGGTTTTAGAAGCCCATGCTAAGAATGTTGACGCACATGCCAAAGCCAACAATGGAGAGGTGGATCCAGAAGTTGGCCTTAAAGAATCTGGAATTGCTTCTGATGATAAGGTAAGATGTTTTATAGTAAAGCTTTGTTTTTAGGCGAATATGAAGGGGGTTAACATAACTATAGTATAATATTATCAACATAACTATAGTATGAAGATGATTAACATTAACATAACTGTAATTTCAGACAGCCGAAGATTCAAATAAAGATGAAGAACCAATGGAAACAGACGAAAAGCAGACAGAAGAGAGTGAGGTGGTAAAGGAAGCGAGGAAGGTAGTATCAGAAAAGGTTCAGACCGCAGCAGCTTCAGCATTGGCCGCAGCCGCAGTTAAAGCAAGACATTTGGCCAATCTGGAAGAGAGAAGAATGAAGAGTTTGGTTGCTCAACTTGTCGAGACTCAAATGAAAAAGTTGGAGCTCAAGTTGAAACATTTTGACGAAGTATGTTTATATAATGTTTTTTAATTTAGCTATTAAGTTTGAAAGTTTAGATCGTTGTACTTTTTTTACGTAAGAGAGAGCTAATATTATTTTAGTTAATTGGTTAATATTACTCTAAATTAATTTTGTTCTAGCTGGAGGCCATTACGGACAGAGAAAGAGAATCTTTCGAATACCAAAGACAACAACTCATTCTTGAAAGACAATTCTTCCATCTAGACCAGCTACGATACATGCAGGAACGTTCGAAAACAGACGCGTATCAAGCTCTGATGGAGAAGGGAGAGTTAGAGCCAGGATTCGAGGTTCGAGGATGTCCACCACAAATGCAACCTCAACTGTTAGCATCAAAACAGAATGGAGAAGCTCTTCCACCGCGTGCAGACTCTAAACCAGCTGATGCCTTATTATCGGACGGCACTTCTGCTTCACAAGCAGCTCCACAACTAGCTGGTCCAACTGAACGAACAAGCCAAGCACAATCACGAGTTCAATCAGAGCCATCAGCTGGCGCTCCATCATCACAACTACCAGCACAGTCTTATGGTTATCAGTATGGCGCCGCACCACCTTCAGGGCAGTCATACTCACAAGCACTCCCTCAAGCACCTCAAGCTGGACATTATCCACCTCAACAGCCGCAACTGTATTACGGTCAAGGCGGGCCACCAATCGCTCAACGACCATATGCTCCTCCTTCACAACAACAATATAACCAGCGGATGGGGCCAGGGTACGACTACAATCATTCACAAGGACGACCAGCTGGGTACCCACCGGCTCCTCAACAAGGCCAATATCAATATCAGCAGGGGTATCAGGGCGGTCAGGTGAGTATATGAATATATCTTTGTGTTTTGGGTTTTTTTTCTTGAAGTAAGAGTAATGGTGAAGAAGACGTTAGTTGAATCTAGTTCAATATGCAAATAAATAAACAAACTTGACTTATGGCATTTATTTTTAGTACTACCCTCAACAAGGCGGACAACCACCCCACCCACCAGCCCAACTGGGCGAGGGCCAGGAGCAGGCTCCACCACAACCATAACCAATTGAAATGGCAGTCTTATACTCACCATCCATTCTTTGTTTATGATCTTATTTATATGATCTTATATTGCGTTTTAAACGGGTTGTTTATTATCTTTGTCTTGTAACTTCTGTATCATTAATTAAATAAATATTAATTTTACAATTTGGTAGTTCACTGTTTATGATCGTGAATCGACTGTTTTATTACTGTCTTACAAACGTTTTAAGCATTGTAAATTAATCAATGAGAAGAGGTTATAGAGACGCCTCGGATGGCTGAGATTTGAATGTTTTAAACTGAATAATACAAAAACTAAAAAATATAAATTACATTATCAAGGAGCATTGTGATGTGTAATCGGTTTTTTATTAAAGAGCAAGGATAACCGACTCAGTAGTATAAGTTTTGGTAGGAGAATGGCTACGGTTAGACAAGGATAAAGTAAAGCAAGACAAAATAAAATAGTTTAAAGAATTGAAACGTTTGAACTGTTTTTGGTACAAACAAACTTTTTTAGTAAGTATAGCACTGAAAGGACTGTTCCTAACTTGTCCTTATAATTAGAGTGTCGCATTGACCAGGTACTTTTTGATAAAGCTTCTATTACGAAAGACGGTTAAAATCTGTCGTTATAAGAACGGTGGTACACTATTGAGAGTGATACTAAAGAGCTGTATTACTTCAATCGCTAGGGGAGAATGAATGGGAGTGGGTACATCACTCCAGTTGTAATAACTCAAACTAAACCTTGATGCCATGTCTGTATTGTGTTTGAAGATCGCCTGTAAAACTTCTAACGGACAGTTTTAAGTCGAAAAGTGAATGTCAAATCTGCTACGCAAAAGTTCGAGACGAGTTAAGCCGAGATTTAAAAAGGTACTTTAGTTGCACAAAGAAAACTATGTAGAACTTGGTTTATATTACATTTTTACGGTTTTTTACTTGGGTTTTAGTAGGAACAGAGCCCGCCACTGTGGAAAAAGAAAATGGGGTTTTTTTAAAAATTTTTTGGTTTTATAGCCTTTTTTTACAATTTTAAAACCTTTTGAAACTTCTTAAGGTAATTTTTTTGAAGAGTTGGACCGTATGGGTCTGATACTGATATGCTGGTGTATTTCTAACTTCAAAATTTTAAAATCAAATAAAATAAAAAAAACAACTTACTTTTACCGTATGCGTTTAAACGTATGTTTAAAACGATTAATCAAAATAAAAAAATCATTTTTTATCGTAGTTTATTTTCTATATATATCAGAGTAAATTTCTAACCATTTATAACATAGCAGTGACTTTTATTGTATGTTTTTACTCTGTCAAAGTGTAAAAAATTACTTTTACAACATTTTCCGTCGGTTTTTTATAACCCCTTAGGCAGTAGTGGCAGAACATGGGTGTAACAATAGGGTGTAGGCTTGACCGGTCAAACTTTGACTTTCGCCGACGGTCAAACGTGATTTTATAAGAAAAATCACGTTTTTACAACCTTGAATCTGCCTTACTTTGGTATGTTTTTTGTTACTTTGATCTTTAAAATTACTACTGCTTTTTGTTTTTTACTGATAGGTGGAATGTTTTTGTGTTCAAAACTAGATTGCAGTGTGATTTGTAGTCAATTAGCAATTTGGAAGAACATGGATAATATAATACTTTAGGTTAGGTTGGATAGGGCGCTATGTGATTTTTTCTAAGTGCAGGGTAAGGTAGAGTAACGTAGGATAGAGTAGGGTAGGGTAGAGCAAGGCAAGGCAAGGCAAGGCAAGGCAAGGCAAGGCAAGGCAAGGCAAGGCAAGGCAAGGCAAGGCAAGGCAAGGCAAGGCAAGGCAAGGCAAGGCAAGGCAAGGCAAGGCAAGGCAAGGCAAGGCAAGGCAAGGCAAGGCAAGGCAAGGCAAGGCAAGGCAAGGCAAGGCAAGGCAAGGCAAGGCAAGGCAAGGCAAGGCAAGGCATGGCAAGGCAAGGCAAGGTAGGACAGGACAGAGCATGTCATGGCAAGACAGGACGGGGCAACGCAGGACAGGCTAGAGTAGACCGGGCTCAAATGCTATCGCCATCACATAAACAGCAAGAAATTGTGGCAACTCGGCGTTCCGGCCGTTACTGTTACAATTACAGTTAACGGTCGATTTGCACGTAAATTTGAACCAGACAAAGTTAACGCAATTAATTGCTAGTCAATTACAATTCTCACGCAGTAAGTAAGAGTTCGTTTTAAACAGGTTTCCCAGGTTTGATGAGCAAGTTTGCAAAGTTTCATCGCTTTTCACTTTCGTACGAAGTAATACGATCAGATACGCCTTCTACATATGTTTTGTTGTTTTTAATTGCGGTTTATATTACTGTAGGTTTTGCTGTCGTTTTTTGAAGTTTAGTATGATTTTACAGTATTCCTTTGAATTTAAATTGATTTTTGCATATTTTTTTATTACTCTTGACATTACTGTATATTGCAATTCAGCTTGATTTTACTGTATCTTTTGTGTCTTTTTACTTTGATAAACTTCCTTGTTATCACAAGTTTATAGATCAGAAACGTTGCTATGCGGACATTGCAGGTTGATTTATAGTCAGTTTCCAAAAGGATAAGTGTAGTTTGATTGAAGATTGAGTAGTTTCATGAAATAGCAAAGTATAAAAATAGCTGTATTAATGTTATTGTAGATTTTTTGGGTTTTGTTCATAGAAATATGTAGCTCTATATTCTTGATTTTGAGTTAATTTTGGGTGCTTATTTTTGAAACTTTATGGTCAATTTTAAGGTTTTTCGAGTAAAATCGCGATTTAACATGAGCCGATAATGCACCGGTTAAAAACAGTAAATTCAAAAGTTGAACAAGCCATAACTTTCTAAAGGGTAAAAATTGGTCAATAAATTTTTGTTTGTGTAAAAAGAGCATAAAATAAGCTTTAATTTGATATTAATGTCAAAAAAAAACTGTCAGGTATTTATTGAGATACAGCTTTCAGCTTTTCGATATTATTGTAGATGACCAATAATCGTTTCAAGTTCTAATCTTGAATTAATACCTAAAATTCTTGCAAGACTTATTTTTTAAAAGTATTTTTGCCCTTTTTACTATCTTTCCAGACTGTTTTTGTTTTTAATTTATGTGTTTTTACGTAGTAAATCGTAAATACGTGTCCAGTTTCACTCTGAAGTCTTATTGACGATCCATGACGTCAATTACAACTTATTCTCTACTATATTCAACCAATCTATTCTTATTTTACCAAACATATCTATAAATATCCATACTAATGTATATTAAAGCTAGAACACTTTGTAACATATCACTTCACGGTCATTTTCGTCACGTTTCAGCTAGCCGGCCGGTTAATTGGCTCAGGTTTGAGAACGACGCATATTTCAACGTTTTTTGAGCGTTCTTCTGATTCCGCTGACTTTTTAACAGGACAGAGTTGTAAAACTGTTTAGTGTAAACGCAATTCTTTCAGCGGGTTCAATCGCGGGCTAACCACGTTCTCGAGCCATGGGTAAGTTTGGGTTGGGTTGAAGGATAATGTATATTGTTATTGATCGAAAACTTTAGCTATTACAGATAATAATGGTACTAGTAGTGCCAATATAATCATACCGGTTTAGATTTTAAAACTTTATCTAAAGCTTTCAAAAATATTTTAAAATTTAATGCTTGACCTTGTTTTAGGTACTATATCAGCACTAGTACTGTTGGTATTAGCACAATATGTAAAAGCTGGTGAAGTTGCTTTAGTTGCCTCTAGTGGATGTTATTCTCACGACGTTATGATGAGAGAAGTTGGAGAACAGTTTACACATCAAAATGTCACTTGGCTTCAGGCATACCTATTTGAGTTTGGCTTCGGAGAAATGAAGATTCCAAATCATTGGGGACGAGTTCAGGTTACTCGGACATTGAACAATGGTGAGCTGTTTATAAGTGTTGTATTTTTTAGTATAATATGTAACTTTAGATTTTTTAAAAAGTTTTATGTAAATTTCTTACAATTTTTTTACCTTTTTCGATTTTTGATGAGTTTTAGTCTCAAGAATACCTGAATTTAATCCGTTTTTCTTCGTTAATTTCTTGGAGAGTAAAAAAACAAACCTAAAAAGTAGTCGCGGAATAGTTTTACTTTTAATTAGACACAGTTAAGTGATGTCCGAACAACAATCTCACGCAATAACAACATAGAACTTGAATTTACTGTAACAGTTTTTAATACGGAGTAAAGTTTTTGGAATTACATGAAATGTAAAATACGAATCATAGCATAATGTGATATAAATTTTGTCGTATTTCGTTAATGTAAAATAGGGAAAGTACGTTCACGTCATTTATTTTTATTTAAAAATTTCTAAGCTTAAATAAAATCTAAAATACGGGTGCATAAAATAGCTGATATACGAATTAGATCGTATTCCATCAATGTAAAATACGAATATGGACATTTATTTATATTTAAAATTTTATTTTAACTTTTTAGTCGCCGAAATGAATGAACTCGGAGGATTTCTGGTCTGGCTTGGAAACGTTCCTTTGCATTGGGAACGATGGTGGGATCTTCGTGGTGCTTCATTCTTCGTCGAGATCCTAAGGTATCACCAACGTCATTGTGAAGACTTTGTTAAGTCAGAACAGTTCTTACAGTACATGAACAGTAAAGACGTCAGCTTGTTGGTTATCGACCACTTTTTGCAGGTATGGCTTGTTGATATTGGTTAAGTTTGATATGTTGATGTTAGTCTATGCTGGTATTAGTCCAACGCACATTTTTAAAACAAGATTGTTTTACAAGTTGATATACACTTATAAGTACCTCTATATACATTTATATACTTATAGGAATGCATGGTAGGAGCAGCCTCACTACTAAACGCCTCAACTGTGCAATTCAGTAACTGGCCAATAGCAGATGGCTATGTCACTTCGCTGAATGTACCATCTAACCCATCTAGTACTCCGAAGACTGGAAATGCATTTTCATCCACAAAAACCATGGAATTTGGAATTAGAGTGAAGAACACCATCTTCCACTCACTCATCGTACTGGCTAGGGTGATACAGTCGGCGGTGGTGCAGAGCATTTACAAGGAGTGGGGGTATGACGTAAGAATTTGATTTTTAATATTTAAATTTTGAATTTTGTTAACTTAGTTTAGTCTATCTTACCTATGGTTACAGAAATGAGTATATCTTTATCTTTGACATAGCATCCAGGGCCGGGCGCGAGGGGGGGGACGGGGGTACCCCCCTCCCCCCCCTCAGAAAAAAATTTTCGAAAAATTTAAACGTGGTCCCCCCTGTGGATTTTTGGACTCCTGCCCAGAGACCAAAAGTCCCCGCCCGGCCCTGATAGCATCTTTATATTAAATTTGGCTATGACAATGTAAAAAGCTATGTATGTACGTTAATATTCTTGTTATAACTAGCCATATGTCATAAATTATCAATAAATAAGCCATTTCAAGGTAAAAACCATCATTTTTCAGGTAAACATAATCGACGTCGAAGCCAAGCACATTCTGTACGCTAGCCGCGGCGAGTTCCTGGCTGAGCCTGTGCGTCCTTTGAACAATCGCATCAAATACTTTGGTTGCTCACGTTGCGGGTAAGACTTTTACACTTGTTTGCAAAGGGTCTTTTATCAATTTTTAACACTCAAGGTTACATATCTGACTGTTAGGAAGTCACTTTACAGCGAAAAATGTGGAGAATATACCAAAAAACGTGATTTTTTTGAAAAGTTTTAGATTTTTATTTTACTATTTGTGGTTACACTTGGCATAAAAGGGTTTAGAATTGTATGCAAAATAAAATTTGGTTTACTTTTTAACTATTTTCTACATACTTTTTGACCGAAGTATCACTTTTTTACTTTAAAACTTTAAAAAAAGCTTTAAATAGGGAACAAATTTTGAAAAATTTAAAGATAAAATAAAAAAAACACATTTCAGAGACCCAGAACAGTACAAGATCAAACGACCGGTTGAATACAACCCATCATATTCTTCAGAATCCAAATCTACTACAATATCTAATGATATTGTCATTCCTCCAGCTAATATTACAATCTCATTGTCATTGGGCAGCAATGTCACTTTATGTTCGAAATGTTTAAAAACGAAAAAAGTGAGTACGAATAAGAACAGTACTATGGAACTACCGATTGGTCGAGTGTTATCAGTACAAGAAACGAGATGGATTCAGAATAAGGTCGACTTTCCTCTGATTGACTGGGACTTGCTGGAGGAACGGCCTTTTGTTATTGTTAGTTTTGGCAGTGTTGCTCATGTAAGTTGGGGACAAGTTTAGGTTTATAACAATTTAGCATTTAGTGGCTTTAAAGTATTAGAAAAGGTCTGGTCCAAGGTTATAGCTAAAATTAATTTTGCAAACAGTTAGAGTCCTGGAAACTATCTAGTATAATATGCATATTTTAGGCTAAGTACATGCCAGACGCGTTGTTCGACCGATTTTTGGAAGATTTTGGCAAAAGCCCACATACAATCATTTGGCAAACAAATGATGTGACAGAGAGACTACGAAACAGAACCATTCCAGATAACCTACACATTGTACGATGGGTACCAATGAAGGTGATGCTTGGTAAGTTTTTTGATTTTTTTACTTTTTGCTTATTAAATTGTTCAAAAAGTTACGTGCTCTTCTCAAAGCAACATTCTAAATTTTTATTTGTTAAGGGGCACAGAATTATTTGAACAATCTAATAAGTTAAATTTAAAAACTTCATTTAAAATATTGTTTTAGCCCACCACAACCTCCACTACGCCATGCTACATTGCGGAGTCAACACAGTAAACGAGTTACTATCATTTGGCATCCCAATCTTATCAGTACCAATGCAAGGTGATCAGCCTTCAAACTCGCGCAGACTGAAAGATCTTGGCCTAGCTGATGTCACGTCCATCGCTGATTTCTGGGCCGAAAATGGCCTAGCAAATGTTATGGCCGAGTTTGAGAACGGGCTTCAAGAACGACGGGAACGTGCTAAGAAGGTTGCCAATATGATCAGTCATTACCGTGAAGTTCATGGCCAAGACCAGCACTTCTGGCTGGAATGGTCGCAAAGGCATGGCCAAATGTTCAGAGATCGAATGGACGGCCAGAGGTACTTTGAAATGAAGTACCGTAGTAGTTTTGAGTACTATGCTATGAGGGAGGTTATTGTATTTTCGTCAATAGTAGTGTCTTTGGTATTGCTTTTATCTCAGTAAGTGACGTTTGGTGGTCAGAAAGTTTATAGAATTGGTTTTTATAGTGTGTTTGGAAACGTAGCTGAAAAATGGTACTATTAGGGTAAAACTAGTACAATTATCATAATAATTTACAAAAAAGCTAAAAACAGTACCAATTTACGCAAAAGGTATCAAAAGGATAATTTTTTCTTTTTACTGGTTTTCAAATTTGACAACTTAAAGATCAAGATAATTCTACACACTTTGTGACCTAAAAAACCAACTTGCAATAGTGTAATCATAGTGATACTGCTGTACGGGTATATAATTGTATATACGAGCTTTAATGTCTTACAATGTAAGAATTATATTTGATTTTATGTTGTTTTAGAACTCTAGCGAGATAAAATAAAGGTTTTAAATTAAGATTTGCTATAAAGGTTAATATCTTGTCCGAATATACGTTAAACAATATGCAGTGGTCTCTATAGTGAACCATCTGTAAAAGCAACTCTCTTTATAGTAAACAAGAAATTTGGCCCCGGTAATTCAATTTGCAATAAAAATCACTCTGTTAAGACAACATTACGATAAAAATCTTTGATGTTGCTAACTGGCTGATATAAAATGGTGGATTAAATGGTCAGTTGGTCTAAATTCACGTTGTATAAGTTTTTGATTGAAAGATGCTGCCTATCGTGTTAGATACATAATATTTTTGACTTATAGGTAGAATTTTTAGGTAATAAAACAGGTTGAAAATTCATGCTTACTTTTGGATCTAGTTGAATTGCGAACCATAAAGAAGGAGTTTTTAAGTTCTTCTATGTTACTACCAGGGGCGGCGGGTACTTTTGGTCTGAGAGCGGGGGTCGAAAAATCCACAGGGGGGACCACGTTCAACTTTTTCCGAAATTTTTTTCTAGGGGGGGTCCCACCTTTCCCCCAGCGCCCGGCCCTGGTTACTACGTTTGCAATATTGTAGAAAAAACAATAATCAACTTTAATATTACCAAAAATAACAAGAACGTGTCTAAATGTTTGTGTTAAGGTGACAAAATTGCTTATCTAAAGTATTTTTATGACTTATTTTATGTCGTCTATTCCGGAATCATTCAATTGAAATAACTTTTGAACTTGGAAATGTACAAACTGCTATTAACTGCTACTTTATTTACTTTTTCTTTAACTGCAACATGTTATACTAATAGTACTAATGAAACAAGAGGTTTGAAGCTAAAAGATAATATTGAACGTGAGCCATATGAAATTGCAGGTAAGTTTAAACTCCTTTTTATGTTTTATTTTAGATGTTTTTAGACGAAGTTTGTCACTATCCTCTACTTGATGCTCCTATTAAAGAAATAATCAAAAAAGGATATAATTCTGTCAGTTATATGCAGCGACACATTCAGGTAAGGTAGCACTTCACATATATTGTCACTCAGATTAATACTTGATAGTTAAATCGACAGTCTTTTTGGAAAGTAAAAAGCGTATATTAAAGTTGTTTAATTAAAATAATAACTTTTATATCAGCCATAGCAGGCTATAGCACATTCAAATTTACAGGTACTAAACAAAATTTGTTGCTTAAAATGGCAGTATTAATCAAATTCTGGCCCGTTTAATTACTTATTGACAAAGTTATTGTAACTACCGGGTTTAGTAGTTCATTTCATACATTATTGTACGTGGTGTAGGATGCAGCAGGTGGCCACGCTTTAGTAATGTCATTAAACATGACAGTGTCTTAAAATCTTTGAAGGATAATTGAATAAATTGTAAAAACATTAATGATAGTTTAAATCACATTTTATTTTAATATGTACAAGCTTTTGATGACTTTAATTTCTGTACTGACTTTAGCTAAAGCCTTAGAGCAATTTTCTTTTATAACTTTTTAAATTTTATGTGTTTTGTTAAGATTAGGTCGTTTAAATAATTATGTGCTCCCTAATCTCTCAAATATGCTTAAGAAGAGGCACATAATTATATAAAAAACCTTATAATTCAATTTCTAACCAATTTTAGTACAAACTGCCGCAAGTGTTCGACGGTCAGTACGGCTCCTATCTTTTGTTGGTCACAAAGTCTCGAGCATTGATGACTTACGGTGATCGAGTGCAGATACCCAACTTTTGTCTTTTTGTAATTACAAGAACAGAGGGTTGGAACCTGAACACAGAAGTCCACATTCAGGTGCTTAAGATCGATGAGAGGATAAGCTGACATTGTTTTATTAAGTCTTGTCATAATATAACCTTTGATGTATATACTTTTCATTCGTAGTTCAGACGAAAACCTTGAATTCTTGTCCACGAAAAAAGCTCTCATAATTTTGTATGTTCCCCCTTTTTGCCTGATTGCCGTCGACATTAGAGAAAAACTAGAGAACGCGCAAAATTATGAGAGATTTTTCGTGGACAAAAATTCAAGGTTTTGGTCTGAACTACGAATGAAAAGTATATACATCAAGGGTTATATGTTAAGGTATTTGAAATTTGAATAAAACTTGTACATTCTCAACCCCTAATGTGTTAAAAATCAAAGTTACTCCTAGTTTGTTCAAATATTTCTGTGTCCTTTCTCAAAGTAAATTTTTGGAATTGGGGCACAAAATTATTTGAATAAAATATTTAATACGTTAACATCAAGAAGCATGAGTTAATCAATCAAAAGATTTAAAAAGATGTTGGCTATACTTTATATTCGGACCTCATGGTTAATCATAAGTTAAAAGTGCAATCTGCAATAAGTAATAGGCGGAAATAGAAAGTAATATGTATTAGTTATATATTAGCGTCTTACGTGCTTGGTAAGAATAGGTAAGAATATAGGATTACCTTAATACCCATCTTCTAAAAATTGTACGGCAAAGAAAGGAAACGGGATGAGGAAGGTATTTAAACATCAACATTCATCACAATATCCTTAATTCTAGCTATGGGTGGTCGAGGGGTGAGTATGTTGTAGGCTTTAGTTTTGTTGAAGATGGTACTATATGATACTCTTGTTTTTGAACTGATATTATCCAATTTGCGTTTGCTTTTGATGCTTTAGGCTTGAAGAACACGTTGACTTGGGAGCTACTATAATATACATTACTATCTTAGCCGTTTGATTATTAATATAGTACTTTGATGTTATTATGTTATTTGGTACTTTGATGCTATTTTGTAATTTCATCTGTCTATTCTTTCATATTGTCATAGCTTTTTTAATAATGTACAAAAGTTTATTGTTTTATAGTCTTGTTGATGTAAGTACATATTAAGTTATTGTAATATAATAACAAGATAGTCACAATTTATAATAGTATTTGTTGAAATGTATAAATACTGTGGCAGGTGTCATGGTATGTTATATACTGGGCTGAGAAATGTCATAGTGTAGGTAGTTTGCAAACTTAAAGGTTAATCTTATTAGGTTGTTCTATATGGATGATCTAGGGGGGGGGTTGATATTTTTGGCTCATTTATATTTGAACAATTTGATATCTTATTTGTAATTGCTAAGCCTAAGCTTGCGTCTAGGCCAGAGTTACTCTTTGTTATGCCTTCTTGTCTTAGCTAAATATATTTGTGAAACTTACGGACTTGTAATCTGGTCATAACTCTTTCTACCAGACTAGACAGCATTTGATCTTTTTAGTAAGCTAATAACAAGTACCGCAGTCAATTTTGTAGTTTCTTTCCAATTTTTCTGTGAAATCTATGACATTAGCGTGCATGACATAGTGTTTGTATAGTATTTCCAGGTTATTGATGTATTTGAAAACAATTACTTCTTTTATATTTAGTATTGGCACGCTTTTTTGTTACGTTATAACCTTAAAGTACAGTTCTTGAACAGATTAGAACAATGTTGTTAATGCTTTTTATATGTACTTTTTTTGGTATTGTCTGGAAAAGTTAAATCGTATATAGTACTTCTTACCTAAATTCTTATTTTTTGTTGTTTTAGTTTTATACTTTTTTAATTTCTTTGCGTATTTTAGCTTTGCACGCTCATATTTGGCACTAGTAGATTGTTCAAATAGTTCTGTGCCTTCTTTGAAAACGAATTTTTTAAATTGTGAGGTACGGAATTATTTGAACGACCTATTAGTATACTATAATACGTACTTTTTAGAAATTGCAGTATGAGTAACTTCTACGAATCAGTAATACAAATCCACTACTACTATGAGATAGTTCTAATGTTGATATCTTCATTTCTGAACATGGTAGTCATATATCTTGTACTGACTACGAAGAACAAGGTCATGAAGAACTTTTGTATGGCATTACTCTTCAGTGTGTTTGGTGACATATTTTACACTGTAACTAACTTTATATCTATGATGGTAAGAACGTGTTATCGACATAACTACAAAGCACCATATTGATATATATTCTTTTAATTACTAATAATTTCGGTATAATATAGCCTTTCCTTCGCCAAACTACATCATATTATTGTAGATAGTAGAGATCAGAGGTGGTAAGATGTTTTTCATGACTGTCGGCTACTTCTCCAATTCACCATACCCATATAATGCTCTAATGACCAGTCTATGGCTTACTGGTATGTACGTGACAATAATGACTGTAATGGTACAGTTCGTATTTCGATACTACACCTTGAGTAAGCATGGTATGACAATATTACAGTTGATGGGGGTGTACAGCCTGGGAATGACATGGGCTTTGAGTCAAGGTTTTGCTGCTTTTATATGTTTTGATGATGTATCACCGGCTGATACCAAGATCATACGAACACATCCAATGTATGCTAAGGATACTCCACAGTACATGTCTGGGGATACTGTAAGTTCTATATTTGGGGTTTTAGGCTTCTGTAAGGGCACTTTTTTTGTAAAGTAGGGTAGTGTATATACAAAATGACTGATAATACTACATTTTACATTACCTTCTTTGTGTTTCAGAGTAATTTCGGAGCGATAGCTCACTTTATGTGTTCCCAGGTTTCCATTTTGGTCATGTACTGTATTATCATATTTACTGGTCGTCGTATTTATAAGTTACTGAACACTGACGTGGAGATGAGCCAGAATACTCGTAATGCTCAAAAGAAACTGAACATGGTTATGACTTTACAGGTAAGTGTCATATTATGTTAATTCTGATATACATATCATTTTGTCTATACCTACATCAACGTAACTTTATCTATCGAGATACCTCAATATACTTAAGTATTTATGTTTATACATTAATATATACATACATATATGGTAAATACTTTAATATATAAAAGTTATACTATCTTGTGTATCATAATATACGTATATATTGATATAAAGGCCCCCTTTAGTACAGTAAGCTTTGTTTACATCAAAAATTAAGATTAAAACATCTTAGATACCACAAAGAACGTCGCTATACGTATCGTTAATACCTATATAGACGTTCTTTGTAGTAATAGGGCAACGTGCAAATTGCCAAGTCTACCACACGTAATATTAAGCATTACCCTCATACTAAGACGTTATTTACCTATTTCAGGCTACCTACCCCGGCCTGATAGTTGGATTACCTGTTGTTGTAGCGACGGGATTAGCCGAAGCCAAGTACGACATCGAGTGGGGTGGTATCTACTTTGTCACCTCGATATCTTGCATCCCCATCATTAATTCGCTTACGGTATTGGTGGTAATACCATCTTTTCGACGTCGTATCTTGAGCGCCTTCACGGGTTACAGTCACTCAGCAGTTACTCAAGGCAGTATCTCCAAGGAGAAGATTACTACACTGGCTACAACACATGCTGAACATCTTGCTATGTAAAAATGTAAAATGAATGTAATTGTTTTACAGTTTTTGAGTATGTTACAGTATGATATCATTAAAATGTACAATGTACTGTAATTTTTTTGTAAAGTAGGTAACAAGCTACAGTAAAAAAGTTTACCTTACCCTACCCTATCGTATCCTACATCACCTTTTAGTACCATACAACTCTATACTGCTATAATACCCCATTCTATCATACCCTACCACCCTGCTCTACCCCACAGTACCCGCTGTAAAGTTATAGTAAGACCATGTAGTAGATGTTTATTCAATAAACGGAAGTGATGACATAGTGGTAGTTGAGCGTGGTTGAGATCAATTGAGTGGCATTACTAGACCTGATCGCCTCGTTGTTGAGCATACTTCTTTATTACCTTCTCTTCGCGCAGCTTCACTACGGTCAGGAAGTTGTTTATCTGAAAGATATTATATAGTACAATCATGCTTAGTAATGTCTATAAAGACATTGATTTATATGAACATCCTTTTCTCGAAGTAAATTTAAAAAAAAATTTTAGTCGTATAACTGATAACTTTGTAAAATACAAAATAAAAAAGAAATGATTACGTATATCTTACCATAATAGTGACTGGAAGTGCCAGTACCATCGCACCACATACAATAGCCCCACCGCCGACAACTTTTCCGGCTAAAAACATTAATTATGACAATTGCTTTAACTTTTTTGAGTTACTACTATATCTTACCATCTTTATTACTATATTTTATTTTATATCTTCAATCATTTCAAACAACTTCCCCTTTTTAAATTTTCAAGACCTTTTATACCTAACACAATATACTCACCCGCAGTTTGTGGCACCCATTTAGTCTGTGAGAACAAGCACCACCAGAAGGCGGCTGGTATCGAGGTGAATGTAGTGTTAGGCTCGTCCCTCTCCAAGAAGTAGACTAACGTCGAGAAGAAGACCATCACCGTCAGCATGACAATGAACACCATCTGCATCTGCTTCTTGCTCTTCCTCAAAGTCAGCGCAAAGTTAGCCAAGCCTGGAGAGAAGCGCCCAAGCTTCGCGATCCTCACGACTCGTAGCACACGTAGCAGTCGCACGGTGAGGAATGCCCATCGTACCTTCCTTACCTTATCTCCGCTGATGCCCACTAGTACCAGTACTACTTCGAACATAAAGGGTGCTATAGCTAGAAGGTCAATAATGTTCAAGAACTCTTTTATGAAAGCTAGCTTCCGTGGCGCTACCCACAATCGGAGTAGGTACTCTATGGTGAAGTATATAACACATATGTTCTCTACGTAGTTAAATACAGGATGTTCTACCATCTCGGGTCGAGTATCGTCGCCTTCTTTTATTACGGTCGTTGTGGATACAGTATACCCAGCCACTTTCGGGTAGGTCGGATATGTCGCGGCTGGTCTGTAAAGGTTATACTGTAAATTTATACTGTAAAGTTTTACTGTAAAGTTATATCGTAAACTAATAATGTAATGTTATATTGTTCTGTTACTGATATATCCCTAAAGAAAGATATACACATAAGGAAAGAAAAAAAAATTAAATTTGCAGTACCGTACTGCATTGCATCGTACGGTCATTAAAAGAAAATGTTACAAAAACTTATAACAACTCACGTCGTTTGAACACCATCAGAGAATATAGTACTAGGTACTTGGAACTCGGGTATTGAGCCCATAATAAGCGCTGTAATACTAAGTACAACAAATGATGTTGATGTAATTTCAAAAAACTTCCACCATTTTGAATTCGAATGTCCCTCTAGTACTAACCATAGCCTTCGTCTCACTTTGGCACATCTCAAGCCAATAAAGTGATCTTTTTCCTAAAAAAAGTTGTTTTACTACTAAAATACAAAAATTTATGAATATTAAGTGGTATGTAGTTATTTATTTTGAGGGTAGTTTGACACACTTGGGTATTTTTTGCAGTTTTAGGGGTAGATTGGGTAACATTTCAACAGAAAAATAAAGAAAAAATAATTTTTTGTCTAAACATCAAGGTTAATATTAGGTCGTTCAAATAATTTTGTGCCCCCTATCAAAGAAATTTTCGAAGTTACGAAGCGCAGAATTATTTGAAAAACTTAATATTATTCAAATTGAATTTTTTAGGTACAAAAAGTACTTTTAAAGCGTAGTAGAAAACTACCACGTATTTTACAAAGTAAAATTATGTTTTTTTATATAACAAAGGGGTTCATGAGGGTAGATACACTTTCTAAACTTAAAGGATCAAGTCTTTGGCCTCGCAAAAACGATGGGATCGCCTTTTCGGCTTCATCGTCCATGTCTGTAGACGTCTGTAACTTTTTTTTTCAGTTTTAGCATGCTTTCGTCAATTAATATTAAGTTGTTTAAATAATTCTGTGTCCCCATTAAGAATAATTTTCGTGGTTAGAGGACACAGAATTATCTGAACAACCTAATAGTATTTCTTTATATTGCAAAGGCTTTAGTATAATATAGTGATCAATTGAATTGAGATAATGTAACAAATAAATATGTAATGTAATAAATATAAAAATTCAAAATTTAATCTCAAAAAGTCAATAAAATATAACGTATTTTACCGAGAATTACTTTTTTAAAATAATAACTTACCGGCTGATCAGTGGGCAGTTTCCTCATAAGACAATACTGCGCAAACGGCGAGCAACAATCGTCCATTTTGGCTTTGGAAACGGCCCAAAACCGAAGTTCGGACATGAACTTCTCGAAGCACAAGTCCTTGGGAACATGAAGTTTGCCGGCAGCATAAAAGTCGTAGATTGGATCGAAGTACCTGGAATGCAACATATATTACAGATACTATCCTGACTATACAAAAAGCTGTTCTACTCAAGACTACCCTTTCTAAAAAACGTTCACAACGTTACACGTTCCTTTTAACTTAAAAAAAAAAAACATTATCCTACTGTATTTCAGCAACAAAAACTTCCGGTAATTAAACAACTTTGAAACCTGATACTACAAGATTCCTTGAGAATCTCGGCTTTCAGAAAAAGTTGGTCATAAGAAAAGATGTCACAAAACTTTGACACTTAACACTTTTGTCAGCAAAAGTGCCTTTGGCGGTTTTTTAGTGTGGGATTTTAGTCACAAAAAGTAAAAAATGATTTATGACCTTTTCGAACGCCTTAGGCTTGAAAAAAGTGAAAATTGATACCTAAAAAGTGTCATAAGACATCAAAATGTTGGTTAAATGTTGCAAACTTGATTTTTTTGCATTTTAAAGCCAGAATTTTTAAAATTAAAAAAAATTTTTCAAAAATCTCATGTTCAAACGTCTCAAAATTAACTTTACACCCATTTCCGCATACGTTTTCCCCCTCCAAATGTCACGAAAGTATACCTTCTCAAAATGACAACTGTCACACAACAAATGACATTTCAAAGTTTACCTTGGCACTCGTTCAAAAAAAGTACTCGTCCGAATCCTCGAAATACCCATCCGCCCATTGCCGGCGATGCTCGTGATCCATGCGACATAATCGACCGAGCAACGTGGTCGGTCCGTATTTTAGAATCGACCGGGTGCGAATGCGATAGCTGGAGCCGCCAATGCTGAGACGGAGGATTTGGTCCTGAAAATATTAAAGTTATAGCATTGGCTAACTTATTTTAATGAGACATTAGAATGCCGTTTTTACAAAAAAAATAAAAATTTGAAAAAATTGGTTGAAAAGTTTGTAGAACTGCCATTTTTATATGATAAAACTAATTTTTTCAACTTTTCTCTTCAATTTTAGACCGATCAACAAAAAAATTTTAAAATTTCCCAAAATTTTGTTTCAAACTGCTTCAATTGAAGAAATGGACGGAATGTCACATATTGATTTTTTCATAAAATTTATTTTTTAATTTTTGTTATAAACCAATCATGAAACGCCATTTTTAAAGCTCTTTAAAAAAATTTTTTTATAATTTTTTTAAAAATAATTTGAAAAAATTTTTAAATACAAAAAACCGTATTTTACCTCATTCTTGACCGATCCTTTCAACGAAGTCTTTTCCTGAGGCAATCTGGCTTCCAAATCATCCTGATCGTACTCTTTAATCGAATGTGGGTGTTCTTCTACTGTTATGTTCACTTGTTTAGATGAACTCTCTGCTTCATCTGTCATACCACTGAAAATTCACACTTTTAATAATTAATTAAATTTGTGGAAAAAGTAAAGTAAAGTAAAGTAATAAATCTAGTGTAAATACGTTACAAGTTTGTAAGAAACTTTAATAATAGAATGTTAAACTTTACTGTGGAGCTTACGATTTTTTGAATAACTAAAAAATACAGTAAAAACTTTAGAAAATAACAAATTTTTTAAAAAAAATATGATTTTAAAGCAAAAGTTATAGTACCTTTTGTCACTGCAACACATTTAAAAACAAAAAAATGTCATTTTAAAACAAATAATGTTACAAAAACGCAAAAAAATAAAAGTGCATATTCGAAAAAACTTTTAAAATTCAAATTTTTTCGAAAAGTACCTATAAAATGACCCTCCTTTTAAAAAATGCTTGCTTTTCTCATCTCTCCACTCTTTTTCCAAGCTATATCATCCACCCACCCATTTCACTACATTAAACACCCCCCTCCCCCTCCCCCCCCCCTCTTCCCCTGTCCAAAGAAAATTGCCCGCTTATGCCACTATATTAAACACTCCAAGAAAAATTACCCACCCTCGCTACTATATTAAAGCCAAATCCCCCGCCCATGCCACAAACTATAATATCTCTTCATCCAGACCCTGCAAATCAAAAATCCATGGAAAAGGGCAGTTCCGCCGGGAGTAAAACAATTAAAAACCCTTTCTAGTATTTAGTAATTCAATCAAAGTAACAACGTTTACTCTCGCCTATGTACCTCATGCATACCAAATCTACTGTCTTAAAACATACGACGACACAGAGCCTGCACGCAATGTCAGCCGGCCACAAAAACCGGTTTAAATTTTGATTAATACAGCCTTTCGACTCGAAAAAAGTTTAAAAATTGCGACACACTTAAAGAAAGGGCATGGCCGGAGGGCGAGAAGCCGCGGACACTTTTTTCGAAAATATCTGATCTTGAAGGGGCTTGTGACATTTATTATTTATGGCTTCCGATCCGAATTACCATAACATGAATACAAAAGCAAACATCTCTCAGACTTACAGTAAAGAGTTTTGGTGTTAAAGCAGGTAGTACTGAGTAGGATACTTCAGTCAGAAAGAGGGGGAGGGGGTGGAGAAGCTTGATGATGATTTTATTGTTGTTTTAGCCCAAACTTCACATTAACAGACATTTTCAGATGATCCTTAGCCCTATCAACGTAGTTTTTTGTGTTTATTAGTCTAACGTACTATACAGGACAAAACAAAATTTTTTAAAAATTTTTAAAAAAACAAAACAATTTTTTATTGTAACTTAGTCTACGATTTAATGAAATGTAAAATACAAGCTTAAACTTAATGCGGAAAAATTTTATTTAAATCGACTTCATATCCACTTCCAGGATCCCAAGCGTCAACCTTTGTCTCATTACTATGCAGTTACATTCCCATAACAAAGTAATCAAAACTCCGACATCACTATATCTCTTCCCCCTACCCCAACGTACCTGTCTATTCCCCTTCCCTTTTCTCACTCTACCCTACCCTACTCTACCCTAGACTACCGTACCCTACCCTCCCCTATCCCCTCCTACCCTACTCTGCCCTATCCTACGCTACCTTACCGTACCTTTTATTTTTCTACCCTGTTTTACTCTAAATTACCCTAGCCTTTTACTCCAGTTACCCAACAAAATCTCAAAAAATGTGCCGTGAACGTTGGGTTAGTACAAATTTATGTTATACGACACAAATATTACTAGAGCTCAAATTAACATAAAGACTAAACAGAATAAATAATACGATGAGATGCCGACGACGTACTTATTATTCATATCCATGACATCGAATCGTATGTAACCTCAAATTTTATGAATCTTTTGGTTTCGGATCTTAGAAATTAAAAGTAAATTTGATTTTTAAGGTTGATTCTACAGTAAAAATGTCAATTTTAGTACAAAGTTACTGTGAAAAATAGTATCGCCAATTATTTTTACTGTAACTTTAAAAAAAAAGTAAGTAGAAATTTAATATTTTACATAAGAATAGATGATTAATTTAAAAATCTGAACCAAAAAAAACTTTCATTTTATGAAAATTGTTAAAACTACAGTACTTCTACCATCATCCTAATTTTTTAAATTTTCAAAAACATTTTTAAAAGATGTATCCTATAAACAATGTTAAACATAAAAAGTTATGCATAGCTTTCAATTTGTTTTTAAAATTAAAAAAAGCGAAAAATGAAAAAAGTTGATTTCACAAAAAATCGACCGGTTTTGATGAGTTTTGACCTTTTGCCACTATTAAAAACAGTGGACCACTTGTATAACAAACTCTTTTATAACGAAACTCCCGTAATCCAAATAACTATTGAGATCACAGCTAACACTACACAGTGCATTTAAAACTCGAACTCCTTTATAACAAACAGAAATTTAAAATCTCCCAGCAATTTGTTATACTGTAACTTTAAAGTTAAAATTTAAAATCTTAGTGATTAAAAATACGTTATAAATTAAAAAAACACAAAAAATGTCATCAAAAAATGATATTTTATATATACGATCATACATATTTCCATAGATAATATATACGACCCATACTGTAGCCCAACAGTCAAACTTCCGAAAAGTCCCAATTTGAAAAAAAGCAAAAAATCTGAGAAAACAAAATACAAGCCATCTTCACGGACATAAACAAAAATACAAGCCACTATACAAACCAGTATAAACAAGACACCTTGGATGCGTATAATAACAAGTAAGGCACATCCCGCGACGGCTTAAGGCCCTCCTTTTTAAAACGTCGGATTTTTGTTATTTTGTGGGGGGAATAAAGAGCTCTTTGGGAAATCGAATTTGGTTGGATTCGCTCATTTAACACATCTCAAAAAATAAATACAATTTCCGTTCGGCCCAATCCGAGAACCGGAACATAATCCATCGTTCGCCACAACAAGCTCAGCCTTTCCGAGGCCTGTATCAAGTCTTGGAAAGGATGAGAATAAAGGCAGTTTTTTGAAAAAGTATCCTTTTTTTAGCATTCGGTTACTGATATTAAGTTGTTCAGATAATTCGGTGCCCCTTTGCACCAAAAACATATTAAGCCAATTTTTTTCTATTTTACAAATTAGGTTGTTCAAAAAATTTTGAGCTACTTAACAACAAAAATTGCTTTGAAAAAAAAGCTCAGAATTATTTGAAGAACCTAATATTATAGGTATAGGTTTCAAGTCATCATTCTTTTAATACTAAGTTGTATAAAAAGTAATGAGCTACTGAACTTTATATTGCTATAAGAGACCTAGCTCATTACTTTATATACAACCTAATATTAAGTTGTTCAAATAATTCTGTGCCCTTTTGCTAATTTTCGGAGCTAGAGGGCACAGGATTATGTGCACAAGCTAATAAAATGCAAGTATGCCTGGTATTTTAAAAAATATTGTAGCAACTCAAAGAATAAACGAAAGTTTTTAGTCAAATAAAAATTATTCGAATTACGTGCCAGCCAAACGCATGAGGTTATCATAACGTATAATGAGCACTAAAATAATTTGGGAGAGAGATAAAAAACTTGGAGGGATGTGTTGGGCCGCGCAGACCGCTTTAATGGAATAATACGGAAGAGAAAGCTTATTACACATGCCGGCACAAAGAATGAATGGATTTAAAAGAGGGAGGGGTGATCTTGTTTTACAAAAACAACTCATTTTAAATTTTTCAAAATTTATTTTTCATTTTAAAAATTAAAAAAAAATGCTTTGTTTTGTGCTCTGCCCTGCCTTGCCTTGTTGCGCCCTGCCCTTGTCCTGACTTTGCCCTGCCTTGTTTTGATCTACTCTGCCCGGTTCCGGCCTGGGCTGTCCAAGCAACTTCTCTTTACTTAAAAACCAAAACAGCCATCTCTGTACGTCAAGTATAACATAAAAATTTTCAAAAAACAAATTTCAAAAACCCTAAACTCGAACAAAAGAACTTACCCGTTGATAACAACCGCCTCTTCATCAAAGCTCACTGTCCGCGTGGCCTCCGCCGTCTCGGAGAAGCTTTTGTGCAGAATCGAGGGTTTGCGTTGTGGCGATGGGGAACGGCTCATATGACTCACAAACTTTTCGCCGTTCCTGAGTTTGTGCGGCCGAGACTTTTGGCCATCATTCAGTAGAGCTGAAAGGCGATTACACTATAGTAATATAGATTTACATCGTCAAAGTAATAAAGATTTACATCATAGTAATGAAGATTAGGGCAATACCACTAATGTATTCAACTGTAAGGAAACAATTTGTTTATACGAGGGTTGTATACTCGCTAAACCAGTTTTAAAATGTAATACGAAAGATTTTATAGTCATTTCAAAGTAAAAAACATCCTTAATATCCGTAATAAATAAAATGAAACCCGTATTTTAACCACCTTAATATTGGTACCGTATATTTCTATATTACTACAGTAAAAACTAATCTTGCCTTCAAAATACAAAACCCTTACCATGAGTTTCGATGCGTGACAATGGAGGCAGGTTAATCAACTTTGACTTGGAAGCGTTTATGAGTGCCGGAGGGAGCATCAAGGCAAACTAAGTGACCCATTCTTTCAAACCCCGTCTTGCTAATGACAACTGACTCGCAATTATTAAACTTTATTAAAAACATGTGCAGGCAGTTAGATATATCAACTTTGATCGCCTTTCGTTTCGCTTTTAAATTTAATACGTCTATTATAAGGTCTTTATCGTGTAATTTAGCTTTAAGTGTTATTTTATAGCTTGCTTTGTTGCTAAAAGTGGTTTATGATTAACTGTGATACTATTGAGTAATAGAACTTTACAAAAACAGCATAATTTATACCTTAACTTTTATTAGGTTGTTCAAATAATTTTGTGCTCCTCCTTCTCAAAGCAACTTTTTGGAATTAAAAGCACCGAATTATTTGAACAAAATATTTGTAACAGAAAGTAACACAAGGTTTACATTAACCTTTAGTATGTTTAAATGTAAAAACCTACAAGCAACAAAAAACTACTACAACAATATGGTAAGCAAATTGACGTTTATTAACAAGAACTGATATTATTATGCATTTTATTTATCTTTCAATTCCCTTTTCTTCTTATGTTTGTGAATTTTACCTGAAGAGAGTGTAGATTGTAACACACGGGATAAGAAGACTTTATTGGTATTCAATGACTTTGGTTTGACCCTAAAATAACATTATTTTTAAGTTTGTGCCATGTTATAATAAGAGTTCACAAATATGTCAAAGCAAAAGTACATCAGAGTAAGTTAAAACTAAAAATAATATATTTTTGATATTCTTAGGCTAAAATAATATATTTTAACAATTTTAAATAAGTTTTTGCTTCTGTTAACTTTGTAAACAAAGTTTTTGCCATTTTAATACTGTAAAAAATCCTATCCATTTTTTAATTTGTAGAAAAAGTTATTGCTGTTTCTGATATGTACTTCAAATTACCCTTACCATCCCTGAGATCCCATTCGTTCAGCTCGTTCCTTGCCTCTGGCTGATTCCCTCAATAATGCCTCTCTGGCCTTTTTCCTCAATTTTTCTGAATTCGCTTCTGATTCCTCTGACATATCATTTGAGTTTGTTTCTTCACTTGTACTTGGGGTATCTTCTGCTTTTTCGACCATTTTTCGTTTTTTCATTGAATTGAACATTCTCTTGGCCATATCACTCGTTTTCTCTTCATTCTGTGCCATTTTACTGCAACTTTAAATCTGATTTTACAAAAGTAAACACATCATAAAAAATGGCAGATATATCATCTTAAATTTAATGCAATATGCATTTGTTAAACAACATAAACCTCAAAATATTTCACATAAACCATCCTCGTAGCGTTATGTAAAGTTTATATGTACATACCTAGAGTAATATAACACAATATGTGATAAATATTAAAATAATGTCGTTAACAACTCTGTACTACAACATACATGAAACAGAAGGTTCATTTTATTGTTATTCGAATACACGTTAACAAGGCTGGTGACTTAAGTGATCTACGAAGCGAACCTAATTTGGGAAGGAGGACCCGTTCACTAAACTTTTCAAAATTGGCTCAAAAATTTTTGGACATCATTTTTTGCAAATCTAATAAATAGGAAGCTTTGCAACACCAAAAGTAAAAATAAACTTTTGTGCCAATTTTTAAAATGCAAATTTACAATGTTAAAACCTGTTTCGCTAGCCATTTTTAAATAGGACAAAGTAATGACTAGTGTAATGTCTAGAAAGAGACGAAACCGGCACGGCCGATCACAGGGCAGTAAAATATTGAAGAATCCATTAATTTTTTCGTATTTTTGCTCTTATTTTTGGTCAAAATTATGTTTTTCGTTTCATTTCCGGCCCAGAAGTCAATAATATAACGCACCTTTCAAGGTCAAAAGGTTTGTAGAATATTTTTCTGTCAATTCCTTACAAAATACAGAAAAATTCTAGATCCACGCTATAAAAGTTAGATTTGAGCAAATTCACCCCGTTTACACGAGCTATAAAGACTATATTATACATCAGATATAAGGCTACATTAATAATAACGTCAGAAGAAGAACAACATAGCTAAAGACCCATATATGTCGTTTCTATTAACAACATTAATCGAATACTTCAAATATAGAACTGAACCAGATTAACAGAAAAACCCATTCGAACTTAGAACATCAGTAATATTTTTTGAATATTAGTACTCGAAAAGTAGTGACATTAAGATTCAGTACAATATTAAAAGAAAACACCAGTATCAACGTCCAGTACCTAGTCGCAGTACTCTTATCTCAAAATTCACATTGAAAATTCGTTAGATTCTTCGACCATTCCAGAATCCAGCGAGTTAAAGCTCAATCTTCTTCCGTTTGGAGCTACTGGCCCAGTTACGGGTGACTGATGATGAGTAGTTCGTTGAGGAGTACCATTACTGAAGGCTGAGTACGTTGGAGTTTTAGTCATTCTCTGTGGAGTGCTGTATTCTGTAGATGAGGTTGATGAGAAGCCTGGAGTTTGAAAAGAAGAATCTGACTTCCGACTCATGAGTGGAGAACCTTGATCAAGGTCTGGTAGACCTGAGTCTCTTTGACTGTCAGTTCGATGGATTCTGGAGACATTCCGTTGATCCATTTCTCGTTGTTTGTCCAATTCGAACTTCAAGCGCATCTGCTCCATTTCGGTAGATTCTGCTACTGATTCTTTTACATCGGCCATGAATTTGTGTCTACAAAAATTTTTAAATCAAATTTTAATTTGAAAAAATGATTATTGAAAGCTCAAAATAACTAACTTAACCTTAAAATTTACTTTAAACAAGAAACCAAAAATTCAAGATTTTTAAATTTGTTACCTAAAACGTTATCCAAATTCCAAGAAAAAATCAATTTCCTACCTGTCATCCCCATTCTTGGCATTAAAATACAAATGCTGTGCCCCTGGGAACAAAATCTTCAGTCCAAACGTATAATTTGCGTTGTCAAACTCATGAATATTGACTCCAATCAAAGGGCTCCATGACTTCAGTACGTACTGTGCTGGTGCTTTCTTTTTGCTCACATTCTTCGTTATTAACATTATGTCATTGAAGAGGAAGATCTCTCGTTGATGTGCTGTGATCGACTGTTTCTTAGCTGGATCGATGATTTGGTTTAGTCTACAGTAACAGATCAGACGTCGGTGTTGTTCTACAAGTAGAGGCTTGTCTTTGCCGACAATACTTTGGTCAACTTTCAGTACTTGGGAGACGTGATCGCTGCCTGATCGTATCTCGTTTTCTTTCACTCTGTCGTAGATTCCAATCAGGCTTTCTCTGAAAATGATAACATTATTGTCATGTCTATTCTAACAAAAGTGTCATACTATCCAGGCACTTTTTGAATGAAGTTTTACTACAAAGAACACTCAAAAAACTGTCCTTATAAGAAGAGTGCCAAACTATAGGTTTCACTGTATTATATATATATAGAAAAATAGTCCTTACTTTTCAAAAGACTGGCTCGCCCTCCAGGTGTTTCTGACGAACTCTTCCACTCTCATTTTCTTGCTTTCTTTCATCGATGGTGAGTGAAGGTCGGTGTTCAACATTATTGTTGCAAACGCCAGTATGTAAATGGCATCTGTCGTAATTTGAGGTGGTAGTCGGGCTGCGTTGCATTGTTTGTAACGTCGGGCAAATGCCTAAAAAAATTTTTTTTATACAGTGTGTTTATTGTTTCAATTACAATGTAAAATCCCTTAAAACTAGACTTCATAACTCATTTTCTTAAACTCATTTTCTTAAAGAATTAAGTTATTTAAATAATTATGTGCCCTTCTCAAAACAAAATTTCAAAACTAAAAGGCGCAGATTGATTTGAACGACCTAGTAAGTTCGTGAAACTTCAAATTTTATACCTAAAAACAATCATATACACCATTATATGCTTATTCAATGCCTTTTACCACAATAAAATTTTAAAACTTTTCTCATTTTTCATTTTTCTTAATCTTTCCCATTGAATACAAACCCTAACCCTAATACATATTATAATCCCTTACGTCAAAGCCAAACATATAGTTTAAAACTGATTTGACGGTAGACTAAGCTTCTCCCGCACCTACGTGTCATAACCGGTCTTCTTACCTGCATTACGTAATCAATTTTCTGCGCTTCAGTCGGTAGCCGAAAGTAGTGTAGCATTTCGCGGAGCGCCATGTCTACCTCAACATTGTGCATGGATATCTGTGCCAGCACTTCATCCAGGATCTGTGAGTGGAACGCTGACCTCAGTGTGCCCAGAAACTCGCCGATCATTTGTTTTCCTAGGCCTCGTCGACTCAAGAACAGCTTGGCAATGGCTTTTGGGTTTTCGTCGACGAAGCCCCACTCGACCAGTAGTTGAATCCCTCGGTCTGGTTTCTTGTTGAAGAAGTTCAGGGCTATTCGATATAGTCGTCGCCGATAAATGTCATTGTCTTTGGATAGTCGCATCGTGCAGCCTTCTGATGTTGTAGTTGATTGAGTTGTGTTATGTGAGCAAGTGGTTCTAGTAGCTTGGAATTGAGTTAGGTCTCCATTTATAGGCATTCTGAAACAAAAATGTACATTATTTTTCAAATAGCCATAAAAACATAAGAAATATTACCTAAACTTAATATTTTAAAATTGAAAAAAATGTTACCTAAAATTTCATTTTTGAAAATTTTCACATTTTAACAAAGCTGTAATCCAAATTAAAAATTTAAGATATCAATAAAATATGAAAAAAAATAATATCTCAATCTCTCCACTAACTTTACCCAACTTTATTACGTTAAAAATCATGAAAAACGGCCAGAACGCCCAAAAAACCCTCAAAATGAAAACGCAACTTATAAAGTTTGAAAGAATCAGGCTTACAAAACAGCTAAAACAAACAAATAATTACATTTTCAACCGAGTCCGCCATGAAAAACCATTGAAATGTTGACAAAAAACTGATTCAAAACAAAAAAAAACATTTAACAATACCAAATGTAATCAATTGTAATCAGACAAAACAAAACAAAGTGTGTTTGAGAAGCGTATCCAACTGTTTTCGAATCATATTAAGATAATGTGCGATCAAAAAACAACAATTATGATCTGAATAGGCTTCCAAACACGCACTTTAAACTCGAGATCAGCATGACAAACTTGGTTTTGCTTAAAAATAGACTGTTTTACTTTAAAACGGATCGGGAAACTTGGAGATAAACTTGCTAAACATTAAAAATAATTTAGCGAATTAAAATTGACTTCTTTTCAGTTTGTAAAAAATAAAAATAAAGCTCCGGAAAGGTCATTTTAAGTCAAAACTAACCGCATTTTCAAGCAAAGTCTACCCCAAAAGTACCTGTACAAAACCGCTACCCTAGAGTTGACTATTTTATTAAAAGACCAAGCTAAAATCACAAGTCTTGACAATCGAACCTCAATATTATCACCCAAAAGACCCTTTTAAACTATTTTACTCAATACTTCTATATTAACATAGCCCTTAAATGAGTTTCAATCAAAAACATCTGAACCATCATCCTTGCGAAACTCCCAGACGCATCCCGAATTGTTTATACGCAATGATAAAAACCGCTGAAAATTTCGCAAAACCGGGTTTCGACCGGCTACCGCCAAATGACATGGAGATAAAACGAAGAAGAGCATAACATGCCGATCACAACATAACACGGCGATCAGAGGGTCAACTTCTTTGACTGATCTATTAATCAAAACAGCAATAATATCAAAAATTGCGTTTATTTCTAGGTATAGCTATACTAAAGCCTTAAACTATAACTAAAAGTATATAGACCTACTTACCAAAAAATAGCCCTCCCTCCTCATACAACCCCACATAATATTTTCAGCTTTCTATTTACTTTCTGACCGCTCCTCAAAACACTTGCCACTATAAACCAGGCCTGTTCGGCCACCGGAAAAGGCCAACCGGCCTCGAGGATCGAAGAAGCGAGCCGCGCACTCACTTAATAAGCGCCGAAAGCTCCAGATCTCGGCCTTCGAGTGCTGTTTCGACCCACACAAATGTTATTATTCAAAATTTGCATAATGTAAACAGCATTTCGCACTCTTCAACTGCACTTTCAAATAATTGAACTTAATTTCTTTGTTCAGACAAATTCATTTTTTAAGTTTAAAAATTTACTTTTTAAAAAAAATTCAAAAATTTAATAGTTCACAGCCTAAATCAAGCACAAATCATGCGATTTCTTTAACCAGCCCTACCTAAGAAATTCAAAAACACCTACCCCGGTCGACACTCCTGACTCGACTTGTACTTTCTGCCAATTTCGAGCCGCGATAAGCTGTTGGTCTGATTAAAGTGACCGTCGCTCGTCGCAAACGGTGCATCTGCCACTCGATTCGAAGGCGACGGACTCCTGAAATCGGTCGGTTTCCCTCGTTGCGGTATCCAAACAGATGGCGACATTGAATTTGAATAAACATGGCTCTCGTATGGCGACCCGAATGCGTGTCGCTGGCTCAGCCGCGGCGACATTAAATCGGCAAACCCGCGCTGCGACGAGGCCTTTTGAGCCGACGCGCTGTGATGATGATTGTAGGGCATATCGTTCGCCAGAGGGGTCGAATTCTTTCGGGGAGACAAGGCGGAACGTTCGACGAACAGCTGGGCTCGCAGTGAGTTGGCGGCTTGGTATCTGAAGAAGTTGCTTTATTTTATCATTTCAAAATATTAGTTTGGCAAATAATTTTTAAAACATTGACAAGAGTCGTTTACAACCAGATAAACACTAAAACTTAAAAATATGTATCCAAAGCTACAAACTCATGCTTTACAACCATTCCAATTCCGAATCAACCCTAAACCAACCAAAACTAATCAAAAGAAACCAACTTACTTCAAGACAGGCTGTGAAGCAGTCCCAGAGTTCTTGAGTAATGAAAAACCATTACTCTTTGAATAAAAGCACTCGGTTGTCTCCAGTGATCGAGGCGAAAACTCCGACGGTAAGTTGGATTCCCTTGTCACCACTGATCGAAATTGTTTATGCAAACGATATAGACGAAAGGCCCGCTGGATCTTGGTGGCGGCTGAATGGGCCCTCAACTTGCCTCCATATTTTCTTTCCAATGCCTATAATGTGATGGTATAAACATATGCAAAGAGCGGTGATGTTGAAATCTCTATAAACAACAGTCAAACTTTTGGAATATTTTGATTAAAAGACTTGATTCGGAGAAAAACATCACAATATTCGATTCGTTTGAAAGAGTAGCTTATTAAAACAACATGTTTTGGTAAAAGAAAAAACTTAGAATATCTATTTAGATACCTCCTCACATAAACTAGTTACACAAACCCGTATTTTACATTATTTAACAATAGATTATCAATTTGTTACCTAAAATAAACAAAAACACCATTTTTAAACAAAAAATAGTAATTTTAAACTTGAAACAGAATCAGCACTTTACACCTGAATTTACAAACAAAAACCAAAGTGTTACCTGAACATGCAACCTGTTTAGATCATCTGATATCTCGTAAGACGCCAACATTCGTGATGCACTTGTGGACGGAACTGCTCGAGAACATGATGAGGTTGGAGGATTCATATGGTTTATCCATTCCATCTGCCTAAAGCAATCAATTTTTATAAAAAAATATTGAGAAACTTTATAAAAAGTATTCAAAAAGAAGGAAACTCGATATTATCCATCTCGAATTGAGAAAATAGCCAAAAACACCGCCAAAACTCAAACAAGAATTGTTAAGTTATATAAAAATTCACGATATATCTAATGTAAATTTATGTTAACGTAAAACTAAAAAGAATGTCGAGTTATAACATAGTTTCCATCACAGAACACCTTTGACATCAAAAAATTCAAAGATTCATGAATAACCCGAACGTTTTCGAACAAAATCAATACATTATAATATTCAAAACGTAATCACAGCCGTATGACATCACACATCATAAGCATTGTCGCAGAATCGTGTAGCCAGTTGGTAACGTTCGAGGTTTGGAAGAGAAGAAAAAAAGCGCGACCCATTCATTTTTCTCCCCTTCTCCCCCCCCCCAACAAATTCGCTCCAGCCGGCTTTACGCGCAAAAAAATCAGAAGATCAGCAAGGAACACAACGCATTGCTCATCACTCGTATCATTAATTGACATTCAAGCTGTTTTTCGAGAAGATTGGTAAAAAATTCCGGCTTTTTTTGAGACCGAGCCACTTGACCCGAGATTGAAGACGCGCGTCATGTCTCACTCTGTCATTAGGACCTTCAATATTTATGGCCAGGGGAAAATATGTGAAATCGCCTATATTATAATGGAAGCTTTCCACGAAGCAGGTGTCAAAACAATGCCAACGGTGGTCGGAAAAAACCGTTCATATCTCGAAATTAGGAGTCTTAATTCTCTGCGGGCAAAAACCGGCGTTTTACTCTTGGCACATTCCGTTTTCGGCCATTTGACAGCCGGCCGAAGCGTCGCGAATGAAGGGACAGGAAACTAACTGCGAATGACCGACATGTCTTCGTCGTATGTCCATTCATCACATTGCCAACAACTTTTCACGCCTGAATCGACACGATTCGGGTGCCGGAGGGCGAGATAAAGGTCATTTCGAATAAATCCTGAATATCCGATTAACCTCGTAGCAACATGCACACACACGGAGTTACTAAGCAAATATAACCGCCGCTTTTCACACCGATCCATCTGCTTCGAGTCGTTTTTGACTCGATTTCCGGACCCTCGGGGAGTAAACTTTAAACTTTCATTGTCCCTTGTTTAAACTGCACACAACATGCCAAAACTTTAAATTACAGCATGTTTTTGAAAATGTGAAAAAAGCTAGGCAATTTGCAAGGCTTTTGCAGAATTATGAATAAAAGTTTGGATGATTAACTTAAAACAATTAACAATACTGTAAGTTAATATAATTACACAGTTTCAAATAGAGGCCCAAGGTTTTTTCTCAGAATTTTTTCATTACTATTCTATACCTTTATAAAGGCTTATATTATATAGATATAACTCAGAAAACCCCCAACAAACGCCCAAAACTTGAATTATTCCATTCATTTTTACAATATATTCGGCACAGTACAATAATGAGGCAATAATTAACAGTATGAGACTATCTATGGACCATATATAATGATAATAAGAAGAACTGGGGGATAATAATTCTAAAACAATAAGGATCATATAAAAACATGCACAATAATTGGGAAAACAGACAAAAGTGAGTGTTGGGAATGGGAATTACCTCGGTTAACAGGTGAGTTGAACACAATTTTAAACGGAAGAGAATGAATGGATATGAATGATCAGACGACAAACAGATATATAATAACATTATTACAAAAACAACACGGCTATATATTATATTATAAACGACTCGGTACCATATTACTATTAAAGCTATTACAATCCATACATATCGTTACAAAAGCTCGTCGATTGACCCGGAAAATCCAGAAACTAGAGACGGACATTGACCTGAAATTGAGTTTGTTACGTAGTAATTAGACTTAAACTTTCAAATTGTAACAATATTAAAATTTTAAATTTACAAAATCTGCAAAAAATAAAGTTTTCGTATACTAAAAGTTTAAAATTTCGACTTTACACCCCGATTACACCTCTCAAATTACGCGTCATTTAACTTACGGTTTCCTCTTCCTCTAATTGTTGATTATTCTCGCTACTCGTCTTTGCATCGACGTTCGTATCATCGGTATCACATTTCTCCACCACCTCCTCCGCCTTGTTCGCAGAATCCGCCGCGTCCAACGCCAATTTACAGTAATGAGCCACCAATTTGTGAAGTAATTGATATTGAGACTGAAATCGGTTCACTATACCTTTAATCGATTCACTTACGGCTGACTGCACGAAGGCAGTTCGTTGTTTTCGTAAGGTAAGGACGAACTCGCGGAGATCAATTTTGGTGTTGATTTTCTGAAATTTGATAACTGTATATTACAGTAAGACCTACATTTAAACTCATTTTACATCGATAAGGTCGAATTTAGCAAAAAAAATGACATAAAACGTAGAACAAACTTAAAAATCCTTCCGTTGTCATTACTTTAGGCAAAATTTGCAAAAAAAAGGAAAAATAAATAATATTCAAAACATAGTTATTCTCTGAACTTTTCGACCTTAAAGAACAAAAAAAACTTACGTTTTCTCGTATTAATGTTCTGAATATGTCGACGCCGACCACCGTGCCAGTCCGTCCACAGCCAGCAGAACAATGTAACAAAACCGGACTCTTATCTTCAGCATACTTGATCTGATAATCGTCCATCAACTCCACAAATCGGAACACCTGATCCAACCCATTCGGACATCCATGGTCAGGCCATTCCGTATAATGAAGTTGATAAATAACATTCTCACCAAACTTTTCGTGTGAAAACTTCAACTCCCTGATCGAAAACTCATCAAATTTGTCTTCTTTCAAAGTTTCTACAGAACCGTGAGCAATGTCCATAGTTTCACCCACGTTTTCTGGATAGTATTGGACACATTTTGACTAAAAATAATAAATTTAGATCAAATAAACAGTCAAACGCACCAAAATCTTCAAAGTACGGTTTTAGCAAACAAAAATAAAACTTACCATTGAATTTTCAAATGTTTTGCACAACATGACTACTACTTTAATGTTATTCTGACCAATCATGTACCAAAAGTCATCAATAGTATTGGCCAGAGGTGCTTGAGCTGCAATATACTTCCTTTCCACATCTGGATATTCGATAAACGATGCGTTAATGTAGTCTCCGTCCGGAGCTTCGCGGTCTTTTAACTTTATCCTGTTCTTGTTATCTAAATTTTAAAAATATTGAAATGTATGATTGTCAACTTACAAGGTACAACATCACGATATCTGTTGAGAAGAACATTGGAGAAGCCATCTGACATTGAGTACTCATTCTCTAGTTGGAAGTCGTCTTGAGTGCTGCGGAGCTTCTAAAAAGTATCTTTTATGTTTAGCTTCAAATAAAAAACAATAAGCTTTTTGAAAAGACTATAACAATACGAGAAATGAACCCTCAAGCATTAATGTCACAAAAACGATAAAACCATTCCCTTTCCTTTGATAAAAAATATAAACATTCTTCAAGTCAATTCAAAAAGTTCACACAATGACCTTTGCAATGCAGATGAATCAATTTTATAACATTTTTAGACAAATTCGCCATCTTTTAGACTGCTTTATATTTCCAAACATTGACAATAAAAAGAACCATCAATTCTAAAAACCAATCAATTGAATTGAAAACTCACTGCAAAATCCATGTTAACCTCGGTGAAGCCATTCTCCAGAAAGTTGTCAACACGTTCAACAAAGTCCCGCATCGCCACAACCTGATCCATTTCGATTGGCGCGTTTGGTGGAGTATTGGGAACAGCACAACCCGAGTTTCTTAGTCGTCTGTAAAAATAGCAAGAATTACAAAAAAAGGGCGAGAGAGGAATGACTTACGAACTGAGCGGAGTTAGTGATAAGCCACAAAGCCGTCTAAGGCGAAGTCGCCAAGTCGCCAGTCGGGTCAACGAAATCATGAACCCATTCTCCAATAAATGGGACTAAAATTTCTAAAAGCAAAAGTGTTACCATGCTTAAGTCGATTAAAAAAGTCGAGAATATATTATATTTAATTACGCGCGAAAATCGTCGAGAATTCAATCAAAACGCCGCGAGGTTTCTTCTGTTTTTTGTCGCTTTTTCAAACATTGTCAAAAAGAGTAGCTACTGTTCAAAAGTATTATACAAAAAATTTTAATTAAGCATATAATCATAACAATTTAATCCCTAATAAACCAAATAACTAAAATTTTATGTACTAAAAGTTATAGAATATAGTTCTATTACAATATAATATAAAAAACTAAGAAACCTTATAGTTCTCTACCTACTTTCACTTATATATCAATTATGATTGTTAAATAAAACATTCTAAACTTCGCTTACAAACCAATCCGCCCCAATCTTTCGTATTTCACAAGTTTTTCGATGTTAAACTCCAAAAAGAAGTCAAACACATGCAAATCACTCGTATATTTATTAATTACTTTCACTTTTCAAACCTACAAAGCAGGTGAAATTTATCACAGCTTCTAACCGAGTAAAACACTCGCGAAACTTGAGTAAATTATCCGAAAAAAAAATTGGAAAAACTGCATTTAACCAAGATTTCACACACATTTCCCAAAAATTTAAGCTTGAAATCGCCGGAAAACACGTGAAATGTGCTGCGCAATAACACTTTCTACAAAATAATCACAAAACGGAAAAAATTACTAAGAACTGTCGACCTGATTCATGAAAACCACTCTAAATTTTCTAATCTTTTTTTGTTTCGCGAAGAAATAAAAATTCGCCATTTTCGCGTTTGAAATTGATGTGCAGAGGCTTCGGTTTCGTGGCGGGACTCGTCGAAAAACTTGGAACGGACGAAATTTCCTAGAACAGACGGTTTCCGACCTTTTTTTGTTGCCAAGTTTTGAATAAGTTGTAAGTGTTGGTAAGGGTTTTAATTTTGTATTGTTTCTTGTTTAGGAATTTGAATATTGATCTAGTTGCGGTGGTTCAATGGAATTTTGGGGTTTGTCTGTAGTTGTGGGGTTTTTAGGTATTAAATATGGAAAATAGTGAAATGAAGTGGGTGCTGAAGAATTTTTTAAGGTTTTGGATATTAATTTTGTTTTTAAGGTTATTTTTTGAGGTTTTTTTTGTTTTTTAGGTAACAATTATAACATGTTTAGTTGAAACGTGTGTTTCTGGATTGTTGGAAAATTTATGTGTTGACAATGGCTTACGCGAATGTTTTTCTTGATCTTTTACATCGTGAACTTTTGCGCTTCGTGTTTTATGTCACTTTGATCTTAAGGTGTGACATTTTATTATTTCAGCCTCGAGAATGTACTGTCAACGCCTCGCCGTCCCAGTCACCCGCGCCGTCGTTGCCCGTGGTCCATTGGCCTTGAGAGCCGAGAACGCCTTGGCCTCTCGCTGCCTTTCCTTGAGCGCACAACGCAAGGATATTGACTCCGCCGCCAAGTACATTGGAGCTGGAGCCGCCACCGTCGGAGTCGCTGGATCTGGAGCTGGTATTGGAAACGTGTTCGGTGCCTTGGTCATTGGTTACGCCAGAAACCCATCCCTCAAGCAACAGCTCTTCTCATACGCCATTCTTGGCTTCGCCTTGTCTGAGGCTATGGGTTTGTTCTGTTTGACCATGGGCTTCATGATCCTCTTCGCCCTCTAAATCATTTCTAATTAGGTTGATTATGGTAATGAAATAGATGTTCGTTTATATGGATTTTTTGTTCATTAAAGAAATCACATATTACTTGCCTTTGGACTTTGTTTTTTGGTGTGGTGAGGTTAGGATAAGGTTTTTTTTATATTTTTTTATGCTCTTACTGAAGTTTGCGTAATTTCGTTGTTTAGGAAAATCTTAAAAATTTGAATTTATTGTTAATTATTGAGTTCATTCAATGGTTTTTATTGTTAATAGTGCCAGACTTCATAGTTTGATTCGAGGTACATTGTGTCAAGTTGACACACTTTTTCCAGTGTTAAACGGATACTTGAATACGGATGTTTATCTCGTCGGTTTTACTGAGTTATGCGGATTATTTACTCAACTAGCGTGAATTATTTTGCAGAGATCCGATCCACGTTTTTATTTTGTTCCTCTTAACGGCGGATACTTTACAAAAATTATTTTTGTAAGTATTCGTATTCACAAGTGGTTAAGGGGATAGTACAAGTAAAATAACAACTTGTAATTGGTATTACTAGTATAATATTTGTGTTATTAGTTATTGTTAGTATTTTATCGTTGTTCTGTATTTTAATTACTACAGTAATTTAAAAAAGAGTTGAGGTATTTTATTACTTGTCTGTTTTTGAACTACTACTATATACGTTAAAGTATTATAGTTATCGATAGAAGTGATAACGTGTTATTTGTGTTACAAATAAAAGAAGGCGCAGCTGAACAATAGAAGGCATCTTTGTGTATTGTCCATCACATGTGTTTGGCCTCCACTAACGTTTCAGTGTGATTTGCTTGTTTTGGTAATTTGGTCAGAATCAACTTGATTCAAGGCCGTTTTATACTTCATTTTACTGGATTATTCCTTTAATAGTCAGAGTACGATTAACTGGAGTTACAAGTTTTCTATAGTATTTTATTCAGTCATTGATTATGGCCCCTAATATTTCACCATGGAAATTGATAAACAGTCATAATCGAGGGGTTTCTGGAAGTTTGAAACCTTTAATCTCTGAAAGTTACAATGGTAGTACCAAAAGTAAAAAAGAGATTGTGATTGAGCGATTGGACAACGAACTGGCACGGCTGAGGGCAATGGATGTGGAAGTAAGTAATATTTTGGTGTGATGACATTTTTTAATCTTTACCTTTGAGTTTGAACACTATTATCACTAGCTTACTATGTATTTTCTAGCTGATATCGGAGAAGCGAAAACTCACAGTAAAAGTGCCATTAGGTCGATTCAAGGCCGAAAGTGTTTCCATAACAGTTAACGGCGACAAGCTTCTGGTTGTAGCAGAGGAAGGGGTTTCGATTGATGACAAAATGAGTGTAGTGACAAAGCTGACAAGAAGAGTTGTGATACCATCCAGAGAGATTCGTACTGACATCATGACTTCATACCTCAGTCCACTTGGGGTTCTGACATTGACCTTTTTGAAAAAGTGAGGTGATTTTTATATTATTATTGTTTTTGGTACCTTAGGTATGTCAAATACTTGGATGTTTTTTGTGGTTAATGTTCTTTTCACTCCTGCTCAATATTATATTTCTAAGTACAATATTTTATAGTATATTAAGCATGGTATATATATATTTTTATTTATTATAATTGTGTTGGTAATGTCTATAACATCTATACCAACAGTTTTGTAGAAAACAATGAGGCTTAACGAAGTTACAGCGTCATTTACAAGTCTTATTCCAATCTTTTCCCTTACAACTCAATAAAATCATTTATTATACAAAGTTTATAAATAAATTTGTTAAAAACAGTATCCGTGAGTCATAATTGAGGCACTTTTGGGTAATAACGAACAAATTTCATCTCAGATGACCAAAAAGAATACGAAGCTAATTAACATTGTTAAAATGTTAAGTTTGGCCATAAAAGAGGCATTGCACAAATCTGTGGAACAGCAACAAATCTCGCCGTACAAGTTGGCCTGGGCCAGGTTGCGAACACATTTGTTTTTGATGTTGAAGCGCTGAAAGTTTAAGAATAAGATTAAAAAATCTTAATATTGTTTCCCTTAGGCTTTAATATTTTGTTTTTTAAAAAATAATTTGAAAAATTTAGCCTAATTTTTGAATTTTTCAAATTTTGCACAGTGCAGCCATTTTTAATTAAAGTTCAAGACTTATTTTTGTCAATAGTAACATTCTCAACCTGAATAACACAAAAATACGAATGAGTGGTGTATTTATATATCTTACTGGTTGGATTTGAATCGATAAACAAAATTAGTCTTAATTCGATTACTTGCAAAAACAGTAATATTATCAGACTCATTACTTTACTATTGTTCGGCTTACTCATTCGGATTAGCCGCTGAAATTAAGCAGCCCATTACTTATTAGCTTCTATTACTACTTCTCAAGTTAATAACAATATATTTTGGTAATAAAGGCTTGTAATGTTGGCAATAAAAGCTTGTCATTTACTATATACAGGGCTAAGTAGATGGTTTTGGCTCAGAGAGACCTGTAACAACGAAAATAATGGGGGGGGTGGAGGGTAGGGCAGGGAGGGGGGAGTTAACTAAAAAAAAGCTAGGGTAAGGCCCAGAACTCTAGCACAAAGCTTTAGCTTAGAGCACTAGCCTTATACCTACCCCTACCTTACCTTAACCTACCCCTATATTAACCTATCCAAATTAATAATATGATTTTGTAACAGTAATCCAAAGCCTACCTCACACAAAAACGATGGATCACAATCCCTGGTTACCACACTGCCTTGTGTAAACTTGAGGCATTGTGGCGATTGATGAAAGCGATAACGATGACATACGTCGTAGATCTGTGGTGTGTAGCCTAAGGGATTTCGACCCATAAAACATTCCAAATCGACCGCTTTTACCGATGATATGCTCGCTAGGATCAAGAAGAAAACGCGCATGTGGGATCATGTGATAGGGACTACTGTAGGTTGGTTGGCGTACTATATGTAGTAGTAGAACAACTTGAAATTTGGAGTTTTTCAGTTGTAGTTATATTAGTATGATTTTTTACTGTACTACGTAAAAAGTATAGCACTTGTCTACCAATGTTACCGTAGGACCATAAGTTTGCAATATTACTGTAATAAAAAAAGTCAAACTCTAGTAACGTCTGACAAACGCAAATACAGTATTCAGAACAGCAAGAAACAAGTTACATTAATTATACCAAAAAATGGATACAGTAATCCCTCAAAACCCAACTGTAACACAGACAATCGATCAATTCCACCACGTACCCAGTAGAAACACAAACAACCTCTTAAAGAGTAGATTACCAACAAGAGAAGCGAGTGCCCTTGGGGCCACAAAAACCGCGTATAAGTGAATAATCATCCCGCGACATCCCCCCCCCCTCTTTCGTACGCCTTAGGGCTCAAAGTGCCGCCCCATAGAAGGCGATTATACCTCGAATTTCGGTTCTGCCATTTTCTTGAATCCGGTCGACCGTGAAGGGTTTTGTTTGTCATCACATTCGAATACATACCTGCTGAAGGAAAAGGCTCCGGTCGACGTGATATGTACACACAATCATGGGAAAGATGATGCCATACCCAACATGACCTGTTATTTCAACATTTACAGGGGGTTTTGATCAAATATTCAAGACAATATTGGCTAACAAACTGAAGTTTTGAAGATTTAAAACTAATGGCTAAATGTTTTTAAAACTTTCAAAATTCGAAAACCTTGAAAAATACCAAAATACTATTAGCAAGGAAAGTACACGGCTTGCCCGCTCAGAACTAACCCAAAATTTTTAAGACGAATTCTTTGTACTACCAATCGTAACCATGAAAAAATTTTACTTCGCGCTTTTAAGTTTTAAAATTTAAATATTTGAGACTTCCGCCAATTTGGAATTGTTTTAAGCATTTTTTGACTTTCCAGACAGTCTATGCTTAAAGATTTAAAAATGTAGGTCCACTAGGATGTATTCTACTAGTATACAAAAGAAAAATTATTCAAAGGCAAAACATGAAGATGTTATAAGCTTGGAACACAATGCCAATTTGGCAAAAAATTCAAAAAGCAATTTTTTGATCTCAACTTTCTCCAGATTGACTAGAAAGAGAGGTTCAGTATTTTGCTGGGGATCTTATATTTCCTTGATCTTTCTATATAAAACGTTTGAGGTCAATCAGAACCAGACAGGTCGGGCACTTTCCTTGTAAAAATCAAAAAATATTCAAAAACCCGCCAAGAACATCCAAATTTTCAAAATAGATAAGTTATTCGCTAGTTTATCTACCAAATTAGGTTCGAGCTCAGTCCGGTCTGCTGCATCGTCAGTCTTTGTTAGCACGTTGCTTCTTCTTACGTTCAACCATGTCCTCAAACTCTTGAATGAACTGTATCACTCGAGAGTTGCGCGATAGACAGTCTTCGGCGATTAAAACTTCAATCACACAACGATAAACAAAGGCGTACTGCTGAAACTTGTGTTAATAATGCTGCTGAAGGTTTATGTCAATAAAAAGCGTACTACTAAAAGTCTACGTCAAGAATTTTTTTAAAAAACTAAAATTTTTTATTGAAATTTTGAAGTGAACCAACCTGATCATTCTGAACCGCGTGCATCCGTTGATCCCTGAGTTTCTTTATAATATCCATCATACTAAAGTTAAAGTCCTCTTCCTTCATTAGCCTATGACATACCATTTCAATCGCTACAAATGTCCCTGTCCTACCTAAAGTAACATTTTTTTAATTCAAAAAATTAGCTCGAAGTAGCAAAATGGTCAATAACATTGTAGTATCTCTATTTTTACAGCCTTTCATTTTCTCCAGTTCATCCGTAAACTTTTTGACCAAATTCATTAATAACAGTGACATCTAATCCTATATTATCATAAAATTAAGATTTAACTCTATATTATCCATCACATTTTTATACAAACCCTTACCAATCCCCGCCGAACAATGAATGACAATAGGTTTCTTCTCGTACAGTTTGTGCACCATGTTCCTCACCTCTCGACATGTCGATACACTTTCCGGAACGCCATGATCTGGCCATCCCGAGTACAGTAAGTGTGTTACCGAGTGTGTCTTATCCTCGAACTTGACCTCAACTTTGGTTCGATTCACTTTTTTGGTGCCGGCCACATTCTTCTGGGAATCGATCTGCTTCACCTGGACACAACCATAGGTAACCCAATCTGACTTGCCATCAGCCATGTACTCTGAGCACTTTTCCTTCCCATCCTCAATGTTCTGACACAGTTGAAGTATCACTTTGACGTCCTCTTGAATGCACATCAGCCAAAACTGTGCTATCGTGTTGTCCATGGGGCCTTGGGCACAAATGTATGACAGTTCGGAGTGGACTTCGACCATACTGGCGTGAATGTAGTCGTCTGAAAGTTGAGGTAAAGTTACAGCGATTAAAAAGGTAAGGTTACAGTAATTATATGATTCGTAAAAACATTTACAGATGAGGAGTGTTAAAACATTAACATAAAAAACCAATTTTTTAGGTATGAAAAAACAAAAAACTTAAAAGTCCTCAAACTTGACAACCTCCTACCTTTGTCCGGATTAATATTAACTTTGACGCGAGTTTTGTCCAGAAGATTCACGTCGTCGTACCTGTTCTTGGTCGCGTTCTCCTCGGTTTGACAAATCTCGTGAGAACCATCTGGAGTGTATTTTCTGACCTTCGTTACAAAATCTTTTCGAATCTTCGGCAACCCCAACTCTACCACGGCGTCAAACCAATTCTTAAAGGCAATTTGTTTCGCATTTCCTGGTTTCGAGTGTTCCTAAATCATGGATAATATGTAAAATGATATGCAAAAGTTCTCGAATTTTATTTTTTAGGTAACTTTGAAGCATTTGAACGTGAAAATGAGTGGTAAAAAATAATTTAAGTATAAATATTAGATAAAACAGTAATTTAGACCTAAAACCTTGAAGGAGAAGAAAAGAGTTGAAGAAAAAGTTAAATTTTTAAAGCTTGGCATAGTGTTTCAACAATAAAACATTCTTTAAAACTCCGAAAAACTCACAGAATTAGGATTGTCCTTAGGCAGAGTTTTGTGCGCAATCCTTGTCGCCATTGGAAGGACTTCATGGGTCTGTTTCTCCACCGAGCAATGAGCACCACCTTCAGTATATTTGCGACGACCATACCCGCCACCTTTTCGAGTCTCTGCCCTCCGTGTTCCAACCGTAGTACGACTCTGGAAACAAAGTTTTGTGCACGAAAGAAAGCAAATTTAAATTTTTTTAAAAAATCTAATTTTGTTTATTTTTTAGTTAAAATTTAGGCATAAAACGGGTTTAAAGACTTAAGTTTAGATAATTTTGATTATGCAAAAAATTTCAAAAAATTTTTTCAAAATTTGGGTTTTTTTACAAAAATCTTGTTTAAAAAAAATTAAAAAAAGGAGTAAAAACAAACTCAGGGCATTAGAAATGTAGAATCTTACTTTTATCAGTATGAAAACTTACTTTTCTGCCTTTCTCTGCGCTACCGCGTGCCATTACTAACAGGACGGCAGCGGACGACCGTGACCGGCGACTAGTCTCGTGGAAATAATAATGAAGAAATGAACATTATTCACAAAATACCAAAGTTTTGAATTTTCATTTTTAAACTTGAATAAATAAGTTTAAAAATTCATCTTTTGGAAACAATTTTAATTATTTTTTAGTTTTTTACTGCATGTTTTGTGCTATCAACAGCAAGGCGAGTACCAAAACCGCCCCACCAAAAATCAACCCAAAATTTTTATATGAATTCTTTGTACTGCCAACAGTACCCATAAACAACTTTAACTTTTAAACTTTAAAATTTAAATATTGAGTTTTTCGCTACTTTGGCAAATTTGGTCATGAAACACAATGCCAACTTGACGAAAAAATTAAAACGTAATTTTTTGGTCTCGATTCTCTCGAGATTGAATGGAAAGCACAATTTACTATTTTGCTGAAGGTTTTATATTTACATTATATTTACAAGTTTAAAGTCAATCATACCGGAGCAGGTCGGGCGCTTTCCTTTTTAGAATTTCTGTTTCACTTGACCAAGCCGAGCCTAGAATTTTTGATAGATGTAGGCTGGTCGGGCACTTCTGTGATTTTTTAAAATTTTTGTGCGATGAGCAGAGTCGGAATGGAAGCGGTGGGATGATTTTGAATTGGCATTGCGAGGGTAAGGTAAAAAATTGTTTTATCAGGATAGGTCGAAGTTTTGCCGTTTTACCTTTATAACATGTCGTTTTCAAATTCATTTTTCTAATTTTTAATTTCGAACTGTTGAACAGCTTGATCATAATTCGTATCGAACATGTAATTTAATACTCAAACGCTGCAGTTCTATTTGTTTTAAAAACTACTTGACTCCGCACAACATTTTGTTGGTATTTCGACTTTGGTACGTTGCCTAAACTGCTTATGGTCCTACGTTCTTCTCACCTTTTACCCGTTCGTCTTAATTCTCGGCCCGGAAAAAGCGGATTGTTTGTTTATGCACTTAATGTTGTGTAGTTAACCCGCTCACTTGTTTCGAGGTATTTCGATCAGTACAACAGCCCAATATCATCATGCTGTTTTGTTGTGAGCTGGAGAGGTGTGGGAAGTGGGAAAAGAAGGCAAGGGGGTGTTTAGATGGAGATTTGAGATGATTGTGATATAGGTATTGATATGTTACGTATATTAGTCTATGATATGTTATATAGTGGCTTACATTACTATTTGAAATACTGTAATTTTTACATTTTAACCTTAGGCAACATATCTTTTTACTATAAAAACCTGCTTTTTATAAAATAGTTTCTTACAACTACAGTTTACTGGTGTATCATGATATAAACTATAGTCTTTATATGTTTCTGTCTTCAAAACCTTGTGTATTTTATATGTATTTTACTGCATTTTAATCGTATGTTAACGACGATCGTAAAACTGGGAAAGAGAGCTTGATTTGCATCTTGATTTGCTTGGCCAATACAATATCATAAAATTTGTTTGAAGGCTTTCTATAGTAAATTTAACGTATATACTATTGTGAAAGAGTGTTATGGTCAGCTGTGTAAGTGTAACCAAAGTACGAAGTAGACCGTTTATTTAAGGCTTTAGAGGTCAAATTTTTAAATTGTTTTTAGAGCACTTTTTCATTTTTAAAAATAAAAAAATTAAAATTTTGTATTAATTTTAGTCTAATATTATACCCTAAAGCAGATTTTACATTATTGTACAATACCCTACAGTCATATTCCCATACCATCCTCCCTCCTCCCTTAATAGCCCTTCAAATGCCCCATAACCAGCCCTTCCTTGACTCATCAGCACCTTTCTCAAGACTTTTTTTGTTTATTCGGGAGCGGCGAGAACAGCTGTCTCAGAAAACCGCCTCGAGGGTTTTAAGAAAAGGCAGATCCGTGTTTTGCGTGTACTCGATCTGATTATTTCAGATGTCGGCGGTCAGTTTGGGGCGTTTGGGGTTGATCACGTTGACCACCGTCCTCCTGATCATATCCCTCATCCTATGTGTGGTCGCGTTGGTAACGCCGGCTTGGCAAACAGTGTATTTGGCAGAGTTTCAAGCCGAACATCAGCATGGCTTGTGGATGGATTGCACGTTGAACAGAAGACACGTTCAAGGCATGAACAATGATTTGCAATGTACCTACAAGTTTGAGTCAGCGTTCTATGAAGGAAGCGATTACTCGGAAAGTGTTCATGCTGAGGAGGAGCAGCACAAGTTCCATAGTAAGTAAAAATTTTTAAAAAGTTATATGTCGAGCTTGTTTTATCAAAAAAATTTTTACTGGCTAAAGTGGTAATTTTAACCTAAAGTAATATAGATTGTATAAATATTTATTTTTTTTATTTGAAAATATAAATACAAAATGAAATAAAAACAAAAATTTTTATATTTCAACAATAAAAAAATTTTAAAAAATCCTTTTTTAGGCTGGCACGGTGCCGTACTAACCTTCATAGCAATATCATTGGTTAGTGGTACAGTTGGCTTGTGTTTTGTCTTCTGTGCCGCTTGTATTCGAATTTGTGGTATTGTTGCTAATGTTCTCCTTCTCATATCAAGTAGGTGATAAATCATATTATGTACTCATATCGAGTACGTCGTAAATTATATTACAATTTAAAAGACTAAAAGTAAAAAAAGATATTTATACGTAAAGTACGGTTTAACAAGGATTTTAAGATTTTTATGATCTTCCTCTCGCAACAAATGATAATTAATCATATATGTTGGGACAGGGAAATAATTCTTTTGTCTAGTAAAATGCATCCTTTTTTTTTTGTTTGATAGTCTTCTAACAACTGTAAATTAAATTGTAAAGAAAAAATAAATTAGTTGATTAAAATTAGCATTGCTTAACTATAAAAGCTTAATTTTAGCGGTATGTCTGGCCACAGCCTTATCAGTGTTCTTTATCAATTCACACAAACACGAAGTCAGGTTTGTACATGGCATCACTATGACATATGAAGTAAGTTGTAGTTTACAAAGGTAAAATTAAAAAAAATCTAAAGGAATGCCATACCTAAGGCTCTAAGTTAAAAATGCTGTAAATTATAGCTCTGACAAGACGTTTATAGCTAGCTATGACCAAAAGTGATGCTCTACTCTACTGTAAAGAGATAATAATATACTTGTATTAAAAGTTGCTTTACTCTATACTATTATATTTTAGCAATCCAAAGGATATTCGTTTTACCTCGGCGTAGCAAGTTTGATATGTTTGTTCATTTCCTTCTTGAGTAGTGTACCGGCAACTGTATTAGTCTTTCTACACGACCGACAACAACATCGACCAAACAAAACGTTCCCCAAAGATCAGCCTATCACTGTTTAACCTTATCATTTCAAGTAAGTCAAATGATATTATTTATTATATATGTTGCTTTTAAATAATTCTGTGTTCAATCTCTTAAAACTCTTAATTTGCTTTATTTTTTTTATTTTTGAAGTTTTTTATAATTTTCAGGTTCAGATTTGGCATTTGTTATCAATGGTTATAACAACCTCAAAGATCTCAGAAACCTCAACGAAAGCTTTCCTTTAGTTTAGTCTTTTTGTGGTACTTGTACTATACATTTTGTAAACTGATACTGTATTTTGTACTCAAAAGTACTGTTTTAAAGATTTTTTTACATTTTTTATAAAAATGTTACTGTATGTTATGTAAAAAAGCCATTTTTTGTAAAAAAAACCTATTTTTCACCCATTTTTCCCATTCATCAACTTTTTTTTTGTAAATGTCCTTCATTTATGACGACTTTATGACAAAATAAAGGTTATTTTGCTCGTTTTTGTTTTTTGCCACCCTTCAGATGGATCAGCTGGTTCAATGCCTCCATATATTGTTTGGACTGGGGTCTCAAATCGTCGGCCTCAGGCGTTGACACTTCGACCGGATCGGATGACAACATGTCATAACTTTGAGTGACCAAAGTCGCGATATCTTTGTCTAGTCGCACAATAAGCAAAAGCTCAATGTCGAGTTCTTTGTGAAGCATCGTGATCTGGTCGTGGTCGATGTAGCGGTTTGCACTGAAAGAGTTGACTATAGCTATAGTGTTTGTCTTATGTTATAGACATTGCCATATGAAAAGTACAAAAGGACGAGACTTCGTATTTTACAATATATTAGGTTGTTCAAATAATTCTGTGCCTCTTTTCAAAACAAATTTTTGGAGTTAGGGGCACAGAATTATTTGAACAACAGAATAAGAAATAAAAAGAAACTATAAAATAACTTACACTGCCTTTTGAAGCTTGAGTTTGGTCTTCCAATGTTCTTCTTTAGCCTTTAGAGACACCAACTCGTATGATAAGTTTGAATACTTTTCTATTGTTTCATCGCACAGCTCATGGATGTCTTTGTCCTATAAAAATTTTTAAATTTGTTTTATAAATTGATGAAAATTTCATAAATAACATAAAAATTCAGTTTTTTCAATTTTTTTTGCATTTTAAAACTTTTTTTGTACCTTTTTATCTAACAAACTTACTTTATTAGCAAAGAACACATTGAACAGCTTCTCGGCGCTGTCATAGCCTTGTAGTTCTTGTTTGACCACCTCGATCTCACGCTGAATAATGGATTTCCTTGCTTTGAGTGAGTAGAACAGACGCTGTTTCTTTTCTGAATCACCGTGAACTTGGCAAAAGCTAAATAAACAACATCAGAATGTAAAAAGTAGTTTGTTTACACTGCTATGAGTTACATTGGAAAGGTCAACAAAATTGTTTTTGGAAGAGTCATTGAACAAATAAGATGGTTAACGTGCTTTAAATAGGTATGAACTACTGTAAGTAAACTGTAGGTTTAAATTACTTTAATGTATATTAACTAGACGGCTAAAGGGCCCGCGTCTAATTTTTCGGCCCGGTCTGATATGTTTAGACTTTTTGCAAGTAAAATCTTTTGTTGCAGAACCTAAGCTAGGCTCCCTGGGGCCAGTACTATACTGATAAGCAATGCACTTACTTCTGAAACTTGAGGTACTCGCTAACTTTCTTTGCATCTAAACTTTTGTCAGTCAAAAATTTAGAAAAGAAGTCCAATTTCTTGGCCAGTTCAGCTGAAGTCTGATGAATGTTACCTCCATCAGTCGAATACAAGTCAATCGAAGGCGCTTTTTCAGCCACCAGTAGTTTAGGTAATATAACTGGCTTGTGTTCCAACCGCTTCCACATTGACGAGGCATCTTTTTTGTTTTTTTCTAAAAAATTAATTTAAATTTTGTATATACGTTACTGTATGTCGTATATAACCTACAGTAAATCGTATACATATAATATAGTAGGTCGTTCAAATAATTCTGAGCTCCCTAACTCAAAAATTGTGCTTTGGTAAAGGCACGGAATGATTTGAACACCATATTATATTTCTTCCAGTTACAAAAAAAATCTGAATAATCAGGCTTTTCGTGTCAAGACACACGTTAAACTTTGCCATGGGCTTATTCACATAGGAATATCGTTTGAGAACTTTCATAAACGTATTATGGTAAATCTAAGACGGCATTATCTAAAAGTCAAAACTAGCACAAAAAGCTATTACTGAGTTATGTACTTACCAAGTGGTGGTAATGGTCCAATAAGTTTGTTCTTCTTGACTTTGTTGATATTATTGTTGTGTTTAACATTATTTTTAATAGCCGGTAGATTAATCGACATTTTCGTCACAGTAATTTAAAGTTTTATCGTTTTACGTAGGCTTAAATTTGCTTTACAAATATTAAAAATAACAGTAAAATACTCATAAAATTAGAAGTCTTGTATACTTCGGGTTTTAACTAATATATCTATAGGTTAATATGTCAAATAAGTACAAAAAGTCAAAATATATATACAAATATAAACATAGTTAGGTATATAAAGCAAAGTTCTTTCCAACGTCAAACAAAAAAATTTATTCGGTCAAAAGGAAATGTGCCAAATCAGCCGTGAACAGTGAGGTATTTAAATTCGCATATTATGAGTTATTTGAATACTTTGAAACTATTTAAAAATTTATAAACCCGTAGCAATGTTGAAGATTTTGGCTTCGTACGAATCCGTCAGAACACGATGATTATTGTTGTTCAGATGAAGAACGTCACGAATCCGTTCTACTGTACCTGTATTCTGAAACAAAAAGTTTATTATGACTTTTGACGGAGATTATGATAATATTACAACGAAAGTGCCCGATCTGCCCCGCTTTGATTGACTTCAAACTTTTTATATTGAAAGATCATGTAACTATTAAACTTTCAGAAGGGTATTACATATTGTTTTTCCAAGGAAATTAAAATCAAAAAGTTAAGTTCAGAATTTCCCGCTAAATTGGCATTGTGTTTCAAGCTAATAACTTTGTCATTTTTTGGCTTTTAGGAATTTTTCTTTGATATACTAGTAGAACACCTATAAATAAAACTGAATTTTTAAAGTTGTAAGCGTCGCTTGTCTGAAAAGTTAAAAAAAGTGCTTGAAACAGAATGCCAAATTTGCCAAATTGGCAAAAAACACATATATTTAAAATTTTAAAACCCAAAAGCTCAAGCTAATATTTTTTATGGCTACTATTGATATTGCAAAAAATTCATAAGGTAATTTTTAGCTACTTCTGAGTGGAGCGGGTTAGACACTTTCATTGTTAGTTAAAACCTTCGTCCAAAAAGAACTTAATTTGTATTTTACAACACCATAAATTGTTTTTTTTTCATCATATAAAGCTTCAAAAATTACAATTTCAAAAGAAACCTTCTCAATAACTTACATTATAGTTAACGTCAATCTTGCTACTGCCCCCACCGTGGCGTCCTTTTACTGTCATTGAGTTGAGTAGAATCCCAACAGCCAGTACGATTGAAAACGTTATTAACACTGCGATGAACACAAATATGTATGACGCCCAAACTGTCGCAAATATACTGTTTTCGTGTCTACCTTAAATGACACTTTTATTACGAAAAGTTGATGTTTTAAGACCTATATATATTAGGTTGTTAAAAAAATTCTGTGCTTCTTCTCAAAGCAAGTTTTTGAGTTCAGAGGGCCCAGAATTACTTAAACAACCTAATATTTTTAACTTTAGATATATTTAAAAGTATTTTTTAGTTTTTAAGCTTGTGATAGTAAAAAAGCTTTAAATATTAAAGCTAAGTGTCCATGCTATTTGAAAGGTCATATTTTACCCAAAAAACTCAACATTCACCCAAAAATCTAACTTAACTTTGCAAAATGCACGTGTCTTCTTCATGGCATTAAAAGGCAAAATATAGCCAAATACCAAGGTTAGAGATATCTCCAAATAAGCGACAGTATAAGGTTATGAACGTTGTTAGGACCTCACAGAACACCCATAGACAAAAATATTAATGCTGGGTTAAAGCGTTTACTCCGACTGACAATAAAATTAATTTTTTGAAATCCCAAAACAAGAGTTATATGGCCGTAAACAAACAAAGAGAAGATACCACAGTTGAGGTCACAGAATGCATGATATTCTATTCGAAATTGAAATTTAAAAAAGTTGGAGTAGAGTTATTTTATAGTAGTTTTACAGAGAAAAGTTTAGTTACAGAGTAAAGTTGTGCAACAAAGTAAGGCAGCGTAAAGTAAAGTACTCCGTATCACAGTAAACTTGTAGTACAGAGTAAAGTTTCTTGTTAAATTAGTGTTAAACTTAAAAGTAAAGTTATATTACAGAGTAAAGTGGCCTTACAAAGTAAAGTTGATAGAGTAATGTTGTGTTATAAAGGAAAGTAGAGGTTACAGAGTAAACTCAGATTTTAAATAAGAGTCAAATTCAAAAGTAAAGTTAGAGTGAAATTGATATAAGGCTCTGTAGTAAACGTATATAGCAATAGACTTTAAAGTTAAACTTTAAACTAAGGATTAACAGAGAAGGAGGAATATTGATGTTGTGGTAGATTGAAAAGGTCTTTATCAGATAATGGATAGACTTTGAAAGATTAAAAAAGAAAATAAACAAAAACGTTGAAGCGTAAGGAAAGGTGCCAGACGAATAAGCCGTCAGACTTAAAGTCAATTGTTTTTAGCCAGAACATGAAAATAAAAATTTTAAAAAAAAGTTTTCAAAATATTAAAATATTAGGATGCTCACGAAATTCTGTTCCCTTATTTGGGTCTTGACACGAAAAGCCACATAACCACCCTTTTTTAACTGCTAATATATTTGGTTGTACACCTAACTCTGTGCCCCCTCTAAAGCAAATTTTTGGGTTTAGTAGGCACAGAATTATTTGAACAACCTAATATTTCAAAATTGCAAAATATAACTGTGTAAAAAGTTTTGAGCCCCGAAACCTTATATAACTATTTTAGGTAACAAAGAATCAAAGTTAATACAACTTTTAACATCATTATTACTTGTACTGCTTTTTGTCATCTCTACTGCTCCTTATCACCTTTAAAACACAATGCGGCTTACCGTAATTTTTCTGATAATAATAAAGTTCATCCTGAATCGAGGGTCGTCGACTCTCTCTGCGCGGCGTCAGACGGTAGTTGTCGCTCATAAGCAGGCCGTCTGAAGCTCGATGCATATGGGCGCGATTGGTCTCCGCCGGCTTCAGCGAAATCGCGCAGACCGAGTTGGAGTAGGGCCGCTGGGTGGGGGCCAAGTGCCCATTCCCCGGGGTTCGGCCACAATTCATCACTCTCGGGTCGGCAAAAACATAAACCTGAACAGAAAGATTTACATCCGGGTATGTTGCGATATTCGGAAGCAGATATTTGATATTAAGTTAAGGATTAAAGAGTAACACGGATTAAAATGAGATTATGAGTAGTGAAACAATTTTAAAATTAAAACAAAAAATCTTTTTTATTCACTCCAATTTTAACTTAACATAATTTGTGTTTTCACTTTTATTCCACATTATAAACGTTATCAAATTATTATATCAAAGAAAGAACCCATCCTGCCCCGCTCAGAACCAGCCCAAAATTTTTATACAAATTTCCTATATTACCACTAGTACTCATAAAAAATTTTAACTCGCGCTTTTAAATATTAAAATTATCATATTTGAAGTTCCTGCTAAATTGTCAAATTCAAACACTTTTTGACTTTCCAGACAATCTGCGCTTACAAATTTTAAAATGATGGTTTATCCAAATGTTTTCTACTGGTATAATATATATTTCCTGAAAAACGCAAATGAATACTTTGCTAAAAGTCTTATATTTACATGATCTTACTATATAAAAAGTTTGAAGTTACCTACCACAATTTTTTTAATAATTTATTGACCAAGACAGTAAAAGCGCTCATATATTATGATTACGCAGTAACTTATGCGTGTTTGTAGACTCAATGTATAAACTTTGGTTAACAACAAATATTCTAGATTGTCTCAAGCCATGTCTAGTTACAATAATCTTTGTAAAATGCCAATACAGTAAACAACCTACTAAATCATAGAGATGTAATAACTTATTATTAGTAATAAGCTATTACTAATAAGTACATAACTAGTAATAATCGACTATCAACATCGCTTGTTTACCAGAAGATCTGTAGGCATAACACAACAATAACAGTCATAAAAACTTTAATATGTTTAAAAGTTGAAGAAAACCACTTCCGCCATTTTGGCATTGTGTTTCAACGTTACACTTGACTAATAAGGACGAAATTCTCAAGAATATTTCAATGTAATAAGAATTTTCATTAAAAATTATCTTTTTGATTAAAATATTACCTTATCTTTAGCCAAAAAGTAACATATCAGGTTGTTCATATAATTCTGCATTTCTGACCCGATAAATTTGCTTTGAAAGAGAACACAGAATTATCTAAATAACCTAGTAGCAAAGTCGTTAGTACACTAAAACAAAAATGACAAGATCCCCGAAAAGGTGCATAAATTAAGCTGTAAACAAACCAAAAGTGGATATTTTAAGCATTTTACTCTGTAACACTTCTTGACAGCTGTATTATGTCTACAGCTGATTAAACAGGAAACAAAAAGTGTGTTAAAAGTTATATCTAATTGAATTGTTACATATAAATTATATTAAACTTTGTTTATTAGATTGTTCAAATAATTCTGAGCTCCTTAATTCTGAAAACTTGCTCTGAGATAAGGCATAGAATTATTTGAACAACATAATATTTTTGAAAACTTTGTAGTGTGACAATGTAAATCCTAAAAAACACATCAATGTATACGTATCTACAAAAAATATGTCACCCTAACAACAATATATGTCATCATAACAATAGTACAGTAAAACCCAAAGCAAATGACTCCAAATAAACCCAGAACAACGTGCTCACTTCTGCATGTGTAATGCCATGTCTGGTGTTTAAGACCTTTTAAACCAACACAAAACAGAGTATTAAAACCGCCTCAGGGCACAAGCCTAATGAAGACAGCCGGCTAAACAAGTTTATATCCGATAAAACTCTCCAAACTTTTATTAGTTTTGCTTCAAGCGCCCTTCAGATGCTATTATAGTACTTGTGTACACATCATGTGTTACTGGGAACGGCTATAGATTATGATATGTATGCGTTTAGTATATGGTTGGAGAGTGGGCGGACGTAATCGTCTTCTTACCAATATAGTATTATAATAACAACGTCATCAGAAGATATTGAAGAAGTATTAGGTTGTTCAAATAGTTCTGAGACCCTTTTAAAAAAAATTTTGAAGTTAGAGGGCACAGTATTATATAAAAAAACCTAAAAAGTTGTACTAAATGCTATCTTGGTGCCTTAACTTTCAAAATACTTTACCATAGTTATTATATAAGCTTACATAACTTATATCCCCATAAGCTTTTAAAAACACAATATTTTGAAATATACTATGATAGAACGTATTTTACTTTCAAAACCCTCATATCTACTTATGCATTTGGCCAACATGTGAATATCCCTCGTAAATGTCATGTCACAAACACAACATGTACCAACAATTTGAAATGATTTATTATACAAGAAAATGTTTTTCTTCCTTCTTTATGCTTTCATAAACAACTTTAAAATCAAAGAATGATTTTGACATACTAAACATCGTACTTTAGATAACATAACTATAAAAGAACGACCATGTAGTGCTCCTGTATAACAAACTCCGCTATAAAGACGTTTCCGCATAACGAAAAACTTTTAATTACCCGTCCAACACTAAACAGTGCAAAAAAATTTTAAATCTCTGAGCAGTTAATTATACAGAAGTTTTGCTGTAATATTAAATCGTTTACCTAAAGTACTAGATTAAAAAAATAAAGTTACGTTTCTGAAAAAAAAAGAAAAACGTAGAAGTTTATTTGTTTGTAGGTGTATCAATGTGCCTAATTTAGCCGTATAAGCTAAATGAAAAAGGAAATTAAACTTTGAACGTTCATTTATAGACAATATTACACTTAAATATACATAGGAACAAGAAAAAGCCGGGCCTGTTTCGGTCATTTTTTAAAAAATTAAAAACATAAAAATGAAAAAACATTACAGTAAAACAAAAGACTTTAAAAAAATATTTCGAAAAAAATTGAACTTGGCTTACTTTTCAAGTTCGGTCTGTCGGCAAGCTCAAGCTTTAAGCTTTTCAACTTTAGCTCAAAGCCAGCGGCCCAAGTAGAGCCGGGCCAGACCGGGCCGGGATTGCACGGCTTTTTCCTCAATCCCAAAATATAAATACTAATTGTTCTTCGAACGTATTTTTTAAAATTACTAATAAGCTGACTGCTTACAACGTATACAAACCTCACGTAGCTTTACAGCTTTTTCACAGAAAATTTTTTATAAAAAACTGTTGCACTGTACTAATATAACATACAAAATATATTATGCTGTATTTTTTGTAAAATACGAAACGTATAAGAATCAAGTTTATATAGAAAATTAAAATTAGTTTTCAAGATTATCACTCTCTCCTAAAACACCAAAAACCCCTCCAAAAACCTCTCAAAACCTATCTAAAATGTTACTTTACTATACCCTAACAGCTATGCTATCAAATAAACGTCAGTAGCAAGACAAGTTCTGGTTGGCAATTACTCTTACGAGTAATAAAAACAAAATTGGGATTAAAATAAATAAATGGGCCCAGCGTCTCTCCGCACTTTCCTTCTCAATTTGACACGTTTAGAAAAAAGGATAACTGATTGGGTCTTCCAGAGTCATATGAAATTTATTCTCTCAAGCAAAGAACATAAAACATATCTGGGTAAACATGAATTACCGTATGATTAACATGGTAAGCCATAGAGTGTGGAAAAAAATAAAATAGCCTAAAGTAATATTTTTTATTTTTGTAGGTTAATATACTATGAAGAAATCATTTGTTTTTAAACAGTAAATTTATGTTGTTTTTATGATTTTTTGTTAACATATTTTATCGTATAATCTGTCGTTTGCGAGTTGCGCTTGATTTGAGCGCAGTTGTTTGCGCTCGAAAATTATTTTGCTCAAGAAGTTGTTGTTGTTACCTTTTGTCCTCGTTTTCTTTGAAATTTTTGTTTTAAATATGATAAAATAGCTTAAATGTATAACATGTACAATTTATTCTTATAACTTTTATTTATAAAATACTATTTTTTAGATAATTGTGTTGTTTTGTTGGTGAATAACATGTATATTGCGCGCAGTGAAAGCTTTTAATGCACATTCATTGTTTTTTATGATTAATTTGTATGTTAGCTATGTTTCAGAGTTAAAAAAATGTCAGAGGAACGGAAAATATTGGAGTTATGGCTGGAAGAACATCTTGATCAAGCCGAATTTTGGGAAAACTAATGGAAGCCGAAAGAACATACCATATGTTAAAACAAATACGATGCAATACAATGAATAAGAAATAGGACAAAGTGCTGTAAATGTAAGTTTTATTTTTGATTGTTTTCTCTTTTTTAGGTTAATTTTAAAGCATTGTTATACGATTGTTGCATCAGAACCATGAATAAAATTCTTGAAAAAAAAAGAAAAATTTTTTTGTGACCAATTTCCCAAACTTTTCGTAAAGCATGTAAAAATTGTCTCAAAAATTGAGAATTGTGTTCATTTTGTCAAAGCTTGTCGAAGAAGTCAGCGGTCGATTACCAAAATGGCTACTTCGATCGTTGATATCTTGAATATGCGTATGTTCTTCGCTGATTTTGTGCTTTATTGCATTAGTATATGTCTTGCTTAGTTTACGGTTTTATTAGCTTACACTTTTTAGGTGATATTATTCTTGTCTTCACTTTGATTTGCGTTTTGATAACATCAATTCATGTTGGATGTGGCAAGAAGGGAAAGAAGAATGACAAAAAGAAGAAGGATAAGAGCAAAAAGGTAGGAATTCTTAAAGTTTTTGTTTGATTTTTAGTTCTAAAAAGGTTGTTCTGTCAGTTTTGACAAAAATCTCACAATGTCAGTAACAGCGATGTTTTAATGCTAGAAATTTTACTTTTAAGCATTTATATATATCTATTTATATATATATAGTAATGCCTTTACAGAATGACAAAAAGAAAGGAAAGAGTGAGAAGGACAAGGGTAAGAAAGGCAACATCAAACTAGATGCAACTCAGCTGTCAGAAGAGAAACAAGCTGATAAAGAAGGTGAGAAGAAAGATGGTGGCAAACCAGCTGAATGTCCAAATGTAAGTTTTATCATTTTAATTACTTAAAATAAGGTTTTTGTTATTCAATTTTATTTCAGGAAGAAAAGAAAGAAGAGAAAGAAAAAGATGAAAAGGAAGAAAAGAAGGAGGAAAAGGCAAAAGAGAAGACGACTGAGAATGAAAAGGAAATCAAGTCGGCTGCCAGTTCTCTCAAGCCCAAAACTCAAAGCTACAACGACAAACAGAAGAAGATCAAGGAGGGCAAGAAGGCCAGCAAGAATCAATATCCTACTGTAAGTTTACTTTGGTTTTTTGGTGGTTTTAAAAGCGGGCGGAAGGTCAATATTTTGTAGAAGGGGAGTGTTTGATGCTATTAGGTTGTTTAAATGATTCTGTGCCATTTCTCAAGCAATTTTTTTGGGGTTAGATGACACATAATTATTTGAACAACATAATAGAGATATAATTATATTATTTATGTGTATTTATACTTGACTATCTTCAGATGGACGACGTCGTATCCGATTGGGAGAAAACTCACGAAGAAAACGAAAAGAAGACACAAGGCAAGACGAAGACAGACAAGGACGACGAGGAGTGATACTAATGTTCTTGTACAATGTTATTTGAATAAACTGTATTTTATCAAATTTTGCTTACTTTTTGGAAATTTGAAAATTCGTCTTTTTAAATATTTTTTAAAGTTTAAACTTCCACCCCCCCTTTGTTTACAAAAACCAAAAACGTCGCGCATCCCAACACTACTATGGGGCTCTGGTTTCTTTGTCACGAGATATTGAATTTCCGCTTAATGAACCAGTGTTTGACCTAGCGACACGATCGACCGGTCACTCTAAATCTCCCATTTTGGTCGAAAAACTGGAGACGGAACGAAGGGATTCCACCACTTCAGAAGCCTCCGAACGGATCGCTGGCCTCAGAAGGCGGAAGAAGAAGCGGAAGCACGAAGGAGCGACGCCACGTTCAGGCTTCACCTCGGCTTGGGTCAAGAGTCAGGATTTTGGGTGAGTCGGGGGTGATAAGGGATAGGGAAATATTACCTATGGTTAAAATTGTCATTAATATGAAGTTTTGGTTATATTGGTAGTTTAGGGCCAATAGATATAAAAAATATTAAAGAAGTTTGTTTAAAATTTAAAAACTAAAAAATTTTTCTTAAAATCAAAAAAGTATTAAAAATTTTTCCTAAAAACTCATGTTTAACGTTTATTCATTGTCAGTTCAAGAACGTTGCTTTATTTTAATAAAATCAGCAATAAAAGTGGGGGTGCACACCTTTAAATTGGGAAACGTCAAATATACCGCCATGTCTTGTCATTGTAACAACATTCTGACGTAAATCTTTAAACTTTTAAATCTTTATTGTATTTTAGGCTTCATTTTAAGGTTTTAAAAGGTTTGGTCAGTTTTGTTACTCCAACTTATTTTTCATTTTTTTAAATTTTAAAAGTTATGTTGTTTTATGTGATATATGTAATATAAAACAACGTAATATGTATTGTTTTTACAAAATTAAACCTATGTATGTCTGTAAAAGGTTTGTTTTCTTTATATTATGATAGTATGTTGTAGATCAGCTGCCAACACACCAAAAGAGTCCTCATATGCCAGGTTACTCTACGATCCTGTTGACTCTGATTGTAACATGATTCCTATAAAGGTAAGTTATGACTTCTAATCAAAAGAATATTATTTTCTTAATCAAAACGATAATTTTTATGAGCTTTTGATCTACTATAACATTTTTTAAAAAAACCTTGAAATGCCTAAAAATTTTCGAAAAATTCTCAAAACATTTAAAAATTTCTTGCCCACATCAAGATTGTTACCTACAGTCAATGTTTTCTGTAATAAGTAGCTTTATAAAGTGATTGTAACCCATTTCCCCACACAAAAAAGGCGACGGTAGACAAAAGCCCTGAGGCACTTGATTGACTGAAAAGGTGCGCGAGGCCACTTGATCAGTCCGAAAGGACGTTTGGCCATTGACCGTCCCAGTCCCGGGCCATGTCTGGCTTGTTTTTCAGTCTAATCAAGCCGGCTGGCTATAAGAAAAACCCAAAAGATGTTATCATTAATCTCCAAAGCCCTCAGGTATTTTTTGGTGTTTTAGAAGATTTTAAAAATATTTTAAAATTGTTGAAAATTTTAAAATTTTGATTGCTTTAAGGGGTTTTTGCTGTAATTTAAGTTTTGAAAAAATTTTAATTTGAACTTTGAGTTAAGTTTTAAAAAATAGATAGAAAATTGAAGTAACTGACAAAACTTACCATACTGTTCGTATTTTAGGCCCTAACCAGGTCCCAATCCCTAACCGGCTCTATAACCGTATCAAAATCAGAAGTTATTCAGATTCCGCCGCTACGATGGATCGACAATACAGAAGCGAAGAACTCTGTCATTGTAGCTCTGTCAGCGTTTTATGCTATGGTAATGACGATATTCGCTTTGGTATTTGAGCTATCACATTTGTTAGCGGCCGAAAAGAAACGTACTATTGATGCCAAGGATATGGTGGGTTTATTGGTTTGTATATATTGTACGTTACTTTTACTAGTTAGATTTGCAATTTTTTATTACTCTTAATAAGGTAAATGAATTTGGGTCTTGACACGAAAAGCCTGATTATCAAGACTTTTTTGAAATTGATATATTAGCCACTAGACCTTGTATCTTACAATATGTAATACTAGGTCGTTCAAATAATCCTGAGCCTCCTCTCAAAGCAAACTTTCGGAGCTAGGGGGCACAGAATTACTTGAACAACTCAATAGTTTATGGAAAAGGTTTTTTGCTATCATAATAAGTGCTCCTTTAGTGTTTTGGCATGTACATGTACGGAATAAGTATTGTATTTTTGTTCTACTGTTATATTGTTTTACTATTACATCCACGATGGAAGCAGACGTTGAAGAAGTTCAAAATTTGTATTAAAGTCAGCAAAGTCAGGCAAGTTTGTAAAAATCTAAATTGTTGTTTTAAAAAAGGTTAAAGAATATCTTTTTCGTATTTTAGACCAAAACTATAATTTTTAAAGCGTTCACTACCTATGTTAATATAATACCTTTGATGTAACTTTTAAAGCGTTGGCAATACCTATGTTAATATAATATCTACAATAAAAAACGCTGTCAATACCTATATTTACGTTTTTATAATGAAAAATCATTATTTCAGTAGTTCCGAATCAAGCCAGTCGCTGGACGATCATTCGTACGCTGACGCCACCATTTACCGCAAAGTAACTCATGACAGTCCGAGCGCTGGCAGCTTGTTTTTGAGGCTGGGAGCGGTTGGTATGTTACTTTTACTATTAATTTTTTTTAACTAAAAAAATCTTTTTTCAATTTTCTTTAATTTTACTTTGTTTTAAAATTTTCTATGAACTTTTTGATCAAACATGCAAAAAATTTTTTATATAAGACTTATGGGCTCAAAACTTTTTACACAATCTAGTGTTAGGTTGTTCAAATAATTCTGTGCTCCTAACCCTGAAAATTTGCTTTGAGATGGGGCTCATAAAACCCCAAACATTATAATGATATTGTTTTAGTTTTTGGCTTAATAGGGACTGTGTACCATGCTTTCAACGCCTTCCTCTGCACAGGTGACAGTCAAGACTGTCAGAAGCTCCAAGTCACCATGGACATCTTCTCTATCGTATTCATCTTCACCCAGATGCACTTTGTCTTCTGTAACTGGAAGATCTCTATCAGCGGAAGTCAGACGATAGCCCGCTTCGGCACGATGCACCTTGTAGCCGCGAACCTCTGGACCTGGATACGATATATCCTGATCGAAGAAGGTGTGATGGATCGCGAGATCAGGGAGATCTTCTCTCGAGAAGGTAACGAGAATGCCACGCCCAAACACTCCACCTTCACCGGTCATATGAGCATCAACCACCATCATCAACATACCAGATACTGTGAAGGGTCCGAGTGTATATTGGGGTCGTTGTCAGAGATCATGTACACCTCCATGGTAGAGTATTCGTTAATCGGAGCGGCAGTGATGTTCATCGTGTGGAGGAATATCGACCATGTTAAAGAGCCTACCGTATACGTTAGGAGGAAGCATCAGATCAGAATGGACTGCTCTAAAACGACTTCTGGACTGTTCTTTGGACTGGCGTTTCTGGCTGGGACGTTTACGTCGATGGCGGTTTACTATGGTTATACGATACTTGGGTTGACAAGGGTGGCGGCTATGGTGTTTGGGATTACGGATATTGCTCAGGTACGTTAATATAGGTCTCAGAATGGTGGATAAGGTGATGAAATTGTAAATTTTAGTATTATATTACCTAATTTTTAAAATTGAAATTAAAAAGTTTGTCTTTCAGTACATAATCGCCAGTTTTGGATGTATATATGCTCTGTATCAAATGAGGAACCTAAGATACTACAATGAATACGATAACAATGGAAGGCGGAAGCTGAACCCTAATCCTAGTCAAGTAAGTGGACGTTCAACTCCTTTTTTAATAAATAAAAAAAATTAATATTAACATAGTGTATTTCTTTTAAAAAATGAAAAAACATAATTTTTCCTTTCCTTTAGGAACTGTTGGACATGATATTACTATCACTTGGTATGGCTGGGGAAATGATTTACTCTGTAGCCGGATTGGTTGGTTTAACTGGTGATGGGAATTGGCATCGTTTAAGTATAGTTTTGTTAATGGTTCATATCACAAGGATAGCTCAAGTAGGTTTAACTACAATGTATATTCGATACTGTAACCTGCCTTGCCTTCCTCTACATATACCTTGCCGACATCTTACTACTCGTATTAACCTGTCGCATCGTATAGCATAATCTGGATTACCCTACACATAGTTATACCTATTGTAAACTAAAAATTATTTTTTCATTTCAATATTTTAGGTAGGACTCCAATCCTCGTTAATCTACATAGCCGGCAAACTCCGCATCCAAGGCGACGATGAGCTACGCGAGAAACAACCAGGGAAGCAGGCGATCACCTTCCTCTTGATAGCCAATATCGCTATGTTTCTGATGAATCTCCTGGAATCCGAGAAGGCTGGAGTCAGTGAAGCGGTTGTCAATTTCTACGGTAAAAAGAGTTGGGTTTTCTTGGTGAGGAGCTTCTCACCATTGACGATATTCTACAGATTCCACTCGTCGGTTTGCCTAGCCGAGGTTTGGAAGAATGCCTATTCGTGGAAGAGTTGAGCTCTATATTGTGTTAGGTTAGGTGATATTCAATTTGATTTTGAGGTAGTTTAAAGTAGTATGTTACCTGATATACCTATTTTAAATCCGTGATATGCCCAGAGGCAAAATACTCCATTCAAAAGACCTGTAACCAGACTAAGATCGCTCTCCCGGGTATATCACTATATATTTCATACGAAATTATGTTATTAAGATCATACGACATTATTTTGCTTTATTAGATTGTTCAAATAATCCTGACTCCCTCTCTCAAATATAATTTTCGGGGTCACGAGGCACAGAATTATTTGAACAACCCAATAAAATAACATAATATCATACGAACTTACATATCAATTCCAAATAGCATCATACTCGGGTTGCAACAATATCTGAATAATATGATACAAGATACTATCTCTTGAAGATAGTAAAACATCTACTACAGCTTGCATATACGGTCTTGTTATAATGTTTCCTACAGCTAGTCTAATATATCTTGACATGGCATAGCACAAAACGTCCTGATCCCATGACAATGTACACAGAACCTCATAATGTAATTAAACTTATATTTATCAAATAAATATTATTTATCATTATATTGACCTTTATCATTACTTTAACCATAAAAATATAAATAACCTAGGCTTTTCCTCCTTCGGGAGATATTAGGTATAAAACTAGCTTCTAGGAGGAAGCCAGGTTTTTACCTTCTCTGTCTAACCAGATACAGTACTTATACCTAAAAGAATATAAAGAGGTATAAAAAAGTTAAAATAACAAGTTTGAACCAAGAATAACACAATAAGAAGAAAGAGTAACTCAAATTAATTAAAGTTTATTCAAAAGTTAATTACGTTATCAAAACACAATATAAGTGGGGTATTCATAGCCGTTATCAAACAATATAATAGTAAAGTAATCTACGATCAAAGCGAATAGAAATTAGAATAAAGGTGAGGAATATTACACTCTGGTTATGAGAATCACACGGTGTCTACTGTAATACCTAGCATAATGTAGGGTTTTAAGCTTTTGAAAAGACTTTTTTTTTAACTCTAAAAGACATAAAATGACTAAGTTTGACGTATTACTATCAATATCTGTGACTTACCACAACATAAATGAGTATAGATTGACATATGGCCATCAAAATGACTGTAAGTTTGACCTACCACAACACAAATGAGTATAAATTGATATATTAGGTTGGTCAAATAATTATAAACCCGTCCCACAGCAAATTTTCGGGATTAGGGGCATCGGATGTTCCCCTTGGTTGATGATAGGATAAACACCAAATCCGAACGAAGCTGCGTGGAGAAAGTAGAAGATAGAAGAGGCAAAACCATAGGAAAGACCTAAAAAGCGATCTCGTACTCTTAACGTTTTCAAAGGGCCCTCTAGATGGTCACAGAATTGCTGGTAGAACATGTCTTCCAATATAAGAGATCGTACTGTTCGGATATCCTCCACTGTTTCAATTGCTACCTAAAATTATCGTTTTAGTAAGTCGTATCACATGTTATGTTACTGATATTCAAATTCCTATTCAAATCATTAAAAAACCTTACCTTTCCAACGTTCTCCCATTCGTTCTCATCGTCCTTTGACCGCTGCCGTCTGATGAACCTCATGTGAAAGAAGTCTCCAACTCCACCTAATGGAAATATACATACCACCAAGATGGCCTTCCTCCAATTGTAGTAAAATACCAATACCACCCCACATGGACAAGATACGACACTTGAAAACACGCTTCCTATTCGATAATCAATGGCAGATTTCACATTTGGTGCATCAGCCGACAGTCTGGTCCACAATTTGCCTGTGGTATGAATTGGTTGATCGAAATAGGACATATCTTGTGACAAGATACGACGGAACAATGCTAATCGTAATCTCATAGGCAGAGAGGGTTTCGGCACTAACTCCGAAGAGGACGATGGTCACACAGTGACACCGCCGCCGAAGAGCAAGAAGGTGGAAACGAGACGGGCGGCAACTAAGGCCCAAGCAAATCCTTAATCTCCTGTTCTTATGTAATCCACCATTGAATTGTCCCCCCTTATTGTTTTGAATTAAATTTTAATAAATTTCATCCGTGAGTTGATATATAATGCTTGGGTAAAGGATAAGGATAGATAACGGACTAAAGTAATACAAAAGTTGACTTTTTTGGTCAGTAACATTGTTTAAAATAGCTAAACTTGAATAGAAAAAAAGTTAAAGTAAAGGTAGCCTTACAGTCTAATTTAGTGGGAAAAGGTAAATGGAAAAATTGTGATGAGGTGAAAGATGGGGAAAACTTGAATAAAAACTGAAGAAGAAAGATAGATTGTTCAATATAATGGGTAAAGCCTTGCGTTATCGGTCAAAAACTACGCGGAACCGTTAGTAAAAAGACCGAAATCATTTATAGAAATATATTCTACAGACTTTTCGACCGCTGTTTGGCATTCTAAATGTAAAACGATAGAAAACCAAAGAAAACAGCAGAAAAATCTTCATAACAATACCTAAAGGTTCTTTTCAGTCGAAAACACCCGGAAAAGTTGAAAAAAAGGCTGAAATCATTGATAATGTAAGGTTCCACAGACTTCTTGACCGATTGTGTGTACTTCAAAGGCTGACTGATAGTTAGAGTATTGATTTTCGTGGAGATAAAGCTGTAAAAGCTTGTTTCGTAGTTCTCGACGAGTTCTTTTCATTAGAGATGCTGTTATTTTTGAAAAATAAAACACGGAAGATGCAGTTTAATGTTGTAAAAGTGTCACAAAGGTTGAAAAATATGAAAAATTCGAGAAAAAATCATGTAAAACAACAAAAAAGTCGATATTATGATAAGCAATATAAAACTTTAAACTAGCCTTTACCTAGTCAATGATTGAAGAGAAGAACTAAATGATAGGTGAAGCGGCCAAATACGCTTGGTGGAATGTCTAAAAAATAACAAAAAATTTTCTAAAATTTTCAAAAAATTTTAATTTTTTACCCATCCTCCCTCTCCCCCCTCCAAAAAACACCATCTCATCCTAAACCACCGCCTTGGCCGATCCCAAAGCCTACCGTACCTCTGGTACAACTCCAAGCCAGCAATTTCCATTTTCAATGCAGTTATTGAGTTAAATGAGTAACACATCAATCCAACTTCAAGTCGGTTTGATGCCAAAGTTAAGGCCAAAGCTGAAGACGCAACACATAGTAATATATTCAAAGTAATTGCTGCTCCAGGGCGATGCATCACAGTACCACAAAGTAGAGCAAAAGCTACACAAAATGGCACAAATGCCAATGTTATTATCAGTAGACTGATGCCGACGGCTGGCTGAAAGAAAAAGGTCCTTATAGGCATTAAAAAATAAATTAAACGGAATGTACTGTTTAATGTCATAACATAAACCCCGAAAAACTGAAAAAAGCATAATTTTAAAAAATTACAGTATGAAGATAAATAAATTAAAGTACTAAAAAATACAGTATGCCAAAATAATAAATTTATTCATTGTAGTTGCTATGTTAAACCCAGTGTGTTCTAAAAACTTACTTTTAGGACAAAAGCTGACGGTAAAACAATGACAAACATAATCAACGTCATTTTGACACATCCAAACAGATAATGAAACAAATAGAAGCTGAATCTGCTCATTCCGGTAACAGGTAGATAATTCTGAAAAATAAACATTACAAGAAAATTTAAAGGTTTTTAACCATAGAAAAGACTTCATACTATTAATGAAAGATTCGTACGAAAACCGTTATAACTCCTCTACTACAATACATAAATTTATATTGTTAAACATAATTAAAATTTTATGAAAAGTCAATTTTACAACAGTAAGCGTAACTTACGTCTTTGATGACAATAGCCATTGGTATAACAACAGCCAGCACCATACTCATAAACAAGTTTGATAGAATAAGTGCGATAATTAAAAACATGTACGAATTTTGGGGTTTTTCCAATATCACCTAAAACATAATATAATAAGTCTGATACTTCATTATCTATATGCATCATAGATTACATAAAAATAATATTATAAAAGGCTCTCTTAATCTGACTTTAAGTCTTGGTTCATTTTTAGACCTAAATAACAAGCCTAGGCCTTTCAGCCAAAGCTAGAGCTTTAATCCTCTCTAAAGCAAAATATATCAGACCTGCTAAATACTACAATATCCTCCAAAACCCACTACAATATCTCCCATATCTACCTTCTTATCCGGAACTGTAATGTCCGAAAGCTGTAACGAAACCCTATTGATGGTATACTGTAATTTACAAAATCTCTCGTTGTCGAGTTCAGAAATGTCTCTGTAGTACTATTTTCGGCAAAACCCAACAGCATGGAATGTTCGTAAGGATTGTCATCGTCCCATCCAGATTAATTTTAAAACTTAAAAAATAAACGGAAATTTGGCTTTACATTGTTTTTTCAGATCATTAATGGATCATAGTACCCAATAAAATCAAAAAACAGCAACGGAGACTAAAATAAAAAATAAAAAAAAAAACTTTTTTTTGGGCCTAACTTTCAATTTTAGCTCAAGGCCAGGCCGGGCCTGGACGGTCCGTTCCTCACACCTATTGGCTAGCTAACAAAAGTGATAAAACTGGGTAATAACTAAAAAGTTGTGAATTAACTGAACAGCTGAAAAATGCGATTTCAACTTAAATTTTTTTTAAAATTTACTTTTGGCCGGTTCAAATTTTAATTTACAAAATTCAAACCAAAACTTCAAAAAAATTCTCAATTTAATCGCAGTTAATATATGCATTTTTAGGATGCATAGTTGCAAAGTTATGAATTATTTCTAGCGACCAAATTTCTAGGAACACTTGTAAAAGAGACTGCACAAAACGGATAAAACATATAGCACAACGCGAAATGATTGAAACCGGTTGCATCGTGTTGAATTCTGATGAGAAATTATAATCTGGAGTTAAATTTTGGGCTATTTACAAGTTTTTAAAATTAAAACCTATGTAACTAACAGCATCTAGAAGGTTCAGCGCCATTCTAAATAGGCAGTAGAAAAAGTTTCAAACCGATCCGTCCGGTAGAAAAAAAGCGCGCGAAAACAAAATTCAAATTTCGGACTCCCGCATTGGGTCCGGTGCGGTTTGGGAAGAACTCTGATATCTACCTTGTCTTATTCTATAAATATGGCAATCTCGGTCTACATAAAACAAGGTTTCCGCGTGGGTTTTTCGTTGAGCTTCTTACCCCACGCAACCATTGTGGCTATCTTTTTAGCCTTTTTGTTGACCTTGTGCTGATGCCAGTCGAATGTTCGACATTTGCGATGAGAGTTTCTGCAAACAGCTTGTCGGCATGGGTAAGTTTTGCATATTTTATAAAAAAAGCTACTGATAATAAAAGACTTTTGAAGTTTCTGAACTTTTAGAGCTTTTATACTTAATCTAAACATTTATAATATTTTCAATTTTTTTTAAATTTTATGTTTTCAGTTTTTGATCCAAACATAAAAATTTGAATTTTAGATATGGCTTGACATAATAAAGTACCTCGATACGATGGACGACACTGTTTCCTTGGCTATGGTTAACGTGTACTTTTACAGGATTGTGGGTATGGATTTTAAAAAGATATGTTACGAGCATGTGATATTTCGGCAGAAAGGCGAGACTTGGGCTTACGCCTATAAAAAGTAGGTTTAAAAACAAAAAAATAGAAAAGATAAAAGTTATCTCTAAAGGCATTTGACAGAACAGGATTTTTCATATAATTTTCAAAATGCTTGGTGTTTTTACTGACTTTGCACTCATATTGTTTTAGTGCTGGTACTAATGTGAATAAGACTATGTTTGTCAAATACAGTTTTCATGATAAACATGCTGTTTGTTGTCCATTCACAGGGAAAATGGCCATAAAATTAGATCACGGCTATCTTTTACTGACCAACATTGACTTTGGTTTAAAAGAGCTTACTATTCTCGACTTTACTTCATATACAGACCAAATTACTCATGTTAATATGATAAATGGGAAAGAGATTTTAGTTCGTACTCCCTTTTTTACGTTAGTGTTTGACCTGCATAGTATGAAGGTAATCCAAAAACATGATATGACACCGACATATAAGTATGCGCCATACTACGCTTCTCTTAATTTTCAAATTGTAAGAAAAGGCTATGTTTTCGATTTGTATTCCAAAAAAGAGTTTAAAATTGATGCACAACCTCCGAAAGGCTGTATTAAGTATTGCAACATGTTTGACAAGTCAAAATATGTTGTAGTACACACAACAGACAACCATCTTGTCATAATTGATAGTGAGACAGATAAAAGACACGACATTTGTGAATGGAGGCAAGGAATGAAAGTATATGTGATCAGCGAAAACGATTCTCTGTTTATTAAAGACCAATTTTATAACGGTAAGGTAAATCAAATTGTATTAACCGCACATATTGTTCGAGAAAATGCTTTGTTGAATAACCAGTACAGTAAGACATACGGTAGGGAAGAAGAACTGTTTTTTAAATTTCGTTTCGGAATTTAATAAAAGGAACCACGTTTAACTTTTTCAAAAAAAAACTTTTTAACGCACTAAGTTAAATAAATAATAAAAAATATTACTATGATGTTATATATCTTGTTTTAGACCGCAAGTTGAAAATACCGGGAGCAAAATGTGAAATATACAGCATGAAAAGACAAAAATTTCAGCCTGTTGAACTAGATGAAGGATGTTATTGGGATACCTTTAATTATAGTACACTTTTTAACCGAAAAACACAAAAGGTAAGAGTTGTAAAACAAATGAATCCTAACATCAGGGCTGGGCGACGACTTTTGGCCTGGGGGCGGGGGTCCAAAAAAGGGTCTCCCCCTCCCCCCCCCCAGTGCCCGGCCCTGCCTAACATGTTTCTAAATTTCCTTGTTAAAAAGTAAGATTTTGCAGCTTGTTGCTTACAAAAAATAATTTTTAATTTATTTAGTTTTTGGTCTACAACAAACACAACTATGAATGGATACGAGTACAAGCTAAACCCGAGCTTCTAATAGTCCATAGGTGGCTTGAATCCGGTCTCTTTTTGAATCCATTATCTCCCTTCAATATCGTACTTTGTAAATATGGAAATACAGACACTCTTGCCAGACATTTTTTCATTCAGTTTAAAAAAAGTAAGTTCTGCAAGGATTAAAAGCAGGACAATTCGTAGTCAAAGTATCTTATCTCTTAGCTAAAGAAAGGAAAGGCCTAGCTATAGCAAGGCCGGAAATTTTCAAAGCAATTCTAATCCCACCTAAAGCATGACAATTTGTAATCAAAAAAGAAAATTGTCCGCCTAATGATAAGCTTATCATTATCTGAACACATTTCAGATGATGTTTGTATGAAACATTTTAAAGCCATATTAAACTATTGGGATATGACGCGTGGAATAAATGATTTCAAAGTTCAAAACAAGCATCAAATCGAGAAATTAATGAATATGAAGTTTCCTGTGCCAAAAGAATCTTCGGCTGACTTTTACGATTGGTTTGTTCAACTACACGTTGCCAATGACAATGTCCCTTTAATCGACGCCAAAACTAGTGCCACAAAATATTTTAATTTTTACTCATTAAAGCCTAATGAAAAATAGTAAATACAACTACATAATTCCGCCTGGTAGCTAAACTACTGCATTTTGAAGAGGAACATCTATAAAAGCGGTTTATTTGGCGCTAGGACAAATGCGGCTTTTGGACATTTGCGGATCTGCGGTTTGTAGACACTTGCGGATCTTCGGTTTTTGGACACTTGCGGATTTTGGACATTTGCGGATTTTTTAAAAAGGTTTTTTTATTTTTTATTTAATTTAGTTGTATTATGGTACTAAATGGTACTAAAGTTTAAATTGGTACTGTTTTAATATGTTTTAGTGCTAAATAGTACTAAATTTTAAATTGGTACTGTTTTATATTTTTTGGTACTGAATAGTACTAAAAGCCCAAAAAGGTACTGTTATGTTAAAACCGCACCAATTTAAAATTTAGTACAATTTAGTACCATACTACAACTAAATTAACTAAAAAATTAAAAAAAACCTTTAAAAAATCCGCAAATGTCCAAAAACCGCATTTGTCCTAGCGCCGTTTATTTCATTGTCTTTGAAGCGTTTTTTAAATTTTAATGCGGTAATTTTTAAAGAATAAACTATGAAAACAGTACTTAAATATTATAAAAGTACAGGAAAGGCTTTAAAATACATATGATTTGAAAAAAAGACATTAGAAACACGAAAAACGCCAATATTCACCATGATAAACATGGATTCGTTTCATTTCTTTTTTATTTTTTCGGTCGGTTTTTTCGCTTGCAAGCTTGATTTTGAGACTTATTTCTCCTATATTGTGTAATAAATAGCTAAAACTTGACCTTATGGCAACATTGATCAAATTATTTTTGGGTTAAAAGAGTTATTTCTACGATTTTAACCATAAAATTCTTTGTTACTTGTTGCCTGTTATAGAAATTTTTTTTAATCAACCTTTGGTATGTATTTTATATTATTCTTTTCACTTTTCAGCAGTAGATTAAATGATGAAAAACAAAATGTTGCAACATTTCAATGGCTAAAGACATATTTCTGCACTGAAAACATGTTTTTGTACCTAAATCCACATAAGGTTAACGTTGTATAATGTTTCTTTGTATATTACATTTGTAACTTGGTTATCTTCATTGTCTTCTAATTTTACTTTATTCGACTGCCAATTTTGAACTCTAGACAATGCGACATATAACTGTCCGTGTGTGAAAACTTGGTTTTTGTTCAGTTTAATAGCTATTTTTTCAAAAGTTTGGCCCTGCGACTTGTTAATTGTCATAGCAAAAGCTAATCTAATAGGGAATTGGTTTCTATAAAACGCGTCCGGACAACTGGGCCGATTGGGCAAGTATATTGGCAAAACAATATTAAATACTTGTAAAATATAATAGTTCTACATAATTTTGGTAACATATTACTATGTAAGTGACTTTTAGAGTAAAATCATGATTTTACTACATATATATACCATGGTATGTCATGGTATCTTGGCAAAAGTTGACTATATTAAGTTTAGCGGAAGCTTTATTGTTAGGGGATTCGGCGGAGGCTTTAGGGGGGTTGGACGGAGACTTTAAGGTATTCGGTAAGGTAAACCGGCCCAGTTGTCCGATCGGCCCAGTTATCCGTGCGCCAATTTGGAATGCTGTTACAGTAAAATGACCTCAAAAAACTGATAAAAGGAAACACGCGTAGTATAAATAGGTATACACAAAGCTCAATAGCAAGTTTGGTTTAGGTTTACTCAAAAGTTAATTAAGTTATCAAAACAACAATATAAGTGGGTATTCATAGCCGTTGTCAAATAATATAAAGTAAAGTAATCCAGTAAGAAGTAATCTAAGATCAAAGCGAATAGTAATCAGAATAAAATTGAGGGATATTACACTCTGGTTATGAGAATCACACGGTGGTACTGTAATACCTAGCTCAATGTAGGGTTTTAAGCTTTTGAAAAGACTTTTTGAAGTTTAAAAGACAGAAACTGACTGAGGTTGACGTATTACTATCAATATCTCTGACTTAACACGAAATAAATGAGTATAAAATGACATATGACAACGAAAATGACTGTAAGTTTGACCTACCACAACACAAATGAGTATAAATTGATATACTAGGTTGTTCAAATAATTTTGAGCCCCTCTCACAGCAAATTTTCGGGGCTTGTGGCACAGAATTACTTGAACAACATAATATTACAACCTAAATGGTTAAATTTTGACTTTCAATATAAAGATTATGTTATTCTGAGCACAAGGCCAACTTATGTTATAATGCCAGTGTTGGATCGACCGCGTATGTTTTGTTTTTCGACCAGTTCGTAGTACACACCCTTCTTGTCCAGCAATTCTTGATGAGTACCGTATTCAAATAGTTTCCCTTCCTTTAGTACGGCTATCTTGTCAGCATTCATGATGGTTGACAAGCGGTGAGCAATGATAATACACGTACGACCTTGACGAGCTCGGTCAAGGGCTTGTTGGACTACCTGGAAGAAATGTCATAACCTTTTTTACTATCTTACTCATAGCCTTGTTTGGTACTATCCTTTAACTGCAAACAACCTTTTTCTACTTGAGCTTATACGTTACATTATCCTACCTATAGGCCTAACTTTAAACTTTCTTTCATTAAACAACACTTTTTTCAATTTTACCCTATACACTTACTCTCTCAGATTCTGAATCCAACGCCGAAGTAGCTTCATCCAACAATAATATTTTAGGCTCTCTAATCAAGGCCCTGGCTATGGCAACTCTTTGTTTCTGACCGCCACTTAATTGGGTCCCTTTATCACCAACTCTCGTGTTCAACGTCTCCGGCAGTTCACTAATGAACGCGGAGATATTGGCCATATTCAACACTTCCTCCATAGCATCGTCGTCTACTCTCTTTTCCAAACCATACATAATGTTGTCTCTGATCGACCGGTCAAAGAGTATTGGCTCTTGTGACACTAATGCCATAGTTTTCCGTAGGGTTTGTGGTCCGACCTCTCTGATATTGATTCCGTCGACTTCTACGTCGCCGCACGATGAATCGTAGAAGCGTTCGATCAAGCTGAATACTGTACTTTTGCCACAGCCACTGGCTCCAACAAGGGCCAAGGTTTTACCGGCTTCAATTTCGAGGTTTAGGCCTTTGAGCACTTGGGTTTGGGATCGTTGTGGGTAAGCAAAGTAGATGTCACTAAGCTTGATTGATCCTTCAATTGCGTTCTGAAAAGATTGACTATCATTTTTTGTTATTTTATGTTATTTATCCTTCTTTTAGGTTATTTATTGCTGTTTTAAAAATATTTTTTGTTTTTTTTAATTAAAAAGAAAACCCTTTTTTAAACATCTAAAATAAACGTTTTTCTCCAAACGTTTCCTTTGACCTTTTGTACCGAAAAACATCGTCATGCTCACTCCCAATCTCCTCAAACTCAAAAATCCGCCCCCAATCTGTCCGAGGCTCAAAGAACTTACCAATTCCTTGCCGACGGATGACTGATTATCGACCTTGGGCTCTTCGCTCAGCATTTTGAAAATAATGCCGGCTGCAAACCGTGCTTTTGCATATTCGGGGAAGTACGCGCTCGCATAACCCATACTTCCGGCCGTGAAACTAATGGCGAACAAACATCTCAGCACACTCATCGGATGTTCTCCTTGGTTGATGATAAGATAGACGCCGAATCCGAACGAAGCTGCGTGAAGAAAGTAGAAGATAGAGGAGGCAAAACCATAGGAAAGACCTTGAAAACGAGCTCTTATTCTCAGCGTCTTCATGGGACCTTCTAGATGGTCACAGAATTGCTTGTAGAACACATCTTCTAATACTAGTGATCGTACTGTTCTTATATTCTCTACGGCTTCAATTGCTACCTAAAATAAACCTTTTATTACAGTTTATCAGCTGTTATATTACTGATATTCAAATTCCTTTTAAAACATCAAAAAGTCTTACCTTTCCAACGTTCTCCCACTCGTTCTCATCGTCCTTTGACCGTCCTCTGATGTACCTCATGTGAAAGAAGTGTCCCACTCCACCCAATGGAAAGATGCATACTACCAGGATAGCCATTCTCCAATTGTAGTAAAAAGCCAATACCACCCCGCATGCACAAGATACGACACTTGAAAACACGCTTCCTAGTCGATAATCAATGGCAGATTTGACATTTGGAGCATCAGTCGACAGTCTGGTACACAATTTGCCTGTGGTATGAATTGATTGATCGAAATAGGACATATCTTGTGACAAGATACGACGGAACAATGCTGATCGTAATCTCATAGTCAGTCTTTCGGCACTAACTCCGAAGAGGACGGCGTGGAGGAACATTGAAGTTCCTTGGATGAAACCTAACACCAGGAAGGAACAGGCCCACCAATGGCCGTTGTAACGCTTTACTTCTGGGTCTGTGCCGGCGAATACCTAAAAATAAATTTTTTAACTTAATTTTTATTGAAAAACACTTTAAATTTGCAAATTCAGTACCAATAGTACCAGTTCGTCTTTTTTATCAACATCATTTTAAAAATAAGTACCATAAGTTTATCCTTACCTCCAAAATGTTCGAAAAAAACACCGAAAACAGTGGGAACACACACCCCTCGATGATACACACCAACACTCCAAAGATCAACATCAACCATTCAGGTCGCGCATATTTTAATATGCTAACAAAGTCTTTTGGCTTAGCATTTTCTTCCTTTAGTTCTTTCTCAAGTCTTTTTAGTTCTGTTTTGGCATCTGGCTTCTTCTTTTGACCGCTTTGAGGTTCGACTGATTCTGGAATCGAGTTTCTGGCCAAATGTCTGACGGGAGAACTGTTGCGACTAGTTGATGAGACTACATCTTCTTCTTCTTTCTTGTTGCCTACAAAAGGTTAATGAGCTTCTTGGAAGTTGCTTGATTAATAGTTATTTGTAAATGGTCTTTAGCAGGTTTTTATGATAGTATTTTGTAGTTTTTATAACTGTAACTAATGTCTTACAGAGATTTATAGCTTTCAAAGTAAAGACAGACATGTGTTTCCTTTTGTCAGTTTTTTGAGGTCATTTTACTGTATAAAAAATTAATTGTAGACTTTTTCAACTAGCCATAAATCTTAAAATTTCTAGTTTCATCTTATATTGCAAAGAATCTCTCCTAATATCCCATTCAGTTCAAATATAATCCCTCAATTTCTTACCATTATTATCATTAACAGTATCCTCGAACACTTGAGCATTAACCAAATTGTAATAGACACCTTTTCTCTCCATTAATTCATCGTGAGATCCAGATTCGACGATTCTCCCCCTTTCCATGGCCACGATTCTGTCTGCATTCTTAACAGTCGACAATCTATGTGCGATAATTAGTGTTGTTCTGCCTTTCGAAGCCTTGTCTAATGCCTCTTGCACTTTGGATTCACTTTCCGCATCTAATGCTGACGTGGATTCATCCAATAACAGCACTTTTGGTTGTCTGACCAAGGCTCTAGCTATCGCGATTCTTTGTTTTTGACCTCCAGACAACTGAACTCCCCTCTCGCCGACACAAGTCTTATATCCGAGTGGTAATGCATCCACGAACTTTGCCACATTGGCTTGGCGACAGGCTTCTCTAATCTGTTCGTCAGTCAATTCCTCGTCCGATCCACATTGGATGTTCTCTTTGATAGTCATGTTAAACAGGACTGGTTCTTGGCTGACAATTCCAATCGAATGTCTCAGGAATTGCACATCTAGGTCTGTGATTAACTCGTCGTCAATTTTAATGTTCCCGCTAGTCACATCATAATACCGTAGTAACAATGAGCATAAAGTACTCTTGCCACTTCCACTAGCACCAACCAGAGCTACAACTTCTCCTGGCTTGATTTCCAATGAAACATGGTCAAGGACACGGATTTCTGGTCGAGATGGATAAGAAAAACACACGTTATTTATAGTGATATGACCTGACATGCCTTTGATCACTTTTCCTCCTTGTTTTTGCTCGATTTGTGTTATCTAAAAAACAAAAAAGGTCAAATAGAAGCTAATAGCTTATAAACAATACCTTATCAAAGATATACACCATCTTATCAAACCTATTTTACCAATTACATTAGTTCGAAAGAAACTTACTCGATCAATAACCTCATAAATCGAAGCCGCTGTTCCTTGTGCCGTTCCTATCACAGCAAATTGAGGAGCAGCTTGTCCCATGGCCATAGAACCCATCATAACGGCAAAGAATACTGTAATCATGACTCCAGGATTCATTCCGTAATCAATAACAAGATTAGTGCCTATCCAGAACGACATAAAATACGATGTAAACAGTACAAAGAAAGTGAAAGCGAAACCGGTGCCAATGTAGATTGATCGAAGTATTCCATCCCATCTGGCATCACGCAACCCAGATTCATACCTAAAATTAGGTATTTAGTGAAGCTACAAAACGCACTTTACATTGAAAGTACAAATAGCTGTATTTTACAAAAGTAGGCAGATGTAATATCTTCTTTTAATTCATTAAAACACATTATTAAATAACCTTTACAAAAACTTTTTGTATAGTTACCACTGTAAAACTCACCGTTCACATTCAGTCTTCTGTCCATTGAAAGCGTAGACTGTCCTGATTGAACTTAAAGCCTCTTCAGCAATATTTCCAGCTTTTGCATACTTGGCCGCTTCGTTTGCAGCCGATCTACCCATCAAGATGGCAAGGAATGCACCACTGACACACAGCAATGGAGCCAATAACGTCATAATCAAAGTGAGAAACCAGTCATAGGTGAAAGCAACAACAAACCCTCCCAGGAATTGAGCTGTGTATTGTATGAATAACGCTACTTTGTCCCCTGTTCCTTCGCGCATTCGCTCGAGATCACTAAAATTGAAAGTTTTATATTCTCCGTGCTTTGATGGGTATAGTCAATGTAGTTATGTTATTGTACACCTTGTTGATGACCTTTTTCTTTACTTTTAATGCGTTTTAAAATTTTCATTTTTATATTGCTGTTTTTCTTTTATTTCACTCGCTAAAACTCATTCCTTACTCAAATAGCTTCGTAGCCAACGTTCCAGAGTTGTTCCGATCATACCACGCCATGTCTTGTCTCAAGATGGCGTAAAAGAACTTCCTTCGTATCCTGCCCATCATGTTCTCGCACGCCGTGAGAAAACAGTTGACCTTTAATTAATCTTTTGATTGTTTTTTAGTGTTTTATACCTGAATCGTCGCCGAACAAAACAACGCAATACCCATGTAAACTGAGATCCAAATACGGTTCATGGCCGCGTCTTCGAACCCGTCCAAAGTGTAAATGTCACCCAAAAATCGCCAGCCATCTTTGGTTTGCACTGAAAATTCAAGTTTTATATTGTTTCCAATATTGTAGTAGATTCTTTACGTAATTTTACATTGTAAGTGCATTGAACTTTTAAAAATCACTTCCAATTAAATTGCATTGAATTTCTCGACTTTATCGTCATGTTAACATCATCTTATTTTAAACGATAACGCCTTTCCGAAGATAAACTTTTCAATAGAAATCACAGTTTTTTGAAAGATAGCTTATCAGCAACGAACTCAAACGCACCCGGGACCATGTAATAATCCGTCGCCATTGTCGCATTAACAAACGCTTCTGATAGACTTCCGATTAGAACCGAGAGATAAGGCAGACCCAGGCCGGTTATTATGGCCACCGAAGCTCCAATTATAACCAACAACAAGTCAAATTTCGTCGCATATCGCCACTGAAAATGGAGATTTCACAAAACGTGTTATGTTTGAATGTTTGTTCTATGAATTATGTTGTAATTTGTAAAATAACGTAGTTTAATCAACGGAAAGCACTTCTTTAACATCTCAAACTAACTTGCGCAAGAAATACGTAAAAGTCTTCACCGTGGCCACCCCGCCCTCCTTTCTTATCTTCCCACATACTTTTTGGAAAAATCTTTATTGTTTTTGTTCAAAATGAACGTTCATTATCTTTTTTTTTATACCTAAACCTAATCCAAAAGAACAAAAACACTTACCAATTGAAAGAACGAAACCTTTTTAATCTTGGCCGGCCTGTCCTCCTCATCTTCATCTCTCCTAAAAACTTAATAAACACAAAAACCCAACTTACCCTCGCCAAAACTTCAAAAGCGGCCTCTTGGAAGAATCCAGCTTTTCCAACTTGATCCCATTCTCTGCCATTATCAACACACAATAAAGTGTTTAAAACACCCAACAAAAACAGTTTTATAAAACGCGCTCCAAGGAGATTTATTTCACCTGTAACACATTTGCCACCGAATACATAAAAGAAAATAACACTGCAGCAAGAAGTATATATAGGAAGTTGTAGTCTGGCGAAATTATTTGAATAAATATTATTGGAGTCAGGCAGTTAGAAAAGAAAACTCTAAACTTTAGGGCGGAGTCTCCACCAGATAGACGAAATAATTTATAATTCAGAGGCACAAAATACTCTTAAAATGACAATATTGTAGTAGATTAAATGAAAAATATAATAAATATTCTGAGAAAGACTTCAAAAAGCCTTAGAAAGTATTGTTATGCAGTCGAAAACATGAAGAATATAAAAAAGAAGTCGTTCTGACTAATTTTATAGAATTATTTTGGCAAAAGGCCAAGCTTTCGCGTCCCGTCCCGAAAACATTTGCTCGGCAAAAAATGCGTTCAAACAAAATTTTTTTTTTATTTTTGCAATTGACACGATTATTCGGCAGATCGGTAGTCTCTTCATAAACCGCCATATTGGCAATGGAGCGGCAGTTTGGGAATGTACCTCTCAACCTAGATTCAGATGACGGATTTTTGGTACGACCACAACGTTATTCATGGCAAGAAGTGGCGGAACAGAACCGACAGGACCAGCTCTTGAGCACGGATATGGCTAAGAATGCTTGCTCGGCTGTGGACATTATAATTGCGGTTTTGAATGAGGAAATGCGGCAACTTAGACAGTGGATTCCGAGGTTCAATCTTGCTGATCTTCTTGTTATGGCCAGGAACAAGATCCCTAAAATTAAGCTTCAGTCTCTAGTCAATTTTATGAAATGGTTTACGGGAACGTAGGTTTTTATGTTTGTTGTTTTGTTTTTTAGGTAATTAACGCTACAAATTAGCTTTGATATTATGGTAGACTTGGAAATGCTGGGTAACTACTAAACATTTAGTTATATTTTTTGACGAAGGATAGTTAGAAATTGGAAAATTTATATGACAGAAGATTGAAGTCTATACTAATTTATAAAACAACATTTACAGGCCAAATCGAACGATTCAAGGAAATGATGTGAATATTGACTTAGCATTGGCCAAACTGGATACATCTGAAGATTTTACCAACTCCTTTAGTGATGACGACGACGACTCGATTCGTGCTGCTTCTACAGTGTGTTCTGCGGTTGCCAATGAAAAGATAAACGAACTGGAAGCTCAATTGAAAGAGCTACAAGAAACACTAAAGTTAATTATGAATCAGAACGGGGTTGTTTTGCCAGCTAAAAAGGAGGCTAAAGTAAGTGTTTTGACTTGGATAAGTTGATTTTGTGTTTAGTATAATAATTAATCATTGAAAAAAGTCGCATTTACGTTTAGACAATGTTTTTTATTGTTTTATAAGTACAAATTTGTAAAAATATGGATTTAAGACATTTTTGATTAAATTTTTATATTGTTTTTGTTATTAGTAAAAAATCAAAAATTCTCATTATTTTTAATTGAATTTTAGTCCGTTATTCCACCAGTCTCTAAAGCAGCTCCTCCTCCACCACCCCCACCTCCACCATCATTCTTCCAGAAGAAAAAGTCGCCAGAACCTCCAAAAGACCCATCTCCTCATAAAACGGAAGAGGTAACGAGTTCGGATGAGGCAAGTATCAGAAATTTTAGTCAATGTATTGTTTTTGGTCAAGAAATTAATAGTGAGCTTGTAAGGAGCTTGCATTTGCAGTTATTGACTTTAAAGTAGGTATTTTTCGAATAAAATGTTGAGAACTCATGATATGGATCAGATTAATGTCTTATATATTCAAAAAGTCATTTAAATTTCAGAATAAACCTCCAGTGCCAGCGCCAAGAGTTGTAGGATTCAATCTGAAGGAATTGGGATCAGTGAAACTGAAGAAGGTCGCAAGGTAAGAAATACGATTATTTTAGGTAACAATTTATTTGTAAGGAGTTTTTTTAAAGCTGTGTGTAATTTATATTGTTTTAAAAATTTTGTTTTAGAACTCCCGGCGGTACCCCAATCAGGCCGTCACACGATCATGATAAAAATTTCGGATTCTTGGCGCGAGCTATCAAGGAGAAGTTCCGAAACACGGGAGAAACAGATGATGAACCAGAAACACATGACGATTGGGACGACGAGGAGACCAAGAAAGAGGAGCATCTGCAGTAACATATGATCACACGATCTCGACGGGTATCTGAGCTGCTCTTTCCGTTTCAAACGATCCCAATAAAAACGTCTAATCTCAGTTTATTAATGTATTGTTGTAGCCTAGAGCGTTCTTTTGTTTTCATTTTGCAGCTTCTTTTATTGTAAATGATAAAAGAGTACAGTTATAGCTTTCACTCGATGTTTTGTTCATAATACAGTATTATTTGGCTTGAGCTTGGATTTCATACAGTTGAAATAGTTGTAGAAAATTAAAAAAGTGTATAATACATTGTGATACGGTAATTTACGAAATTTTTAATCAATTTTGTATTGTTTTTGAGGGTTTTTTACTTGTGGAGAGGTTGTGGTTACGTTGCATTACATTAACTAAACTATGAAGAAAGACCAATATTAATTTATAAATAGCTAATAATTATTCTTAAGGCAAAGTTTGAAAAGATCTGCTTATTCAAAGAAGCGTTTGTACCTGCTTTCATTTTAAATGTTGAAAATCTTCAAAGGTTTTGTAATCCTCGATGATCCGATACGATCGTAGTCGAAAAGAAGATGTTTCACCAGTAAAATGACAAAAGGTGGCTTTATTTTTTGTTTTATATTTTTATTGTACCTAAAGGGTATTTTAGCTATTGATGAGTATATTTATAATGAAAAGGTAATTTATATTTTACAGTTTTTATAATTTTTATTACTTTTAACGTATTGTTAGGCTTTATTGAACTTTTAAGCTTTTCAACTAAAGAAGTCTTCAGAATATTCACTTTTAAATTAAAAAGCTTCAAATTTAGCCACCAATCAGCACATTGAGTAGACTGTCTGTACAGAGAGATGTGAAGAACACGTCAATAAACCAGACCAATTATGGGTATGACGATGGTGAAAGTATGGTTTTGAAGACGATTCTGAAGCTTCGTAGTGAGTTGCGGAAGGATTTTGAGGTAGTTTTGTTTTTGGTATTTTGAATTTTAATTTTTTCTGATGTTATTACATTAAAATGAATGCATTACTTTAACTATAAAATACATAAACTTTATGATTTTGACAACGGTGGCGTTCGGCTTGGCCATTGTTTTGGCACGGCCAATTTTTTAGCCATTCCATCTCGCTTTTCACTAGTCACTAGTTTTACAATACAAAAAATTCATAAACTTCAGAACTCAAGCGTTCAAGGCAGTATAACATCTGAGGTCAGGGCGTTGTATTCAAGTGCACAATGCCCTTCTGTAACGCTTACCTTTCTCGTGTTTCCGTTAGTCGTACGCTACTTATGGTGACTTGTGGTTGATGGTGATTGATGTTCATGAAAAGGTTACTCCCGAAGAATTTTTTATGTTTGAATTACAATTTATAGACATCTGATTCGCATTCTTTCGATTGTAAATATTGATTTAGAAGTTTGAATTCCAATAAAAACTATTTTGAAGATGAAACGGTAGATAATTAGTCTTGAAGGCTGATTGAAATGGTAGATGATTAGTATTGAAGGCAGATTACAAAAATAAATTACATTTTGGTTGACTTTCAAAAGCAAAAATTTTAAAATTTAGTGATTTATGATGATATCAAAGTGATAAAGAATTTGGAACAGGCTATGTTGTTGCAAGGCTGATGACCTTGTATTGTAACAAAGACGGTGACTTTTAGTCTGTTGGTCGTAAATACTTGAACCTTTCAGTGTTGTATATTGTTTCATCAGATTTTTCATTGTATTATAATTTTCAAAGCAGGTTTTACGTAAAAACCAGGAATTACTTGTTCGTTTTGTCTTCGTGTCAGTATACCTTACTGTTTACTTCAGTACTATACTGTTTTAAATAATAATTTGCCAAGCCATCGTACTACAGTCAAACCTCTTTAGTATGACCCTTAAAAGACTGGATCATAGTGGCATTATAAACAGGGCCCTGCAGGGTGGTATAGGACTCTAGAAATTTTTGGTAGGAGTTCTACTTATCTCAAAGAACAGTTGAGAAGCTGTCATTATAAAAATGGTGTCATAATATCTAAAGTCATACTAAAAAGGTTTTACTGTATTATATATTTGCTACTTTTTGTCTTTGACACAAACCATATGTGTGTCTACAGTAACCTTCCCTACTTCTCTAAACCACAAGACCTACCGTAGCCCGAGTTCAGAGTATCTCCAGACACCGTAAAATCCCCCACCGTACATGGTCGTTAGCCTTTCAATCTCACGACGTAACGACCTATAATCTGCCACAATAGAATAACATCGTAACGCCTCGGTCGATTCGAGGCTATAAAAACGGTCGGTTGGGGAAGGGAACAGTGATAGATCAAGTTGATTACTGTCAGTGGGGGAGGCCGTCTTCTTCCGTCGCTTCTCCAATATTTTTGTTCGAAATGATCAGACGCCCGTTCAGCACTTCATCTTCCACCGAAAGGAATAATAGCAACTTCTCTCGCTACACCCGCAATCAACGTCACCGCATGAGGACGAACAGTGAGCTGGTGAAGAAGTTCAGTACCGCGACATGTACGTATGTTATACTATAGAGGGTTTTGGGGGTCTTCAAAGTTAGAAAAAAGTTTTTTTTTTAAATTGATATTAAATCATATAAAACATAATAAAAGTCGATTTTTAAGCTTTTATAAATAATATTAAATAAACAAAGGTTGATAACAAATAGTTAAATGTTTTAAAAGGTTAAAAGTTAGTAAAATTTTGATTTTAAACCCTAAAATTTCGGTTTTTAATTAAAAAAAACGAAAAATAATAAGAGTTTGAAGCGATTTTAATCATTCTTTGAAGTCATCGATGAAGCTGATGATTTTTTTATTGACTTCTATCGGTTCAACAAAGTTTCTGAACTACACAAACTACAACAACATTCTTTACTTGTAATATCTCACTAGCCGAGACCATTTAGCCGTTCTTGATAATGATATTCTTGGTAACTTTTCATGCTCTTTCATCCTATATTGGTCTTGTTTTAAAAACTTGTAGTATAATTAGTAGAATTTCCTTGTTATTTAAGACGTATTTTGGCCGTATTTACCATAACTTATAATTTAAAGACTAAAATATTTTTGGTCGAAAAGTATATAGAAAACATAGAAAGTTAAAACAAAATTTGGTATACATTCTTAACTATTTCTACTTTATTCAGCATAATATGTTTAGTAGAGCAATACAGTCCAATAATGGACCAAAATCGAAAAAAGTCATTGGCACAACTAGTTGACATAACACAACTCAGTTTGAGTAACACATTTGAATGTAATGAACAGAGTCCGGAAGAGATGATCTACAACATGTTCAAGATTCCAAACAAAAACGAGGCGTCCATCGGCAAACTTTTGATGGTAATATTATCTTTGTCATTATCTTATTATTCGTTTTAGTGACTTTTTTTTAATTGAAGACCAAGTTTTCTAAAAAAATACTTTAGGTCCTGAAGAACTACGGCTTATGGGAAACCGACCCCCAGCTCCGACCCATGATGAAGAAGATCTGGAAGATCGAGAAGGAGAAGGAAGAGCGAACGTGCGAAGCTCGTGACCCCAAGCATTGGAAGCTCTCGAAAAAGGACTTTATCAGTTGTATTTCCGAAAGCATTTCGTTGATTTCGAAAACCCTCCAGAACGATCTGATCGTGCCGAGCTGGAATTCCTTCACGCGGATCGTCGGCGACATTTTCGATAAGGTATTTTTAGTTCGTGGGGGCGGATGGGGGTTTTACAAAGGTGATCAGAGATTGGAAAAATGACAAAAAAAAACTTATTTTGAATATTTAAAAAAAATTATTTTGAAAAGTTGTTTTTTGGCGCAACTTCTACCATATTGGCATTGTGTTTCAATCTAGGACAAAATTGTGTTTTTCAGCGTCCAAGCCAGTTAGAAAGACAAGATTTTTCACGTTATTAACGTAATTAGTGTATTGTTTTTGTGAAAAAGCCTGGAATTTTAAAGTTCATATTAATATTGTTATGAATTTTTGAAAAAAAAACAGCATTTCACTTTAAAAATACATATTTTAGATTGAAAATTACTTTTTTTTCGTCAAGTAAAAGCTAATATTCCTTCTGTTTTACATTGTAACTTTGGCGAGCTTTGATTATCAATCATTTTTATATTAAAACCAATCATACTTATCTTTTAAAGTGTAAAAATATTAATATTATCTTTTTTTATATTAACATAGCTTTCCAATATGATTTTTCCGAAGTGAAATCTTTTAAAATTCAAAAAAAAACTTTTTCGATTTCAGTGCAAAGCTATAAAAGACGGAGCAGTAGCAGACTACATACCACAACTTAGTCGAGTCGATCCCAATCTCTTCGGTCTGTCAATATGCACCATCGATGGTCAAAGAGTGTCATATGGAGATTCGAAGCATGCTTTTTGTATTCAAAGTGTGTCCAAAGCCTTCAACTATGCTATCGCGGCTTCTGAATTGGGAGGCGACTATGTGCACCAGTTTGTGGGACAAGAACCGTCTGGAAGGCTGTTTAACGAGATCTGTTTGGATCCGAACAATAAACCTCACAACCCATTGATTAACAATGGTGCTATCATTGTGACGTCGCTGATTCAGAGCAAGATGAATACAGCTGATCGGTTTGATCATGTGGGTTTAGATTTTTAAAGACAAATGACAGCTAAAGGGTAGTTTTGGCTTAATTTTACTATTACAACCACAAATCTATTACTAAAAATTTATCTTTAAAATTTTTGGCTACTACAACATAATATTAACACTTTTTATCACCTTTCAGATGATAAAACAATACCGTAAAATATCTGGAGGAGAATACGTTGGCTTCAACAACGCTGTTTTCTTATCAGAACGGAGTACATGTAGCAGAAACATGGCCTTGGCGTATTTTATGGAAGAAAACAAATGTTTCCCACCTGAATGTACAAATGTGACCGATGCATTGGACTTTTATTTTTACTTATGCTCTCTGGAAGTTACATGTGAAAGTGCGGCAGTAATGGCAGCTACGTTAGCTAATGGTGGGGTTTGTCCGACTACCGGAGAGAGATGTATTGGCAGCAGACCTATACGGTGAGTTCGGGGATGATAGCGGGCTTATACGGTTGGTGTGTTAGTGGGCTAGCTTATAGTTATGCTATTAGGAGTGAACAGGAAGTTTGAGACTGGGAACCTTTGATTTTAAAAAATTATGTATTTGTTACCTAAAAACTAAATTTTTTACTACTGTCTGGGATTGATTTTAAATGTAATAAAAAATTATTTTAGTGACCTGTTATCATTAATGAGTTCTTGTGGAATGTACGATGGTTCAGGACAGTTTGCTTTTCATGTTGGACTACCAGCCAAGTCAGGCGTCTCTGGTGTTTTGCTTGTTGTTGTGCCAAATGTAATGGGCATTGCTGTTTGGTCACCTCCATTGAATAAGCAAGGAAATAGTGTTAGAGGATTGGCTTTTTGTCATGTAGGTTGAACAATAATTATTGTGACAAAGGATTTTAATTGTATCTTTTATGATCTCTTAGCTATGTTTAAAATTTTTTTTATCAGGACACTTGTAATTATTTTACCTATAACTTAACATTTTAGGAGCTAATTCAACGATTTAACTTCCACACTTACGACAGTTTGGTTAATAATGAGTCATTGAAGTACGATCCTCGGCATCGGAGCTGTGATCTTCAGAAGAATCAAGTGGTATCGCTTTTATTCGCTGCTAAAGCCGGGGATTTGAACAAAATTAGGAGGTAAGCAAAGGTTTTTTAATAGTTTGGTACTTTTGAAGTTTAGATCTGGTCAAAAAGTGTGTAGAATTGACTTATCATTAGCTGGTCTAAAGATTTTGCCGATTTTTTGCTCTTTTTTGGTCAAAAAGTTTGTGGAAGGCATCAAAATAGGAAGTCAAAGTTAAGAAGGCCATAGAAAGGAATTTTGTTTACTTTTGACCGATTTTGAAATTTAATATGATGTTAGGTGATAAAAGATACTATCAAAGTTAAAAATACTTTACTGACAACAATAATCTTTTATTTTCAGGATGTACATGCAAGGCTGTGACCTAGAGATGAAAGACTATGACAAGCGAACCGCACTGCACTTGGCGGCGTCCGAAGGTCATCCTGATGTAATTCTGTTTCTTCTTAACATTGCCAAAGTACAGCCAGACCCTGAAGACCGGTAAGAATTAAATTTTATTGGTTTCATAGGGTTTTACGTCTATACCTACTTGTTTTAACGCAAATCATCTATACTTACTAGTTTTAATACAAATTTAAGGATTTTTAATGTTTTTTAAGGTCTTCTCGGCAATTCTTATTGATTTTCTAATGTTTTGAGATATTTTTCATTGATTTATATCTAATTTGCTTGATTTACAGCCATTTTTTTTAAATTTATGGCTATTTTTTCAAAGCTCATTAAAGAATTCACAAGATTTATCACTGAATTCTTTGGAAAATACCTGGAATCAGTTTTTATGGCTCTGTTTACTGTGTAATCATTTATATAGTAGACTTGCGAAACAGACAAAGTTGTAAAAACCCAAAACAATAACAATATACTACAAATAGAAAAACGATAAAAACGTTTACATACGGTTGTCACAAGGCGGCCGTAATTAATTAGTATTTACTAAACTTTGTTTCAATAACACTTGCATTGTAATCGGAACTAAATTAGGGAGATTTATTGTTTTACAGCAACAGTATTGTTACTGTAGTTTTACAGCAGCAATATTGTTATTGTAGGGTTGCGTAAGGATGATCTTAAAATTTTTATTTGAAATTTTAGGTCATGTAGTGTGGTAGTATAGTTGATGATTAAAGTGTGGTTGTAAGGTGGTTTTAGAGGAGGATATTAACAATGAAAGGGCCTGACCTGTCTAGCTCTGATTGACTTCAAACTTTTATATAGAAAGATCATGTAAATATTTAGTCAGCATGGTACTAAATCGCGCTTTCTAGGAAATTTCGAGAAATTTCAGATCAATATTACGTTTTGAATTTATCCGCCAAATTGGCATTGTGTTTCATGCTTATAACTAGTCATTTTTTGGCTTTTAATCATTTTTTTCTTGGATATACTAGTAGGATACCTTTAAATGAACCTGTATTTTTAAATTTGGCAGCGTATTTTGTCTGCAAATTACAAAAAAGTGCTTGAAACACAATGCTAAATTTGCCGAATTGGCGGGAAACCAAAATAATTCAAATTTAAAACCCAAAATGGGACAAAGAGCTGGTCCTTAGTGGGTAGGTTTCCTTGTTAACTAAAATTTAAAAAGAATTAGCGCTTGGGCAGTAAAATTTCTTTAGCAAACTTTTACAGCGCACATTTGGTATCAAATCTTATTTAAAATTAACATTTGGCTTTCACCACTGTCGTTTGGCTCTGTATCTCTACTATTTACCACTATCATTTGACCCTCTATCTCTACTTCTCATTCAACTCGTACCACGCTAATTTCAGATGGCATCGAACGCCGTTGCAGGACGCGGAAGCCGGCAGTCATTTGACTTGCGTAAAGTTGCTGGAGAAGGCGATGAAACTGAAAGGCTTGAAGACGAACAAAGAACAACACCATCTGAATAAGGCTCCATCGTCGGGCTCTTCGATCCCTTCATCTGACGAGTCGGATCACGAAGAAGACGAGGCTACGGATGGAGCCTCTTCAGACAGCGCTTACATGTCGAAGGATCGGGTTACGTAATTATTGTCATCGGGTTTGAGGCGTTTGAATTCGCGATTCAACTGGTCGAATTAGGCACAAACTTGTGGAACGGGTCGACGGTCTTATATTTGTTTCTTACGGTTGTTGTTGGCGTGTACATAATAAAGGTTAATAACGGTTGATTTTGGGAGGTTGGAGCGTATTTTAATTTGATCAGTGGCAAGTGAGGGGGGGGATTTGACTTGGGGGTGGTTTTAAGGGTAAGGTATTTTACAGAACTTTTTTTTCTTCTACAGGGGTGGTTGATATTGGGTTGTTCAAATAATACTGTGCCTTCTAACCCTACAACTTTGAGAAGGGGCACAAAATTATTTGAACAACCTAATAATTAAAAATTTTAAATTTTAGCTCAAAAGAAATAATAAAATCTATTTAAAGAGTACCATCGAAACCCTAACACAAAATACGTTTAAACCATTATACCTCATTTAAACCTAATCAATCTCCCTGCCAGCACTTGTAACGCGATATATGCAGAACATACGATGCAATAACAATCCGACATAACGGCGTCAACAAGCGATCCGGCAATTAATGACACGACTTGGTAGTGGAACATTAGTCGATCATTTGTTTATGGCCGGTCGGGTCGGGTCGGGTCGGGTAAGCGGACAGTTGGCCACTCGCCTTTCCCTCTCGGACAATAAACTTTTGAGGATTTTGGGAAAATTGTGAAAAGCGGTTTTGAACTGTTTGGGAAAGTGTTCTAAAATTAAATTTTTTTTAGTTTTGCGTCTTATTAAGTACGCTAGTTTTTGGCTTACTAATATAGTGTATATCAGTGAAGAGGCCGGGTATAGTTGGCTCCCTTTTTAGGAATGAGAAAAGAGAAGGGTTTACTTTTGAGGCTTAACCCAGGCTCGGTCTGAACGTTTAAGCCTAGTTTGTTTTAATTTTTTAGGCCGGCTCAGCTGGTGTAAAAATTTCAAGACTCGGTCTGGTCCGGTGGAAAACTCAAACTTCGGTTAACTTAAAAACAATTTTTTAAAAGTTTTTTGGGTTTAGGCCTACTTTTCATGCCTGGACCACTTTCAACTATAGCTCAAGGCCGTTCCGGCCTGATATTAGGGTCGGGCTAAGCTCGGGTTTAGACTCTAGACGGCCTGTTTCTCATCCGTACGGGTCTAATAGTTCCTCTTTTAGGTCTACTGTGGTGTCATATGTAAAAAAATTACTTTAACACCCGCTTGTGCAAGTAAAATACGTCAATTTTTAAAACACACTTTTTTACCAATAATTATTTAACAAAAAACCATATTTTATTGCTAAAATACGAACTAATAAGGATAAACCAAAGGCAGGAGGTATTGAAGTCGGGAGCGGTAATTTCCATCGAAACTGATCCTCATTTCCGGTAACTGGGTCATCTCAATAGAAAATTACACTTCTTCCGGGAGGGAAACGCGTTTGTATATTGTTGTATAATGCTACAAAAAAGCGATTTGGATTTTGTGTTTTTTATGACTTGGGTGGGGTAAAATTGTTTTTTTAACTGAATAAAGAACGAAGAGGGGTAATTTTATGTTTTGTATTATTTGGGCGGGGTAAAATATTATTTTTAATTGAATAGAAGAAGAAGGGGGGTTATTTTATGCTTTTCATGACTTGGGCAATTTTTTTAAGTGAATATATTAGGAAGGGGGTGGGGGGGGGATTATTTTGTGTTTGGGCGTAAAGTATAGTAAAAAATGTTTTTTTGTTATTCCTGTTCTGAAATCAAAAAGTAAAAAATCATTTTTTTTATTTAAAACTTTTAAAAATTATCATAACTTAATAATCTAAACCACGATTAAACAAATTTTGTCGCCAAAGTGTAATAATCTATATTATCATAGTGATAATGCTCCCTAATAATCGAAATCAGATATCCAAAAGTGACTCAGACGTTTTTTAAACCTTTTTATGGGAACATTGAGTGATGTTTACTCTGAGTCACTGTCCACTAACTTTCCAACATATCAGCTCAAAAGGGAACCCACATAAGATAAGTTAGCATTTCCTCGTCGGATTAAAGGGCTATTTTTAGGGGTAGAGAGTAACATTTTTGGGAGGGTAGGGTGGCTAGAAAATATGATTTTTTAAGAGAAGGGGGTGGCTAGAAAAACAGGCTTTTAGGACAGGGGTGGCTAGAAAAGATAATTTTTTTAAGAGCAGGCGCGGCTAGACAAAACGTTTTTTAATAGCGGAGGTGACTAGAAAAGACAACTTTGTAAGAGGAGGGGGTGGCTAGAAACGATAGTTTTCAAAGAGGAAAGGGCGGCTAGAAAATATGGTTTTTTATGACCGAAATGAAGGCAGGGTGGGTTAAGTTTTGTCCAAGAGAAAAATCAAAAAACCTTTCTGAATGTCATTATGTCAACATTAAAAACCCGCACCTCTAAATTTAGAGCTGTTTTAGCTGACAGCTCAGACCATTCGAGCTGATTTAGTCTTCTTGTCACATTGGATGTCGCAGATTTATTTTTTTTTCGCCCTAACAGCTCGTTTCATTTTTTGTCCCAACGGACCCAAGATTTCAAATTGTCATTTATCGGACGTGTCAGGATATGCAAAAGCACGTTGACATTCTTTTTGCAAACTTTTTTAAGGGTGAGGGAGTTTTATATAAAGATCGAGGCTCCGGGTAGGGCAAGGTAATCGTAATCGAGTACGTGTCTGGAGATACTGTAAGTTTTATTTTTTAAGGTTGAATGTTACTGTAGTGCTGTAGGGTAGGGTAGGGTAGGGTAGGGTGGGGTAGGGTAGGGTAGGGTAGGGTAGGGTAGGGTAGGGTAGGGTAGGGTAGGGTACGGTAGGGTAGGGTAGGGTAGGGTGGGGTAGGGTAGGGTAGGGTAGGGTAGGGTAGGGTAGGGTAGGGTAGGGTAGGGTAGGGTAGGGTAGGGTATGGTAGGGTAGGGTAAAGTAATATATTTTTAAAAATTTATAAATTTTTAAACGTTTCTTTTGACCAAATGGCCATTTTTGATGTTTTCTATCAGCTCGCTGACCAATTCCGAATTTCTATGCAAATTTCATTGTTTTTTCGAGTGGCAATCTGGAGAGAGAGTTGCGTGTTTCCTCTCGAGAAACGGATTGAGTGCCAAATTGGTCACCTAATTCTCTCGAATGGACATAGCCAGGGCTTAAAAAAGGTCAAAGTGTTTCTGTTTTCACCGATTTCATTTTTAATATTTTTTAATTGAAATTTGCTCTAAATTTTAAATTTGCTTTTAAATGAGTTTTTAAATATTAGGTTATTCAAATAATTCTGTGCTCCCTTTCAAAGCAAATTTTTTGGGGTTAGATGGCTCAGAATTATTTGAACAACTTAATCTTGTTCTACCTACTACGATTTTGTAGGTAGAACCAAAAGTAGCGGGACACTTTTCGTTGATTCTTCAACTATTATAAAAAGTGACCCGCTACTTTTGGTTCAACCAACAGACATATATGATGACTTATTATACGTTTAAATTGTTTTTTTAATAACAAAAATGATGACGTTACAGTATTTTAAGCTTTAAAAAATCTTTTTTACTCTAAAATTTGATTAAAAAGTATATTCATAGTTAGTATGAAAGTAGTTTACTGAAAATTTCAAATTCCAAGTCCAAAAACCGGCTGTAAATCGGAATGTTTTGGCAATTTTACGAGCGCAGATACTTCATATGCTTTTGCGCCATAAACTAGGCCAACGAAACGCCATCTCTAATATAAAGCAGAATGTCTCTACAGGACTTTACGAATAAACTGAAGCTGTTCTTGGCGTTTATTTTAGCTTTGAATTTTTTTAAACTTTGTTTTTCAAAATTTTAAATTTAAAATTATCTTTATTTTTAAAATTTTCAAATCCAACAAATGTTATACATGATCTTACGTTTGGTTTGAACTGTGTGTTCTGCCATTCTTTCTTTCGCCTTCCTCGCGAATCCGTCAAAATTTAAATTAGCCGGCATTGAGAGTGTGGACACAAGATATATGAGTCAGTTAATTGATCTCAGCTGGTTCTTCTCATGATTAAAACAAAACGGGTTCCGATGGTCGAAAGTCAGGGCCGGAGGGCATTTGTCCACTAATACTTGGGCCGCAAATTTGAGGAACACATTTCCTAGGCCATGCATAATTAGCAGCATTGACCTCTAGGGTTATGAATTGGCACTAAATTCATAGGCTATCAAAATTAAAAAAAAAATCGTTTGCAGAGGGGGGGGGGAGTGAGTAGTGGGAGGGTAGAGCAAAAAAAATTTTTTTTTGGAAAATTGTAAAATTTGGTAGGGAAGGGTAGGGTAAGTTAAAACTTTATTTTAATATGAAAATTTGAAATTTTTGGGGGTGTGAGGTTAACACGCCAAATTTTTTTTTAAAAAAGTTGCCATTCAGTTTTTAAATTTTAAGATAACATTACTATTAAAACCCTCCTTTCACTTTTTACCCCTCCCACCACTAGACATGACCTTTTTCAGCTCGTTCGTGTTGTAACCCTTGACAGCTCTTTAAGAGTTTCGTATTTACCGTAACTCTACGCGAGGTATAATTACAATATTAGTCTACTGGTTTCAGGTATGCGGAAAACCGAAAAGTTCAAATGATTTGGTTTTTGTTCAACGTTCTATTGATTCACGCTGGCAGTGCTCTTCAGGATTTTCAACCAAAATGTAAGAAATTATGTTTTTTGTATGTTTATGTGTAAGATAATATATATATATATATATATATATATATTTAGTGGCATTACATTTTCAAATGGTACTAAAGCGGGATATGTAATTTAAATCAACGGGTGGCTTAAAAACTTAAATTTTTTTTTAGTTTTTTTTAAATTGGACAAGTGGTATTAACTAGACCTGTTAAGGGGCCAAGAGAAAGCTAGTGATTTGACGTTCTTGATAAAAGGGCTTATAAATTTTAAAATCTGTTTATTTAATGTTTTAATAACATAATTTCAAAGAAAAATAATTAGAAGTCAAAAAATGACAAACTTATAAGCTTAAAACACAATGCCAACTTGGCTGAAAATTCGAAACCTTAGCTTTTGATCTTGATTTTCTTGAGATTGACTGAAAAGCGCGATTTAGCCTTTGCTTAAGGTCTTAAATTTACATTTCCTTGCTATGAAAAATTACTTTTTAAAATTTTTTTGTTTAAAAAAGATAATTTTAAACTTTTTTCAATTTTTTTAAGTTTTCTTTCCTCTTTACCTATTTCTGATTGTACGACCTTGATAAACACAGTAATTTTTTACTTTCAGTAACCTGGGAATGCGGGGAGAAGGCAGTAAAAGTGTCAATCACAACTGACACTCCATTTTTTGGCCTAGTCCACCCAATTGGCGTCAGATCTCCGGAATGTACAGCACGAGGTACTGGTGGTACTAGTGTGTCATTCAAAATCGATTACAAAAAGTGTCAAATTCCATCTGACAAACAGAGTAAGCGACATAGTGTGGCATTGGAAGTTCATGAACATCATCTTTTACTTCTCGAACAAGATGAACAACTCGAGTTTGAATGTCGGGTGAAAGGTGAAAGTACTACAACAAGCACTGTGGAGCCTGAAGTTGAGGAGAAGGAAGACACATTGCCATTCGAAGTTAGTGGCTTTGGAAATGACACTGGCGTTGAGGTGGTTAGAGATGTTACTACAAGGTATTTAAGATGTATATAGTGCAAATCTATACCTATAACTAGTTATATTTGGTTTTTTGAGACGAATATAAGGTCTGTAACTCTACTATAATATAAATTTTTTTCAGGTCAACAATAAAATCTAATTCGGAAAGAAAACTGCCAACGTACGACTATTACATTTCGTTAATACCACAGTTTGGACAAGACCGTGGCAACAGTTTATATCCAGAGTTTGGGAAACCATACAATCTCGTCGTATCTACGTCTAAAGCTCATCATTTCCGCGTACATTCCTGTGTTGCTCAATCTGAAGGCACTAGTGTTGAGGTAGGATAATATGTATCATAATATTTTAATACTACCTAAAGAATTGAAACTAATTTTGAAAAATTAAAGGTATTCTCAAATAGCAGTAACAAAAAATTATGTAAAATAATCAGTAGCCTAACAATTTTAAGGACTTTTTGAAACAAAAGATTCACCGTTTTACAGAAGGTGCCCGACCTGCCCAGCTCTGATTGACTTCGAACTTTTTATATAGGATGATTATGTAAATATAATTTCTGCAGCAAAGTACTAAATTACTCTTTTCAGTCAATCTCGAGAAAACCGAGATTAAAAAATTACTTTTTGAATTTTCCGCCAAATTGGCATTGTGTTGCAAGCTTATAACCTTGTCATTTTTTGAATTTTTATCATTATTTTTTGATACACTAGTAGAAAACCTTCAAATGAACTTGTAAGTGTAGCTTGTCTGGAAAGTCGGGAAAAGAGCTTGAAACACAATGCCAAATTTTCTGAATTGGCGGCAAAATTGTTAAATTTTAAAAGCATTTTGGCGTAAAAAACATTTTTTGACATAAATAAGGCCTTTTTAACAATAACCGGCACGTTTTACTAATTGTTATGATGTCATATAATAATTGCGTCAACTAACTGCCGTTTCCTTCCAGCTGATCGCTTCGAATGGCTGCACGTTGGATCGAAAATTAACTCAAGACTTTGTTTATTCGGAAAACGAAGCTGAAGCGAGGATTCACCGAATGTTCAGGTTTCCGGATTCCAGCGAGGTGGTGTTCAAATGCTCGTTTGTCGAGTGTTCAGATCGACAAAGCTGTAAAGTAAGTTTTAGGTATTAAAATAGAGTTTTTGAGTATTTTGATGTTATTTTGGGTATTTTAGGCTTTGAAAGAGTGCATTATTGATTCAAAATTCTTATTTTTTGCTATTTTTTTAAAATTTTTTTTATCTTAACGTTTTTTCCTAAAATATTATATTATTTTAGCTAAACTATAAAATTATATTGTTTTAGCTAATCATTATTATGTTGTTTTAGCCAAACTGCGAAATGAAGTTGGACGACCCAATGAACGAAGACCCAGAGTTAGTCTCCAAGATTCTTCGTGCCAATTCCCCAGATTCTTCAGATGTCCAGCTCACCTGGCCTAAGGCAACATCCCAAGCCAAGACTCGAGTTCGTGTTCTCGAAAGACGTGAACTCATAACCGACCCGACACCGACACCTCTACCAGAAAGTGCCAGCAGCATCACCGGTTGCCATTGTGATTTACCATCTGATCTTATCATACTATACAAGCTGTGCATTGCACTTTCGGTGTTCTTTGCTCTCGGATGTTGTTGTAACATTCTGTTTTGTTGTTTGAATGCTCAAGGGAAAAGCGGCAAGAAGAAGAGGCCAGTTCCTAAAACAATACCTCAGTCCTCAATTAACAGTAATCAATATTGGATTAGTGATACCGCCTCGAAACATCGGGGATTTGGTGAGCTTTTGGGCTTATTATGAGGTTTTGAAAAGGTTTTGGGCTTATTATATTGTTATAAAGAGCAGTTTAGATCCATATAAGACTTTTAAGCAGATTCTGAGAGTTTTATGCGGTTACTTTCCTTGTTAATCTTCAGTGTCAATTTCCAACTTTTTATGTTTTTCAGACGAATTCCAATCCCAATTCTCAGAAGTACCTGTCATAGAACAATCAGTAGTTCAAAAACGATCCTCCCTCAGCTCGTACGCTTCCCTTCGACCCAAAAGTGCGCGGACAGCGGCCGAAACTGGTGTCGAACTCAATCCAAACGGTCTTCCAAATGGCATCTCAACTCTCACAAACTCTGGATTTGAAAGCACATTGAACCGAAACAATCACTCGTCGTTCCACGATGCTCCTCCAGCTTTCAGTTCATCGTCTCGAGCCAGTAGCCAATCTCCACGGGATTTCGTCGAGGATCATCGGGAGTCTCCCAAGAATCATTTGACTCCGCCACAGTACCTCACGTTAACCAACTCACCGACGAATCAGAAGGAGACTTACAGTATTCTGTAGAGGAAAGAGGCTTACTGTATTTTGTAGGTAAAGGAGACTGACAATGTCTTGTAGATACGTTGTTTTTACTGCAATATGTCATGATGAGTATAATATTCTTTCTGATTGCTTTACGGTGAAGCCTGTGTCCGTTGTTTGGACTAAAATTCTTGCCGTTATGTTCTCATACCATACTTTAATATATTGTAGCAATATTCTTGCCGTTATTTTATTATACCACACTACTATAATACGTTATTATATTGTAGCTTTAAGATAATATAGTCTTAATATTTTTAGGCAGTGACATACTCTAGGTTATGCATTTTATCATTTTAGTTGTACTTTCCTGTTTGAGTTGTATATGAATATATTTTTATATTAAAATAAAGTATAATACGTTTTTTTTTATTTTATAAAATCATATTCGGCATAGTATTTTTACTTGTTTCTAAACTTTTCTTTGCTGTCTGCCCTTGTTTCAACCTTGCTTTTGTAATATCCGATAAAACGCGACCCCAGCAAATCGGCCACGTAATGCACGTGACATGCACGTTAACAAATGCAGCACATTCCAAAGTCCCCGTTCGCCGAACTCCTCCTACACACGTCAACGGAAGTGATCAGTCAATCACTACAGCACTGCGCAGCACTAGTATAAAAGGGCTGCCGAGCACCGTACTGACGGGCCCCACCAACTCAGAATACTATCCGTATTCTACCAACTCTATTCTAATTATTGTGAACTAATTGTTATTTAATTCTATTATTCATTGTTACTTATAGATACTATACTGTTCAAATACTTGTATTTACTAGAATAAATATACTATTAATTACATTGAGGTCATATATTACTCCTAGAAAGGCGATAACACTTTACTAAGCTGATTACATTATTAACAGACCGTTATGTTCATCACCCATGTGTTAATCAATGCACAGCAACTACTTTAAATCACTGCCCTTGTTTTAACCTTGCTTTACCCTAACAAACCCTACCTTGGTTTACCACACCTTACCCTACCTTTAAATTACACTACCCTACCTTACTGCTGTGCCTTACCCTACCTTTCCTTTACTTAACTCTATCAAACTTCCACTTTAATTTCAAGCTAATGTTGACTTTTTTTAATTTTTAAAGTTGTCATAAACTTGTTATAAAATTGTTATAAGCCTAATTTTTTGTTATCTTTTAATAATGTTGGAAAAACTGTATGAAAAAACGTTTGAAATTTTATTAAAGTGTCTAAATTGTATTAAAATGATAAAATTTTTATTTTTCCGAGTGGAAATTGAAAAACAAAAAATAGTAGCGTGCGGGGGTGAGTCATTGAACTTGCCGTGTGAGCTTTATAATTCTAAACGCTTACCACTGCGCTGCCCGCACGCGTCGTCCAAAGCTCTGGTTTTCGTCTTTTATTCGAGCAAAAAGAAGAGGAAGAAGGAAACACAGAAAAAACTGTATGAAAAAACGTTTGAAATTTTATTAAAGTGTCTAAATTGTATTAAAATGTTAAAATTTTTAATTTTCCGAGTGGAAATTGAAAAAGAAAAAATAGTAGCGTGCGGGGGTGAGTCATTGAACTTGCGAGATTTGCCTTATTCTAAACGCTTACCACTGCACTACTCGCACGCGTCGCCCAACGCTCTGGTTTTCGTTTTTTATTTGAGCAAAAGGAAGAGAAAGAAGGAAAAACAGTGACGGAAAAGAAAAAAACAAAAAACAAAGCATTTTTTCTCTCTTTCTTTACTTTTTGTTAGGGCCCTCTTCCCTCTCGTGGGGTGCTTGCATCCAATCAAAAACCAAATCAAGATTTTAATTTAAAAAATCTTTTTTCTGTTCCTTGTTGGCAATGATGCGCCTCAACCGTTTTGTCCCCGGCTTCCGTTTTATCCCCAGGTTCCGTTTTGTCCCCGGCCCAAAAAATGAAGTTGAATTGAATGAATGGTAATAAATTGGGAGGAGTTGGAGGGTCGGCGAAGGCTTTAGAAGATTCGGCGGAGGCTTTAGAAGATTCGGCGGAGGTTTTAGGAGATTCGGCGGAGACTTTATGAGATTCGGCGGAGTCTTTAGGGGATTCGGCGGAGGTTTTAGGAGATTTGGAGGAGACTTTAGGGGATTCGGCGGAGTGTCGGCGGAGACTTTAGGAGATTTAGCTGAGGCTTTAGGGGATTCGGCGGAGGCTTTAGGGGATTCGGCGGAGGCTTTATGAGATTCGGCGGAGGCTTTAGGGGATTCGGCGGACGCTTTAGGGTATCTACCCGACCTTACCTAACCTAACCCTACCCCACCTTACTCCTGACCTTTTTAGCCCTACTCGACTATATCCTTGACCTTTTTAACCCTTCCTTACTATACCATACACATCCTACCTAATATACCATACCCTACCATTGCCTATCATATCTACCATACCATTCTATTTTACCTTAATATTCAAATTACGTTTAAAATCATCCAAATTAAATGAATATACTATACAAATTACAACCATTTTATCTACATTTAACGACCTTTAACACAACTTTTGAACAAATAGAAAGTGATTTGAGTTGTTTTAAAATGTATGTACAAGAAAAGAAGGTATGAAACATTTATGTACACGGGAGAGACGAAATGCCGTTCATATTATAGTAGACAGACCTAGTATAATATGAAAATACGTGAATATCTATTCGGTAAATTTTTAAACTTAAAGAAAACTTTTAAACTTTCGGTCAAACAGTTAATGAAAAAGTTAAAATATTAGTCAAATGTTATATAAAAGGCAGTTCTGTGAACTTTTTGACCAATCAACTACAAAACTCTTAAAAAATACTAAAACTGATAAGAAAGCATCAAAAGATTACTGTCAGACAGATCCAAGATCAAATTCAAAGGCTTTTTCATCATCTTTCGGGTTATAATCATGGTCCAACACTATCGGATGTTGTATATGATAGTCGTAGGTCTCTGGAGTATATACTCGAAACACCGGAGCTATCCTCTTGAACTCGCCCTCAGGCTTGTTACACTTGTGAAATATCCTGATGTAGAATTCAGGTCGGTTTGGAATCCCGGGGATCCAGTCTTGGTCGGCGGCACAGCCTTCAACGTTCCAAAGGCCTTGAGTGTTGTCGACGTAGGAGAAGCCAACCTTGTCGTCTGGGTCCAGGGGGTTTGTTAGTGAACTCTAAAAGGGATTGTAAAGTGAAAAGTGGTGGTAAAGCAAATAGTTAATGTAAAACAAATTGTCATTTTATCAAACTTTTTTAATTTTTTTTTGAATTTTTGGTCAAAAAATAAATAGAAAACAAGAAGATTTAAGCCTAAACCGTCTTTTCACATATTTTTTGACCAATGGAAAACAGCAAAATATGATGTTTAATCTTCTGAAATTCTATATTAAAGATGTCACGATCTTTTTCTTCCATAAAATTTCGAAAATAGAAGATGTCATAACTTGTTGACACGTGAAATTGCGAAAATAAACAAAGCCAATTAAGTTTTATACGGCATTAAATCTCGTCGGTCACATTTTATTTCCAATCTTCATCGTATGCGCTTTTAATGACGGTGAAAAGTTTTTTTTGGAATTAAGAGTACTAGTGTTGAACTAGTACTATTAGTAAAAAATTTGTAAGACCAGTACGCTCTTTATAAATGCAGTTCTTACCGATTCCGGACCGTCTAGATCATAAACCTCAACCACAGCTCCTTCTACTCTGCTTTGGTTCCTTCTACATTCCAGAATCCCTGTAGCCCATAAGCATTCTGTAGTGGCGGTAGATACATCCAATAAATATAATGTGTACACAATAAAAAATATTATCCTTGACATTTTTCTAAAACTTTTAAGGTTATAACTGTCAAAGGAACTTGTACAATAATTCTGAGATAAAGCCTCGAGCTCAGATCAAAATAGACAGCAACACCTTCACGATCAAGTAAACCCTTATAGTTCATATAAAACTATATAGTAGATTATTAGTATTTTATACTTTCCTGAAGACGAAAGCGACGCAAATCGAAGAAAAATATAAAAAATAAAAGGGAGAATAAGATTGCGGTAAAGCGCGACATAAAAGACGAGTTACTCGAGATAGAGAAGATCGGGAACAGAGGTAAGTTAGGGTGAGTCAGCTAATGGCCAAATTTAAAAAAAAAGTACTGTGGAAGGTCACTGGGAAGCAAAAAAGTTACTGTAGTCAAGTTAAAAAAGTAAATTTATTTAAAAATTTTACTGATCTACCCCTATTTGATCAATATCACGCCCTTCTCCTCCACAGCCTTTTTGACCCATGATTTTTGCTAAGCCCTTGTTATATACTGTAATATACTCATAATATTTATGATTTTAATCTTTTAGTAAGTATGAGAGAACCATCCTTTCTATAACTTCAAAAACCCCTCCTCAATCTACCACAGCCAAAAAAAAATACAAACTACCCCAACCACAAAACATACCAACAACCCTAGCCACAAGGCAAAGATCAAGCTTTTTAACATGATGTTATACCTCGGATTAGTGGGCGGTTCTGTTATTATTAGCTCGGCGAAAAAATAAAAGTTAGCCTCGTTTCAAAAGCCAAAAAAACGGTAAGGCCGTTCCGTCGTTCCGCCGTCTTTCAACTTACCGCCACGCACTTTCTCTTACTTTTCAATATCAAAAAGGCAACAAAAAGGCATGGGGAAGATTGAAAAATAGATTTTGAAAATGTGGTCAACAGATGGACGACATTTTCATAAACTTTTGGGCATATGATAATAGGATAAAGTAGAAAATGATAAAGAAACAGAACGTCATACAAAATATTTTTTGAAATGCGAATATGATATGCTCCGTGGCCTTTAAACCACTACAAACAACAACCACAAGGTTTCTAGTAACCTCAAGCATCATAACATCCATGACCTTACAGCCAAAACCACGTGAACTTAAGGAGGGTATAACAAATGACTCTGGACAAGACTTTTGAGAACTACGGTGAACTTTTGAGGATAATAAAGAGAGCAGGAACAGAATTATAATGATGGACAGCCTCGAAAAAACAAAGTAATAAAAAGAAGGAAATCAAAACACAGCAAAGCCGTTTTTTAAGATGATGTATTGGGAACGGATATCACGGATGTAATGATAAATTGAGATCAATTCAAGACTTGTAACAATATTTGAAATTATGGCCAGTTGAACTTCAAATTCTAGGGTGGAAAATGTAAATTTCAACCTGAACATTAGTAAAAATAGAAAAAAAAATATTAAAAAGTTAGAAAAAAGATTATCTTGAAGTACTTTGAACGCGCTAAGTCCCAAAACCCACAGTAAAATAAAATTTATCACATAAACGTCACGTTACAAGAACAGCATTACTTTATAATAAATAGACTTTAATGTAGCTAATAGTCATAAATTAGGCTGTTAACTGATTGACGCGCCCACCAATTCGCTTAGGTTTCCGTCTTCGCTTCTGAAAACATTCACTATTATCAAATATTCACAATAATCATATACTTCTATTAAAGAAAATTCTATTGAAGACCCAATCAGTCATTGATAAAAACCCAACCATTTGTTACTATTAACGAAAATAACAGTAATAATCAGCACTATTTCATCAAAAACTGATGAAAAACAAAAAAGTAATAACGTTGATGAGAAAACAAATTAAAAAGAATGTACACACGTCTGTTTTTGTTATCTTATCATCAGTATCACTCTTTATAAAAACAGCGAAACCCCACAAACTACTGATAACAACTCGAGAACAAAAGACTGACCATTCTCTCATTGTTAAAGTACAACTTTAGTACTGTTTTCATGTGAAACATATGAAACAAACTTCTTATACAAAAATAAAATTTCTTTTTTACATAAGAATTTTGCAAAAAAATCTTATAAAAAATGAAAATACTTACCTAATAATAACATTAATATTGACAATTTGATCCACTTGGTCTTGAACCATTCGAACTCGAGCCAGCACGTCCAGACCTCCTCTGAAGACTCCACTCAGTAGCAACTGATGTTGAGATTTGCCTTCTACAATCTTATCCGAGTGTTCGCATGCAGCCATTCCCAAATAGTCTTGTAGTTTTGACACGGCTTCTGAAAATTTCAAAAAATTTCAATCATTTCTTCGAAAAATACCTAAATTTAAAAAATTTTTCTATAAAAGTTCAAACTTAAAGATAAAAATTATTACCTTGCAACGAAGCGACTGGTAGAGCAAACGTTTCATTGTATTCATTCTCCTCTCCCAACTGTTCCCAAACTCCAGAGTAATTTGGTTTTTGGACGGCCAAAATGTGATCGGCCAATGTAATCGATACATCTTCAAGCTGTAAATATCAACATAATTAAAGGTCGACGTCAAAGTGACATATCATAAACATAATCATTAAAAGTACATAAAGAAGCTCACAACAATAAAATTGAATTTGTTCTCAAGAAGTTACAACTGTCCTTTAGAAAGTAGCAACAAACCAATTCAATTTATATTGTCTACATAAAACTTTATCTCTGTTTTTGAATTTATACTGCCATTGTTAAAAACAGCTTCACAGAAAGTTATCAGTTCATACGCCAAATTTAAACAAAAATCCCAAGAAAATTTTAAAAGCCCCATCAATACCAAAGTAAACTGCTCAACGCAAACAATAATCATTAAAAACATCCCAAAAACCTACAGCAAACGTGTCATCGTACACATCATCTGATTCCGGCTCTCCCGTTGTTGGATCCACATCCCTGACGTTGAACTTCAAGGTGGCCGAAAACGTTCCACTAACCCCGCCATCTTCAGGCATGGCCAACAAAATATAAGTGGTACCCTTCTCGTTTCCGTATGGCAAAGCGGCCAAAGGCAGAACTTTCTGAACAACCCATCCTTCTTCTTCTGAAGCCTCCAACTCGACGTGAACCTTCTCCAGAAGTTGATCGTTCAATGTGTTTTTGCAATCAAACTGAAGAACAATATTTTCGGCGAAGGTGTGTTTGATCAAAGTGACAGCATATTCAGTAACAGATTCAGTTAGTTCAATTGGCTTCGAGCTTCTGAACAGTGGGCCCAGATCAGCAAAGTCGGCAATGGCAAACAATTGTTCTGAAATGAAATTACATTAACATAGCCATTTTTAAAATATAATTTTCACCAAAACGTTAATTTAAACATTCTATCCACTTTTTGACCTTATAAACATCAACTTACGAGCAAACAGATCCTGTCTTGAGACCTTGCTCTTTTCCTCCTTCTTTGCCACTGGCTCCACAGATAAACTCGACGGTTTGGATTCAGTGAGAGTGATTGGAGCAGCAGAGACTGGTACCACTTTGAGGTCGAATGGCTTGTCGAATTGAGCATTCTTGACATAAGTTTCAGTAGCACGTTCTAGTCCAATATCCGATACTTGCAATGGGCTGATGATGTACTTGTTGACAGCTTCAGCATCTTCAGATTGGAGAGTTCTCAAGAAGAAGGTGGCTCTGTCCCTGACTTCATCATCTGTGTCCAACAGGCATCGTTTGAGAAGAACTTCAATGCTTGGCCGAAGTTTTGGACACAAAGCTCCAAATCTGGCCAAAGCGGTAACGGCGGCTGCTCTGATCTAAAACAATAGCATTAAATTGATATTAAATCCCTAGACATAAGATTATTAAATTAAAATTAAAGGATTTTTTAAAACGATCTTATTTTAAAAATTTAACAAACTGGTTTATGAAATTTATAAAAATATTACTGTAACCCTCAGAATTTCGCTTCTGTTTGTATCGTCATGACTGTACCTATCCATGTAGAATACATTCAAGCGGCCTTTTGATTTCCTCATTGAGTTACAGTGCTACTAATTTTAAATAGCGTATTTACAAATACGATAACCTATAAATTCACATTGTTCTACCCCTAACACCTCTTAAGGATCGAACCAACGACCTAATTGCACAATAGTAAACGCTTTATCCACTCGACTATCCAAGAACTTACCTCAGTTGCTTCCAATACGACTCTGTTGTAGATGAATCGAATGTATTTTTCGGGAACTGACGTAATTGGACCTTCAGTGCCCAAGATGTGGAGAACTCGGCTAGCCAAAGAGCTGTGTTCACAATCTTCGATGAACTCACAGAGATGAACAAGACCTAAAAGATAGACAACATTATGCAAATAAGGATAAAATTTAACAAAATTGAAGTTAAAAGGTAAAAATAAACAAAGAGGTAAATATCTTATCAAACTTACCAGTTTCTCTAGTTTCCGGATTCTCTTCAATAATTGAAATTACAGTATCGACCAACGCCTTTTTGTACTCCAACCCGCCGTCGTCTCTCAACATTGCAGACAAGAACACCATCATAGTAGCGTGCTTTCTTGGGTACCGTGAGCACAAGGACCTGATAGCCTCTACTACAACAACCTTGAATTCATCGACGATTTCACTAACAAAAGAGCTGATCTGCTTCATCAAACGTTCCACAGAAGATTCGGCTCCAGTCTTGAGTAAGGTGGTAATAGCCAGAGTAGCAATCGAGCGGTTTTGATCAGTAATAAGTTGCTCTAGATCAACATTACAGCTCATCACGGCTTGCGGATAGTTGATAGAGATTTTGTTCAAAGTTCTCACAGCAGCAAAACGAAGAGAAGGTTTTGGAGATGAACAGAACATCTGAAGAACGTTCACGGCGGCGGCAAGTTCACCACTAAAAAATAAATATTATACCACAATATAAACCATGTTTAACAAATTTTCTAAAACTTAATTAGTTTAAAAACATTTAATATTTTGCAATAAGTATTATCTTTCCTAAATAAATTTGAAAATAAATGAATATTGCCACCTGGTAATGTTAGGAAGTCTGACGATGGCTGAAGCAGCTTCATAAGTGACCATTTCACTCTTGTGTCTCAAACAGCTCTCAATAAAAGCCAGAGGAGTTCTGTCAGTAGCTTCTTCTTCTTGAATCAGATTGGCAGCAATTCTGATCAAATAACACAAGGCCAATGGAGATCTCATGCCAGATTTTCCGAATTTGTGCAAAAGTTTCGAGACAGCCAACTTGTCATTGGATCTGATTTGATACAAAAGACCTAATGCGTGATATTGAACCATTGGATTGTCAGAGTTAACGGCTTCTTGAACTTCATTGGCCCATCGTCTGATAACTTCTGGAGACTTCTTCATCAAGTGAACTGACGATACCAAAGCTGCTGATGAAACAGATGGAACTTTGTCTACAATAGCTTGTTTCATGTATCTTTCTATCGCTTGTAACATGCCACTGTCAGTAATACGACACAAAGCACGAATAGCCGGGCCACGGTATACATCTTCGTTTCCAGTCATGTCTTTGGTCAAACTAGAACAATATTAAACATAATATATAGGTAGAACAATATAAAGCTACAAAATAAAATTAAAGAAATCTATATTACCTGCTGATCACAATGATAACATCGTTGGAATGATGACACAGCTCCTTAATAGCCAAAAAGACCAATCTTCTCAAAGTACTATCTTTACATTGCCATAACTTTGTGATAGCGAAGAAAGTATCAGTAGCTTCAGTCTTTCCAATAGTTTCTCCATTCTGTAGCAAGTACAAGATCTTGCACAAAGTGGCATTACATTCCCGGACAACAATTGGAGTTTTGTTGAAAGCTCGAGCCTAAATACAGAATAAAATACCAAAAAACTCAATTTACCTCTTGAAATACGGAAGTTTTGTCCAAGTGGCTGTACGGGTTGCCTAGGCCAGCTTCTTCGTCTTTCTTGTCCTTTCTCATCGTGCCTAAAGACATAATATTAGGTTTACAACACGATTAACTCAACGACACGACATATTCCCGAAATCTTGCTACGTGTATATTTTTGGGTCATCTTTAGCACTTAAAATAGAAAAGTAAGTTTTGACTCATTTTCTCGCGGCTGAAAATAAAAAAACAAAATTTTGTCCAATTTTCAATCAAAAGGTCCTCGAAACAAAGACACAAGCTCTTATCTGATAGCATTGATATAATAAAGTTGTGTGTAACATAATTAATGTAAAAAAGCATCAAATCGGACATGAGAAGCTAGATAAATTCTGTTTCGACTATCTTTTTCCCTTCATTTTTCAAGGTTTTCTATCGATTCGAGCGCTTTTTTCGATCAACAAAATCTGATTTTGAAGCTTTTGATCAACCAATTTGAAGGGAAACATTTGCATAGAAGTCATGCTAATGTTGATATTGTTTGCGGTGGCCATCGCCGTTTTTCTGAAGTGGTTTTTGGGCATTGAAGGCATGAATAACATCAAGAAGATCGTGGAAGGCTTGAAGAATGGTAAACAACATTGGTTGAGCACGCTGTTTCAGGTATAAAAAAGTTTTTTATTATTTTATGTTGTGTTTAGGTTGAAGAAAAGTGTACGAGACATGGAGGAGAGCTGGTTGCATCGGTTTTGAAGGTAAGAGTTGTCATGCATAAGATCATTGTGCAATTTTTTGAAGGAAAAGGTTTTACTTTTATAATAAAGAGTTTATGTAATACTATAAATTTAAAAATTAGTAAGGCTTTACTAACTTAAACTTCAAAATGTAACGCTTCTTTTATAAGTACCTTTAAACTAGTCTTAAAAGGGTTCTTTTGACGATTACATGACAATATTTAGGCTCATGGTGTAGAAGAGATCTTTACCTTGGTTGGAGGACACATTTCACCAATTTTGGTGTCAGCGGAAAAGCTTGGCATCAAAGTTATTGACACTCGACATGAAGTTAGTGCCGTGTATGCTGCTGACGCTGTAGCAAGACTGAAGCAAAGTATTGGAGTCGCTGCTGTTACTGCTGGTCCAGGTAATTTATTTTTTAAATACGTATGCCAACTTTAGTAAATCTTAGGCTTTTATATTCATAATTTTTGATAAAATAGCTTACATCAATAACAAAACTTTGATTTTCTTTGTAAATCTATGTATTTTATGGTATATCTATACGAATATCTTATCACTTTAAGGCCTGACAAACACCATAACAGCTGTGAAGAATGCTCAAATGGCAGAATCGCCAATTCTTTTGATCGGTGGAGCAGCTCCAACTTTGCTGAAGAACCGAGGAGCTCTTCAAGACATTGATCAAGGCGTTTTGTTCAGACCGTTGTGCAAATATACGGCTAGAGTGACAAAGTTGCGTGATATTGTGCCTACAGTGCGCCGAGCTATTCAAGAAGCTCAATCTGGTACGCCTGGTCCAGTTTTTATCGAGTTCCCGATTGACGTTCTCTATCCTTATCAGTTTGTCGTCAAGGAAATGGGATTCACACCTAATGCCAAAGGGTTTAAGGTAAGGATATTGTGGGTTTAGATTAATAGAGGAAAGGTGTTTTTCTTCTGATAGCTTATTATAAAAGCTTTTATTTATCACGGGGAAAATTTTTTGTAAAATATAGTATTCTATGGGCAATATAAGGTCGATCTTGTTGCAAATATTGAAGTTATAAGTGTAACACCAAGTTATTGCAGAAGATTTTGAACGCATATCTGTTCACCTACGTGTCACGTCAATTCGGTGGAGCTTGGAATGAACAAGATCTTACTCCTCTTCCAATTCAAGTACCTACGGCTACAGTTGACGAGATTTCGAATGTTGTTAATGCCATCAGAAATGCAAAACGTCCACTTTTGTTAATGGGGTCTCAAGCCACGTTACCTCCAGTTAGTCCAGATCAACTTCAAGAGACTGTCAAGGTAAAAATTTTGAATTCTTAGTTTTTATAGTGGATTTTTTTTTAGTTTTTTTGATTGATGACTTTGTAAATTTATGTTGTTGTAGAAGCTAGGTATTCCAACGTATCTTGGTGGCATGTGTCGTGGATTACTTGGACGTTCATCTCAAATCCAGTTCAGACAAAACAGAAGAGATGCTTTGAAGGAGGCTGATGTTGTCGTCTTGGCTGGTATGATACGTTACTATTACTGCAATATTTTCAATAAAAAGGACAATTTTTGATAAGAAATTACTGTAAAAACGGCCTTTGGTAGGACTAACGTACGATAATATAAAATTACGTTTTTTTATGATTCAGGTACGGTCTGCGACTTCAGGTTGAGCTATGGTAAAGTATTGTCTTCACGCTGCAAAGTTATTGCTATCAACAGATGTCGTTCGCAATTGACAAAGGTAACTATAGCTTCTCTGCTTTATAATTTTTAATTTTCGGTCTCACATTACACTTTACTTCCAGAACCACCGTGTCTTCTGGAACGCCCACCAACTGATCCAAGCTGATGTTGGCCAAACTCTAGTCCAAATCCAACAAGGCCTTGGAGATGAATACTCAGCTCCAGAAGACTGGATCCAATCCCTGACGGACCGAGAAAACGAAAAAGAATCCTCGAATGCATCAAAAATGGCAGAAGTTCTAAAGGACGGGAATCTGAATCCATTGGCGCTTCTGAAGAACCTCGACGACGTGCTACCGGACGACGCTATTCTTGTAGCAGATGGTGGAGACTTTGTTGGCAGTGCGGCTTATATTGTCAGACCACGAGGACCACTTCAATGGCTGGATCCTGGAGCTTTTGGTACACTTGGGGTTGGTGGAGGATTTGCTTTGGGAGCGAAGACCGTGTACCCAGGTCGACCGGTTATTATCATCTATGGCGATGGATCTGCTGGGTGGGTTTAGTATTATTTATTTTGGAGTTTTTGTGATAAGGAAGTTTTTTTTTATTTTTAGCTTTTTTTACGAGTCATAACCTTTTTCTGCTATTTTTAGATACTCCTTGCTTGAATTTGACACATATCAACGTCACAAACTACCAGTACTTGCTGTTATTGGCAACGATGCTTGTTGGTCTCAAATCGCCAGAGATCAAGTACCATGGTTCAATTCGTCTGTTGCTTGTGACTTGGCTGTAAGTTTTTTGCATTTACTTGGTATATTAGCTGTTCAAATAATTTTGTGCTCTCTGTCAAAATAAGTTTTCGAGGTTATGGCACAGACTTATTTGAACAACGTAATACATTGCAAGTCATGTTAAAAGGCATGTAATTCTTTACTATATTTCAGTTTACAAACTACGAGAAGATTGGCGAAGCTATCGGAGCCAAAGGAATCCTCTTGGATTCAGAATCCGATACCAAAACTCAATCAGAATCCTTCCGTGAAGCCATCGATGAATCAAGAAATAATTCAAGTTACGTCATCAATGCCATGATTGGAAAGACTGATTTCAGAAAGGGCAGTATCAGCGTTTAATAGCTGTGAAGATAGCTACTAGCAATAAGGTATCATCACAAAGTTCTAAGTTATATTGTTTTACATATCAGCGGCCACAAGCTAAGTATTGTAACCATTTTACACGAGTATTTAATAAAAAGATATTTTGCCCTTTTTGGAATATAACTAGGATATTAACCTAAGCTGGCTTTTTAGTCGAGCGTATCTTCAGCCGTCGTCTTAAGTGAGCCACACGCCGTCTAAAACATTAAAAAACAATGTGTGTTAGTTTAATGTCAAATCAGTTCAATGGAGGCAGATCGTACGATTCTCTGTCGGTCGGAAACTTGACATCGTGGGTCTGGCGGAACACTTTCAGCTCCATGTTGTACAAGGGCGACGACTTGAACTTGTGCTGAAAAAAAATCATTTTTATAAGAAAGTTAGTAATACAATGTCACTGCTAGCATGCTAGTACTCAATATTTAACCTACCCTCAGCTGAGCCCACTGTCCCGCTCTCTGCCGAATGTATTGACATTGGCGTTGAGTGGCCTTCCATCTACGCAATTCGACGGTAACATCCTTCCATTTGTCCTTGTCAATGTCATTCCATTCGTTGTACATCAACGGCTCCTTGACTCGCTTCGGACGACGACGAGCAGTGGAGGAACGTCCACGCGAAGTATGAGAACCTCGGCTTGGAACACGGCTGAAATGTTATGTTTTCTATGGTTAACATTGCGTCTATTTGCAATTATCAAAGGGAAAAAGAATTTAGAAACAAAAAATTAACCATAAGATACAGAACTGATAAAACAAAGTATTTTACCAAGTTTTTTCAGTAATCAAAACAGACGAACACCATGTTCTAATAACGGATTTAAGAAGAATTACCTAAAACAACAACAATAACATCAAAAACTCACTACTTGTCCTTACTCGGACCAGCATCTGTTGAAGCTGGTTGTGAAGCAGGAGCAGGAGGTGCAGCACTTCCTTCTGGAGCAGCTCCAGCCTCCGCCGGTGCAGAACTAGCAGGAGTGCTTTCGGGAGCTGGCGCTTGCTCGGCCATGATCAACCTCTCGTCAGTCAGTGAATTTTGCAAATTGAGACATTCTTTTTCAGATAAAATTGTAAAAAATAAACATAAAGTTTACTTGGATAAAATTGTTTGAAATTTTACAAAATTTATTGAAAGGTATTTTGAGTGACATTCCGTCGACACATTTATTGGCTTTCAAACTCAGGCCAAAATTACTTCGAATCAACTTTTCAGTCGCATTTCTTGACAATTTCACTATTTTTGACATGATAAACTATGAATATGAACATGGACTGTGGATATGACGACTTTGCCTACCCCACCCGAACTCGACGAGACCGGGTTGTTGTGAATAATCAGATTTTCTACGTCAATCTCGGTTATTTGGCCGAGTTTTCCGAGTTTTTCGCTGAACACATTGAGGATAACGAGATTGTGGTTGATGGAGTTGACGCATTTGAATTCCTGGAGCTTTTACGAGTGTTGTTTAATTGTCCAAAGAAGAAATCCATCAATTGTGAGTTTGTTTTAGGTTTTTGTTGGCTTAGGGCGATATTATACTAGGTAAAATGGGGTTTTGTAGGTAACAATTGTTTATCAAGGGAAAATTAGTTGTTTATTGTAAAATACTGTTTTCTACACGTTTTTAGTCTTTTCTTTTTAGAAATATGGAGGTTACTATTCAAAAGTTGAATTATTTCAGGCTCAAACCTTCTGGCAGTTGTAAACGCGGCCTGTTTCTTCGGCGTTGCGAATGTGTTGAAGCGATGCGACGAGGTGCTGCAGTTTTGCCTAAACAGTCTTTCCCATACTGATCTGATGCAGCTGACGAGAACAATATCAAGATACGATCGTGATAATGCTTCGTTATCACTTTTGGTGGACAAAATTGCCAATTTCAACGAACAAGAACTTCAGACCTTGCCATTTTCGAAGATACCTGGGGATGTTGTGGCTGATGTGTACACTGTACGTCAACTGACACATGAGAGACAAAAGCGCCAGAAGCGGAAATCGTTTTGGACGACCGAGAACTTTTGTTGTTTCTTCTAATTTTTTAGATATTTTTTATCGTTTTGGTTTGCTAATAAATAGTTACTGAAGATTTTATGTGTGTTTTGGTATTTAACATGTTTTGAGCCTGGTAAATATTGTGAACATATTATTTTTACAGTTGCACGGTGTATACATTGGTTTTGGAAGGTCCGCATCGTACTTTATTTTAATTTAAAAATCATCTGTCAGATCTATGCAATAACTATACGAATTATGGATATATTAGCATAAAATACAAGAAAAACGTTTATTAATCATGAAAAGGTGAAAAGTTGTTAACCCGTTTAGGAATGAATTGAGCCTTAGGTTTGGTGAGCCGTTTCAGCGAATGGACCAGAAGCCAATTGAGTCGTTCGTCGAGCGACTTCAGCGTCTTCGGGATTCTGAAATGGGCTCTTATTACCCGTGACTCATCGTGGATTCGTCTTCAATAGCCTGGGGGTTTTCGTACCCGAAACATTGATTCGTTGCCTTCTTGGGGATCTTCATCTCCACCATCCGGCCGTAGAATAAGCACCATGCTCCTAGCACGACGCCAACTACAGCGATCTCCATCTTCCACACGGCTCGCGGACCGTAGCCTGTGTATAGTGCGGACGCTGATACGGGTGCTATCATGCGACCAATGGCACTAGCAGCTTGGAATAGGCCTTGTTGGGTGCCCTGACGTCTGGGGCCGAGGATCTTGGAGAATAACGTGGTCAATGTTATAGTAAGTAGAGGGAAGGCAGTACCAATTAGGATGACATAACTGCCGTAGTAGAGGTAGATATTGACCTGAGTAAGCTCGTCACACCAAGTAAATCTACTTGTGTCACAGCCAGTTGTACCATTAAGAGGATCAACGTAATTGCTGAGGAATTGCCAAGGATACGTGACCAGGTGGAAGGATAACATCAAGGTAAGAGCGATTAGACAGCTGGGTCGGTTTGGTACACTAAAATTTTAAAGGTTATAGAATATATGATAATAACACCGCTAAAAATATACTAATAAGAGCAGTATTGATAATAAAAGTTCAGACTTTAAATGAACTTACATCTTCTCCATGTCAAAGTTGATATAAGCAATATAGGTGGCAAAGGTCAGAGCGCCAATGATGCCTTGAGTCATTGACAAATACCTGACAGATCTGACCTCATCCAAAGAGAACATCATCATGGAGTAAGGTGATCCTAGTGTCTCGAGATTCGTTCGTACAAACATATCAGTGAATCGAGAGGCATAACATACTAGAACAGCTATGATATCGTACATGGGGATGGCGGGAGCTTGCTGCATGGTTTCTGTTTCATCTTCTTCTACTTCGTCCTAAAAGACATTTTAAAGTAACTTCAAATTAACGTTTGAAATTAAAATATGATAATTGAGGGCTCATAATCATACCTAAAAAATAAAAATAGCCCAAACTTACATCTTCGATCAACTCGATGGCATAAACTTCTTCAAAGTAATGGTACAAGGCATAAGCACCACCAACATTCATCAGACAAGCTAGGTAAGCTGGGGTGGTGTATAAGTTCAGACTTAATCCCCATGGAGCTGGACCAGGATATTCTAGTTGGGTAAAGATGAACTGGAAGGCTGGTCCCATTGTCATACCAATGGCTTGACCACACGTAACAAAAGCAATGGCTTTCGACCGGTCTTCTAATGAACTTGCGGTAGAAGCGTACGATCGTAAGGTTGCTACGTTACCTAAAAAATATGTTTTTAATTCTGAAATGTTGTTTTATAAAAAAATTAAAATTTCTAATATGAATCAAAACTGTCATCATTATATTAATATGCGCTATGTTACTCTTACTTACCTGATCCCATTCCAATTATGAATCGACACACCATAAGTACGAATCTTTTCGGAACTCCAGAGATCACCTCCATCAGGATGTAGATAAAGTTTCCGGTAAACATGAGTATCAGACCACAATATAGAGGTGGTCTGACCATCTTGATCATGTTACTCCACCAACCGAACGCTGGTGCTGATAGTACTTGTCCGAAACTGTATACAAACACGGTCCAGCCGTAGAAACTCTCGGTTATGTCGTTGTCTAGCTGCAAATCATTTGTTTTACGACATAAAGTAAGATCATAGCTATTCTAGTATATTCCATTATATAAAGTTTTATAGATTTTATGGCCTAAACAATGTCATCAAAAGTAATTTTTTAAACTTGAAATTTTAAGCCCTAGGGCATTTTGAGTGTTGTAGCTTAAAAATCAAGTTTTGGTTCTCTTTTAGCCTCCAAAAGTGAAGTTAATATCGTTTAAACTACTAAATAAAACTTACTATCCTCATATATGGCCATAACGCCGAGAAGTACAGTGAGAACTGTACGGCCCCAACAAAGCTCAAGGCCGCCGCGATATAGATGGACGACCAATTGGTCTTACCCTGTACGAGATTCTGAGTATCTGACATCTGAAAAAAGGCAATTTAAACGGATTTCACTACCTGTAATACAATATCACAAAAAGGTAAATATGTAAAATACTACCTTTATAAAGGCCTTTACAGCTTATTGATATTATACTACTTTAAATATCACGGTACGAAGTTCTATACACTTTTTGGTTAAACAAAGTAATTTTTAGAAAAAACTCTAATATTATTTTGTTCACATGGTTCTGTGCCTTCTAAACCTAAAAATTTGATTTGAGAGAAGGACCAGAATTATTTGAACCACCTAATATTACATTAATATGCAAATTTCTGCTAAGACTGACTTTTACAAACGTTTTGACCAAGCTTATATTTAAAACAAATCTTACTATTAAAGCTTGCAATCAAATGATAGAAAGTACACTTAGTTAATTACTCTTTTAAACCTAACAAATTGTTTCAAGTAAGGAGAAGAGACAAAAGATAAGAAACCAACAATTTAGACTGAAAATGTTAGTTTTTATCAAAAGTCGTTATCAAAAAATACCTAGATTATTAAATTTCTTCATTTTCTGGCAAAGAAACTTCTAGATATTATCATAAAAATGTACTTAAAAAATTTACTTTAGCTAATGAAAACTATTAGGTTGTTCAAATAATTCTGTGCCTTCTCCCAAAGCAAATGTTCGGGGTTAGGAGGCACATAACTATGTGAGCAACCTAATATATAATATTATCCATTAAAACGTTATATTATGTTAAGAACGTTTATTAAGATCCTTATATTATCAAAAGAACATTCAAAACTAGCATTTTATTTGAAGAACGTCCCAAATATAAGATAGAGTGAATCAGAAAAGACTCACCCTTGTTAAAAATATAAAGAAAGAGCTTTTACACTTCCGAAAAGTGTAGTAAATGCGAGAAGAACAGTGTAAATACGAGGGAGCACGTCAGAAAGCAAATAAACCCCCAGGGCTAAATAAAAATAAGAAAAAATGGCTGACATTTGTAACAAAAAATTTAAGAAAAAATTAAAAAATCGCTGCAAATTTAAAGTTTCAATATACAAACGGCTTGAATTTTTGATGTTACAATAGAAGAAATTAAGAATTTTGATTGTAACTCATTAAAAATGCTAATTAACAATGATAACATACTAAAACAAGGCATCTAGAACACACAAGTGTACAATAATATTTTTAAAAAACGCAATGGTATATGAAACAAAATGCCAAAAACCCCGCAGAAACATGCTTCAAAATTTCATTTTTAAATTTTTAAAAACTAAAAAATTTTAAATAGTGTGCATTTCTATTTAGCTTTTGACCGAGTTTCATATTATCCTACAGAAATGGCGTGATTTCTATCAAAAAAAATAAAACCTGTCTTTAAGGTTTCAAAACCTTTGTTGTTACCGAAATTTAAAGAAACGTAACTAAAACAAGGTGAAACATATATAAAATATAAAACCTTTACCTAAAACAATTTTAATCAACAACCTACTGTTTTAAACAGAAAATAAACATCCAAAACTATAGTTCCGACCAAATTTCAATTAGAATTCACTGATAAATTCGATCGAAAGTTGAGAGACAAAAGTTCAAACAGCAATTTGTAGAGATTTTTTGTTTGATCGGGAACAAACTTGACCCAAAGTGAACGCACATATTGTGTTAGTGGGTTATGAAAGACAGAACGGTCTGATTTGAAGCGATTATGAGTCAGAAAGTGTCAGATGGGATCAACAACACAGTGAGAAGTCGGAACGGATTCTGGAGACGGTATAAGCTGGTTCAAATTCAAATTCTTGGTAAAAGTGGATTGATAATGAGAATAGAGTGAGGTTTTAAGTGACAGAAGTTAACTTATCAAGGTTGTTGTGGTAAAAAGAGTTAGTAAGAGGGAGGAGTTACTAAAAAATATTAAGATCTACTATAATATTGCACTTTTTTATTAAAATTGACCTTTTTGACTAGCGATCTTATTGAAAATGTCACTTTTACAAGACAGTACTTTTTAAAAATAACAAAAATTGTTAAAGGAGACCAATGAACACTTTGAGTAATAATAACTGGCCCATTAGAGTAACTGCCATTATTTACCAACTAAAAGCTTGTTTATGGCTAACAGTAGAAGTAAAAACAAGTTACAATTTGCTAATCAGACGTCTGTTCATACAAAGCTCGCTAAATCAAAGTAATCTTTACTTTTTAGTATTTATAATACTATCATTTACATATACTACTACGTTGTTCAAATTATTCTTCTCCCCGTATTCCCAAAAATTTGCTTAAAAGGGCACAGAATAATTTGAACAACCTAATAGTAATATACTAGTAGTAAGCTTTTACTTAAATTATACTAAGAAATGACTTTCCCCCTCCCCATTTATAGCAAGGACCAAAAACCATACTACTAAAAAAATCAAAATATTGTGTCAATTCTACTGCACCCTACAAGGTTGGGTAACACAATGACTCATTATCTTCACTCTTGCGCTGAAAGTTCGCTTTTCGGTTTTTCATTTTGATTAATGAGACCTCCTTAAAATTTAATGTAGTTTAAAGTTACTCCCCAGCTTTGCTAAGTAACAATAAATTTTGATTGTTCTTTGGGTTTTGCCAACAACCTAAAATAAAGTATGTCATAAAGTAGACGTCAACATGGATTGTTGACGTTGGTGGCAAAAGTAAGGCTATTTTGACGTAGTTTTGGGTTACAAAACGTTCTGTAAGGTTTTTTATAATTCGCAGTGGGAGACTACTAACTTTTAAAAAATTTTAAAAAGTCTCCTTCTACCTAGTGGTGAGAAACGGACCCACTTTTTAAATTCTCATTAAAAAATTGGAAATGAAGGTAAATGTAAAATTAATATCATCAAAAATGCATTGCCAATTTAAAGAAGAATATAACACAATAACAAATGTATGTACGTAAAAAATAAAAGCATGCATATAAAGTGGTGATTAACATATATTTAATGTGAGTAATCACTATAAATAAATAACTCTGTAACTAACAGAACAAAGTTGAAAAAGCCAGTCAATAGCTTTGTTGACCTCTATTTATCTATTCTACAATATACATGTTTTCATTTATAGTTTATAGTTCAAGAAAGCATAAAAAAGTATACTCTTAGGTTGTTCAAATAATTCTGTGCTTCCTACCTCCGTAAATTTACTTTGAGATGGAGTGCAAAATTAATTGAACAACTTAATAACTAAAATTTTAAAATTAAGCAGACTTAAACTTACTTTTTCAATCTACACAGTAGATACGATGTCTCAGGCTATTGGACAATCTTATAGTTTTATATTTACAGTATGTTTCTTTACCAGGCTGTTGAATAACTTGCTGTAAATTTGTATTAACATGAACTTACATACATGTATTTGAAATTTCTTCGACTTACAGCAATTGTTCCAAATTATACTGTACAAAATTTATTACCACTTCATTGAAAAAATATTACGGTTATTTATGTATCAATTTTCTAGGTATTTATAAATTAGTAAAGTAGGGCTTTAATAATATGTGGCTACTTTTGTAAATAACAACTTACAAGGATTATGCACAGAATACACTTTTAAATCAATAAATAATTATAAAATACAAAAAAATATTATTCAAAGTTAGTAAAAGTTGGCTGGATAACTGCAGAATATAGTACAAAGCACTTTCTTTCAACTATTAAGCCTCCGAACCTCTAAAGATCAAACAAAGCATCTGTGAACCTATGATAATATGTCTAGTACAATATAGTCAAAAGTCAACTTTCTATGGCAGTCAAATGTAATAACGACTACGTTTATCAAAAATACTTTGCTTCCGACAATTATTTCCAAGACATTTCCTTTGAGGAACGTGAGTTTTGTCAAAAAATGCGAGAAAACTGATAAGAATATTTGCAAATCGACCGATTTTTCAACATTTTTGAAGGTTATCATCGAACGTCGTATCATAACAGTGTGACCTTTTTGTTGTTATGAAATAAAAATTATGTTAGTTTGGGTCATAGGTTACTGTAAAATAAGTTTTGAAATGATTTTGGGCAAAAATTTAAGATACTATTATATATTGTTCAATTAATTCTGTGCCTTATTTTTTAAAAATTTGAATAAATACTCAAATAAATACAATATTTACTTTATAATACAATTTATGTCTTGTCAATCAAGATCTAACATAATATACATGATTGTACTATAATTTTTATTAATATACCGGTCAAAACTACGCCAAGAAGTAAGCGTGATCCTTCGTATTGATAGCGAACTTTTTGGTCTTGGCCAATCGTTCATACTCGAATCCATTGTACAATACTCGACCTAGATATCTCATCAGCTCAATCCACGCTTCCATACTGTCAGTTGTCAACCGATCGGATAGCACGTCCAACATGGTGCACACTACTTGGCCACAGAACAAGCGTATCGTTGCTTCGTTGAATGTGCTGGCCTGAAATGATAGGTAAGGTTTGATAGTCAAGCTTGAAGTATAGTGCAAAGATGACATTACATTACGTTACAAAAAGGTGTTTATATTATATTTTAATTTTTTTTTATTTCAAAATATCAATTATTTGTTAAACGTACCAAATTGTGTTGATAATGTCGTTTGCCATACGTGAACAAAGCTGGTGCTATTTCTGTTTCCAATTGTTCAACATTTCTTACCTAAAAATTATTTTATTAAAACAATTAATGTGTTATAATGTTTCTCATCACCTACTATAGTACATTACAGTAAAGTGTAGACGACAATCAAAAATGCAGCCAAAAATACAAGATTTGTACTTTGAATTCATTAGATATACAGTATTATAAAAATAAACTAAAGATTCCATCTAAAAAAAGCATTTGGCCCTCTTTGACCTTTATTTGTCTAGTAATTACCGTAATCTTAAAAATCGGGCTAAATATTCTCATCAAACTAAATCATAAAAGTAACGTAAAATACTTTACTTTAATCAAAAATGACCTTATATGTCTCTTCTTTACATTAAAAAGTTGGTAATACGTTGAAAACTGTGATTATACCTACCGCAAGATCCAAGATAGACTGCACTAACCCAACATGTCTGGCGAAGGTATGATCTGTTGGTAATCGGTCGGCGGTGTTGATGTCTGACACTTTGAAGACTTGTTTTAGTTCTGGCATCTTTTCCAAGATTCGCTTCATACAAAGAAACCCGAACGATGGCTGATTAGTGGTCTGAATCCTCTCCATTGCCATCTTCCATGAGACTTTTATGAAGGCGCAGTGCTGAAAAATTTAAGTAAAGGTAATGCAGGTAATAGATAACGTTATGAAAATATGTAAAATACGTAGCTAATCTTAATTTTTTTATTATATAAGACAATAATATTAGCTAGTTCAAATAATTCTGTGCCTCTCTCAAAGCAAATTTTCGAAGTTAAAAAGCACAGAAATATTTAAACAAGCCAATAATACTTACTTCCGAAGTCAAAACACTTTCATCAGAAGGAAACTGTCGACTAGAATAAGTCCTCAACTGCTTCAATGGACTCAACGATCGTGCACGATGGCTCAACGGCTTAATGTCCAGCTCATACTCAATCTTCTGCGCTTCGAAGTGAGCTCCTTCATCTAAAGATCGAGCTGCAAAGTTGTTGCTAAACGACAAAAACTCCATTCTTCGTGTAGCAGCAGTCTTGGGATTCCGAATGAAGCGATGCTTCTTCACGGGCGTGTTCTGATTCTGATCCTTCATTCCTTCGGCTGAATCTATGGATACACAAGTGTACGATGGAGAGATCTTCTGTAGCAGATGGTCAGATTGTCGTCGTGATGGTGGAGTTGACGTGCTTGGAGAGTTTTCGTGATCTTCAAAGTTGTCGTAGTTATTAGTACAGTTGGTACACTTGGAGCACCTTCTTTGATTGTTGGGGTAGCTAGTACAATTGGCACAATTTTTATGGTCGCAAAACTTAGTATACCTTCGGCCGTTTTGGTGTTCGTCCGCTGAACTGGTACAGTTGGTACAGTTCTTATAGTTCTCACAGTAATTGCCACAATTGGGACAGTGAAGTTCTAGAGGATTCTCTTCCGATTCCACACTGTCTTGGCCGTTAATTTGAATACGAGGTGTTTGGGAGTCGTCACCGAATGAAAGAGAATGGAAATTATCGTGCCGCGGGTTCTGAAATTCCGAAGGCGTTTTAGCAAAATGAACCTAACACAAATTGACTGTTTTGGAAAAACTAAACAAACTGCCCTTTTAAACATTTAACCGGCTGGCTTTATACTAAATGTAGAAAAATGTATTGGAAATTATCTAATTGCCTAAAACAGTATCAAAAAACTAAACACTGAACCTTAAAAACTATCTATTCTTTTTTTTATATTGATATCAATTTGATCTATATTTCATGCTCAATATATCCAAAAAACAATCAGTAAGCCAACTCTTTATTTTTAAAAAATTATACCTAAAAAACAAAACGATCTGTTCATATAGCACTGCCTACAGCCCTAATTTGACTGAACTCTTTCTAAACCAAATGCCAGCAAAAACCGTCTGCTTTATATAAAACCACTGTAAACATTTTTGACCATTCAAAAAAGTGGGCAGTCCAACAAGCAAAAGCAGTCTAAACACATAAAACAGTCTAGAAAACAAGGCCAGTCAGTTCAAGTTAGTTTAGGCTCGGAAATTCCCTAATTAAACCTTAAGTTTGCTTATTTTAGAGACTAGTTGACGCTGACTGGAACGTTTGTTATGCACATTGGTACAAAACGCTAATGTAAAACGAGGAAATGAAAAAAACAAACATCTTTGGAATCGTAATTAGAATAACGAACATCCGCCAAGTAAATAAGGAAAAGCTCAAAAGTTAAGTAAAGATTTTTGAACATTGTCTACAGACGCCTACCCTACCCTAAAGCTATAAATAATTCTTTTTAATTTTAAAATTTAAAAAACAAGATAAAAAACAACTCCCCCTCCCCCACCTACCGTTGTGGCCTGAAGTTGAGTGGAAGGCATGGATTGGCGTCGACATCTGAGCTCTTCCAATTTCTGTCGTTTCCGCGAAATGAACCCGAGGCGTCGCGTTTCTTGAGGTTCTCGAATAACGTGCATCATATTCTGGTGATGAGCTTGATGATTCCCCATAATTGAACTTGGTGTTAAAATTAGTGGCACAGAAAAAAGAAGCCTTATATTTAGAAGAATTTGGAATTAAAATTGACACTTTCAGGCCCCAAAGATCGCTTTATAATAAGGAACAAATTGGTTGCCTTAAGGTGTTAGATATATAAATTGGTATCCTTAAGGTATATATGTATACGTGACTAATAGCCAATTTCAAAATGTAAATTTGAGTTAAATATGAAGCCAATTGAAGTGTAGAACAAAAGTAAATGTTGCTATATAAAATAGAATTGTATAAAGTGTTGCAAATGAAACGTTTTATAATATTATAGATAGTGTGAATGCAGGTATTGCATTAAATACAATTTATAGTTATTGCCAGTTTAAAGAAGAGTTTGCACAATATTTGAATAATAAATAATATGGTCGTATGATGTGTGAAATGTTATTTGAAGCTAAAAATATTTAAATTGTAGCCTTTACAGTCAAAATGTTATGAAATTGTACGTTAGTACCATAAGTCACGATGCTAAAATTGTAAACAACAAATACGAAATACATTGTCATTTCAAAAAATATAAAAATTTCGTACAAAGCAAGGAGAAAATTTAAAAATTGCCCACTGTCGTGCTGTTAGAGGTGAGAAACAAGACGTTTAAGCTCGTTCCAGGTCAGCCCCAGCCTATGATCGAACCGGGCCGGCCTTGAGCAAAAACTGAAACGACCCGGGCTTGAAAGTTGGGCCTACCTGGCAAGCCGGTTGGAAAGTAGACCGGTCCCAAAATTTAAAAAAATTAGAGTTTTTTTAGCTAAGCCTGAGAAAAAATGAAAACGGGCCGGATCCAAACGTTAAACTGCGACCTATACCGGGCCTCAGAAGTAGCCCCGGCCAGGCCCAGTTCTTACCCTTACCTGTTGTGCAACTAAGTTTAAACTTCAAATCATAGTGCCACCTTCCTCAAACAGCACATTTTTATCAAAACAAACTCATATAAACACGAATTGTACAAGCCCTACAATTTTATGTCCCGTTTTTCAAAATTTCAAAAAACCTCCTAACTAGACATGAGAAACCAATTTTCAAGCCCGGCCCGTTTTTGATTTTGGTCAGGCCCGGCCCGGCCCGATCAGAAAATTTCTAGGCCCGGCCCGGCCCGTTTTAAAAAATTTTAAAAATTTTGAAACTTGAAAACTAAACGGAAAATTGGCTTTAAATTGTTTTTTTAGATCATTTATGGATCATAGAACCCAATAAAATCTAAAAACATAAACGGGGATTGAAATAAAAAATTTAAAAAAATTTAGAAATTTTTTTTGGGCCCGGCCCGACTATCCAAGGCCCAGCCCGATCTAAATTTTGCTCAAGGCCGGCCCGGCCCGTTTCTCATGTCTACTCCTAACCAACCATCTACGCCATACAAACTTATACATACTACATTATCATGATAGAAACTCAAAGAGTATCACTCTACGTACCTTTTTCACAGTAATTCTAATACTACTTACTCCTTTCACAGTATTTCTCTCCAACACAAACGCCAATGCGCAAAAAACAAGTGTTAAACGCGGCCGATAAAAGTAAATTGAGTTTTTTGCTCCCTTTCATGACGCACGTCTTCATTCAGGTTATGGCCAACTTCCTGGCCATGAATGACCGGTTAATTGGGGCCAGACATTAAAGTAGCAAAGCTGTATCATAACATGTTTATTTTTATGGTTTCATTGGCCAATAAATAGGGCTTCATAAAAACAACAATTTTGGTTTTTTGAAAAATTTATATTTTTGAAAGTATAGTTTGCGTAAAGTAGAAAAAATAAGCTAACATAATGCACTTTTAATGCCAAGCACAGTTGCAATATTTAAAGTCTGTGCGTGAAATATTACAATACAAAAATTTTTTACACAAAAAATTAAAAAATTTTTTTCTAGACCAAGAGGTGAGAAATGAGCCGTCTAGACCCGGCCCAGCTTTATGATCGAGAAAGCCTTGAGCTAAAGTTGAAACGGGCCGGGCCTAAACGTTGAGCCCCGTGCTTGATCTTAAAAGTAAGGCCGCCCCGTTTCTCACCCCTACCACCAGAGGACGGACCAAAACGACTAGTTAATCACTAATCACTATAAAGTAAATATTTTTATTATTAAAACTAAAAAAAGTCTGAAGAATGCAGCACTTTTAGGCCATTTTATTAAATAAAAAATCTTCAAAGTTCCTTATTCTTTTCCTTTTTTGTCATTGTGCCACTTCAGAATTAACAAAAAGTATAAGAGGCTAGCCAGCCTGAGTGCCAATTAGAGAAAAGAATAACTTGCAAGTGTTCTAAAGGTCAACATACGGAAGTAGAATGTTTTAAACAAATAGTTGGAAATTGAAAGTGTCAAACACAGATTGGCATGAAAATGTTATTGTTTACACATGAACGGGCAATAGTTATTATAAATAGTTTCATGACATATAAGGAACAAAATTTTCCAGCAAGTCAAACTGATAAAAAAAGCAAGGCAAAGACCAAAAGTCCCCGCCCGTCACTGGATAAAACCCCTACTGTTAATTTTTAAAACAAAGATAACCTACCCTCCCCTATGGTTGAGAAAAAGGCCGGACCCATACTGAGGCCTCACCTAAGCCCGCAACCAACGTTTTAAGCCCCGTTAGCTTTCATTCTTTCTTAGAACGGCCCGGTTTAGTCAAAAAATTCTAGGCCCAACCCGTTATAAAAAAATTTAAACATTTCAAATCCGGTTCGTTTCAACTTTAGCTCAAGGCAGGTCCAGGCCTACATGACCCGTTTCCCACCCCTACCCTCCCCCACACTTTTTTAAAATTTACTCTCGTCCCCTGCCTCTAATGTAAATAATTCCAAACCTATTTTTTCTGTAAAAAAACAAAAAAAACTTCTACAAAGACATTTTTGGATTCAATAAACCTTTTTTGCCTACACCTACCACTACAGTTTTATAAGCCAAACATCATTTTTCCCTTTCAAAAAAAAAGTTTTTTTTTAAATTTTAAATTTCGCCATCACATATGCCCTTTGTGTGCAAAAAAACAACTGAAAAGTTTCCAAAACAACATAATCTCCCCCCCCCCCACACCCATTTTTCAAAAGTATATATAACTATCACAAAGTTCTTCAATTGTATAAAAATAACTACCACAGCGTTCTTCAAACATATATAAATAACTACCACAGCGAACATTCAAAACCCGACAAGTGTAAGCCGCAGTTTGACTGCCGACAAATAAATAGAACTTGGCCAATCTTAAATATACCCATCTTCCCAATTAATATAACCACTCCCAATTAATGTAATGCTCAGTAATTAATAGCGCTTCCTTAAGACACGTTCTCGGAGAAGTTACAAGTTCGTGGACAGAGTTCCCATCCACCCTTTTTTGAATTTGAAATTTGGAAAAAACGAGTTTTAATGTCTACTTAAACTGTGCTAACAGACCCCTACTGTGATATAATTATATTTTTTCATATACCCTTAGAAAGCACGATAGCATATTATTTATCAACCAAACCCACCAAGTTGTATGCAAACCAAATCCACAAAGTTATATATAAACCAAAGCACTCTCCCACCCAATAGCATCAAAATCCTTCGAAAAGAACATTATTTTTGCCAGAAATATAACGGTATGAGTTTCCGTTCCTTTACGCATACTCTTCAACACTTTCCTCCTTTGTCATCCGAACAACCCAATTTCTCGGCCCAAAGAATTAGCAATTCTTTTTTAAAAACCCACTGATGAGAAATGAGGGGGCAACAGTTAAAGAGGAGCCACCTCCGACCTTGTACTAGGCCGCTACTGAGAGGAGTGTTATATCTACCGATGTGTAAAAATTTACATTACTTTTCAATAAGATTATGACATTATACAGGTAACGTCTTTATAATACTGGTTTCTTTTTTATAGCACTAGTCCCTTCTATATAGCACTAGTCTCTTCTGTATAATACCACAGTCAGACCAACACAAAACTGTCAGAACGCATTTGTATCTACTGTACAATATATAACGTATCATCTACCCTACTACTATGTAGCACATTCCAACGTACCACCTACATAACTACAGCATAGTATATTACACTATTATACTATGTACGCAACCCTCCGCCACCTGCTTAAATCGTGTATAGTGCCCTATAACAAACCAAAAGTATTAACTCTGTACTCTAAAGTAGCTCCGTATATAAACTTTTATTATAACAGTCAACAAAAAACAATAACAAGTCAACATGCACCAGAAAAAGCTTCAATTTTTGGCGCGGAAGTACATAAAACCATCAAACAAAGTTTTTATAAAGGCTTAACAGAGCCTGAAGGCTCTTTTTTGTCTCAAATTATACCATTCTATAATATAGTGTTATTTGCTTAGATTATGAAAAAATTCAATAAATTTTAGTAATTTTTGAAATTTTTCATATAGTTATAAAGATTGCTATCGTCTTCACTTTAAAACCTTTTGAAACCGCCAAAAAAGATATCAATATCACAAAAAAGGTATCAATACCACATAAAAACAGTCTTTCCTAGTACTTTTAGACCTTAAAATCAAAATAACAGTCCAAAACCAACCCTACTCTTCAGGTATTTTCGAAAATATTACTGTTAATCCCGAAAAGTAGTTCAAAATGGCACGTAAAGTACGTGTGAAGCGCGAATAATTGGCCTATCCATAAAGTTTTCGGACAAACACGATTTGTTATGCCACAAAAAACTTGAAAAAATATTTGAGACAAGCCAAAGTGTACTTAGAATCCGGACACATTTTTTAAGATTAAGAAAGCAGTGGCTACACGTACTCACGAAGTATATGTGAACGTAAAGTATAGAAATTTCTTTTGCCCTATCTACGTGCAATTTACTAAAATGTGACGTAGCTAAGAAAAAAATGTCATAATGTTTTTGTAGTTAAAAAATGTTACCTAAAATTAAAATTTTTTAATTTTTTCAAACTTCTGATGGCCTTTATACCTAAAAATTTTTTAAAAACTGAAGCTTTTTCAACGTGAAAAATATAAACAAAAGAAGAACCAAAATTATCTTAAGAATAAGAATATGGTCTGCTTGAAAACACCTTAAAATAGCCAAGACAGAACCCAAAGTCAGTCCCACCAAAACCAACTAAAGTATAATCAAAGTACAATCATGCTAATGATGTTTTAGGCAATGGGTGCGCCAACGCTGCCTTGAGCGCCTTTTCGGCCGCCTTCTTCAGGCGTTTCTTGTTGGCCTCATCACTCTCGGTATCTTCTTCCCTACAAGAATATATTACCATGATTAATGAGCCCCGAATTTTCTTTCCTTATTATAATATTTACGTAAATTGGTTTTCTTAATAGTTTTTCGTATATTTTTATAAAATTTTAAAAACATGGTCAAAAAAATCAGTAACTTATTACCTAATTTTATCTTTATTTACTACATAGCTCATACCTAATGAATCTTGTAACTTTTAAAATTCATAACATTCTGTTATCACTTTAAAATTTTGTTTCCTTAGTATGTTTATCACCTAAGTTTCCCAAAATATGTTTTTAAAGACCTAATTTGTGTTCTCTAGGTTATAAATAATATACCAGCATACCCTTCGTCGCTAAGCTCAAGATCCGCTTCTTTGGCCATTCGCTTCTTCCAGTTCACTGCCGATGATACCTAAAATGATGTCTTTCTTCAGTGGGTCGTATGCATTTTCGCAAAAAATAATTAATTCCAAGAAAGTATAACAGAACAAACGTTCACATTCATCTCCGCTTGATGTGTGTTTGAGAATACTTTTAGAATATTAAGAAAATTAACTTGAAGTAGTATAAAATATCAACCAAGACCTAAATATACCTAAGAAAATCTAATAAATATTCAAAAAATACTGTTAGTCTACTTTAACACTATATTTACCATCATCGCTCACCTTTCTCAACTGATACTCAAACTTTTCGATTTGTGAAGCCAAGTAGCACCTATGTTGAATAGCCTTGACCCTTCTGACATTGTCCATCTCCAAGCTGGATACCTCGTTCTCTCTGTGCAAACTTTTACAAATCTTTTTGTATCTTTGTACATCTTGTGGGTCTAGCAACAAAAGTGACATTCCATTCTGTAAGGCTCTCGCTGTTCGACCTGATCTATGAATATAATCTTCAGCAGTTCGTGGTATTTGATAATGGATGACATTTTCAATGTTTTTAATGTCCAGACCTCTGGCAGCAACATCTGTGGCAATTAGAACAGACTTGGGGGTGGCTAAAACATGTGTTTTATCATGATAAGTAATAAACAATATGGTTGGTAAACAAAACATTTATCTGAATATGCAGTATAATATCAACCAGACAAAAATATGAAAAAACAGCCGAAGTCAAAAAAAATATAAAGCAATTTTCGACAGAAAAAATGAAATTACAACCAAAAATCGACCAAAACCTTAACATACCACTAAACCTATCCAGATTCTGCAATCTCTTCCGTTCCTGCATTTTCGCGTGTAGTAACAATGGAGTGGGCGTTAGCTTTAACTTCAATAACAGAGTGTACAGTCTCTTCGAAGCGTCGATACTATTCGTGAATATCAAAGTTCTTGCTTTGTAGGTCATCAACAAGTAATAGAGACGACTGTCCTTCTCCAATAAGTTTTGGCAACAAATCTTCCGTTCTTTTAAAGTTGTTGGAGTTGCGAATTCGTTAGTCAGATCAACAACTTTGTACTTTTTCCTCATTCGAGTAGCTTTGGCAATCTCTTTGAGCTTGAGTTCACGAGTTTGCTGGGCTTTAGTGACGTCAGGTAAGACAAGGAATGTTAAGGTAGCTGAGAAGACAAGAGTTTGAATTTGTTCAGTTTTTTGTCTAAAAATACTTTTTAAATTAAATTTGAAAAAATAGAATTTATATTAGATGCTTTAAATAACTCATTTCCTAAGCTACAACAAAAAATAGTAGATAACATTAGATAAAGCTTTAAAATCTTACTCATAAATTTTTGCGATAAGCTCATTCATTTCTTTAAAATGACCCTTCTCCAACATTCTATCAATCTCATCAATTACAACGTTCTTCAGCTTTGAGAAGTCTCCTGCATAAGGATGTGTTGTTGCCTGAAATTAGTCGTTATTTCACCATTTCTATATCAATACCTTCATTATATTAAAGCTTTTGAGCATAAAACAATAACTGAACTGATGTTTGAAAACTTTTAAAAATCTGATTCATGTGCCTTGATGTGTGTTAACATTATAGAACTCATTTAACCACGAACAGTAACACAAAAGCTCACCCAAGACCAAAACCGTCCAGGAGTAGCAATAATAACATCAGGTTTCGAGTTCAGCAACCTTCTCTGTTTCTCCTCACTCATTCCTCCAATAATGCCAGCGGCTTTAAAGTCCGTAAACTTTGAAAACTTTTTGAATTCCTTGTTAATCTGCATAACCAACTCTCTGGTCGGAGCTATAATAACTGCAAACAACTTTTTGTTCTTGAAGTCAACCTTTTGTTCTTGTTGTTGTTTCAACAAGTTTGACAAAATCGGAATCAAAAACGCCAAAGTTTTACCACTGCCAGTTTCAGCGGCTCCAAAAACATCAATAAAGTTTTGAGCTATAGGCACAACTTCTTGCTGGATGTTTGTAGGGTTAGTAAGTCTAGAAAACAAATAATTAACATATAATAAAATAACACTGTTGTTAACACTAAATGTGATTTAAACTTGTGAAGCAGCTAAAAAAGCTATTACTAATACAATGGTACAAATATTATGATCGTTTACTGCCTATTTTAACATCTAAACATAAAAATAAAAAACTCCAATACCAGCAATAAAAACTTACTTTTCGCACTCCAAAGCGCAGAGTATCTCTTCTGGGACGTTCAGTTCTTCCCATTTACTCATATCAAGTCTCTAAATATAAAATAATCTAAGAAAACATAAAACTTACTTCTTCTACATTCTCTAACCATTGATTCAGCCTGTCTCTACCATTTAATCGCTTCGGTTCTTCCTGCTTTGGCTGTTCTATTACCTAAAAAAAGTTTAAATCTCTAACCAACCAAAATTTTAAAAAAAATTCATTAATGTTACCTAAAACAAAAATGACTTATTAATTTATTTTCAAACTAACTTCAAAACTACGTCTTACTAACTACAAAAAGACGTTTTACATTGCCTAAATATAGAAAAATACAAAACAAGATTAGCCTTACAATCTCTTCTTGCTCCTCCTCCTCTTCTTCTTCTTCCATCTCTTCATCACTTTGCTCTTCTTCCTCTTCATCTTGTTCCATTTCTTCGTCAAGAGGTGCTTCTATCGGTTTAAAAACTTCCTTACTCAACAACACATCCATAAGGTCCTCCGCATCGTCGATATTTAACGTAGTCATTTTGGCTAACTGAAAATAACTGTAAAAAATATCATAAAAATAAAATAAAGCAAACAAAATTAAATAGAAAAACCTAGTACTATAAACATATAAAACTTTGGCCCAAATTTGTCAAAATTTTTTCCCAAAAAAATAAAAAGAATTATTTTTGCAAGCCTGCGCCCCACTTTTCAGCAGTTAGCGCAAAGCATTTATACGGAAAAACAAGTTTTTGTATGCACCTTGTTAGCAACAAATTTTTACTGTTGCAAACTGGGTTTATACGTGAAAATATTGTAAAATATTTACGTGTTAAAGTTTTGGTTTACTATATTCAAATTAGGATATTGTCTTATGTCTTGTACAAAAAAACTACAATTTTAAGTTAAAAAAATTTTTTAACTGGCATTGAAATTCATAAGCACAAAATAATACATGTTTTATTTTATTTAAATTTTGACTTTTAAATTTATTTAAATTTCGATTTACGCGGTTTTTTCGCAAAACAAAAAATTCTTTGGCCTTCCGTTTCAAGTTTATTCAATCGCGTTTTCTCGCGACGCAAACCAAAAAATGGATCGCACCTGCCTTTGATTTCCAAAACAAGTTACTCACTAACTCGTTGAACATGGTCTGGGTGAAACCGGAACATCTTATGGTATCACAGCCGTTCTGGTAAGTTAAATTACAGTTGAAGATTTCTGGTGTTTAGGACGACAGAACGTGCTAATCTCTTCTTTGTGCTGCAAAAACGGAAAGCGCAAGGTAAAGGGCTGGGATCTTTGTTTGTGGCTACGATCGATTCGGTTTTTGACACAAAATCGTTGCCATACAGGATAATATACCATTATGATGGAGATGATTTGAGCATTTCTACGGGTAAGGGGCACAACATGATGTAATGTATGCTTAACATGGTTTTTTAAGTCTTTGGGTTTGATAAGAGCAATATAAATGGCAAAAAAGTATTATTCACTCAAATTATTTAAAATAAATATAACTTAACATCGTATTATTGTTAAAATTTCAAATAATTACTTTATAACAACAATAATCAAAGAAAATCAATATTAATCTTGTCTATTTTAGTCTTGGCAGTGTCGCTAAGCTTAAAAGAAATTCAAACACATTGGGAATATCTGGAAAAGGCTGTTTTGCCGGTTTTGGCCAAGTTCGAAAGTGAAGCAGAAGCTCGAGAGTTTGTTATGACAAAAGTGGAGAGTTTATTTGAAACAGAAAAGAATAAAAAAGTGTCAAATGAAGCAGAACCTACTAAAGATGTTGTTTCACACAAATTTCATAAACTATTTGATCTACCGGCTGACGAAAAGCTGGTTAACTGTAAGTGTTACCTAAAATTAATGTTTTGTCCTGAACATTTATGTTTATGACTTAAAATATGATTTTTTGGTTTTAAAACTTTTTTATTAGTTTTCGAATTATGAAGAATTCTAAAATAAAATTAAAACTAGTTTTAATATTCCTAAGAAAGTTTTTATAAATATTATTTGGTACGTTTTTACAGATTATGCTGGTACATATTGGAAAGGACGGACACCTTTTCAAGGAAAAGTCTATTTTTCAGTCAACTTTTTGTGTTTCTACAGTTTTCTAGTTGGGAAGCAGACAAAGATTCAAATACGATGGACTGAGATAACGGTAAGTTTTCTTTAATTAATTTTTTAAGACTTTAGATTCAAAGTTGTTTTAAGTTAATCTTGCCAACCACAACTTATATGACAATATTCAATACATCATGGTTGGCAAAGTAAAAATATCTTGAAAAATAGGTTTTAATGGTACAAAGTATTGTAGTATTTTGTCCTTTTAACGTTACACTGTTCATAAAACATGTGTTTTTAGAAATTAGAGAAGAACGCTCCCTTATTGTTTCCACAGACATTTACTGTAGTAACTCGCAATGAAACATACGATTTCTCATTATTGGTTAGCTTCAAAGAAGCTTACAAATTGGCGTCACAGCTGGCGAATTTGGCTATGAAACAGTAAGTAGAATGTTTTTTAGTTGGTTTTTATTGATTTTGAAAATTTAGATTTTATTGATAAGAAGGTTTTAAATTTGAAAAATTAAGTTTTTTACTATTCATCGAGCTCTTAAACTCGAATTTAAACTTTTGCCTTATCGGGGTTGATTAGTTTATTAGGAAATTAGTTGATTATTTGTGCAGTGAAGTATTATTTAACGGTTATTAGTGACTGACAAGGAATATTGAGGTCTCATTTGGTGGGATCGTCTTAAAACAGGCATTAAATGTTCAATTCAAAGGCCAAAGAGTTAAAATCAAATTATACAATAGAAAAAAACTCAAATTCAAACATCATAATGAATTTTAAATAACATTGTGACGAAAATGAAAAACATGACCGCAACGAACACTAGCCGAATCTCGAGCTCACGATCATAACAGACTGCTGCGAGATACTCTTCGTCATTACCTTTTTCCATCATTTCGTCGAGCTGGACGGTGTGAAGGGCGTGCTTGGTGGGCTCGTCCATTGGGGAGATTTTCATGTTCTTGCGGTAGTAGTCGCACTTGGTACACACGATCTCGGGCAGTCGATTAACCTAACAATGTACAGTAATATTGATAACGGATTGTGTGTTAAGTTTAGTTTACCTTGTCAATGGAGCGAACAGGCACCCAGCTCTGATAGGTGACGTTGTGATTGTCCAAAAACCTCTTTGGAGTAATGTAACTGAGATCACGGGTTCCAATGTTGTTGTAGTTGACTTTGCTGATGTCTTGAATCACTCCGAAGTAAATGTACATGTAGCGGGCGTTGCAAGTCTTTCGGATGATGAAGATGTTCTCCTGAAAGATTAATTTAGTGTTTTGATAGTTCTGATTACCTGTGGTGAAGGTATTAAGGATGGATATTAAAAACTCTAGTCATTATGAAACAGTACGGTTATATAACCTCGCTGTGATTATGAAACAGTAAGGTTATAAGGTTTTACATGGTTGTAGAAGCAAACGAACATACTTACCGCATCGATAGCTGAAGCATCGGAAAGGGCTTGTACGAACACCTGGTCGATTTCGTCAATGTACTCTGGGTAAGATGGCATCGGAGTTTTTAAGCGAAGAACCGTGAAGCTAGGACTAGTGATATTGAACTTTTCATCACATTTTGGAAATTCCGTTTCCTAAAAAAACTTTAGTTATATTAACCATATCCTGAACATTACCCTCTTAGTGTCATACTGATAGCAAGTACAAGTCAGGTTCTTATTGTGGGTGTTACAAAGAAAGTCGTGATCTCTCAAACAAATTCCACGCTTGATACTATCCTTCTTGGTGACTGTGTCATCGTCTGGGAATGGCAGTTTCGGAGCTCCCAGATTGGTGTAGTAGTAGTTCTGCTGATAGCGATTGTCAACGACTACTTGGAACGCTTGGGTACTGTAGGAAATCAAGCAAATCGCTAGAAGCAGCATTGCGGACGAAATTTTGAAGGTTGAGGGAGACAGAATTTCGAAGTTAAAGTGAAGATATATTGGATATCTAGCGATTTAAATATCGTAGTGAAGACGTCGAAGAGTGTAATTACTTCGAACGACGTGTTTTGGTAGTCCGATATGACTGGTGAACTCATTTGTCTATTTTTTTAACTTGTTATTGTTAAATATTAAGAATTTGGCTAGCGAATCAATTAAAAATTTGAGATATGAAATTTGTGAACGTATATTCATGTCTGGATAATGATTTTAGCGACAATGTTAATTAGTGTAGAGTCAAAAAGTACATCATACTAAGAGACATCTTAAGAAAAAAAATATATTTATCTGTCATGCACTTTTCATTTAAAAATGTAAAGTAAAGGCAATAAAGTACATAAAAGTGTATCAATTAATTTGTTTTTAATTTAATTTCACAAATGAAATATGTTAAAATGAAGCTTCTTTAGTATGACCCTTAATAGTATGATACACTTCTTATAATGACAGATTTTTGACCGCATTTAGTAATTACTAATGAGGTTTGACTGTAACTAAAACGGTATTTTTGCATATATTTAATGTCTCCCAACTTTAGATTGATCGAAGAAGAAGGCTTCTCAGAAGACGCACTGTTACGCCAAAAGTTCCTCAACGAAAATCCGAAGAAACGGGCCAAAAAGTCGGGAAATTGCTTTATTAAACGAGATCTGGATGCGAGACAACGAAGCGAAAGTTACAGGTGAGTAAAAGATAAAGATTTTTACATTACGACAAAAGACCTTATCAATACAATGTATTAAGTATATAAGTCAAACGATATTGATAAAGGGTCCGGAAGTCGTTCTATGAACTTTTGTTTGAATTTTGAGTTTATAGTTTGCTCTAACTTGGTGAGGATTATCTGTCGTTTGAACTATACAATGTCAATTGATCGATAAATTGTCGACCATTTGTTGAAGGAAGCTTTTAATGATGTTTTAGTAGCATGTTGGCTTCCGATTTGTCATTATTTCTGGTCTTCTCGAATGAAATTGATCTCACTCGTCTGCTCAATATAGGAAAGGTTGAGGTTGGTGTTGAACATCCTTATCAATGTGTCTCTTTCTAACCCATCTTCCATTACGAATTCAATTAGGAATTCAACTGCCTGAACGGGAAAGAATTGTAAAATACGAAAAGAACATTAAGAGTTTGAAAAAAAACATTTTTAAAATCACGAAACCAATAAAAGACGAAATTTTCAAGATTATTATAATGAAGAGAGAGGTTATATAACTGCTTATAAAACAATAATTATAAAAAATCTTGAAGCCGAAAGAACAAAAATACAAAAAAACTTACATGCTCAGGAAAGTTGCCAAAATCAACTGCATATTGTTTGAATAAAGGTGCCAGAGCGACTGTTTGTTTCTTCAAATCCAGTTTGAAGTTTACACTATGAGACACGAATGATTGGGCTGCTTTTCGAAGTTCAAACAGAACGTTCTGAAATCAACTAGGTATAAGAAAGCTCTTTTTAAATAAAGCCTTGTAAGTATCATTGGTACCAAAACAATTGGCTTTTTAAGTATTATATTATATATTCTGAAAATCGAACGCTTTCTTTGCTACAAAATCTGACCAACAAGTTGTATTTTATTCAAAAATTCAAATAGAGTTGCCTTAAAGGCTCTTATGGTCAATAGTTTGTGCACATGTTGTGACCTGTAAACATAACACGTTGTTGACAGTAAAACCTTTTCATTTCCGGTGCTATCACACCTTTATAAAGCGATATTACAGTTATATAAAGCGATTATTTGAGCTTAAGATACCAAAAACCGTTGGCTTGTATAACAGTGTTTAGTTAAGCGTACTTACGCGAGCATGATAAGTTTTGATAGGAGCGCCATGAGATCGGTACTGATTAAGGCCAAAGTGAACTAGTGGTTCACCGTCCGGGATAATGTGCTGAAAATAGCGTTAGTTTACATAGGCTAATAATAAAACGAGGATTTTGAAAATTGAAAAAATAATTTTTAAAATTTAAAATTTAAAAGTAAATTCAAAATGAAGATTTTGCCTCACCTCTCTTCTAGGATCTTCGTTTCCAAAAGGTTTCCACAACATCTCAGGGCCTTTTTTGTTTCCCCTCAATATTCCGTTGTAAATCGCCTGTAATGAATAGCGCTGCTGGTCGATTAAGTAATAAGTGTTGTTAAAATACTTTCGTTTTTGCCAGATATTCATATGAGGCCCGTATTTGTAGATAATGTGGAGTAACATCATGTTATATACATTTATGAACAAGGCGATACGCTCTTCTACTGAGGAATTTGCCAGATCTAGACTAGCCAGCTGAGGAATTAGGTTTTTGTAGGAGTCAAATTCGGTGCATTCTTCTAGACGTTCGTAGTAAATGTCCTGGAAGGGGAAAAGGTTCAGGTTAATATGGCTGTGGATGTGATAGCTATCATGATAGTGGTTTTACAGTAAAAAGATTGATCAGTCTTATTGTGAAATTTTTGCGACTAAAGGCCGCAGGCGAGACACATAAAAATAAAAACTTAATAACAAACACTAAAGCACCTACTTCTTTGTTCTTCGCTAACACATAATCGTATACTTGATCAGCAATGACGCACAAATGTTCGTTGAATTCATTCACACTGTACCCAGTCGTACTCAACTCCCCATTCGTCAAGTTCAGGGGCATACTCGGGTCGTCTTCCGGCATCTGGTAGAATTTATCCGGATTGAACGTGGAATGCTCTTTTAATTGATGTCCAAAGTGTTTGTCAATCAGTTTCTGACCCAAGACCAGCGCTTCGCCTCTCTCTAAACTTTCACTGTTACATCGATTTTCTTGGTTTTGTTTCGTGGGCTTTTAAAAGTTATCGTAAATTATGATCGTTTGAGTTTTGGAATGATTGTAAAGGCATCTTTCTCATTAAAAAAAGATTTTAGATGTTATGAACAATTAACTGATATTTTTGGTAATTAGCGTTTTATAAGGCGTTTTTTAATGTTAAAAAGGTTTGTAGTATTAAAAAAGACAGCGTATTACTTATTGGTTTTGACAGCTACATAAGTCAAGACATTTTAAACTGCAACTTTTTAAAGTTTCTAGAAAGATCCTAAAGTAAAAACACTTACTGATACTTTTCTCCTTCACCAGCCAATTAATAAGGTCTTGACCTTTGATTGAATTCCGTTGAGCCATCATTCCACCGGGTCTATCTCTCATCAAATTTGCTTTTCGCATCATTTGCAACATTTTATCATTTTCCAACGGAATAATATCGTCAACATCATCGACTTCAATGTTATGATACATGTTGTTTTCCTGCTCCATCAGCATGTCCAACACTTCCTGCCAAACCTCGGGAGTAGCGACCTATAAGTCATACAATAAAAAGAGGGAATGATAAGTATTGATAAGAACAATAGATAATTGTTGAATAATCGTAGTTGCAAAACCATTTTATGTTTTGTCTCAGAATGTTTTATTTTGGGTTCTTCTTGCTTAATGTTATCATATTTGTAAAAGATCTGATGTTCAGCACAAAATAGACTAGGTGGGTCAATATTATAGTATATACTGTGCTTCATACTACATATAGTATGATGTAGACAACATAATCTATAATATATACTTACCAATCTCCTCAAACTATCATAGCCAGGCACACGCACGTTGTTGAAGAAGATTTGCGGCGTAACAAAGTTGTTTCCTACTATTTTCTCGAGTTTGTCGTTGATCTAAAGACGAAGTTTTCTCAGTTTTTACAAATTTTGTTTTGAGATGAAACACAAACAAATCATCCCAAAACTTTCGAAAGTGCAATATGATGACTGAAGGTGTGGCAATAAATTTAATTTGTGACGATTGCTATGTCGTCAAAAGGATTAGTCGGTTATAAAACTATCAGTTCAAACAGACGTTTTGTTTTTAAGGGTAATTATTGTAATCGTGATTTTCTTTTAAGGTTATGTGATTGTAAGATTATGTTACTTAGTCTTACTCGTGATGTCAAAAGATGTTTTGATAAAGGTGGTCAGTTAAAACTTGTAATGTGGTAAATAAGTCATAGAATTGTTAAAACACTTGTTGACGGAGCTTGTCATGATGGATTAGATATTTTTTTTGTCAAAACAATTTTTGAAGGTTATGGTACTTTTAAACGAACCTTTTTGAATTTTTTTACAACTATTGTCTAAAAGTAGTAAGGCCTATATAACGGTAGAACGGTTAAACTCGGTTTGCTTTTGCTTTTATAATAATATAGTAACTACCATTGGTTAGTAATTGGTAAACTGTCTTACCTCAGGAAACGCATCAAGTGATATGTCCAAATGAGGAATGCCCAAATCAGCCAATAACAATTTGGACTTGAGGCTGTTTGTACAATTGGCCTTTGAGTAAACAATAACTGATCCGGTCATATCGTTAAGACCTTCCATTGTTGCTGAAAATGGTTGTTAATGTCGAAATATTATCTGAATATTGAACAGTAGATATGGTGTATATACATACGTCACATTAAGAAAACTTTAGTATGCTTAACTTAATGTACCTATTCATACTTTTTGTGGCATTTAAGGTATTAAATTTCACGAAAATATATAAAAGTTGTAAATACACAGTGTTGTAGTTACTATGTTAACATAATAAAACTTTTACATATTCTTTTTATAAGAAATGTTTAAAATTACGAAATAAATGGGTGTGAAAAGAATAACATCAAAAAGAACAATATTAATACCAAAAATATGAAAATATGAATACCAATACACATGTTATATAAACAGCAGAACACTAAATCACTCATAAGATTGTGAATCACAATTCTCATCTGTTCACTTACATCCGACGTTCTTTATTTTGATTAGGAACGTCTATTCACGTCTGTCTTTTTACTACGGTTTACAACCATGTTCTTTTATGTCTTTATGAATGAACTTTTTTTAAACCTTTCACCTTCAGAAGGCGGTTCACGTTGCCTTACTCGGAAAAAGTTGGATGGTGATACGGCCTGTCGACTCTACACAACGTACGATCGGCGCAGTGTAAATGGAAGACTGTACATTTCAACTAACTTTGTGTGCTTTGGCTCTCGGGTAGGTGGATGATGTACGACAGGTTGAAAGTTGAAGAGAGTGATTTTAAATATACATACCGAATACATAGACATTCATTACAAGCAACAACATGTTTTATTTTTTAATGTTACCTATAATAACACTTTACTACAAGACATTTTAAAAAACACTTGTTTACTATGTTTACACAGTGACGCATAGTAGAAACACATTAACTAATTATTGTAAAAACCTTAAATAATCAAAGTCACGAGGCTCTCGTTTAAGGTCGAGCGACTGGTCAGCGTTGTAATACTAATCAAGTTGATTGATAAGGTGGAGATATTTTCGGACACCAACAATGTAGCCCATAACGGTATTCAAATTAAACTCAAAAATGGACGAAACATACAATTGAATGGGTTTTCGGATCGACAGACGGTTTTCGAGCGGCTAAAAACGTTTTTACTCAAGTCGAAGCTGAGAGACGCCAGACAGAAGGAGAATATGGTAAGGGGTTTGTTTATTCTAACAAGTTTGTAAAGGGTAATTTGGGGTTTACAGACAGTAAATTACAGTGATAGGGAAAGCAAATTAAAAAGTACGGAGAATTTGAAGTTTACGGTAGTTAATCAATTAGAAATATATTGTTTTAGGTAACAAAAAATAGAATTTGATAGGAAGTCATGTTCAAATAAAATTTTATTTAATTTTGGACTAAAATATGTATAATAACACAGTTTACTGACTAATGTTGCTTTAGATCAAGTTACAATCTCAGTTCACAGAATTGGATGAAGATTGCTTGAGGCAAATCTTATCAAAACCTTTGTTTAAACGTTATCCACCCCGCGATAATGTGGATGAGAAGTTGAAGAGGAAATGGGAACGATTCAACGAAACCTACGGCGACGACTCGACGATGTACAAGACTGTGGACTTGAGTAGGCTTCTACTCGAAGGTAATTTATATTTTTGTGTTTTTTGTGTGGAGTAGGTTAATATTTATATGGTAGTAGAAAAAAAATTGGCGGTAGAAATATCGGTATACGAGTAGTATAATATATGTTGTGATATGTAAATAAAGTTGAATACCAAAAATATGAAGACACTAATCTTACTCAAAATTAACCTTTCAGGTGTCCCAAACGAAGAACGTGGCAGGTTATGGGCGATTTGTGCTGGCGCAGATCTAGAAATGAAGCTACATCCAGGAGAATATCACTCGTTACTCAGTAAATCTCGAGATCATTCAGCATTCACGATGGAAGAGATTGAACGTGATCTTCACCGTTCTCTCCCAGAACATCCAGCCTTTCAAGGAGGACCTGGAATCGATGCGTTGAGGAGAATATTGGCTGCATATGCGGTTAGAAATCCGAGTATTGGTAAGTTTATGTTGTAGTAGGTATTGGTAGTTTATTCTGGTTTATCTTGATAGGTGTTGTGGGCAAGCAGTAATGGTGAAAGTAGAAATTTTGCATAAAAGTTGAAAAAGAACTAGAGTTTCATCTATACTGGGATATTTTTAAACAATTTCATAAGTACAAAGGCTGATTAATATAGCTCTAAAAATACCTTCAGGTTACTGCCAAGCGATGAACATTGTCGGAGCAGTACTACTTTTGTACTGTAGCGAAGAACAAGCCTTCTGGATGTTAGTTGCAGTTTGCGAACGATTCTTACCTGACTACTACAACACGAAAGTGGTAGGAGCTTTGGTAGATCAAGGAGTTTTTGTTGATATTGTCAGCAGAACTTTGCCTGGATTACACTCAAAGCTGCTACAATTGGCCATTGATGATATGGTAGCATTGTCATGGTTTTTGACAATATTTTTGAATGCTATCAAGTTTGACGCGGCTGTCAGAATCCTGGATTTGTTCTTTTACGAAGGCTCGAAGGTAGGCTCGGATGGAGTAATATAATCTTTAGGCTTGGGCAGTGTAATATAAATTTAATTTGTAATTTGATTTTTTATATTTGTTGTTTATTATGGGTTAAAAATCTACTGCAGTATCTACTGTAGTAGCTACTGTTATGTCAAAACAAAATTACATTGTTTTAGTTCATGTTCCAAATGGCGCTACAGATTCTGAAAGAAAATTCAGAAGCGTTACAAAAGGCTCGAGATGATGGTGAAGCGATATTGGCTCTAGCCAATTATGTTTCCAGAATTACCGAGTGTAAAGTAGAAAACTCACAGTATATTTATGTTGGGAAACTGATAGCCAACTCGTTCAGAAGCTTTGGAACGTCATTTACTAACAAGGATGTGGAGAAGTTGAGGCTCAAACATAGACTGAAAGTTGTTCAGGTAGGTATTGAGGTTTATTGGCGGGGTAAAATTTGTTTTTAATGAGATAGAAATTGTTTTTAATCAAGTAAAAAGTCACAAATTTTGGAAAAATTAAATTTCAAAACATTTAAAAATTTTTTAATTTGTACTATAAGCCTTTTCTCTACTCTTTCTATGATAATTTATGCAATATTTTTAACTTTTTTGTCTATGTAAAACTATATTTTTCACAATTTTAGAACCTCGAAGACAGTCAAATGAAATCAGCGATCAAAAGCGTTGGATCAGACTGTAAACTGGACCCAGAAGAGCTCCAACAACTTTATAATCTGATCAAAGAACAGTACCTATTAAATTGGCATACTCGACTGGGCACTCGTACTGAAAGCACAGACAAACAAAGAGATAGTCAAGGACAATATAAGATTGATTTGGAGCTGTTTTACCACATATTCCCACAGCTATTGCCTTGGCAGTGTTCTAGGCTGTTTGTTATGCGTGTGTTCAGGGTAAGATTACTATACTTTTATTTCTTTTTGTATTATTTTGATACTGTAACTTTGAGATGTAACTTGAGGGTGGTTACTGTACTTTAATGTTATTTTTTGTTGTAATGTGGTGTTGAATTTTTTTTATAATATAAGGGTTTTGTAATGTTATTGATTGTTTTAGCTGCTGGATATGGGCCAAAATGGATACGTGACGTTCAAAGAAATGGCTTTTGTTATTGGCACATTATTGAAGGGTGATTCCATCGAAAAAGTGACATTTTTATATCGACTACACATTCCACCGGCTTCTTTGGAAAACGAGTTTGAAGAACATGGTCTCTGTAACAGTTTGAGCAACAATGACATGAAGGATGGTATGTTAGGATTAAAAATTGGATTTGTAACCTATTTTTTGAAATTTTGAGACAAGTGCACAAAATGAAACAATTTATGGGTTTTACTATACAAAATACAATGAAAATTGCTTTTTATCATAAATATAACGTTATGTTAACTACACAGTATAGTATCTAAACTCATAGTATTCACAGTTTCAGATGAAGGCTCAGAAGTAGCGACAGAAGCTGCCGACCTGCTGGAAGCGGAAAAAGGAGTTCACAAGTCAGCAAGCTCGAGCAGTGTCAGTACCGAAGATCGTCCAGGGCCTTCGAACATGAAAAACAGTCAATCAGTGCCATCTGGATTCGACACAACCAGTCTGGTCGAATCGTTGAGTGACCAAAGTTCAGTTGTGTCAAGACAAAACTTCACTCCACGATTATTCCCAGGCTCTCCTTTGTCAGACTTCAGCATTCCTGACAATGAGCATAGTGAAGTTAGCGGTAAGTTAAAGGTTTTTGACAAAACTGTTATGTTATTTGGATATAATCTTGTATAACGAATTTTAAAATATAGTGGAAGGTACTTTTGGCGATAATAGCTTGTATAATATATATAAGTATTAATACAATGACTTACAGACAGTTTCTCAATGGTTGAAGATGTGAACGACGCGGTAAAAGCCTTGTCTTTAAAGATGAACAACACCAGTTTGAGCAAGTTCGAAATAAATTCTGATGTGGAAGTCACGCAAATTAATCAGGTAAGGACATTTTTCATATTTCATCCATTTTGTCGTATATTATACTATACTACCTTATATTACTTTACGTTGACTTACCTTAATTTACTTTCTTTTTTTCTTGTTTCACTCTATTGTACTTTACATACTATACTTTATCTTGCTTTTATAGCTGTCTTACTCACTATTATTTTTAAAACTTCTGGAGTTGGGTATTTAATATCGAGGTGTGTATGTAGTATGCTATCTTGATTTTGATAATGGAACTGGTATTTAACATATATTACTATATACCTTAATAACTAACATTTCAGACCGAATTCATCAATCTTCTGAAGACATTTTACGATGTAATCGGATCAGTCGATGAAGATATGCAAATTTACCACGCCCTAGCAGTAGCCGGCACTCTTTTACTACAGTTAGGAGAAGCGGAAAAGAATTACATAACAGAATTGAAGAGTAATATTGACGATGCTATCAACACAACAGACGACAAGACATTATGCGAAGAGAGTACAGAGAAGTCAGACAAAGGAGAATGGAAACTGAATTTGGAACAGATTCTGGCTACTGTTGTCGCTGAACCATCACTGACAGAGTTTTTCGACAAAAAATATTCATTAAATGAGAAGGTGAGGACATTCAGAACAAGAACTATATCTACCGAACCGGCTACGTGAAGTGGTGCAAATTTACTGCTCTTGTAGCACAATACTGCTCTTAATAGTACTATATTACTTTAGATGGTACTATATTAGTCTTATTAGCACCATATTTTGTTCAATCGTACTATGTTGTTTCTAGCGGTACTATGTTGTTCTGAATAGTACCAAGAGCCAGTTGTAGTATTATTTTAACGAAAACAGCGCTGTATGATACATACAGGACAAGACATGACATACCTTGTGTTTGATTGTACATACAAATTTTGTTTACATAATTCCATTTTAGTCTTACAACGACATTCAAATGTCATTTTTAAGTATTATAACATTGTAAATTTTGTAATATTGTATATATAACCAATAATAGTCACTAATATCAATACAACAGTTTTGTAACATGATTCCAGTCGTATTTTAGCAGGTATCTAAAGCGAGTTTTGTGATTCTTTTCAATGAATTTTCATCTACTGGTATTCGTAATGTATGATAATATTAATTTGAATAAAGTTTGTAGCACAAGGTTTGAGTTTGCTGGTTTATTGTCTTGTAATGTTTTGTTCAAAGCGTATTTTTACAATACAATAGTTATATGTGTCGTAGGCTTATGAAAAACTTCGTATAGGAAGTTTCATGTAAGTCTTCTAAACCACTCTTTTGACCTCTTGTTTCGAAGTATAACTCTTCATACTGACGTCGATATTGTTAATCACATCGTGCTCGTATATCCCCAACTCGTTCTTCTCGAAATCAAAGCCCAAAGCATGGTTAATATAGATTGGACGACCAAATACGATCAAATCCCTCGGATTGGGCACCAAATTCAGTCTACATTCACCGTCTACCACATCAACAAGATTCGCGAAAGGAATGGTCACTTCCTTGTCGTTAATAAGTCTTGATCACAAGGTCCGACGTATCTTCCGATGTCACGGTCGTACTTTACATTCAGTTTGTTGATAACGGCAGTAAAGTATCTGAGGGGTAGTTTGATAAAGTACGATGTAGAAGACACGATGGCGGAAATGTCGGTTTTTACATTGTAGTTGCTGGTCTTGATTGAGGAAACGGGGAACGACCAAAAGTTGTTGGCGTTATCTTGTTTGGCTTTGGCTATGAGAAGTTGGTCATCTTTCTGGGAGGTATGACCAAGACGAACTGAGGAGACGGTGATACTGAAAATTTTATTATTTTTTAAATTTTAAAACGTCGAAATTCAAAATTAAAAAAAATATATATATAACTTACACCGATCGTTGTTCAATAGCCAACCATAACTTCTTGTAGCCACGATACTCAAACAAGGCATCTCTGACACTATTTTTCTGACCATCAAACCTTGCAAATCCAATTCTACCTTCAGCCTCATCTCCATTAAAGACTTTACTCGGTGATTTCCCTCTCAATTTTGTTGGCACACCAAACCCTCCAGCGCCACTTTCAAACACATCTTCGGCCGTGTAGCCAATAACGCTACTGGCAGCATCACTATAAGGTTCATAGTAATCGTATTCGAAAGATTGTGACAAGTTTTTGAAGGTTTTTGACTTTGAAAAGTCAATACCATGATATGGCGAAGGAAGAGAGTTGGCGTCGTATACAAAGCTATCAGAGCTGGTAACGTCAAGTATTAAGGGGTGGAGGTTACGGTCTGAATCCTCCAATAAATAGGTCAAATTATTAGAAGATGCTAGTGGGAGTAGAGATAGTTGGCAGTCATCATGATCAAAATAGTCAACGTTAAAGCAAAAATTTAATATTTATCTTTTTGTAATTAAACAATTTTAAAAAGTACGTAGGTGAAAGATAAAGAACAGTAGAGTACAGTAAGTACAGTATTGCTAGTATATATTTATAATGTAATAGTACTACTGTGTTATGAAAGCTCTTATATACCATCACCAATTAGGGTAAAACCCAGTTAATTATTTAAAATAATGCGCTAAAATAGGATTAATTTTGTTGATTTTTAATAACTTTAATTTGTTGTCTGTCTAAGTTTTTAAATCTGTGAAAAACAGATCGATTCCAAACTGCCAAATTAAAAAAAGACTGTTCAATATTATTATATTATAAATATACTTTTAAACAACTTTGCTTCAAGTAAAATTTCGAATTTAATGCTAAACGGACCGAACGTAGTCCATATTTGAGTTCATATCGAGCGAGTTCGTCTGATTTTTATTGTGTTTGGCATTCCGTTGCAAAACATTTTAAATACGGAAGAAGCTAACTATAAATATTATTTTTCAAATTAACTGGTCGTTTAATAAAAATGAATATAAGCAACCATAACATTTATTTTTACTTAGCACGATTTTTAACTACAGTCTTTCTAACATCTTGTCGTGTAGTATAACTTTTGAAGCTCGTATCATCGTTGTCAATAATATCAGTCGTATATATTCCCAAATCATTCGTTTCAAAGTCAAAGCCCACTGCATGACTCATATAGATTGGCCGTCCAAATACGATTACATTTTTATCATGTGCCATAAGGTTAAGCTGGCATAGGTCTTCGAGTTTGTCAGTATAATACTCAAATGGAATTGTCACTTCCCTGTCATTAATGCCAAAAGTAATATTGACGTTTTGGTTACATGGTCCAATGTATCTTCTGATGGTATGATCGTACTTCATGTTCAATTTCTTGCCAATTCCATTAAAGTATTGGGTTGGTAGCTTGATAAAATACGATGTAGAAGATACGACGGCCGAGATGTTGGTTTTTACGTTGTAGTAACCGGTTTTGATTGATGTAACTGGGAATGACCACAGGTCGGAATTGGAATCTTGTTGTTTGGCATTGGCAATGAGAAATTGAGCATCTTTTTTAGAGTTATGGCCAAGTCCAATGACGTAAACCAAGACGCTGAAAAATATTTTTTACTGATCGTTTTAGCTAAATTTTTAATTTTAAAAATTACTTTGACAAACTGCCATTTTCAATCCATCCTTACTTTGGATACACTCTAATCGCCAGCCACAACTTTCTGTACCCATAGTTCTTCAGCAAAGTGTCTCTAATGCTAGTTCTGTTACCCTTAAACCTCGCAAACCCAATTCTACCGTCTGTATATAGTTCATCGAAGTTTCTGCTCGGTTCTCCATTCACTTTTGTCGGCAAACCGAACTCTCCTCTGCCATTTTCAAACACATCTTCTGCGGTGTAACCAGCGACGTTACTGTCTTCATCATTGTACGTTGAACGGTATTCGTATTCAAAAGGTTCTGACAGGTTCTTGAAGGTTTTTGAGTGTTCAAAATCGAAACCAATGTAAGGCCAACGAAGAGTAGTTTGGTCGTATACGAAGCTGTTAGAGCTGGTAACGTCAAGAATGAAAAGATGAGCATCTTCTTCTGAATCCAGCATTAGATAAGTGAAAATGTTAGAGGACGCGAGAGGAAGGAGAGGTAGTAGTAGGTACAGTAACTTCATTTTGAGGCTTTGTGTTACTTTATAGCAGTACGACTTTTAAACAAGGTATGCGTGCTATAATTTAAGAGCTAATATTCTAAGCAGTGGTATATCAATATAATATTTATATAAATAAGGAGTAAATACTATAGTTGTAACAATGAGAGCCATCCGTTATATAAATCAAAGTTATCAGTCAAACAACATTAATAAACATTACCCCCCCCCCCCGTAAAGATAACACTACAAGTGTTGACTTTTGTTACTGATATTTTGAAAAAATCAAATTATGATGCTATCTCAACCAGAACATGAGCAACAGGCATCTCAAGTAAGCTTAAAATAGTTAATTAAAGAAGTTTGATTGCGACTATAAACCGTAAATCAATTTTTCTAGGAGTGGCCATAGCTTTCTTTGCCATTTACGCCCATTTTATCATCTTGGTTATTGAACTTTTACATGTAACATAGTTATAACAAAACATTTTTAACCATAAAATAATAATAATAACCTTCTTCAGTAAGTAGGTACTTTAAAATACGATAAATAAGGATCATAATAACCCCAACGTCAAAAGATACGTCCCAAATTCTAAAACCACGTTACAATCATTATATTTATAAAATGCATTAAAATTACAGTATGAAAGTAAGATAGATACAACGTTAGTTAGTTTGAATAATGGTCTTGTTATCAGGATCGTAGGCAAAGTGATTAGAGATGAAAGACCGGCTATTGTAGAAGGTCTCTAGGCTTCCAAGTTTCATTTCCTTTGCCTGAAATTACAATATTAATGATAGTACACATTCCCAAACCATAAATTTATTTTTATATTAACTTTTTGTTTCATTTAAATTTATATTATGGTCAAAAATTAAGTAGAATAATATTAAAATTCACAAAGCTTGAATATATTGATACAGACAATACTTTTCCTTAAAAAAAAGAATTTAATTGTTAAAATTACCTTTTCCATGAGTTCAGATTCCTTGATGATAATCTCAGCGTTCTCGTTGTTTTCAGTGTGCCGTGATTTTTCGAAGAACCTCTTTTGACGGAACATCTGCTTCAAATAGTACATCAGGATCTCGTTAACATCACGTTTGAAGTTCAATTGTCTTGAGAATCTCTGAAAAATCATTCTTTATATTGTAGTAGATACGTCAAGAGGAACAGAAATAAAAACTTATAACAACATCGAAATTGTATTGCTAAACGTGAAATCACCATTAAAATTTGGCAAATTATACCGCCACAACTCCCTTTGTCATAATATCAACCTTACCTGTCTCATTTGCTTCATAACAGCAGCCTTCTGGGTATTGATGAAGCATTCCAACATGACTCTGGTGACAGCCTTCATGTCCTCGTCCGTCACGTACTGTCTCAAGAACAACTTGGCATGAGCTTCGGCCATTCTGATCATAGATTCAGCACTTCTCAATGTCACAACAACTGAACCGGTGACCTTCGATTGTTCTCTCAGCTCTGAGTACAACCTCATCACACTGTCCTCGCTGATCTGAAGCTTAGGATGGACATTATCTCTAGCAAAGGCAATGTACTTCCTCAACAAAGCCTGCGGAATGAATTCGATGCCAGAGATCTCGTCTCTAGTCGGAAGAACCGGCTCTCCAGCACCATGAATCCTTTGTTGATCCGGATGCATTCTTCTGTGGTTGTTGATGACAAAGTCGGCCAGAAGATCATCTTCGGTCGAATCTACAGTATCTCTGACAACACAAAGAATGTCAAAACGTGATAGAATAGGTTCAGTCAGGCCCACATTGTCAGCGAACGTTCGGCTAGAGTCGTAGCGTCCTCCGATTGGATTAGCTGCAGCAATTACAGTACATCTGGCTCTCAACGATGTCACGATACCAGCCTTAGACACAGAGATAGACTGTTGTTCCATGGCTTCATGAATTGACGTTCTATCGTGATCTTGCATCTTGTCGAACTCATCAATTAAACAAACACCCTGATCGGCGAGTACCATAGCACCAGCTTCCAATGTCCATTCTCTTGTTACTGGATGACGTTGAACATAAGCAGTTAGACCAACCGACGAAGCTCCTTGGCCAGTTGTCATCACAGATCTTGGAGCCAAGTGAGAGACATATCTCAAGAACTGAGACTTGGCCGTTCCTGGATCTCCACACAACAGCACGTTAATGTCACCTCTGATCGTGTGTTTGCCCTGAGGGTTCTTGGGTTCTCCTCTGAACAATGCTAGAGCTATGGCCTTTTTAATATCATCGTGGCCGTAGATTGTTGGAGCAATCGAAGCAAAGATACGGTCGGCGATCTTAGGGTCTTTGGAAAGTTCTCTAATCATTTTAATATCTTCATCAGTCAATTCGTCTGATTCGAGTTGGTCCTTGCAGATGATGTGGTTAGCCATGATCATGGTGTTGAAGACCGGGAAACCTTGCTTGTTGTTCATAGAACAGTCGTAGTTACTAGTGTAGACTCCAGTCAATTCCTAAAATTATGTTTTAGATATCAAACCATAAACAAAAAATTTAATAATACATGGTTTAGCTTCTGACCTTATCGTTAATATTTCAAAACCCTAAAAAAAAAGAAAAAACTTACAATAACATCACCAGGCTTACAACAATCGCACAAATCTCCAAGAAGAATGACATCCTTTGAACGAGGCAAACGGCCAGCAGCTACAAGATTTGGCGACTCTTGAATGGTAATTCTCTGGTAGTTATGATACACAGTCTAAAATGACAGCATACCTTTAAAACTGTAAACTTAAGAACAATTTAAGGCAGAATATTTAAAACTTGCCCTTAAAAACAAAAAAAATATTAACTATACCTCTTCAACATTCAAACTGAATGGCCCTCTACTTTGACAAGATGGACAAGTTGTTGGCTTTGACTCCTCGTCCTGACGTTGAATAAAAGGTCCAATAACGTACGAACAAGACTCACAATTGTATTTGGCCACCGTGAGTTGAGGCAGAATCCCAGTAGTTACCGTGACAACTCCATTAGTCTTGATCAGAGTATTCAGATGAATATGTCTCAATGATCGGATCTCTTCTTCAACCGGTAATCCACGAATTCTGACAGAGATCAACGGTGTAACTTTGTGATACCATGAGAAGATAGAGTTGACAACAGCTGTAGCTGCATTGTCGAGACGTTTGAGGACTTGAACTGGAGCTTCTGGCAAGAAGTAACAAATATTGGTTTCTCCACCTTCTCCAGCCAAATCCGAGAAGTCGACTTCAATACTTTCCTTGTTGTGAGCCGCCATTTCCTTAATCACAGCAATGTACTTCAACTGGCCCTTCTCGTCTTTATAGGTGCGGAGGAAGTGTTTGAAGCTTAAAAAAAATGATATTAACATAGAACAAGTACGTCCTAAAAAGCTTCTTTTTATCCCTCATATAGCTAAAACTCAAAAAATTTACAAAAATTAGAAAAGAACCTTTTAGTTAACATTATTACTTATATTCAAATTGTTCAAGACCTGACAAACCTAAATCAATAAGCATTTAAAAATCCTTACCGTCTTTCGATCTCACGACCAACAGCATCATCACTAACATGCTCTCTCACAGTTCGATCTCTCAAGTTTTCCAGAACATCAATTGGAATATCTTCCTCTTCCTCAACTTCCATCTGAACATCGTCATCAGCGTCTCTTTGACGCTTCCGTCTTCTTCTGCTTGTTTCATCTTCATCTCCACTTTCGTAGAATAACTAAAACAAGGTTTTATTTTAAAATTAAAAAACTTTGAATATACCAACCTTTATTTTTACATAAACCATAAAAGGCATGTTAAGCTTTATTTTTGCCTAGCATAATATAACTTACTCCATCGTCCAATCCCAAGTTGTCTCTTTCAGCCATTTCCCTTTCCGCAGCTCTACGAGCTCCAAACGAGATCTCAGACACATCATCATCGTCAATTCCGCTAGCTGAAAGCTGATCCAGTTCGGGTTGAGCACGATAATCCCTAAAACAATATAAACTCTAATAAATATAATTTACCTCATCATATCATCTCCAAAAAGATCTTCACCATCCTCCTCTTCCAGCTCGTAGTCTTCTCGTTCATCACCAAACAGTTCGGCAATGTCGTCGTGATCTTCTTGAGAATTACCTCTGTCAGATCCTTGATTTCCAGAAGGTCTTGAAGAAACTCCAGCAGATGAAGCCAAACTTTCATTCTCGTCGTTGAAATCACTCATTTTTAGTTAGTTTAAGTTTAGTTTAAGCAAAAACACTGGGTTGTGGTGTTAGGAAAGTGAGGGAAATAGTGCTATAATTTTTGGTTCAAAAGTTGTTTTTCGCTCCTTTTCGAAGAGCAATCGCGCGCCATTTCTACAGCAAACTGCGTCCGAAACATGCAATCTGCTGATGAAGAAAGTCTAAAGAACGAGACAGCCGGTTGCTTTTGATTGATGAAGATTGGGGTTCTATACAACAAACAAAAACATTTCAAATAATTTTAAATTTGAAAATATTGAAATAATTTATTATAATAAAAGTTTAGTTATTGTATTTTTGATTTATTGTTTCTATCAAGCTTATCAAGGAATTCGGAACAACGTGACAGATAACGTTAATTGTTTAAATGGCATTGAAAAGCGAAAAAGCTGTCTTTTGTTTGTGAATTTTTTTAAGTAACAGTTTCTTTAAAGCAACGTTCTCTCAGCTTATATTTTAGTTTTTGACCGTTTCTGGTCATGTTACAGTACTTTTTAATCATAATTTATAAAATATACCAATAGTTAAAATCAGGTGTGTATTTTCTGCCACTATTTTTAAATATAATAAATTTAAAGTTTTTTCTGTGTGTTTCGCCTACAACTCTGACCAATTTTACAAAAGCCCTCTGGCGATCTTTGGCCAAACTGTTTAGAAAGTTTTCGCGAAATGTTTACAAAGTAAGGGTGATTGTGTCTTATCAGTCGATTATCAGGTCTGGGACTGAAGTTGTGTCGCTTCAATAAAGGAGACTCTGTTTATCGGATCATATGATTATTCTTGGCCATTCGGATTGACCTTCACTAAACAGTTGGCGTTCGTTGAAAAAGTGATGGCCTTGGACTTTCTCGCAGCTAGTTTTCTTCTTGCCATTTCTTCTTTAGTTAGTCTGTTCTCGGGGTTTTGCTCTCGATAAAACGGGCAGTAGTTTAGGTTTTACCTTAAAATTTTTGAAAAATATTAAATTTTTATAAAATTTTGATTTTTAAATATAACTATTTAGAAGTGTCAGCATTAGAATAGCATTCTTTTTTAGAAATAAAATCTAAAAAACCAAAAATTTTTAAAATTACTTATTTTAAGCCCATTTCGTGTTTTGCACGGTGCAAATACTAAATATAATCATTGCACCGTGCAGAAAGTAAAAGTCTGCACTGTGCCGTTTAAAAAATTTGAAAAAAAGTTGAAATCTATTGTTTTTAAAAAATATTTTTGAAATTTCAAAGAAATCACTCGTGTTTTGTAAGTAATGAGTAATGGCAACAGATGCCTATCTTTTTTGTTCGCTTCACATTATAAAGGTCAGACTTGTTGACATTATCCTATTTGAGCTAGGAAAAATGAGTTTTAAAGCTTTTACCAATTCAAAATTATTTACAAAAAATCTTTCTTACCTTTTTTAATTTACAAAATTGTTAGTATATTATGGTTTAGTATCTCACATTGTAAGATTTTTTGATTTTTTGCTTTTGAGCGCTTTGTGGTACTATTAGTACTACTTAAAGGCTTTGTAGTACTACTAGTACTATGTTAACGCTTTGTGGTACTATAGTACTAGTTTAACCCCTTGTGTTAATAATAGTACTATTTTTACGCTTTTTGTTATTATTAGTACTACCAAAACCTTCAGTACTATTCTAAAAATCAACTTTAGAAGATGAACCGCCTCGTCCTACTCCTATCGGTTGTAGTATGTCTGACTTATGCCCATATTGATCATCAACAAGTGTTGTTGAAGGAAAACCGAGTACCCAAGATCCCCCACCCTCAATTTGGATCGGTTTGCGGAGAATGTGAGAGCATTATCAATAAGATCGTCGCAGCCGCCAAGGACCCAGCCAAGTTGGCCGAACTGAAGTTGATCTTGTCAGCCTTGTGCCACGAAACCTCGTACGAAGAGGAATGTCACGTCTTCGTCAGCAAGTTGGACTTGTTCTTGGACAAGCTTCTGCCTTACATGGTAGGTTTTAAAAACTTTGAAATATTGATTTTTTTTGGGGCGGGGGGGGAAGGGAAGTTGCCAAGGCATAATAGGAAGGTTTTTTAATTTTCCATTTTTTAGCTCTGATAAGAAGTAAAATATCAAAATCAAACCATATAATGACTAAAAGAACTTTTCAAATCAATATTATAGTAGCTAATATATAATAAGTAGTAAGTCAGGGTCTAAAAATCGTTTTTACAGAAGGACGCCCACAAGGTATGCACTGAAATGCACTTGTGCAGAAACTCCAAGATTGACATGTTCCACAGAATCGGCCTGATCTACGCCAAGAAATACGTCGGAAAGTTGGATCAATCTGTAAGTTATTCTTTACTTTACTCTGCTTTATTTACTTGTATCAAATAATGTAAACAAAGACGGAATAACCACGTATTTTACATAAAATTACGTTCCTAGACTAAGTTTAGGGACGTAATTTTTAATTTTTTTGTTAGTTCTTTAGAGTGAAATACTCTATTGTATGTCTAATCTTTAGAATAAAATACCACAAAGACTAGCGTAAAGTAATATAAACTTTTACAGAACGGTCTTGTCTGTGAGGAATGCCAATTCGCTGCTCGTGAGCTCCAGCATGTTGTTGATGATCGCCAAACCCAAGCCGAGGTCCGTCAATTCCTGAGCCACAACGTGTGCGAGCACTTGGGACAATACCGCGGATCATGTGACATCTTGGTCGATGACTTCTTGCCAGAGCTCTTCCAAGAATTCCACACTCTTCTCAACGACCCCAAAGAGGTAGGTATAGGTATACCGGTAGAGACTTGGACTGAAAGGATAAAAAATAGTCGTAATTTCTCTGAAAAATACGGATTTTTATTGTATCTCTATACCCTTTTAGGTAATTTTTATAAGTTTACAATTTAAAATTTAAAAACTTTTCAACTTTTCAGTTCTGCGAGCACCTCCAACTGTGCCCAGCTGCTGCCCTCAAGAACAAGGAAAAGGTTAGCCGTCGCTTAATCAAACACGTTATGTCTAACTGATTATTCGTAAACGGACATTAATAACATATTTCAGCCATGCATAATAATATTTTGAGTAAAGCTTTAAAGGTATACTAGTTACAGCAGGATATAGCTGCAGGTGTCATGGATAATATAACTCTATGTTTTTTATAAATTTTAAAAACATTTAGGATTATTATGATACTTTAGTAATCAAAATACTATTGTTTATATGAGTTTAGTCAAAAAATACTAAAATTGTTCTCTAGGACATGACTATTTTGTAGTACTGTACGTTTAGGACGATGTTATAGTAGAAGGCGGCTTCGAGGCCATGATGGAGCGTATTAATGGTATATCAGACGTACGTAAATTCTCGGGTCTTGGCTGTGTTGAGTGCAAAATCTTTGCTGGAATACTTTTGAAACATTTAAATGACGATAAAAATACGGTAGGGTTACTGTAGTCGTGTTGTTTCCCTCTTGTGCTTCGAATCGTCGTATCTTCTCAAAACCTGGCTTATAAAAGTTGTGTAGCTTATAGAAACACTGTAGAAATGTTTTTACCATGTAAATAGGTTCCTATTTTGTTGCATCTGCCAGCTGAAACCCTTATGTTCAACATGATATTGCTACAGTGCTATGAGTCAACCCCTTATCATGCCCTACCTTAACCTACAGCCTCGGCATCGTACCTCCGTTGTTACTTCAGTAGAACATCTTACTTACTAAAATAAGTTCAGAAAGCTCTTGGAGACGATCTCCGTAAGTTAGTATGTCCAATTCTTCCACAAACTTGGTTCGACGGCTGTGAAGACTTCTTGTCCTTCTACGCTCAACCTACAGTATACCTGGTACTGACACAAGTGACTGGGGAGAAGTTGTGTAAAGCTATCCACGCTTGTGATTCTGTCAGTTGTAAGTTAATATCAAAAAATTCAAAACTAGATTGCTAACAAAGAAGATCCATCCAGTTAAGTACCTCAAACTTAAAATAACCTGAACCTTGTATTCTTATCAGTTGTGGAAACAATTTCCGTAGCCAAGACCTCTGGCCTAGAATGTTCGATTTGTGAAAGTTTTGCCAAACTTCTTGGCGAAGAATTGGCACAGCCAGAAGTCAGGAAAGAGCTTGTAGCCGAGGCCAAGCAGTCACTTTGCAGCAAACTTGGAGTGTTGAAAGAACCTTGCAACAAAGTTGTCGGCAACTTTGTTCTCAATATTATCCCTAGAGTACAGTTTTACATCGAACATTCATGGTTTTGTAATGTAAGTTTTTAATCTTTTTTATCTTGGATAAAGCTAGTGGACATTTTATAACTTATATTAGGTTGTTCAAATAATTCTGTGCCTCCTAATCACAAAAAATTTGCTTTGAGAGAAGGGAATCAATTGAACAACCTGACACTTTTTACTTTATTTTAGTTTTTTTTTCAATTTTTAAAATTTTTTAAAATATATTTTTTATTCAAAAAATTTTGAAAAAACCTTCATTAACATCTATTTTTCGAAAAAGAAAGTGAAAAAAAAACATATTAATGTTATTGTAAATAGAAAATTGCTTGTAACTACTGATAACGACCATTTATAGTTAATCCATCAACAATGCTGAGGACGTGTGCAACTCTAGATAACTTATCAGAACAAAAGAAATTAAAAAGGCATTCCTTGAGTTGTTCGACTTTGATTGAAAAATAGGTTATAAACTTAGAAATGACATTTTAAAACTGAAAAGAACGATGAATAGGCAATATGATGTAAAATACGAGGTCCACGTTAAATTAATCATAACGTTTTTAATCTTCTTAAATGAAAGCCAAGTTTAGTCAAGCTTTTATCCATAAATATACAACTTTAAAACCAAATATTCACCATCCCACTACGAAGCTACATTCCCATTGAAAGTATCGACCAGTTGTCTAATCAGATGCTCAGCATGTTCGTTCTTCAAGTACGGCGAGCCATTGTTCTCATGATCGTTTGGCAAATAGTTCTTGACATCACAAATGGTAACACTCGCGACACTCTTGTAAGTCACCAAAACCGAATTGAACATCTTGACCTTCTCCACGTACTCAGTAGATCCAATACCTGGTAACTCACAGATGTAGAACTGAGCATTATCAGCCAGCTGGTTCAAGGTTTGGATTAGGATTAACATCTGATTAGTAACTTCAGACAGTTCCCAATGAAGAAGCCAGCCTGGATCTGGAATGATAATGACTTGACGGACTTTCTTCCATTCAGCTTGGTGAGCTTTTACCTAAAATAATGTCATATTTGAAGAAAAATAACAGAAACACAGTCATTTGATCCAAAACAATATAAATGAACAAAAATAGTAAAAAGACAGGCCTTTGCCCCAAAAAATACGAAATTCAAACAAAATAGCAAAAAAATATTCACCATACCGCATCAACAAAAGACGGGATAGAAATCAGACCAACTGAAGCAACCGTCATTTGAAACGAGTCTTTGGTTGGATAAGGTCCAGCCACCAACATCAGACTCGGTTTGAACTCCGTGACATCCTGGAATAGAACACAATTCTGGATTTGAGAAGTTTTGCCAGCTTTCAACAAAGCAGCATTACTCTCCTTCAAAGTCTCGATGAACAGAGCTCCACATTTGTCGGCGAACTCCAACGTCAACTTCTTCAGAGATTCGTTTCGAGATTCTGGGAACTTGAGATCCCATAATTTTGCATTTACTGAAACGGAAGAATGTTTAGATGTTAACGCGTTTTCATTGTGTTATCAAAAATCAATTATTCTTTGTAAAAATACCTATAATTATCCAAAAATCGACCTAATAACATGGTTTATATTGAGCCAAAGTCGTTTCGAATTTCGAAAAAGTTTAACGTAAAATAAGCAAAAACAACTATCAAAATAAACAAAAAATCAGTAAAACAGCTTACAATTATGCAAAGACGCTTGAACTTCAAGATTCTTCTGATCGTTAGACGCCATAACTTCAATGCGTTGTGAAAAGCGACCGGTAACTAGGTTGATTTAATGTGTAGTAAGAAAATTTAAACGAAATATGGCTTTTTTAAACCCAAATTTTTCATAATTTTAAAAAATTTCTATGTTTTTTGTTGATAAGTTATGAAAAATGGCATAAAATTCCCGCTTCTATGAGTTCTTCAGCCGATCGGATATTTTCTGTCTTACTCGTAAACAGTTGACCTAGAAGCAGTGTTTTGCCGGACCGGTCCGGATGAGAATTTTTTCGGTCCGGTCCGGAAAATTTTTTTTTTATTTTTAAAAAGAGCCAGGAGCGCTAAAACTGCTTTCTTTACGTTTAAAAGTCTTAAAAATATGTTTTATTTGCAATTTTTAAAACAGTTTTATAAAAATAAAAAAAAAATTTTTTTTCCGGACCGGTCCGCAACTTTTTTTCCGGACCGGACGGGTCCGGCAAAACACTGCCTAGAAGTCAAGTCTCTCTCTTTGCTGGTAGGCTGTCGAGCGGTTGAATTCGCGCCAAGTTGCGGTCTCAGAAAGCTACTAGCTAACAACAACTTGACATTTGGACAGATTTTTAAACATTCTAACTACAATATACCTCAAAGTTGGTAACACTAGTTCAAAACTCAATTTCAAAAGTTTGGAAAACAAATTTGTTTGCCTGATTGCTGTGATGAGTTGCCTATTGAATCACGCCGTTCCTCCATAATCTGACAATTTCAAATTCACTTCTCAAGATGTTCAAAACATGTTTCAACGTGTTTTGCTTACCGTACTTTTACTTCCATTAATATGTCATTCGAAGCGGCGAAGAGCTTTGTTCAGTCCAATATCCAAGAGTTCTGAAGCCAAACGAGTAGTAAATGTGATTACAACGTACAGTCAACGCAGTAAAGAGTATTGTACTGGCACTTTGTTGTCTAATACTCTGGTGTTGACAGCTGCTCATTGTGTTCATTCAGAAAATGCTGGGCAGTAAGTGTAATATTGTTCGAATTGTTATAAGATGATTTTATCAAACGTATTTTACATTAGTAAAGATATTTTACTTTTTACAGTATATTGTAGGCTAGAATAAAGAAATTTTCTGGTTTTATAAGCTATCTTTTAGTTGCGAATATAAAATGAAATGTTTCAGAGCTTTGTCAATTGATGTACGACTTTCTACTGGAGAAACGCGTCGAGTTAAGAAGCTTTTTTTGCACCGCCATTACCGTAATGAGGTAACCAATACGCTTGCTAATATAGTATACTGTGTTAAGCTTTCCAAACTAAATTAAAAAAGAGTTTTAAAATTACTTACTATAAGATGAACATCTAGTACATAAATTTAAGGCGCCTTGTCACGATGTAGCCATATTACTGCTGGACAGATCAGCCAAGCTAACAATTGGCCCGTTAAATCTGGGTTGTAAAGATGAATGGAATTCTGGAAATTGCACGGCTTATGGGAATGGTGTTATTGAGAGTAGGAGAATGATTTTATTTTTATTTCAAATACTTTTATTTTTTAGGTGATAAATTTTTGTTTTAGACTGCAATTTAGGTATGAAAACTTTTATTTTATACATATATATTCAGACGGAGAATTGTCAGAATCAGTCCGAGAAGTGAAATTCAGAATCGACAAGCCCACGGTCGAGTTCTTTAGCTCTGATCAATGTTGGGAGACTTACTATACATCAAGGGCCAAGTTATGTCAGGTAAGATAACTACAGTGAGATGCCTGAATCACAAACCCTTTTAAAACGAACTTTCTGTGTTGTAGGGCGACTCTGGAGGTCCAGTTTTATGCCAAACAGGTAGCAAAACGTCGATTGTTGGTGTGAATGTTCAAATCGTGAGCAACTATGACGGTGACTCGCCTTTAATCATTTGCAAACTGTCATATGGCTCGATCATTTCCAATTACCGTGCCATTCTTGAGTTGATCCAACAACTACCGTCCAAATACAGAAATTATATTCTACAACAATTTGATACTACTGGTTGTTTTTGAGGAGACATAAATGGTTGACTGATTGATTTGTATTATTTTTTATTTGATATCTAAAATAAAATGATAATTAACACAACTTGTTATTTTTAGTTTCTTAGAAATTAACCTTGCTTTCTAGAATAATCATTAGCTAAGATATTACGAACATCGGCTAAAATACTTCGTTTCAAAGTTATTCCTGCCCCTTCCAAAAATTCGATTGTGACACTTTGTTACACTGAACGAATTGCCACAAAAATAAAAAAAGTTACCAGAATTGTCGCGAAATTTTGATTTTACGGTGGTAAAATGTAGTTTACTGTGAAAAAGAACACGGAGCAAGATGAAAAATGTAAGAAAAATGTGTAAATTTGAGCGAATGCTCAATAATGTTGCAGTTTCACAATGTAAAACAAGATTTTATCGAGTTTTCACGCTGTAAAATGAACTAATGGAAATTAAAGTAAGTTTACATTTGTTTTTGGCATAGTATATTTAGGAGCTTATTTCTGGCTAACGAATAGAGGTTTAACAACTTCAGGGTCTGGTCTGACGTGCGAAAAGAAATTGAACGTTTCAATGGTAATGTCAAGTCAATATTGAGCCGGTTCGTGTTCATGGGCACTGTAAGATGTGAATTGAGCTTTTTAAAGTATGGGTAAGCAAGTTTGATTAAGAAACTTTTTTTTGTATAACATATTTTTAACAATCTGCGTGTTTGTTACTTAAAATATTTCAAAAGCTTTGTTTATATGTTGTACTTTAGCAACAACATAGCCGGCTGTCTCAAGTAGTCGCCTGAACATGGATGTTTGATTCGCACAAACCCAACACCAATCTTCATACAGTAACATATGATTTCACACCTTTTCGCGCGGATTAACAGAAATTGTTTCGGATTTTATTTGAACTCGGCGAAATGGAACAAATACCGGTTCCGAATCTGGTTCAAGAGCTTCAAAAACAGTTGACCGATCTCGACATACGGACATTTGTATACTCAATATACATGTATTTATGAATAGTTATCACCTCGTTTTGGTCGTATCTTTGTGGACATTGATCGCGGTGATGAGTAAGTGACCTTGGGGTTAGGTTTATATGTTATTTGTTTGTGGCTATGTTTGTATGTACTACCTTACTTATTGGATGATGGTTATTTTTAATATTGGCGAAAATAATGAATTTTTTATTTGATTGGGTTGTTCAAATAATTCTGTGCCTTTAACTACGAAAATTTGCTTTGATAGGGGCAAATAATTATTTGAACAACTTAATATTAATCACAGTAATAATATTTTTAATATTTTTTTTTATAAAATACGGTGTTTCATTGAGGTTTTTTTTAAATTTAAGTTCTATAATGGGTTTAAAAAAATTTAATAAATAATTTTTTAAATGTTTCACTTACTAAAAGTGACTTTTAAGGCGCTAAATACGACGTTACAAGGTATACATTCAACCCAGACAAGCTTGACATGTTCTATCACACAAATGGCATCATGGTTATACTAAAGGTAAGCTAGATTTTTAAGATCCTGAAAAAGTTTTTAGTATATAATAGTTTAAAATCTATAATAATATTTCTTCAATCTCATTCCAGGCCAAAGCCCGTGCAGTGATCCGAGAAGTCCACCGTGAAGATGTGATAGTATTCAGTGACTGCATTCACAACAAGACTTCACCTCTACAGTATTCAAAATGCCTTGTTAGTTTGATAAATGCGAGAGATAGGATAAAGATGGAAAACAATGACATTTGGGCATCCAACTTTATAGACGATGTATCTGAGATTCTACAGCCTCTACAACAATCATTGAAAACTAAAATCAAGCCATTGAGAAGGGTTGTCAATGTTGGTAGTGCCAACTCTACAAAGGCTTATGGTAGTGGAAGGAGCAGTTATGGTAGAGAACAAAGTTACGGTAGAGAAGCCAAAAGTTATGGTAATAGAAGCTACGGTAGAGAACCGAAGGGCTATGTTGATGAAGGTGGAAGTTACAAAAAGGAATCAGTAAGCTACAGCGATGAAAATAGAAGTTACAGTAGCCAACAGAGAGCTTACGGAACTCAGCCTAAAACTTACGGTAGTATTCCAAAGACATACAGTAAAGAAAACAGAGAGTACGGTAGAGAACCCAAACTGTACAGTGGAATTGCAAAAAGCTACAGTAATGTAGTGAAAACGCATGGTACTGTAATACAACCAATAGATGACACAAAGGTTAAGAATGAAGGTGACAGTACAAAAAGCTACCCTACTGTACCTAAAGTTCTGAAGAGAGAAAAAGTAATGGAGAGATTGAAGAAACAACAAGATATCTTAAGGAAGACGTTGAAGGAGCAGAATCTGGTATTCAGTAGACCGTTACGTGGCTACAATACCAACTTTTATGTACGACAAAGTCGGAGGAACAAGAGGGGTGGTAAGTGAATAATATAGGTACTTAACGAGTTAAAAGTTCTGAACAATTTGGGTTTTAAACATTGTATAAGACATTATTTTAGCTACTCCATTCAAGCACATAGAGAAAATTCAGAAAATAAGAGATTTCATGAATAAAATGGATTACTGTAACAACTTTTTCGACAAATTAAAGATGGAAAACGAAGAGTAAGTGTAGATAGCAGTTTTCGTTTCATACAGCATTATATGGCTGTATAAAAAGATATATGTGCTAAATTATATTTTATTTTCAGAATGTTATACTCGTTTGGTCAAGAAGCGCGGTTTCAAATAAAAACGGACAATTTGGTTGACGAAATGACTGAAGGTTTACAAAAAATAATTCAGAATGTACGATTCGACAAAGTTTCTGTGTTATCACCTAAAATTATGTCAATATTTCCATCGACAAGTAATGGCATCGAGTTATTTTCACCAGACATACTCAATTTCCAAAACACTGGTATATTATCATTGCCTCAACTTTTTAAGGTAAGGGATGGTCACTATGGCGTTAAAAATTATCATTGTTGGTGTTTTCAAGTACTATCCGACAAACTTGGCTTAAAACAAGTAATATAGGTAACAAATGCCAATTTTATATGATATCTTTTCAGTTCATCTCTTCAAGTGACACAGAGACCTTACTATGGCTAGAACTATTGATGGAGATGACTGGAGCTTCTCAAAAGCTAGACTCATTTTTAAAAACGTACGAGAATGATATGATCAAGATGGACAATCACATCTACCCTATGGTAGTTGAACTGGAGAGAAGACAAGAAATGTTATACGAGATTGTTCTTGACTTTACTGAGGATCAGAAAAGGCAGTATAAGGAGAATGGGTACACTTACATTAGCAAACAACAATCTGTTAATTACTTTGGTAATGATCATGGTACGTTTATGTCATTTTATGTAATCTTTGCTTGGTTTTTACTTGAAAAATCTATTTTTTTATGTTTTATGTACTGTATCTTCTTAAAACGTATAGCTTATCATCAGAACTTTTAAATTTTACATATACCACTTTACTTACAACACTAAATTTTACTGTATTATACGTTCAGCTGCCATATACGATGTAGATGATGAAAACAAACGCGAAAGACTAATAGAAGACCGAATAAAAAAGATCAGCCGGCACCTCGATAATCTGGAGCCGGCTTTAAAGCTCGACCAAACCGAGAGCAAACTACGAGCGAAGCGACAAGAACGACCCGGAGGGCCTCCAGAGTTGGACATCAAAATCTTCCAGCCATATGCTTTCATAGCACATGCTGCTGGACCATCCGTACTCGAAGGACTCATACTCAGTCCACATGCCTTCATTTCTGAACTTATGCGACCTGAGTTGGCTACGGTAAGTTATTCTAGAGTTTTTTAAAATTTTTTGTATTTTTTGGTAACTTTTTGTGAATAGGGTATGTTAACATGGTAGAAAAAGAGAACTTTTCAAAAGTGATAGTATGTTTTGCCAAAGCTATCACCTAGCTTATTTTAGATGGATATAATATCACCTCGGGCCTTTGTAACAACAATTCTCAGCCCTCAAGCCCTACTAGCTCGGGTCCTCAGTCCAGCAGCTTTCCGTCTAGAACTGTTAAGTCCAACAGCTCTATTAGCATGGGTAGTATCTCCAGAAGCCTTCATTGCAGACGTCTTATCACCACGAGTACTGGAACCTCGAATAGCATCACCAGAGTTTATGACAGTGCAAATACTGTCACCTGGTATCTTATCACCAATGGTCGGATCTGACGAAACATTGGCTTTCAATGTTTTGAGTCCAAATATCTTGTCACCGCGATTTCAGAGCAAAGAAGCGATGGTCGTGGAAATATTGTCACCTCACGTGCTTGGGGGTGGTCATGCTTTCCCTCCGGGGCATGTGCAGCCTTAGGAGATTGTTTTTGCTATGTTTTAAAGTTTTATTTTTGTTTTAAAATGAGAAAATATGAAAGGTTCTATTAGGTTGTTCAAAAAGTAACGAGCCAAGACTATTTTATAGTTTCTAAAACCAAGTCAAAAAATGTAGCCATCAAAGATTAAGCTATACATTTTGAAATAATAAGGGGCTTAGATGATAAATTATTGAAAAGTGTTTTGTAGCAAGGAAAATTATAAAAAATTAAATTTTATGATAAAAATTATAAAAAATTAAATTTTATGATATTGTGATAGACGTCTAATGGCCGATCTTCTTTTTACTATTACTTTATGTATTTTATTGGCAAAAGCGTGCAAGCTTTGTTGAAAGTTAGGTAATTTACTTTGTCACTTTACTTAGCAATCGAAATTTTATTATCTATCATATTTGCGATGTTACAGTAATTTTACCATACACCACCTTTAAAATAAAAAAAAAATTTTTTGTAAATTTTAAAATATTTTGAGTTAAAACGTACAAAATTCCTTCCAATATAAAATACAAAACCAAAAAACGCTGCCATACCCATAAATATTAATGTTTTTATTATTTTCCAATATTATATTACTTTAGATATATATCTATGTGAGTGTAAATAAAGTTATCACAATCTTTGTACATTTGCGCCCGTATTTGTGTTGAGATGAGGATGAGGAATAAATATCAATAACAACTTAATTCGCAACAATACCATCGGTCATGTCCGGCTGAGGTTGGAGTACGTTCTCCAGGTTACTCAGCATGTCACGGAAGATCTCCGGGTAGGCTTCGCCTTTCGTGGCGCGATGGATCAGTAGCATGGCGTAGTGGGTGATGCGGGAGAGGCTCTGGAATGGTGAGCTTATAGGATTTGACATATCTTGTTATAAATGTCATACTAGGTTGTTCAAATAATTCTCTGCCCCTCTCAAAGAAAATGTTACGGTTAGGGGCACAAAATTATTTGAAAAAACCTAACAATATGTTATAGATGGCATATTAGTTTCAAATAATTCTGGGCTCCCTTTTAAAGATTTTTTTTGGTTAGAGGCGCTGAATTAATTGAACAAGTTAATATCAAGTTATAGATGGCATATGAAAAAATATGAACATTGATACTCAAATATGAACCATGATACCCTAAAACTTACTTGAAACTCCGATATCAACATGATGATAACAGGCATTCGTTGCGAAATGTCCCTGCCCGTACTCTTGATATGCGCTCCCAATCCCCTCAAGGTCTCTTGGCGACAATCCTCCAATAACATCCTCGTCTTCATACTGACCAGCCGTTTACATTCTAATGACGTACACAGTAACAATAGTAATGCTGCCGTCTCAACTTCATCCAAATGAGCACGAGCGAATGCCAACGTGACGGATTGTACCAGATTCACCGCTACACCGTACATGTATTCGTGAATCCGTGTGTAGACAATGTGAGGTTGGTCCATCTTAATGGTTGGGTATAGGTACGACCAATAGAGTTGGGTTGAGGTGTGTGTTAACGTGTGATATGTTCCGTCCGAGTTGTAGCTTTGGCCACATTCATGGCCATTAAAGCGCATTGTTGTTAGGACGCGGCCTAGGAGGTCCCAGTACTGTACGTAGCAATATTTTGAGAGTTCAGTCTGAAATTTTAATTTTAAATTTGCAGTTTTAACGGGAACTCTAAAATTAAAATTTTTAAATTCAATTCCCTATCATCAACCAAAATAATATATTAACCTACCCAATCATCATCAGGAATGCTCTGAAAGGTCGAAAACTCGTTACGAACGATCTGATCGTACACTCCAAACTCTATCCTCGACACTGCCATGTCATGTTGACCACTTTCACTTTCCTTGGCCTCATTCAAGAGATTGTCACCTGCCCGAACGTTTCCAAATTGACGCCGACAATTGGCTGTGAATTCGAATACAACTCGTCGTCTCATTTTCAAAAATTCTTGTAACATTTCACCAATGTTTTCGTTGAGGAAGATGTCGGTATTAACTACTGGGATCTTTTTGGAGAAGGTCGAGTACTTCTCACGTTGATCTGAGTGGAGTTGGAGTTCTGAAAAGATATTCATGATATTGTGATTGAAAAGATAAGACTCAAAATTAACTTTTGTTTCATAATAACTTTTAAAATATTCTTTTTGAATAAAAATTTGTTTAACTAATCGCTTTGGAAATAGGTTTTGGGATCTTACAGTAGACCAAGAAAATAGTTTTTGTTCAAAGAAGTACAGTAAAACTTTTTTACAACGAAACTCCTCTATAAAAAACCCTTTTTTAACAAAAAATTTTAAAAGATTTGAATTTTAAAACCATTCGTGACACTGGAGTTCTACAACATTTGTTATGTATGACGTCAGACTTACTTGATTCCAACATTCCTGCTTGAATACATCGCTGAAACCGACAGTACTTACACGCCCGTCTTGTTGGTACTACTGAAAACAAAAAACTTTGTCTTCCAGCCAGTACAAAAAGCAATTATAAAACAATAAAATGCTAATTAAAATCAATTTTATGTTTTTAAATTAAAAAAAATCAAAAGCTTTTTAAGTTTTAAAAAAAGTTTAAAAACATAATTTTCAAGACTCACATTGACTTTGCCCGCACAGTCTTCCATTCAGACATTTGTAATGCTTTTTCTGTTTTACGGAACGTCGAAAGAACGCTCGACATCCAGTACAAACGCCGACTTTTAGGTAATAAACAGTGACTGGTTCCAATCGACAAATGGTACACATTTTGCCAATGGAACTGGCTGGACTTCCAGATGAACTGGAACTGTCGTCCGAGTCTTTATCTATTGATAAAGGCATTCTAAAAGAGTATGATTTACAGTTACAGTATACGGTCACAGAACAAGTTACATTACTCGCTCGGAAATTAGGCAGAATCTTGGGTTATTGTAAAATACAAATCGCTTTACACAAACTGATACTAGAACAAATACAATGGCAGACATTGGTTTCTAAACCATTGTAAACTCTGGTAATATGAACCGTGGTATTTCGTACGTATAATATAATGAACCAAGTGTTCAGTGTCATACGAAAGAGTAATCCAATTACTTAGCAACACAATTTTCGAAAAATTTAACATTATACAATCATATTTTGTGATCTATTGTTGTATATTAATTTATGCATACAAATATGAAACACGAGTTTTTCAACTATAAATAAACGTACATTAACAAGATAATCATAGTTTAGATGGAAGGCCTATACTGTGATTTTGTGACATAAACTACGGCCTACAGCTTGTATATTACCTTGTAATCAAAAAGTAAGAAAATGCAGAGTTTTAAGAGGCTACAATCACAGATTGTGCAACAACAAATACAGTAAAACCTTCAATGTTATAATTATAAAAATTTTTTTTTATTAAAAAATGCCACCAAAACAGCGCTATGATGTTTGATACATTTGGTTGTGCCACACAAGTGTTACCATCCCCATAACAATGCTCTAAATGTCAAATACAGTTTATGTCCACGTTTTCAAAAACGCGTTTTGATTGCTCAGGTGTGCACCACGAATTCGCAAAATGTACAATAATATATTTGCATAAGCGAAATGACTCGGTCTTATCTCTGATATACGTTCGATTCGACAGATAAATTTAAATAAAAACTTTTTAAAATTGTTTACCCAATTTAGCGAAAATTACTCAAAATTTTTGAAAATCAAAAATTAACAGAATGAGAGATCGAAATGAACAAAACTTTGTAGTTTACGCATATAGTGACAAAATTATAAATACAGTTGAAACTCTTTAATATGGCACTCAAGGAACTGGTCCAACGATATCTTTATAACTAGCATGTCACACTCCTAGGTACCTTTTGATAAGAATTCTATTACAAAGAGCGGTCAAAAAGCTAACTTTGTGAACATAGTGACTTACTGCCGTACCAGAGAGACTTCACTGTAATAAAAAGAAATTGTAACTATATTTTACTGTGCTACTTTTGTCTTCTTGTATCTTCTCACCTATGTCTCTAATTTTCTCACATTTTTTGTAAGACCTCATTCAGCACAAAATTTATAAATTTATTCGGTGTAGAAAAACCATTTATGTACCTAAGTTTAAAATGCACTGTGCAGAGGTAGCCGGAGTTTCAAAAGTTGTCTGTTATACAAGATTTTTAATATACAAAAGTTGCAATTCTCATTCTGTACTTAATGTAAAAACAACGTAAAAAACCAGTTTTTAACCAAATTCCATTTAAATATACATTAATTTCTAAATGTATGTGTTCATGGCTTGCATGTACAATTTGATAAGCAAAATGTAGTCTTAATGTTCTTTGCTTCAAAAGTGTTAGTTAACTTCGGCCAGATTTAAAACGCGTTTCGAATGGAATGGAAATGAAACCATGGGAAACAGTGAGAAAAGTATTCAAAGGAAATGGTAAGATAATATATATATTCACGAAAATATATAAATACACGTAGGCAACAACAATATACTTTTTGTTATAAAAGAATGAAACGTGAGAGTAGTTTATAAAAAGAATGATAACAAATATTATTCTTGGCGGTAACAAAACGCTAAACTATAGAACGAATAGAGCAAACGTGAATAAAAAACATTGTGAAAAGTGACACAAACATGGTCTTAAAACTTGTATAATAAACTCAAAATTAAATTTTATGTATTTCCAACAACATTTGAATACTAGTGTACCGCTTAACAGAGCATTTAAAACGCATATATCAAAAACTCTTCATAACAAACAAATTTTAAATAAATCGATTCGTTATACAGGTTTCACTGTAGCCATGAAATTTAAAAAAATATTTAGCTTTGACTAATTCGGTCAAAAATTGGCTATAAACGATCTTCTTTATAATTTTAATTTTAAAAAATTGTGGAACCACTTTTTTTTAACTCAGAAAATGTTATTTAATTTGCAAACAAAATAAAGACCTACTTCCTGGTTAGTCACGTGTTCTCAACACTGTCTTCCTGAAACAAACACTAACACCACTAATATCCCATTAATAAGCGTGTAATTAATGTTACGTAACCCCCATAAACACAATGATTTGAAACAGAAAAGGTACAAAATGTGAAATTTCCTCGCTCCGACCTTTCTCGACTCTCCGCAAGGCAACCACCGAGAATAGAAAATGGAGAAGAGAGAAACGCCGCGGGGCCGGAGCGAAAGAGCGCGGGTTCGGGAAGAGACGGTGGACACGAAGCACTCGCGACAAACGTTTCTTGCGCACTTGAACGCAGCCCTTTTCAAATATTAAACGTGTAACACAACTGAACATTCCGGCGGCCCGCTTTGTGTCTTTTTTTGAGTCAACAAAAACTGGGTTACAACGTCAACTTTCCTTTTTCAGAATGATTCTGGAGACTCATTAAAGTTTTCTTAATAATTCTGAAGGCTTATCACAATTTCTTAAAGATTTTAAAGGCTTATGAAGATTCAGATTCAAATACAGTTTTTGAGGTTAAAGTATGATTTTGCAGTAAGAAGCAACAGTATAACTTCTGTATAGCAAACTGCTATATAAAAACAAATTTCTAGTTTCTGAAGAATTCGTTATACAGGAGTTGTATTGTATAAAAAATTATCATATAGTTTAGGGCGTCGCTTTATTCGAAAACACAAAACTAAAGTAAAATTACGATTATCATACAATAACATACGTTTCCGCTTTTACATCTTAACCTACTATTTAAAAGAAAATACATTTTAGTAAAAGATGATGCAAGTTCAATGTTTGTGACTAACCCACACTACAAGTTTTATTTTAAGTCAAAGCAGCCCACACTACAAGTCTATTCAAGCGTCTGTGTAACATCCTTTACAAAGAAATGAAAAGTCAGAAAACGTTCGCCAAATAAAAAAGTTGATCATTTTTGATACTTCTATGGAACGTTCTAGAAACAAAACAAAAGTGATGAAATTGCATTTTCTCCCAAACGTTTTCAGTACGTCATCAGCACACCTATGTTCAGCTGTGCATGCAATCAAAGTTATAGTTTAATACTCTAGTTTTCGTGTTTATTACAAATTTTTTTAGAAAAAATTGAACAAAAATAGAATGCAAACACCGTTGCAATTGTTTGTCGAGTTCTTGGTCCCATCAAACACGACAAAACAATGATTACACACGGTTTGTAAGGCAGTGTAACAAAAGGCAGTACAGTGAAAACTCGGGGCCACACTAGAGAAAACCTTCGTGGTATTTAAAACCCCCAAACAAACCACCCACTTCATTTATTTGAAAAAGGTCTTCTCTAGATAAAATACAATATTTTTGACTACAGCAACTTTAAGAGATAAAAGTTAAATACAGTAGAACACCTGTATAACAAACGCCCCTATAACAAAAATCTCGTATAACGAACAAATTTTGACTCCTCGACGAATTCTTTATGCAGAGTTCTCTGCTGTACTATGTATAAACTAACATAACCATTTGTTCCTAAAAATGTTTTTGCTGATTGCCGAAGGCTATAACAAAAATTAGAAAAAGAAGTTTTAAACATCAAAACTTGTAATATAAAATTTTGCATCGAATTCTTAAATTACAACGTGCTAAATTTCAGAACAAGAGCTTGTGTTTAATTGCCTGTAAACAAGCTATAGTTTACAATGTTACAGTTTTAAAATTAATCATTTGATTCACAAGATAAAAAGATCTTGCAAGCAAAAACAAACCGTTTTGAGAGAATAAGTAATAAAAATAATAATGTAAATAAACTTTAAAGACTAAGTTTTAAAGTTTTAATATGGTTTTCAAAATCCTTCCACTAGAAAAAACTTTTTTCTGACAAATTAGAAAAAATTAATTTGACCGTACCCCAGCAGTTCAAGCTATCCTAGCACTACTAATAATGTCTTAAAAGTTACAGTGAAATATTTTTAATATGGCTCGCAATAGTATGAAATTTTACATAAAATGGCGGCTTCTTGACCGCTCGTCATAGGAGAGCCACTATCAAAAAGCACCTAAATAGTATTATAAGGACAGTTAAATACCCAGATGACCATCGTACCGACAATTCAACGATCTTAATGTCAATTATTTGTACATCTTAATGCCAGCCCAAGAACATAACAAACCAGCTGGCTGGCGAAGAAACAAAACCAAAAGGTTTGTTCGAAAAGAAGTGGTCATGTTTGTTACTTTGCATTTTATTATAGATTCCCTTTTCTCTCTCTCTCGTTTATCACAAAAAACTTCGTTTGTTTCTCAGTAATGAACATCATCAGCCATCCCATCGCAGAAAAGAGAAAATGGATGAGATGGAACTGTTTAGCAATCAAACGTTTTGAAATCAGTAAGTTTGTAACGTGATGGTCAGAAATTGCAAAATATAAACAAATACAGTGAAACCTCGCTAATAAAATTCTGCTCACAACGAAACCCCGGTTATAGAATTTTCTTTAAACTACTAGAAAAAAGTTTTGCATCATGTATTAAGTAAAAGACCTCCAGATATGACCAAACCGAGCTACAGCAAACGATTTTAAAATCTCTTTCAATTTGGTATATAAAGAATATCCTGTAAACTTAAAAACTAAATAATACTGTGGAACACCTGTATAATTAGACCTATAGAGCGGCGAAAGTTGCCTTGAGCTTCGTTCCCTATGTGCAAATTAAATTAGCATGTGCCGGCCCAGCCTTTTTCAAACTTAAAAAATTGATGTTACAAAAAACATCAACTACAACTACATAAAAGTATAGTAAACTAAGATGAGTACAGTAGGACTCTCGTAGAACAAAATTATTTTATAACAAACAAATTTTAAATCGACAAGCGATTAGTTATACAGGAGTACTACTGTATTATTTGCAGCTAAAACACATCAAACTTCAGAATTAGACAATTGAAGAATTAATAATTAAAGAAGAGGTAATTGTCGAAATCAAACGGCTTTTTTAAGTAAACAACATTCATTGAGAAGTTACAAAAAAAATGAAAAGCAGCTGAAAGCTATAAGTCTGATAGAGACAAGAGGTACAAAACATAAAATTCTTTAATAAGTTACACCTCATATTTTAAATTTACTAACAAAGCTCCGCAATACAGATAACAAAGCCCTTTAGATAAATAGTGTCAAATTCTAGCTCAAAAATCAAACTTTTAATTTTCTTGTACCTCTCTTTAAACTTACTATAAATTAAGTGAATTTACTGTAGCACTCAAAGCCAAAAACTTAAGAATAAAATCGTTTCCAAACTGTCAAAGCTACAGATGCATTTATGTGTTACATGAAAGTGACAGAGTTGCTTAGAGACCTTGTTTCTCTAGAATTGTTTCTAAAATGCCATTGTTTTACTTGATACAGAGAACAAATGTCATCATTACATTTACAACAAAAAAAATTTAAAAACATGGATATAGTTGTGTTCTTTCTGCAAAAATATACCATAAATATTAAGGAAAGTGCTCGCGAATTCGGCAAATAATTCAAAGTAAAATATTGGCTTTTGATTATTATAACTTTTATTGTAAACAATTAGACGTAATTTAAACTTTTAGAAGTAATTTAAACTTTACAAATTTTTTTAAACTTTTAAGTTAAAAAAAATAAAAAGTGTCCCCTTACTTTTGGTTCAACTGTTAATATTATCCATGAAAAGTCGCGTTTCACGAGTCCAAGTATTCAAATTCTTATTTCCATTAACCTTCAAGTTTAAAGCTTATTCAAATATAAAAACTTGATTTTGACTATGACTTCCAAACGTAATTTAAAATATTTGAACAGCTTTTGGTTTGCCAAAACTTAATATTCAGGACGTTCGTTCTTTGTTCGAAACCCTTAGCGACAGCCGACTGTTCCGTCTTGCGATGAAAACTGGCTGTAGCAAATTATTTGCAATATTAATATGCAAACTTAAACCACGATAATAATTAAAATTGTACCCTTCATGCTACACAAGGCACTATAATAAAGGCACATTACATTGTAAATAAAATGCTTTGTTTTAGAATTTTTTTGTAACTTTAAGCTTACTTTACAATTTGACCTAACACAGTGTACAAATCACAAAAACTGTGTCGTATCTAAAATAGAAAAACTCAGAAAACAATAAGATCAATACGAAATCAAATCTAATCTTAAACATATTGGACTGTCACATCAGCAACATCATTATAAATCTTATATTTGATTTTGACATAAACTTAATGTTGCTTATAAAGAGAGTTACTGAACAAAATAAATAAGCCTATTTCTTGCAAACGCATAAAAAAGTTAATTAAAAATTGGTATGAAATATAACACAAACCGCCTTATAGGTTATTATAATATTTCCACCTGTTTGAGATTTAAAACCCAAAGAATAAACCGCTAATTATAGGCGTAGACTAAGTAGTTATAAACGATAAAATTATAGTATTTTAGCTGGCTTTAAAAATGTAGGGTTATAATAAATCAATAACAGTTCACTTGTAATTTTTCTTCAAATCGGATCGATACAATACTCCTGTATAATGAATATCTCAGAAAAATATTGTTTTGTTATAAAAGAGTTTTAATTCACTGGCGTTCGATATGCAGGAAAAATGTAAATGGACGGAGCCGAGCCCATGTTTTACTGTCAAACAACTTCGGTAACTTGAACAATTCTTAAAAACTTGCGCAATTTGTTATACAGCAACTTAGCTGTGTATTCCAAACTATGTTAAGTCGTCGCAACTCGTCATATGGTAAACTTTAAAAAACTTTAATGAGCATCCAAATCTCAAAAGTTAAGTTACAAAATTTCAAATTAAAGGCTCAAGAGATTTAAGGAAAATCTGCGCCGGCGGCGCCACGCACTTTTCAAATACAGATAATGAAACAACCGTAGATGTAAGACAAGATATAAATCCACGCTTTCAGTGATGTTTACTTTCGATTTTAATATGTTAATGGTTTTTGCGTAACTTTAATTCTGACTACACGGGAGTCGCTACTCTCATGAGGAGTTGACTGCGACGGCGTTGATAGAAAGAAGCTCGTGCTACTGCAAGAATAGAAGTAATCAACGTATGTCATAGTACTAGGCTCTCTTAAACCTGACAGATGCTAAACTTGACATCTTCTTTGGCACGTTGCAACTCTAAGGCTAATTAGAAGGCCACAAACGCGCTAGACTGACACTACTAAGAAAGTTGTAGGCCTCGATTAGGTCAACACCATTCAATACTAATGTAACAACCTTTGCATTACATTCTTCTCAGTATGATCCTTTACAACTTTTGCTAGCTTAATCATGAACATCTGTCTAAACTTTATGACAGTACAATATACGTACATAAATAATGTAAAAATTTACTTATCACAGCCACAACAACTCTACATAACACTTGCAACTTCAGAAGATTTGCTAGATCTGTTTTTAGTAACATTTCTTCTCAATAGTCGACCCCGAAACGATGGTATGACGAACAACATTGTTAGTGAGTTAACAACAGGTAAAAGCGATATTGATGTAGCTATGTATAAGCCACTCCATCCTACGTCCATTTTCAGTTGAGTCATCGTTGTAGCAAAGAAGCAAGGTATTCCAAATACTAGGCCTGGGTAGATTGCCTGAAGGTATTCCTTGTTAATAATTCTTAGACTGTTAATAATATATTGGTCATTAATGTCATCTTATTCAGTTTTTAAAAAAAATATGTTACAAAAATAAAGGTTGGTAATTACCTGCAGTTTCATAACCAAACTTAATCGTCTTTGAGAGTATGCACTACTAGAGCTAAGCTTAGCCCCTTGGTCTTTCAGGTGTCGTGTGATACGATGATGAACAATAAAGATGACTATATAGGCTACGACGTTTATAACTTGAGTTCCAAAGAAATGTGCCACAACTTCTAGATTGTCCTAAACCTTTTTTTTTTACTCTAAGAAGTATCGCTATTACAATACAATACTAACAGTACAGTTACAAAACAGTATTCAATATACTGTTCAGTTCCGAAGCCGGAGACGGCTCCGGAGCCCGTGGGAACTCTGTCTATAATCTGACCTTCTATACCTACAAGACACTTACTCCATTTCCAACCATATACTCAGGCGTGTCAACAGCATACATTGGATGACTCTGTAAAATCTTGGTATCTTCTTTTGTCGACCGTGCAAAACAGTAAAAAGCAGAAAAGCCACCCGACCATGACATTAGTAAGCCAGTAAGATAAAGTAAGACGCATTGGAATGAAGTCAACCCTTTCTTGCATACTGTATAGTACCGAAACAAGAACTGTATTAGTAATGTCATAAAAGTGGTATACATTCCAGATAGATAGAGACTGCCCATTAAAACATTATACGGGTATGGTGAATGTCGGAAGATACCCGTGGTGATTACGTACAGACGACCAGCTTTTACTTCTACTATCTAAAATTATGTAATATTGGGAATGTTATATACGCATCTTTGTAAGACACGTATAAATGGTTTTTTACAATATTTTTGTTTAAAAAACTTACAGTCATAGTAAAGAAGTTTACAGTAGTGTAAATAATATCTCCTGTCGCGCTTAACATAACTACAGTACGAAAAGATAGCATGTAAGCGCTTTTTGATGTTATCGCTAACAACAGTACGAGCAAGTTCAACAACATTGATATAAAAAACAAAACCAACTCGTAATATAAGTGGAATGTTAGTAAAAAAGAAAATATGTTTTCGGTCATTACGACTAGAATAGGAAGGGGGGGGGGGGTAAAATACAATTCAAAGTATTTTTAATAATATAACTTCAAAATGTACCTCAATCTACAGTATTTCAATGTAGAATGGTGAAAGTAATTCAAAGCCGAAAGAACGGTATTTAACATGTAATTATAGTACAGTAAGTATATTGTAGTAAGTATGAAATTATGAGTATATTATAGTAAGCCAAACATTTGACAATAAATGTCAGGAAACAGCAGTTGTTATAGTCGTTAAACCTTTATATTATGACATGTAGTAATATTATATATGCCATACCAATCTTCTAATTAACTATTAATAACCATTACCTGTCTACCTGACTAATCGCTACTGCGTGCCAGATTAACTCTCAACCGACAGTTCAAAAACTATGATTTTAAAAAAAAATGTCAAATCGTCTGTGAGTGCGAGTTTTAATACGATGTACTTCAAATGTACAAGTTGAGCCAGACGAACTCTGTGTGGTATAATATGACACATTAAACTTATTTAGATGACAGTAACAAAAATTTTGTATATCTTTTTAATGTTAATATAATCTTGCTCAATAGTATAGCTTAAATAATTATTGAGCGACAGCTTTGGTACTCACAATACCTATAAATATAAAAACACAGGCATGCGCTAAGCCTAAGTCCCTAATTAAGATATTACTGTTAATTGTGACCCCTTGGCTGTAGTAACGCAGCTCAGCCTTTATAAGTGAAAATAAACCATTGCCAAACCTAACGTGTGCGCATAATTAGTATTATACCTTAACATAAAAACGCATACTGTATTTATAATAAACATAAAAACTAAATTAATCAAGGTGCAGATGATTCATAATTCCTTCTAATAGTAAGCTTACTCCATCAACAATATAAATCACAACTTGCCGAAATGCCAATCAAGCTTTTTTAAAGGTTAAGAGTACAATACTACATGAACTGTATTTGTTAGCATTATACGTACTGTATTTCGTAACTATTTAGGCACTGTGTTCAGCGCCGGGCGAGGACTTTTGGTTTGGGGGCGGGGTTCGAAAAAATCGGCACAGGTAAGCTACTTTGTAAGCTACCTGCGCCGATTTTCGTTTTTTGGCCAAGCTTTGAATTTCTTGGAATCCGAGAGACAATATTACATATGCTTATTCTCTCAAAACTACTATTCATAGAACTTGGTAAAATAACCTTATGAGAGCAAAAATATTAACGTAAACAACAATATTTCTTTAACTTCCCCAATTTCGGCCACTTTCCCAGGGCGCAGTTCAACTTTTGCCCTTTTCTATTATTTCCACGTGAACCTGGCTTTGTCCTTCATCTTTCTTATCTTTGTGGGTTGTTTATGCAAATTCGAACCGAAAGTGGGATGAATTCATGGTTCGAGCAGATTCCTCTTTACAAAACGAGCAAAAGAGAAAGAGACATATTCCCCTTCCCAAAATAAGAGTCACGAGAAAGGAGAATATAATAAAGTTGGAGAAAGGAAACCCAGTGTAACTCGTGGATTCTGAATGTAAGTTCGTTTCTAAAACTATTTTGGGCTCTTTACTGATCAGTCTTTTATCTGTTTTTGGCTTGTTCTTCAAGATTTTGAGTGTTTTAGGTAACAAAAACGAAAAATTTGAAGGAAATTTGTAAAAAAATAACGAAATTAAAAAATTTTTTTTGAAGAGCGGGCAATTGTTTGATGTTATGCGTAATAAAATGGAGATTCTGGCGCTTTAGGTAACAAAATGCGTAAAATTAATATTTGAAATTGCAAAATATTTGAAACTTTAGTATTTCAGAATGCAAAACGAAGAATTTGTAGTTGTTTTTAGGTATCAAATGGCCAGAAAGTGTATTTTATATTCAAAGAGGTAAACAAAAGTTTATTGTTTAGGTAACAAAATTGAAAAACGTGATGTTTTAGGTATCAAAAAACGAAATTATGATATTTTAGGTAACAAGACAAAAAAACGTGTTGTTTTGGGTAATGATAGGGCTTTTTTTGACTTCAAAATTAGAGAAAAGTGTGTTTTTATGAAATTAAAAAATTTTAAAATTTTGCAAAATGACCTTTTGTTTCTTCGGAGTCTCCCCAGTACAAGATTCTGCTGTTGTTTGTTTATTTTATGGTTAAAACTGTGAATTTTTATCAGTTTTTGATCAGGTTTGACCTTTGGAAGATTGTTTTTTAGATAAAAGCCGTATATTCTCCATGAATTTCGTTTACCACGTTTTTCAACAGGAAGAAGAATAGAATACTTATCGCTAATAAGCTTATCATTTCCTCTAGATTCATATTGTTTGAGTGTTTTTTGGATTCAGGGCTCTACAAGCCTTTTTTTGTGGGTGTACTTTTGTTTCACTTTGTGGGTACACCTTTATCAATTTGAAATGTTATACCTTTATCAATTCGAAAAGTTATATTACACTTGACAGGGCATATCTAGAACACCTTTATCGGTTTTTTTGTTTGTATACGAGTGTTGACAATAAATATCACGCATTTCACTCTCGAATACAAAACGTTTCGGGAGTGACCTTTTTGGGTAGTCTTTTTTGATTTGGAATCGTTTGGTTGTAAAATAAGTTTTTGAGTATTGATGGGCAGGGAATTGAACTTAATATTTAAAAGGTTTTTAGTGGAAACTGCCGTGTCTCCTGCGGAATCTTGTGTATACTTTTATAACTTTTGCGTTTGAACCTATGAATTTTGAATCTTTGGGCATAATTTTGCAAAATTTGCGTTTATCGATTTGATTTAGAACAACTTTTGTATTGAAAACTGACATGATGATATTTCTACTGGACAATTAGGGTTTGAAAACTGACATACTAGGCAAGCAGGGCTGGAAAACAGTGCTTAGACGGAAAAATTTTGAATTTTTGTTTATTTGCTTTAAAAAAGTACGTAAGATTTAGGCCGTAGCTTATAGCAAGAGTCATAACTTTTTTTTTAAATTGTTTTTTCAAATTTTTAAAAATTTTTGTGTGCTACGGGCTGTTTTAGGTGTCTTTTACTATCACTATTCTGGTTTTAAATGAATTTACCAATTTTACACATAATTTCCTCGTGCTCTCTTTGAGGTATACTAACTTGGTCTAATACCTGGCTTTTTACCAATCTAATGTCTAAGTTTATATCAAAATCTCACTTACAAAGTAATATGTTGTAGTAGACCTTTCTTAGTTTAAAAAAGCCCTTCCTTGATGTATTAGTAGTGTTTCATTGCAGATTCCGATCAGTTTACGTGAGAAATGGGCAAATTAAAGGAAGCGTTTCAACAGATCACGGCTGGAGGCTCGGCTGGTAAGCTAATTCGATTAATCTCAAATGTTTTTGTTTTTTATTTTATTTCTTTTGAAAACAATAATAATATAAAGGTATTTGGACCTTTTAATAATACTCTTTTTAGACTTTATAGTACATTTTTATTAGAAAATGGCAAGATTTAGTTGATTTTGGGGATTTTTTGTGGATTTTGGCTTAAATTTTAATAATTTTTTTGAAATTTGAAGTTTTTGAGTATGTTGAATTGATTTACTATGTCATGTTTTCATGCTTCATTTTAATACAAAAGAATAATAACTTTGCGATATGTTAATATAACTTTCTTCCAGGGCTAGTAGAAGTATGTGTGATGCACCCATTAGATGTTATGAAGACTCGTTTACAATTAGGTAGTCAGTTCTACAGTGGGCTTGGTGATGTATTCAAGAAGACGTTGGCAGAAGAAGGAGTTAAAGGTTTCTACAAAGGTATCATACCTCCAATCATAGCCGAAACACCGAAAAGGGCTACCAAGTTCTTGACCTTCGAGCAATATAAACATGCTTTTCAGTCGTTTCATGCCATTCCTGAATGGACAGTAAGGGATTTTATTGATTTTGAGGTTGGGCATGGTTTGAAAATGGCAATTTGCTTTATGTTATTGTAAAATACGAGCTTTTTTAATGGTGTTAAGGATTTGAAGAGGTGTTGCGGCATGGTTAATATACGTAATGTAGATAGGTAGTTAAATCCTTTAATTTTAGCAAATCTCACTAGCCGGAGCGGCTGCCGGAGTAACAGAAGCTTGTGTTAATACGCCTTTTGAGTTGGTGAAGGTACGACTTCAATCAGACAGATCTAAAACTCATGTAAGTTAATATTATGTGATAAAGAATGACTTATGGAACAAATATTATGTCATTTACTGTCATTATACATGTTTTATAGGGTATAAAGATCAAAATATTTTGTAAAAATAACATTATCAAGTTTTAGATACGAACCAGTCGAGACGTAGCGAAAGAGATCTTTGCCAGAAGAGGGGTACCAGGCATCTACACCGCCCTAGGCGCCACAATGTACCGTAACGGAACCTGGAACTGTATATACTTTGGTCTCTATCATAATGTAAAGCCTCTTCTACCAACAGAACCAATTCAGAACCTACTGTCACGTATGGGCGTCGGCTTTGTAGCTGGTACGATAGCATCTGTAGCGAACATTCCATTCGATGTGGTCAAGAGTAGGATTCAAGCACAACCTGAAGGTACCACCTGGAAGTATCTTAATACATGGCAGACAGTAGGACTGATTTACCGTGAAGAAGGTGCAGCGGCATTGTATCGTGGCATCGTACCCAAAGTCATGCGTCTGGGACCTGGTGGTGCCATTATGTTGATTGTGTTCGAGACTGTGCAAGACTTTTTGAAAAAGATCATGGACTAGATGGAGGTATAGTGGAGTAATATAGTTTTATATAGTCTTTTACTGTAGAGTATTGTTTTAGTTTTATCTTACAGTAGAAGGCCTTTACAGTATTATTTTATATGAACAAGCTGAAAAACAAAGTAATATTCCAAAAGTATTGATGTTGTGTTACTATTACAATGTTTTATAGTATTTTATAGCTATTTTTTGAACTAACAGTATCATTTTAAAGCATATCTAGTACTTTTTTTTTGTATTGTAAGGTAATACAGTATTATGTATTGTCAGGTTTTGTCTTAACATAAAAATTTATCAATTTGGCTAAAGTAGAGCTAAAAAGCTAATATTGTAGGTCTAGTATTACAATAACTTGCCTCTTACTACATATCAAATGTATTCAAAGTCGCGGGTAAATTTTGAAAGTTTTTTGACACTTAATAAACTTAATTGTCTTTGAAAGTTGGCTTTTCAAAAATCGATTTCAGTATTTTCAAACTTGAGCTTTTAAGCCTAAAAAGGTCTTTTTTTTAAATTCCAATTGCATTTGATGCTATCCCCCAGTATATCATAATTTTTTAAATTCGAGCTTTTCGGCCTAAAACAACATTTTTTTGAAATTTATATTTATACATATTATTAATACAACAATAACATAATAAAGAAGTCGAAATAGAAATTTATTATTATTACCCAAACTGGGAGCTCACAAAGGACGATCGAGTTTGGAGAAATAAACGGACCAGTACCTGCAAACAATGTTTTAGTACGAGGAGGTTTTAAACTTGTTATTTTAGGTTGTTCTGAACATTCTGTGCCCCCTAACTTGTAAAATTTTCTTTCAGATGTGGCACATAAGTATTTGAACAACCTATTATTATCCAACGTTGCCCATTATAAAGGCTCATTCTTATTTAGCCAACCTAATAGGTATATCTTGAAATTGCCTACTAACGAGGTCCAACTCCACATTACACTCAAACTCACACAATGTTGAAGAAGAGGAAAGAGAGTGGGAACATGATCATTGAGCATCTGTCGACCTGTATGGAAGTGATTTGGAAGTCGCGTTCTTGGTACCAGCGATGCAGCCGCCGTCGCCAGCCCTTGCAACACGTGCACACCGAGAAGCGACTTCTCGAGTTTGGGAATCGCATCGTTTTTGGAATATCATCAGTAGAACCACCTTCTTGGCCGCCTAATGGTACCGCCAGTCGCGTGGACTCGGGGGTGTTGGCTCTCAACGACGGACTCGGACTACGGCTACCGTGGTCCACGTTGTTGGCTACAACAGCACGTAGCTTCGGCCCTTCGTCCTTCTTCGCCTCCTTGTTCTCGGCTGTTTTACTTTTGAGTAGAGCTGCAAAGCCACCGCCCTTCTTCACACCGTTTGCTTCACTGCCATTCTTTCCCTCGTGTTTTCGAGTCTTCCTGATCTGATTCAACCAGTGGCCGAGAACTTTCGAACCGATTTGTTGTTCACGTTCCCATCGGCTCAGCTGACATACGATCGCCATTTCTACCAGGGTGCAGAAGATGAAAATTACACTGAAATATTAGGTATTTAAATTTGAAATCACACAGTAATGGTAGGTAGGATAATTTAAATTTAAAAGTAAAATACGAAATCTTTGATAATTCTAGAAAAACTGAAAAGTTTTAAAATCTTACCTTATTATCATCCAAACATCAAGGCACTTGATATAACTGACTCTTGGCAAATGACGTAATACGTTTCCAAATTGAAAGGTCAAGGCTAGCAAACTAAAAATTCAAAATTTTTTAAAAGTTTACAGGGTTTTTTTACAAAGGATTTTGGTATCAAAATTGGCTTCCAACTAAAATTGGAGAAAAGTTACAGTGTTCCAAAAAAACTTTCGCAATTTATCAACCTACCTAGAAACTCCCAACGTAATCCTGGCCGAAACTGATCGCACGTCGAAGAAGAACCCGACCCACGAACTGATCACAGTCAGCGACGTAGGAAAGTAGGATTGAAAGAGGTAGAAACCGTATCTCCGAGCAAACGTAAACTTGACCTGAGCTCGATCCCAAACTCCATTTGGGTACTCGAGTCGTTGGTGGTCTGTAGACCATCCAATCAGATCAAAATCGGGCAGTTCCACATCTTCCATCATAGTCACCGGAACATCGTGCCATAATAACCGTACTTCGTCCGTATTGAAGGAGTAACTTTCAAATACTAGTTGGCATTGGATTGAGTCGAAGGGAAACATTTTCTGAAAAAAAGGATTTTTGACACTTCAAAATGTAAGGTTAGTAAAAAAATATTCAGGCTTAGAACCAAGCGGGTAATTTTTGGCTAAGAAAGGGTAAAAGTAAAAAAAACAGTATTTTTTAAAATATAACGGCAAAAAAATAAAAAAGTTGTCTTATCTGCCCGTCTGGACTTAAGCCTGACTATTGGGTCCTCACGATCCCGCCCGGCCTTTTTCAAATTTTCTCCGGTCCAATTCGACACAAGGCAGGTTTAAGTAGACGTGAGGAGCGGGCCCTAACTCAAATTTAAAATGAAAATTGGGCCTGGCCCGGCCCGTTCCTCATGCTTAGGGCCCAGTCCAGACTGCGCTGTGGGCTAGTGGCCCCTTTTCAGGTTTAATCTAATGTGTTTTTTAACAAAAATTTTAAAACAAGACATGACTCAACTCAAAACTGTCACGACTTACCAAGTCCATTTTACAAGGCGCTTTAACTTTGAGTCGAAAATTAGACCATACTAACCCGTGTTCGTATAAAATGACAAATGTGTTTTCGGATGGCGATTTGTGGATCGATGCTTCTTTACTACTGAAATTCAAAATTTTATGTTTACCACTTATTTTTTAAGTAAAGCTAGGTTATATGATGTATCTATTTTTGGCACATTCTTTGTTTGACCTTTTTTAATTCATTATTGTTAGCTTTTGATTAACTGAACTTATAATCCTCAAAAACGTCATTTTTAATCTCTCAAAATAGTACACGTACTCTCGAATGCCACAAGGTAATTGTCCTTTTTGTTGTGACAAAACAAAAACAAATTGGCATAAAAAATGTCAGAACCTCCCCCCTCGTCTCATTTCCCCAACTGTCCCTTTTTGACCCCCGTCGTGTAAATAAACGTACTTGATGATACACGTATCAGGTGTCCACATCTTTTCTCTGAAGTCGCTCTTCAGCGTGATGTTGGTCGTGCACACGTTCAGATGCTTGAAGCTGAGCCGTGGGTCCAGCCATATCTCACTGTACATGACGTCCAACTCGAAATCACCGGTAATTTCGGAGATACCCGACACTCCTTGCACGTGAAGCTCTATCGTCACATTCACACCGTCGGCTTCTGGCAACAGATGCGTATCGTAGTCTTTCAGAAGCTGTTCTATGATACTACCGAGGTTCAGACTGTTGCGAGTACATCTCTGACCTGCGAGACGTGCTGATTCAGCACTAGGTAGGCATAGAATTAGGCAGAGCAGAAGAATGTACGGTAGATTTTGGAAGATTTGTAGGGATAATGAAGACTGTGGCCTATGTTGGTATGAAGATGAAGATAGTTTTTGGTGCCTTACTGTAGATAAGTGAGGTTGTAGACTCCTTGAACTGGTTTTTACAGTCCCACATTTTCTACTTTCTTTTGTTAATAATGATGAGCACTCAACGAGCAGTAAGGGCGTATCAACTTCATCTATACCACAATTAACCTCGTCTACATCACGATCAACTTCGGAAAACCGAGCGTCTTGGCTACAAAAATCAGCACAATAAGGTCGACCATATGATTCTGGTGTTTTAGTAGAATAATAAGGTGATTCTGATGGACTTGGTTCACAAAAAGCACCCGGATCTTCCATTATTACATCCAGAAGTCAAGACGACGTAGATGCCAGAAGATTCTGGCTGCTACAGGCGTTGTAACTGAAAATACTTTGTCTTAATGCCAGGAAAACCTAAGTAAGTTCTATCTCTATTAGGTTGTTCTAATAATTTTGTGCTCCCTATCATCGCAAATTTTCTTTGAGAGGGGGTACATAACTATTTGAACAAAGTAGTAAATTCTAACTACAATTTTGTAGAATATATTCACAAAAACAGTCAAACAAAACCGATTTATTACCTAAAGCAACATACCAGATCAGGGTGCCGTTTGCCAAAACTTATGTGATAACATGGACGCGGAACATTAATTATTCCTCCAAATGTATTATAGTACGTCTGAAATAGAACAAAACAAGAATAATGTAGTAAGAAAGCGTCAAATCTCACGGGAAACGAATGTTATTAACAATGGCATTAAGTACACAGAGTAAAGTTATATTCATGACATAGCTGCAAGCTTGCAATGTTGTAGACGTTTTCTTGCAAATAATAACATGTGGAAGTAAGTGGTCTATGAATTGAAGTTCGTAGAAGAAATGTTAAATATAGTAAATGTGATAGGTTGTTCAAAAAGTAATGAGCTACTAAACTTAATTTTTTCATAGTATTCTAACAAAACAAAACATAAAAATAGGGTTGACACTTTCAGTTTATTAAAATTTAGGTATCAAACTATGGGAAAACAAAAAATTCTAGAATTATAATATTTATTTGCTTTTTTCTAAAGCTTTTAAAATAGTTTTGAGGCGGCTCATTACTTTTTGAACAACATGATAAGTATATAACAAAATTTTGAAAAAGTTTTTTTTTAACTTAAAAATTTTTAAAAAATACAAATCCTAATTCAATACTTTAAAAAAAGTTAAAATAGTTAAAATTAATCTTCAACTGACTTTCCATATTCAAAAGTTGCCTGCCTAACTTATAAAAAAGTTTTTGGCTTTTAACCTTATCCAAAAAGGTTTGACAGATAAAGTGGAACTCCTATAACAAGTTGCTGTGAAGGGGGAGATGAGATTTTAAAGTTATTCTTTATAAAAGAGTTTCGTATCGTTCCATTGCTTTATAAGGTGGTTGTTCAAATAATTCCGTGCACCCTCACCCCAAAAATTTGCGTTGAATAAGAGTACAGAATTAATTGAACAACTTAATATTAGCCAAACTTTAAAAAAGCTTATTAGACCGCATAATAGATGTATCTTGTTGCCTATGACAAGAGCCTAAAAAGTCTAAAATGGCTTTTTTAAATAATTTTAAAATTTGCTTTTTCAAGCCAAAAGTAGTGTAAAAAATATGATTAAAGCCATTTGAAAGTAAATCCTACTACAAATGAAAACAACAATATAAAAGCAAAGAGGATTTGAATAGTGGTCCTAAAAACGTTCATAATCGTACACTTTACACTTAGCAATACCAGACAGGTATTTTGTTAGCATTAAAAATGAAAAACATTGTAATTCATTAAAATTAAAAAAAAATCTTGAAAAAACTTCGTTAAACACATTTTAAAAACTGTTATATGAACTACATTTATTTACAAATAGTTTTCTTTGTTTTAGCTATTATGCCCCTAGCCTAAAAAATATAAAAACGCAAAAATAGGTATAAACAAATTACCGTGTAAGTCACAAAGTCACTTCCCATAATATATCCAACTTTACCGCGTAAAAACGGCGAACATGGCTCTCAAGCTTATCCTCGAGAAAATGAAAATCAAGAATTCCGTCGTGTGAAAACACGCTTGGAACAGTAGCACACCGAAACCCGTGTTTCGATGACGATGTGGAGAACACAACGTGTGGATAACACATACTATGTTGTTGTTCTTACACCATGAAGTAGGGCTTAGAGATAGGAGTGTTTTACGTAAACTATGGCAAAAAGATAATAGCGTTTTACTGTGAACTATAACACAAAAGTAACCGTGTTTTTATCATAAACTATATCCTTAGAGGTTGCAGCGTTTTACTATCAGTTATAGCTTAAAGGTAACAGTGTTTTGACATGACTTATAGCCTTAAGATACTACTGTTATTTTGAAAACTATTACCCAAAAGTAACGGTGTTTTCGTCATAAACTGTAGCTTAAAAACCGCTACTTTAATATAAGTCATGCCATAGAAACAGCAAGTTAAGATATATTAAACAAAGTTGATAAAGAAACACAAAGTACAAAAAGAAGATGATGCTACCTTTCAAGTGACATTCGAAAAAATGTTTTTTTTGAGCCACAGATGTTCGTTCAAGTCGTTTCGCTTGCTGTTAAGTAGATAAGCTGAATGTTACTCTTTTCGAAAATTCAAAAAATGACAAATTTGTTTTACAAGCCATAATGACTATATAAACAAGAAGGTTGATTTGGGCGTTATGACATGGGCAAACTTAAATTTAAAAAATTAAAATTAAAAGATCTATATTTAATCAGTAGAGTTTTTGCTTCACATTACATTTTAAACTTCCCGCTAAATTGGCATAGTGTTTCAAGCTAACTTTGTCATTTTTCGACTTTTAATAATTTATACTAGTAGAAAACTTTAAAATAAACATACGTTTTTAAATTTATAAGCGTAGGTTATCTGAAAAGTTGAAAAAAAGTGCTTGAAACACAATGCCAAATTTGCCAAATTGGCAGGAAGCGCAAACATTTTAAATTTAAAACTTAAACGTGCAATTTAAAATTTATTGCGCGTACTATTGGTGTTACAATGAATTCAAATTCATATAAAAATTTTGAGCTGAATCTGAGCGGGGTAGGTTGGGTACTTTCCCTTTAGTAAAACCAACTCTAAAAATTTATTTTATCTTGTTGTAAGCATAAAAAATTATATTTGCTAGACCCCCAGTACATTTTGAACCCATTTATAACCTTCAAACTTATAGCTAAACCGTCTTACGGTTTTCAAACTTACAAAAACTTTAAAAACGCTTTGTTTTAATCTTAAAAGCTTAAAAGCACATAGTTATTTTTAGATACAAACTTGATTTAAAATGCCGTCACAAGTTTTTTTGCATATTTATAAAAGGACCTTTCGCTAGTTAAGTTTTTCGATTACTGCGATAACTTTTCTCCAATTTTTTAAATTAAAAAAGATTTGTTTTTCTACCCTACTCTACTCTACCCTACCTTACTCTGAAAAATCAACAACTTACTGCAGTACTAAATATGTTGAGTACGACAAAATTCATAACTACCTAAAGCCATTCTAGCACGTACACAAAATACCAAAAACCCTTGCGCAAAGTAGACATACTATTTATTCATTTCATCGTCTTTTCATTTAATTATCCTCTGTGGCACGATTTTTTTCGTCGAACAATTCTCAGCACCAAAGAGACAAAGTTTCCCAAAATTGCCAAAGGCAAAATTCTCTCGGTTTTAAAGAGTGGGAATGAGAAAGACAAGCGATGTTTCTCGCGAAATAATTTGAATGATACGAAGCAAGTAGACTATGCTTTACATAGTATTAGAACGTTTTGGCGCGTTGAAGTTTGACGTTTTGTGGCTTAGGGGTAGGGGTTTGACATTGGGAAGTGTAAAATGGTACTTCTGGAGGTTTGTTCTTTGAGGATGTTCTAGTATAGGTAAGCAAGACTAATAGAGTCCGGTCCGGATTTGTTTTGAACCTTGCCCCTTCGGGTACACATGTGTCGGCCCGGCTTCTTTAGAATTTTCTGCAGCCTGGCGCAGCCTAAGAGAGGACGGAGGCCGTGCCGGGCCTAATGGCTTCTTTCTAATCTAGGGTAAGCTAAAGCAAAAAAAGTGTTGCAACGTACCATGTATGAAACATATGTTTTCCTCGACATGGGTTATATGCCACTTTGAACCACTTTTGAAATAAATTTCCCTTTTGAATAGCTTTATCAGTCTAGCCTTCATAAAGATACTTAGCTTACAAACTAGTCAATCTCTCATAACACCTCTATACCTTCCATAACTCTACCTCACCTTTGATCTCTCTCTAGGCTTGCGGCCACTGTAAACAAAATTTTAAACCAAATATTACATTTGCAGTGTTATTATAAACCTTGCATCAATAATATGCAATTTCATACCTAAAACTTAAAATTCAACTATAATTTACAAATTACACTCCTACTTCATACAAGCTGATATAATGTAAAATACTCTCTTACTGCCGCCACATCTCTATCGAAGTATTATATCTAACAAAACAAAATAAAGGTCGGTTTTGAAAACATTCACAAACTCCAAAATTAAAACTCTGCGACTACATTCAAAGACATTTTTATACAATGAACATTAATTTTAAAAAGAAACTCCACGTCTTATGACAACATTATGTCCGCTTTTAATCTGGCATGAGAAAATAATTTTGGGGATGTTTCTAAAGAAGGCGTTCTTGAACTCTTCAATATTCAAATAATGCTCAGCCAAGCGCTGTAGCCTTCGGTTTTTGAAAGAAATGAATTTGAACAGCTTTTGAGACTTAAAAATGTAAAATATTTACATTTGTTACGTACCACAATGTCACAAAATTATAATTTTTTAAAGAAAAAAAGCCCTACCTTCAGGGCCTCCGGCCCAGCTAACTGTGCCGAGTTTTCTGACCCCCGTACCCCTAACAACATTCCTCGCGGTCTTGCCTGCCTTGGCCCTGCTTTTGCCTTGCCTTTTCCCTGCCTTTGCTCTGCCTTTACCCTGCCTTTGCTCTGCCTTTTCTTTTTATCTTACCCTACCCTATCCTACCCTTCCGTACTTTAATTCGACCTGCCCTTCTTTAATCTACCCTACTTTGCCCAGTGTAATGTTAAGCTAGAAAAACGAGACGGTTGGCACTAGTTTATGCAAGATTTGTTTAAAGTTGTATATCCTAGAGATGAGCTCTTACGACAATCTTACAAGCCTTTCGAGAATTTTAAATTTTACAAAACAAAAGAATTTCGAAGCGTCGAAGCTAAAACTACAGTGTATGTGCCTCGAAATTTTATTTTAAATTTTAAAAAGTTAAGAACT